TACAGCGGGAACAGAGAATTATAACAGTACTGTACTAGGTAGAGACCGACTCCTTATCGTTAATCAGCCGAACCCGAGTCGAGGCCTCTACAGTAAGACAGTCCTACTTACCGACTATAAGACAGAGGTCGCGAGAGATATAAGAAGTATAAGCGTTAATCTATATATCGTAGGATATATATACAGCCTAGAGGAAGGGTAAACCGTTAGTAAACTAATTACGAGCCGGGGAGAGTTTGATAAGGACTTATAGCGGGGATACGGGTCCTAGCTAGATTATATAAGTGACAGTGGTTTTTGACGAGGTTATTAAAGCTACTAGTAACCTCGCGGATTAAGACCGAAACGTAGGTAACCAGCTTATAAGGAAATAGGAAGTAGACCTCGTTTCCCTTATCGTCTTCCTCGTTATCTAATATACTATACCGGCCTATATTATTACGCTAGAACTCCTTAGCCCACTCTAAGATAGATAACAGTTCGAATCTATTCCTAGCTATACCGTCCGGAACCTAGGGATACGATATTAGGACGAACCGGAAGCGGACCCTGATCGAGAATATACGGGGTACTTATAGACTTATACACTTTTTTCTACCGAGTACAATACTAGTAAGATTTACTGTTAGGGGTATCCGAGAAGTATCGAATTACTAAGGGGGAATCGGTGCTGTTAGGCTGCTTAGGCTAATCGCGAGCAGAAATATACAGATAACTTATACACTAAGTCCGCTGTCGTAGGACCGGTATAGTAAGTTACTTACGCGGGGAAGGACGAACTAGTGGTATACTGAAACGTATAAGAAGAAACTGTAAAGCAATATTAGACCGGTGCTGACTCGGTATAAGAACGATAGCCTTACTAGTGTAAGAATAACGCGTTACTGTTAACGAAGTAAGATTGTTAATAAAAGTAAGAGATATATAGAAGGAGAAGTGGAAAGTGAAAACTCTTTAATTGAAAATAAAGCTCTACTTATAAAGACACTAAACGGTAAGAGTATACGAAATATAGTAACTACCTAAACCGGAAGTCGCACCTTCCTATCGGGACCTAATATCAAAACTACCACCAATCCTTAACGTATCGATACCGCCTTATCTAACTCCTTTATAACTCCGGTATTAGAAGAGGGAACGTATTTATATATACGTCTAGTACAGTCTAAAGGACTAAGGGCCCTCTGATAATAAATAACGTCCGGATAGTATTATAGTATTCCCGCAATAAATCACTCTTCGAGACTAACTATTGTATATATCCCTTATCCCCTTCCTAGAGACGCTGGCCAGACTCTATATAGTATCGGTACTAAGCCGATATAGGAGTACCCTAGGTAGACCGCGTTAAAGGATTAGGATAGGACGCACTCCGCCCCTCTACGTACCTACGGTATTAGGATAAGGCTTTCTACGATTAGTTAGCGAGTCGTTAGCGAATTAGAATCGACTCTATACTACTTACCCGACTGATATCCCTCTTCGCTGTAGCCCTGATATTATACTAGGCCTAGTGCGCAGTGTGTATATAATTAAAATCCTAAACTATCTTTATTGTAGTATAATTGATACTAGTGATAAATACTGGGTCAGCACTAAAGTATCTATTCGCGGGGGTATATATCTAGGCGACCTATTCGAGTATCGCTTCTAAATCGGTAGCGTTACCCTATATCCCCTCGGTAGGACAGTCGCAATTTACTTTTCGCTGTATACACTGCTGGTATTTCTTAGTGCCTTCTTCGTTTAAGTAACACTCGATCTTAAAGACCGCTGTCGCTGCAGTTAGATCGAAGTCACTTATTAAAGTACGTAGGTACTTTATACACTAAGTGTGTTTTAACTAGATACAGTTAGCACGAATAACAGGCGCTATAATAAGAATAATAAAGATAAAGTTAAGAGTCTATTCCGCACAAGAAATAGGGTGGCTAAATAGCCTCTACGGAATAAAGAAGTTTACCTACAGATTTTCTTCAAAGAGCGGCCTTATCCTAATTATATCTCTTTACGGGAACCCGCTACTGTTCTATCGGTGAAACGTCTTTAACTGCAGAGATTCGCGGATAGGGATATCCGCCCTGAGAGGAGGAGATAATTGTAACGGATAAAGATCCTTACAACCTAGAGACCGACAATACGGGAGTCAGCTGATATAGGACCAATATATAATCAGCTAAGTATCGTGACCTGATCGTAAGGGGTTCGTTATATAACGGCCACGTCAGTCGATCAGATGGTTTACCCTATAGTCTGGGATCCCCCTGGATCCCACTTACTCCTATAAGAATTAGTCTTGAGACAGTTCTATACAATACATTGTATTCGTCTCCTCTCACCGAGTCCTTATATCTTACCCGGTTGACAGGCCTTACACCTGAGACCAGTATACCATTATAAATAGAGTCTTAAACTACCTATACTAAAGTCGTGTTATTTAACGCGTTATCTAATATAATCGCTAATACACAATCAGTAATATTAAGCTTCTTAAAGATCTCTATAAGCACTTCACTTAGATTTACACTAGAATACACCCTATTAAGTGGTTCGAAACTAAGTAGGAGCTTACAGTAATTCTAGTCTCGGTCGATAAAGTACCCTATAATTACTATAAATACCTACTGAAAAGGCGATATCTAGCAGTCGAGGGCGATTGAGAGCTTTATATTTTATAGTAAGGTAGCGAGAATTGTATATTGCTCCTCGTCGACTAATTTCTTAAGCCGGCGTTAAGTAGTGCGAGGATAGAGTAAAGTAGGTTTAGCTAGAGCCTTTTATACTATTCAAATTAAGGAAGTAAATTAATTCCTCTTAAGTATCCGGAAAGGGAGGTTCAGACTGGTAAGATATTCAATCTACTCTCTTTCCTATTTATTATTCGAGAATTTTGAGTTATAAGATAACTCCAGTACCTAATATATAATATATTAGTTATCTTAAAGGGTATAATTATATAAGACTTACTGGTATATACTATATAGTCTCCTTAATCGACTGTTATATAGACTTACTTTTACCACCCTTTTAGTATTTACCTAAGGCTAGATACCGCTTAAGTGTATTAGTACCGCTTTGCTTTGTACTTAGATAAGGTAATATAACCCTATATATCCGATATATAACCAAAGGTTCGCCTATAATATAATATACTACCTAGTCGAAGTTCTCCTAGATATCTAATATATATTTTGTATCCTACTGTAGCTTCTGTTATATCTTAGTACTACTACCGCGTACTATAGTACACTACCACTCGATAAACTTTACTTGAGATATATTGTTTATCGCGTTATAGAGGATAAACTACTTTCTCCGATCGGGGCCGATATATTTAAGAGAGCTATTAAGAATAGCTAGTTAAGTGAACTCGGACTCTATCAGTGAGATAGAAGTCTATTGGCTATTAAAGAGACTAGGATCAATATTTAGATTAAGGTTAGGATTAAATATATCGGCGATATAGGAGAGGTCTAGTTAGGAGCTCGGAGGAAGTAAAGAAGGCCCTACAGTATAGGCACTAGGTTAGGATATAGTTAATATAATATAAGGGATAATATAATAACTATAGGAGAGTGAGTGATCTAAACTTATAATAGGTAACTTACGACTATATAAAACGAGGATTACTAGTAAAAGGGGTGCTTTATATAGATCTGATAGATCGTAAATTGAGTGTAGACCCACTATATATTATAAGCTGATTAGCTATAAGTGTCTTTGTCTATAGGTATACCCGTGGGCACACCTATAGGAATATACCTAAACGCCTATCTTAAGTTACAATTGAAGGATTTAAAACTCCTAGAATAATAACACAAGTCTTTAAGTGATATAATTAACAGAATTTAGTGATATAAGCTTATAGAATAAGAATTATACTAATTATCTTTCGATCTACCTATAAGAAATATACCAGAGTGAGAGATAAAGTAGAATCTATAAGTAGTATTTTACTTATAGAAAATGCCAGGTATATATAGACTGCGATATCGCCCATAGACGGGCGGGTGGGCAGTGCCCACGGGCCTTATATAAGCGGGCGATGGGCACTATCAATACGCCTATGGACGGGCCCTACCCTTAGGGCCTATTGTCTATGGACACCGTGGGCGCCCGTGGGCCTTTTTAGTAAGCAAAATTAGCGCAACACGTGATTTTTATTGACAGATTTCAAAATATTTTAACTAAATTTATATTTTTTTATATATTTACAATCATAATTCCGGATTTTTAATAAGATATATATAAATATATATACTATAATTTACTATATATCTAATTTTTATATATATTTAAGACAACTTTATATAATGGTGGGTATCGTGGGCATACCCACCGTGGGTATGCCCGTGGGCCTTGGGCGTTATGGACGGGCACTCGAAAATCCAAATAGCCCAAGGCCCACCGTGGACGGGCGATGGGCACCTCCTAGGTGCCCATGGACGGGCGATGTCGCAGTCTAGGTATATACCACTGACTTAAATATATATCTTCAAGCTGTTACAGTATAATTTGATAAGTTAATAAAAATACCACACAATATGATATATTGCGATTAAAATTTTATTCTAAGTCGTATTATATATATACTAGTTTCTTATATATATAGATATTTCAGTAAAATTTATAGATATTGTAGATTAAAACTACTATTTTATATAGAGTTGGTAAAACAGGTGTAAATAACAGTTATTTATTATACAAAGTCAGCGAGTTATACGTCTATTTTGGGTGACTTTATACAATGGTGGGCATCGTGGGCATACCCGCCGTGGGTATACCCGTGGGCCTTGGGCGTTATAGACGGGCACTCGAAAATCCAAATAGCCCAAGGCCCACCGTGGACGGGCCTTGGGCACCTCCTAGGTGCCTATGGACGGGCGATGTCGCAGTCTATAGAGGAATACCAACGCTAATATTATATACTTACTAGATTTAAAGCGGCACTATATCCGGTACACAGCTTATCGTAAGTCCTTTAAAACCTCGAATTAGAAGTTAAGAAGGTTCAGTTTATTAGAGAAGAAGTTGTAAATCTAGAACCTAAGAAACTTAATCTTAATAAAGTGGAGGAGTATTAGAGAGCACTCTATACGGTAGCTAATATAGAAGGTATCACTAATACTGTCTACAATAACAATAACTCCGGCCGAGGACGAGGCAATAGAAGAGGTGGTCGTAAAGGAAACCGAGGTAGTAGAGGTGGTTCTAATAGCGGTTACAATAATAACAATATATAGATAGAAAAGGACGTTAACGCTATCGAAGATAAAGCAGCCACTACTAAGAAGAAGAAGAAGAAGGGTCTTCGTAAGCAGCCTACGGATAGCAAAGATATTTATAAATACGTAAAGGAAATACGCAATAGTATATAAAAAGACGACAACGACATATACTTATTCTGTGGATTTAGACTATACATTGCTAAGAGATACACCTATCTCAGTGATAACCCTCTAGCTTTATAGGAGCTATCTAGGAATTTATAGGCCTATTTAAAGGCTATTTAAAGAGCTTAACGTTAAGACAGACAGAATAATATAGTTGTCGCTGCTGTCAATTCGCTTAATAGGAAGAACAATTGGTTACTAGATACCGGTTCGGATAAGATATTAACGTATAATCTCGAAGACTTTTATATATATATTTAGGATCACCCTGATACTGTATATATATACAAAGACTACTCTAGGAATAGAGTCGTTACGCTAGGCTATAGTGAAGTTATCGTGAGAATAGCCTTACTAGGACTAGATAGAAAGATATACTCGTTTATAATAACTAGCTACTACACTCTAGGAGGATACAGTAAGCTGTTTAGTATACAGAAACTTCTTAAAGAGTAAGATATTTCTTACGATATACGCACTAAGTATCTTACAAATAGAAAGGGTGATATCCTAGGATACGTAGACACTTTAACTGGTGTTCTATACCTAGTTAGTCTAAAGGATAAAGATAAAGACGATCCTAATAAGGATAAGACTAACGTAAATTCTGATAATAATAAAACCGGATTCGTAAGTAAAGTGACAGCTTACGAGGTTTATAGATATCTAGGATATACTAGAAAGAATCGCTTCTACACTATAGTACACCGAATAACTAGGTGATAATAAGCAGTATAGTACAGAGAACTTCGACTGTAATACCTATTTTTAAGGTAAATCAAAGCTCAAAATTTTACGATAACCTTAGGTAAGGGTACAAGATATAGTATAGAAGTTTTACGTTAATACACAGCTAATAAAGCCTATAGGACTAAATAGGGAGAATTACTAGCTACTAATTGTTGATAACGCTTCTCGATTTATCGAAGGGAGTATACTAAAGAATAAGTCTAATACTTACTATAAGCTTACCGCGTTCTGTAAGAAGATTAAGTTACTTCCTGGTAGATACCTAGGTGTCTAGCGAATAGATAGAGGAACAGAGTTTAAAGAGTTTATTAAATAGGGTAAGAAACGTAGTATAACTTTCGAAATAATACCTCTATACACTGCTAAGCCGAATAGAGCAGTTAAGTGTTTCGGTAGATATATCAATAATATTTAAAGAACGATAATTATCGATACAAAAGTGTCGGAAGAGATATAGCTATATACAATAGACACGGCTATTTATATCTATAACAGACTAGTTAACCCGAAGACTAAGAAATCGCCACTGACTTACTAGCGCGAAGAACTCGGGATTCCTAATCTATAACCTTCTCTAAAGCACCTTAAGCTATAGGGGATAACTGTATACGTTTATATTCCAAAGTCTAAGAGAATATAGGCTAGGAAAGCAGCCCCTAGAGTATAGAGAGGAATACTTATCGGCTATAAGGGTGACGGTGGTTATATCTATAAGATATAGGATCTAAACAATAGGAAATTGGTAGTATCGCGTAATATAGGCTTCTATCAACCCGGAGATAATAATAACAGGAGACCGATATCGATCGATAAAGTACCTATAGATCTAAAGGACCTAGATAACAACGATATTGTTGGATTTATACCTATCTTATTAATATAAGATAACAAGATCTCTAAGATATAGTCAAAACAGCAGTAGGTAGTGCGTCTATTGCAGCCACAGATACCTATATAAGAGACAATATAAATATCTGTTACACCGTCTATAATCTATCTTCCGATAGTTTACGGTAGTGCGTTAACAATACCTAGGATACTATAGAAGACGATTGCTCTACCAATAAAACAGCGTAAGCTCTTCTAAAGCTTTCTGCTAGCTATAAGTGAGGACCCAATAATATTAGGTACTAGGATCACTAAGATTATAAATTCTTCTACTGAGAATACTTTATAAGCTTTAGAGGATATAGCTCGGAGGAGAGAAGATCTTAGAAGGAGACTTTAACAGTTAATAAGCTAGGTATCTTAGCTATCAGAGAGTATAAATAATATTCGACGAGACGCAGACAGTATCGAGTCGACTATTGCTAGAGAATCAGATAAAACGGTTAATTCTTTAGAGAGACAGAGAATACTCTACGAATACCTATTCTTATCTCTAGTGTAATAAGCCAGTGTATTACCTAGTCGTAAGATTATATAGGATATCTTAGTTAGATAGGTCAGTGTATCACTAAGTCGTGAGAATATATAGACTGCTGAAACAAACTCTGAAAATATATCGGTTACAATAAGATCCGGGGTATTACCTAGTCGAGAGATTATCTTAATCGAATCGTTACTAGATCCTATCAGTTAAGATATAACAGAGCTGTCTGCACCGCTACCACGACGATCAAGATACGCGAATATCGGGATTCTACCCGAAAGATACTACGACCTAAAATAAAAATACCTCGCAGTCGAGTATAAGAAACGAGACCGAGATATTCAACGCGTAGCTATAAGGGTAAAGGCGAAGGATTTAGGCGGTAATAATCTAGAGGAGGGTGTTAGATAGGGGTCTGCGGGACCTAGTGCGATATCTATAACGAGTGATATATCGATAATAAAGGTTAATATTAACGAACCGTTTCTCTACAACGAAAAGCTATTATATATAAAGGACGTTGACTTACTATCTATATTTAAATAAGTATAGAAAAGCTCTTTCTAGCCTCAATAGATAGAAGCTATATAAAAATAACTAGATAATTTGATAGCTAAGGATATATAGAGTCTAATTCCTAAGCCACTAAAGGTAAAGATACTGCTAGGATAATAGAGGCTTACTGTTAAGTCTAACACTAGAGATAAAGTCTATAAATTTAAGGTACGATAGGTTATATACGGAAACTTTTAGGATAAGAATAACGGAGAAATATATACTCCGGTTATCGCTAAATATATAATCAAGATCGTCTTTACGCTAATTGCGGTGTACGGTCTAAGATAGAGACAAGTTAACTTTATAGCTGTATATCTCAATACCTTATATAAAGATATAGAGACAGTCTATATAAGATAACCGACTGGCTTCGAGTATATAGATATATAAGGTGATAAGAACCAGTGGGTATATATACTCAATTAAATACTCTTCGGGCTACGTAACTCGGCTTTTCTATAGAACGAAGAGATAGACTGTAGGCTACGCTAGATTGGCTTTTATCCGTTAGATAATAACCCTTATATTTATATCAAAGGAAAAGGTGTGAATTTGACGATTATAATAATATATATCGATGATTTTATTATTGCAGTACCTATAGACAAAGATATCGAGGATATTGTTAATAAACTACGACAGTTCTACGATATAAAAGACCTCGGTAAACCGAAGTAGTATTTAAACTGTACGCTATATAGGGACTACGATAAGCGTATAATCACTATATCACACAAGGTATATATATAAAAAGTCCTACGGACTATAAGTGCAGTTAGACTGCGACATCGCCCATGGACGGGCGGGTGGGCAGTGCCCACGGGCCTTATGTAAGCGGGCGATGGGCACTATCAATACGCCCATGGACGGGCCCTACCCTTAGGGCCCATTGTCCATGGACACCGTGGGCGCCCGTGGGCCTTTTTAGTAAGCAAAATTAGCGCAACACGTGATTTTTATTGACAGATTTCAAAATATTTCAACTAAATTTATATTTTTTATATATTTACAATCATAATTCCGGATTTTTAATAAGATATATATAAATATATATACTATAATTTACTATATATCTAATTTTTATATATATTTAAGACAACTTTATATAATGGTGGGCATCGTGGGCATGCCCGTGGGCCTTGGGCGTTATGGACGGGCACTCGAAAATCCAAATAGCCCAAGGCCCACCGTGGACGGGCGATGTCGCAGTCTAAGTGCAGTATCTGGCTAGAAAGATACTCTATTGCTAGCAGTATAGAGGGAGTTACCTATCAATATATCTAACGTACTGGACGATAATATATTCGATCAATATTAATCTGTTGTTAGTATATTGAACTGGCTCGCAGTTAAAACCAGACCGGATATTCGCTTTATAGTTACTCGTCTATAATATTGTTTAGCGAAACCTAGACTTCCGCAAAGCCCAACTTTGGGCCCAAGGTCCGGGCTCGAAACCCAACCCTCAACGAGCTGGGGGTCGAACTTTTTGGGCTCGACCCGGACCCCGGCTCGAAGGGGGGGGGCTCGTCGGGCCCCCCCCCCTGGGCTCGAAATTGCATAAACCATGGTCTTGGCGTTCATAAAATGGCTGAATCACCCAAATAAATGACAGTCTTTTACCTATATTTTGGTTCAAATATGGAATTCTACTCTATTATCATAATCAGGAAGGTGAAATATTTGGAAATTCTAGTGAATAGATGTTTATCTTTGATATATTAGTATAATAACTAAGCTTTATAACTATATAGATCAATTTGTTAGAAATATTCTACGCTTATAAGTTGATATATACTGAGATATATATTCTGTACTGGGAACCATGTATATCTTCATGGTCGAGTATCAATCTCAGATCAATACCAATTATAAGTGGCTTGACTTATTCAAATTTTATATAAAAAGAAAGTCTATACCTTTATGATTTCTAGGAATATTTTAGATTGCTAGTCCTAATAGTTCTGGATAAGCTACCTATATTTAACAATTTCTTATAGCTAATCAGTTGAAATATTTTGAGGAAAATCAACTTCTAACGAGCTAGGAATAGGCCGGGAATAGGCTTTTTACGGGTTATTAGTGGGCTTTACGAGCTTTTCTCGAGCTTTACGGGCTCTTTTTCGAGCTTTGTGGGCTTTTTTCGAGCTTTATAGGCTTTCTTCGAGCCGGTCCCACTTATTGTAGACAATTTAACTAATTATCTATTACTGTTATCACCCTCTATTTTGATCTATCGATTATTGATTTAACTAGCTAAGTAACACTTCTAGGTAGTCGAGCTTCTTGTAACGTATTAACACTCCTTTATAGATTCTCAAAAGCCTTTATAGTTATAGGTTTTATTAACTCTGCGATGTCCTAAAGTCAGCAGTCCGAGTTTACATCATCCCAATTCGGAGGTGACTATAATAACTTATCCTACCTTATACCCTCTAATTATCCAGCTACGCTATCGACAAGCTAATAGACTTTTGATATCTCCGTACCGGCTTTTCTTCGACTAGACGACCCTCCCTTACTCCCCTAGCTTGAACGATTTGAACGTATCGGACCCGATCGGAAAAGGTTATACTTCTTATATAATAGAATGAATCACTAAGAATAGGTAGAGTGGTAGTTACAAACTGATTATAGATTAAAGGGTAAGGTCGTATAGCACTTAAATCATCTTTTATATGTCTGGGAGCACTTTACCCAGGTAGCCTATAGCAGCGATAGCAGCCCAAAGGTTATATATAAGCATTGCTCTGCGATCCTTGAGTATCCTTATACAGCCAAAAAAGATACGAACGGGAAGGATACGCGTTATGGTACAACTACTATAACTAGGTATCTTCGGACTTCTACCTGTAAAAGGGCTATAAGTGGAGATCAGTAACGAGGGCGACTCGATAAGTTTATTCAGTCAACAGTATAGATATCCCTCTAGTACGGTTCGTACTACTAATATAATTAAAATAGGAAAATACTATCCGAGAGCTATTCTCCGAGGTAGCTTAGGAGGACAATCTATTACAGTTTATTACGATCAATCGACTTCCCTTTTATCTTATCGAATATCCAACGTTTCGACGGATAATATCATAAGCACACTCGGCCCTAAGCCTGCTATCTATCCCCTCTGCTGATATAGTTCGACGTCGACTATCTGCTCGTGTGAAAGAACGTTAACACTCTACACTTAAACTACTTCTAGTAGATACAAAAATTTTAATTGCATTGGATTGCTGGACTTCACTATTCGGACAAGTATTTATAGCTATCACTGGCTATTTTATTGATATTGATTGGTCCTACCGGGAGGTGCTTCTTAGGTTTAAACCCCTCGAAGGTGCTCACACTAGTGCTAATCTAAGTGGTGTCCTCTTAGAGATACTTACTGATCACAATATCCAGGATCGTATATTTGGGTTAACCACGGATAATACATCGAATAACAAGACCCTTGTTAACTCGCTACAACAGGTATTGTCGAGCGATATTTATATTATCCGAATACCCTGTCTTGTATATATTATCCAATTGAGTCTGAACCAACTTCTTGATCGCTTGAAAGCAGTCCCTCTAAATAATACTGCTGAGACCAAATAGTCTGATCGCTAATCAATACTCGCGAAAGTAAATACCCAAAGCAAAAATCGCAGTATATCTTATACTTTGAACAAGGTACGGTATCTTGCTGTTTATATCCGGGCTAGTCCCTAACGTCGCGAAGCTTTTGTCAGTCTTTAGCCCTCAGAGCAGGCACTTATACCACTTCAGGATATAAAGACTAGGTAGAACTCAACGTTTCTTATACTTCGCCGGGTAAAGAGGCTCTGTGATTTCCTTGGTATATTCTGTACAGACTACAACTGCGAGGAGATGGCACTTAACAACGACGAATGGCGTCAGATCGATTACCTTCTTTGTCTTACAAAGCCATTCTACGAATACACTCTTGCGCTTTCAAAGACTCGAGATATAACTGTATATCTAGTATTCCAGATCTACAATATATTGTTTGAGCACCTTAAGAAGTCTATTAAGCAGCTTCAACGAAAGCGTGTCCTATGGAAACAACAGATACTTTCCTCCCTTAAGGCTAGCCGATTGAAGCTTAATAAGTACTATTCGCAGACAGATTATGATCGTGATCACCTTTATACGATTAGTACTATACTGGCGCTAGATAATAGGTTCCAATTCTTTCTCTCCGATGATTGGACGAAGGAATAGCGTGATAAATATCGAGCCTTATTCTAAGATACTCTCTTACCTTACTAAGAGCGTTATACTACTAGTTAAGGCCTACCAGTCTCCTCTCCTGGATTAAGGCCAAGTACAGCTCTTTATAATCTGCTTCGCCCAAAGAAACCTAAAGCGAAGCCGGTTAGTGACGAGATAACCCAGTATCTTAATGGTGGTAAGTTATACTCTTCTTCTGATCTTATTTCGATGAATATTCGTTACTAATTCTATATAGATATTGTTGATTCTGAGCCGCTGCCCTTTTGGCGAGAGAACCACGGTCGCTTTCCTGCGATTGCTTCGCTTACGCGGGATATTCTTGCAATTCCAGCAACTGGTGTAGGTGTAGAACGATTATTTAACACTGCTCGCGATATTTGCCATTATCGCCGCGGTCGTATAAAGTCTGAGACTATTGAAGAGTTAATGCTATTTCTTTGTTCTTTAAGATTTGACCTTGAATTATATAAGGCAAAAGAGCTTGAACGATTCTTCTCTTTGAATGAGATCGAAGCATTAAGAGAGGAAAAGGACGATAAGCTTGATAATGTTGAATTTGAACAGATTAGTGATACAGAAGAACAGCCTAAGAGCTCGGGGGGTTTGATTGATGTTGATGATGATAATACTGGTGATGATGATACTGGCGATCCTCTATTGCCAATTTATAGTACTCAGCCACGTATGTCAGGGAGGAAAAGGAAGTATGTAGAGGATGATATGTATCAGTCTTATTAGTTTACACTGGATTTAATCATAACACATTGATATATACGTGAACGAATCAACGATTTATTGAATTTGAAGTGAACGATGTAATCGAAATACTCAAAATTACTGGGAATTCCTGCATTATTTGTGCAGTCACGAGAAATTGGCATGTTTGCACTGTTTAGTCGTAGGGGGGGGCTCGGGGGGCCCCCCCCTTCGAGCTGTGGGCCCAAGCCTAAAGCCCGAAACTCGCTGTGGGCTTTGACCTTAGGCTCGAAACCCGACCCTTTTGAGGGTCGGGTCGGGTCGGGTTTCGGGCTTTTCGAGCTTTGCGGAAGTCTAGCGAAACCTACGTTTAAGGACCTTTAAGCTATACAATACGTTATTAAATACCTAAGATATAAGCCTAATATTGGTATTACACTCGGTCGCACTTAAGAACTCCGGTTTTATATATATATAGATATATCGTATACGGACTAGGAGGACAGTAAATCGACTGAGGGAAGTATATAGTACCTCGCTGGATCACCTGTTATATAGTTTACGAGGAAGTAGACAATTACGGCCAATTCGATAACTGTCGCTAAGTGGTGTGCTCTAGATCAGTCTACTCGAGATACAATATAGTTAAGCAAAGTAGCTCACTCGTTTATACTGCTAGAATAACGTCCTATTGAAATCTATACGGATAATATTAATTCGTAACTCCTACTCACTAAGAAAGGAGGTAAATCCGCGAATAGATAGCTTGATCTACGATGGTTTTTCGTTAAGGATACCGTTGCACAAGGATATATAGATATACGACGTATAGACACGAAAAGAAATACAGCAGATGGATTCACAAAGGCACTGCCGAGGGAGCAATTTGAGATATTTGTTGTCTTGATTGGTATGATTTAAATGTATAATTGTGGTGTATGATTTACAGAGTTTTACTATATATGTTAGAATTGGAGACCTTGATAGAGAGTGCTGGCAGGATTCTATAAGGGGGATATTGGATACCTCAGGCATCATATATAAGATAGAACCCACAGATAGTTTCTCCTCTCTCTCTCCCCTCTCTTCTCTCCTCTTTGTCCGCTTCAATACATACAGTTTTCTCTAAAAGATCTACTTGTATCGTATCACCTACTGTTGCAGGTAGATGACCGTGAATTTGGTGAGGTTGTTGAGACCTTCCCTGATTTGCTTCATCCGCTCCATGACCGCGGAGCTCTATTATTTGTTTGTCAAAGCGACAGTACCTGCTAAGACATCGAGTATATAAAAGCTGTCAGTGAGTGCTGCGCTGAAAGTTTACCTAGCGCTATAAACGAGTGTACCTAGATGGAACGAAGGTAAGGGCATCACAGCGTGTAATTTGACTAAGTCTCTGATAGGGGGAATGGAAGCTGTAGCGAGTAACTTGCCACTCCAGTGGCTGGGATAACATGTGATTATTTATTAAGTGGAGGGGAAGGGGAGCAGACCAGTGGATTGAACTATGTTCACGAAAGATAGGGAATAAAAAGGGAAAGTCAGAGACCAATCCTGGAAAGAGCAGGGTCGTATCGGCCTGAAGAATTAACAAGACTTTGCAATAATATGGGGTCTGGGGATAGACCCTTATCTCATTGACAGGGTTGGTGTGGGATAGGGGCGCGGTGGCTGTTCTGGGTGGTATTTGGTCACGGTTGCTGCGCTTCAACTGGCGACCAGAAGCGACTGACCAGAAACGCGGGCTCCTGCCGAGCTTATAATTTGATGCGACCCTAGATCTATCCTGTTTAACTCACTGACAGCCTTCAGGGGATTGGTTAATTTTGATCAAAACCGGCGAACTTCCGGCAATTTCGGCGTTATCCCCTCACAAGGCGTGATAAGCTTTGACTTGGTACTTTTGACCGTCAGCTCATGGAGCTCTGTACATAAAGTTCAAGGACAACCTATCGTTTTTTATGGGGTCTCATCGCTCGTGTCGCAAAATAGTCATGCCCGAGCCAAAAGTAGAGTCGCCTTTCACGATCGGTGCCTTGGGGAGCAGAGGCAATGGGCTCTCATGGCTCTCCAACTCTGGAATTATCAAGCTCAACCTAATGCTTGTGCTTTTACAAATCTCGAGTTATGCAACAGGTTATGATGGGTCGATGATGAATGGGCTGCAGTCTCTCACCAGCTGGAAAAACTCTTTCAATAACCCCGGGGCTTCTGAGCTGGGACTGTACGTGAAAACCAAGCTTAATGTGCTTGGGGAGTCTGGCCGGCCATCACCGGTTGTGATGCAAGGGTATCAGAACTGACATAAACTTTCACAGTCTAAACGCAATCCAAAACGTTGGTCAGCTTATCACGATGCCGATTTGCGCTATCAGTTGCGATAAATTTGGCCGTCGCCCTGTTCTGTTCGCTGGCGCCTTTGTTCTTTTAGTCGGCGTTGCCCTCCAGGCTGCGGCACAAAATGTCGGAATGTTCATTGCAGCTCGAGGAATTATTGGAATGGGCCTCGTCCTGAACATCACTGCAGCGCCACTCCTCCTCTTGGAATTGGCTTTTCCTAGACAACAGGGACCACAGGTGGCCATCTACAACAGTCTGTGGAATTTGGGTGCTTTGGTTGCCGCGTGGGTTACCTACGGCTCGTTTCGCATCAATAGCACATGGGCATGGCGGCTTCCTTCGCTCCTTCAGGGCGTTTCCAGCGTGCTCCAGATTGGACTCTGCTTCCGGATTGAGGAGTCACCCCGATGGCTTATCAGTAAGGAGCGTGATGATGAGGCAAGAAAGCTCATTTGCAAGTATCATGCCAACGGGGATGATTCCGATCCTTTAGTCACGCTGGAGATGGAGGAGATTCGCACTGCCATCCAGCTCGAGCACGAGGCAAGACGCACCACCTCGTACATGACGTTTTTCCAAACCAAAGGTAATATCAGACGATTCTTCATTATTCTTTGCGTGGGATTCTTTTCACAGTGGAGCGGCAATGGTCTCATCTCGTACTACCTTACACTGATCCTCAACTCAATTGGCTACACATCGGAGAGCACCCAGACCCTCATCAACGCACTTCTTACACTGTGGTCAATGATTTGGAGTTTGGTATTTGCCGCTGTAATGAATCGATTTGGCCGGCGCACTCTCTTCCTGATCTCCACCGCAGGTATCCTGGCCGTCTATATTGTTTGGACAGCTCTCGAGGCTACGTACGAGAAGCGGACTGCGTTGGACGGAAACGGGGGCGACGGCTACGCGAAGGGCGTTTTGGCCATGATATTCCTATACAATTTCTTTTACTCCGTCGGCTGGACGCCTCTGCAAGTTACCTATTGCATCGAAATATTGCCTTTCGACTTGCGCGCCCGAGGTCTCGTTTTATATAACCTCTTCGTCGCACTTGCTGGTATTTTTAACCAATACGTGAATCCGATCGGCGTCACCAACAGCACGTGGAAGTTTTATATTACTTACGATGTCTGGCTGGCCTTTGAACTTGTGGTGGTCTACTTCCTCTTTGTGGAGACCGGCGATCTCAGTCTGGAAGAAACTGCGGTAATCTTGGACGGAGAAGAGTACGGCAACAAATTGATTGGAGTCGCTCTATCTACAGCCGAGATGAAGATTGACGAGAGTGCAAAGGTGCAGGCAACGGTCACCAGTGAGACAGTACCGGAGAAATTATAGGCACGGAGAAATATGGGAACTTGCAGGATCGCGGGGTAATTTTCTCTCCTATGGATGATTTGCGTTTGATCAGTTCAAATATAATAATATTAACTATTTTCATAATATACTTAGGAAATGTGTATCTCAACCTACAACTTGATATGAATATACGGATCAGGTCTGGACAAGAAGGTCTATTGTCAACCCGTTGTCGGATAGAGTATAGTAGTGATTAACTTGGGCTTTGATCCTACTTGTATCCATACCTCGGACATTCCACCGGTCGTATCACCGGCCAAATATGCTCATCCGCCGGAGTATTGCCGGTTGGCCAAAGCATCCAGCTTCAAAACATTACCCGAGGATATTTGGACCTCCGCATTCAGAGCGGGAGTTCTGAATACATATAAACGAGAGTTTAGTCCGAGGCATTGGGAATGCATTACCACGCGGACTTCCTACTGAGCTAACATGAGACTGAAGGATATCACCATCTGCGCAATTGCCAGTGCGATTCTGACAACTGGTACCTCGGCTGCCCAGATCACAAAAGGCCTGACCAAATGTAGACACATGTGGAATTCCTCACCGTATATTATTTTTTGCTAATAAGGTTGCACCTCAGATGCACAAGATCTCTTTGACTGGTCCATGTTTGTGAACGACAAGCGCTGGGATGACTCGTACAAATACATCTCATATTCTGACCATGGTCCCTGGTCGACCCGCTTCACAGCATGGTATGCTGCAGGTCTCCTATATAGGAATAAGGGACGGGATTTGTTCAATGCCAAAGCTGCCATTGAAAATATGTGAGGCACCTCAACTCTCGGCTCTTGTGTAACCATGAATTGCTTTAGGCTGACTGACCATGGCATCAACAGTCTCACATGCCAGATGACCGAGAGCTACGAGTCGGCTTGGTATGGCACCTTCAAGCTCTCACCAGACGAGCCATATCCGACACCGGACTCAGAGCTGTACCCGCCAGAGATATACGTCCGTTTTCTTCATATAATTGTGGAATCCTGGCTGACATAAAGTCTTCCAGACAACCTATGACCCGAATTGGAGAGAGTTCATTGGGACACAGCTTGTACAAATTGTCGAAGAGTTTTCCAATCTGCTTGGAAAAAGCCTTGTCTCGCGTATCGAGGACAGTTTGGAAATCGCGGCTGTTGGGTCGATGCGGCGCAATGGTTCGTACCCGGAAGGTGACAACCTGACGCCAGCCTATACCAACCCGGCTGTTATGCGTGCATGGTACGTTTCTTGGATCGGCGAGCGCCGCAATAACAAGGTATGCTCATGACTAAACTGGCTCCTCATTGTTGATGACTTGCGTTCAACCAATTGATCTAGACTTTTATCGACTACGCCAACAGCCAGGGTGACGCGATTTTGGAGTTGTTTAAGTCTACCGGATCTAACGTGGTATCTGAATATAATGCCCCAACTTACTACGGAATGGATACCTGGGCACTTGCAGGTGCCATCAAATACGGCCATCCGAGAACCGCGATGACCAAGAACGCCAAGGTCATCCTGAAACACTTGTGGGAAGATATTGCAGCTCACTACAACCCCTATCTTGCAAACATGGTGGGCCCGGTAGGAACGCCCTCCTAGCTTCAACGCACCTTCATCTGATAAATTTGCACGAAATAGTACGATAGAGCCTACACACGTGATCTAGTTAGCAACTCAGCTGTCATTGACTATTTCTGGTGGGGCCTCTATGGCTACGGGATGGGGCCACAGCCTAACAAGCTCGAGGGAGACTTATTGTTTGATGTCTCTCAGGGCGCAGCATTAGCACTTATCATGGACGTTGTTGCAGAGCACATTTCAAAAGAGGATGCGGCATGGCTTCAGAATAAAAAGCACTGGGATGGAGAGCGCATGATCACTAAAAATGTACCCGACGCCCTTGGTGCTGATGCTGAGGTCCGCGTCGTCACATCGTGGATGAGCGCTTCATTAATGATCGGTGCACAGCGGGTCAACGAGACCGTCAACCGCGGCCAGCAATACGTTCCGGCTATAGTTCAATGGGCAGGCGACAAGAGCCATACACCGCACCCGTACATGACTTTCTTCAGTCTCTACCCAACGGCATCGAGTATTGATGCTATCGCGGGGCCAAACAGCTTAGAGATATCGTACCCAAACACTACCCAAGATGGCACTGATATCTTCACATTTGTTCTTGCGCAAGTGCCACCAAGCTGGACACTCATTAAGAAACAGGTTGTTAGTGGCCTTGAGCATCTGCCTTGTCTCGATGTCACGGTCACTGCCGAGGGACTGGAAAAGCAGCCTGTCGTCTATGGCTCATCTGTCATAGATAATCGTGTCTACAACATATCTTATGTTGTGCCTTCTGGTTTTACTGGTGTGCCCAGGGTTTCGTTTGAATTCGACTATACTTGTTGATGGGGATGTGTGTGGACAAATGTTATTTTGTTAGTTTTAATCTACTCGACCTTGAGTTGCGTGATTTTCAAAAGAAATTCGCATAGTTCGTCTAAAAAAGATGTATGAAAATACGTCGTAGAAGAATCTTTCATACCTCGGCCTTCCCGCCGAGCCATACTCCGCATAGCACTAGGGACCCTTTAATTAACCGGTTTCCGCATTTATCCCTGATCCCTGTCAGATCCCCCACCAACAGAACAGAAGGATCATTTCTTGGCATATGATGCCGGCAAAATGGACTTGATATTTACCCGGTATTGCTGCCCAGGTGGAAACTACGGCAGTGGCTTGCACAATCTCAGCCCCGCCATTGTTCGACCATATCTAATCCCCCATCTACACAAATCCCTGTCTCATAAACAGTCATTTTTGCACCTCTTTCTCTATAGACTTTTTAATGATGGCGTTCCCCAAAGCTATACCTGATTGGAACAATCTTAAAGTGATTCACAAGAATACTCTTCCACCGCGGGCGCACTTCTACAGCTACGCTTCAGAGGAACAGGCCCTCACCTTCAACCGCGACAAGAGCGAATATGTTTCGCTAAATGGCACGTGGAAATTTCGGCACGATGCCTCTCCTCTCGAGGCACCTGACTGGTCAACCACGAATCCCTTAAGCTGGGATGACATTAAAGTCCCAGGAATGTGGCAGCTCCAAGGGTATTCCCATCCGACCTACACCAACGTCAACTATCCATTCCATGTGAATCCTCCTCAAGTGCCACTCCTCAATGAGACTGGATCCTACTGGAGGCAGTTTGTAACTCCTTCTACATGGAAAGGCCAGCAGATTCGCATCCGCTTTGAAGGCGTTGACAGTGCTTTTCATCTCTGGGTGAACGGAGAAGAAGTTGGGTACTCTCAGGGTGCACGCAACCCTAGCGAGTTTGACATCACATCCCTTCTCAAACCATCCGGGGCTGTGAACACTATCGCAGTGCGCGTGTATGAGTTCTGTGATGGCTCGTATATCGAGCGGCAAGATCAGTGGCTTCTCAGCGGCATATTCCGAGATGTTGGCTTGCTAGCACTTCCGCTGGACTCAGTGGTTGACTTCGACGCTGTTGCAACGCTTAGCGAAGACTTTTCTATAGGCCAGCTACTCACTAAGGTCAAAATACAGGGACAAGATGCCGATGTGCAGGCCAAGTTATACCGACCAGATGGCACACTACTCAAGAAAGTGACATTCGTTTCTAAAGAATCCGGTCGTATCAATGTGTCTGGTGATGATTTGAAGCTGTGGTCTGCTGAAGATCCCGTTCTCTATACCCTGACTCTCTCCTTCAATGGCCGTACAATTCCGCAGCGCGTTGGATTCCGACGCATTGAGCAAAAAGGAGCAAACTTCTTGGTCAACGGCAAACCCATAATTATATATGGCATGAACCGCCACGAGCATCACCATCTTCACGGTCGCGCAGTGCCGTATGAAAATATGCGAGCAGACCTCATTTTGATGAAGCAGCACAACATTAACGCTTTGAGATGCTGTCATCAACCCAATGACCCCAGACTATACGAAGTTTGCGATGAACTTGGTCTTTACGTGATGGCAGAGGCGGATCTTGAAGCTCACGGCTTTGACCCTGTGGAGCGATCCAAAATTCCCAATCAGCATCTTATGACCGATCGCGAACTCCAAGAAACTTCATACAAAATGGCTACGAAGTGGACGTCTGACAATCTAGAATGGAAGGATGCTTATCTTGATCGTGCTGTCGAGCTTGTGCAACGCTTCAAGAACTTCCCTTGTATTATCATGTGGTCGCTTGGAAACGAGGCATTCTACGGCCAGAACCACGCTAGCATGTACAAGTGGATTAAAGAGGCTGACCCAACACGACTTGTCCACTATGAGGGTGACCGCGAGGCTATCAGCGCTGATTTGTACTCCACCATGTACTTCAGTATCGACGATCTCAAAAAGCACATCAGCGAGAAACCTGACAGACCTCTGATTCAGTGCGAGTATGGACATGCCAGTAAGTTAAAAATTTCTGCTTGATGTAACTTGTACCACTCAGTCTAACCTCTGCTTTGTACATAGTGGGCAATGGTCCAGGTGGGTTGAAAGAATACATCGAGGCTTATCGCACCGAAAAGCTGCTTCAAGGCGGTTTCATCTGGGAATGGTGTAATCATGGCCTTCTCAAGAGGGATGGGGATACTTCGTACTACGCGTACGGTGGTGACTTTGGCGACGAGCCTAATGATGCAGACTTCATTCTCGATGGAATGGTATTTTCGGACCACACACCTACCCCAGGGTTCACGGAATACAAAAAGGCAATTGAGCCAGTCACTGTCACACTCGAGGGTGGCTCCCTGGAAGTGGTGAACCACTACGATTTTAACACCCTCGATCACCTGTTCATCTCATGGCACATTGTCAAGGAGACTGGAAACACCGAACCAGTACCTTGGCAAATTCCCCAAATTAAGGCGGGAGAATCCAAGGTGCTCGATCTGCCTAAGGGTGTGACCTTGGGGTCGGATGCGAGCTGGCTCACCATTAACTTCGTACTCAAAAACGCCACATCCTGGGCACCTCAGGGACATGAGATTGCTTGGGCGCAGATTCCCTTGTTCGAGGACCAGAAACTAGAAATCCCTCCAACCATTACTTCCACACAATCGCCACTATCTGTTCAGGAGGGACCTGGCAGGCTATATATCAACTCAAATAGCTTCACCTCTCACTTCACCTACGACCTCATCAGAGGCGATCTATCGTGGTCAACGGAGGCAGGCAAGATCTTCAACAGCGGACCACAGCTCGGAATTTACCGAGCCTTGACGCAAAATGACGTCGGATTTGTTGGGCCTCATATTGAATGGGAGCGCTTCCGTGTGAAAAGCAGTCGTATGATGGTCCAATCCGCCAACTGGGGCATAAACAAGAAAGATGGAAGCGTAATCATCACCACAAAAGTCCGGGTTGGACCGACCGTGCTAGAATGGGCATTCGAGGCAATCCTCACCTACACTATTACGGAGACATCCGTGACTCTGCATGTCAAGGGTGACTTCACAGGCACGCACCCAAAATACATCCCAAGAATCGGCCTCACACTCCGTCTTCCACGGCAATATGATGCTGCCACATGGTTTGGCAGAGGCCCCGGAGAATCCTATCGTGACACCAAGGCTGCTGCGCGGTTCGGGACGTACACAGCATCTCTTTCGAGTGGCCTTGAGACGCCGTATGAATGGCCTCAGGAGAATGGTAATCGTATTGATACACGCTGGGTGAGTGTTCACTCTGCGCCGGCGGATGAGTCCTATGCCGCCTCGGCTGGGGCAGTTGCGCCTATTCCGGAGATTAAGGCATCTATGGATACGCCGTTCAGTTTCTCTCTTCGCAAGTATGCGACGATGGAGCTTGACCGCGCGAAGCACCCGCACGAGCTCTCGGAGTTGGAAAATGAGACTGAGCTCAATGTTGACCTTGCACATCATGGAATTGGAACGGCAAGCTGTGGACCTGGTGCTTTTGAGGGTCATAGACTTGAGGCTGGGCCGTTTGAGTTCACCACCACCTTTAGTCTTGTTGGTTCCAAAAAGGACTGAGAAGGTATCTATTTGCCCGCCACAGGTGTCTTGAGGGGATTCATCGATCGATGGTTTATATCGTTGGTTTGGATAAATCATTTTCTCAATTGGGCCATCTGAATATTATATCTTTATCGTACCGACTCATTGATACTGGATAATACAGTTCTAAATACTCTGGATCAGCCCCTAAGTGGCGTTCCTAATCAGATTCACTCAACTCCAACACTTTCTATGCCTACAGTAGGAACTTTATGAGGTTGGAAAATGGGCTCAGTACACTTCGCTGCTTGTCAAAATGATCGCAATGAAGCATGAAACGTTAGGCCCTACCATTGATGATGCCTACGGGTAGTTTATAGGAAACATAATAGGGACGTTTTAATACTTGTAACTACATAGGTCTTTGTTGAGGAAGCTACTTGCCTTAGATTGTTTGTTTGCTGGGATGGACGGGAATTTTCACTCTCAGGTGCAGTGAGATTGCGAGTGTCAATTCTCAACGTTCTTTATCCTTATCATGATCGTGTTGCCGACCGCTGTCGCTTCGAGCTATGGGAAATTATAAAATACCTGGCCCCGGCCCAAAATTCTTCTTCTTTTTCTTTCCTTCTCCATCTTAGTGCACGGGCTTTACACGGATCAGTGAGGAGACATCCGAGATCGTGTTTTTGCTGGTTGAAAACTACCAACGTGACCTCTTCAAGTGGGCCTCTGGGAACACTTGGGAATTTTTGAAACAATATCATCTTAAGTCTTTTCACTACTTGTCACCCATGCTGGTTGCTCTTAGAGAAGAGATAGATTAGCTTGTATTTAAAACATTAAGTTTTTCCTTTTTCCAAGTCATGGATGGAACCTCCAGGCTCCAGTGGAAGTCTCCCCCTAGTCGCATCTCTGACTTTCCCCTCTTCTCCCACACCCAGATCAGAAAACTCATCTGGTCTATTTCAATGAAATTTTTCAAGCGACGTGACTTTCGTGGCGGTGCTGCCTGTTCCCAACTCTCTTTGAATCGCTAGATATAGCGGTCCCTAGGTGCGCCGCCACACGCATCTATGTGAGAACCCACGCAAGGCAAGTCTCGCAATAACTGCCTCCTGTATTTCAAGAAAAAACTCTGACATCTCTGTCTAGGTGCATAATGCCATCTACACTAACGCTTCTAAGGTCATTTTACGAAGCTTTCTGCCCAGTTGGCGATCCAGATATCCTGAATTATCCGGACCTTGATATCGCTAAAAAAAGAATCTCTCTCGAAATTGCGCTGGGATCCCAATACATAGGAATTGCAACTAGGTGATGCCGAAGCAGCAGCGATAACACACAATACTCCCAAGATGACACCTTGGCCAACTAGCCAATGCCGATTCGGGGTACCTGACGCGAGTCACCCTCTCCTATCCCCATGCAGGCTGGTCCGGAATAACAGAACTGAATACAGAATCTGAAGTGTGATGCTGGTCGATATGCACCTAATGTTCATGGTTCTTTTCGAACTCACGCCAGAAATCTATTTAAAGCGGGAAGTCCAATGGCTACCGTTATGACAACACAAGAAAATCAGTTCCACACGGCCTTGTGCTCTCTCGTAAGCATTGGGGAGCTTAAGCAGCCATCCGATGCTTAAAAGCTGGCATATCACTCTTTGTTCGGAACATCGACCGCTTCATGCATAAAGTGGGACGACTTAATAACCGGGCTGCTTGTGATAGAAGACTTTGCGAAGACTTCATTATCCTTGACACCCCTCTAATGACCCACAAAACCTTGCAAGATGAATCGAGTTTGTGGTGTGGTCGTAAATCTCAGATCTCGTGCCATCTATAACTATAGATTATTGAAGTCAAAAAATAACGGTGCCCAAGGCAATATTCCCCAGTTCTATCTGTTTGCTCCATATCTCACTTTCCCTCCTCCAACCACAAGCTCCCATGAAATTCCTGGTCAATGTATCTGGTCCATACTTCTCCAGACCAATCTAAAAGCTTCATTGATCATCATGCCTTCAATAAAACAGGACCTGGGACTTTTCTTATGCGAATTTCACAAAACTGAGTGCCGGGCCATTCCTGCTGTACAACATGACCATAGGCTAAAAGGAACACCGCGGCACGAAGATGTCAAGAAGAAGGTATGTCAATCAAGAGTGTGATTAGCATTGCCGGAATAAACCACTGACACTATGATCTTTCGAAGTATTCTGAGAGACAATGATAAATGTGTTGTGTAAGCTCGTTCAATCGACATAAAATTGTACGAGCATACCCAAACCATCACAGAATCTTCCTCATATACTTATCTTGTTTACCTCATCTAGTTAGTCGCCTTGCCTTCCTCATTGTTTATACTTCATTTATTAGCATTCTGATTTTTTCTTTTGATTCTTTTGCCAATATACACCCTACACTGCATCATCGATCGATCTATTGCGTATATGTGTACATATTGATTCATATCTATTTAGTTAAATCCATCAAATCTATCACACGCCTTTCATTAAATCTGTAATATAAATTGACTCCGTGCTGTCCACTCTTCGAGACTCACTACGTCTTGCTGATTGTATGCGAGTTCTTCAACATAACATGCATCAAGCTACATGAACTTACTGGTCGATGGGGAATTTTGATGGAACAGTGTGTATTCATCTACATAAACCTTATGTATGGCTAAAAGAATAGTGACGATGTTGGTGTACGTTGCTCATCTCCAAGGATGTCACGTAAAGGGGCTCAGCCAGATGCAGAGAAATCCCCATATGCCGTGTAAAAATTTACTCTTCATCCTGATGTTATTCCTCCTCCCCACTGATGAATAGAGACTCGAGCCAAGTAATAACAGCGTCCATATTGTCCTGGGTCATGCGGCCAGATGCGGTGGGCGTTACAGTAGTGCCATGGCGGCGAAGGTGTGCGCGCAGGTTTGGGGTGCTAGAGAAGGGCACCTATGATAAATCAATTAGCAATCACTTGGTATGTTCCTCGGTCATAATACCCTCACCGTGCGGCGCTCACAGTTGGCTACACGACAGAACAGCTCACCGTGATAGACAATGAGCTGACCATCTGGAGTCTATTTCAATGTTGATTTCATTAGTTAGCGATTGTCTGATTGAGTGAAGGATTCAAAGGCTGGGTCAATCCTCTAGATTGGCATGCAATTACTTGCTCAAATGAGGGAAGATTTAGCTCCCCAGCTGCAGCCTCCCTTAGGTAGCGCTGGTAAGGGGCACATGAACGCAGAAACCGGGGAACAACAGGAGGTGAGATCTTGTTGATGGGATTGTTTGTCACTTGATTGAAGTATTGTTTAGTTAAGATGAGATAATTGCCTAGAAGGATAAACGTTGCTGGGATGACTTCCACGTGGAGAAGGGACAATAAAAAAAACAGGCATTGTGGGAAGGAGCATTTGAAGTGCCCAGGTGGTTTCCCATTATACCCAGTTAACAACTGGAATCCTCGCTTGGAATCTCTTTAGGCCATTTTTCATACTTGGGAGAAGTCGATCCTGACTTCCTGATTTAGACTTTATATTGTAAGTGTTGACAAGTCTTGGAATTGGGAATTTGGGTGAATTAACTGGTCTCTTACCAGGAAGTTCGACTATCTGACTTCAAATCTACTATTCACTGACTTCCGACTCCGAATGCACTCACTTAGGATTCAAGTCAGTCGATATAGTACCTACATATTCAGGCAGACTTCCTGAGGTCTTAATGAACTTATCCGGCTATAAGCGCATGCGGTACATGGTTTCTTCAAGCTAGATGATAATATCCCTACTAGAGAACTATTAAGTGTTGACTTATTCATTAGCAATTGGTCGCCTGTTGTGAGAAATATCTTGAAGGTTCTTTCAAGTATCTCAATTGATAAGACCGGACCTGGTCACAGGGTGGGAAATTAAACCCCCCGGCGGTAAGCTGCGCAGAAACGTCGCCTTACGGTGCCTGGAGAATGGGCCATGTTGACGATTTGATTCAGTGTTGGTTGATTGTACCTAATTAGGTCAAGCTGTGTTGGATGACTCTGGTGTGGAAGAGAGGAACCGAAAAAAAGCGTATGGGAGAAGAGAACTCAAAGTGTCCAGGTGGTTTTTCATGTTGGGCAGGTCTTGTCTGTATGTTCCTCCTCCAAGCTTGGCCTCATCTACAGTTCAGCGTTGTGGGCCTGATCTTCTGTCCCCCTCCTCATGCTCTTCCTTAACTGGCTCATTGTTGGTAAATAGTATCCTGTACCAAGCAATGGCAGAATCGTTGTTTGTCTCTTTCTCTCTACCGGTGAAGAGTCCTGATACTAATTAATTGTAGCCTCGGTAGGTTGGGTATCCGACTGAATGGCTCTGTCCAGGTGACTGCCACTCTATGCCAATGGAGGTGGTTCTGGAGGTTCCTAGAGGTGAAAATGAAAATCTTCAAGAAATTAATTAGCAATAGTTTGACATAGTAATAAATTGTCAGGTAGCACTGTCAGGGAGCTCACTCGACGTTGCTCGCAGTTAGGAATCCGACAGAACGCCTAACCGTATTTCACCAAACTCTCTCCATTCGAGGTCTGTTCCAATATCAACTTCACCGATTAACAGAATTTTTATTAGCTGAAGAGCCTTTCCAAATTTCCAACGCCGGTTCACGTGTGCGAGTGGACAGGACATTTACTCACCTGCTCGTAATGTGGGAGACGCAACTCCCAAGTGGCTCCATCTTGGAGGTAACGGCTATGGGCTGCGTGAAAATGCAGCAATGCAGGAACAATAGCTTGTGGTATCTTGGTGGAGGGTGTTGTTTTGAATTGGTTTGAGTAGTTAATCTACATTACTGTAGGATATGAATGGCTCTTTTCGGAGTTGTTCGAGTTTGACGAGAAAAAGCCAGAATATGATTTATATAAGGAAGGACCCCTGGGGAGAAGGAGCAACGGAGGTGGTTTCCTATAATAGAAGAATTTTAGCCAGTCCTTTCTATACACTATTTCTTCTCTCACCTCACTGTTACTTCAGCAACATGTCTACCCATGGGCAATATTTGTAGGCAACTTTTGGTACTTGCAAAGGTTCAAGTATAGATATATCGACACTCATATCCAGATTATATATGCCAAATGCGTGCCATTCTTAGAATACATCGTCAAGTGGGTTGAAGTAGCCAGGCAGACCACGTGGTTGCATTATCAAACAAAGAGACATCCATCAGCAACTTACCTGTCTAAAGTGTAGATTAGTGCTGACTAGGTATTAGTAAGAAATGACCTGGCATTTGGGCAAAATCGTTTCTATCCTGTATTCAAGATATCTAAATTCAGAAATAGGGCCCTCCGCTAACCACGGACTCAGAATCTCATATTGCCTATGTACTACCTCGAGTTAATTTTTCGCAATGATATCCTAACCTTGTACCATTATATGTAACCAAGCAACATTCAAAATCCACATCTTGTCATGACCTCTCCCAATGAGGTTCGCAGGACTCAATTTATATAGATACTATCTATAACCCGCGGAGGTAGGGCCTAGAAGAGTTATATAACCTCGCTTATCCGCGTATAACTATACTAGTAGAGCTCGGAGTATATATAAGCAACTCAGAGTTCAGTTTGAATACAAGCGGTACTAGTGTTATACATTCGCAGTAGTATCGTAATACTCTTCTCACTCTGATTGATATATACAAGATATCTAGTCCACAGACTAACAACCGACGATCCAGTGGCTGTCCCGTTGCCACCCTTCGAGTTACTAGAATTAGTACGATGCATCTCACCAGCATTATTGTTTTGTATGGTGTTGATTGGGAAGGGGAAGTTAGTTACAGCGTCTGAACCATAATTGAAAATATCTTTCTCTTTATTGATTAATACATCTGTAATCACATTCAGAGTTACAGGATTTACCAATCGTAGAAGGAGATCCCAGTGGCCTACCTTCCTTCCTCTTGTATGGCATGAGTTATTATTACTAGTAAAAAGCCCATCTCAATCCCTGTCATTTACGAAGAAGGGCTTTTATGCCAGAACACAGGCTTGGATAAATTTTGATGTTGAGTTGATTCGTAAAATTCAATAAAATGTCCTAATATATACATTTAGTCCGCAACCATACCATTCCCTAGTTGGATGCGGCCATAGCCTGCCGATTCGCCATGCTTCCCGTAGCCCTGAACAGAGCCGGATTTCTGAGGAAGTTCTCATGCGCCCGGAACTCTCCCTTGGGCTTCTTGGGCTCCCTGGCATTGGGATCCTTGCCATAACCACCACCACCAGGGGTGTTGACAATGATACGATCACCAGCGCGCATATCGGCGGACGACTTGCCACTCATACCAACATGTCGCACCTCCTTAGTGATTGGGTCATGTCTAACCCAAATATTGACACCGCGCATACCCGGTGATCCACCAGCAAGGCCGTATGGTGGGTTCACACGTCGTTCAGAGAGAATAGACACCTGTACAGGGATGCGGAACTCAATATCGCGAACACAGCCATCACCACCGCGGTGCAGACCGGCACCACCACTGCCCTTGCGAATGGAGAACTCGCGGAGAATGACGGGATACTGTCGCTCGAAGATCTCGGGATCGCCAATGCGGGTGTTTGTCACACCGGTGTGAACCCCGCTCTCGCCTTCCCAGTCGGCACCGGCACCGGCACCGCCGGCAATGGTCTCATAATAGCCGAAACCCTTCTTAACCTCGCCAGTCACGGAATCCTTGCCACCATAGCCGAAGGTCAAGTTGTTGCACGTTCCTTGTGAGGCAGCGGCTGTGTGGAACGCCTTGAAGATCAGATCGATGACGCGGTTTGTGGTCTCGCCGGTTGATCCAACCGTTGCAGCTGTGAAGGAGGGGGTCAGGAGTGTGCCCTTGGGGCAGACGATGTTGATGGGCTGGAGACAGCCCTGGTTGAGGGGAATGTCGGAAGAGATCATGCAGCGGAGGCAGTACTGTGATAATGTTAGCAAAATTCACGCACAACAAGGAAGAAAAAGGAATGAAAAAGAAAGGAAGGAGCAGAGGGGAACTCACGAGAATAGCGGAATACATGCAGGCAGGTGGGCAGTTAAGGTTGCCGTGATGCTCAGGCCCGGTGCCTGTGAAATCGAAGACAGCCTCTCCGGTCTGGGAATCGATGGAGATACGCAGTACCAGTGGAGTACCATCATCGGTATAGTCGACGGCCTCAAGATCAGCACCCTCGAAGCGGTCGGAGAAGACTTTGAGAAGCTCACGCACGGACTGGGCGGCGTTCTCCTGAATGGCATTCATGTAGAACTCGACCACAGGCCAGGTGTACTCATTAACAAGTGCGCGAATGAGTTGAATACCTCTCTGGTTAGATGCGACAGCGGCCTTCAGATCGGCAATGTTGTCCTTGAGGGTACGTGTGCCACTGCAGCCAGGGTACTTTGCGGGCTCGTTGTACAAGATGTCGATCAGGCCCTCTTCATCGAAGACACCCTCCTTGATCATCTTGAACGACTCGAATGAGGCGCCCTCCTGCCACAGCTCGGTGGAGTTAGGGGGCATGGATCCGGGAATGATACCGCCGATATCAGCGTGGTGGCCACGGTTACCGACATAGAAGAGGATCTTTGTGGGGTTCTCGTCGTTGTCGAACACGGGCGTAATACAGGTGATGTCCGGAAGGTGAGTACCACCGGCGATGGGGTGGTTGCTGAGAATCACATCACCAGGCTTGAGCTCTCCCTTCTTGTAACGGTTGGCCTGGTATGCGATCGCGGAAGCCATGGAGCCCAGGTGACCGGGAATGTGAGGCGCGTTGGCGACAAGACCTCCGCTGGCGCTGAAGACGGCGCAGGAGTAGTCAAGTCGCTCCTTGATGTTGACTGAGATAGAGGTCTTCTGCATGGCGTTACCCATCTGTTCGGCCACACTCATCAGGCGGTGACTGAACACACTGAGGAGAATGGGGTCGATGGTGTCGGTGCTGGCAGCCTTGCGTTCGCTGTCAGTGATCTCGAGGATGACGTGCTCGGGGAGCTTGATAGCCTTGCTGTTGGTGTCGACGACGATTGTCTGGGTCTTGTCAATGATCATAGCGGGTCCCTTAACGCGAGCACCGGCAGGCAGGTTGGTAAGGTTGTGGACGGGAATATCCATCCATCCCTCGTTCTCGAAGTAGACCTTTGCAATGGACTGCCGAGTGAACTCGGAAGGAACTGATGACTCGAGCTTGGCCAGTTCAGCGAAGGGGTTTGAGGTGTAAACGTCCTTCGCTTTTCCAACACTACGAACACGGACATCCTCGATCATGATGTCACGAGGCTGAGAGAAGCCAAATTCCTGCTCGTGACGACGGGTGAAAGCGTTTCCAAATTCGGCAAGATCCTCTGGCTGTCGGATCATCAATGTGGTGTCACTTCCTCGGTAGCGCATGTTCAGGTACATCTCGTGCTCAATGGAGTCCAGACCGAAACCTTGGGCAGCCAGGCCCTCCTCACCTTGTGCGCGAAGCTTCTTGAAGCGAGACTCCACGCGTGGCGCAATATCAGGGTGGAAAATCAGGGACTCGGGCTCCTGGGTCTCGACGGTCACGTCGGCAAGAGCCATACCATATGCGGAAAGAATACTGGAGTATCGCGGGATGATGGCGCGACGAATTCCCAGATCGCGAGCGACGAAAACTGCGTGCTGGCCACCGGCACCACCGAAGCAAGCCAGATTGTGGTTGGCGGTCTCGTAACCACGTCCCTCGCTGAGAGTTCGGATGGGACGGGTCATAGTGGCATTGGCAATGGACAAGAACCCACAAGCGACCTCCTCGGGCGTTAGGAGGGAGTCACCATCCTTCTCCGAATTGATGGTGGTTGTCACCTCCAGGAACATCTTAGTAACAATGTCTGTGTTGAGAGGCTTGGGGAATGATTCTTTAATGATGCGACCGAGGAACAGGTTGGCATCTGTCACGGTCAAAGGTCCACCCTTTCCATAACAGGCTGGACCAGGGTTAGCGCCAGCGCTCTCCGGGCCGACCTTGAAGAGACCATTCTCCCAGGACAAGATGGAACCACCACCTGCAGCAACAGTATTGATATCGAGCTGGGGTGTTTGGATAGAGATTTCTGCAAGCGTGCTCTCGAACACGTGCTCGAGCTCGCCTGAGTATCGGGCCACATCGGTACTGGTACCACCCACTAATTTCCATCGTTAGTTCCGTAAATTATGCCTAGCGTATAAGAGGAAAGAAATCTTACTGTCGAATCCGAGTAAGGGTGTTGCGTCACTGGGGTCGTAACAAGTTCTGGATACACCGACGACACCGCCAGCAGGCCCACTCAGGACACCACGGAGGCCAGCGAAGTTCTTGAAGTTAGTCAGACCACCATCAGATTGGTTGAGGAATAACTTCTTGCCGTTCTCGTCTTCGAGTAGGCCCTTGAAGCCCTTTCTAAAGCTCTCGAGATAGCGTGTTGTGACGGGGGTAAGGTACGCATCAGCGACGGCTGACTGACTGCGAGGGATGAGTTTTGCCATGGAGGAAAGTTTCGAGGAGATGGCAACGTTGAAACCCATTCCCTTAGCAAGATCTGCAACGGCAAGTTCATGATCAGGGAACATATATGAGTGCATAAGAGCAACCGCAACATCGCGGAATCCCTCGTCCCAGAGGCGCTTCAGATCGATGCGGACTGCATCAAGGTTTGGGCTCTTGAGAATGCGCACTGCCTCTCCTGTGATACCTTCCCGCAGGTCGACATCGGCATTGATATCGATAGTCGTTGGTTCTGGGTTCTCGGCCCAGCCCTCAATAGTCACACGCTCATCGACCTCAACAACAGTTTCATATAACTTGTCGAGACGTTTTACTGTGAGATCGAACAGGTCTGGACGGGCCTGGTTTCCAATTTTGAGAGCTTCCTTGAAGCCTTTCGTAGTGATGAAGGCCACACGCTCGCCTTTCCGCTCCAGAAGTGCGTTAGTGGCAACTGTGGTACCCATGCGAATTGATTCGACGCATTCAAGATCTAGTGGGGTCCCGCGGGGGATGGTGGTTCCTGTTGCGATTTCCAGGATCTGTCGGATACATTCTGTTGGTGCATCGCTGTACTCATCAGGTGACTCAGATAGTACTTTGAGAATGACATGTTCTTCACGACCAGGTAATTGAGCCCAGGCGTCTGTGAAAGTGCCACCTCGGTCAATCGCGATCAGAACTCCTCGGGATGCCATTTTGTTGTCGTAGATGTCGTTTGCCTTTCGTTCCTCCTTTATTGAAATCCCCAAAACCGTAATGATTTGAATAGTTGCATTGGAAGGTATTCACACACCATTTAATAGTCCCGGCTTGCACGGACAGTCCAGGCCGAGATAATCGGCTTAAGGTTAGATTTGCCGATTGCCACCGGGCGATGCAAGTAGCGGCCGGTTGAGGGGGGGGAGATAAGGGACAGGCGGCTCAACGGCCCGGCAACTCGACAACCGGTGAACTCCAACTCGGCTGAAAAAAGAGATCAACCGTGTGGAATCAGCTAATAGTCCCGACCCTCTTTCCAAGGTTTCCCCGTAATAAGATGACAATCACTTTCATCCCCGCGCTATTTTGTGGCGTCCACTAACCCCAGGATGTAGATAAGCCATATCCACACACTATATGACTCCTAGATATAGAATAGTTAACTGCTAGCCAAGTCTCTTCCCCATATCACCGGAAGACTTTTGATCCTTCACTTCCCCAATTCTACACACACTATCTAGCTTCAATGGCAAGCAATATTGTGACACAGCCGGAGACAGAGCTGGGCATGCTCAAGTCTCCTGAGATGACCAAGGAGAAGTCGAACTCCGATGACAATGAACTTGGTAGCACAATTGTGACCTATGACCGCAAGGCAGAGAGCAAAATGTTGCGGAAGTTTGACGTGAGTTTGGCTGAAGGCCGTCTGTACGAGGGAATGAAACTGATTGTGTTCGATTCAGTTTTTTGCGGTCATCCCCCTTGGTATTTTCTACATGATGGCTATCCTGGATCGGAGCAACCTGGGAAATGCGAATATTGCTGGCATGCCTCAGGATATTGGTCTCACTGGGAACCAATTTGGCACTGCCACTACCCTACTGTACACCTAACCCGTCTTACTAGCATCCTACGTACCGTTTTCCTAACAGACATCCAGATACGCTACTTATGTTCCCTTTGAAGCCCCCGTTTCAATCTTAGTCAAGAGTGTTGGCCCCAAATTTTTGATTTCGGCCTCCGCCTTTTGTTGGGGCTCTGTCACTCTGGGAATGGGTATGAACCACATATTCTCCAACCTGCTCGCTTCTTTTCAGGAACATACCTCGCTGACAATATGACCAGCCTTTATCCAAAACTACAAAGGTCTCTATGTCTGCCGTTTGCTGATGGGCCTGTTTGAGGCAGGCCTCATCCCCGCAAGTGAAGTTTACCTGGCCTTGGTCTACAATCGAACCGAAAGAGGACGACGGATGTCCTTGTTCTACACATTCAGCTGCCTAGCCAGTGCTTTTGGCGGTCTGCTTGCATATGGACTGACACAGATCCATGGACCTAACGGGTTCGAAGGTTGGAGATGGCTATTCTCAGTGGAAGCAGCCATCACCATTGTTCTAGTGCCCATCTTCTTCTTCATCTTCCCAAGAACTCCCGTTGAAGCCTGGTTCCTGACTGATGAGGAAAAACGCATCGTGCGGGCTCGTTACGACAATGATCCCCACTGGGCGTTCGATGAGAAGTTCTCTTGGGTTGAACTTGGCAAGGTTTTCAAAGATATCAAGTTCTATGCTTTCTTTGTCTACCAGTTCTCCATCAACCTCACACAGTTTGGATTCACTACCTTTTTGCCGACCATCATTTCGGGCCTCGGGTATACCTCTATTCATGCCAACTTGATGACCGTCCCCATCTATCTCTCGGCTCTTGCAGTTTTCCTTGTCATTGCCTTCGCTTCAGACCGTTATGGTATGAGGGGACCGTTCATGGCTGGCCCTGCAGTGCTGATTCTTATTGGGCTCATCTTGATGATTTCAGTTGAGAATCTGAATGTTCGCTTCTTCGCTTGTTTCTGTGAGTCATATCGATTTTAATTGCCCCACACTATGGAAAGAAAACTAACAGATAAACAGTGACTGCATTCGGCCTATATCCGGCAGCAGCGCTGTCCATGATGTGGCTACAGGATAACGTCGCAGGATTTTATAAGCGGTCCAGCATGGTCGGCTTTACGCTGACTCTGGCTAATACGTCCGGCGTTGTTGTGGGGCAAATCTTTACTGCCGAAGACCAGCCGTACTATAAGAAAGGCCTCTCCATTTGTCTCGGTTTTTGTGTTCTAGCTATTGTAATCGCCGTCGCTCTGATGGTGGGCATGAAGATCGTTAACAGGAGGAGAGAGGCAGCAATTCGTGAGGCAGATGCGGCCGGTACTCCGCTCCCTCGTGAACCCGAAAAGGGAGACTGGGACGTGTATTTCAGGTACTCGATCTAAAATACGTGTTTGATCGCAGGGTATCAGGACAAGCCAGTACTCTAAGGAACTTGACAGATGGGACGAGACGACACACGCTGTCTAGCAGACTACTTTTTGAGAGCATCTCATACCCTCAAGGGCTCCAGTATATCCATGTTACGTGAACCTGTTTTGGCACCTGGGCAACCATGAAGTCCTGTTACCAATTGGTATCTTGTATATTGAATAAAGAAGAGAGATAATTTCTGCTTTCCGACACGTGCATGGCTTCATATGCAGTCTTGGAATTCTCCAAAACTCCACTACACTAGTGATACGGAAGTCAGACTGCAATTGGTTGTCCAAAGCGCGACTTGGGAGTTGTTGCTAGTTAAGCGGTGACAATACCGTACTATTAAGGTATTGATACATTTATACTACATCACGTACATACGCACTCCATACAAAGAACATATATATCGAGAGATATCAAGAATAAATTGGACATTATTCCAAGTCATACTAGAATACGTACTCCGTAGAATTCTCGAACATATATTCTCGCCCCCAATAGTTTCTCACTACTAGTAGGGAGTACATAGCATCAGACCACGAATAAAATATTTTCTGGAGGAGCTCCCGATAGCCCAACTTTAACCTTTTCCCACATTAATAATATACTGCACAAATCAAAACGTTGCAATTTCGTTAGGCGAAATCGCCAACTATCGCCAATTACCAAATAGGACGTGTCTAGCTATATATGGACAGATATATGGGACCTCTGAAACAGAAACCCCACAACCCCCGCAGATAAGACTCGGCTGATCGGAGAACTTCCCGAGGCTTTGAGCCTTGTTGCCGTGTAAACTCCTCCAGGATCCTGCGTACTTAGACAATTTCGGCTTGTGCTGTAACAAGTGCTTCATTGCTTTATCGTGAACTAGACTTCTATGGATCGTGCGGAGTCGTCCGGCGGAGAGTCACAAAGACCCGCGAAAAGGGCAAAGAGGAGCTCGGTTGCGTGAGCCAATACCCACGACCCACCGGTCTTCTACCCCTGTTCGTTTGGGATGTTCTGGCTAAATCGAATATCCCTAGATGCCGGAGATGTCATACCCAGAAGATTAAGTGCTCTGGAGGTACACCATGCAGTGCATGCTTAACTGCCGGTCAAGCGGGTGCTTGTAACTATCCTTTCCGAGAGCGGAAAGTCACAATATCTGAGCAGTATGTCAATCCCTCACAGAATTGTCTATATACGCTTTTATCCTATCTAAGAACGCTATAAAGCTACCTGAAACAATTGGAAGCCGACTCGCAAGCTCTGAGACATCAGAATGAATCTGCACCCGGCCAACCTAGGAGTCCTGGGGCTGATGTCGACCAGATGCTGGACTCGACAATAGTATCTGCAGTATCAGACCTCGGGGTCGTAAACCCGTTGTTTGATGCACGCCGGGAGCAGCCACCCACTCAGATAGTAACGGAACCGTCCTTCATCGGCGAAGCGGCATGTGATGCCTTTATCGAGAGACTCCTGCAGTCGCTCAGTCACAGAGAAGCAAACTCACTTCCGGCTCCACACAAATACATCATCAATGTTCCTGGTGGACGTATGCCCGCCATTAACTATACCTTACCCGAAAGAGTCCACGCCAAACTCCTGATCCAGGTGGCCGCGAGGTTCATTGGAAATGGCCAGCATTTATTTTTAACCTCGTATATGGAAGAGGTTGACAGCGTCTACAAGAAAGATGCTGAACCTAGCCCTATATGGTTGTGCAAGTTGTTGGCACTGCTCGCTCTTGGTGAGTTGTACTCGAATAGGCGACGCGGTAACGGTGACAATAGAGCACCAGGGGAAGAATACTTCGTATCTGCTTTGAGTATTTTACATGATCAATATGAAGATACCACAACTCTACATGTTGAGGTTCATCTCCTGCTCGTGAGTGATCTTCATATTCTCCCATCTCTCTTAAACATATCTGACTATGGCAGGCCTGTTACTCCAATGCGCTGGGTCGCGTTAGATCTGCCTATACTTATTCGGGTATTGGGGTGAGAATCGCTCTAAGCCTCGGCATGCATCGATCATCATCCTCTGTACATACAAGTCCTGTTGAGCGCGAGTCCCGGCGGCGAATATGGTGGTCTCTTTATCTTTTTGACCGATTGACTTGCTCCAAGCTTGGCCAGCCAACTGCTGTGAACGACGATGACATTGATGTGGAACTGCCGACGATGGAAGGTCTGACAACGGAAGAGAAAGAGGAGTTCCCAGATCCAGGTCATTTGTTCGCGAGCGTTGGCCTTGCAAAGATAGCAGGAAACATATGTAAGCAGTTCTCCCCTAATCCGACACAGCCTCCCTCCTCTTCCCAAGAATATATAACGCTAAAATTCTGATACGAATAAAGTGAGTGATATATATTGTATGCCAGGACGAAAGAAGACGCATTTTGTGAAGAGGGTCCAAGGTATTCTGAGGAACCTTCGAGACTGGGATGACACGTTACCCCAACATCTCACACTCCGCTGGGACGATTCGAACCGTCATGTTGCCAGTCTCCATCTCTGCTACAACCAGTGCATAATCCACACAACACGACCGATTCTACTACACTTATTCCGGGCGCAGTTCTGCCTAGATGGCTCCCGCACTGCAGACCAGCCGTCGCAGAGCTTCTCGCCGACGACAACCGCGTTGGCCGATAGCTGCATGAACGCGGCACGTACAAACAACCGGATCCTGTCCAAACTATTTGTGGACGGCACACTGGCCACTCTGGGGTACTGGGATGCGCACTACCTTTTCTCCTCCACCCTGATTCTCCTCATGGCTGCTGTCATGAGTCCCAGTCAGTCTACCTCCGACGCAGTTGACACAGCCCTCAGTGTGCTCTGCTCTATGCGTGATGATGGCAACGTCCCTGCAACCGATTACTACGAACGTCTTGCACTGGTACAGAAAGCAATCGCTGAGCTGGGGCATGACGTGAAGAAGGGGAGAGAGATTGTGCCCATCATCACTGCTACGCAGACTACTCAGGTAATGAGTACGGAGCTTGAAAGGGCACGGATAGAGGAAGGTGGCTGGGTTGCACAGAATAGTGATGTTGTTGATGCAATGGGAGGAGAAAGTCGAGGTGGAGGTGGTGTTGGTATCGAGAATTTCAGGCTAGAAGACAATTTTGACGCGCTGGCCAATCCTTATATTGATGGCTTCTTAGCTGAGAAGTCTTTTACATGGCCGAATGCTTTCCCGGGTGGAACTACTTTACAGCAATTTGCCAATGAACTTGGCGTTAGCTTTGGGCTGCTTGAGCCTCATGGATAGAAAGGTTCCTGATATACACTGTTTTCTTTCTCCTTCGATTCCTAAAGCATGCTTAGCGCGTTTCGCACGACGCCTCCAACTTAGCCTAGTTTTCTGAACTGTATTCAAATTGATTCTATTTTGATTGTTTCGTAAACTAGATAACATGTAACATGATTTTGCGATGGGAGAGGAGGTCCATACGGACAACCATGCAGAGCTAGCCAAGGATCACCCCCTCAACCAAAGATATATAAATTCACCAATCAATAGCTGCCAACAGGCCAGTAAGTATCATGGCAGATGGTCTAATAGATTCCAGTATTCTAACGGCCAGTGAGCGTCGTAATAGCATTTGCACAATCCTTTCCAGCTCGGGCCAAGATTCCAGAGTCTTGCTGCACCAGAACGAAGCCGGCGCCGAGCTTGTTCAGAGCCCAGTCATGCAGCTCTGTATTCTCGTAGATGCCAGCGAGACCGAAGATCTTGCCATGCTTCTTGCATGCGAGACTCACAGCCTCGACAGCTGACTGGAACTCATTGCTCTTAAACTGGGCAGGGACGCCAAGCTCCGTAGACAAATCATTCGATCCGATCAGCAGGACATCAATTCCATCCACGGCAGCAATCTCGTCCACGTTATCAATGCTCTCCTTGGTCTCGATCATCACAAAGACTGATGATGCATTGGAGTTATTCTCGCTAGTGAAAACATCGACCGGTGTCGCCTGGAGTCGGAAATATGGCAGCTGGCCTGTCATAGATCTCTTTCCAATAGGAGGATATTTGCAAATGGAAGCCGCACTTATAGCATCATCTATGGGAGTAGAAATTAGCAAAGGGAATAAAATTTTGGGATGTTCGTCATACTTTTGCTGTGAATATGGGGGAAAATAACTCCCATGGCACCTCCGTCCAAGACACGCTGCACGAACCCGTCTCCACACTGGTAGGGGACACGGACAAAGGGCGTGATACCTGCGCCCAGGCCAGCCATACAGAGAAGACTTGCATCATTGAGAGATAGGGTCGAGTGTTCTAGGTCGATAAAGAGCGCATCATATCCACAGTTGGCCGCGAGCTGGACCACTTGCGGGTTGGTGACTAGTCGGATACCGAATGCCTATCATCTCTAGTTAGCAAGATAGATACATAATTATCACACTGTAGTGACTAGCGGTGAAACATACTTTGCAGATTTCGCCCTTGGCTGTTTTCTGCAGCAGGTTGTTTGTGTAGCTAGTAGAACCCATATTGGATAAAAAATGAAAATAAAGTTAAATCGATTGGCAACCCAGAAAGCTGGTTTCAATTATAGGAGAAGAATCAAGATATTTTAACATGAGCAATTGCAATCCGATGACAGTTTTTGTATTGATCAGGATCTATGGTGGTTACCGGCACCGGCTGATCCAAGCCGTACCCTTCTATCCGGGGGTCGGCTCTTCACCTACCGTGCCGTAACATGGAGATAGCGCGGTTCGGTAATTATTTTCCGACTTCATGAGTAATTGCTCCAGGTCTACATTCCCAGATATCGGGCTAATGCGCCGGGGAGATGTTGGGGTAATGTATTTAGGTGAGAAATGCTGCGCTAAAGATGCGGAGTAGCAAGTGCCTGATACGAGAATTCCCTTCCATTCCGCCCTTCGAGCTTTATTCTATCGGAAAGATGTTTGAAAATATCCCCATGGGTCCTGCGGACCCGTTTTTTTATCTGAAGAAAAAGGCCGATGAAGATAATCACCCAGATAAGGTCGACATAGGGGTAGGGATATACAGGAGCGAGCAAGGGACCTACCAGGAGCTGGCTGTTGTGAAGAAAGTAATCACATGCCAAAGCATAGCCTAACTCATGAGAGGATTTTGATTAACATGATAATAGGCAAAGAAAATACTGGATCAGCTTGACTTGGGACATGATGTATGATTCCAAATGTAGTGACTAGGTCCCAAGTCTTCTCGCTGACCAATAATTCAGTATGGACTCACTACTGGAGATGATCGATTCCTCAAGCTCGCTGCCGAAGTAATTTTTGGCAATGATAATGAGGCGTTAGTGTCAGGGCGGGTTAGTTGGCATCTCGATAATGTTTTCGGATTAGCAGATGTTAATTCCCCAGACTAGATTGCATCTGTCCAGACCCTTTCAGGTACAGGAGCCAACCACATCGCCGCTATCTTCCTCGCCAGACTACTGGATACGAAGCCAGCCGTCTACCTCGGAACACCTACCTGGAATAACATGAAGCCGCTCTGTGATCATGCAGGATTAGAGACCGTCGAATACCCATACATTGACCCGCAGACATCCAAATTCTCCTTCCAGCCCTGCATTGACGCAATCAGAACCGCACCTGCTGGGAGTGTATTTGTCCTACAGGGCTGCTGCCATAACCCTACCGGCAAGGACATCACACCGGAACAGTGGCAGCTGTTCGGAGAGAAAATCAAAGCCCATGGTCACCTGGCTTTCATCGACATCGCCTACCAGGGACTTGGTGACGGGTTAGATGAGGATGCCGCGGGCGTTCGGATACTTTCGCGTCTTGGCATCGATATGGTCGTGTGCCAATCATTCTCAAAGAATTTTGCTCTGTACGGCGAGCGCTGTGGAGTGCTGCATATAGTCACAGGGTCGGCCGAGGCTGCGAAAAATACCAAAGATCAGCTGCGTAGCCTGATACGTCGCGAGTACTCCTCCTCGCCAGCTTATGGATCACGGTTGGTTACGATCGTGTTGGAAAATCCCGAGCTGCGTCGGGAATGGTAAGCAATTTGCTTCTCATTGGTCATTATTTCCAGTCGCTGATCATTTATTTCTATGAAGGGTCGAGGAACTTACGTCTATGAAAGCGAGATTACATCAGAACAGACATCGACTATACAAAGAACTTTCGACGGTTCTCAAAGTATGATGCCTCCCCTTGTTCAACACAAAGACTCCAGCTGTTAATATCACCTACTTTACAGACACCAGGTAATTGGAAACATATTGTAGAGGAGAAGGGGCTCTTTTCGTACGCATTTCCCTCTCCATTCAAAATAAGTTACGATAACTGACCGTTGACTAGGTGCCTCGCCCTCAACCCCGCACAGTGCAACGCACTGATTGACAATTACCACGTACATCTCCCAGTTAGCGGCCGTATCAATGTCGCTGGGTTGAGTACAAATAACATTGAGCGGACAGCCCGTGCGATTGATGCAGTGGTCCGAAGTAATTTGTCTTAAATCCCGTGGGATAGCCGATGGGTAGTTCATTTTCTGGTTTAAATTGGCTATATCAAATAAGACTAGAATATATAATTGCCATCCAGATATCTTATTAATTAGTAAATTGCAAGAGACCTTGGTGTCCCTTGTTAAGTTTGTAGAACACATAATTAATATTCATCATTGTAGCATGCAAATTTACTAAAGGAGTTCAGAATATTGACCACGGCGTGCTAAATTCAAATGATTTTCCCTATACACTCACTATATATTTCACAACTCACCAGCGAGACCACCCATATCCGCATCGGGGCACTGAGGTCTACAAGCATCCCCTACGTATATATCTGAAATTTTAGTGTATTCGATTTCAGTGTTGAACGAGTCCACGCGTCGTGAATTACTTTAGCTTGAACAACCACCGTGGACCCATTCCCCAACCTTTTGATTTGGCACATTTTCTTGCTTGAACGTTGGAAGTACCACTTGATTATGGATACGAGTGACCAGAATATTCAGAGTCATAATTTGGACATGCAATCACCTCCAAATAAAACATGTTATTTTGTAAAAAATTAAAACTAGCTAAGTAGGACAATTTTCCGATCGCCATTACGCCCTGAAACCCGCACGGTTTGCCGCCATTGTAAGCATTATTGGAAAAGCAATTGACAAAGTGACTTTGTTTTGGTCACCAATTTGCAAGATATAGACGGATTAACATCTTCAGCCTCCCTTTTAGAGATATTCCTTCTCCTCGTGGGGCTCTGTCACGTCCTCGGACGTGAAGCTGCAATGTCCCATAGGTCCCACGACCGGCACCGAACCCCATTGGACAGGTAATAGAGCCATATCCTGATCATCATTTTCCGATTCCATCCCTGCGTCAACTGCCTCATTGAATTCACGATTCGGATCAAAAGCAGGGTGACACGCCGCAGAAATGGCAAAACTGCAACTTCCCACAACGGGCATGCCCGACTTAAACCGCTTGAAATTTACTCCAATGAGGCAGGAAACCATAAAGACCCCAACCCCAAGAGTGCTAATATGCCCAACCAATGAGTATCCACATTTAAGAAGATCAAAGATTTGCTGTCTCTTCATGTTTGGATCGTACGCTTCAACGGATACCACAAATAGAGTTCGTGAGAGAAGCCAATGTAGAAGACTAGATACAACCACGAGTGGGATTGCGTAGCGGTAGGGTAATGATAGGAAATAGGAACTGCGCTGCGAGAGGGATGGACTACCCGAGACTCTGAGTCCTTTGCGATTGATAGCGTAACTGCTCCATTCTGCGGCGATAGTCATTGTTGTCAGGAGGCTGTTGAAGGCGAAGTAGAGGAAGGATAAGGTTAATTGGGGTAGGTTAGCAATTATCACGTTAGGGATTAGAGTTTTGGGCCAGTGATCGCCGGTGATTAGGCTCGCTGCGTCTATTGAGCCTAGGTTTGCTGTCCAAATGCTTTTTGGGCCGGATACAGTGGTAAGGACGAATATAAAAAGGCCGAAACAGGCAAGGACGACCATAATGCAACTACAGATATATTAGTTGATAGGTTCAGACGTGTAGGTAATGATGGTGTAGATGGAAAACTTACAAGGATATACTGATTAACCATCGCCTGCGGGAAACGGCACTACTCCAACGTTTTCGCGTCCCAACATACTTCCTTGGTTCATGCGGTGGCCATTTTTTGATTGATCCTGATAGAACCGAAAGCATGAACCCCGATTTTCGGTCGAGAAGACATCTGCCCTTCGTATATGGATCCGGGCGACGCAGAAAGGAGGCGATGGCATCACCGATGGTCAGGATGGGGGCTTCACTCATACTAAACCACATGTAGCAAAGTATAGCGGCCTTGAATAGGTTGAATGCAATAATGACCATGACTAATGGGAAAGAGTACTGCAGCTTGCAAAACTGTTCCACCCTTTCGGCGAGACAGTAATCAATCTTCCTCGAGGAACCAGAGCTTATCATGGTCCAGTTGTCTTGCTTGATTTGAGATTGAATAGTCGGCAAATACTCGGCGCAGTCGTTGCTCCTATGTGGTGGACAAAGCCAGCGATATGTATCTCCCTCTAGGTGCATGGAAGTAGGAATGTATACATCCTGCGTCCCAAGGTAAATATATGTAGCGTTTGTCGGCATTTGCTCGGTGGCAAGAATGAGGTTGCCATAAGTTGTTTGGAACCTTTGCGCATAATTATCGACACATTCTTGTGGCTCGAGACGCTTTAGAGATTTGCTTTTGGCGGACTCAGAGAGTCTGTTGAAAGACTCCAATTTGTCTGTCCCTGGAAGTGGTCCTTCTAGGTCTGGCGAGGCTATTTTTTCTAGATCTCCATTTCCTAGAAAGATACTGTAGGCTGTGACGGAGGTTGTCGAGAATATTGTTGAGTTGTAACTTTTCACCTTGGTTAGCGCGGGTGTTGTTGATGCTTAAGTAGAGGAAGGAATCTCGTACATGAGATGGAAAGGGAGAGAGGAAAATGCTAGACATATCCATAAGAGCGATCTTCCCTTAGATACGTGGAACAGGTTGCGGATACTGGGTACTCCAATATCGAGCCATTTTCCCTTTTGGTGAGCTCGGTCGATGTTTTGTCTTGTCGGTGCAGCGAGGCATTGCTGATATCGCTATTAGTTGATTAGAAGGAATATTTGGGATATTTGTAAAGTACCATTCCAAAGTTGCTAGCAGAAACAAGAGCCGTGCTCAAGACGTTGATCAACAGATGGAAACCAAGGTCCAAATGGTGCACTTTCTTGCAGTCGCCCTCGTACAAAATCCCCACGGTGTCATCCTGTCGGTCATGAGAGATAGTATAGAGCATAAAAATGAGGTTGAAAAGGAACACGATCAGACTGGTCATACAAGCCAGAAAGATAGTGAACTTCCAGCCTTGGAACCTGTCTCCGAAGTGAAAGGGCCAACTACGTTTGGGCTTGGACTCTAGTTTTTCTGTGTCTCTCTCTGAGTATCTTTCAGACTCGCGCTCAGACGTATTTTGGATCAGCGGATCTGCGCTTTTGTAGGGGGAGGGAATTGATATTAATTCTGTGTCGCGGTTGATTAAGGCCCTATTCCACATGGTGGAAAGTCATTCGAGGACTGACTGAGAAGGTCTGGGAGGAGGCAATGACGGAAACAAAGTTCGAGCCAAGATAAATCAGGGACTGGCTAGCTTATGTACAAACTCGTCAAGCTGGATTGAGCCGCAGCAAGAACATTAGCTCGGGGAATTTTGAACGGAGCCTCAAGTCAGGGCGGAGGCCCTTGGCAAACAGTGCTTTGGTAATAAATGGATAGCTGCATAATTTGCGGCCCATTTTGCGGCCCATTTTGCGGGGCTTGAGCGGCTTTGGGCCAAAAGACTGGCTAGGAATTTGTAAATATCTAATTGTGTCCAGGTGCCCTGGAGCACAATCCCTGCTAGGGCAATGGACTAATGTCTAACGCTCTTGGCGTGACTTGGAATGTTCGATCCTTACGCTTGTTTGGGATACGATGGCGCTCCAACTATTAAGCTATATATAGTAGACAACCGAAATTGAAATAATCTACGGAGTACTCTGTACAGACCCACGAATTTTGCCCGAGATCATCGAGGAATTGATCGGTTGACAGCCCCAATGTATTGGCTCAGTCAGCCCATCACAAAAATAGACCCATGAGGTCCGTGCACCCTTTGACATTCTTCTATCCCGGTAGGAGTAATTTTTCTTTTCCGCCCCGAGCTTGACTATCTGACAGCTATTAAAAATTGTGGTGGGTACATGGGTGAAAATAGATACATGAAAAAAAAAACAGTAACCAGGTCATAACACTGTCAACTATACACCAATCTAGTCCGCACGCTTGACGTCCACAGCTGGGCCAGAATACTCTTTCCGTCCCTTGATGACATACATGACGAGACTAAGAATGAAAACCGCCCCAAAGATCACGACACTCCAGTTGAAATTTTCAGCAGTTACCGGCAGCTCGCCTGGCCAGAATGACCAAAACATCGCGAAAACAGAGTAACATAGGCCAATGATGTTCACGGCCAACCCCCAGTTCCGCCCCAAATCCCACCGATGAGCAGGCAGGGAATCAGGATAGCGGATCTTTCGCCAGATCATACACGTGATCGAGATCACGTAGGTGTACATCAAGGCAGCAGTATTAAGAGAGATGATAGCGTTGAATGCGGTATCAGAGCCGATGTTGATCAGAGAAAGCAGGCAGCTGAGGATGCAAGACAAGGCGATAGCATTGACGGGGATCTTGCGCTTAGGGTCAATTTTGGAAATCCATCGGGAAAAGGGAAGACCCTTATCACGAGCGAAAGCCCAAGTTTGGCGAGAGGTGGAGGCGTTGAACATGATGTTGCTAAAAATAACAGGCAACAAGATAATGGATGTTAACCCGTTGACGCCTGCTGTGTTAGTAGCCTGCTTGAACACGTAGAGGAATGGGAACCCGGTAACGTCGTTAAGAGAATCCTCGACGGATGGGGTGGCGAAGAGGTAGGCAACTAGCAAGATAGCAGCCATGATTCCATTGATGAAATATCCCCAGGCCATAGCCCGTGGTACGTTCCGGCCGGCGTCCTTGATTTCTTCTGACATATGCGCACATGCATCGGAACCTAAGGGCTAGTTAGTTTCTTTTTTACAGTAATTGTCTCTACATGGATGGATAGGTAAGCCTTGGAGATAAGCGAAACTTACTAAGACAACCGTAGATAGCCGAGATTTGTCCAACCATCACACTCACTCCCATTGTAGGTAACCCCCCTAGATTTTTCCAATCCGAGACGAAAACCGCTTCAGCAGATCGGTGAGGAGACATAGCCCACAGGAAGATCAAGATCACTGCCCAGCAAAGGACGTGAAGAATCATCAAGATGTTACTCATCATTGGCATCAGGTCCGACGCATACACATTAAACAGGTATGACACCAGAACCATCGAGAACACAAGTAGAGTACCCTGCCAGCCTTTAGGATCATAATCCGGATTGCGAACACTGATCAATCCTTGGATTATGGTGCCAGTGAGGAAGGACCCAGAAGCGGTTCCGGCTTGCCATGCCAGGACGGACATCCAGCCAGTGATGTAGCTGAGGAACTTCTGGTGTCGGGGTGAGGAAAACTCTGATACCCAATGGTATTGGCCTCCGTCTGTAGGTGCTATCGAAGCCATTTCCGATAACGACGCAATGATGAATCCGAATCCGATAAATGTCCAAATGTATGACCAGAACATGCCTGCTAAGCCTCCATTCTCCAATCCCTGGTAGTCCGAACTTGGAAATAGTTAATTTGTTTGTTCTGTATCCCTGTCACTTGAACAATTTCAATTGGCTCACATGATCAGATATTCCCAAGTGGCTTGCAAGACTGATGCAAAGCTTAATGCTGCAAGAGGTCGCATGTTTCTCTAATTGATGTCGCAGAGCATTAGCTATGGATGTAAAATCTGCAAAAGCGAGTAAACAAACCTTGAACTCTTGAATTTTCCCCATGCGATGCATTTCATCGTCGTCTCGTGCTGTCCCGCCTTGTTTAGAGGCCCCTGGATCTCTATGATCTATACCCATATCCAGCGTCTCCAAAGCGGTCGCCTTCGTTGAGTTTTCCATGATGCGTGCCAATCCAGGCAAAAGAGTGGCAGAGGTAGAAATGGATTCAGAACTAGGGGGCCGAGGGAGTAAAGTATTAAATTCTACATAACTATGTACCTCCATAGAGGGCCGGAATACCCGTGAAACAATCCCCTTGCAGTGTACCCGTGTTGCGTGCTGCCCCACCGAGGGGCACGGGAAAGACGGGCGAAGCATTCGAAGACTTCCATATCGCCTAATTAATATTCAGTCGGCGTGTGTGTCGCTTTAACATCATGAGATAATTTGAATTTGTTATCGGGGCTAGAGCGGCTATTGTTTCAAAGAAAGCAAGTTTTTGAGGCACTAGGCCAGGGCTGCATGGACCAATTCCTTCGTGCCTTTACTAAGTGGGGGAATATATAGCGACGATGTAACAATGTCTTTTTAGAAAGTCCAAAGTACTGAAAATCCGACAAGACATTATTATCATACTATCGAATCTTGAATGGTGTGCTCCACCGGGGCCACATGCTTATTATCTTCACTCGATGTACCTGACTCGGACGGGGACAGATAAGGCTTTCCCGTCAGCATATTGTCTATTTTTTCTACTCTGAACCAATGCTTCTGGAAATATTGTTTGGGTTTCGTTCATGACCCGACGTGGAATAAGTGGAATTCTTCAGAAGCTAACTTGGAATTTAAAGTGCTGAGGAATAGGGGGACGCCTCATCCAAATGAGGAAATTAAATATTCAACGACCTTTACAAACCCTGCAATCCGGGTATTTCTCCCTCATGCGCACCCTTTTTTTTCCCATGGACATCCTAGTAATGTTCGGTGCTACTGTGGCGCACTAGTGGCTCTCATATCGTTGACTTGATGATATGTCTTGCATTTCTAGCGAACAAGGGACAAGGGTTGATCGCCATAGGAGTCCTTTTGACCATTCGATCTCAAGAGCTTCCCATTTGACCATCTGTGTTCCTCTCCCGATTCAATAATTGAAAATGCCTTTATCTCTCTCTCACACGTTCAAAATGTGAAAATCTCAGGTTCTAATTTTTTTTCCCCGTTGGTGTTTACACGGCTCCTAGATTGTTATGTCGACCACTTCGACGACATGGCCGTCGGATGTGAGCCCTCCTCTTACGACAGATAATGACCATAACCATAGTGGACTAGTTGTGGTCATCACCGCGGTCAGCTTGTGTCTGGTTTTATTTTCTCTCGCAGCGCGCATGTTCTCTTCTTACCATAGGAATAGATTGCAGCGCGATGATTATACATTTGGGGTTCTCGTGGTACAGTACTATCCACCACATTGTAAAATGACAGTGCTTGAGCTTCTTGCGAGCGTCTTGCCTCTGAACTAACAAATTAATAGCTTGCAGCAATCGTCCAGATTATAATCGTGTTTTGTGAGGTCCACTATGGGTGGGGAACTCCGATCGATGATATCGAGAGCACAAGGAAAGAGCAAATGTTGAAGGTGAGTTGTTGTGGACGAGCTCAAATCCTTTTTCAATCCTCTAGGATGATTGACATTACGAAGATAGTATATGCTGCCGATATCTTCTCCATTGTTGTGCTCGGCCTTTCAAAGATGACATCTTGCATGTTCTATGAAGGCCTGTTCTCCCAAGTACAACGTCGAATTCCCTACGTCATTCTTCGAGTCATGATTGTATGGACAATAATATCCGTGCTTCTGTTGGGAATTCGGTGTTCTTCCAAACCCTGGTCCGATATCAGTGCCGCTGAGTGCAGTGGATTGGTATGGCTTGCCCCTGCCGCAGAGGAGTAAACCACTGACAAAGCTATAGCCTCCCCGCTGGAAAGCCATAACAGCCCTCGACATTTCCACTGAGGTTTTACTCCTTGTATATGCCGCACTTGCAATCCATGGAGTCAGGATATCGACAAAGCAAAAGATCGTCGTGTTTTGCGCCCTCGAGAGTAGGGTTTTGTAGGTCTTTTCACTAGAACTGTGATTTGGAAACTAATTTGTTGACACCATGATAATTGAATAGGCTCATCCCCATCGCTGCGGTTCGTCTGCACTTCATCCTAGTCCAACTCTCTTCAAATGATCCAACTCTACTTGGGTCCTTTGCCACGGTATCGACGGAGATATACATAGGCTTAAGTGCCACCTGCCTCTTGACGGCCTTTCTCAAGTCTTTTATTGCAGTTTACGAGGACGATATTGGAATAACATATACATATCGGCAGCCGTCAAAGTCTGATTCTCGGTCGAGAACCACTGCGCCGAGGGACACACTGTCTAGCAGGTTCTCCCGTAGTGTGAGAACAGGGCGAGGAATAAGGGGCTGGGAGCGAGAAGAAGACCCGATTATCGAATCATCCGGGGGTATTCAAGGGTTACAGATTATGAAAACGGTGCAATTAAGTGTGCGAGGCGAGTCGATAGAGCTATCAAATCGAGGGGGAACTACAGGTGCCCAATAAACTATTCCAGGCTTCATTTGGCTTGACCTAAAACTAGAATCTGACCTTGAGGGTGTGGGTGGAGCTTGGAAGGTTGAAGATAAAGACGAGGATTATATTCGTCTCGGCTGTATAAATAGACCTACGTAGTAGTTCTGTATCAATCGCTTGATCAACTCGCACATTGGACATGATGATGAAAGTGCTTTCTCCATCCCCAAGAGAAATTATGCCTTTTCAAGGTGGCATCTATTCAAGGCAATAATGATACGATACCATCAGCGGCGTTTACTCCATAAAGGATTTTAAGCACAGACATAGTAAGTATCCAAATTGCGCGTATAAAATGTGCAGCGTGGGAATTAAAGTGAAATAAAAGTATAGAGGGAACTCCGTGCTAGCAAATTGTGAACCTACGAGCCCATCGGCCCATAGCACCGCTAAATGGACTTCATGGTGAGCCGACGTTATTTGTCCTACTCCACCTCAACAAATACTGGCCGCAGATCTTACAGCATAGTTTCGGTCTCTGAGATTTGTCGGACGTATCGGATTTAAAGTCAGGCGAGCACTCCATCTGCAGGTACCTCGCAATGAACTTTTAAAATATAAACCCACTGTGGTTATACACCTCATCTTCAATCATTGTTCCCGTCTACATAACTCGCCCGATTAGATTAGACTATCTTTCAAGTAGAAAAATATCATAGAAATCACACCACCAACTCATCAAATATCCACCATAGCCGGACACCACGAAGCCACCATTCTCCCCCAGCAAGGTGGTCCCTTGTCTCCTGGCAATCGTCCCACTCCCAAATCCGGTCCAAATGATGTTTTTATCAAGGCCATGGCCGTTGCCTTGAGTCCCCACTACCATTCCTAGCGGGACTATGGTATACCTCCTGTCTCTATCTACCCCACTATGATCGGATCCGACACTGCTGGTGTTGTCGCGAAGCTACGGTCGAAAACACGCGGACAACTTTCAACTTCCCAGCTATGGACGAGACTGCGAGGAGCAAGGATGTTGATAACGTCTTCAATGGCTGGCTCAAGGCCGGTCTGCAGTCGGGTGAAGTAATCACCAGATCCACTACCCAGATCGGGGGTGGCGGTCTGGGCGGACTGAACGCAGCACTGGACAAGCTCAATGCCAATGTCAGTGGAACTAAAATTGTCGTGCCAGTCTAATGAAGTCTCTTTGACTGGTGTTCCTGGTGCCAATCAAAGTATGTTGTGGATGAAGAATGTGACTGGGCATTGCACAGACTCACAGGATTTTTATCGAATTCTAACTCTGTCTATAGCACGCTCACCTATCTTACCCCTGGTCGCGCGTATATATCCTTCTACTCTTCCAAGGTTTGATTACCACCTAACTGTTTTTATCATTCATAGGTACATAGCCAGCTATAATCTTCACCAACGAAACTTCTGGTATATACGACCATAGGGTGTGGAAAACAGGGCTTCCTGTCCGCTCAGCCGTAGACCTGGCCCTCACCCGCGGGTGACCCTCCGGACCCTCCACCCGACCCGCCCCGCGGGTGGGTAAGCGACCGAGTTATCGACCCTAAGGGTCGTTCACCTAGAGGTGTGACCCTTAAGAGGGTCACCCGCGGGTGAACCTCAGGGTCCCCAAATAAGACAAACAGGTAGAAAATATAACTTACTTACGATATATAAATTATATAGATTTAGAGAGGATTTCTGTGTATTTATTTATAACTTTTAATACAGTAGAAGAGTAAAGAATTAAGAATTAAGAGATAAAACCAGAAGAAAATTATATTCTTTATTGTACGAATAACAGTATAGGATATAGAGAATCAAATAGTGTAGTAAAGAAGTATATTCTTAATAACCTAAAGAAGGGGTTTATTATTCTAAGTTCCGCCCCTTATACCTTACTAATTCTTATAGTAAAGAAGCCTAGTAGAGGTCTTCGTTTCTATATAGACTTTCGGAGGTTAAATACGATAACTAAGAAAGATTACTACCCTTTACCCTTAATTAATAAACTTATACCAGACAAGTCTTTACCCGATCCAACTTTCCGTTGCGAATATACAGACCCAGAAGAGGGATAGCGCTTCTCAAGATCGGTCTGTTCGGTACCGCAATGCTCCGCTACATTTCGTCACTTGCTCTGATAGGATGATCCGCTCTCCAGTTAATCCCAACACGCTAACGCTGCGATTAGAATTTGGCCATTGTGGAGTCGTGTTATTGAATCAACCCGGAGGCGGGCCGCACAGCAATATATCCCTAAGTCCAAAAAAGCCTAACTTTTCTTATGAGAAAAGTAAGCGATTATAAAATAGTCTCGGTTATTGACCCGCTAGACCAAAAGAGTGACTGGGCTTTGCTCGCTTTGGGAGGATTGCAGTCAAAGGATTGATCAAGTGGAAGACTCAGTAAGAATGCTACGATCATGAGTATAGTAAAGTAGCCTAGGACCTAGCTTAAGTCTGCCATTCCATCTTCCGCATCAACATAAAACTCTCCCAGCTGAGGCCTCTCCAAACATCCCTGCCCTCCGCATCTTTTTTATAGAATTCCGGCTCAAAATCACTAACAGAAGCCCACTCCCGAATCAATCTCCTCCAATAACAAACCTGTGCAGACTGCGTCAAGTACCTCTCCCGAAAGACGCGAACAGTATTATCCGCAATGCGTTTCGCCTCCTCATCATGCTTCCTCAATCAAGATATCTTTTCCTCAAGATCTTCCCAATCCCGCTGAATTTCGACAAAGTTTTGCTCGGGGCCATCTCTTCTCATAAGATGATAGGTATGCTGGATCCAATCCAGAGTATGTGAAACAACCACACTCCGACACATCTGTAAATACTTCAACCGCCCCGAATAACTATTTCCCTCTGTCTGTGCGATAAATTTATATCCACAATGCTGCGGCATTATTTTATAATCATTCTTCATACTCTCATCATCACCCCATCCTAGCTCCTTGACATCAGCCCATTCTTTCCCCGCCGTGACGGACAACAGCTTATCCCGAATCTCAGGCCCCATTCTGACAACACCGCGCCAGAATAATTTTGCTGATTTGGACGCCCACTGTGTTACGCTGTTTTGCTCGTCTTGCTCGATTTTCATAAGGACCTCCTTCGTCGATCCAGCTTTTATCTCCGGCCAGGACTAGAATCCAAAGTCTGGTATTAACCATACCAGTTCGTCAGTTGCTTGTCGGGCGTAACCCCATAGTGCGACGGGCTCAATCCGGTCATCTGTATTAAAGGCAAATTCGATATTGGAAAGAGGCTCCGGGGATGTCACGAGAGCGCGATTTATAGCTGCGAGCGTTGCGAATTCACAGGACCAAATTGAGCCTTCTTTTGCTATTATATAGAGCTTTGGGGCACTGATTAGCATTATACTTAATGTTATTTTGATAAAAAATATAATAATAAAAAGGGAAGAAGATGATGATTTTGGGGAGGAGGGGTGGGGGGTACAAACCTGCATATCATAAATCATCGCCCTAACATATCCGTTCTTGGGCTGAATCGAATCAAGCTCAGTAATCGTAATCGGTTTCGAGGCTCTAACCTTTTTCGCCCGCTCAATTTCAACGAATAATTCTGGGAACGCAGCATCGCACTGGTCCGACGTCAGAAGCAAATTATCTCGGTCACGAGGATAACTCCATCGTCCTTCCAGCGGAACTTCTGTACTTGGCTTCGGGCTTGGTGGTGATAAACCCCAATTTCCCGATGTCGTGCTTTTAGTTTTGCTGAACTGATTTGAACTCGGGTAGGGGCGCAGGTAGAGCAGTAAGCCCAGGATGAATAGTATACACGTTGCGAGAACCAGGTACTGGCGGATCCGCGCGAAATTTATCATTTCAGTCGGGCTCTGATGACGGTTAAGGTTGTGGTTATAGTTGTCAGGGGGAAACCCATGGGGGATGTGATCTAGTATAAAGCGTGCTGGATAACCTTGCGTGCGAGATAGGGCGGTGTGAGCGTGGGCGGCAAAGATGAGAAAGGCGGCCTGAAAGTGGAGATTGACGAGTTATTTGTAGCGAAGATCACAGAAGCTGGGCCCCGACTGTTGTACGGAATGTCCTCTCGGCCCGGGCCGCCGGAATAATGATAGCAAACCAAAAGTGATTCGGTTCGACTTGGATGAAATGTCAATACATCAGAGTTTTTGAGAAGCACCTCTATGTCTACAAAGACATACGCTTCATACTAACCTAAAGGCTTGGCAAAGATCGTATCATCTGGTCATCAAGTGCAACCTCCTGGATCTGGGTGATCATTATGCGAGTCATTCGAATAGTGGGTATTTCTCCTGTCCTATGCATTTGGCCCCTACGTCGTAGCCGCGCTCGGGTACAAATCCCCTTTCTTGGGCAATTAAACGTTAATTACAATATATTACAACCATGTTATCTATGTTGTATTAAAAATAATGATGGACGCTAACTGCGGTTCCGCCGGTCGCCAGTTGGGCCGAGTTCACAACACTCATTGCTGATTGCGCTCCCTTTATCTTCTTTCACGACATCGCCAATTCATGGAGTGGCGCAGTCGGTATTCAGAAGCCTTCTTGGCTACTACGAAACGTCGCACTATCCTTATCATAACAGCGTTCCTCTTTCTGGCGACTTTCGTCTGGTACCGACAACCAGTCACTGTGCACAACGTGGGCAGTAATGTGCCTGGACGAAAGTTGCATTATGGTGGCCTATTCAACGGGACATGGGACTACCAAAGGGACAAAGATAATTTATTGTTTGACCAAGGGGAATGCGAGCAAGCATTTCCAGCGCTTTTCGATGAAATTGAACGAGCAAAGCGCGACCGCCAATCTCGTCCAATTACCTTGAAAGAAATAAACTCAATCACCCCAAAGAATGGGTATGTTCGAGCCATGATTTACGACCAACAAGTGAGTTAAATGGGTCTCTGTTCAGTTGTCGCCTTTTTGGATGACAAAAGTCATTCTAACTCTAGACCTTTGCATCAGCTTTACGTGATTGCCACGGAAGGTCACATCTATTCTCGTGAAATTGCTACGCTCCATTCTTTGCACCGAGCTATCATATCGTCGCCTGAAAAACTGCCCAATATTGAATTCGCTTTCAACTCAGATGATCGGATCGAATCGGTTGCTCTTTGGGGGTATGCTCGCCAGGAGGAGGATACGAATATTTGGCTTATCCCCGATTTTGGGTATTGGTCCTGGCCGGAGACCAAAGCCGGTTCAATGAAGGAAGTCGAGTTGAAAGCCGAATGGGCTGAAGAGGCGGAGGGCTTATCATGGTCCAACAAAACCCAGAAGATCCTATGGCGGGGCGCAACCATGGGGTTGGAATTGCGAGAGAAACTCATAGAAGTGGCAGCTAATCAACCATGGGCCGACGTAAAGGCTTTGAACTGGAAAGACCACGACAGCATGACACATGACCTCAACTCAATGTCCGAGCATTGCGAGTACAAATATTTGGCTCATACTGAAGGGAATTCATATTCCGGTCGGCTGAAATACTTGCAAAGCTGTAGAAGCGTGATTGTAGCCCATGAGATAGCCTGGATCCAACATCAACATCCACTTATGCAGTCTTCGGGTCCTGATCAAAACTTTGTTACGGTCAAGCGCGATTTCTCGGACCTTCAGGCCAAGATAGCATGGCTGCAAACACATGACGAGGATGCCCAGCGTATAGCGAACAACAACGTCAAAACGTTTCGGGAGCGTTATCTTACCCAAGCGGCCGAGGTTTGCTATTGGCGTCGGCTGATTGAGAAATGGGCTGAAGTCAGCGATTTTGAGCCGGAGTTTTTCAAATTGGAAAAAGGAAAGAAGGGTTGGAGAGGTGTTCCAGTGGAATCGTTTCTTCTGGAGAGAAGGTTGGATTGGGATCCTTACTGAATAGATTTCGGCGACATGTCGGCACTAAAGCGGCGCTCGCCCCATTCTCACCCGGGTGGCACCCCCGCACTACTTGCTGTAGTTTAGCCACACGCCGGTGAGTTAGTAGTTGGGTGGATGACCACTAGCGAATCCTCACTGTTGTATGTTTTTTGTTTTTGATTCGTTAGGAGATCCTCCCATCTGACCGCCCTACTCTTTAGTCAGCCCATTCACCTGAATAGTTACCACTATTCTACACTATAATAATTCTCACGCCCCTAAATCGCTAACGTGTCCTTCCCTTCCTATAGGTACTCCGTACTAGTTTTTTTTTTCCATCTATAGTTAGATAGAAAAAAAAGATTAACTCACGCTCGTTAGAACTGCGGATTTGTAGTCAATTATATGATTACCTAAACACAGCGCCTTAACCACTCGGCCACACTTGCTGTTATTGTAATATCTCCCCAACAATCTTTTTAATCTCTATAATGCCCTAATAGGGAAATTGTCGAATAGCTAACTATAGAACATTTAACTATATCAGACATAATTACATAGGTAGCCCCTATCAATTACGGTTTAAAAACTCCTCTAGATCCTTATCATTCTTCAAATACCGCTAGTTTGTACCCTTAACTATTTGTTCTGGAACCATCAACGAGGTAAAGATCTTGACTCCTCGTACCAATTTCAAACACAAAAAGGCATGTGACATTTTTGAGCCAGCATCAGGCGAATAGGACTAGACTTCCGTATAACCCAGTTTGGGTCGAAGCCCGACCTAGAACCCAACCCAGACTGGCTCTAGGTCGAAAGCTCATAACCCAGGCATACCCATGGGCCGTAGGGGTTATAGACGGGCACTCGAAAATCCAAACAGCCCATCGCCTACCGTGGACAGGCGATAGGTGACCACGGTCATACTCAAGCTGTTGTATGTTTTTTTTTTTCGTTGGTTAAACCGCACTTCTACCAGCAGCTTTATATGCATATCTTATTCTCTTCTCAAAATCACAGGCCATAATGTTTCCATCATGTAACAGGACTCTTGTGCGTTTAAGGGGCAAAGACTACACACTTCCCTATACCATTGTGCTTTGCCCCTTCATCAAAAGCTTCCTTCCAATGACCAAGTTGAAAGACTTTCGTGTCAACGAAGTCTTTGCCTTGAGGAAATAGACCATTCTGTAGCATTTTGATGATTTGTAATACGGTCTCTCGTTCATACATCATTTTTCCTTTGGGCGGATGAAATTTCAGCAAAAGTATTGTAAACTCGTCCAAGGGACTCACCTTTCAGTGTGATGTTGTTGACCAAGATCTCCGAAACGGCGATGTTTTTAGTGGATCCCATCAAACTGACTCTTCCACCTCGACGTAATGCTCTTATTGCACTTCTCGTGTGTGTCGATACAGACGCCTCCGATGGCGTAATATCCAAAACAGCATCCACAGTACCATAGGATTTAATAGCAGTGATATCCTCATATTCATCGCCTGTTATTTGTACGGTCTCAATGTTCGCCCCTAGCGACCTGCTTTTGATATCCTCCTTCAATTTGGTCAGCTTTTCAGTGTTGCGACCCAATGCAATAACCTTCGCACCCATCGCAATCGCGACTTGCACGCCTAGGCTACCATAGAACCCTGTTGCTGGGCATATAATGATAGTATCGCCCGGCTCGAGTTTAATGTCCCTGAGCCCACCATACGGCACAAGCAGAAATGCGATATACACCAAGTCCTGAAGTGAATATCCTAAATCGCTACACAATCTTGCTTCGTCAAGTGGAAAGCAGTTCTCCAGTGGTACCTTGGCGTACTCTGCGAACGTTCCATCCCGCCAAACGTCCCGCATTAACTTTTTGCTGCCATCACTCGGCCCCTCATAGATAGCGGACAAGAAAAAACTTCCCGGATCATCGCGTGCACGTATAACGCAATCAACATAGACAAGTTGTCCGATTTGCAAAGTCGTCGCGTCAGATCCAACAGCAGCGATATGACCAATTGCGCCGAAACCACCTACAAGCGGCGTTGGAAATGGCATCGGACGCTTACCATTGTAGGTCTCACGATGATAAGGTAGGATTCCAGCTGCAGCAATGCGGACAACAACGCTCCCGGGACCTGGTTGAGGTGTTGCCAGATTTTTGATCTGAAAACCGGACTCGCGGCTGTCAAGAACAAGAGCACGGTGTTCAGAGGGCAGTAATTGCGGCATGGCGTGGAGTGAAAAAGAAGGGCTTGGGTGAATTGACGACTATTCGCAGATGATTGATCTTTTAACCACGGCAAGGGTTTTGTTTGTTTTGCCGAGGGCGACCTTGTACTAGCATTGACAATAGGAGCTCGGCTTAACTATCCCACCGTTGATTATAAATTGTCGGAATATTGTCGGAATATGCCCAGATACCCGGTTCTTGCCAAGCAACCCTACCTCCTTTCGTGTAGCCCAGTGGGCTTTGAATGGCCCATTATTAGGGCCCAATATAAGCCCTAAACAATACAAATGTTCCGAAAAACGTGACTCTTCTAATTACCTTATGTTTACACCCCGTTTTTAGCCATTAGTTCAAGGTAATATTTTATGATCTGAATCGATTCGAAATCATTTATTAGTTAGATTTATATATCACTTCAAAGATGATAGGAAGCGCGTTATTTGGATAAGTTTTTAATTACAAAACTTCACTTAGAAAGTGATAGTATAAATCTCAAATATATATTCTACATCAGAACATTAATATTGAACTTTTCCGCGGTATCTCGGCCTCTAAAGCTCGAATTTTATTTAAAATTGAATCATATACTTACGTAGCTAATATAATTGTAAAGTCGGAAAAATTTGAACTCTATACAATGACTAGAAGGTCAGAATACAGCGATTACCAGATACTAGTTGAACCCCCTGAATGATCAATGGGCCCGGGGTTGGGCCTTAACAGACTGGGCCCATAGCCCATTTGTGGGCCCCTTGGAGGTCCACCCCAAGAGGCCAGTCGATTTTGACGCTGAGTGAATATGTTCCAAGTTGATCTATACGATTAGATAGGTATGCTAGATAGTTTAATCGTATAATACTCGAATTGATAGACTGCGACATTGCCCATGGATGGCCACTACTATATTCGCCCACGGGCGATCGGTATCGTCTACCCCTAGATGGATCTATGAACACCAAGGAGTACATGCAAGGTCAAGAACAAGAAATAGAAAAAAAGAAATCCACGATCAATAAGATCTCATTCATCTATAAAATATACGAAATTCTAACATCATAGTCCGAAAGACCTAGCGCCTAGTAACTACCTGCCCAGTCTTCGAACCCATCAAAATATGCTGGGCTGTCAGCACATATGGGAACCCGTTCTGCTTCGCCTTCCCCATCCACTGCAGCATATCCATCGCAGGCAGCGATGCCCATACGGGGTTATCGCTCAGAGCAGCAGTGGAGCCCTTGATATCGAACCGGTGGTTGGGGGTGTATAGCACTTCTGCGAAGATGGGCGCATCGCTATTGATATCTTGACTCTTGGTCAGAATAGCTTCGGATGTCCTCGCGATGAAGCCGGGCGTCGGACTGAGATCCATGTGGCCGGATGCACCCTCGAGATCGGGCCGTGCACCGACGCGCTGGGCACATTCGACAAAGTCTTGTTGGACGACGGAGTCGACTGTGTAGGGCGTGTCTGCCGATGCTGCGCTTGGCCTGTGGAGGTACACTGGAAGATCAAACTGCTTCGACACGGTATGAAGGAACCTTTCGGCCGCCAATTTACTAGTCAAATAGCCATCGTAGACATCCCCGGCAGCCATCTTATCCGCGTGGTCGGCGACAGCGCCGGACGAAAAGAAGTGGAGGGGTATACGGCGTGGGATACACAGACGAGTGATGTCACGGACGGACTGGAAGTTGACAGCTCTCAGCGCCTGGTAGTCATCCCAGAAAGACCGATTAGCAGCACAGTGCACCATGATGTCGGCACTATCAGATAAGTAGCTGAGCTCATCGGAAGTCAGACCAAGATTGGCATTGGCGAAATTGCAGGAGATGGCCGTAACCTTCTCAGATTTGGTGAGTAGCTTGGTCTTGTCACGGACAAGACAGATCACTCTGGATACCTGGGGGCTTTCAAGAAGAGACGGGAGGAGATGGCGACCGATATACCCAGTTGCTCCTGTTAGAACCACCGTCATGTTGTTATTTTGCGCAAGGGTCGTGGCACTCTGTGCAAGATCAGCCCACGATGCCGGCACAGACATTTCAGCCTCCCAGTTGACCACACTTGCACCCGTGTCTTCTAGAAGGCGCGCCATGTCACCCAATGTGCTAGAGTTCATGAGATCAGCGAGTCGTGGCGAAAATCCGAAGGCTTCCTTGAGTCGTCTTTGGAGTTTGACAAGCAGGAGCGAGTTTCCTCCGACATGGAAGAAGTCCGTCTCTGCGCTGATGGTAGCACCCGATGCCACCAATATCTCTTCCCATAATTGACAGAGTTTCTTTTCCTGGCCATTCATCTGACCTGGCTCAGAGGGAGCTGAGCTCAGAATATCTGGCAGAGGAATATTGTAAAGAGCCTTGCGATCGGTCTTTCCATGCACGTTCATTGGGACGCTGTCAATGGCAATGAACAGTGAAGGTCGCATGTAATTGGGGAGGGGTAGTGCCGCATTGATATCAATGAAAAGCTTGTCACTAGACTCGGACTGTGATGAAAGAACAACATAAGCCACTAAGAACTTCTCGGCGTCTTCGCCGTGGACGGCGACAACTGCCTGAGAGACCTTGCTACCTGCGACTTTCAAAATAGCATTCTCGATCTCTCCCAACTCGATGCGGATGCCACGAAGCTTAATCTGATCGTCCCCGTTGATCCGGCCCTCATAGATGAGGGTGCCATCCTTGTTGAGGCGCCCACGGTCACCGGTCCGATATAGTCTGTTCCACCCATGCGACTCAGAGCGTTTATCCTGCATGTTGCTTGGAACGGGGATGAACTTCTCGTTTGTAAGCTCTTCTTGCCCGAGGTATCCTGCCGCGACTCCGGGCCCGCCAACGACAATTTCCCCGGGAACACCAATCGGTAGAGGCTGTAACGCTTCATCTAGGATGCAGACAGAGTAGTTGGGGAGAACGCTTCCGACTGGAATTGGTTGTTCAGTATCAGCAAGCGCAAAATCGACTTCGCCTTTCGTAAGGGCAATAGTGGCCTCCACAGGGCCATAGAAATCGCAGAGCTTGAGGCTACTCGAGTTCAAATCCCGGAAGCGTCGAACAATTGACTTTGGCAAGGCTTCACCACCGACAAGCGCCAATTTCCAGGAAGAGCACCGAGAAAGAATGTCCGACCCCGCGTCGAACCACATACCATATTCGGTCGGTGTGGCCAGGGTATGGGTAATTTCCTCTTGCTCCATGATCTTGGTAATTTCATACGGGTCACTGCGTTGCTCAGACGAAGCCACGCAGAGGGTTCCCCCGTTGGCAAGAGCCGTGAAGATTTGATGCAGAGAGAAGTCAAAGCTGAGGGCGATTTGTTGGAGAACCACGATCGGACCAGCGTTCTCAGGTTCTTTGACTGCCTCGGCATTCGCTGCAAAGCAGGAATGGGGCAATACAATGCCCTTGGGGACACCCGTGGACCCGCTGGTGAACAGAATAGCTGCAGTGGACTCTGCCCGGGCTCTGTTAGGTACTTTGGCACCGGGGCTCGTGTGGATATCAGAAACGTTGACGATGACTGCCTCTGCTGCCTGAAGATCCGGCACTTGAGCCTCTGTCGACTTGTCATGGAGGATAACTCGCGGGCGGCCGACGTCAACAGCACCTGCAAGCCGCTGCAGACCATTCTTCAGATCTAGGGGAACATAGGCTGCCCCAACACGGAAAATAGCGAGTAGCGAACAAATCCAGTCAGCGCTTGGCTCTTGGAACACGCCAACACTGTCACCCTCAGAGACATGGTCAAGGATGGTGGCAGCGATTGTGTTGACTCGGTCGGACATTGCGCTATAGGTGAGCGCCTTTCCATGTCCATCCTTGATGGCTATGACGTCAGGGTGTGCATTAACCATCTCCTCGACGCGGTGTGCGACTGTTGCTGGCCATTCAAGGTCTAGTTCCGGGCCTATAGAAGGTTAGTCGTAATCTCACAGAAGGAGAGGTGTAACAAACCCTTTCCCACAGCTAACGCGTCATCAATATCTTTCTCTGACCATAGCTGAGGCGATGACAGATCAACATGATCGGCAGGCTTTTTTGTGGCCTGTTCCAGGAGATTCACAAAGGCACCAAGCAGCAACTCCGCTGCTTCCTTGGAATAGAGGGCTTCTTGCACTTTCAAAACGACCAGCGACTCTCCAGCAACGGTATCGAGCACCTCCAGTTGCAAATCATAACCTGTAGCGGCGTTATTCCAAGAAAGGTCCGCGTCGCAACCGGCAAGGCGCGATTTCTCGTGGTCGCTCAGCCGGTAATCCATGAAGATCTGGAAGATTGGGGTGTGCATGGCGGAACGGTCGATTCCGAGCTCATTCACAAGAACATCGAATGGGACCCGCGAGTGCTGGAGAGCAGAATAGACCTTGCTCCGGGTGAGCTTGACGCCTTGATCGAGTTTGGATGACTCTGCCCGGTTGAATTTGAGCGGTAGCAGATTCACGAGACAGCCGATCGTGTTGATGGAGTCTTTGTCTACTCGGTTCGAGTCCGCGATTCCGACAAAGAATTCGTTGGTGTCGGGAAGGAGTCGGAAGACGAGCGCTTGGAGAATAGTGAGGTAGAAATGGAAATTCGTGCTGTGAAGCTTGCGGGCAATTTGCTTGACCTTGCTAGCTAACCCAGCTTCTAGCCGGGTCGACACACGATGTTGCCTACACCAATGTTAGAAAATCTTCACCTCGATGCCATTGTCAAACTCACCGGTAGTTATCCAAAACTTTCCGCTTCGAGAGGTGCGAGAACGAAAATGGGTCAATTGCACCCGGACTTTCACGAATGATATCACGGAAGAAATCGATGTCAGCCTGCATTACCCCAGATTCGTAGTCTTCTTTCTGTCTGCTAGCGAACATTCTGTATTGCGAGGCATCTGTGATCTGAGGAAGAGCTTTCCCGTTGTACAAACCGTCGAGCTCCAAGAAAAGAAGGTGCATGCTTTGTCCATCCAGGGCAATATGATGACAGCCGATGAGGAAGTAGTGAACAGTATCAGAGAGAGTAAGGAGAATAGCTCTGACAGATCCCCAGTCTTCCAGATCATATTCGTGGTTCTGCAACCTCTCCAGTTCGTCGACTGCATCAGCATCTGAATATATGCGTTTGGTCTCCAATTTTAGTAGAGGACGGGAGATAATTTCCTGCATCGGTGTGCCGGTGTCTCCATCCGACCAGAGGTATCTAGTACGTAGACTCTCGTGTCGCTGAACCAAGGTGTTCAGAGCTCGTTCAAAGGCCGAGATCCGGAGGTGACCTGTTAGGCGTGCAGATGTCGAAAAGTTGAATGGTGTCTTATCCTTCAAGAAATGATGCAGGAACCAGAACCTGGCTTGCCCAAAAGACATAGGCTCCCTTACGATACGGGAGGAGTGAATTATCAAGTCTCGTTCCGACCTGGCTAATCCATCTGGCCCCCCTAGTTCTTTGGAATCAAGGAGCTCGGCTGGAGTCAATAGTTCGACGGATGATGTTAGACTTTCATCTGGAGTTTGCAGTGGTGAGTAGCTGGATGTAGAGTCACTAGGTGTCTCAGAGGCGGCACGGTTAAACCTGGACTTTTCGAGTGGCGGTGGAGACGACGACGACGCGCTGGGGGTGTCAGCGTAGCTCTTCGTCTCCTCTGCACAAGTGATAGATGCAGGTATTTTGGAAATGGCAAGTTGGATGAGATCAGAAATCGAGCTGCCGTCAAGGATCTTTAAAACCGGAATATCAACCTCTATCTCTTTCAAAAACCACGAGCGGACCATCACAGCCACAAGTGAGTCTAGCCCCTGCTCCACAAGAGGCGTCGAGAGATTAACGTCCTCGTCGGCCGAGATCTGGAGAACCTTTTTGAGATTCACGACAAAGGAGTCTGTTATACAATTAGCCAAGCTCCCGGTCGTTTCATGCACTTAGTGACTTACCTTTAACAATCTCATAAATTGCATCTTCGCTTGTCATTCCCTGCAACTGTACCCGCACTTGTGCGGCAGCCTTGCCGCCGCCGACGTTGGATCCTTCTTCCGTAGTCAGGATGTAATGGGAGAATTTGATGTCTCTGGTATGGGTCTGGGGAACATCCAAGTCGGGTGACACGTAATTAACACCAGATACAATCTCAGCCTCGTCAAGTGAGTCTGGTCGACCGGAGAGAATTGCCTCTGCAAAGAGTATGCAGAAGTCCTTCTCCGACATATTGTTGTAGCCGAGTGTAGTGAAATACTCAAAGTCAAAGTTATCCTCCTGGGCGGCGTAGCCAACACCATGAACACCCGTTATGTCCATAGCGGAACCAGGGACTCCTCTCTTCTTGCGCTGGTACATGAGGGAGGTCATAAAAGTGTTCGCTGCCGAGTAATTGCTCTGTCCGCCGAAGCCGATGGCTGCGGTGATAGAAGAAGTGACAATGAAGAAGTCCAGTGGCGTGTCATGGAACAGTTCATCCAATAGCTTAGTGCCTTCGACCTTAGGCTTGATAACTCTGAGGAACTGCTCGTGAGTCATGTTTTCGAAAACACTGTCTTGAAGGATCATGGCACCGTTGACGACGCCACCAACGGCGGGCATGGTGCGGCTAATCTCTCCGTAGCAAGACCAGAGTGACCTTCGGCTTGTAATATCCCTGTATTTGGTTAGTCTATGGAATAAAGGGGGAAGAATCTTTTACTGACAGCGGCAATGTTCTGACTGTAGCTCCTTGCTGCGCCATCGCCTCGATGAACTTCGGGTTGACCCTTGGAGACCGGCTACTCAAGACGATGTACTTGGCTCCGTGGAAAATCATCCACTCGCATAGGGACTGACCCAGCTCGCCAGCCATACCAACAAAGAAGTATGTTCGATCGGGTCTGAAGATAATACCTGAATCGATTGGCTGAACTTTGACGGGAACAGATTCGATCGACCAGTCAACCACGGTCAAGGGCTCCAACACAGAATGATCGGAGACTTGACTCAGAGGAATTGTGATGGCCTCTGCGGGATATGTGCAAGTTTGGATTGCCTGCTGAAGAAGCTGACTGATCATGTCACCAAAGCGCGGATGGGGATCAGCGATATCATTATTGAGGAGAGAGCTTCGCTTTATGTGGATGCATTGAGACGGGAGGCACTTGTCGATCAGTTCAGATAGGGAATCTGTTTCAGCACCCCTAGAGAGATCAGCGTAGACGGAGACATCTGTTGGAAGGAGCTGCTTCAATTTATGCTGCGAAAGCCTCGGGTGGATATAGAAGCTGTCGGGGGTGTCTTTGTTGTCCTGACTGGTGATAAAAACAACCCTGACACCCAATGACTCTGCCCTATGCACAAGATAAGATCTGAACGGCTCGTCTGCCTCCCGCACCAAGAGCACTCCATCACCTGGCACAGATTTCAGAACCGCCTCCGCCAAGATATTGGCAGCGACGGAAGTAAGGAAGGACGAGGGACTAGGACCCATAGCAAGGCCTGCGACTGGTACACACCACTTCGATGGTACAACTGCTGGGGACTGGGTAGAGGATGAAAGCGCGAAAACTGGCTCGGAGGAAGAAGTCACACCGTAGATGAGACGGAGGAAGCCAGCGCTTCCAACCTTGAGAGATTGGAATGAGGAGAGAACGATGCGGATTGTAACACATTCTGATGATGGAGTATCGGGAAGTTGCAACGGTGAGACATCTTGGACGTCAAATGTCAGTCCATTCTGGATCATCCTAATAGCCGTCTGTCTGGGGTCGATCTCTTTGGTTATGGCGCGTCTGTGAGAGTTGTAACGCTGGTTTTTGTCGGTGCTGGGCAACAGTCTCGGAATGAGCGCGCGTTGATCCTGCATAACAACCTCAGGCTCTGAGGACCAGAGAAGGGCTTCTTTGTTAGATCGCCATTGCCTCAGAAGATGATGCCTAAGCAGAGCTTCAGACAGGGTATTGGCTGTTGACCCATCGACAGCTTCAATGTCGATCAGTTGAAGATTGATATTCGGATATTCCGTCTTGATGGTTCGCCCGATGCCCACCAGCATCATGGAATATGGTTCATCCGCCCTGGAGCCGCGGGAAACCAAGAGCAAAGTCCCCGCTACGTCAAACATTTGCTGTAAGCTAGTAAACTTCTGCGGCGTCAATGTCCTCATAAACGGCTCATCAAGGTCAGTCAGGCAGAGAATGCAAACCCCATGAGGTACCTCGGAGCTAGAAATCATCAAATCTTCAACAATCTCAAACATCATGACTGCAGAGAACAAACGAGATACATTAGTCATAACCTCCTCAACAAGTCCGAAGACTGATAGTGTCGTGCCGCCAATAATAACCAGGGTGCCCAAGTTATCCTCGGTTGGCAATGAAAGAGGGTTGCGGAGGAGAGCGACTCGATCATCAACGGCCTGGGAAACAAATACTGTGACGGGAAGAGACACGCTGATATCGGGGGTCACTGTATCAATGCCCGAGAAGCCTGTTTTCTGGAGCACAGAGTCCCACTGAGGCAGTGTCAAGCTGGGACCCCACGGTCGTCCAGTCTCCGCCGCCGCCCACCAGCCTGGCAGGGTCCCCATGGTCATACCACTGAAGAGAAGTTCGCAATTTGTTACCTCCAAGGTGAGCAAGTAGCCACCGGGCTTCAGCAGCCGGCGTACATTCGCCATGGTTTGCTCCATATCAGCGGAAATATGCAGAACATTGGCAGCAATAACGACATCATACTGGCCTTCAGTAAATCCTTGCTCACTTGGTGGGAATTCAGTGTTGAAAGTCTTGAAGATCATACGGTTAGAATAATCCTTGAAGCGCTCCTCGGCTTCGGGGAAGAAACCACTGGACACGTCAGTGAAAGTATATGTTCCAAACGCTGAGCCAACTTCAGGCAAGATTGTCTTTGTCGATGCACCCGTTCCAGCTCCTATAGCAAGTTAGGTCTTCCGCTAGATGATAATTTGATATGCAGAAGCATCAAGACTGACCGATCTCAAAAATATGCATTCCCGGATACCGGTGCGCGATTTGGGCGACGATTCGACTCAGCCAGCGGTTATTTGGTCCAGCTGCCAGTCCATTTTCGTAAAGCGCGAGCATCAGCCCGTCTTGATTCATATGTTCTAGCATGCTGGTACCGCTGCGGATGACTTCAACCAGATGTTCGCCGACGACCTCAACAAAGCGGATATCTTTGCGGCCGACATATCTAATGCAAATCAATCAGTTGTGTATCCAATGTAGCCCCTTTGATGAAGACTAGGTAAAATAAAAGTCCTTCACTTACTTGCTCAGCACTTCAATGATGTCTGCTCTCCCATCGTTGAGACATTCAGGGGGCACCTTAGGATGTTCACCCTGAGAGACCATACCAATCATTCGATCACACCATCGCATAAAGTATCTAAAATGGGGCAGAATCTGATCACGCTCTTCTGGGGTAATAATTTCGGCCGCATTTCGGATATACCAGAAAGCGATACGGTCAATGTCCTTGTAAACCTGTGCTTCGTAAGGTGAGATCATCTCGCCCATTGCTGCAAGCTGTCCATCCGGAACGGCAAGTTTCATCTTGAAGCTTGAGAATAGTGGCAGGTCGTCTTTAGGAGACGCTGGAGAGAATGGAACGAGGCATGCACCTTCAATCTGAACGCATGAGTTCTTGCCATCTGGGGTGTATAGGTGGATATCTGCAGTGACGCTTCCTTGGATGTTGCTGCGAATGAATGTTTCGTATTTGAAGGAGCCTTGCTTGCCCAAAGCGAGAGGGCTGAAGTGGGGATTGAATACCAGCGAGTCGATCCGAGTGGGAACGTGAAGGGACCAGATCTGGCCATCGTCGGGGAAAGCCCATGCCGCGAAAACGGTTTGGAGGGCGGTGTCAAGCATTCCCGGATGGAAGGTAACATTATCCTCCCATAAGAGGTCAGACTGGTCCTCGATCAGACCGGTGGCATATCCTGGCTTGCGCTGAATGTGCGAAACCCCGCGGAAGGGCTCGGAGTAATCATAGCCAATCTTAGTGAGGCAGCGGTAGAACTCCGTGTCTTCAACGGTAACCAGATTGAAGGGATCTGACTCGTATGTTCCGAGTGTCGCTAGACTAGACCTGCCGAAATCTGCAATGATCTTTCCTTTCGCGTTTAGGACCGCATTTCCATCAGTATTTGATATAGAGTAGCATGCGAACTTGGCGGTCATGGTTTTTTCAGTTGTCTCCACTACCGTTGCATTGAAGAGAACTTCGATACTAGCTCCATCATCACCGAAAGCAATTGCGCGAGCGATTTCAAGATCAGCAACCCTGATACAAGTAATATCTTTCTGGGTGGTGAGCTGCTTCGTTGCTTCAATGGCCATAGACACGTAACCCGTGGCCGGGAAAACCATTTGACCCTGCAGCCGATGCCCACTGAGCCAAGATATCTCGCTCGGACGAAGAATGTTTCTCCATTGAAAGTCCTGGGTAGTGCCCGCTTCGGAACATTGCGTACCAAGCAGTGGGTTTGGGGGGGTTCGGCGGAACTTATGGTGGTTAGATACACGGGACCCAGCCCAATATTCGCGTTGGTGGTCAAAGGGATATGATGGCAAAGTGGTGAGAACCTGCCTGTTTGCTTCAAAGCCAGACAAGAGCTTGTCGACCGCATCGAATTTAATGCTTCCGGACCCAAGATGCATCCAGGTAAAACCAAGATTCGCGGACAGTTCGTGGACATCGTGTTTGGCTCGAGACAGAAGACCTGTGTAGGGGGCTTCACATCCAAACTCCTCAAGTGTAGATGTTGCTGGACCCTTCAGTGCTGGGTGTGGACCAATTTCAATGGTCATGTCGAATGGTCCAGCCTCCGAAGCAGCTTGACCGACTGCACCAGAGAATAACACCGTGTTGCACATATTATCAACCCAGTAGCTTTCTGTGAGATTTGCCTTGGACATTCTTTGTCCCTCGGTAACACTAGAAAACCACACAGGACCTGTCCCATCGCTTGGAAGTATCCCGCAGGACTTCATGGATTGTAGGTAACGCTCTGCACAGGGTAGCATGTGCGCTGAGTGATAGGCAGTGTCAACCTTCAGCTTTCTCACAAACTTCTGCTCGGTCTTCAGCACCTCAAGAACCTCATCAACGGTGGCCTCATCGCCGGATAGGGTGATACTAGAACTGGAATTCACTGCCGCGACCTGAATACGACCTTTGAAGCGTGGGTCGGCGCATATTTCCAGGGCTTCTTGCTGCGAAGCACCAACAGCCATCATGGCACCTTTCTCGCCATTTGGCGATGACGCATGCTTCGCGTGTAGGCCACGATAGTATGCGATGCGAACAGCATCCTCGGCAGACAGGAGACCCGCAGCGTAGGCAGCTCCAATCTCGCCGGACGAGTGGCCCACGACAGCTTTGAAGTGAACGCCCGCAGCACGAAGAATATCTACCAGCACAACCTGAATAGCAAGGCACAGAGGCTGTGATACTGCTGCTTCTGCCACGCGCGAAGTCTCATTGCCGGCAAGCAGCTGCTCCTTGATTGTCCAGGCGGGGCGGTCCTCTGTAGGTAGGCTTTGGAGAATCGAGTCAAGCGAGGCAATTCTTTGTTGGGCAAAAGTTGAGGTCTCGATGAGACAGGCTCCCATCCGCGGCCACTGCGCTCCCTGTCCGGTAAACACACCAAGGATAGCTGGATTATTGACCTGGGGGCGACGAATGCTCAGCTCCGACTCATTAGGAGAGTCATTCGCCATACTGTTCAGCTGACCAGGTAGCCCCTCATTTTCGTGGACTGGAACATATGCTCGGTAGGGTAGTGTCGAGCGGCGCGTGCTCAGAGTACTTGCCAGATCATGGAGATTAACCGCAGGGTTGGCGGATAGGTAGCTTGAATACGTGGCGAGCATGTTCCGAAGGCTCTTCTCTGAAGCTGCAGAAAACAGCAGTGGTGTGACATTAATCACTGAATGAAGTTCCGATGTCTTTTCAGAAGCTTGCTCAAAACTTTCAATGATGGCGTGGGCATTGGTTCCACCAAAACCTACTAGAGTCAGCAATTGACATGATATCAATCGAAATTGCCTTACCAAAGCTGTTGACACTCGCCCGCTTGACCTGACCGGAAGCCAGCTCCGGCCAGGGCACAGGCTCAGTTGGGATGTGTAAATGTGAGTAAAATGGCGCGACTTTGTCGCTTAATTGACTAAAGTGAAGGTTAGGCGGTATGATACCATGCTTCATGGCGAGTGAGGACCCAATTAACGAGGCTAGGCCAGCTGAGCCTTCAGTGTGCCCAATCACAGTCTTGATTGAACCCACCAGGAGCTTTGTGTCATTCTGCAAGCCATCGGGAAATAGTGCTGTCGATATGGCCTCCGCCTCTTGGGGGTCACCGGCCTGAGTTCCAGTTCCGTGTGCATGGAAAAATTGGGGACGATCGCGAGGCTCATTGATGTCCAGCCCAGCTCGGCTGTAGGTGTCGCGAATAAGTGAGGTTTGCGCAATATTACTTGGCATAGTGAGTCCGGTAGTGCGACCATCCTGATTGACCCCAGTCTCACGAATGATACACTCGATGTGATCTCCATCGGCAAGAGCCTGGCTCAAGGTCTTCAAGACTACGGCAGCAACGCCCTCGCCACGGGCATAGCCATCGGCAGCCCGATCCCACATCGCGCACCTTCCACTTGGCGACAGCATTCGCAGGTTTGTCTCAGTAACATACATGTCTTATAGTATTAGTCGCAACTCAGTCAATGAGAGGGTCTGTACTCACTAGGGCTGAGAATCAAATTAGTTCCGGCCGCTACAGCCAGAGAGGATTCACCGCTGCGCAGGCTCTGCACGGCCTGATGCACGGCAACAAGGCTGGAGGAACAGGCCGTATCGATGGTCATCGAGGGACCATGCCAGTCAAAGACGTATGAGATCCGGTTGGACACGATACTCCGAGCTAAACCAGTAGCCGTATAGGTTGGCAGGGTCTCGACATCACTTGCCACCATCGAGGCCCAATCATCGCACATCATACCAACATAGATGGCGGTGGAGGAACCACGGAGGTTCTCCATAGGCAGACCCGCGGTGCAAATGGAGTCATACACAGTCTCTAGAAGTAGACGCTGCTGTGGATCAACCGCATCGCTCTCCATCGGCTGTATATTGAAGAATGGCGCATCAAACTGGGCTACGTTCTCCTCAAGAAAGTAGGACTTGGTGGCGTTCGTGGTACCATGGTGGGTTGCCTCAGGATGGTAGTAATGATCAACGTTGAAACGGTCGAGAGGAACCTTTTTGGAAATGTCGCGAGGGTTTTTCAGCAGCTCCCATAGCTTGCTTGGGCTATCACACCCTCCTGGAAATCGGCAGGCGGTTCCAATGATGGCAATTGGTTCCGGCATGGAGGGCAAGAGGCGTTTATATCAATTCGTGTTGAAGAAACCGATAAGCTGCGAGAGTACAAAATGATTGTTGAGGTTGTTGATTGACAATAAGGAAAACTTGTTCATTATATACACATGTTTCGTTGTCTTCGTGGTATGTTGGTCGTCTCATGAGGCTTGAGCGAATTTGGGGCCATACCAGCTAAGCTGATATCCCACCGAAAAATTCCGAACACAACAACACACCGAACTCCACACTATGCATGCATGCTCTAGGCTTAATCCTGCCGTAGTTTGATTTTGACCCACTATTTTCTAGTGAGTGGCATGTTTGTAGAGGAACATAGTTGCAACAAACCTTCTACCATTGCCATGCGAAGTTCGGATCCATCATCATGCCTGAGCCTGGGAACATCTGACTAGAGCCCATGAAAGGGAATCCATAATACAGGTTCTCCTCGAGACCATTTCCATTGATTCCACCGGTGGGAAAGGGCATAGGTAGATCTGATACATCGTAAGTAAGGATAGAGGGGGAAATGACGGCTAACTGACCTGAATTTAGGGCAAAATCAGTGTTTATACCCTGGCACTCTGCGCCTATATTACAATCACCCGAACGTTGAGCCAAAATAATGCCAAGAGTATCTGCTGCTGTCTTTGCTTCTGCCGATGAATTCCTTGATCGCATCCAGATACCGTGTGCTCTTGTTAGCGCTCCCATAATTTGGTCCAAGTTGTGGCCATCGGTAAGAGTGTCTGAGCTACTGTGTCTCTGTCGCGCAAGAAAGCACAGTAGCATGGTAGCTGTCAGAAACTCATGCTTCATGAATGAGGAAGCTCGCCATCGTATCATATAAAGCTGGCCATCCGGGCTAGTTTCCTCGTCGCATATTCCCTGGATCTCTAAAATACCTAAGGCTGCCTCTATGCAAGAGGTGCGCGAGTAGGAATATGATGTCTGACCATCGGAATATGAGGCTAGGTCGGGGCTTAAATACTTGCAGTGTAACATGATCTGTCCCTTGTGGAACATCAGTCTGAGGAAAAGACGATGCATAATCACTTGCGGGGGATCAGTCACCGCCGCCGCCATGGCCTTCATGCGGAGATAACCGGGGACAGTCGCCTCCGCATCATGCAGAATGCGATCTAGTCGCATTACCTCGTCGTAGACCACTGGTCGCACCGAGGCAGTAAAATCGACGATCACACCTAAGGCGGCAAAGATACGACGCCGAGCAACAATATGTGAAACCGTGGTGATCTCGGTCTCTGACCTAGATGGGGGAAGCTCGAGGCAATCCTCATCAAAGTCCGAGTCATTCAGATTGCGGGGTTCTATGGTGTCACATTGCCAATCCTTGATCATTCGTGGCATGCCCATCTGGGTGGAGATCAGGATATCCCCCTGCAGGATGGTGGCCCATGCCCGCCGGCGCATCTCTCCTGCAAATGGGGATATCCCCGGCAAGTGCGAAGGATCCCGGTGGTACCCCATACGCAGGGCTATATTGACTGAGATTCCGGAAATTATCCAGATGTCCCGATCAGCATCCTTCCGGATGGAATACTCGATAGTCAAGTAGTGGTAAAGAGTTTCGAAGACGTAGCGCCCGGATTTGGTGTACTCGCCCAGAATAAGACATTGTACTATCTTTTCGCGGTACATATCCACCAATGGATCGCGATCTCCGGAAGATGAGCTGGAGTCTGCTGCACTTGAAGCCAGCACCGCGAGACATATCATAGAGAAAAGAAGACCCAGCCATATGATCGAGGTCTGAGATGGGTTCTCCCAAAACCGCTCATACTACAGTCATTACCATTAGAACCAAGCTCTAGTTATGTTATTTGGCGAACTTTTCCGCATACCTCACGTGAAAATTGACCACTGTGCAGACAGGCTAAAGAGTATGATGCCCTATATTAGTCTATTTTCACACATTGCAGGTCGGGGGCTTACATGGCGCCAAGTCCAATCGATTAAAATACTGAGAAATGTAGCGATCGACAGCTGGTCTATCAGGCAGAGCTGCCAAAATATCTTCTTTACTCGCTGATTTACTTCCATACAGGAGGAAAGTATGCAGCATAGCAGGCTTTTCAATCTTTCCATCGTCTTCCCGTTCAAGTTGCTCCTTAATGTCGGCGATCCCATCCAATATGGCGGCCCAATGAGTTCCTCCAACATACTGGGCATCTGAAGAGCTAAACCATACGCTTCCGCCGTCAGACTGCCCCGGAGAATCTTCAGGGCTGATGATCCCTTCCGGCGAGCCTTCCCGGGGCTGATCCTGGGTAACCGATGCGACGGGATACTGGTCTGGGGGGTCTTGGCCATCGGAGGTGGTCTTCTGCATTAGTGAGACGACAATCTGCTCCAACTGACCCAGGCGGTCCTGAACGGTTGCTTGAGGGCGACCCCTATTGGTCCCATGTGGCCGAGGCGATTGTGAGGCCTGATTGCTTGGATAGGCACACGAAAGCGCCAATCCACGAGTGGTGCATGTTGAACAGGGTTGTTTGCGATCGCATCGGAGCCTATCGGAGAATTTGGTTAGCTAACATCCAGATAATTGAAAATATTTGGTACTTACTTCCTCCGACGACATAAATTACAGGAGAGCTGGGGTTTGCTCCGGCGATTGAAAGGAGCCGGTTGGAGGTTAGGTTCATCAGCGGGCGGAGGATCCATCGTGGCTGTCAGGAATATGCAGGTGCACGGTTTCTAGCTGTCCGACCGTTTAATATTATATGCAGTATGCTGGGCCAGCCACCACTCTAGCAGTCAGGTCGTTTGAATTAAATGGAACGTTCCCTGTTCTAGCCTCTTCTTCAGATGTGTGGTGGGATGGGCGGGGTATATTTCTGCCGTAGAGCTCGTATTCTCACAGGGATGGTGGCAAAAGGGGCAGAGGGCAGAACCAATAGATAGAGATATTAGGGGCAATGAGCATACATTAGTACGAAGAATGATGGTAGATGGAGAGGCATCCATGTAGTCGGGTTGTCTGATGGTGATCGTCTTAGCCTGATCACTCGTCTGCCAAGCTCTAACTCTATCCGGTAAGGCGCGGGTGATGCGCCGAAGACCCATGGATCAACAAAATTTCTGGCCAACCGGACGAACTTGCAGTTGTTGCCCCTGAGGTCCGTGCGTTCCTCCGTCTTCTCCTCCGCACACCCATTCCTCCGTCTACTATTCCATCATTTGAATCCACTTCCCTCTTATTCTATATACGACTCCACAATCTCCGTCTATTCATCCGCTCCGTTTCTTGCTTTTTTATTGCCAAGATCAACTAATTTGAGCAGCCATGAACCCTCCGAAACTTGGTCCTGGCTTCAAGCCCGTCGGCCCGGCCTTTTGTGATGCGGAGGAAACGATCTGCACTCAACCTATCCGTGGACATAGATCCCCGAGAAAACAGATCGCCCACCTCCGTTCTGATCAGGGGGCATTCTCTGTCAGTACAAAGGCACAGAGCTAGTCTATAGACGACGATTCCTCTTCATCCAACCATTGAGTACAGCCTGCAGAATGAGTCCCTCTACCAATGAAGAGACCGAACAAAATTTGGTTGAAGCCAACTTGAAGACAGATGAGGAGGCGGTCAAGCTGCCGTCGCGTAAACCACAGGACGACGTCGTGGACTGGGACGGCCCCGATGACCCCCAGAATCCCCTCAACTGGTCTAACACCAAGAGTTTTGGTCATGTCGTGATTGTGGCTGTCTTGTCGATGGTCGTGTAAGTGGGCCCCTAGGAGAGACAAAACAAACACATGTACTAATCAAGGTTCTAGCAACATCGCCTCGACCATGGTCGCTCCGGCGATGGCAGGTGTGTCTAGGGACTTGGAGATTACCGACATGACCCTGGCAACACTCGCCGTCAGTATCTATCTGCTAGGATTTGCATTGGGCCCCCTTGTCATCTCTTCGCTCTCCGAGATGTACGGGCGCCTCATCGTATACCATACATTCAATACCATCTTCGTCATTTTCGTTATCGCTTGCGCCCTGAGTCAAACTACGGCCCAATTTCTGGTCTTCCGGTTCATATCTGGTTGCGCGGGAGCGGCGCCACTTTCCCTTGGTGGTGGAACAATTGCCGATGTTATCCCGATCGAGAAACGCGGTGCGGCAGCGGCCTTGTTTGGCCTAGGTCCCCTTCTAGGACCGGTAATATAACTTCAACCCACTGAATTGAACTATGCTGACCCATATAGGTTTTGGGACCGGTGATTGGGGGCTTCGTTGCCCAAGGAAAGGGCTGGCGATGGACCTTCTGGGTGGTCGCAATCGTCGTAAGTGGTCGTTTTCTCGAGTGGTGTCGACAACACTAACACTATAACAGGGAGGAGCAGCGGGTATCGGGACACTCATCTTCATGCGCGAAACGCATCCTAACACTCTGTTGGAACGGAAGGCTGCGCGCTTGCGACGCACAACCGGCAACCCTCACCTCCGATCTAAACTTGATCGCGGCCTCACGAACCAGCAGATCATTGTCGCCGCCCTCGTACGCCCTACCAAACTTTTGATATTCTCACCGATCGTGCTTGGCATGTCCATCTATGTGGCTCTCATCTTCGGCCTTCTATACCTCCTCTTTGCTACCTTCAGCATGGTCTTCGAAGGCCAGTACGGATTCACCACCGGCACTTCTGGTCTGGCCTACCTCGGCCTTGGTATTGGCGAGCTGGTGGGGCTGGTCGTCTTCGGAATCCTTAGTGACCGCATCTTGAAGGCGAAAATGGCGGCGGACAATGTCCAGGTACCTAAGCCCGAGTACCGGCTGGTCCTGATGATGTGGTTCCCACCAGTAATTGGACTTGGGCTGTTTATTTACGGTTGGACGGCATATTACAAGGTGCATTGGATGGCTCCGATCTTTGGGACGTCCATTGTCGGGTTTGGGTCCTTCTTCGTGATCATGCCATCTCAGCTCTACCTAGTAGATCTCTTCGGGTCAGAAGCGGCAGCATCTGCATTGGGGGCTAATATTCTCCTCCGCTCGATGTTCGGGGCCTTCTTGCCGCTGGCCGGGTCTCATATGTATGCGGCGCTCAACTACGGATGGGGTAACACACTGCTAGGATTCCTGGCACTGGCATTTGCTCCCGTGCCGATTTTCTTCTATCGGTACGGAGAATGGCTACGGAGTCGGACAACAGTCAAACTGTGAGGCTTCTGCTGGATATTTATAGATAAGGCTAGACTATGTTAATCCTGGCGTTCTGCAGCCACGCGGTTGGCAAAATACCAGGGGCGCTGAAAATTCGTCCAATATTAATAAGACTCTATCTCCAAATTATTAACCCCCGAAGCCTACTGGCTCCAGGGCTCCTACGAAAGTAGTCATAAGCTCGGATGTGGAATTTTGAATTACCCTTTCGGAATCATTCCGCCCCCATGTTTTCAAGGCTCTACACAATATCACTACTATTCAATTTGGTGTTGTCTGTTTGATTTCCATGTCCAAAGTTGCTCGAAATTTAGTACTAGCACCTCGCATTATTCCGCTCCTTTTTATGTCAGGTAAGGTTTCTGAGGTCCTTCATAACCAATGATACCCCATGCACTCGCTCTCGCCGGGTGAACGGGCAATATTTTGGCATAGTCCGGAGTATATATCCCCGAGATCCTTCTAGTATCTATCGGCTTCACCGGGGCCCTTGCTAGTTTTTTTTTTTTTCTCCGTTTTTCCTTTTCCTCTCATCTAATTTCAATTCCATATCTTAGATTCAATCTTACTAGCCCTTCTAGTTGTTGTTCTAGTGCGTCTCTTGCTAGGGCCTACCTACCCAGATAGGTAATTAATCAACTTCGTAATTTCCTTGCTCCGCATTCTTCCAATGCCCCCATTCAGGCCACCTTACATGTGGCGCACAGTCGGCACATGGTATGCATGACAATGGTCCCTGGCCGTTGCAATCATGTGCCAAGCCTTCTTGTTGCAAATACCACACATGTAGATGGTTAAATATTCCCACGTGGGGTAGGGTAAATAGGCATCACTGATAGAATTTGAGCTACTTTACTTTGCCTGTCGGAATAATGCGGTGTGCTGTCAGATTTCTCGCCCCCCGGAAACCCGACGGCGGCGCCCAGGCATTGTTGCACCACAAGAGTCTATGAGTCTGCATGAGTGAGATTGCCGGGGTGTTAGCACAGCGATTTTCTGGCTGCATTAAATACATAATGCATAGTGCATAACCGGAGGCTCTTCTGCCCTTGCGACATTCGATGCATCAGATACGGTATCAATTGCGTGTTAAGGTGGTTCAGGGGCTTTCCCAACCGCCCCATCTCTACACAGTGAGAGACTTTCTTCGGACAAGGCTTAGAACAAGTCAGTGTAACCCATCTGACGTGTGATCTCACCTGCAGCGAAATTGGCCCCCAGTCAGAAGGATTACGACGGTACTTGAGCAATGCTGGAATTAGTCATGGAGTTGAGCTTCCTGGCCCTCGGTCCAGCGCTACCCAGTGGTGGGATGCCAGGCCCACTTTCTATCTGGCGTTCTAAGGTTGTGGTCAACTTCCAAAAGGGACATTCAGCCCAGCAAAAATCCTCGCTTCGGAATTACTTGATAGCCACCGGGCAGACGGCCCCCCGGGAAGTAAATTAGCGTATTCTTTGCATGGGGATACGGAAGTACCATGCCCCCACTTCGTATTTGTTGGCGCTTGAGTATTTTGCCCTAATTTTCCGAAGGATCAATGATTCTTCAGTACCATGATGAATGTTCCATACACCACTCGGCCTGATATTAAGGGCCTGAAAGTAATCAAATACTCAATATATGGTTAATATGGCGATTTATGGCGATTTATCTTATAATCAACGAAAGAAATGAGATTCCTTCCAAAGCCCATATACATTTCCAACTCTTGTAAAATATAGTATATATTATCATTGTACTAGTTGGTTAGCGGACTTGGCGTGTTGGGTAAGATAGCGCTGGCAACACGAAGGATCCTGAATCCTGAGTTTTTCTTTAGTTGAATCCACTTAATCGTAACGTGTATATATAGACATTGGCCAGGTCTGCTCCACTGACGCCAACAATTCTAGGTTTTCAGTCAATGCCAATTTTTGCCAAGTCGTCAGACCACATTTTGCTCCATCACACCTGAAAGACAATCAGAGTAGTCAAGAAGTGGCCTCATGAGCTTGAGTAGCCGTACCGAACATCTAGCCAAGATGCCAGTCGCTCCCACATCTGTGCAGTCATACCGCACATCGTGCGACCGATGTCGACTGCAGAAACTGCGGTGCGTGCCAGTATCTGATGATGACTGCTCGCACGCGTGTCAACGGTGCACGCGCGCCCGAATGCCTTGTGTTTTCAGTCGGCGAGCTCCCAGTGGGCGGCAGCCCAAGAAGTTCGACAGGATGGAAGATATTCCCCACACCTCCTTACCGGGATCAAACGCATCGACGCCGCCATTGGAATTTCCCAGGTTTCCCGCGTTGCGGGACAATCCTTTGCCGCCGATCACTGGTGTCGATTCCATCACCAACCAGCACAACCTGGCCGATCGAGCGCTGGATCCGATGCTAGCGGAGCTGTTATCCCATACCCCGGGAGACAATATGGTCATGCCCGTTCATATGTCATTCCCTATTCAAAAGGCACCATGGTGGTTTTCGCCCGAGTCGTTGAGCCTAGAGCTTGAGCATACAAAATCGAGCAACTCCTCAGACCAAACATACTTTAACCAAGCCGACACAAACCACACAGCAGAAGAACTCAACATACCAAACACAAGGAGCATAGTCCCCGAAAATCTGAGTCCCTCGGACCAAATTCAATCCACTCAAGTCCGAGGGTTCTCTTCAATCCTCGTCGCAATGACGAACTACACAAGTGATCTCCACCGGTACCGCGTAGCAAAGATCGATTCAAAACACAGCAGCAGTATATATGACTACCCAATCGGCGGAGCAACCTATCTCGCACAGTGGTTACGTGAAATTGTGTCTCGACAAAAATGGACGCGAACCGAATTTCCCAGCCCTAGCCCCGATAGCGATGATCTCGTGGATACACCCACCCTCCTGATGATTTTACCCTGCTACATGTCCCTAGTGAACATATACGACACAGTGTTCTACGATCTACGTCAGCTGTTAGCCATACTTCCAGACCCGTCGTCAACATCATCCCGAGCTGAGCTACCGTGGGACCTGCGACTGGGTGACCTGCCTTTAACAAACGATGGGTGCGTGCGGATTTTGAACGCCGTGCAAATATTGCTTGATGCGCTGGATGCTATTGAAAATGATATCGGTATGTGACCTCCATGTTTGTCATATACTGATTGTAACTAACAATATCATAGAACGCGTCCAAGGCTCCAACGATAGCATTATAGATTCGCTGTTCAGAAAAAATGTCAGCGCTGGCGCGGCAATGGAAGGTGGGCTAAGTGGGGGACTGAGAGCGAATGTTGAAGAGCTGCAAGGGCTTTTGAGGCAAAATCTAAATTTGTAGACCAAAGGTATCTATATAGGAAGCATAGAATAGATACACCATACCCACAACACTTATATTGTGGGATACCCACACACATCAGTCTATATATATGTAGGAAATATTTCTTAAAACTGAAGAGCAACGAGGAACTTCACGTCTATCAATTACATGATTGTATTATTTCCTAGCGTAGCAAAGCAAAGATCAATGTGAGGCTGAACGGAATATTCCACATGCTCCTTAGCTACCATTTCCAGCGTGAAGTATCCTTATCCCAGTCTTTCCATCTGACCGGAACGTCCGGTAAGGCAAGCTCAAAAGTCGCGATCCGTTGGGCAGGCTCAGCCAAATGTCTGGGTTCAACATCCATGGTCTCGCTGAAGCCACCGATAAAGTATCTATATTGAATCAGTAAGTGAGTAAGCTAAGATAAGGCGGTTCGCATACAGTGTTTGAGTCTCTCGGTGCCAAACTAGACTTCTTGCCCTACTCACGCTCGGGTACCACCCATACTCCTTCAGCTTGCTAAAACATTAATACTAATTAGATTCAGTGATGGAGAGACAAGGAATATCGAACTTACAAAAGAGCGTTAAGGAAAGATACACGGACTTGCTCTCTTTCATAGCTTTCAAGACACCAAAATGAACCAGCGCCGTCCCTATCGCCAAGGCGTAGCCCCGGAACAATTTCCCAAACAAGCCATATAATAAACCCACCCGGAACTAGCCCTGAGCGATCCTGAGTACCGGACTTGTATCCGAGGAGCTTTGGTGTGATATTTGAGCCTTTTTCAGTTAGATCGAGCAAGGAAGCTAATTTATGCGGGGTCCATGACGTGGCTTGTTGGCCTCTGGTGTCCGCATCATCCATTTCAGTTGTTCGATGGGGAACTTGAATGTAGACTCGCATAAAGGCTTTCATTGCACGTCGTTGAGGATCACAGCATAGGAATTTAGCCGAGGCGAAAGAACGGAAGCCGTATGCCTTATTTTGCTCCACGGTGGTCTACGAGTTATGCTCATTCGGATTTTTGAGGATCCTGTAATAGGATAAGAGGGGTCATACCTGATCGTCATACTCATTCAGCTTCTCAAGAATTTCCCAGCGGGAAGAGAGGGGTTTATCAAGGGTGATAATAGTTCCAGGGTCGGTGCCCTTGCGGAACCAGAGCAATGAGGATGTCATTCGAGCTGCGTTGGATGAGTGCTGTGTGTGGGGGTGGGAGAGAGTCGATTGGAAGGTGGATCGAAGCCTAAAGTAGAGGGTGAGGCTCTATGTGGGTCATATGTGGGCCAAGACGGTCGGGGTCCGGAGGCGGTCAGTTATATCAAAAATGCTGGCTATTACTTGCTTGAGACAATGCTGTATTAAAAATTGCTTTGCGCGAAATTTAACGGCCTCTGCGGGACCGGTTTAGTTAAGCTCTTACCCGTAGGTTGTACTAAAATTCCGTGCTTATTAGCAATTCGCTGATAAAGTAGGACGGACGGGGATATATCTACGTCGAAAACGGCGCCAAATACGGTCTAGAACGAGGAGTATGAAAGGAGACTGGAGAGATACATGGCATCTCAACGTTCCATCAGATTCATTGCCTCGGTGTCATTCGCCGAGAGTATAATAAGTTGGCAATGGGGATTTAGATAGATGATTATTCCGTGATGAAAGAGGAAGCAGAGCGACAACTTACCTACGAGCATACAGGTCATTTTTTTGATTATCTAAGGCAAGCGTTTGAATGCTCTAGTAATATGACTCTTTAATGCCCAAGAACAGAGAAGGATGGAAGCCGATTCCAGACGGACGGGACAGGTATTCCTTACGTTTGTGCGAGCAAGGTAAGAGCTTCCTATTTTTCAAACCCCGAAGTGCTTCGAACTAAGCATTACTAACATCATGTATAGGGCGCAATAATGGACTATACGGAAGTTTATGGCTATCGTGAAGCCCACAGCCATGATATTAGAGCGTGATTTTGGGTAACAAGCCGAAATGATTTGGTAGAAATCTCCAATGGGTCAAAAGCGAGTTCGATCTATGACAGCCCAGGAACGCGACGTGAAGCATCGGTCCTTCTTGGTCAACGCGGTTCCCTTGCAGCATTGACTATAGACCGCGAATTTATACATCCTATTTTCCTATATCAAACACTATGTATATTCCTCTCTAGTAGTATTTTTTTGGTCTAGGTTTACAACTTGCGTCGTTAGTGATTTCAAAATGGGAAAAATCTTGCCCGTCCATTTTCGTAGATCTGGCATATATCTTCTTTTCTCTTCGTTTATTATCGTCAGTGAATTCCGTATCAATCAAAATCAAAATAAAGCGGCAGTTGAGTCAAAATCCCGCATCTGCAATCGATAAGCTACTATTACCATCGTAGAATCTGTATCATTGTTGATATGGGGAAATGTTACAATTCGAGTCTAGGCTATCAATTGGCCTGGTGGCTTAGAAGTGGCTGATTTAGCTGGCAACGGGTTGATTTCTAATACGATTAAACTGAATACGACGCTTTATCGTGCCCTCGTGGCCATTGAGGATCGTTAGCGTCGTTCCTAAGGACTAACAGTATTACGTGTTATAGACTCGAAACATGAAGGGTCCTTTGGGCGTCTTTCCTTTCTCGGCAAATGTCATGAGTGTAGTAGGAATTTTCTGACCTACATATTCCAGTGGTGATCCTTCGATAAGAAATGTATTTTCGCCGCTATTGATGCATGTATGTCATGCTCGTGTTTCAAGCATGCCAAGAGCCAAGAGAAGCAAGCATCACTAGCCACATAATGATCCTCGGCGTTCCGGGTTCTCTAGGATAAAGCACTATTCTTGTATTACATTTTGGGGGGAAAAGACGATATAGGGGTTCGTTAGTTCCAAGTCCGGAGGTTTTACCAGGTAACTGACTAGTTAACTAACTAGTTAACTAGTTTAATTAACTTACAAATCAGTTTATAATTGGTGCTAGTGGTATTTGACCACCGTCTCGAGAATAAGGACCAATTCTACCCTTATCTCCATCCCGCCAAATAACAAGTTTGAGCGAAAAAAGAGTACACCACGAAATCATGCCATCAGAGTGCTCACTCCAGGCTGATAACAGTTTCGGTCCTGTAGTAGACAGCGCGTGCCGGGATGGCTTTGATTTTACGCTATTGTTCGAACAAGCCATACTTGGCCTCGTTCCCGCGGTCGCATTTCTCCTCGTGTGTCCCTTTCGATTGCGAATTCTGGCTAAGAGAGATGCGCGCACTCAACCTCACAAAATGAGATTGACAAAGTCGGTAAGCACATTTACATCACTACTCACAGAGTCAAACACGAGGTAATGTCGATTTTACCTCAGATAGCTGCCTTCGTTTTCGCTGCGATTCAACTCGCCCTGCTGATCAGCTGGGCAAAGAAAGTTCGACCAACTGCGAAATTCTCCGTCGCGTCGAGCGCAATTAACTTGGTAGTGGCGATGCAAATTGTGGTCTTGTCGTGGGTGGAAGATGAACGATCGGTTAGACCGTCATCGCTCCTCGCCATCTACCTTCTCTTCACGTTGCTCTTCGATATTGTACAGACAAGAAGTTTGTGGTTATCTCACAGAGATCTCCGTGTTTCTATTCTGTTCACCGCAAGTGTCGCTGCGAAAACAGCAATGGTGCTTTTCGAGAGCTTGGGGAAGCAAAAGCACCTCATAGGTTCTTATCAAAACCTTCCACCCGAGTCGACTAGTGGAATTGTCAATCGATCGTTCATGTGGTGGCTGAACCACCTTTTTTCCACGGGCTTTCGATCCTTGCTTACTACCGAAGATCTTGACCGTCTAGACAAACCCCTGGAGTCCGCGGAAACGGCCCGGAAGGCATTGAGAGCTTGGGCTCTACGCCGGCATCCCGAGCGCCGCTTCGAGTTCCCATGGCAGATGGCCCGAGCGTTCAAAGGTCCACTTGCTTTGATGGCACTTCCACGCATATTCTTGATCGGATTTACCTTCTCACAACCCTTCTTGATCGCATCCGTTCTCAACTGGCTTAATAATTCACATAGCGCGAGCAATCTCGGTTACGGCCTCATCGGCGCTACACTTCTAATATATTTGGGAATGGCCCTCTCAACGCTCATATACGACCAGATGTTGTATCGGTTGGTGACAATGTTTCGAGGGGCAGCCTCATCAATGATCTACGACCATGCCTTACAAATCCCCGATGGCACTCTAGAGGATCGTTCTGCCACAGTGACTCTAATGACTACCGATGTTGACCGGATAATTGCCAGTCTAATTACTTTAAATGAATTCTGGGCGCGGACGATTGAAGTGGGCATTGGCATTGCGCTACTCGCGCTCCAGTTAGGGTGGGTTTGCCTGATGCCATTAATAATCGTTCTCAGTAAGAATTCCAGTTTCGATTCACATATGGAAACTATTTGCTAAAAGTTGATAATAGTCTCTAGTGGCGGAAGTATCTATATCTCGAAGCATCTAGGGGGACATCAGAAAGTATGGGTGGATGCCGTCCAGCAACGTATATCAATCACCCGCTCACTACTGGAGGGTATCCAAACTGTCAAAGCGACTGGCTTATCTCAAACCTTTGTTCGGCTTGTACAGAGAAAAAGGACCGAAGAAACCCATCAAATGGCCACGTACCGATGGAGTGTGGTCTGGAAGAACATGATCCAGAATCTGCCTTGGGCATTAGCTCCAGCTTTGGCCTTCGCCGTTTATGCTGCTCAAGGAAAGGGGCTGGATGCTACCAAGGCGTTCAGTAGTCTGTCCATTATAACTCTTTTGACTAACCCGGCCTCGAAGCTATTAAGTGCGATTCCTTCCATAGCGGCTTCGTCGGGATCCTTTGATAGAATACAAGCATTTCTTTTACTGGAAACCAGTCCTCAACACACAACGGATGGCCTTTATCGCACGAGAGAAACGGAAGTTGCTGCATCTTCGCACATCGCTGAAATGGAACACATGTCTTTCAAGGGCCCACCAGACATAACCGACTTCCAAACACCTGTCATCTCGATGAAAAACCTCAGCATTCGCCCATCCTCATCAGCAAAAGTTGTCTTGAGAGATGTTGATTTAGAAGTCCCTCTCGGAGCACTGGTCATCATACAAGGGCCAGTTGGGTCAGGAAAATCGACGCTGCTTCGGGCAATACTTGGCCAAACAATTTGTGAGACAGGATCGATGGCAATGACCATTCGACAACCGGCTTTTTGCGCTCAAACACCATGGGTCCCAAGCGGCACCATCCGTGATATAATCTGTGGATCCTTCTTAGCCGCTCCAATAAGGGAGGGCGCAATTGATCAAAAGTGGTACGAGTCTGTTCTTCACGCATGTGACCTCAATTCGGACCTGGCTCTCCTTCGCGAGGGAGACTCTACGCGAATTGGAAACGGATCTGGCCATATACCGAGCGGTGGTCAAATGCATCGGATCACTCTTGCTCGAGCGGTATATCTTCGCAAGAAACTTTTGCTGTTAGATGACATATTCAGTGCATTGGACCGGAAAACAAAGGGTACTATCATAGAGCGTCTTTTGGGTGTTGATGGACTGCTCCGAAAAATAAAATCGACCATTGTTCTAGTGACACATGAGAGTAGGACCCCCTCCAAGGTTTGTTTTGTCCCCTATTATGGGCTAACAACCTAGTAGTGGAGCAGCTGCCTCGTGCAGATCGAACTTATTTCCTTTCAGATGGGCGTCTTGGTCAGGAAGAGCCCTGCGTAGGGAATGCCTATCAAGAAATAAGGTCTGACGCTGTCGAAGCAGAGCAGTCGAAAGAATTCCCGGAATTGGCGATAGAAGATAAAGCTGTCTTGATCTCCAAGGCGGATAAGGTCGACGATCTTAGGAGGGCAGCCGGGGACTCTGCTGTTTATGCGTATTATCTGCGCTACGTTGGGTGGACCAACGCTGTGATATTTGTCTTTTTCGTGACAATGAATGTCTTTTCTAGCACGTATAGTCGTACGTGGACTTTCACTTGTGCCACTCCCGATATCACTAACATCAGCTTTCTACTAGAGATTTGGCTTAAGCGATGGGCTGATCGTGGTGGAGACCAAAAAGCGCTCTATGTCTCGGTGTATTTCTTCCTTGCCATTTGCAACACTGTCGGCAATGGTGGTTATGTCTGGTAAAGCGCCCTGTCTGATAATACATGAGGGCTCACTCCTAACAACATGACAGGGCTATCCTTATTTTGATCTCACCCTCAACAGCGCGTCGGCTTCATTATGTCGTGCTGAAGACTGTCATAATGTACATTCAATTCTCTTTTCTCCCACATCAGTCAACTGCTGACACCTCAAGGGCAACCCCTCAATTTCTAAATACTGTTGACATCGGGTCAATACTAAACCGATTCAGCCAGGATATGACCTTGATAGAAAGCGATTTGCCTGTTGGCATCTTAATCACTGTCTCAAGTAAGACCCCGGCCATCCTACTCAACCTCTGGGAATATTTTCTAACTACTATCGCTTGCTAATCGTTGATCCTATGGCTGATGGATATAGATCTCTTTTCGTCCATTGCTAATGCTGCCCTAATTGCAACCGGATCGAAGTACATGGCAATATCCGTGCCATTCCTGATCATCGCCCTCTTTCTCTTACAGCATTTCTATCTGAAAACATCGCGACAACTTCGTTTACTGGACCTGGAAAGCAGAAATCCGTTGTACTCCCATCTTCATGACACTATCGAGGGTCTTTCTACAATTCAGGCATTTGGCTGGGAGGCAGATTTTCGAATTGCTAATTCAAAATTGCTGGATGCTACCCAGCGCACGTATTATATGCTTCATTGTATTCAGCGCTGGCTCACTTTGGTCCTAGACCTCATCGTCGCTGCCGAAGCAGTCATCGTCGTCAGCTTAGTAGTGTCTTTGAGGCATACAACGAGTGTCGGATTGCTTGGAGTATCGCTCAACAGCATTCTTGGTATGTATTCCTTATGGAACTTGCCTTTGCCGATACTGCCCCTTGAAGATCATGACCAGTATATAATTACCCAGCTGACTTTTCTTCGCGAAGCTTTCAATGGTAGTCTTTCATCTCTCATATCGGGTTGGACACAGTTGGAGATATCCCTTGGCTCAATTTTGCGCGTCAAAGATTTTGAACTTCAAGTACCACGTGAAGTTTCAACTGAGCGGGTAGAAGTTCCCATCGACTGGCCAAGTCAGGGAGCTATTGAGCTCTCGGACATGACTGCACAATACAAGTACGTACTTGATAGCATGTACAAAACCATCACCACATTTTGTTCACATTATTAACAAACCACGAAAAGTGATGGAGTAGCAGTACTAAGCAATGTCTCCCTCAAAGTTTTGCCTGGTCAGAAAATCGGTATCTACGGGCGTACTGGGAGGTAAGCATCATCGCCTTCAGAATCATATTCAACGTTAGGATTACTAGTCCATGCTAACCTTCCACCGCGCAATAAATCAGTGGAAAGAGCTCTTTACTATCATCAGTATTGGGCATGCTCACCCTGATCCGCGGGTCAATTGTTATCGACAACATTGACCTCACTACTGTCTCTCCTGATATAGTCCGCGAAAGACTTGTCACTGTCTCCCAAAAGCCATTTATCATGGTTGGCTGTACAGTCAGATTCAATCTAGATCCCACCGGAATCCTCCCAGATGGAGAAATCATCGCGGCTCTCGACCGAGTTGGGATCTGGGACGGCGTACTACTCGAAAGAGGCGGGCTAGATGCCGAGATAAACGACACTCTATCGCTATCCCGAGGCGAGCAACAACTGCTACAATTTGCTCGTGCAATGTTGAAAATACAAGCAAGCAACGCTAGGATCTTGTTGATTGATGAAGGCACCAGCAGCGTTGACACGAAAACTGACGCGCGGGTGCAAGGCCTTTTGCAACAGGATCCCTTTCGTGCATGTACAGTGCTTACGGTTGCACATCGTGTCCACACTCTTTTGAGTTACGATTTGATTATCGGTCTAGATCGGGGAAAGGTGGTAGAGATGGACAAGCCTACAGTTCTGCGGAATCGGAAAGATAGCATCTTTAGCAACCTTATCAATAGCGGCGGACAATAGTTCATGAAATGGAGAACTGAAGAGCGAAGCCAAGCTATCTGAATGGCGATCCGAATAGTGTTACTGAGAAAGGTGTATATGTATGGCCATAAGGTATAAAACTTGAGTGGGGATCTCGAAGAGTTGGAGAAGGGACCTAGGGCGACTGTTTTATGATTTATCGCCGCTCTCGGTCTTTCTAGCATAATCTTCAGCGTCAATATATCTGAGTTAGACCGGACATAAACCCCTCTATAGGTTTTCAGTATCACGAGTCCTGCGGTACTCGCATTTTCCATTTCAGTACCATGCTAGGATCTCCTTATTCCAGGCAGTGATAGAATGCTTTCCTTGGTTGTATATTATCAAGGAAGGGGCTTCCTATTCCCAAATTCTACACAATTCACAATATAAAAAACGCAAAAGTAAAAGATTAAATTAAAGAATTGCGCATCACTATACCATCTCCCTCTATAGCTCGATATACCCGACTGAACTCTGCATGCTATTCGCAGTTTCCCTGGCGGCTGGACGTCCAAAGTTACGGGCGTAAAGGCAGAGCTGCTCAGATGCGGTCAATTTCGGCGCCAATCCCACTGGTCCCCATATTCTAGTTGTAAAAATGAGCGCCGACCGTAGTATTCACTCCTTATAAAACCTTTTTAGTTGCAATTAATCCTATTGCGAAACCAATATTGTTGGGATCGATTCTAGATTGAATGATTGTCTTTTCGATAAGATCGAACCACTCTCGAATGGTTTTAGGATCATTAGATTTCGCGCGCTCGTACTTATATCATTTGGAGGACCGAGAGGAGAGAGGAGGACGGAGGACGCCTTCTAATAAAGTTTGTAACCCAATTGTAGCCGATCGAAAGAACCGGGGTAGTTCTGCGCTTTTCTAAAAGATTCGCTATTTCTCGTACAGTAGTAGGCCGGGGGGCCCCTCTACACGAACATGTAGAGATAATCTATTGAAGAGATTCTTCTTCAATCTCCGTCAATTTATGGTTGGTGCGAGAAATCGCGCGTTGTTGAACAGCCCGGCGTAATATAGCATCAGGTATAATAAAACGGCGCGCTACTTCACAAATTGAACAGATTTCTTGATCCTAGCCTCTTGCTCCATTGAATTTCTAAAGCTTTAGGAGCGAATTGGTGGCATAGTGGGTAGTTGAAGTGATAAAGTGCTAATTTCTGGACGCGTTTTAGGTGGGTGCGTCGCCCTCTTACGAAATACGCTAAGTTTAGACTTCCGCAAAGCCCATAAATGGGCCCTACCTTCGAAACCCGACCGTTGGCAACCCACAGCCCATCAGTGGCGGCCCATAAGGCCCCCATTAAAGCCCATCCTAGGCGGCCTCTGTAATTTCCACTATATAACGTTCCAATTTAGAATCTAGGATTATATTAGCTACGTAAGTATATATTTGAATTTTGAATAAAATCTAACTGATAGAAGTCGATATACCATTAATCTTAATATTTCGGTAGAATATATATCTTGGGTTTGTATAACTAGGAGTACTACTACTTTTTAAGTGAACTGCTGTGATTTATAAAGGGAATTGTTATATTTATAAACTTGATATAGGAAGACACCTAGTAATTGATTCTAAACCTTTCAAATTAATAGCATATTACCTTTAGGATAAGGCTTACAAACGGGAGTAAAATGAAGGGTAATTTTAAAAACCCTACAAAGGGGTTCAACTTCTGAATTCTCGGTATATTTGTACTGTTTGGGGTCTATTTGGGGGCCCATTAACCCGCAGTGGGATTCTACCTCAGGCCTATAGCCTATCGGTGGGTCCGGGTTGGGCTTTGTGGGCTCTGCGGAAGTCTAGTTAAGTATAATCTAGGGATAAATTATGTTCACATTCTTCACCCTTACTTACTAGTAGTAAATGCTGGAATCTAACATATACATAATATAGGGCTACTCCCCTCGATTCTCACCCTGTATATAGTGCACTCACATTCCTGCGACGCTAGCAATCAATGGATTCTGAATAGTTTTGATATATTGTTCTCTTCTATGCTGATCCTGGTACATACGACCATAGGGTGTGGAAAACAGGGCTTCCCGTCCGCTCAGCCGTACTTAAGCCACACGCCGGTGAGTTAGTAGTTGGGTGGGTGACCACCAGCGAATCCTCACTGTTGTATGTTTTTTTATTCATCTTTTATCGTTGTGTAGAGACAAAATGTAGCGTAGAATAAGAGGCATGCTAAATAATATAGCTTCACTGCTACGTATGGAGATAACTTGGAGAAGAATAATCTTTATCTATAGCTATAATGAGTTGACACTCGATATCCACGAAAGATGTGACTCTGGTATTTAAGTGGAGATGGCAAGTAGGCTTGGCTATCTGCAGGTAGATCGCCATGAGCTAGTGGCGGCTACGGCATGTCAAGTTTTCAACAGCTTTGGTAAAAATGGAGAACTATGCGAGCAATTCCGTTGTTCAGGAAAAAATATCCATAAAAGCAGGAATGTCTCCCCTTTTCGAAGGCTAATTCACTCCTAATCATTCTTTGTTGACATGATTCTTTCTTACATCTTTGGCCTGCTGGTTGCCACGTCCGGTTTGGCTGAGGCCGTGCACATCACCGGTTATGAATACGTCGTTGTCGGTTCTGGTGCTGGTGGTGGTCCCCTGGCCGCCCGCCTCGCTTTGGCCGGCCACAAGACACTGCTCCTCGAGGCCGGCGATGATCAGGGTGAAAAATATAACTATACCATCCCTGCCTATTCTGCCAGAGCCTCCGAGGACGCGAAGCTTGCGTGGAACTTCTTCGTTCATCACTACGAAGATGAGGAGCGTCAGGCTCGTGATTGGAAGGCTAGCTATGAGACACCTGATGGCGGTATATACACCGGCCTGAACCCTCCCAAGGGCTCAACCTTGAAGGGTATCCTCTACCCTCGTACAGGTAGCCTCGGTGGCTGCACTGCCCACAATTCCTTGATCGCAGTCTACCCCCATCAGTCTGACTTCGAATACATTGAGACCATCACCGGCGATAACTCTTGGACACCCGACATTATGCGCAAATACTTCACGAAGCTAGAGAAGAACGGTTATGCGCTTCCTGAATCCACAGCTAATGGCCACGGTTACGACGGCTGGTTGTCGACCGAAACTGCACCACTTAGCATTGTCTTGGATGATCCTCAGCTGACGAGTATGCTCACTGGTGGTGCGTTTGCGCTCGGTAACTTCACTGATCACCCTATGAGCCTTGATACTCTGCTGCTTGGCGATGCCAATGCCGATACCAAGACTCGGGACACCGACCCCGGCTACTACCAGGTCCCTATCTCCACCAATGATGCTCACCGGAATGGTGCCCGCGAGTTTATTATCGCTGTGCGCGATGCTAAGAATGACGATGGATCTAAGAAGTACCCTCTTGATGTCCGCATGAACACCTATGTCACCAAGGTGACCTTTAACGAGCCCGAGAATGGAGCTCTACCCCGCGCCACCGGTGTCGAGTTCCTCGAGGGTGAGTATCTCTATAAAGCTAGCCCTATGTCAAAATCGGCTCTTCCAGGAACCCCCGGCTCCGCCACTGCTTGTCGAGAAGTTATTGTTGCCGGCGGAGTATATAACTCTCCGCAGATCCTCAAGCTGAGTGGTATCGGACCCGCAGAGGAACTAAAGAAGTTCGGTATCAAGGTCATCAAGGATCTCCCCGGGGTGGGAACCAACTTACAGGACCACTATGAGATTTCCGTCCAGGGTAAGGTTGAGAAGGATTTCTCCTGCTTGGACAAGTGCACCTTCAGCATTCATGACCAGGACGACCCTTGTATCAGTGACTGGGAGTCTCCTTCGAACCTTAGTGATCGCGGTATCTACTCATCCTCCGGTTCCACCGCCACCATGTTATATAAAAGCTCGACGGCCGGCGATGACTTCGACATTTTCCAATTCAGTGGCCCCGTTAATTTCCGTGGTTACTTCCCTGACTACAGTATCAACGCCACTGACGAACACAACTGGTTTACCTGGGCAATCCTCAAGGCTCACCCCCGCAATTCTGCCGGTACCGTCGCTCTCCAGTCTGCTGATCCCCTTGACATGCCCAAGATTACCTTCAACTACTTCGACACCGGTGTGGGCGATTACGAGGCTGATCTCACTGCTCTTTATGAAGCGGTCGAGCTCGCCCGTGACGCGTTCAAGCGCCAGATCGTCAACATTACCGAGGTTCTTCCCGGCGCTGACGTCCAGTCTGAGGAGGATATCAAGGATTACGTTAAGGATGGCGCTTGGGGCCACCATGCTTCCTGCACTTGCGCTATTGGTGCTGACCATGACCCGAGGGCTGTCTTGGACTCGAAATTCCGCGTCCGCGGTGTCTCTGGTCTTCGTGTCGTCGATGCTTCAGTCTACCCCAAGATTCCCGGTACTTTCACCGCTGTGTCTACTTACATGATTGCTGAGAAGGCTGCCGATGACATTCTGAAGGAGCTTGAGGCTAGCTCTTAATTAATTCCGATGTACGTATATACGTGAAGTTTGCACATTTGTTGTTTTTTGTGGATGGAAATATGTTCCGTCTTATCATTATGAAGCTGTTCAAAATTATGTATTTCTACCTTTTAATGGATCAGAAAATCAGCTACCATCCGTCCTTGGTTGTCCTTCACCAACATAAAATGTTGAACCATTCTGAAGTGCCAGACCTAGTCTGTAGAAACCCCTAATCCCCGTAGAGGCGCGCATCTGCATGTGCGCTAGCAGAAGGGTCTATAGTGGTCAAAACCGCCGGCTTGGGATTTGTCCACTTGGGAGATGCGAAAAGTCCTAGACCATGGCTGTGTTTCTTGAATGCCAAAAATATCCCGATGTTTCTCTGTTGTGAACTTTCTAATCTGCGGTAAGAGGATATCTATGAATGTGACCATATCTTATCATAGAAATAGCCATAAATTCCTTTACACCCGATTTTCATCCACTAGCTTCAAAGTAGCCAATTTTGACCCATCTAGAGAATTTCCTCCGCTGTCTGGTTTCATGTAGCCAGGACCCAGGGTTGAATTATGCCAGTGCTGCCAGCGCTGCCAGACAATGACAGTGACAACAGTTATCGGGACTGCAAAGACCCAATAGACCCAGAACTCGTTTGACAAGCCCCAAGCATTGTTATCGTCGATGTGAAAGAAAGACATGCTAAAGACAGAAGATATAAAAGTGGGCGGCAAAAATATCAATGTAACTAAAGCAATTGTCTTCATGGCCGCGCTGTCCATCCGTGCAGCACGGCCAATCTCAACAGAGGTTTCAGCGTTACGCTTGGCGGTAATACCAAACGCGGACTGGATTTCATTTTGCAATCGCTTGTCATTTGAGATTGATCGATGGCGCAGATTCGCAATAAACACCCGAAAGAACTCTAATTCTGCGCGAAGGTCTTGGCCGACCGTAGGATCTGGATCATATGTTGTTGAAGCCACCAAGTTGGCATGGTGCATTTGAATAGACTCGATAGATTGTACCGCAACATCGAGAGTTTCGTTGACATGGATGGCATGGCGAGCAATATCGTGGAGCTCCCTAAAATATTGACTCGACGCATTTTCTGGAGTGACATCAATCCGTTTCTCAATCACCCTTACTTGATGGCGAATCAACCACACGGCCGATTCTTGAAGGTGGGCCACGCGGTCCAAAAGAATTGGATAAACCCAGTACGGATCGTCTAGAAGGCTGAGATTGAGATTCAAGACTCCTTTCATAATTTCTTTTTCGACAGGAAAATTCGGGTCGAAAATGAGAACGAAGGTTTGTTTAGTCAACGCCACCCATCGTGTAAACACATTGAGTGAGTTCCACTCGTAGTTCCTATTTTTAAAAAGTTGCTTGACTTCGAAATATGCCCATGTATCTGTCCTAGTTAATACCTCATTAGATCTTATAGGTACATATACTTACTGATTCCGGTCACCATTCCTGCATGGCGAGTTGTTTCACAGCCAAAATATCCATTGGACCTTTTGTAGTGGTCAGACCACCATGATTCCCTCATCCGAAAATGTCGAATCAATGCCTGGCGACATCGGTCACAAGTACGAATTTTGCTTGCGCTTGCGATTCTGTTGACATCAGCAAAGTGAACATAATTTACAAAAAACAATTCACTCACATGACACAAACCCGGGTGTTTTTTGACACTGGCGCAAGATCTTCGGGTTCGTGTGTGGTCAGAAAATCATCAGGATAGGCTTCGCTTGACTTCCAATCATCACCTTCCCTGTTAGCAAGCTCGCTTTTACGTATGTTTGACGTGAACAAACCTTGATGCCACTGTAATAGCTTTAGAGGCGGGCAAGATTCGCAGTGGGGATCCCTCATTTTAGATGAGATTAGTTAAATATAAATAACCGTTCGGAGTTGATGATAAGAATTCAGAGCAGCCAATTTCGATGAGAGAAATGTTAATGATCAGGGCGGCAAAGAAACGTATTTGTTAAGATGTGCTTTCAGCGAATAGCAACGAGTAGTAATTTCCTAGATGTAGTCTAAGAGTAGTAGGGACTTATATGTTCCTGGGAGTGTGTAAGTCTTCTGGGTAGGCATGTTATATGGAGTTTTGAGATTGGGCATTGTGCTCCAATGTACTTAGAAGTACGATCCGGTGAGAACGCGTCCTGTAAGTGCCCGATTTATTTTGGTCATTTATCGTTGGTCAATTATTTGCCGCTAAGGAGTATTAGAGCACCTGTTTCTTGATATTATTATTCTGCCATCCTGATACGCACCTGTGGACGACTACCGTATGGAGAAAACAGCATTGGATTCCTATAAATGGCACGAAAAAGACAGAGAGAAGAGGAGAGCGGGAAGGGAAGAGAGCGGGGAGCTATTCTAGGATCTGTCACATGCGGTCTAACCCCCTTGTGAGGTGCCTCATACATCCCCCAACACTAGGCGAGGTTCCAGGCCGAGACCTTTGACCCAAAAAATAAGTCGCGTAGAAGCCTAGAGAGGATGGAAGATAGAAAGTGCACTCCACTACCTTCATTATATATTTCTTATGCGGGTTTCGGGTTTGTGTGTATTTACTAGATGTACGGAGTAGGAATAGGCTAATTCCACGCTCTTTACAAATCAGCCGCCTTATATTTCTAGGATGCACTGTGTGCTTCTAACTCGGTATTTTGTTTCGAGCTATTCAGCTGGATAAAGCGCCTACATAGTCGTACACAACTAGTTAAACTGCAATAAGGGAATTGAACTTGAATTGATTGATTGATCAGACGGGAACTCGAGTGAATATGCATGTACAAACATCTACAAAGCCTTATAAGGGAACATTGAATGCAGAAAGACTTGGAAAATAAGTCGGCCTAGATCTAAGAGTATGCTATACCGGAAGCTATTGACTTGTGGGCATGTGGAAAACTTTGCATTTGTCAACTCAATCCGACCAAGTAGTTTGTCCAATCCAAGAATGGCATCGAAGAATATCGCATATCGCGTCCAGTGTAAATACATAGCCACTAGCTGAGTTGACCGCACAATTACTTGATAATACTCCTAGCCTGGGGGTGTATCTGCGACTCCGCAATCATGTCTGCCTGGCTCGATTGGCTGTCGACCTCCCAGTCCTGGGTGACCAAGATTCGATCTCGTCGCATTGGCAAAGGGAAGCTCTCATGACTCTCTAATTTGATCTTGCGGTCCCGAGACTTGGACCCCTGTGATTGTGAGCGCATCTTGTAGCTCGAAGAGGTCGGGTCTTGCACACCATCGAGCCTGAGTCCGTTCGATCGCATCCAAGACAAGAAAGGGCTGAGCTGTCCCCAGCAGGCCGTCACAATACTCAGGCACTGAATGATCACTTCAAAAATGGTGATCTCGCACATCTCAAACGTCGGGTCCTTGGTCTTCGTGCCTTTTTTGAGGAAGGCGAGCTCCACAATCGTAGCGATCGTCACACTATCAGGGGAAAGAGGATTAGTTTGGGATTTGGGACCATGCAGAGGAGATTAAGAGAGCACTTCGAAGAGCCATATCACTCACAATAGACGAGGCAGGAAGATACCCGCAAAGACCAGGCGTCGGCCTAGGGTCGTTTGGACGCTAGATATCAGGATCATTGCCTGTGTGACAATCAAGAGATCGGTAACGATGATAGAGATAGCTATAAAGTAGCGCCAAGCTAACTGAATAATTCCAGTCCAATTCCATCAGTGTTATCCTAATTCAGGGCGTAGGAAATGATAGGGAAGAAAGAAGATACTTACCAGGTTGAAGCATTGGCCGTTCTGGAAGTCCCAGGTACGGGGCAGAGAGCATTGGAATGCGGTCCCTAAGATTGCAACAACTGCCCATACATATAGAATGACCTCGACGCCTCTGGCAAGCCATTTATCTTTGGCTGATGGTGTAAGACTTCGGATAAATACCACCAGAGATAGTTTCGAGAACATGAGGCTTAAGAGATATAGAAGGGACGCCGCGAAGAGGTTCTGGCAATGAACAGATTAGCTTTAGTTCTAAAAAATCAAACAAAATCACGAGAAATCAGAAGACACATGAAATCAGAAGATTCATACTTTCATCAGCTGTTCCATCTCGGCATCGGAGACATCCTTATAATGCTTCCCATAACCGGACCCAACTGCCAGTGAAACAACAATACTCTGCCCGATGCCAAAGATCAGAGACGCAATGATCAGAAAATCATCCGTGGTAAGCTTTTTGAATAGTCGAATTTTGGTTCCTAGTCGAGCAGAAACGCTAAAAATGATGGTGACCAAAAGGACCCAGTCACTCACATTAACCGCTGGGTCTTTGGTGTCGCCTTTAAATCGTGTCCCCATTGAGTCAAAATATGTAACGGGTTACCTGAAAAGAGAAAAAGAGAGAAAGAAAATTATTAAAGACTATGGTCAGGCTGACAGTATATGCATTGTGCTTTTGTTATATCGCTGTGTGCTTCCTGGTTCAGTTTCCAGTGCCCAGAACAGAGTGACTAGGATGTAAATTGCAAATTCCCTTCTTAGCGCAAATACGATAGATAGATATAAAGGAATTGTTCCGGAAAAACGTTGTTATGATGGCTCCTGGTCCCCTATCTCATCTGACGCTTGTTACTTTCCCATGCCATCTCTATATGTGTTCCATATGTGTTTTGTCTATTATCTATAGATATTTCGTTTTCATTGTCTCTTGTTCCGGCGGCTTTTTTTTTTCATAACAATCATTGAAGGACGAAATAGTAGTATCAAAAGTCCTATTACGCTCAACCCCCTTTCTTCTCTCCCCTGTCAACGGGCTTTACTCGAAGGATTTGCTACGAGTTACGACTTCCGGCCCCTCGCTTTAGGCAATTAATTGTTGCCCTATGAGTAGCCACCATCTTTATAAGGCCCACATCAAACCACTGTGGCGTAGTTTAATTGGGTATGGTGCGCTTCCTGACTTCCCGCGTCTGATCGGCACGATCGACATTCCCACAAAGTCCTAAGCCTCCTTGGGGGCGGCGGACCGAGCCTTGGCATGAAATTGCAACAATCATATGCATCAGCGCTATCCACTTGCGTATATCCAATGCTAGTCAATGTAACACACATCCATGTAGTTTCAAGTTGAATCCCCTTCTCGGATTCCGATACTTGCCCGGTGGGCTTTCTCCGACCTGTGATTGTACTTTTAACTTAGTGGCATCCCTTGTATTTATCCCGGTGTTAACATTTCACTCTTTATTCTACTCCTGAAAAAAGCCAGAAGAGAGAAGCCATGGTGACCTATGAATTGAAGAGCAATACTTCCGTCACCAGCAGGGGTGGAAGCGGGGGAGAGGAGAACTCTCTGATGCGGGAGCGTGATAATGCGCATCTCCAACGGATGGGAAAGAAGCCAGTCCTCAAGGTATGCAATACATTCTTCAAGCCCAGAAATTTCACGTTGCCAGAATATTAACACCTCCACCTAACCAGCGCAACTTCGGCATCTTATCGATCCTTGGTTTCAGCTGTACTATTCTGGGTACTTGGGAAGGTCTACTTGGGTAAGTCGGCCCAATTCCAAATTTTCAACCAGTCCATCGTTAATCAGTCGCATAGTACTTTCACAGGCCCTCTCACAAAGTTTGTTCACACATGACCTGCCGTTTTGCAACATTCTCTAACCAGATTTCAGTGGCGGCTCCGGTGGTGCGATATATGCCTACCTCTTCGGGTGGGTTGGCTGTTTTGCCAATTTCATGGTGTTGTCGGAATTAGCCTCCATGTATGTTTCTCATTCTCGCTTTATCAAGGTTAAAGAACCAGAGCTAATTGTCAAATAGGGCGCCTACTGCAGGAGGCCAATACCACTGGGCTGCCATGCTTGCCCCGGCCAAACTCCAGAAGTTTCTGAGTTTCGTTACAGGTATGATTTGGCCTCCCGCCCATACTGAAATTGCTGACATTTGGCCTCATAGGATGGTTTGCCGTTCTCGGTTGGCAGAGTGCCTTCGCTGCCTGCGCGTTTTTAACAGGAAAGATGATCCAGGGTGCTGCGATCCTAGGAAACAACTTGTACAATGCTCTACCTTGGCAGGGTACATTGATTATCTGGGGCTCACTAATTCTAGCATTGACAATTAACTTGCTCGGTGGCAACTTGCTGCCCCGCCTTGAGGCGGTCCTTTTAGTTGTCCATATTCTTGGCTTTTTCGGCATCATTATCCCCCTCGTCTATATGGCAGATCATAACACGAAGGAGCAGGTGTTTCTATCTTTTCAGAACGGAGGAGGCTTTGCCACACAGGGACTATCCTGGTTCGTTGGTATGACCGCCTGTGCCTTTGCCTTTGGTGGAGGTGATGCCGCAGTGCATGTCAGTTAGCTTGGAGTTCCCTTTGCCTTTATACGCTTGTAGCTAACAAGCCCCGCGAACAGATGTCCGAAGAGGTCGCAAATGCCTCCACCGTCATTCCCAATGCTCTTATGATCAGCGTCGGAATCAACGGCTCCCTCGGCTTTGGCATGATACTTGTTATGATGTTCTGCACCGACTCCGATCTCGGTGGTAAGCTAGGGAGCATCACTGGATATAACTTCATGGGTATCTTCATGGAAGCCACAAACTCAGTGCCAGGTTCGTTGGCTATGTGTGCCATCGTTATCACAATTTATGTCTGCTCGCTCATGGGTCTACTGGCCGCGGCGTCTCGGCAGCTTTGGTCTTTCTCTCGAGATAGGGGAGTTCCTGGGTGGCGATGGTGGAGTCAGGTAAACACTTCTCTATTCATTAAATGCCTTGCATGATCTAACATTTATTCTTCCAGATTTCTTCAACAAGACAGTTGCCTATTTTCGCCATCCTCCTTACAGTGACTGTCGCTACTTTGCTTTCCCTGATTAACATTGGTTCGCATACTGCCATGGAAGACATTGTGTCCATGGCAGTAGCAGGTATTTACCTTTCCTACCTCATGGTCTCGATCCTGCTATTTTACCGCCGAGTCCGTGGCGACATCTCCCGATATAATGACAATGAGGATGATATTATCAACGTCCCGGGCGCAAAGCTTGTCTGGGGGCCTTTCCATTGCCCTGGCCTCATTGGTACCGCTATCAACGGGTATGCGATAATCTACATCAGCATAGTTATCTTTTTCAGCTTCTGGCCAAGCACAATGGACCCAACAGTGGAGACAATGAACTGGAGTGTTCTGGCAATTGGAGGCAGCGCCTTCCTTGCTATTATATATTACATTGTGCGCGCTCGGCACGTCTACAAGGGCCCTATTGTGGAAGTCTCACTATAAAGAGTTGAAAAAGTATCTGATGTCCGAGATTAAAACACATCTGTCACATGATACCGTCACCAGCGAATTTCATGAAGATATTCGCACAACCACTATGACGGATGATTCCATTGATCAAATTTACAAAAAGTATGATATTGGCACCAAAGAAAGAAGAATTTAATTCTGAGCATTCTAGTATTTTTTCTTGTAGTAGTTAAAATTTTATCCGTATAGAGTAACGAAACCTTTAATAGCAGGTTTAATATTGAAAAAAATACACAAGATGAAGGGAAATGCGATGAGACCCATTGTGTGTTCTGCTGTTGGGTTCATTTGTTGAACAACCAAAGTCACAAAGTACCTGAGAACTGTAACTACCGATGTGCTTCTGAATATGTACATCTGTTGCCGGTGTCATGCTTCGTTGCAAGCTTCCCACAGGGTACGGGGCGTCAGGTCCTCCCGATTTTTACAATTGTTGTAGACCTCCTCGCCTCCTTCCATCTCCCGTAATAGCTTCATAGCTCTGGGATCGCCATTCAAGGCAGTAGCAAGATAGTGCAATGCAGTATTTCCATCCACATCCTGGGCCCGTACATCGATCCCCGCATCGGCAAGCACGCGAAGGATGCTGAGTTGTGCATCCTGCTCAGTAGGAGTCAATGGTGTTGGTGGATTAATAGGAGGAAATGGCACCTCGCTAGCAATTTTATTTGTTGTTTTCAAGTGCAGCGGGCTGGGTTGTGAATGCGGAAGCCACCTCGAATCCAGGGTGCGGGCGCAATGAACACTTCGCACGGCATCAGGAACTTCTCGGTTCATAGACATTGAGGTAAGTGGGAGCGAGGCGATATGAAGCAACGTATGACCTAAGGCCGTCATACCTGCGCTAGATAGTGGCATGGGAAGAAACGATAGGAGTTCAAGGTCATGGCGAGCAACTGCTAAATGAAGTGGATGAATTTCGAAGATGGGAGTGCGAAGATTCAAGTCGATATCCGGATGCGCAAGAAGATGTTTGATACAGGCCCGAATATTAGGATCATTTGGATCACATCGCCCTAGTGCAAAAGAAAGGGGCGGAAATGCAATTGTAGGAGCTACCATTGCCCGATAATTTGGAGAATAATGATATTCATTGAGTAGTCGTTCAAGCATAGCGTGTTGACCGTTTTCGATGGCCTCATGGATAGGAGATGTGATGCTTAGTGACGATGGCTTAGTATCATCGAAGTGGCTGGAAGCGCTGATCCAGGCAGACTCGTCTGCCCCCGCTTCACGAACTAGCGCGAAGATCTCCTCAAAGCCTAGGCCAGCAGCCACCTCCAGAGCCGTGTTGCCTTTATTCATTCTTAGTCTCTGGCCTGGGACATTGGGCTCAGTCCAAAATCGTGGAAAGCTGGTGCGCCGCTCCTCCAGTTCAGCTTGTGTTAACGGCTGTATCTGGTCGGTGATTCCCTTACTCTCTGCGACTTTTAGGATATGCAGTCGTGAGGGGCACGGACCAAAGCTTGAGATGTCGACTTTGGCGTCTCGGCCACGCATAAACCTTGCAGAGTAGTCAGATAAATCCCAAATATGGATGCCTGTGGGGTCTGCACCACAGGCCAGAAGCATCCGAACATTGTCTGCTGAATTAACGCGAATGGCAGCGGTGAGCGGAGATTCGTAGGTGCCCATGTTGCTGCCACTAATATTCGCATTGGGAGAGCAGCCTGCTAGTTCGCGAATTTTTCGTTTATGGTAATCCAACAGAGCACGAAGTACCGCTGGGTTGGGATTACCAGCAGCTCGAATGGCTGCGGACTCCTCAACACCCCATGTGACATCTTCTCTGGTGAGTTTATATGACATGGCGTGGCGGTAAAGCTAAAGAAGAGCTAGAGAAGAAGAGGGCTAATGCTTTATATTTAACTTGCTCAAGTGCGGGGTTGTCTCGGTGATATCATAGCAGCTATTTGACATGAGTCATTCCATCCTGTTTCCTTCGCTTATATTTATGATCTGCATATCTACACATCGTCATTGTCATCCATCATGTCGTCCTCAGCAGCTTCACCCAAAATATAATTAGGGGTGAAGGGTCGACTCTGCCGATAACGGCCCCATTCAAAGAGCCATCGCGTTGGGCATGGATCGTCCTCATCGCGATATCTCGTCAACTGGCCTCGTTGAGCTCCCGTGAATGTTTGCTCTGTTGCCAAGTCCTCTTCGTACAGATAATTTGCAAAACGCCAAATCCTCCGGTGATGCTCGCTATTATAGTCGTCCTCCCGTCCATTGCCAGGATAGAAGTAATGAGTGTCAGGAGTCACGTCGTTGCCCGTATTGCAATTCAAAACGTGAGCCCGTCGATTTACACCTTGATTTTCGTTGCCATCCACACGAGGATAGCGATTTTGCGCAACATACTCCTGACCATGGAAGGCCACTATCGCGTATATTCCGGCCCGAAATACACCTGCACGCTCCATTATATGGTCGAAGTGGAAATGAAACACCGCGTATTGATCGCTGTCAGACTCCCGATATTCCGGGCCATCGGGCAGTCGCCACACAACTGCATAATATAAGCAGAAGTCTACATTGCACATTGCTGGTCAAGATAATGTCACTTACTTTCCAAAATTTCCTCCCCTCTGCCGGTACGGACCAACATCTCATACTCTAAGGTCAATCTACCGTCCATAATTCCCTGCATTATATACCCTATTCTGGTCAGCGCGCGTTCAGGGTTTGATAGATAGGAATCATACCCCAGCTTGGTTCTCCATATCCTTCTGAGGAACTATAAAGCTCCTCCGATTCCGCAATGTTTCTGGCAAACACACTCTTCGCCACCGATAGGAGAACCGTAGCGTTGGAACGCTTATCAAGTCCCGCAGCAGGACAAGCCAACTCGCAAAGCTGGGACCCAGCATCAGAGTCTGCAACCTCATCACTCCCATGTGTCCCTAAGCACAGAAGACTCTCGGTTCGTGAAATAGGCTCGGCATTAGGCCTATACCATCAATTCAGTTAATGCTCTGGAGAAATGAAATACCGTACTTACCACTCAGCCTGGAACTGAAGAATTTCGTCCAGGGTCACTAAGGGATCACTAGAATTATACTCGCTCTCCATCAACGTCATCTGATAGGTTGGGCTGTTACGCTTCGCGATAGCAGTCAAATGGATTAGCAGACTAGTCCAGTCTGCCTTGTTCAAACTATGACGCTTTTGCAAACCCATCTCGATGGTGTCCCGCTTTGAATACTGGCGTTGACCTTTGTCACAGACAGGATCTTTGGAGTACTTCTGTAGCTGAGTTTTAAAAGCAGTAACAAGGGGATCATTCTACTTTTGTTAGCAAAAATTGCAAGTAATAATGACCACAAATGGACTTCCACATACACTCGTAGCTGGCGAATCGCAACAGAATGATCCATATCCCGACAAGCACCCAGAAGGATCGGTCGCGATGGAAGCTTTCCCGGCAGGGCATGTTCCAGTGCACTGGAAGGGAATAGAACCCCAGATCTTTCCACCATGGTAGTACCAGTCGCAGTTCTCGTATGGAGGGGGCTGATCACAGCAGAATGACTTGTAACCGACAATACAAGGCTCCTCTCCACCAGCACCGTAATTGGAATAAGTTAATCGCTCCCGTCCCGAAGGGCACCCTGCATTGCTATGAATTCCAGCACAGAAAGGCGCACTTCCTGACCAGCCACACTCAGAAACTGCTTTATTAGCCGCAGTCTGCGTACAGCAAAGCACTTTGTGCCCAGTCCAACAACTTTTTCCAGTTCCACTGATGCTGCTTGACACTTCAACTTCTCCCTTGTGACATTTGCCATTGCAGAATGGAGCCCCACCACGCCACTCGCAGGTGGGCATGTTGTCAGTTGGACAGCAGTAAAGACGGGATTCGCCCTTCGGACATCCAGTATTGGTACCAGTGTTACCTCTGTTCTTGCCATCACTCCGCTGGGCAGGGCTAAGGCCATTCGGACAAGATTTGCCGCATTCACCTAACTGACAAGATTGAACTTGATCAGTGGTAGAAGCAAGTGATTTGGCTGATAATGCGATTGTGCTACGGCCCGTCAGCTTTGATAGTGCGGCCGAAGCTGTGCCCTCAGAATCATCTGTCGACACGGCCCATACCATGGTACCGCCAAGACAGTGGCTATTGGCATAGTCCAGTTTCAGCTTGAGAGTTTCCTCGTCATCATAGCTAACCCACTGGTTCTCGCCCCAAGTCACCATCTTGACAGCGGCCTTCTTGTCCAAGGTCACCTTGGCGTTATCTTTATCTATCACCCGCTTGATCTCTGAGTATGAGAGTGTCCCGACTGAGTCCGTGCAAGACCCTGCATTGCCGCCCGATGTAAAAATACAGCCGGGAGTATTGCAACTGGGATCAGCGAGAGTGAATGACCGGCCATAAAACCCTAGACCGAGTACGACGTGGTCGGGGTCAATCTTATTCCGCCAAAGGAGCTCTAATGCCAAGTTGACTTCGGTCAAGTTGGTATGCGCATTGATATAAGGGCCCAGATATTTGTTGGTGTTGTCCCAAGTACCGTGCAGGTCATAGGACATAATATTGAACCAGTCAATTGTCTTTTCGATCTCGACAATATCGAAGTGTTGCATATACCAGTAGGAAGATGGGATGGTGATGGTGAGCCCGTATTTATGTCCACTTGATGCGAGTGCATTCCGAAGATTCTTCAAGAAAGAAGTGAAATTTTTGTAGTCGGCGGCCTTCCCTGAGCGCTCTTCAGCTACTGGATATTCCCTATATTGCACAGTCAGTGGTGCGAGTACCAACGAAGGGTGAGATAAACATACCAATCAAGGTCAACGCCGTCAAAGCCGTATGTTTCCAAGAAGGAAAGCAAGGATTCAAAAAACTTCTTCTGTGCCGACTCTGATCCAGCCAGGTCCGAAAAGGTGGTAGCAGTGGGTTGATCAGGGTCGTTCATGCTCCAGCCTCCAATAGATATCCAAGTCTGGAGGTCAGGATATAGATTCTTGAGTCCAGTGAATCTTTTATATAATGCAACATCCCCACTATCCATCGGGGCGACTTTGAATGAAGTGGGATCAATGAAGGCAAATGCAAAATTTAGATGTGTGTATGATCCAAGAGGAATCGCTATCTGATGTCAATACCACTGGGCGCAAGAAATATATGGGCAAGGAAAACCTACATTCTGGGTACATTTTGTCACATTTGCGGTTAATTCCCCAGCTCTCATAGTATCCAATTGTACGCTTAGAAGAGCTAGATCCGGAGCAGCTGGGAGACTCAATCGTTTTGTTACCGCAAAAATCCTTGGTGGTTCCACAAAAGCCATATTCAGAACAGCACACGTTGAGGGGACATTTGTCTGCCGTAGACCACTTCTTAAAGTCAGCTCTTTTCAATGGATTCGACTGAGGATGAAGTGGCAAATACCTTCATACCCCAACCTGGGTTGCAATCTGACTTGCTATCACAATTGGATATACAGCTGTCTCCGCAGAAGTCGGGTCCCATTCCACAGACTCCTGTTTTTGAACAGCAGCCAAGTTCACATGGCTTATCGGCACTGCATGTGTAGTCCTGACCAAAGCAGGAACAGCACCATAGTGCGAGTAGAAGTAGAGCCCAAGTCTTCATTCTGGGCCATATAACAATACAAGATATCAAGTATAATACGGGTGTCCAAAGCACACCAAAAAGATGCCAAAAGAAGTATCCAAAGACACGAGGCTGCTCACTGGGCCTCAACTTCTTCTACCGGGCCTAAATACCCTGATTGCACATGCAATAACATATCCTAGTGGAGGCCGGGATTTTTTCGCCCCAAAATCCTTGTTCATCCCACCCTCCATCAAAAGCACTAAATCTCTAGGTGATCCTGTTCCAAGTTTGCTACAACTACCCCTCTTGTAGATGAACAAATGAAAGCGTTATCGGAAAGAGGATATTGTTTTCCCGATGGGTTTTACATCACTTGGATTACGATCCCTGTCTCCTTCGGAGATTTACTACCTTTTGAAGAACATACTAGTGGCACCGGACACTTTTAGTGCAATAGGGGTCAGGTTTCCCCTCGCCCTAGTTGCACTAGTTGTTTCAGATATCCGATCTACATACTCGATGTCATGATTCAATCTTATGAAGTCAGTCCTGTTGGGGAAAAAAAGAAAATACCTCACCTTGACATCAGGAAATGAAAGCTGCGTGGTTTGGGTATACATCCACCCACCCTCCACCTGCTGATCCTACTTCTCCATGGTCTGTTGATACTGCAGAAAGATTTTGAGAATACCTGCAGCCATGAAACTTACTTCTATACTTTTTGTCACTCACCTCGCGTCTGTCTTTGCGCAGATCGATCTATACGAATATGGAATCAATGCCACAGCCCTTATCTCAGACGGATGCACTTCTGCGTTGAGGAAAGAGCTAGACTGTGATCCTTTTCTTGTTACACTTTCCATGTCGGACTACTTTGGTCAAGTGGGCAATGAAACCTTCCAAGATCAATTATGTGATGATGGTTGTGGTAACGCATTAGAGGCATATCATTCTTCTGTGAAACAACAATGTGCTGGTGATGTCGAGCCCTGGGATGGAGTCCCTGCTGTTTGGGCTGGAGATGTCTTATGGTCGACATGGAACAGGACTTGCCTGAAGGACCCTAAGACTAACACATACTGCACCGGTATATGCCTCGATTCCTATTATTAAAATGTGGTTACCCGATTAACAATTCATAGATGCGATCGGAGACATCCAAACAGTCTTAGGTGACATTGATACGGCCTTGTCGGCAGTATCAAAAGATCAACTATGCTCGACATGCGTGTTAGATCTGATACAGCAAATGCAAAAGACGGCGTATTCCAACTACGACGAGCAGTTGGTGGATGAATATGTCAAAATCCAGGACATATGCAACACAGGGGCCCTGCCCACTGAAGTGCAGCCCCCGGCTACCAATATGACCGCCATCCCTGGCATCGACTACTCAACTCCCTCTAACGCCTCGTGCCTCTCTGGAAACTTCTACTCTGCCAAGTCCGGCGATGACATGCAGTCCATTGCCAAGGCCCAGAAAGTTCCCACTGGCCCGCTGAGAACGCTCAACGGGATCTTCCCAGATGGATCGAACTTGCTTGCTGGACAGAATTTGTAGGATCATCTTTTTTTCATTATTGGATCTATTACTTACATTTCTAGGTGCCTTCCACGAGCTTGTCCTGTCTATCTAGTCCAAGATGGAGACACCTGCAACTCCATCGCTGATTCCTACGATCTCACCATTGCGGATCTCATAAGCTATAACCCATCCCTTAACAGGGCGTGTTCGAACCTGAACTCCGGTGATAATGTCTGTGTAGCCGCCTCCGGTCAAACATACACACCAACCACCATTCCTGGTGCCACTGCTACAAAAACAGCCCAATACGCATCTAGCACTGTCGCAGCAGCCGGTCCAACAGGTTATGGAACCACAAATGAGTGTGGAGGCTATTATCCCGCTGCTGATGGGGATAACTGCGAACAAATCTCCCTCATATACTCAATTAGCCTTGATCTTTTCCTTACAATCAATCCATCAATCAACGCAGCCTGTTCAAACCTGTTTCCAGGTCTGTATTACTGCGTCTATCCGACCGCAAATTGGAATGCCACTACCAATGGAACAACTACGTCGACATACGTGACACCCCCTGCTCCCACTCCGACTGGGACGACCTCCGATTGCTACACTTGGTAAGTAAATCATAAATGTCACGCGATAAATTTTACAAACTAAATTAAATTCTTCTAGGCATACTATCGTCGGTGGGGATACTTGCTCGCTTTTGCAGAACGTGTACGGAATCACATTCGCGCAGCTTCAGACTTGGAACCCGCAACTTGATGAGAAGTGCTCCAATTTGCTCCTTGATGCCGCGTAAGCCTTTTTCATTTTACCTCATTCTTATACAAAAACCAGCTAATCTATTATAGTTACTGTGTTCGCGGCGATACAGACACGACCACCACTTCCACCACAAAAACAGCTGGAACAACAACATCGAAGACCACGACCACGACCACGACGAACCAGCCGACACAAACCTCTATTCCAGCCCCAGGCCCGACTCAAGATGGAGTTCCCAAAAACTGCAATAGCTGGGTTATGCAAAAAGAAGGTAAGTGGTCTGTAATCGCTGATTGGACTTGACTGACGAAGTGAAGGGGTATATTGCTACGACATGGCCGCTAGTGCTGGAATCGCGCTTGAAAAGTTGTACGAGCTTAACCCGGCTCTTAATGGGGATTGTTCAGGGTTGTGGGCCGGATATGCTTACTGCATCGGGGTTTCAGTCTAAATGGGCAGGCTGTTTGGTGCTTCGCACTCTTGGGGTATTCACTCATGCTATAGTGGTCATATACGAGCTGTCTTACCCAAGCTTTATAATTATCACACAAATATGAGTCTACGCATTTGTATATCCATCGTCTCTTCAATTTGAATCAGATTTCCGATAATGCAGGAGTATGAAGAAATTATGTATGGACCTCATAAATTCACCGGAATAGCTCGCAACCCACACAGAGAAGTAATGACAGCATAATAAGCCTTTTAGCAAGTGGATTTTCTTCGCAACAACAGTGATTATCGATGAGCAGTGGCTTTCAGCAAGACAAATAGGTTCATACTAAGCAAAACCCTTTTTTTTTTTTTTACATCGGTTTTATTCAGTCAGTCCTTGGTATTGAGAAATATATACTTGAATTCATTTCCTCGGCTAACTGCTCGGCGTAAAATCCAGACGGAGATATTTATCAGTATGGGTCACTATATACTACCCACAGGTATATACTGAGATGGGGTTATTGGGGGCCAAAGCATAACTCCTCACTCCGGGGGCCAACGCAAGTGGCTGGGCCTCTGGGCGTTTTTCAATTTCTATACCTAGTCGAAGGATTCAGAAATCCAGTGGACCCTTGCAACTCTCTTATCATCTCGCACCTGATCCCTCTTTCAAACGTTCTTCTCGCTGCTCAACCCGCCCCTTGAAACAACATCCCAGTCCCCGTAACCACCATTAGGCGAACTTTATTCCTCACTCCGGAGTCCGAAGGCATGTTTCATCGAGAAATCGCCCCCAGCCTATTTTTATCAAATTATATTAAACACGCCTGCCTTGATGCGAGTCTCCTAGTCAATACCCTTTCGCTTAACGCTTGAATACATATTCTGACAATTCTGACATGGGATCAGCAACAAATTCTCTCGTGTTAGAACTAGCGACACCGGAAGATGTCCCCGCCATCACTGAGGTATGGTTCGCTTCCTTCACACAGCCGGTGATCGGGCAAATTTTCCCCAATACCCCCGGTATGCACCAATGGCACCGGGATTGGCACATGGGAGATATTCAAAAGTCTCACCACAGATACCTACGTGTTGTTGACACCGAGTCGAAAGACGAGCAAGGCCGACCACGGCTAGTTGCATTTGGCAAATGGGACCTGGCCATGCCAGATGATCGAGGCCGTCGCTTCCCACAATGGCATGCGGACTCGCCTTACCAGCAATGCGAGGATTTGATTGAAAATTTGGAGAAGGCCAGGAAGCGCGTGATGGGTGATGAGAAACATTACTGTATGAACGAGGCGAGACCCATTTCAAATCTCCGAAGACATTTTTACTGACACCCAAAACCAAAAAAAAGACCTAGACACACTCGGCACTCATCCTGATTATCAACGGCGAGGAGCTGGCTCTATGATTGTCCAGTGGGGATGCGACCTAGCGGATAAGGATGGTGTTGCGGCCTACGTGGATGCTAGCAAGGAGGGGGCATCGCTATACTTGAAACATGGCTTCGTGGATTTCAGTCCACCTGGCTCGGAAGTGGCTGCGATGGCTCGTCCTAAGGCGGGTCCGATCGATCGCACTTGACTTGCGGGGTTCCGTGTTGCGAGCTCTGTTGTCGGAGAAGGGGGAAAATATATTTCACCTTAATGACTTGTATTGTAGCTCATACCTGGCTGTCATCTCGCAGAATTTATCTTCCCTAGAGAAATATAAAGTACAACGCCTATTCTTCATAACCTGAGGAGCCTTGATTCGGAAAATTTATTCCCAAGGTGACCGGATAGCCTGTTCATTGGTTTTTCGGCGAATTCTAGACTACAACAAAGGCAGTTCGACGATGTCTCTACGTTTATAAATACATCGTACATAGAAATATAATACTAATAGCACTTGCGTTCGAATCAATCGGCAATTTTATTTTCGTCTATACAACCAACTTGACTAAATATATTGTTCGGAAAAGTGTACTCATAAAGCCAGTGACACTAGTTAAAAAAGCATCCAAGCTGCAGGTAGTGACGTAATACATACCAAAATAACTAACGTCCTTCACAAGCGAGCTGCGCACACAAGCGAGCTGCGCAGTCGAAACACCATAGTAAAATCGATGTATGCTACACTTATATCTCCACAACCAAACGTTTTTTATTAACAGTAGTTTGCCGATAGAGATTGATAAGAATTTTTAGTAGTATACATCAATTTCGAGTGGATTAAAAACCTGCATTATTATGGTATCGAAAATTACGTCTCTAAATCCTGTGAATTTATATATCTCAGTCATGAATTTCTTAACCTTGCTTAAATTCCCCCAAACTCCTAAAAGGAGCAAGATATTACATGAAAAGCATAAGGCTATAAGGAAAAGTTCGCAAAGACAAGTATTGTTGAGATATTTAGTTGTAATTTATCGCATTTACTATAGGTATCGGACTGCGCAGCTCGCTTGTGTGCGCAGCTCGCATGTGAAATACGTTAACTAACTAAGTCTTGGAAGAGATACCTATCATAGCGCATCTGAAATCTCAAAACGCATATTCAGGCGTTGAAAGTTTTCACCATCGTGAAACGTAAGGATGCTTGCAACTCTCTTTTGGCCTTGGGCCTATGCACACAAAATAAAAGCTGCAATAGTCTATTACCCAGTATAGCATCATACTCGGGTGAAGGATACCAGAAACTCACGAGGTTACTAGGGTACTGGAGCTTTTGAGCTTTATACACCCTATCGCGAACGCATGCCACTGTGTCAGTTTTAGTAATATCAGTCACAAATATGCATTTAAGGCTATCAAGGGGATATTCCAACTCATAGGCAGCCTTCGTGAATCCCGACATGTGTGGAGCATGACTTCTCCTCGATCGGCGGATCCAGTCGATGAACACCACCCCTGGTCCAGTGCGTCCCTGCCAGCCCACTGGTGGGCCTTCTCGATTCTCGATTTCTATACGCTTAAGCTCAGCCGGTAGATCAGGATAGACCACCTCGTCCCACGATGGATCCAACTTGAGCCATACAGAAAAGTCCTGGTGTTCGCTGTCATATGACATAGCGAATGGGGATAGACGGAATGGGCACGACGGTTCATGGAAGTGCTCAATCCATCTCCGTAGTTTGTGTCCATGTTCTTCCCATGAGCTGTTCCGAGGCATTGTGAAGGGCTTGGAGAACTGGGTTAGATGGGATAAGAGAAACGGTCTCAAACAATACCCACTAGCTTGTGAATCTAATTGGATTGAAAGATTTTGTCAGTCATATAGCTTTATGTATGTATCATATCACAAACCGTGAACAAAGCACGCTGATTAATATCATTGTTTGAATAAAGTCTAAGTAAAGAACGAGTACAAAGCCAAAGTGAACAAGGAGATGAGACCCGAAGAAAAAAGAAGATAATTAGGCAAGGATAAATAATAAGCCTGGAGCTAAAACAAAAATTTGTCAAAAATCAAAGAGGAATATCAACCAAAGCACCAGTATCCATTAGAAGTTACTCTAATCACTAACAGATATTCATCATGTTTCCATGGGGAATCTTAGCTGTATCTGACACATCCGTACAGCTACAGTATCTTACACATATGATGCCATTTTCCCCCAGTTACCAGTCTCTCGGCGAAGTACTTACATATTTGACCCGGGAGTCGATCGCTGCTAAGAAGAAAGAATCATTCTTGGCCATCCATCGTCTAGGAGGCTTGCATCAGGATTCAACTATCCGCAACTTATTCTATAGCCCTGAGAGCAGGAATGAAGTTGTCCTGGATTTTGAAAGGCATGGGATTCTCGGGACACGTTCTATTCTTGGACTATTATCCTCAAATCGCACAGGCACAGTTCGGATCCTGGTGTGGAGAAAAAGGTGGCGGAATATGTTTTGACGCAAGAACTAAATGTAACGCTATGTGATGTGCGGTCTATTGATCCAAACTAGGATACTTGATACAAATTCGCTTACAAGCTGGTGCTTCACGCCAGTGGGCCTAGTGTAGAAGCAACCGATGCCCGAGGTTGTCTTTATTTTTTGGGGTTTTTCTTGCAAATCGCACTTGACTAATGAAATAATAAATCGGCCTCTAGAGACTAAAACATATGGAAAGACATGTCTTATTACTGGGAACTTTAGATTCAAATGTCTACATAGACTACATGCAGGAACAAGCTCGGGATGACATCATTATAGCCGGGAGCTACGGGCCGCCATGTGGCAGAATCCTCCGCATTTGAACAGTTTGTTCAAGGTTTTTATATAGCCGAGATCAGACTCGAGAAAAATCGCGAAGGGCGCGTGTCAGAAATTAACTCTTGCTAAATGAGTGAAGTTCCTCAACAGAGAAGAAGAGGACAGTCCTGTAGGGACAGATGAAGAAGATGAAGATGAAGACCCAGATGCTGGGACAGAAGAAATTTTGGGATATCATATGGAGTCGTGACCCGGCTTTGGCTATCAAAATAGATTAGTATAATATCAATGGAGACTATCGTCTGCCAAGTGGCTGAAGATTACCCTTCATACACCAACACGCACTGGACACTTGCTTTCTTTGTCTTTTTTAAAGATAGGCCCGAAAATATGGGCATAAAATGAGCATCCTTCCTTGCGCTGCTATTGTTTCCCTTCTCTCTAGTCTTTTAGCCTAACTACTGACGATATATACATGCAAAAGAGGTAGAATAGGACTTGGGGGGCTCCTTCCTTATTAAGTCGTAGCACTTGGTTCAAACTATAGACTCTTAATCTCAATTAATCGCATCCGATATTGGGTTGCTTTCATACTAGACACCATGTTTGGAGCCAGAATCAATCTCAGAAGTCTTCCACATCTCTCTCACTTCTCTCCGATGTAGGATATCAAGGAGAAACTTATTTCTGCGTGGCTAGCCCGGGTACTTCGTTAATATCTTTCTTGCAATTTCAAAACCACCCACAGCCTTTGTATCTTTTCAAATTTCTCCTGGATCATGTTCAAGTCATTCGAGATATCCCTAGCGTACTCAATTTAAAAATGCAGAAATGGCTTTCGATTTCTCATACACAACTAGCTTTTCACCACATGCCCACAATATGCTATTCAGATAGATTACTCATTCCCACCCTTTCTACCTAGCCCAAAGAAAAAAAGACATCAAGAAGTATATGATCATAATAACTTATATGGAAAGTTCGTACATATCGAAGTCCCATGGCGTTTTCAAGGACGTTGTTATCTCATATTAGACATCAATTGCACTCAAGATAGTATCGGAGATTATATACGGGATTCACCTCCATATCAGATCAACACACCACCTGAAGTGTATAAACCACAACCTTTATACTCCACACCGCCATGGCAGAATCAAGCTCGCGCCAAACCACTTTAGGTCAAGCGTTCCAATGATTGCCAAACATCCAAACAATCCACGTTAGATTGCAAGGACAGTCTTACAAGCATCACGCAATCATAATCATACCTGCTATTCAGATCCAATCAAGGTACGCGAAGATATTTCTGCTGTTTGAAACAGGTAGTGCGCCGATATTCGTCACCAGTTGCGCCCCTTCTCCCCGCATTGCTCCAGGGTCGCGGGCATACCCCGTGGTATTTGGGACATGATGTCAGGCCAATGGAGTCTACACGCGTTCAAGTTTGAGTCAGTCTACTCGCATACTAACAAAATTATCCGTATAGCATCCTCAAACCTTCCAAAAGCCACCACATTCAATTTATTCACAATGTCTGCCGAAGGCGCCTCTGCATCGGTAAGTTAGGTTGACACCCAGTGACACTACGGATCAATGTGCTATTCCTGCAGTGAAAATAACCCGCACTACCATTGCATTGTCACAAACGATACTAACGACCCTCCAGCCCATCCCCATTGAGGATCTCACTAAGATCACCACCGAGGTACGCCCACTCCTAAAAATACCCCGTGGAATGAACCCCGCGCTAACATTTCACCTCAGGCCTGTCAAAATGCCCTCGAGAACAGCCAGGGCTACGAGCACGACAATGTCGGAGCCTGGAACTCCCAGATTATCGTAAGCGTCACTATCCAGCCAACAAGCACTACCCATACTGCGCATGACAACACTGATACTAACAATCTCCTGTACAGAACACCGTCCTCAAGGCCCTGATCACCGCTACCGCACCCACCGAAGCCTCCAAGCCCCCTCCCTACCGCTTCACCGTCAACAGCACAATCGTTCAGCAGGGTGTAATTGACCCGTCCGTCGCTGCCAATGGCACACTCAGCAATGCTGGTAAGCGTGGTATGCACTCCGCCTCTGGGGCGTTCTGGGACGTCAACCGCGACGGCATGTGGACTTTCAAGTACCCCGGTGCTGAAGAGCGCGGGATGGATGTTGTTGTCTGTGTGACGTGGTTTGCCGTCGTATAAGGACGGGGCTGACTGTTGGTTGGCTTGTTCTATCATGAACATATCCATGGATGGCATAAAATTCCATAAGCGGAGCTGGTTCCTTTGTCTGAGAGAGGTTCCGAGGACTTTTCATCGGATTTGGGTCATGGGCTTCATCTTTTCTTTTTCATGTACTTGAACATTTGTTTTTAGTGCTCTGGGTATTTTCAGATCTGTTCTTTTTCTTTTTCGTGTGATTTGATTTGAGTTCGGTCTGAGCGTGGTGTTGTGTTTTCTTTTAGTTTATGGAGACTTGCCTGCTTTGTTCGAGAAATTGAATAGCCTTGTCAACGTGTAGGAGATGTGTTACCCTGCCTGGAGTATGTAGGGTAGAGGAAGGAAACGTGGAATAAATGTTTGATTGGTATCTCGAATATGCAATATCCTCGGTAGGATGGAAATAGGCAAAAAAACTGCAAAACAATCCAACGGCAAAGCTTGCCATTGACCAACCCAATACACGCCATATAACCGGAGAAAACATCGCAAGCACCCATCATTACTTGCGCCATGCCATGTATACATATGTAGGTTACCCAAAAGAAGATCAACGCCAATCAAGACCCATTAATTCATAAAAGCAAAACGCCACTTGACCTCGCCAACTCAACTTTTCATCTCGCCCCTAGCGAGGCTCAGAGTAGTCGTTCAAAGCAACGCAGACGGCACCTCGATGGTGGCCACTGTACTGGCGGATAATATTGCCAGTACCAAGCTCCCACAGACGAGCATAGTGGTCGCTGGAAACAGTAACCAGGTATGCAGAGTCTGCGGAGAAAGCGCAGTCCCAGACCCAGCGCTGGTGGTTAGCGAGGGTGGTCTCCAGGAACAATGTGTGGTTGACTGGATCCATGGGGGGCCCGTCAGGGGAAGAAGTGAATGTCTGCTGTGGTGTCTCTTGGCGAGGAGGATTGTCGGTGATACGAAGCAAATCACGGTCTTGAACAGGTGTGTCGAAGATGCGGAGCAGATCTCGAGACGGGGCGGGAACCTCGACAGGGACTATCGGAGCTTCGACCGGTGTTTCAACTGGAGGATTCAATGCCTCTTTCTCCTTCCATTGCTTTAATGCCAGTTTAGCGGGCGGGAAGTCGGCATCTAGATTCCAAACCTTGGCCGTATGATCCGCAGAGCAGGTTGCAAGATGTTTAACATCGGGGGAGAGGAGAACACGAGTGAGGTAGTCCTTGTGAGCTTGGAAGGTGCAGACGGGGATGATGCGGGTGGTTTCGTCAGTTTGGACCATGCGCCACAAGTAGACATTGCCCTGTCGAGGTATTAGTAAAGAACGCTCACATCCTCTGCGAAACCAAGTCACGTACCTTCTTGTTTCCAGCGCAAAGCAACGATCCATCACTGGCCACGCTAACACTGAGAACAGCAGTGTCCTCCTCTGGAATCAATTGATGGGTACAGACGCTCTCGCCCAAGTCCCAGACACGGACCATACCGGCGTGGTCACCGCTGATAAGCTCACCCTGGTTGGGATGAATTACGACATCATTGACGGCAGCCCGGTGGATATAATTTCGCTGCAAGCTGCCGGTTCGTGTATCCCAGACCTTCACAGTTCCGTCCTCGGAACTGGTGACCATCCATTTCCCCTCACAATGGAATGCCACACCGGTAATGTTGTTTGTGTGACCTTCAAAGGTGATCACGGGGTTAGGATTGGTTGACTTGATGTCAAAGAGCTTCACATTGTTGTGGCCCGCGGCAGCCAAGAACCGTTTATCCGGGGTGATGCAAAGACGATTGACTTGGGAGTCTGGATGCTGGATTGTACGGGAACAGATACCCGAGAGCGCTTCCCAAAAGCTATCAGAGAATAGTCAGTAGGGATGCTGCTACCAATTGCCACTCTGTAGGAGCTGGATGAACACCGTGGGCGGCTATCTGAGCTCAACTTACCGAATGGTATGGTCATACCCCGCTAAAATATGCAACCAAGGTAATTAGCTCAATGTCTGGAAGAATGCGGGGAGGTCCTTGTTATATTCCTCGTACCTGTGCATAAAATCACACTCATATTCGCCAGGGCTGAGGCCAAAGGAGTGTAGTGAGAGAAATAGTCGGTTCTCGTTATATCCTCGTTCTGGGAACAACTGGAGTCCCTTGAGCCGTTAAGGGAGCTGGCAAGGCGTGACGGCCCAGACCGAACGTCGGATGGAGTCCCGTTTTCTGCCATGGTTACCACGTGATTGGAGGCCCACGTGAATAGAGCGGTGTCTCTGTTTGATGAAGTGTAGATAAGGTGAGGGCGGTGGGAGGATAAGACGGATGGTGGCGCATAAAATGGAGGCGGTCAAGTAGGTGAACAGAATCACGTCGCGGGTTATTTGTTGACAAAGTGAGCTTAGGGGCGTGAAAATTAGATCAATGTTTTCAATACAGTAGTGGCTTTTTATTTTTTTTTATTTTTTTAAAAAAAAAAAAAAATTGGTGCACTCACTCGCTGTGTCAAATGCGGTAATATCGAGTCTGGATTAGACTGAGCGGTATATTGAGCGGCAAAGTCACAAGCTGGGACACGACGTGTGATTGGCTGTTATAGATTTAAGGTATTGGCAAAATAATTTATTAACCGGCAGAAAAGGAAAAAAAAACATACCAATGCAGCAAAGTACATTATGCGTTTGTCGTTGCGTTTGTCGTCTCTATTGAATCCTATTGGTCCCTATTCATCTCTATTGATTTCTTTAATACAATAGCAATGTTACTTTCCTTATTCCGGTTTGCTCTCTTTGTTCCCATCTATGAGCCCTAGTTCCTTCCTCGACGGCCATTACTATCCCTCCTCGACCTTTGATCTCTTCTTCCTTTCTACTTCCTTTTCATCCCTTCTCTCTTCCAAACTTTCCTCGGTGCCTTACACCTTTCGTCCCATTGTTGATCAAAATGGGTCCCATTGACACCAACTACCCTGCCTTTGGGTTTGACCAGCCTGGTTTTGACTCCCAGGCCCTTTTCAATGGCTTTGCCAATCTCGGTTCCGACGGGCAGCTCAATGGTTCCAATGCTTTCAGCCAATTCGGGAACGGTGAAATGTGCAGCTTTGACGAGTTGTTTTCCGGCATTCCTCTCAATGGCGTCGATCAGTCTGGCTCTGGCATGGTCCCCCCCATGGGGGTGGGCTCCTTCAACTCTGGTCAACCCGGCTTCAATGCGTTGCCCACGGAGTCACCCTTGAACAACTTCAATCAACTCTCGAACACCCCTGTTTATGGTGCCACTCAGTTCACTGCCACCGCATCTTCCTGTGGCTTTGGTCAACCTGCGTTGTCGGCTACGAACAGTTTCGACAAGCCCAATCAAGCCACCCCTGTCAACAAGCCTGTCCGTGGCGCCGCCCAGTTCGCTGCCACCGCCTCTTCCTGTGCCTCTGGTCAGCCTGCGCTGTCGGATATGAACAGCTTCAACAAACCCAATTCTACCACGCCTGTCAACCGCTCTGCCCAGCCAGTCTCCAACAATGTCCCCATGCATGCGCCGTACAGGCAGGTGCCCTACGACCCCTCGGTTGGGATTGCATATTCTCCCGAGGACACTGACGCCGACAAGGTCCAAAAGTGGGAGAACCTCATCGCCCAGGCCAATTTGGCCAATGCCGGCGTGTCTGCCTGTACTCCTCAGATCATTGAAGAAGACACAGTTGAAGAAGGCCCCCAGGATGTGGACTCACCCAACTCTCTGTTTGACTCTCCTCACCCCTCGCCTGACCCCTCGCCTGTCGAGATCGTTGATACTCCCAGCCCCACTCCGCCGACTCCATCCCCTCCACAAGCTCTTGCAGCTACAATGACATCTTCCAAAGCTGCAACCAATGTGACTGTAAGTCCCTACTGACGTTTGACTCATTTATATCGGGGAAATGTGCTAATCATGCGCAACAGGCAAATACCTTTCCTCGCACTGTCCAGCTGCCCCGTGCCTTGACGAACCAGAAGGGTTACGCCCAACACGTTTCGCCATTTGCACCCGTTGCAACACTTGCTCCTCCTTCTGCCTCGACCCCAACTTCCCGCCAGCTTGAGGCCGCGCGAGAGCGAATTCAGAGTTTATCGAAAGAACGCAACTTGTACCAGCGTAATTTGCGAAAGGCGACCATCATTGATCCCAAGACCGGCAAGACCAGCCTTCAAATGCTACAGACAGAGAATACAAGCCTTCGTCGCACCAATGCTAGGCAGTCACGGGAGAATGACAAGCTGAAGCAGGAGCTCCAAGCAACCAACAAGTCGTTCACCGCGCTAGTGGATAGATACAACCACACAATCAAGCAGCTTCACAAGGCACAGCTCGATTTGAAGCAGCTTGGGAAGTAAAGAGGTGGTTTACATAGTACTTCCATTTGCGAGACTTCAAGTGAATTAATCCAAGAGAAATACAACTCTATCTTTAACATCTTTTTCTGGCCTACGACTATCACTGAACATAGGTGTAGCTTGATAAAGAAGACAACTTGGACTAGGCTACATGCATGCCTTCTGAGATGCAAGTATGTCTCCATATCTTTAGGCTTAGCTTTTATCTAGGACTGTTTCGATATTGTAAACTTGATATGACCGGCTGTGGTTCGTAGTAGTTGAGTCTTATTGGGTACGAGTTAACCTGTAGGTATAGGAGAAGCTTAAGCATTGGATGACTTGGAAATATTTCTGCGTGCTCTATTCTGTTAATTTACCATATATGGAAACGGTGAGGATTTTATCCGAGTCTACCAGTATTTAATCCAAATACAGTTCGACCAATTTCTACTATCCAGTAGAGAAGATTTCTTAGGTCTACTATGCATTCACTGCAGTACAAACAAGACATCTGGCACGATCAACTCCCTAGTTACGGCAGTCTCAGCGCTGGCTTAGTGAACGAGTAAGGTAAGTATTATCGACTTCAAGAGAAGAGAGATAAAACAATACGATTTTAGTATTATTCCACGATACTAGCATATACTGTTGGCTCTACTCCACTGCTATATCCTGGGCCGGGTATGTGGAACAGACTGGTGAAGGGGTGATATGGAAAAGGAACAAAAAAATAATCCGTGCCCCAATTACTCCTGGTGAGGATCGAATCACTGACCAGTTTCACCATTGCTAAGCTTCCCAATGTGGTGTCACCCGTGCTCATTGTTCCACCTAACAATCAGATGATCTCGTGTCTCTCACCCACTCGGCCATCCAGGGAGGATTTTGACAGCTTGGTTTTAACTAGAGTCAAGTAGACCACCTGGAAAAATGATTAGTATGTACATGGAGTGTTGATACAGCCAGGGAAGATAGAGAGGTCAATTTAGTCTTTGTTTACTTTTTATAGGACCATACTTCCCAAGAAACACATCTTTCTCTCCTGAAACCTTCACTATCGGATTTCATAGCTCCTGGTCGTTTTACCTCTCCAGCGCACTTCGGCACAATCAACAATTTTCACATTTACTTTCTTCTCCGCGTCTTTGAATGGACTTGCCATATATATTTCTTCAGATATCTCACATATCCCTCGTTGTCTCTCACTTCAGCTTCAGTTTACATACCATTTTACCTTGGGGGTACCTTCACGTGCTCCCCGAGACCAGCTTAAAGAGGACAGCCCACTATTCGTGACTCTCTTCACTAGCTTCTCCTTAACCTACTAGTAGGCAGTTACCAGAAACTTAGGGCTGGTTTTTCATCCATTGGTGCTAGGAAGCTACACTAACTATTCTCATTGGACAAATACCATTCCCTACGCCGTGCAGATTCCGCGAACCTTAACAAATAAGAAGGGCTAAGCCAAGCATATCTCTATATTTACCCCATCGCCATAGACCTTCCTTCTGCTCCCTCTGGACCAACTTCGCCTGGGCTCAAGAACATCCGTTGGCGTATTCAGACCAGTTCCAAAGCGGCAAAGAGCGAAAACTACAATCTTAGAATAGGGAGGACCGGCCTCCAGCTTCTCTAGGAGGATTCAATCTTTTTTTAGGTCAACGCTAAGCAGTGACGGAGGCGTGAGGATCTCAAGTAGGAAACCAAAAAATAAAACAAGAAGACATACCACATTGGTTGAGAATTGAAATCAGAACTCAAGCAGGCCAATCCTCACAGTGTGTCTCGGCAATACAAGAAAATTGTCAAAGATCTAGCTGGACAACCAGGCCACATCCTCACAGACCCTTTCTTACGGTTTTACTTAGCTAGACTTTATAACAATAGGATCGTCTTCGTGCTTTTGACTGTTTTCTACCTTGAGGTGTAAGAGATATAGTCTATCGGGGGTTACGTAAATAGTCCATTAGCTTGCTCGGACGAAGTCCGTGGAGATTTTTACAAATTTAACAAGTCATGGCCACCTTGCGGTCCCTTGCTATACAAATACCCTATATTTAATAAATATACAAAAACAAAAAAAGAATAACATACAACAGTGAGGATTCGCTGGTGGTCACCCACCCAACTACTAACTCACCGGCGTGTGGCTTAAGTACGGCTGAGCGGACGGGAAGCCCTGTTTTCCACACCCTATGGTCGTATGTGCTTAGGATCTTACTGGGAAGAAGAATATGCTGTAAGTAATTGGGTAGAAATAGAGCTATTTGGGTGTTGAAAAGAGCGGGTAAAAACTAGGTAAGAAGCTAGTTAATTGCGTGATTTTATATTATATCCATGAATTTGGAACTGCTCATTGTTTCGTAATGCAGCAAGTTACCTGAAAGCCCTAAGCCTGTATTGTTTTTGCTGAATGGCTGAAAGTGGAATCTAGTAAATATATATATATACGCGCTCTGCTCTACAGCGGTAGGTATACGGCCAGCAGAAAGAAGCAAAGTGGAAGCACGGGCGGCAGCCAATCAGCGGTCGCAAAAATGGAAGCAAAAGATCGATTTGCAAATACATAGTACTGTATGTTGTATATAGTTGGTTTTGTCGAATTAAGCTTCCATAGTAGTTTACGGGTATGGATGATCGGCGCATTGTATAAGATTATGTAACGATGCATATTATTGCAATGCACAAAACCCCCGATGCGGAAATAAGTGGGCCTTGCCCTAGAAAAATCTGCCTCCACTTATAGTGCACATTTTGTCAAAACTCTACAACAACTGGCCGGCTGGCCCAATGGCAAGGCGCTTGACTACGAATCAAGAGATTGCAGGTTCGATCCCTGCGTCGGTCAATTTTTTTGGTTTCCTGGCTTTCTACGACCTCCTTGTGAACCTATGTCATACCCAAATATAGTATCCGAGTTTGCATCAGTGCAGTTTCGGCTACAGAGTATTTTTGCCATATAAATATGTAAATTGTTTGAAGATACGTATCTTTCTTTTACATATGCCTCTGAGTTTGCATTGTTAATGTTTACTCGGACCTAGCAATACCATGTAAAACCTTTTGATATAAACCCGTTGATATAAGGTTTGAAAAATATCAGACCTGATATCTCCCATCCTACCAAGGTGTAAATGAATTGATTATGCTATGCATCTATAAAATCATAAAATCAAATTGTACACGCATACTCACTCGCTTCAATCGGCACATTGACCATCCGATCTGAACCGAAGAAACCAAACAGTCTCAAACATGATGATGACGACACCAGTGGAGGAACTTCGGGGATAGGAAAACAAGGCACAGCCTGGCTATAGCGCATCCGTATAAAAAAGAAAGCTCGATATGAAATTTTACCCACCCTTACATTTTTTTTACAAAGATTACAAACCCTCGCTTAGCGAGGGCCCGCCATTCATATATACCTTTTGTATAGTCTACACAGTAAAATGTACATTTCTGTAGGGGTGATCTAAGATAGATATGGATACTAGACGCTGCCAATGAGAGGGTATATAATTCCGGAGGGTCCGCAACTCATAAACGGCATGTATGGTTTGTAGTAAAAGGTGCAATTTTAATGGGTGATTTAAGGTATGGGCAGACGTCATCCAAGGGTCCACAATTGTAAACAATATACAATGGATTGTAAGATCAAGACTAAACGGAATATGTCAGCGGCGTTAGAAAACTAAAAAAGGGTTCCTTAAATCACATCAAGTGGGTCTGAGCTCGAAGTGGATGCCAAAGGGACACCAACCAACGTTCACCGTCCCGACCGGGAACCCGATGTGGATGTTGAATCTCGGTATGCCGGTTTACTCGGTTCGGTTCGGATTTGGATATTTTCTATTTGGCCACTTTTAGTTCCAAGGTTTAGAACCCTTGCAAGCCCGGTTCTCTGATAATTATGTAAGGATGTTTACTGCCCCTGGTTGATCTGGTACCTGCGGTTCCTTTTAATTTGTGCTTTGTCCCTTCTTTTCCTTTTGACAGGATTGACAATTCAATCCCTTCACCAAAGGGAAACTATAATAGTTTGCTCATCATGGCGGATCAAGATGAGATCCGTGGGAATTCGGTCTATCAGACCGAACAGTCACAACCTGTCACTGAAACATCCTCACCGATTGAGAATCCTGTTCCTATGAAGGGACAGAAGAAACCCGGCTTGATGGCAAAGTCAGTATCCCCGTGCCCCATACTCCATACCTCATCTCCATGTTTCCATTGTGCATTCGATAAGGCAGTAGCACTAACACCATCACAGAATTGGGAGAATGCTCAACCAAGATGTCCGTGAGGAAATGCCTGCATACAAAGATATCGAAGTCCATACCTGGGACGGTCCCGACGACCCCGAGAACCCCTTCAATTGGAGTCTCAAGTACAAATGGCTGATAACCATTACCGTCTGCTTCATGTAAGAACTGCCCATTTCCATATTCTATACATAACCTTGCAAGAATCCAACTAATAACCCCATCAGCTCTATCCTAACTGGTCTCCCCGCAGGAACCTATGGTTCCGGCAACGACTGGATGGAGAAAGAATTCAACGTCCAGAATGATCCTTTCCCAAATCTCTACTGGGCCACCACCTCCTGGAACATGGGCGCCGCCTTCTGGCCACTGATCTTCGTCCCTCTGACTGAGGCCTCAGGCCGCATGCCAGGATACTTCGTCGCATATATCATCCTCGTCATCTCGCTCTTCCCATCCGCGTTCGCACAAAACTTCGCGACAATCGTCGTGACGAGGTTCTTCGGTGGCGGTGCGTCTTCCGTCTCGATTAATATCGTCGGTGGAAGTATCTCCGATGTGTGGTTTGGTGACCATGCTCGCAGTTTGCCGATGTCTATCTTCGGCTTTACTAGTGTTGTCGGCATTGCACTTGGTCCATTTATTGGATCGGCTATTGTGCAGATTCAGAAATCCCAGCCGTGGCGTTGGTAAGCACAACACCTTTCTTCCTTGATATTGAGATCTCCAAGTATACAAGAAGAAAGAACCCATCATACTAACCATCTCCCTATAGGATCTTCTATATACAAATTATCTACAACGCAGCCTTGATCCCAGTATTCTGGCTAATCCTCCGCGAAACCCGCCCAGACGTGATCCTCAAGAAGCGCGCACGCAAGATCCGCAAAGAAACCAACCGCCCAGTCTACGCCGCTTCCGAAATCGACGCACCAAGCAAACTCCGCCTCCTCAAAATCTCCTTCCAGCGCCCAACAAACATGCTCCTCACCGAGCCGGTCGTGATCTTCTTCACGTTATGGATCAGTTTCGCCTGGGGAATCTTGTACCTCTTCTTCTCCAGCGTCGTACAAACCTACTCGACAAATTACGGCTGGGGCACTCTGTCAACAGGCCTAGTCCAGCTCGCGATATCCGTGGGTGCAATTATTGGAACAGCCATCAACCCGCTGCAGGACTGGTTTTATCTCCGCTCTGAGCGACGCAATACTGAGAGACCCGGTAAACCCATTCCAGAGGCGAGACTGTACACGTCTATTCCGGGTAGCTTGCTCTTTGCAGGCGGTTTGTTCTGGTATGGCTGGGCCAGTCAACCGCATATTCACTGGATCGTGCCGACTATCGGTATCACGGCTGCGGGTATTGGCATTTATTCCATTTATATGGCTGTTGTTAATTATCTGACTGATGCTTATGAGCGGTATGCGGCGTCTGCTCTGTCGGCTGCTTCGCTTGGAAGGAATGCTTTTGGTGCATTTTTGCCGCTTGCTTCGCCGCAGCTGTTTAGCAACCTTGGATTCGGGTGGGCTGGAAGTCTGCTCGGATTCATTGGAGTTGCGTTGTCTGTTGTTCCAGTTGTTTTGGTTTGGAAGGGGAAGCAGATTCGGGAGAGGAGTACGTTTATGAGGGAGGCTATGTGGGAGCCTGAGGAGAAGGTTGAGATTGATCGCACTGGCAAGGGTAATTCAGGGCATACTGAGGGAGTTACAGTGTAAGATTTTGTATTACGGGGTGTTCTTTTGCGTCGCATTGCATGGTTGAGTGTCTTGCTTTACTTGTTGTCTTCAATTTTTACGGTTAAATATGTTCAATGATTTGCATTTTGATAGAAATAGATTAAGAATATGAATTGATTCTTTTATTTTGGTTTCATGTCCATCTAGCCGTTGTTCTATTGTATTAAATCATAACAAGAGGATGGCATGGACAGACGATATGTTCTATCAATCCTGTTTTGGGGTGTATACATACATAAGGAGGCTTATCAACCCTCAGTTTGGTACACTTTTCTCCATTGAAGTCTTTGTAACTGCTGATGAACTATTGTGTGTACATCCATGGATACTTGTCAAGTCATTTGATCTGCAGGCCATAAGGCACCAGCACGTGATATGGACCCACCTTCCATTTTCGGAAGCATATGTTCCTATAAATTCACGACAAACAAAAGCTCTTCAACAATCTCACCTGGTGGCTGAGTTGGGTTCTCCGGATTAAACATACTGGTAATACTGGTGGCCGGCAGTTCGATCCGCTCAGTCCACGCTGTTAAAAATACATTCATAAAAAAATGTATTATTCCACTGATGCATCCCAACCTCTGGTTGGGCGTGGCCTAGGCATAGGTACTGGCATGAGATTGTTACCGCCCCATGGGAGTCCACCTGATGGCGATTTCCATGGGTGCACCCCCCGGCCTGTCTGTGCCACCTTCTTCTTTTTTTGTTAAAAGAACAAATTTACTTCTTGATATATTCACTATATACTCTTGGGTGCCACCTTCATTTTCCAATTTATTTTCCAGTTTCTTTTATTTTCCCCTCACTTCTACACACCGTCACTTGAAGGGCTATCCATGGATGGTTAATGGCAGCATGATAAGTATAACTAATCCCTTCGTCACAATGCTGATGTATAGGTATTGTTTTCTATGGACTGAACAACCCAGAAGTAATTCCAGCAGAATCTGTGATGGTGATATATTGTTCTGCACTTCCATCCTACCAAGAAGTAGTATAGATAGGATTTTATATCATTGTACTCCTCATGTACGTAGCAAAAAATCTTGATCTGTTGTCCACCTTACAATAATAAAAGCTCACAATACGTTTAGACAAACTACACATTTCACATAAGTTATTGAAATTCTTGCCCAGGTGAGATTGGATAACATAGTCAACTGTAGTGGTTGTGAAAATATATTGCCGCATTCTATATAGCGATATGAATTTCCTATACCTACAAAAAAATGCCGCCTAGCTACTAGCAATAAAGAGGAAATATTCCCATAGCCTTAGTACAATGTTCCTGTATATAGAAATATGTATATTCGCTGACCTGCAACTGCATCAGTGCTAAACCTGTAGGCGGATCATTCAGTGTCAGTATTTTGCATGCTTCTTCCAACTGCAGATTTGCAATATTTAGATATTTATAAATGATCGGGATACTTAACTGCATACGTTAGATCGTGATAGGTATCTGCTTAAGGTGTTTTTTTGCTCTGTATTGCATAGTTAAGCATTTCATTCTACTTGCTGTCTTCAATCTTGGCCGATATAGATGTGTAAATATTGATATTTTGATGGAAATAGAAGACACATGAATCTATTGTTTTATTTTGTTCTTATGTCCATCTAATGGCTGTTCTCTATGTAATGCCAAGAGGGTAGTATAGAAAGACAAGAAACCAAAAACCACAACTTCCTGCACATGTTCTATCAAGTCTGAAACCAAGGTGGAAAGGATAGTGGAAGAGGGTATCGGGGCAAAGGGATCAGGGTCAGAGGTGAAATGGCCATTCACATGGATGTTGCTTTTGGGAAACACTTTCGCTATCAATCAATCAACCACAAGCACGAAAAATTTATTTTTCATCGCGCATCTTGCGGAAGAAATCCATGACACCAGTGTAAACAACAAGCAGAATACCACCACCAGGGCCGAGACGCAGCACCTTAGGAGTGAAGCCCTTGTACAGGGCAGAGAAGCCCTCCTCCTTCATCACTGTGCCGAGAGCAGGCCAGGCCCAGTTGTACTTGGCAACCTGGCCGGCGACCTTGGAGGTGTTCTGGATACGGGACTTGACAACGTCCATGGGGGTGTTGAGGACAGTACCAGTGATACCACCAATGGTACCGGCGATCAGGTCGTTGCGGGTCTGCTGGTTCTTGTTGCCGGGCTCGACGGCGGGGAGCTGTGCGCGGACCTGGAAGATACAGCCGAAGTAGCCGGCGTTCCACAGGATGTGGCGCCACATGGTCGACTCAAGGCCGTTGTACATTGCGAGTGGGCCTTCGGCGGCAATGATCTTCTTCACAACGTCGAACATGCCGTTGTACTTGTGGGCCTGGGCCTTGTCTTGCAGACGGATCTTGACTAGCTCGAAAGGAACAACAACGATGGCTTCAGTTGCTCCGGCGGTGGCTCCGGTCAGAGTGGCTAGACCTTGGGTCTGCTTCTCCGCACCGAACAGGTTGCGGTAGAAAGCACCCCAGCTGTCGTTGGCGGCGAATTTGGTCGCACGCTTAGGTGCCTCCATCAGGATGGGCGCGGAGATACCACGGTATAGACGGGAAGCACTATATACGTTGTCGCATGTTAGAGAGAGAGCGGTGGCTGCTTCGCGAGGTGATAACGTACCCCTCGTTCTTAACAATCTTACGGAAGCAATCGAACATGCCATCGTAGTGGTCGACACCAGGGACAGGGGCACCAGTCTGAAGTTGACTGCAAGAGGAATGTTGTTAGCTCATGTCATATGAAGTCGGAGTTTATTGCGACCGGCGGCTTGCTTACATTCGAGTCTTGAGCACGTCCAGAGGGTACCTGCGAGTCACATCGTCAATTGGGTCCGATTTTCACACTATACCAGGCATATCTCTAACAGGAGCAATTATGCAAGCAAGGAAATAGGGTGGGGAGCCGTACATGATCAGGATCTGCGCGTGCGGGGAGAAACATGTTAGTCAATAAAGCGCCTCGTGGGGGGTTCCGACACAACGAAACAGGTCGGAATCAAATCCCAAAGTAAACGCTGGAGATACATACCTCTGAGACACCAGCCACCGCACCGGCGGCGAACTGGTAAATGAAGGGGAGGGGTGCCTGGGGAGCGTCGGACATGATGGCGCTGTAGGATGTCAGTGTGGGGCCATAATTGGGCAATATTGGGATCGCAAAGTCATTGAAAAACACGACTTTGTGATTAAATCACAGCATATTCACTCACAAGACCTAAAAAGAACGAGGGTTGGGAGAAAGAAGAAGTGAGAAAAGAGGAGGTTGCCGGTGTCGGCGAGATTCGGTGATCAAATCCGAGTGCAGCACCCGGTAAGTCTCCGCCTATATTAGCCCCGTCAATTGCCGATTACTAAACCCCCGTGGGGAGAGCTCCTCTATAAAATTCACATTCCAACCTGTTTTCGGACGTGTTGTCATTAATTCATATTTATCGTATCTTCTTCTATCTTCTTGTGTCTTCATAATATCCAAACTCCCACACTCATCCCCAGCATCATCCCTAACATCATTTTGCTAACCCGATGCATCATGCCATCTCCGCTAGGCGCGGTCGCTTGTTCCTTGGCAACGGTCGTTGCAAATACAGTGTCCCTTGCAGTACAACTAGAGCCACATGCATATCCCATGGGACAACATCCTCCACCCACAGTGTCAGCACAGTGGAACCAACCCTGAGCGCACCGGTTCCCGCCGGATTGTGCCGTTGTTGTCGCGACAGGCGCTACAATCGTCACATCATTCGAGATCATAGTCGTCGAATATGTGATCGGGCATGAGGTTGTATCGCAGTCTCGTCCGGTGCGGCAGCAGCCACCGTGGTGAACAGCGGAACAGGCATAGAAGCCAGTCGGACAGACGTCCTCGCCGCGGGTAACACTGGTTACTGTTGAGAGGTTCGTAGGCCGTGCTGGCGGTGCCAAGCCATCGCTTGTTGTGGTCTTGCTAGTATGGGAAGAGGTCGTTGAGGAAGAGCAGGGAATAGAAGCTGAAGTACTATCCTCCGGTTTGGTCGAGTAGGTCACAGTAGACAACACCACGGTCGAATGAAGAGTGACTGTAATGACGGTGATATATGCACCTACTCGAACAATTAGTAAAGACGCTCATATTCCCAAATCACATTAACAACCTGGGAATGAGACATGAAAAAGGAAAATCACTCACATCCCCCTGGAACACAATCATATCCTGGAATACAACATCCACCCCCCAAAGCCTGAGAGCAAGCTGTATACCCATTCGTACACGACCCAATCATCCCAGAGCACTTCTTCCAGCTAGGACAACAGCCAACATTGCCATTTCCCGTGTCAGCGACGATCTCACACGTCTCCCCGGACCCACAGCAGCGATCGGATCGACCGATAGAAGTGCACGCCGATGTCCCAGTCGGGCACTTAAATTCTCGTTTCTCGAACAGATTGTTTGCGCTGTCCCTGTTTCCCCTAGGAAAGAATTCACCATCTCCATCTGAGCCCAAAGAATAAGATGGCTCGAATGGGAATGATTGGGCCACAAAGCTGGCAGGGGAAAATCCGTCTTCATCGGCGAGGTGTCGCTCAGATATGTTACCTGATGAAGAGACATCCCCGAAACTCCAGTAGTCGAGGAAGAATTTCTCGCCTTCGTCATCACTCATTTTCTTCACGCCGTGGGCTGGTCCTGCTGCAAGTTGGGATGTTATAGCGGCATTGCGCTGTAGGATGAGGCTTGCTGGTAACGGAGTGTCAGCCTCTTTGGATTCTAGATCCGCAGAGGGGTTTGTATTTTCTGCTGAGACCAGTGTTTGGAACCGAGACAGAGAGCAAAGCACAGTGAGGGCGTGGAGGAGCTGCATGTTGCCACTGAGAATCATACAAGTATGGATCTCGAGTTCCTTTTTAGGTTGACACTAGTGGGAATAGTCGGGTTGGAGGCTGACTTGTAGTGGGATAATTGTTTCAGATATGTGTTTCACTAACAAAGGCTGTGGATGAGTTGGTCGGGAATAAAACTTCGAGTTGGGGTGGTGGGTACAATGGTGCAAATAGTATATATTTCTTTGTCCCTTGATGAACAGCAATGCAGTTGAGTTTTCCAGGTTTGAGGTAAGTGATGCTTGTCAATCTAGGAATAAATTTAAGGGCGCATTTTGTTGTGTATAAATCTGTAAAGCTGCATGGAAAGGTGGCTGGGGTGTGCATGAGGCGCACACCGCTATGCATTAGCTTGCAGAACAAACAGGCCACAGATACACAGTACATATGCAGTCAGTGAGACATATATATTAGCTGATTAGAGTATTGGAGATTAATCTTTATCTCTATATATCAATCTACATAGTGGGATATCAAGAGACAGCCTTTGAGACCACCTGAGTACTTTCAACCAATACGACTCCAAACCAAACAACATCTCAATGCTAACTTTAAAAAGTGCTCATATCATTTGTAAAATCAAGGACCAAATGCTAGTAGCACACTACATAATGCGGCAGGGTATCGTCAGTAAATGACATGAGGGGCTCTCGCACAGGAAACACGCCAAAAGGTATCAACGGAAATGAAATGAACAAAACCAAGGCCGCAATGCGATGTCAAATGCAAGAAAACAAAAAAATAAAAAATAAACGTCTGAGCCCAATTTCACTTGTGCTTAGCGATAAGAGATTCGGTATGAAACTTCGTAGTGTCGGGGATGATCTATTGGATGGGACGGAGGATGACCGGACATCCTAGGATCAATACAGGATCAGGCAGGGGGATGTTCGGATGTAGCATCATCTTCCTCCTCTGGAGCTTTGGGAAGTGGCTTCCCCGAGTCAGAAGATGGCGACTTGGGCTCCTCTGCCTTCTCTGCCTCGTCACCAATCTCCGGGCTCCCCTCTTTTTCGCCTTGCTGCTGATCATCATCACCTCCGCCCTCATTATTTTGCTCCGCTGCCTGCGCAGCAGCGGCTTCCGCCTCCGCCTTTTCCATCTCGGCATTGCGGGCCTGCTGTCTTTCCCAAACTTCTTTGCGGATGCGCTCGTCCTTCGCAGTACGGAGGCGCTCAGTCTCTTCGAAACCACCGCTCTTCTTCAATTTGCCTTCTTCAACAAATGAGCCTAGTTCCTTCTGGAAAAGTCCGATTCGTCGAGTCTCAAGCTCTTTCTTTCGTGCTTTCTCGGCGCGTTCAATGGCCTCGAGTCGGCTTTCGTGATTGGGTCGCAGAGCACGAACTTCGCCCAGGACACCATCTTTAGCTTTCATAGGATCAATAGTTGGGTCAATTCCAAGAGTCCTAGATGGGGCGCGGACAGCAGTGCCATTGGTTGGAGTTGTCAGGACCTGCTCTTTCGTGGCTTGCTCCACCAGGGCAAAGGTCTGAGTTGCCTTCTCGAGATCGTCTTGCAAGTCGGCAGCAAGGTCCTCCTGCATGGTAAGCTGGTCCCGTTCTTCGCAAACCAGCTGTAGCTCCTTCTCCCAGATCTTGGTCCAGATGGGTTTCTCGCGACCCAGGAAGTCCTGCATTTTCTTAATTTCTTTCATGACCATGCTGATGTCGCGGCTGACACCCTCCAACTGTCTCGGGAGAGGACGAACGCCACGGGTCACAACATCCTTTCGAAGATCCTCGACCAAATCTTGGAGATCATCGACGCGAGCGACCAGCCGCTCCGATTCAGCCGCAAGTTCCTTCTTGCCAGTGTTGACGCGAGCGCGGCCAGCATCCCCTTGATAAGAGGGAGTGGTAACGTCATCGGCGGCGGTCTTGACCTTGCTTGCCTTGGCACGGACTGCGCTCATAGAACCGGTGATATCTGCAGTAAAGTTGGAGTAGGTCTGTCGCAGGACAGCCAAGTCACGGCGCAAGCTCTGAAGCTCGGCAATTTGAGCTCCACTACCAGCGATCGAGGTCTTGGAATTCCCTACAACGGCAGCGGGACCGGAGGTGGCTGGAGGAGCAGCAGCCAAGCGAGCAAGTTCTTTAGCAGCTTCAAGCTGGCGATCCGAAACCCGCTGGATGATGTTTCCTTGGCTGGAGAGTGTCTCCTTGACGCCTTCGACCAAGAGTCGCACACTACCAAGATTATCATCGAAATGTTTCTTGACCTCATCGAGGTTGTCAACGTTAAGCACCAACACAGACCGATCTTTGACATCGGCAAGATCTTCTAGTTCATGTCTGATACCTGAAACTGGGTCTTGGATATAAATTTCCGGCAAATCAACGCCATTGTCGTGGGTATTCCAGGCAAACTTCTCAATAAAAGCAAGCTGCAGGCGCCCAATGGTAAGCTCTGCAATGCCATCTGGAAGCACGTACTTCTTAATTTTGCTTTTATATTGTAGGAACAGCGTCAGCTCTTTGCCCGGTGAGGGTTGCTCAATAGCAAATTGAGAGACGACTGATGGAGGTGTTGCGATGTCGGTAGACGGTCCAAATGAGTCCGCCCTCGGGGTTTGTGGTGCTGGCTTTGTGGGCTCAAAAGCGCCTTCGAGCATTGGCTTCTCTTGGGGTAGCGGAATTACTGGAGGCACGACGGCAGCTTCCGTAGTATCGTCTTTCTTGTCAGGAGCAACCGCTTCACTGGGCACCTCCGATGATATGGTATCGATCCCTTGTGGCTCTGATGGAAGTGCAGCAGATGGAGGGGTGTGTTGTTCTTCCACGACATGTGGAATATTTGTTGATGGAGGCACCGACGCACCCTTGGCGACTTCCTGTACACGGTTATTGGATCGTTGTCTTGTATGAGTATATGAGCCCCGCAGACGGACTGCATTCAAAGATTCGCGGACATCACGACCGCGATTGGGGATGGGAGAGTTCTGGGTAGGCAGGACAGGGACACCGTTAGTAGATGTGCCCAAATGTTTCTGAATCTGGTAAGCAGAGAACCGACGCGAGGCACGTCGCTCAAGCTCTCCACTTCTTTGTAAAGCGCCCAATGCATCATCCTCCTTTGGCGGAGGCGGGGGCGGAGGCGCAGAGAACCCGGTTGGTGTAGTATATGTCGAAGGCGCAGTGGTATTGAATGTGGTGGCTCGAGGGGTTGTATCATTATCCAAGGGGGTGGGTTGAGACAACATTTGCTGGGCCTCTCGCCGTGATAATTCCCTTTCCGCGTAGTTTGTCGTACGCGGTTCTGTTGTCGAAGGTGCCGAGGAGGTTCGAGCAATGGCCGGTTGATCCTCTAGAGATCCACCGCTGCCATACCGTCGGTTCGATTTTCTGGGGGACTGCGCTGTCGACGGCATGGTTGATGCTGCGGCCTCATCATAAAGCTGACCAATTACCGGCCCACTAGCGATGCTTCCCCCACTGGCTTGCCGTGCTGGTGCGGGCCGGCCATCCTCGCGCTGGTGCCGGGACCTTAACCGAGCCTGCTTCTTCTTCAACCCTTTTAACAAGTTGATGATTATATCTCGAATTCTGGGGAGGTATCTATCGAGGCTCTGGGAAGATGCGTCCTGACTAAGGGTATCTTCAAGTATGGTGCGGAGCAGGTCCGGTACAGGACCGAGGTCTGAGGTGTCGACTCCAATGGCACTGAAAGCCCGACAAGCCAAGTTAAATTCATAGCCCAATCGAACGTATACATCTGACACATCATTCTCCGACGCTTGCTTCCGAGACCATTGGGTGAGAGTTTCGAGGAGTTGTTTTGTCGCAACCAAGAGATGCGTCACGCTCTTTTCGATTTGCGATATTTGCTTATCGGGCTGTGAGGTGGAGGAGAACGCCGGTTCGTTAGCCACTGGAATATAGGCAATTGACAGGAAGCCAGAGACTTACCTGACTCTTATTAGATTGGGATCGAGAGGAGGCGGAGGAACTGCGACCAGACTGCTGGGAAGCCATGGATATGTCGGCACTGCCAGACCCCGAAGGTCGCTGAGGGGATGTTTGCTGGTCTAACTGTTCCGGATAGGGGAACTGAGTCCTTGGAACACCTGAGGACTGCATAAGTACGATAGACCAAATCACCGAAGGAGTGAGAACAGGAAGTGAGAAATATGGCGGAAGCGAGCGAGTGTGCCAAGCATGTGTGAAGATGATGCCCAGCCTCCTGTCAACTTGGCGCGCCTTACCGACTCGAACCGATGATCAGCAGCGATGTATTACCTGAATACCATAGATACCATATATTACTGTATAGTCCTGTAACGAAGTACAAAGGACCGGGGTAACACATCACTCGAACATTCAGGCCACAGTAGCTAGTACAATGTAAGTGTGATTGATTATTCACAATTGTTCTCCAACCTGATGCCATGAATCACATGCTTATGTTGCTTATTAAAAAAATTATATATTACATCGATACGTACGACATACATCCAACAGAGCAAGCATAAAAGAAGAACACCCACTGATAGGTACCCGATTGATAAGGCCCTTGTCTTTGTTCTGTTCCACTTCAGCTCCACTCCGACTCTATTTATATTCCTTCGTACACTGATTTGTGTAGGACGGCTAAGTTATAGGGGGAATTGAGGACCACATTTCTCTACTATGGCTTTGTAAAGAATTCGTTGGTTTCTTCCCCATAGGAGGATGAGCATCAGGCCCACCAGGCATAGCACGAAACAACCCAGGCTAGCCCAAAATACGGCAGCCCAAGCAATGTGACGCCTAACTCACCCACAGAAGAAGATTGAGTAATGCTGTTAAAGAGCCAAGAAGGCAGAAAAACTGATATATGTGTAGTATGAAGTTACTAGGTGCTGCCAATTCCGTACATTATTACTAAAAGCTAAAGCCTCATTTTGATATGGCCAATGTCTCAGCTACAAAGACTAGCAGGATTGCGGTGGATAGGTTCGCAAAGAAACCGATGAAAGCTTGAACCCAATGTGGAAATCGTTCTATAAGGATGGAGAAAATAGCTGGACAGTGGCTAAGCTGGTAAATACTATGATTCAGAATACTGATGCTCTTTTTATATGCCCTTGATATCACATTACTTCTCAACATGCACGTCTAGCAGAGCATACCCGTCTGATTGGTTTATAAATTCCAAGGTCCAAGGGCGCTAATGGATATTTAGATGCAACGCTGATTAGAAATCGAGTCTGTAAAGTATTTATGAGATTAAGTCAAAATCCACGATATTTACAATTCTACCTAAATAGAATCCTAGATATATATAGGCTGTAAGTTCTGGCATGTCGGCTTAGCCCATGATATTTGATATATGTACACCCAGGCAGTACCCCGGGTTTTTATGCTTCGCCCTCTTTCTTTCGCAGCTATAATATATGATCTCTTTTTGTCCCCTTTACTATCATAAAATTTGCAGAGAAATAGATATCGATCTATAACTACTTAATATTTCTGTTTCTTTAACAGCCTGAACATATATAGATTGGCGATCTAAGTTGTGCGGCTCAACACCATTCCTATTATCCTCTGTAACACTGACAATAAACCTTGCAAGGTTTGAATTCTGGGTGCCTATATTATTGTATGTAGATATCTGGGTCCTAGACACAGCCCTAGGACCCTGGACCCGGGGTGCCGGGGTGCATGGCTGATGACATGTGACATACAATAATTTCACAATTCTGCCAAAAAAAACATCATAACACTGAGAATGCGTAGTTGTTATATATTAATTGACCTAAGCTCTGTGGTAGACCAGATGGAATCTAGTACATACATATATGTACCTAGTAAGCCTCTGCTCGTTATAAAATGGCAGCTAAATGAGGAAAGCCCCCCCGGAGGAAGTTCCTTGGAACCAGATGTATATGATTCGGGAACTATGACCTCAGATATGCCCAGGTGAAGTGTGTAGAGATATGTAGAGGTATATACTAGAACATATATAGACACAGACTTAGGGTAATCAAGAGCAAAATAACAAGTAAAATACTAGGCATGATCTAAAAAATGACACACATCCTTTTGGACGATAATGCAATTGATCGTCTAAGGTGATGTATGCGGGTTTACTGATTTCTATTGGTAGTTCACCTTAGCTACTTTACACATCGGAAGTAATTGTATATATATCTAAATAAGTCCATAGGTTCCGACCCTATTTCGCACAAATGCCATTCTACTGTTATTATATTCATATATTCATATATAGTCTCAAACTCTATGAGGGGTCAATAGAGAGTATGGACGTAGGAGCTACCTCAGCCTGACCCGTACTCTGTGGGTAACATTGACAATTGGCCTATCCCAGGGTTGAAAGGTCCAAGAGCACAGAATACTTATAACAATAGTGTTCATTTTTTGAAATAAAAAAAATAATAATATTCTTATTGGAACATTTGAAGTTACAACAAAAGAAAAAGAAAAGGAAGAAAAAGAAAAAGAAAAAGGGTGTAACACACAAATACAATACCATACGCGTGACTTCTTCTCTAGAGTTCCCCCCCTCCCATCAACTTGCGACAAGCCCATCTTCTTCTTTCTTCTATTTTTCCTATCTGTTCTTTCCCTTCCTTCTTTCCTTCTTTCTCTGCCATTGACATTCCGGTATCTCCGCAGTGTGGTGGTTGCTTATCCTTCCCCCTCACTTTGCCCCCCTAGTCCTGTTTGTGCAGGCGGTGTGTTGTGACATCGTGCCTCATCCTCGCGGCTTTCCGCCGTGTGAAGTTCCACGACGCAAGCTTGCCCTGACTGACACTAAAGTCAATCAATGGCTTCCGCTCTGAACTCTGTGCCGGCTAACAACGCGTCTGGCAATGCCAGCGCGGGCGCCCCAAACCCCGGCCGATCTACTTTGAGATCCAGTAACAGCACCAAGGGGTCCGACAACCGACGACAGTCGGGCAGCCCTGGAGATGGCGGACAACGGTATGTTCCAACCCTTCCTTCCAACTTATATCAAAACCTGTATTTCCATCAACTCGGACTTGAGAAATTCCTCTTTGTTCTTATCATGCTCTTCCCTTGTTCTCTTGGCGATTGAGCTCGCGTACGCGCCTTTGAGGTGGTGAGCTCTGTTACAGGCTTGCATCAAGTTGTGCGCCAACAAGAGCCAATTGAAGCTGTCGGATTCGATGACAGAAATATCTTGTCGATCTCTGTTTCGTGACTAGTGACCGCTAACGCAACCATGTTCTACTGCATAGGCGCACAAACTCCCACAAGGCCTGGACCCAAGGGACCAACCCCATCACCCAACGATCTTCATACACTTCATCGAACGGCAACATGACCCACCAGAAACAATCTGGATCTCCGAGACCCAACCAGAAGGAATCAAACACTCCTGATAGCCATGCTCATGACCGCCTTGTTTTCTTATTCGCCAGCTTCATTGTAAGCCCAGTCGTACCCCCATGTTTTTGATTAATTCTAAACTGCTACCTAGGGCCTACACACTACAATCACCACTAAGACCGGAGAGAAGTTTACCGGTATCTTCTCTTCCTCGACCATGGAGCCAAATGAACTTTCCTTCCTGCTCAAGATGGTTCAGCGAATCTCGCCAGAGGGCCAGCCCCGGACAAATGGCGTTAGTGATGTCGCAACTCCGTACATAGGCTCCGCGCCCGAGCATATAATGTCGTTTGATATAAAGGATGTCGTTGACATTGCTGTTCCAAACGTTACCACAGCTGAGGTTTCAGCCAAGGAACCAAACGGTACGCGTTGCTTTGTGTAGTCGGATTTCGTTTGTGTATGTACTAATTTAGACCACAGGTGCTTCTCAAGGTTTCAGAACCGACACTGATATCTCCGGAAACCTAGCTATGCGAGAGCGCACCCTCCAGCGTTGGGAACCTGCCGAGACTGACATTGATATGTCACTTGACACAAACAACACTTCTGCAGGATGGGACCAGTTTGAGGCAAACGAGCGTCTTTTCGGCGCCAAGACCAACTATGATGAGAATATCTATACTACTCGCCTTGACCGGTCGGATCCCAACTACAAGCAAAAGCAGGCGGAGGCAGCTCGGATCGCCCGTGAGATTGAAGGACAAGATGTGGAAAATGCCCACATGCGCGAGGAGCGTGGCCTTGTAGCACCGGATACTGGCGACCAAGACGAAGAAGACAAGTACAGCGGTGTTCGCCGCGAAGAGAAGGCCTTCCCTCCCCTGCTTTCCGGCCAACCAAACAAGTACATGCCCCCCGGACGGCGCCAGGCAGCTCCCCAACCTGCTGTGGCCACCAGTGCACCCAGCAAACAGGCCGTTGCTTCTCCTGTCCCCACCGCTCCTATCCCCATCCCCTCTCAGGCCGTGGCAAAGGAAGTTTCAGCTGCAACCTCAGACAAGCAAGCTGAGTTGGTCGCATCTTTGCAACCCCCAGCAGATATCGAACAGAAGACTGCCTTGCCCAAGGGTATCACCCCTGCAGTACCAGCTACAAAGCGGGCTGTACCTGAAAATGCGACCGCAAACGTGGAGGCAGAGGTGCTGGATCATTTCCGTCAGTTCGCAAATAGTGAGAAAATTAAGATGCAGGAGCGCCGTCGCAACCAAGCCTCATATGACCGAACCATGAAACTTAACGAGCTGATGAAGTTTTCCAAGAGCTTCAAACTCTCAACTCCGGTGCCAAAAGACCTGGTTCCTATCCTTGCCAAGGACCGGGTCAAGCAGGAAGCAATCATGCAACGAGCGCTGCAACAGGGGGACGACAAGGCCATGCCGAAGGTTACTACGCCTCCCACAGAACAACAACCCGCTGCTCGTGGCGCCGGACCTACTGGAGCTGTGCCCCCATCTGCACCTGCTGATCGCCAGAACTACAACAACCGCACTCGTCAAGGTTATCCTCCCACCGGGCCGCTCGCTGGCGCTGGTGGCAGATTCCCTCAGCAAGGTGTTCAGCCAGGACGTCCTGGTGTTGGGATGCTCAGTCATCGACTAGCGGACAATTTGCAGCAACGAAAGGGTGCGGGAATGGGTCCTGTTCCCACCCCTCTTCCCATCCAGGATGTCCGTGGACCCCCGACTGGTCCTGCCAGTGACCAACAGAGAATCACCAGCCCTGTCAAGTCGCAGGCCGGGTCTTTGGCGGCAACCAAGTTCAATGTCAAAGCCATGGAGTTCAAGCCAAACCCTGCAGCGAGCACTTTTACGCCTGGTACCTCGGGAGCTGCCGCAAGCCCGCGGTCTTTCTCTCGCAACCGCTCTGTGTCACGCGCCACAACACCAACTGCATTCTTTGGCCCAAGGAAGCCACTGCCTGCCTCTGAACGACCCTCAATCAGTGACCAATTTAATCCCATTAAACGCATGAAGAAGGAGAACGCAGAGAGCACTGACAGGTTGATTATGTTGAATGGAGGTATCCCACCACCCTACAAGACTTTGCCAACTTGGGACATTGCGGATGGTACCGAAGATAAGACGTACGATCAGATGTTCAAACAGCCTGTCGGCGTGCAGACAGTATCGCCCCGGGGTCGGTCTGTCTCCAGCAACACCAATATTCCCCAGCAACATCAAGCGCCCTTCCACTTCCAGCAAGGTAATCCGGTCATGCCGCCATCTTCTGGTCCTTCGAATGGACCTCATGGTCTTCATTCTCAGGGTCCTCATGGCCCATCTCATGTGGATGATCATCACCGCATGCAGCTGTCCGCGTCGAACTCCCAGGTTTTCCCGTCCCCCCGGATGCAACATGGATACCCCTCCCCTATGGCTCCCCATGCCCAGCTTTCCTTCCCGCAACCGATCCCACAGTTTTACGGCGGCCCCCAACCCGGCCACATGAGACCTTTCCAGGGTGGTGGTCCTCAGTTTGTGAATGGCGCTCCTATGATGGTACAGCAGGCCTCGAATGGACCCTACATGGGAGTTCCGCAAGGCATGACTCCATATAACGCACAGATGCCCATGTACTCCCCGAACCCGGGCCACGCCTATCCCCAACATACACCCCAGCCACACAGTGGGTACCCAAGCCCGAGCCGCGGTGCACCTATGATGATGCACCAGAACTCGCAATCTGGACAGCCTCCTCAGTCGATAATGTTCATGCCTGGTCAACCCGGATATCCTCAGCAGTCGGGACATAGTGAGTCTAGCTAGAGTACCCCATCAAGCAACTCCAGTTTTTAACCAATCCAGTGCCTCCCAACCGTGGCAACTACCCACAGCAGCCTCACTTTTCTTCAAGTCCCCATCAAGCGCATCATTTCCCACCTAACCAGCATCGGACTCCCAGCAATGGTTTCAATCAAATGCCTCAGATGCCACCCCAGATGTCTGCCAATAACTCAACAGCAACCCCTGGAGCTCCCCACCCGGCGGAGGCAACGGATGAAGGAAAATGAACTACACGGATCATGAAGCCGTGAGCAGTTCCCTTGACTGATGCTACATCTTATTGCTTAGCTGTGACTTGTCCGCGCTCTGCATTATTGGCAACCGCCAATTCAAATACCCCGGTTACTCTTCCATGACCGCGTCTTCATCTGTTTCCCGTCATTGACGCGGTCTTGAAAACATTTGAATTCTGCAGTGAACTTCATGTCGTCTCAAGACTTGCTCGGTGAGTCAGCAGTTTCCTGGTGTTGAGAAAACATCCGCTAACCCTGTGATCAGACATGGCAGATCAATCTACCAGCTGTGCCTATTTATTTCCAGATCTTGATCTGGTGGTGTACATGAAAACTGAATTTCTAGGCGATGAACCCATTGAAATCGAGCACTTGATATCCAACCTAGCTCATCGTCGTATGCCTACCTAGTGCACAACATCTCCACGTGCGTCATCATCGAGTTGAAGTCTTGAGGATTTGTCTTTACCTGAGATGGGCCTCTTGCTTCCGGTTTCTCTTATCCTGTTTCTTTTTTTTTTTGTTTATCTCTTCCTGCTTTCTTCTCAGTTGTTGGTCGGAGGTTAGTGTGTCCCCTTGGTGGCCTCACTGGCCTCTCAACTTCCATGGATCGAAGTGAGGTCTGCAATGGGTTGCGTCTCGGCATGGAGACGATGGCTGGTTGGATGGTGATGTGAATGAAAGTTGTTGGTCTAGGGGAGGAAGTGGAACAGTGAGGTGTGTGAAGATGCATGAACTTGACAGTACAGATAGCTCCAACCAAGCCATGGTCACCTAGCAATGAAACGTTTATATCATGAAAATTTCCTTTCTTGTTCTGCGTAGATGTACTATATAAAAACATCTCGAAGTCACCACCCGTATTTATCCATACTCAACATCCAAATTCCATAATGAATCCGAATCTAGACCAAATGCCGTCAATGCTAGATAACTGTGGCAGATGTCAGCAGCTGCAAAATACCCCATTTCAAGCGAGTGATGAATCAAGTGCAAGGGGAAGAATCTCCTCAGGTTTAATTTCAATAGTGTCATCATCCAAGTCACAGACACCAGACATCAACCCACCGCGGTGCTTTGTCCCATTGCAATCTCCTCTGACCACACTCCAGCCATAAACAAGGCCCAGAACAAACCCCCAAAACACCACCAAGCAACACAAAAACCAACCACGTCCAGCCCACACCCCAACCAACACACCTCTCCGTCTTCCAACTTCCAACCCCCCACAACACCATCCCCACACCACTCTTCACAGCAGATGAAAAAGAGAAAAGGAAGAAGAGAGGAAAAGAACACTCGAGAATGCCACCCCCAAAGCAGTCAGAGAGAAAACCATAGAAAGTCCGTATTTCGCATAGCCAACAGAACGCCGCCAGCAAGAATACGTCCAGCTCCAAGCCCCTCAAAGAACACTAGAAGAATGCCATCCGACCACCCAAGCCTGCATCTTCACCTAATTCCCAAACCCTCGTACCCTATACGCCACAGCCATTGGTCGCCCACCCGTCCTCATGGAAGCGAAGCGGACACGGCAACCCCAGATAGCGGCGCCACCTCCCCGTTTCCCGTGCGTTCCCGCCCTATAGTCCCAGCACCGTGCACACTACCACCCCAACACCCCAAGATACGAGATCTCAAGGCGGACCTCAAGCCATACAACACCGCAATATCAATGATATTACAGTAATTGAAAAGCGAGATCTCAGCGGTAACGCGCACGCACCAAGTCTCATTGCGGTAATAGTTCGGGACGGCAGAGGCGTAAATGTACACAATGTCTCCCGTGATCCAGGACCAACGCCGCTTTGTCTCAGCGTGGCCACGAGCCATGGGGGTGCTGGCTAGGATCTGGGTCTCGCTGCAGCCTGCCAACGAGACCATGGGAGATATATGTGTTCTGCTGGAAGAGTGGGGGCAATGGTGTCATGTGAAATTGGTTGTTGGGAGTGTGATCGGGGAGAGTGTAGTCGTGGTCTGAGCACAGCTGTGATGATGTGGCACTGTCATAGCTGGCCCGATAGACAGAGAGCCTATTGGAAAGACATAGCTGGTTCGTGTGCGCCTGGTAGTAGCTCTTGAAGTTTGCCCCGGACCCGGTTTGTGACGTTTTGCGTGGGTTTTGGTGTTTGCGGGAGTACCATCGAGTTTGTTGGGTGAGTCTTCTTTGGTGGTGTCGTGGTCTTGGTCCGACCTTTTACCAGAGTTCGCATCATTGGAGAGGGCGACTTGGGTCGCTGGGTGGTGTGGACTGTATGGACACGCGTGGGGAAGGGAAAGGAGCTGGGACTTACTGTTTAATCAATAGGGCTGTGGACTGTCGACTGGTATGTGGGTGAGTGTTGGCTGGAAGAGAATAAGTGCAGTAGCATAAGGCCCTAAGTTTCACTGCCGTTGGCGACAAGATTAGACGCATAGAACGGTGACATGGAGGTGAAGAAAAGGTGGATAAAGCGGAGCTTCATTTATATCAGCACGTGGTGGCCTCAGGCACCGGGTGTTTATCACGATAAGGCGGGGGTCAAAGGAGTTTGGCGTTTAATGTGCCTGGCTATCCCGACTTGCAAGGACACTATATCTGGTCTCTGCTTATTTTCAGTCATTATCTTGGCCTATCGATCTCATCCCGACAACCGGCCGCATCTTGAACCCTTGGCCATTGGCCGCCCCAACTCGCGCACCCCGGACACCCAAACAATCCCCGACCTGCCACATCGGCCACACCGCGGCTATGGATTTCCTAAAATCAGCTATCGGATCTGCCATCGCAAAGGGTGGAGGTCTCCCCTTCTCCCTCGGCGACAGAGTCGACATCGGTGATTCGGTCTGGGCACTGCACAACGGTACGAAACGGGTACGGTGGCTTTTAGTTCCTTCTTCCATGCGGGACAAGCTTCAAATGGCTGACTATATCGTGCCACATATAGGATGATGGCTCCGCTTGCAGTGTTTTTGCATTTGATGTCAATGCGAATAAGTCGCGCCTCCCTCTTGCAAAAAATGCGGTGCGGAAGTTTAGAACGTTGCGGCATCCTGGTGTTATCAAAGTTTTGGATACAATTGAGGTATACTTAGCCCCCAGACTTTTGGTCTGAACGTGAGATTCTAGCGCATAAGCTTACAACTTACGACTTTCAGACGGAGCACAACCTTTACATTGTCACAGAACGAGTCGTGCCACTCAGCTGGCCGGTGAAGCGGAAGAGCTTGAGCGAAGAGACGGCCAAGTGGGGGTTGTATACTGTGGCGGTATGATATTCTTTAGAGTGTAGTATCACGGCACTACTGACGATAATTGCTCTGGATAGTCTACTCTCAAATTCATCAACGATGATGCTTCCTCAGTTCACGGCGCCGTGCGCGCATCCTCGGTGTTCATAGGCGAGAGCGGCGAATGGAAGCTAGGAGGATTCGAAATTCTGAGCTCTATGAAGGAAGATGATGCGATTATATATGTGAGTGATCCTGGCCCGGTTTTATCCAGGAAACGCCCGAATGATGCCATATACTGACTCAATGCATAGACGTACGGAAGCAGTGTGCCCGATGCCGGTCGATACACGCCCCCGGAGGTTGTAAAAACAGGCTGGGATACTATCAAGCGCAACCCTCTGGCAGCAGTTGATGCCTATGGGCTGGGTATCTTGATCTTCGAGGTTTTCAATGGTGGTTTCTCAGGCGGCGACCAAGCTGGCAAGACGACGAACATTCCTCCAAGTATGCAGCAAAGCTACAAACGTCTTTGCGCTGCCAACCCGAAGCTACGACTCAGTCCGGGACATTTCGTGGAGCAGGGAAAGAAACACGGTGGCTTCTTCCAGACACCACTAATTCGAATGACTGAAGACATCGACAGCTTGGGGCTCAAGAGTGATGAAGAGCGTGAAGAATTTATTAAGTACGCATATTCCTAACATTTTGCATACTGATTTTTCGGCTAACATGTCATCATTTTTAGTGAACTTGATAACCTTTCAGACGATTTCCCAGAGGAATTCTTCAAGATGAAGGTGCTCCCCGAGCTACTGAAGTCCGTCGAGTTTGGCGGCGGTGGGCCGAAAGTTCTTGCCGCTACCATGAAGATTGGAGCAAAGCTGTCGGCAGACGAATTCAACGCTAAGCTGACCCCTGTTGTTGTCCGCTTATTTGGCAACCCTGATCGAGCGTTGCGGGTTTGCCTCTTGGATAACCTTCCGTTGATGATCGATAACCTTCCCCAGAAGATTGTGAACGACAAAATCTTCCCTCAGATGGTAAGCTATTCGGATTTCGGTAATGCACAGTGTACTAACATCTCATAGACTTCTGGTTTCACTGATGTTGCTCCGGTGGTTCGTGAACAGACAGTGAAGGCAGTCCTGACTATTATCAACAAATTAAATGATAGAATTGTCAATGGAGAACTCCTGAAGTTCCTCGCTCGCACCGCCAACGATGAGCAACCTGGCATCCGGACCAACACCACAATTTGTCTTGGTCGGATTGCTAAAAACCTAAATCAAAGTGTATGTTATTAGTCCTCAATGCTGGATTTATGCCGCTTACATTACGTACAGACTCGCTCCAAGGTGCTTATTGCAGCATTCACCAGAGCTGTCAGAGACCCCTTTGTGCACGCTCGAAACGCAGGATTTTTAGCTTTATCCGCGACTATCGATGTATTTACCGAGGAAGATTGTGCTGTTAGGATTTTACCTGCTGTTTGCCCTGGACTTCTGGACAAGGAAAAGTGAGTAATGCGCTCGGTCCCTGCCTCTGGTCTCATGCTTAACGTTGAGCAGATTGATTCGTGACCAAGCAAACAAGACATTTGATGTGTATGTCCATCGGATACGGAAACATGCGAGTACAATGGCAGACACTGTCATACCCGTCGCTGCACCTGCAGAAGTCAACAAACCCGATGCTCGCGTTGGAACCCCCAATGACAACTCCTGGGCCGGATGGGCCATTTCATCATTCACAAACAAAATTGCAACTGCTAACGGCGAGATTGAACCCACCGCCAACACTATCAAGACAATTGATCCTGATACTACCCGCTCAGCGTCGGTTCCTCGTTCCACCAAAACATCACCCTCAACCCCACTCGAATTACCTAAACAGGTCCTCCGCCCCAAGGCCCAGCCCCCCTTGAACCGGTTAATGTCAGATCGCCCAGCGCCGGTGGTCCATGACGAGCCCGAAGAAGAAGGCGATGATGTCTTCGATGCCTGGGGTGCCATGGACGACGATGAGAACGACGACGATCCATTCACTGCTGCTGTAGCCTCTCCCAAACCCACATCTCCTGTTCCCTCGTCGAAAAAAGCTCCCGCAGTGCCCTACGACGATGGCGGTGAACCCGATTTCGCCGGCTGGCTGGCCGCGAAGTCTCAGACAAAGGCCAAAAACCCCTTGCCAAAGGGTCTGCATAAGGCAGCTTCTACCAACAGCGTTACTACAAGGTCGACGTCAAGCGTCGCTAAGCCTCGGACTGTGATTGCACCTAAGAAGATTGATATCAAGCCCAAAGACGAGGAGACCGATGATTGGGGAGATGCATGGGACTGATCTGGAAACACACCTTGCTCTCTTTTTTTTTTGGTTCATGTCCATATCTTCGTCTAATACAAGTCTAGCATGTCAATATCTGAAATCATTGGCATCGAGGGGAGTTTTGGAGTCTGTACCACACTGCCCTGATGGTGCATCGCTGATATCCCCTGTACTCATCCTTAATAGATCTATCAATACTACCCAGTTATCCTTCTCCCCCTCCTGCCCCCTTATCCAGCCTGGGGATGTCGATTGCTATTGTATATAATATTATTTCTCGATATCTGGTGCGAACTTCCACCATTTACTAGCGCTTCATACTTCCTTGCTCTCCCTTTCCCTTTCCATATCTCGCTCCCACAACTTCACATCATTTATGGCCGTCTGTAACCTCTGAAGTTGCGCATTACTCTGATTTCCTCTAGTATCAGATCGTATCCGACTGCCAGTAGTCCTGCTCTTTTCCTCGGCTAAGGCCTTCTGCAACGTTAACAACAAGTTTTCCGGCTTGTGTCTCTCCCGCCGGCGTTCCAATTCTTCCCTCCTTTGGTTGAGCTTTTGCTTCTGTCTCTCCTGCTCGCTTTCATCCCTCTCCTGGCTTTTCTGCTCCTCTTCCTTTTTCTTCTGTGCCTCCTCCTTCTGAAGCCTTTGTTCTTCCATTTGTTTTCTTCCTCTCTCCTTTTTCTCCTTCTGGATTCTTTCCCTTTCCTGCCTGTCCTTTTTCTTTCTTTCTGCCTCTGCTTTCTTTCTTTCTGCCTCTGCTTTCTTTCTTTCCGTCTCTGCTTTCTTCTGCGCCATCTCTCGCTCGTAGTGGTCCTCAACCCTCGACTTTATATATCATATTCTTTCATATTCTCTCAAAAATGAAGTGCCCCAGTACTTAGGATTCTCTTCCTTGTCTATCGCAATCTCCATTTCGATCCGCTTATCAAGCTGCCTGGAGCCCCGCAACGGCAACTGATCCCGGATGGATATAGGCGTGCGTGGATGTTCGCTTTCGGGACCCGACGATCTCTCTGGGTCTGATGATCTGTCAAGTGCGGGTAATGGCTCTCGTTCTGCCAATTTGACAAGGTCTAGCAATGGCGCAAGGTCTAGAACTGGCTCTGGATCTGGCAGCTGCCTCGGATCTGACGACTGCTCAGCCTCTGACGACTGGTCAGGATCTGGCAAAACCTTGGATTCTGTCCATTGCTCGGGAACTGATGATTCCTCCTGTTCCGAAGATGACTCTTCCAGCTCTGGTGGCTCCCCTCTCTCTAGTGACTCCTCTCGCTCCGTCAATTGCTCTTGACCTGAAAATTTCCTGGACAACGATAATCTACATAGTTTAGCTTCTGGGAGCTCAAAATCGGAATCATCAGAATCATCCGAGAACATGAACTCGGTATTCTCGTGAGCAGCAGGTGGAAATTCCTCAAAAAGCCTTCGGAACTTGTTGCCATCTATCATGAGAGAGATTTCAGCGGGTCTGATGTCGCATTTAGGCCGAAGACGCAAGGTCCAGACCGTTGGGCTCAATGAAGATTTTTGGCCTGGTGTTTTGAGTCTTGGTAACCAGCGTTGAGGTAAAGCAAGCGGGGGAAGAACTTGAGACAAAGCTCGTGATGCAACTAGAGGTAGATTTGGAGATGACAGTGGTGTGGTCATTGTAGATGAACATAGAGACTGGGAGTCAGATTCACATTCAGATGCCGATTGTTTGTATTCAGGTTCGGACCCGGCCTTTGACGGAGACTCGGATCCTATCACTGAATACAACTGCGGCGGCCATGCCAATGGTTTTGCATCACGGGCTTTGCGCCAAGGCTGACTTCGGATGTCTCGTGCCGGTGGTCCTGAGTCCATGTGTCTATCTAATGCTGACAAGAGAGACCGCAGAAGTTCCGATAATATAGGAGCGGATTCAAATCTGCTCTGATGCTCCGATGATGCGAGGGCGGGAAGTGGTACTGCCTGACGCCGGGAGTCTACATCGGTGTTTGATCTTTTTCGTTTCAGGACAGTCGTCGTGTGTCGCGAGGGCGATGACGGGAATGGTTCTGATGAAGCTTCAGACTCATTATCGGTGTCTGATGTCGATGATTCACGGGCTTGCTGCCCATAGCAAGGGTGGAAACTTGGTGTGATGATTTCGTCGTCCACAACTCTTTCCGACAATGCTGGGGATGGCAATACCGATCCTTGTCCTGATTCTGACTCTGGTATTGACGAAAATACTGATATCTCACGGGTCTTATGCTGTTGTGCACGGTAAGACATTGGGGTGACGCTTTCGAGATCCACAACCCTTTGCGGTGGTGAAACTGGTTTGCGTCCTCTTTCAGATTCTACATCTGTGTCCCACGATGATGCCTCATAGCTCGCGTGGCCGTATTCATGGTCAGAGACTGATATGGACTTTGGGGGCCTCGGCACCTTTTGCGCTGATGATGGAGGCGATTCCAAAGTCAATTGTGACTGCAATTGTGTCTGTGCCTGAGCCCCATCTTTATATTTGAACTCAAAATCAGACTCATACACCATTTTCCATCTTCCAGGAGGCGTTAGTGAATGTTCGTGTGATGATCCTAGCCCCTGAGCCTTGACTCGGGAGCTATCAAAGGGGCGTGGTTTGACTCGCTCATAAACTGTGGTCGGATGATCAGATGATCCCACCTGTGGTGATTCTGAGTGCAATTCATGTTTTTTGAACACTTTCGAAGACCATGGTGACCGCTTACTGGTCTTTTGCTTGTCATAATGGCGCCCGCCTGACTTCGCAACTAGAGATGGCGACGAAGAGGCCGGTGGTGACTGGGTTTGCTTGACCGGCTTTGCATGGCGGTTGCGACCTTTTGATCTTGACATGACTTTTGGCAAATGGGCTTCATTCAGGGGCAGAGATGTAGGTCTAGTGGGGGATTTCTAGTTTATATACTCCGTAGTTCTACCTATATATACCAACTGAGCTATTTGCTATATATTTGCTGAAGGCTGTGCTAATTTTAATTTGTGCAGACCTTGGGGGGAAGAAGCTCTCCCTATTGTCAGGTGGGATACCTGAATAGTATCATATCAATACGCCTTGCTACGGTATACGTATCACAAATCTTACTACCGCAATGCTACGTAGTAGTATCGAAGGCCGATACTGTAAGATAATGCATTGTATAGCTGTCACGAGCCACCCCTTTATGCGTTCCAAAATTTAGCCCGCTAGGAGCAAAAGACCAGAATTCCAGGACAACGTCCTGGAACCGCACTCGCTATATATAGGATAGGCTGACTCGTAACAATAGCGACGGTATTCTGGTTTTATGTTTCCCCTGCATGGTACTTATTCAGTCCCAAAACGGTTAGCTTGACACCAGGGCTGTTGTATATATTGTCTGGTTCACCTGGCAATCAAAATTGGGCTTATAGTGACAAATTTCGGCATTAGACCTTTTTTTAGAAGTAAATTACTTTAGGCAAAAGAATAACATACTTCCACATACAGTGTTTGAATCAATTTAGCATGGTTAAGTATAAGTATACTATCCATAATACTGAAGATCCAGACTGACATCTTTGACATCTTTATGCTTGGTTTCGAAGTAAAGCTGGCTTATGCGGCCCTGTGATATCTTTTTGGTCTTCCTAGTAGTGGTCTTCTCGGATCTTCCTTTTTTAGGTATTTGTTATTTTGTCGACGTTTTATAGGTAGACGGTACCAAAGGGCGGAATTGCCCAGAGGGACGGACTGTGAAATTGGGGATGCCAATCTACCATCTTGACGGGGCTTCGAGACATGAGCTAAAAAACGGCCAAAAGATGGCCAAAAAATGGTCAGAAGATGATATTAATTTACTGAAACTAATTTTTGGAATGCAACTGGCACTGGAAAAAATCCAGTCAAGTCTCAAAAAAGTGGCGAGAGCCTGGAGATTCAGATATAAAATTCGATTGTTCTGGCAATTTTACCCAAACTTCAAGATCTCCACCAGGGACAGCCCCTTAATCAAGCCCCCCATTCACCAATTCTTCAATATCTCCCCAGCAACCCGTTCACCTGAACTAATAGCCCCATCCATGTACCCAATCCACCTTAGCGAAGTCTCAGTTCCAGCGAAATGGATCCTCCCAACTGGAGCACGCAAATAAGACCCATACTGTGTCAAAACAGCCGGAGGCATGAAAGCACTAGGGCCACCACGTGAGAACTCTTCAAGATCCCACCGCTGAATAAGGACATCTGTAGCAGTTTCAACGCGTGGACCAAAGAGATTAGAAAAACCTTGCTTGACTTGGCGCTTGGCCTCGTCTTCGCTCACAGCATCTAGCTTGCGCATCTCGTCCGCCTCAATGAAACCCATTATCGCTCCAAACGATCCATCCGCAGGCGAGTTGTCGTATGTCACTCGGATCGACCCGGTGTCACTAACACCTGCTGCGTTGAGCCCCTCGCTCCGCCACCAGGCACTTGGGAAGATCACAATGGCTTTGCCCAATGCCCCCATAGGCATGCGCTGGTTCAACTGGTCTCGTCCAGCAGGGAGTAGGGGATTGAATATGATACGGTTTGCTAGAGGCGGGGACATGGCGACGACGACATATTGGGCTGAGATCGTGAGTTCATCTGAAGAGACTAGATAGCGTGAATCTTTGAGCTGCACTCTGCGCACAGGTGTGTTGAGGTGGATGTTTTGCGAACCGAGTTTCTCGGCGAGTAGTGTTGCTAGTAACTGTGTTCCACCGCTCACCCGACTATCCTGTGCGCCCCCATCGACTCCAATAAGACGGTTGATAGTCCCAGGCCCAGTTTGATTTCCAGCAGCGGCTATACACCACATTGAATATAGTAGAGATGGCTCGTTTAATTCGGTCGACAGGATGGCTGGAATGGCAACATCAAGGAGGACGCGTGCGTCGGAAGTGGATATTCGAGAGTTCACGTATGTTTCTAGGGTCATTGAATCTAGTGCCGAGGCATTCGGGGTGTTCCATGGGGCTTCCAGGTCGACTTTGCTCGCCAGGTTATTGATCTCGTCCATGAAGGATGCAAGCTCGACAAGGGAGTCTATTCCCACGAGAGGAATACCGCCCAGGCTGTCTTGATAATGACGCGCTGTGCCGTTTCGATAGAAGGTTGAGTTTCCTGACGTGTATGTCTTGTAGGTTGGTAGACCGAGTTCGTCTGCGAGGGCTAGGACACGGTTTTGTGTTGGTCCAACGTATGCGGCGCCTAGCTCTTGGGCACTCTTCCCTGGAGGGTTGACATTGAGCACGCGACCACCGACTCGGTCTCGTGCTTCTAATATAGCAAAGGATTTGTTGGCTGCTGCGAGCTGTTTGGCAGTGGAGAGTCCGGATAGGCCAGCGCCGATGATGGCGACGTCGACTTCGCGGGAGGGTTCTGGAACCAGTCCATGGCAAAGGGGAACTGCTAGCAGTAATAGGTGCACTGCACTGAAGGATAATCTATAACGAACCAGCGGCATATTTATTTTGGTATTCGATTGATGAATGGTTTGACGTTAGTATCACTGTGACAATTCGCAATTGCTGTTTTTTATCTGTAGGGATGATCAAAGACAAATCCCATTCATCACTTGACTCACTTTGCTGCCGACTACTACCCAATGTCAGGAAGTACAGAACAATTCAACTAATTCATTGGCTTAGAATCAAAACCTCGTGATCAGAGTAGTACAAGCGACAGAATAGGACAAAATAGACAATCGCCTTGTAGATGTAACTATTCGAGCAACATAAAGCCAGCAGACTTTCAAAATATCTCCGCATTACATTATTGTTGCTGGCATGGAACCTGGTATCCTTATTTCATGTTTCCCTCCCTCATCTTCCAAACACAGATAACAAATAACCTGATAGCGACGCACAAGAGGAGTGGCTGATGTCTCACTCTATGTCTCCATCTCCGAGTCTTCTTCCGAAGGTTCATCACTTAGTATTTCAATCGGTTCCTGCGGCTTTTCTTCGCGTTTCTTTTGAGCCTCTACTATTGCTGCTCGTTGTTTCTTTGATTCCTCTGGTTCGTCCTCTGACTCTTCGGAGGAGCTGGTTTCTGATGACGAATTGGAGGATTCGTCGCTTGATAACTGAACCAGTTCTTGCGAATTGACTTTGCGTCCTTGTGGTGGCTCTTTCTCTGTTGCTGGTTGGTTTTGCGGTTTCTCTGGTTCCTCATCTGACTCATCTGACTCTTCTTCTGAGGATTCGTCTTCCGATGAAGATGAGGATGACTCGGACTCCGTATTCTCTTCCTCTAGTAGGATAGGGATTGCTTCTTTAATCATCTCTTTGCATTCAGCTTGCGCACCTGCTTTTAGTGCGAGTTGATTCTTCAGTTGATATTCAGGTTCCTCCTCTAAATCTTCTTCTGAGGAGTCGTCTTCTGCCGAAGACGAGGATGCTTCACTGTTTTCATCCTCTGGTTGAATCGCTGCTTTAGCCTTCACGTTGCGTTCCTCCTGTGAGACTTCTTTTGCTGCTAGAATTTGTACTGCTTCTTCTTCCTGAGAGGAGGAGTAGTCATCAGAAGAGTCATACTCTTCTGATGATGACTCTCCCGAGGACTGTTCCTGCGTCAAAGTCGAGGATCGATCATTTTCTTCTTCATGCATCACCTCGTTGTGTGCTATTTTGTCCAAAGCTCGCACAACATCTGAGACTTTGATAGCTTCACTGTTGACCTGCGCCTCTTCTTCCTCTGACGACGAAGAAGAATAAATCGAGGATGGCGAAGATACTGATGATGATGAGGACTCGCTGTCTTCTATCGCTTCATGGTCATCTTGTTCTTGTTGCATAGCCTTTTTCAGCTGTTCATTCCGTTCCAGCCTTGCTTTTTCACAGAACTTCTGTGTCCGCTGCCGTTTGAACACGGGTTGCTGCTCATCGTTATCCTGATGGGCTCGCTTCGAACCGAGCTGCGGTTGCGGTATGCCCGCAATTGGAGGACATAAAGGGATTTCTGGTCGCTCATGAAATGAATCTCCAAAGTTCTGTCCTTCCCTCGTGGCATTGCGCGTTTGCTCTATGAGATAACGATCCGACTCTATTTTGTCAAACAACATCATCCCCAACTCGCCTGCTGGAATCTGTTCTTTCTTAGTATTATACACCTTCCATAGCCTATATTGCAGCTTACCATTTCACAGCGAATCTCCATGTGTAAACAATATTCGCATACCTCCCGTCCTGGGATAGGTTGACAGGGTGGGTTCGCACTTCCATCTTGCCAGCGTGAAAAACACTTGTAGCAACATCTGAAAGCTTGCTGTGTAGTAGATCCAGCTAGTGCATCTATATCAATAGAAATCTGCATATTTGCTGTGTCTATCGATGCGCTTGATTCTTGCAGAGCTTGTAAATCCTCGCCGTGCATAGTGACGGACGGCGGGTGAGTATGGGAATGCACTGCCAGTTGATCTCCGTCCTGAGACACCGGCGTTCGTTCTCGAACTTGACAAACCACTTGAACATCCTGCATGCCCTCCACATGCAGTGGATTAGATGTCTCCACTGCATCTGGCTCGGTCTGTGGTCCCCATATCCGCTTGATACTCTCTGCGAATTCGAATGTTCCGGCAGCAAATGTCTGAACAGCTTCTGCAACTGCTAGCAAAGTCCGCTCAAATCTCTGATCGCTGGCCATATTTGGATAACACGTTGGTAGAGAGAAACCCCCCTGTGAAAACCCCCTGTGCTGGTCAATGTGATGTAGGTGTTTTGATATAGGTTCGGCTTTCGGCTGAGCCTATTTTCCGGGACCCACTTTAGCTGATATCAGATCAATGGTAGGAAGCAGAAATCTTGGAAGTGTAGTCAATCGACTGTGCTGCAAAGTTAACATAGCACCGGAGGAGGGATTAGAAAGAGAGAGGAAGTTCTAGGGTTCACAAACAAACAAGCATTATCTCCCTGAAAATTCAGGCACCAGAGCATCATGTGATCCTGGCGCCAACAATGTTCTTTTTGTTTTCTATACAAAGTACATTTTCACGACTTTGCTGTGTTTTCATTCCTATATTTTCAGGTATATAGTCCGAGAAACCAAAAGCATTTATACATGTACCCCATTCTACCATTCTTCTATCCATGAATGTAAGCTCGTTCACATTCACATCCCAATACTCAAGAGAGATGGCAAATGAGATACAAATAAAATCATTCTAGGTAGTGAGTGAAAATTACCAAAAAGGTAATCCTATATCAAACGTAATAATCCTAAGAAAAAATGCCCTCCAGGTGGCCGTGGCCTTGCGGCAGACTAAACGCACCCATCGGCTTCACCTGGAGGGAAGGGCGCATGTGCTGCCCCCCGCGGTAAGAACCGAGAAATGCTTGTCGGTCGACTCGCGCGGGAAGAGAGGTTAAAAATTCCCTCTCTTCTTACCTATGGGAGGGGTTCTCGTTCCTCCTGCAATTCTTTTTTTTCTTTCTCGATTTCCCACTTATCTCCGGAGGGACAGTGTATATCAGAAGAGAAAAAAAATGCAACAGCTCTGTGGAATTATGGGCTTTCAAGGTTGGGGGAAACAACAAGCTTTCCTATTAAGAACTCCTACTGCGCTCGCTCGAGCATATGGTACTTTGCCAAAATTCGTGGTTCACGTGACTGTAAATATATAAACCCTCACTACTTAGTGACTTGACAGACCAGCAATGTTTGAGCGAATTTTTTTTCTATCTCTTCATCTTTCACAGACCGATTTATGGCTGCTTCTAACTCAACAGCTCTAGTCAGCTGGCAGTTAGAAGACAACGGCCGCTCCACATGGGCTCTGGTGTGGTCCTGTTTGGCAACGATCTTTGCCTGTACCTGGACAGTCCTACATCCGGACCTCCCTCGACGAAACTCGCCCACCGTGCGAATAATTATTGCAAACCTTGGATACTGGCTCCTCGCTATCTTTTTCCCAGAGTATGTGTTCGTAAATGCTTCGTGTGCGCGTTACCGGGCAATGCTCTTGAAGAATGTGTGCAACGAGGCACAAAAAGCCCGGTATCTTGAATCAGTGGACCGGGATTCTTGGTTGTCAAAACGGGCCAGGCCGCTAGAGCAAGTGCAAAATCGAGACTCTGCTGATCCCCACTCATTCCGCACTGAGTGGACTCTTCGAAAATGTTTCTGTATTAGTGCTGGTGGGCTTGCCTTACAGAGCCAAGACGGATGGATTTACGTCCTCCGACGAAGCGATATGCAACCGTTCATCCAGGCCGGCATAATCGAAGACATCGATTTTCACGATCGTGATGTTGAAGACCGTGCTAAAGCGGATTCTTTGGGGAAAACCTTCACTGTCATTCAAACCAGCTGGTTTCTCGCGGATATAATAGCAAGATGGGTAAACTCTCTGCCGGTTGCACCAATCGAATTGGCGACAATCGCATATATTGCCTGTGGTTTAATGATGTATGCTATGTGGTGGTACAAACCTAAGGATATGAGCACACCTATCACAATTTATGTCAGATATGATCGTAACAGTATACCGACCGACCTTCTCAATCACACGGCAACAAATCCCCACGGTTGGGTCCACATCTATGCCTAAATAAAAAAGCAGACCGTGTTGTCTGTTTTCGCGCAGGGCGCTCGATCGCTGATCGATATATTCACTGTGCCTGACGATGAGGTCCCCTTTACTAATTTCTCTAAACCATCCCATGGGTGCATCGTGGCTGCCATAAATACCATTGTCGCTTTCCTTTACTGTGGTATTCATCTCGTTGGGTAAATGATACTCTACTTTTTATTATATAGACCGCTGCTATTCATCCGCTAACAAAAGAACCACTTCTTTTCAGATGTAATTTCCCGTTCCCTACTGAAGCTGAACGAATTATCTGGCTTGTCTCATCACTTGCTTGCATTGCCACAGTTGGTCTTTACAGCCTAGCGACTACCATACCCACGTATGTGGCTTGGTTCGAGTCAAGAAAGCTGTTTCCCTTCTATACCAAGGCATTCAATGCTAGAAAAGTGCTTTGGTTTCGGATACTCATGCTCATTGTGATACTCTGCGCCGTGATATACGTGACATTACGTCTAGCCATCATGACGCTAGCTTTTACTTCACTGAGAGCTCTTCCGGTCGGCTCCTATACGACCGTCGAATGGGTGATGAGCATTCCGCATGTTTGAAACTGGGTAAATTTGCTTCTGGGGATTTGGGGGGCGCATGATAGAAGGACTATGGAGAATAATTGTCGAGTCTATTGTTTATATCCATCCATATGTCCACGGATGACTGGCTATTCTACTTCACTGTAAATATGTCCGCTTTTTAGGCAACACCGAATTTATATGTTTATGTATATTATACGAGAATAATCGGCCATGTCATGTATTTTTGGTAGTCTTTTTGATATTTCCCCCATGAGGGAAAAGAAGAATCAGCTGCAGAATATCATTACAGTATGAAATAGTTCGGGATCTGTTCTCCTCGAAAGTGGTACATCTATAAACTCTTACATCATGTCGCAGAATCATGAAATGCATGAAAGCCAGTAGTGTCGGATATAGTCATTCCTACGATCAACTCGGAGGCGAAATTGCAGTGTGTAGGGAGCTTCAATCGTAGTCTAAAACATCAGACTCTAGCTGCCCCAGGCATAGTAGATAGAAAACACACTGCCTCGAGGGATGAGGCCCCATGAAGGAAAATCACTGAAGGTTAAAATATGTAGAGTATGCAAATGTAATTTCTATATCCAATACGAGATCATCACAATCGAAAAGTGAAATAGCAGGTGTTTGTTGCTTTTGTTGCTTTTGTGCCTCACAGTGTCTCACAATGTAAAGCAAACGAGTCGCAAAACCTCTTTCCCAATTGTTGTAGGCCTCACCTTCCACTTTCGTGTTCGTGATTTGATTCTTTGGATTTCCGCTTAGTTCCTCCTCTACAAACTCATCTCAGGATTTGACTTATTATCCAAGTACCTTTCTCCCACGGACCTTCCTCTGTCGTCAACTTTAGGTCTTGATTTTCAAGCCACTCATTCACAAGCGCAGCCTAACAGTTACACGTATCATACGGTAATCATGGGTCGATGGGGATGGCGTTAGTCTCACTGTCATTTCTCCGTTTACTTTGTCTTAAGTCTAACCACCATCTATCTTAGGTCTCTTTGAAGGCGACCAGGATCTTGACGCCGTTCTGCTCGTTACTCAACGTGTAGAAAGCATGGGTGTCGATATTGAGTCCTGGGAACATAGTTTGAGTTCGATGGTTCACCAAACCGACATGCTAGCACCAGCAGAAGCCATCGCAATCTACAGCACCGCTGGATATGCCGCATCGCTCGCCAACGTCACTGTCCCATACATCCGCAAGAAGCTCGACACTGACAAGCTCGGAGAACGGCTGTTCGCTGCTACTCGCGCCAAGGAAAGGGTCCCGGAAGACCTCTTTCAAAAAGCTAAGTATAGCACTATCATTGTGGGCGCTCTCATGATGCGCGCTGGTGCTTGTATCAAAGAAGCGGATTTGCAGCATCTACGTGATCTGGTACCTCAAATTAACTGCACCTCGCGTCGAACAATGTGGGAAGATCATGGCTTCAGATCGCCAGGAAAAGCTCAGTTCCTTGCTGCCTTGGATCACTATGAGCCTGGTGTTGCGCGCAGTTTCCAGGAGCCTAGGTGAGTTTTAATTTGGAAGACGGACCAACCCAGAAGTTTTGCGCTGACGACTTTAACAGTTGCTTCAAGTGTGGAAGGATCGAAGCAGATATCGGCCACAAGCCTCTGCAATGCAAGAAGTGCAAAGTTGCGACGTACTGTGGCAAGGTAAGTAGGATACAAGCCAGCTTTCCAAGTTACGGTCATGGATATTGATTATTTATAGGACTGCCAACGCGCGCAGTGGCGCGAACACCGAGTGAGCTGCATTCACCCCGCACAACGCCGAGTCCTGAACATCTGACCACACCCGTCGAGGCAATCAAACAACAATAGTGTTGGCAAGGGATAATACTATCATTTTGCTGGCTGCAAATATGTCCGTAAATTTCCATGTCGGCAATAGCTGAGTTGCAGCATTGCCTGACATATTTGTCGACATTATTTCTGTTATGAGGATCGGTATCTGCTCTCCTACAGATTGACTCATTGAATGAACTTCAGAATGCAATATGCCTACCATTATCACCCTACTAGGAGGGAAACAACTAAAGTTCTCGGGTTAATGCGCCACAAATATCTGTATGGCGTAGAAAAGAAAAGTGATTGGTTTCGTACACCCAAAGGCTGATAAAAAATCACACAACCTAATGTATCCTCCGCATGCAACTTTCCCTAGGCAGTCACATAAATTCAACTCAATTTACTCTGATCATACTTCTGCACCATAATATCCTCGAAGCCAGCGGGACATTTAGCGCATTACCTTTATTGGCTCCAGCTCTTAGCCGGGTCCTTTGCTTCCACGCTCCTTCGGCCAATGATCTACCAAACCCCCCCAGAATTTGATTGAGTTCAAATAACCTTCTTCAGTGCTCTATGCCGCCGCGTAATGCCTTGAACGAGGTTGAGCGAAGAAATATATTATTAGTCATGAAGATTTTACTCAAAAATCAAGAGCTCCTAGACGCAGCTCCGCAGTTCATTCAATAAAAAAAGATATATTTGATATATACAAAACTAAAACAACAGGGTCTACAGGCCAAGTGAGCAACCTACACTGCAAGGAGCAAGCCAGCGCCCAAGATCCCAGACAGCAGATGGTTCGGTTTACTCATAGAGAACGCCAGTCCTGTAGAGGAGGTGCTAGAAGCTTCACCATTCTCAGCAGTTTCAGTCGCAGTAGCAGTGACATATACTGTTGTTCCACTAGATCCGGAGCTCAAAGAGGCCGGGTTTGTAGCGGTTTGAATGGGCCCATTACCCGTGGCCGAGGTGACAGCATTGGGTACAAGCGTCGCATCCGGCACAGGAGCCGTTCCCGTGCCAATCTCGAAAATATCATCATCGCCCCCATCGTAGTCTGTGTTTGCGAGCGAAATCTCATTATTGGCGAGATCGTAGACGACGTAAGCGCCACGCAGGAATGGATCACCCATCAGATTCACTCCGGCTTCGCTGTAGGTAATACCGAAGAGGCATGTGCCCTCAGGGAAGTCGGGCTGGGCGTAATTGTCGAAAATTAGTTCGCTTAAGGGAATCGAGACCGTGGCGCCCGAGAAACTGAAGGTCACATTATAATCGGCCTTGGTCATGTTGCAAGGAATGTAGGCGTAGCTGTAGGTCTTGGAATAAACTCCACCGACTTCCTTGTAGATGGGGTCTACCAGCTCTTTAGGCAGCGCAATGAGAGGGCTTCCATTATCCAAACTGACGGCTAAGGGAAGACCCATCTTGTAACTCTTTTTGCTATCGGTGCTCGTCACAGATATATCCGTCAAGGCAATGGCCAGAGAAATGTATCTGCCAGCTACCGGCACAACAGGCACGGTTTGCAGCTCGCCTTGATATCTCGCTTTGTTGACACCTCCGAAGAGAAGGTTCCCTGTGCCATCAAATTTGTTTAGCCATAGGCTATAGGCAGGTGATTTGATAGCACCGCTTTTGACCAGTGCTTTCGGGAGGTTGGCGTATTCCTTGCCGAGACGGCCAGCCGCATAAGTCCCTGACGCATATCCGATTCCCAGAATCCCATCTGTACAATGTCCCGAAATGCCGATCGTCAGCAATATGTTATTTTCTTTCCTTTTTACTTATCGAACCAAAGAACTCAATAATCGGGGAGGGGAGGAGGTCAAACTTACGAGGATTTCTACTCTCGTTGGCCAACGCAAACTCCATATCCTTTACCGCAGCGTCTCCGATCACCAGCTGGTCAGTAACGTAGGGGCCCGCAGCCAAAAAGCCACTGACATAAGTAGCATTCATGTCATAATCTAGCGTTTTGAGCGTTGAGGAGTCTTTAATATTGAATAAGCCGGTCGAAGAGCAGGGATCATCATCTGCCGCGCAGTAGGTGGAAGTTGGGACGTTAACCCAGATGTCACTGCTACCGGTATCGAGGCTGAGGGAGAGATTCTGAGCCGGGGTGCCGATGGTGATGTTCACCATATAATAGAAATTTAGCTATGCAGGAATTTAGTATAATTCTTGACTATTGAATCATGCGATCTACACTGAAACTCTCAACAAGTTGACACAATTCAGGTGCGATCGGAAATCTGTCTCATACCACATTGTAGAGTGCCGTGCTGGCGACTTTGGAATCGCGTTTCACCAACGCGTGAGACCGCTCACCTTGGGCAATTGGGAGCCCAAAGATCGCAGGTTCATCCCGCTTGTGTAGCGTGATGGCATTGCCATATGGCAGAGCAGCTAAGGCCGCGATCGGCAAGATTGACGATCCCCACATCCCGGGCACCAGGCAAATCTTGATCGTCGTGAAATTATGCGGATACTACTAGTAAGCGATGTCTACCAAAAGTAGACGACGTGAAAGGAAAATTTGCAGTATGCAAGTCCCTCAAACACCAAACAGACAAATAATCAGAGAGAAGGAAAATCAGGATAGGGGTACCTTAATATTCTATTCTCTTTGGCTAATCTCGCTACTAACTAGCTTGCCACTAGACCTTGACTAAGGATTCGTGGTGGTATTACCCAGAGACCGTCGTCCTGGCAAGAGCCAATCATCTTCCATCACAATTTCCGATGTAGTAGGGGCAGCCCCAAGGCGCTGACTCAAATTTCGCTAAATTCCGCTAATCGCTCTTCCTCTTGTCTGGGCTAAACTCGGAGTTGGACGGAAGCTACCATATACGTAGTCTATGGGCCGTTATACAATTTAATGCGTTGCATAGCAGACCTAAAACGTAGACGTACTGCCACAATAATAGTAAACACCAATGTAGGAATATTGCGGCCGTTCCTAGGACAGAAGGCCATCCGAGAGTACCTAGTGAGGCTCCTTGGCGCTAAAAAGGACTGCAAAGTAGCCTTCTGGGGGTGCATATTATTATCCTAGGATTGGCAATTTTCTATATAACACGCCGAACTCGTAGGTCAGTCGGCCCACACTTTTTCAACAATTTTGTCCGCAGACCAGCCATAGAATGTACAATTCCATTCTAAAAATATGATCGAGGTTAAATTGCTTTCGACGTAAGTGCTATAACGTTTGATTCGGGCCACATTTTTCTTTATAAGACTATCTTATGCTCGTATATATGCCACCATTGAGAAGTTACCAAGTGCCAGTGAACATCGCCGACGAAATTGGCCGGTCATGTCTAGGTCAAGCAGCGGAGATGGTGACGTCGCAGCCTGCTGATAGGCTGGAATAGCAGATTAGCAGAGGAGATACTCGCTGGGACCATCTGGTTGGGGCGATATCAGGTGGACGTCGTCCAGAAGCGACTTAAGATGTCACAGATGGCGAGCGCAATAAATTTAACTGATTCACGAGAGCTACTGACTCTATTGAAAGATGCATTGACACCAAATGGCCCGCACTGTAGCAGGTCATGGTGGTGGAGAATACTGCATCGAGGATTTGTCTGGCTATTGTTGGCCTGTTAAATCTTGGTAGAGTATATTATATAGCCTATTAGTACATATTGACCCATCGATATATACCCTGACAGATCAAGCGGAATGTTTGTTTAGACAAAAAAAATCAGACCAAGAACAAAACCGATAGCTTGTCGAGTGTCTTCACGACTGATATAGTGACGGGAGGGAGAAACCGACGGATAACCAAACCACATTTCTTTCTTGATTTTTGAGTCCTCTCTATTATCGACCGAAAAATTGTCTCCATTTGACGAATGAAAAACAGGAGGGACAGGTAAGTTTCTAATATTGGAACAGGAAAGAAGTCTATGTAGATATCAATATAAATCATCCTCGCAAAACCCATCTACTGCGTTATTGCCTAAATCACACCGCTATTCCTTGCTTTCCATATATTGGACATGGAAATGATGGGGATTAATAACCCTATCTGCCATACTGGTCTCTATATTCGGAATATCGGTGGCGCCTTGCAATAGGTATCTTTCAACGGGGGTGGTTATATTGTTGCACCATATATTGAGACCCAGAACCTTCCTAATTGGGTATAGATGTACCGAGACATGTTCAATAGCTCGGAAGCTTTCGCTTTAGGTAAATAGTTAGTTGAGACTAAGCCTCTATAAGTATTCTCGGGCGGAGATTACTAGCCTGGGGATCTAGACAACCCCATTTCAGCCTATAAAAGTGATCGACGAAGTAAGGGTGTTTATAGTTAGATTAGGTAAATTCAGAACCTAAGTAACATACAACACCAACGGTGCAGGTGCAATTCTTGAAAATCCACTCCCAGACGCAACCTAAACCTACGTCTCATCCACCATCACAGTTCCAACCCCGATACCAACCGATGCCACCACATATCACGCAGCATCCGTATGGATCGACATTGACGGTAGCACGTACACACCCGCTATATTGCAGGCCGGGGTGGAATTTTATGTGATTGATGGGCAGCCGTATACGGATGCCTAGTATGAGTGGTACCCGAATTTTGCAATGTATTATGATGGGTATGTGGTAAACCCTGGAGATTCGATTGTTGCCTCGGTTAATGTTACGGCTCCGAATCGTGGAATTTGTATGGTTGAGAATCGGAGTATAGAAGATGTGGCTTCAACGTCGATTTCTGCGCCGAAAAGTACGGCGACCGTTGTAGGTTGGAATGCGGAGTTAAGTGGAGAACTTCGATTCGGCTGTTGACTCGGTGCCTTTTGTGGAATTTGAAAAGGTTCAGTTCTCTGGGTGTGCAGCATATGCTGATGATGTTCAATAGGGTCTATGGGTTGGTTCAGAATAACGCGGTAATAGCTGATGTTGCTACCTTGAATGAGGAGCAATTAGTTGTTGCGCGCTTTTAAGGGCAAAGTATCGGGCATCGGGTTTGCGTTATTGTTAGATATGAGAGAATGGTAGATTTATATTGGACTGTCGCCTGATCAGCCAAATATTTACTACAGACCCAACTCTCCAATATAGGGTTAAGAGACAAATCTGTAAAAATCTAAATGATGTACGGAGTAGAAATGCCCAAGTATAGTAGAACTATGAATTTGGAGATGTCTGCATAATGATTATGCATATCCACTTATGCAGACTTTATGCAGAACCCACACTTTGAAATCTGCCGATCCCGCCTTGCCACGACATCAAAATATCACGATGTCTTCCAATGAGAAAAAGCGCCTTCGAGATCGTCGCTCACAGCAAACTCTCCGCGAGAAGAAGTTGCGACATGCAGCCCAGCTTGAAGAAAAGGTGGCACACTGTGAGCAGCACCACAACGACCAAAGCGTGCAACGTCTTCTCCAAGTAATCAAAGGGCTACGCAAGCAAAATGACACTCTTCTCACGCACCAAAAGAGCTTGAAATCCCTCGTAAATTCTTGGGAGATAGAGCCGGATGAATCAATCCTCAGTGATCATTCCCGTCAGGACTTGTCATCTCTGTATACGGAGATAAGCAACCGAGAAGCCCAATTCGCCCTCCAAACAAACTTCAACGAATCAATACCCGAGCAGGCGAGAAACCACTTTCTCAACGCTCCCATCCCCACTGTATCAACACCATCTCAAATCCCGTCCCCATGTCTGGAACCTCTTTCCGATGAACACATGCCTCTGTGGAAGCAAATCCCACCACATGTCGACGACTTCTCTACGAAGACATTAATCTCCTGTCAATGGTTCCTCTACCCAGAGTTGATAATCCCATGTCCAGACGTCCCCAATTCCCCTCTTGACTTTCTGTACGGCACAAAAACAAACCCGCTAGCAGACATGATCCACACAGCCCTGGTGCGCCGCCCGATCCGCGATCCAGAGCGACTGTGTACCGGCTGGTTGACTTACCACTTCTCGAGATGGATCATCGCACCCAGCCCGGAGACTTACGGTCGACTCCCTGTATTTCTCAGACCTGTGCAGGGTCAGATGACACTTCCACACCCGCTCGTGCTGGATTTCTTGCCTTGGCCAAGGATAAGACTGAATCTGATTCGGCGGTGGCATCTATATAGCAAGGACCGGGATGCTCTGTTTGGGTTCATGGCTTGTTGTGTTAAGATTCGATGGCCTTGGAATGAGACGATTCTGGAGCGGGATGAGCGGAACGAGTTGTGTATTAAGAAGGCATTTTATGATATGTTCATGAGTGAAAGTGGGTGGGGGCTTACGCCGGAGTTTATCAGACGGTATCCCGATCTTGTGGAAGGGATGGACATCAGTCAAATAGTGATTGAGTTGTTGTAGAAAAAAGATCACGTTCATGTACAGAAATTATTTCTTCTATTATGCTCTATTGTATGAATTATGTAAATGCAACTTCTATATGCGGGTCATTAAACATCATCCCAATAGAGACGGACAAAGTCGATGTGAACCAAGTAGGATACCATTGGCACTATAGTAACATCTCAAGCCTTTTTACCCATCAATCAAGGTTGACAGGCCACCTCTCCCGAATCACCTTGCCGTACTTGATGAAGATAATCGGAATCGGGATGAATACCAAAGCCAAGAATCCAAGCAACGAGTTGCCCCACCCGAGACCCAGAGCCGCGAACATCTTAGGCCCAGCAAGCGGAAGCAGAGCTCCAACCAGGGAGCGAGTCGCTGTCAAAGTGGCATTGGCGGAGGCCGCATATTTGGGATAGCAATCGATGATATATGTCTGGATGGGCATATACACGCCCATCATGCCGACTCCGAAGGGGAACATGCCAATGATAGGCACGATCCAAAACACGTGCTTTTCGGCAGTCCAGCCATACCAGAAGAAGCTGATGGGCAGGATGCAGGCGAAGAGTGTCATTGTTGGGAGACGCATCTCGGGTTCGAACTTGCCGCCGTTCTTTTTTGTCGCTGCCATAACCAACCGATCATTTGTGAAGGCGATCATTGCGAGACCGCCAAAGAAACCGAAGCCAATACCGAGATATGCAAGTCCTGAGAGACCAACGGAGAATCCATATTGCTTAGTGAAGACGCCGGGGATGGTGGTGAAGAAGAGGTAGAGGAGGCCGTAAATGAAAGACTGGAGATAGAATGTTAGTAAAGCCGTGATTTTAAGAAGGGGTTTTCGTATATCACGATAGAACTCAGACTCACCATATAAACACACAGAAGGAACACAATCGGTGACTTGATTAACAGCGCAACCGGCCTCTTGAAACTCGTCACCATGTTCTCTTTCAAACCAGCAGGCTCCTTATTTGTGTCATAAGCACTGCGCAAATCTGTCCTGCCTGTCTCCTTGGCGAGTTTCTGGGTCTTCCACCGAATAAGGACATAGGCATACGTCTCCTGGTTCATAACCTCAACTCCGGCCGACGCCACAGCACCCACAATGAGCAGTACCCAATACACCCAGCGCCAGCCAGCTTGCTGTCCGAGGAATCCACCAGCGATAGGTCCAACCACAGGTCCAATGAGTGGCCCCATGGCCCAAATGGAGGTTGCCATGCCGCGCTGCTCGCGCGGGAACAGATCTGCGATTACGCCGGCACCAAGTGTTAAACATCCCGAACCGCCGATTCCGGCCAAGAGGCGGCACACGATGAGAGTCTCGATGTTGTTGGAGAGTGCGCAACCGATCTGCCAGACCACAAAGAACCAATTTGCACCGCTGAGCACAATGCGGCGGCCATATACTTCGCTCAGAGGAGCGAGTAGAAGGGGACCGAACTAGATTCGTCATGTTAGATGGGTTGAATTACATACATTATGGGGGTGTTGGGTAGACTCACTGCATATCCAAGAATATATATGCTAACACTGAAAGACAAGATTGTCTGTTCTGTTACTTGGAACTCCGCTGCCACATATGAGATAGCGGGCGAGAACATGCTCGAGGCGAGCGGGGAGATCAGAGTCATGATACTGATCAAGGAGAGCAAGACCCATTTCCTTTTGACGGGGAAGTTTTGAGGATTGTGAGGGTCATCTTGTCCATCCCAGCCTACTATTCCGCGGCTGAGGTCTGTTTCTGGGAATAATTCTTTGGTTGCTTCCGGTGTCTCAGTAGTTTCTTTTGTTGATTGTTTTTCAAGGTCCGGGGTTATATTGCTGATGCTGTCCCCTTCATTGAGGGTTGGTTGGTTTGAATTGGACTCTTTTTCGAGAGTATCCATGATGGGTGACAAGTGTATGTCAAAATATAAATAGGAATGGATGTCCTTGGCGTGGGGAGTATAGAAGGAAAGGAAATGGATGGGCGTGCCAAGGAGAAGCAAGGTCAAATAGTTTGAACGAGTGAAAAGAAAGAATCGATTAGCTATAAGAGTAAAAGGTTTGAAGAGAAAAAAAATATCAGGTTATGATCGGCGGAGAGATATCCGAAGGGTTTTGTATAAATTCACGGAGGACGCAGAATTGTCGCCGATATTTACCCCCGTGGACCGACATTTGGGGTATTGATAGCCTGGTATTGAGTCATAAATAGAATCGTATTCATAAAAGTGCTTCATAAACTCACAGGATTCGGGTAGACCAAGTGTTTAATTTCGAATCCCCCTCTTCATAACAACGGGATAGGGCCCGTCCCAGGCAATGATTCAGCGGTCCACTTATTCTTGTTGTGTGACTAATCACAACCCTTCGACTTAGCTAATCTCCAGACGCTGAATCATCGCTCGCTTGTCCCGAGGTCCCATAATTCCATGTGGGGGCCATTCTCTTGTCGCGTGGAACCTTATCTTTATTCTAATGCGCATAATTCATTTGCGTCAAGGGGTTAAAAGGGGGCCTTGATAAAGATATCATTCGAAGTAATACAGGGTAGATGATCGCACGCTTCGACCACACAGTTCGTCCTCTTAACTGTTCGAAAACAGCCTCTGGAAAATAGCCTTCATATTTCATTGCTCTCTCAACCTTTTCAAACACCTTCGCTGAATAAAGCGCTCCTTTGTAGGGCTGACAGCTACCCTGCGACAAAGGCTAGTCATGTTGTTCCCATACTTCCATCGTTCGAATCCCATCATTCAGTCAACATCGTTATCGTGATCTTCATCAAGGTACTCCAGCACCTCGAGGTAAATTTCTTCAAAGTACTGTCTGGTAACATCCTGGGCAGGGTTGTTCATACTCTTCAACCGCTCAATTCTCACATCCACAAAGGCTGATCCCACATCATCCTTGATTTCTGCTAACAAAATCATCAGTGGGACATATGGCGGAATCCCCATCTTCATATTCAAGGTGTGTGTGTAATACTCCATAATGCGGTGAACAAACCACCGGGCACTAGAATATTCACGTCGCTGGCACCCAATGAGATTGAACAGACCGTGGGTGATATCCTCGAAGTCTTGTGGGGGACTGCGGGTAAACCGTTCAAGAATACGGTCGGCTCCCATCATAAACTCATCTGCTAGATCAGCTTGAGGGTGGGCTTTGACAATCATGCGTACAAGGATTGGATCCATATTCCACGCTATCCACTTGCGGATCTCCAACGACATCTGTTGCCATCTCCTAGCATTAGGCGAGTCCTTGAAAGGGCGGGAAATTCTGTAGTCGATGAGTCGGTGAATTTGATGTATTTTCAGGATGTTGTAGATTTCATTGCGCCAGGTGCCATAGTCACAAGGACGCTTGAGAAAACAGGGGAACTGGTACAACGTAAAACAGGCAATTTCTGGCAGGTCCCATGCCTGGTCAATTTGTCCAGTCGGTCTCTCAGGTGGCAGTAGGATCGACCAGTCGCGAGTGTGCTCAGTATCCATCTTGGGGTGTTGTTGTAAAGATCTCCGCCACCTGGTGCCCGTCGTCGTAAAGTGAGAGGATACTCCGTCCGGAACTATGCGAAAATCCAGCACGTTAGTTCATTACTTTTTTAAAATTCTCACTATAGAGACTCGTGGTCCTACTGCGTCGATGAAGTGAATAAAATACTTGAGTTCGCCACGGAGACGCGTAGCGATGTTGTTGGACACCTCTTGTTGTCTTTCAGTCGCCAGCCGAGAATGAGGGGATACCATGTCTCTCACCACAACTGAGATGACTGAGTAGCAATGTAGATAATGAGTATCTTTGAAATTGCTAACAAGTGTATTTGGCTGCAGTTTGATGAAAAAAGAATTGAGTTGTGCGGAGAAGAGGAGAGGAGAATAGAAGATGAGGATGAAAGTCGCATGGTCCGGGTGGGCATGGGAGAATATAACCTCACTTGCAAACAAGCCCACATGTGATTAGCTTAGCAGAATACATCTAAAAGTAAAATCCATGTATACTTGATCCAAGAATAATATCGGCATTAGCAGTATGTAAATACAAGCACCAACCTATGAACTGCAAATGCCCGATATCCAATCTACGTTGAAGTCATCAACTCGGGATAGAATAATATAGGCCTAGAAACAAGGACTGCACTATTATTTATAGCACCCTTCCAACGTTGTAAGCTACCTGGATATACGCTAGTTTACCTGATATTCTTCCTCTTATTTTCTAACGACGATGCTACTGACAACTTAATATGAACTTCGACATCGTATTTCCAAAGCATGTAGCACTCAAACTACGCATGGCTAATGGGCATGTCAATCTCGACAATTCTTGTCATGAAATAAACTACAATATATAATTAGCCTCAACCTAGCCTACAACTTAGAGAACCATTGACACTCAGTGTGAAGATGGTCACATTAATAGCCATGAACAGATCAGTTTGGTATTTTATCCTCTTAAAATAGGTTTGTTTGAAATGAGTTCATTCAATCTTGGAAACATTCATAGATATTCCGAGTTTTATAGATGTCCATGTTTCCAACATTTGAGAGTCGCAGAAAGTAGTTGGGATCATCGATGACCCGACTGCTCAGGTCATCGGATCTCCACTTTTTGTCATGTGACCGAAAGTCACATGATCAGATGGTGAACTCACTTTCAATTTGGACCGCAGGTACTTGAGGAGCAACCGTGAACCAAACATCCCACGGACACTAAAGAACTAGCGTCATCACGTGCGTTTCGGTATACTCAGGCACGCCCCGAAGGCTCTGAGAAAAGCATCTCGGAAATGGAGCCAGAATCGGCCTGCCACCAACCGTCACAAACAATAAAAGTCCTAGGTAATGGTAAACTTGACGCCGAAAACGGCTATTATTAACGCTGTTTAAGGCGTCATATGTGCCGGAATCTTAATCATCGACCTCCGAAGTGGTCTCTTTCTGCTTATAATTTCCGTATACCCGCGCGAACTAACCTTAGTATCCCCTATCAGAAAATCATTAGCCTTACCCCAACCCCTGATGGAATTACCCTTGCACGTCACTATCCTAAATTATTATGTATCTGATATCCAGATATATCTACTTAGAGCTACATAGGTATCAAACAAAAATATCTAAAAGATCAGATCAAGGAATATCAAGATTTCGGGTTGTTAGGTTAGGGGGGGGGGCCGTGTTACCCCAGGCTACCTTATTAACAAAACCAAATTTCACGGAGGCCCCCCAGATCAGGACCGGAATAGGTCTAAGGAGTCCAAATATGATAGAAAAGTGCTCTGGGCCGCGTATGGCGCCCAGTGAAAATCGCAGCCTGCATATGCATACCTATGTTGTAAACACATTGCCACGTCTACGTCGGTGTTACAGTGGGCTTGGGTGACTTGGGAGTGGTTGTATCATGCATGGAAACTTTCATACTGAACTTTTTTAAATTATTGACTCGTGAATTTCCTTGGCCCAGCATAATTCGGTCTATTTGATTTGGTTATAAGTATCCATTTCGTGGGATGCCATTACGAGTGATCCCAACGTACTGCATCGCTTGGAAATACACAGTGTCAACTTATGGAACAAAAGCTCACCTCTACCACGGGCAAAGAAGAGCCCCAAAATGCTGACTCTGTACGAGAGACCTCAATTTCTGATGGTGGGACCTTCCAAATCGATTGGGATTGGGATCGTTCAGATGAAAAGCTACAGTACGATGCGATTCAGGGTTTACCAGAAGTAGCCCAATCCCGAAGAAGATTGTCGCTGGTCGTTGTGTTTATTCCCTTTCTCTGTGCAGCCACGATATTCACTATATACTCTTATATTTACTATTCCAGGTCTCATGGTATGTTATGACATCTATTACTCTTCCATGCTAATAAGTGTTGCTACGCAGGCCGCCTCTCCAACTATGCTTTGCCATATACCATGGCTCCCACTGTATGCAAGAGCGACGAATGTGTAGATGCAGCCTCGCAGATTCTTTCCAACCTGGACCCCCACTATCCCCGCATAGATCCATGCACCAACTTTGAACAATATGCCTGTGGAGGGTGGAGGGCACGACATAGCATGCGACCTGATCAGGGGTCTATTTTCACTGGAACAATTATGGCGGATGCTTCAATTACGCGGCTTCGTCATTTGTTGGAGTCTTCATTAGAAAAATATGGACCAGCTGATTCGGGGAATTTTCAGAAAATGAAAGCTGCATACAACGCTTGTATGGATGAAGAAGCGATCAGGAAGACTGGGAGCAAACCGTTGGATGAGATTCTAGACAGCCTGGACGGGATATATGCCGTAAATTCTAATCCTGTTCATACTAACCTCACTGATGCGGTATTACATCTGCTAGAGATCTCCGGGTCGAAAACGCTGATATCTCTGAATGTCAAGGTAATCAGTTCTCTGCCTCTCTTTTCTCATAATCGTTTTACTGATGATCTAGCCCAATGACCGCGATCCCGATTCAGTGGCAATATTTGTCAATGCCCCCCTCGTGATCGGTCTTCCGGCAAATGACCTTTACAAAGATGCCAATTTGGTAAAGAAGTATACTGATGTGACGAGTGAAGTTCTCGGGAACTTTATTGGGAAGAAAAGCCACCGTTTCAGCGATGTCGTGGAGTTTGAAACAGAGCTAGCCAATATTTCTCCCGACCCCGCAAGCCGAGTAGACGTCACGAAATACTTCAATCCCCACACCACACAGGAAACACAGTCACTGCTACCTCAGGTCAATATAACACAGATGATTGTCACCCTCGCACCACAGGATCAGGGGCGGCCTAGCCAGTTGATCGTCGAGTCCCCCCCATATATGACGTCGCTATCAAGTCTTTTGAGTCGTACACCAAGAGAGACACTCCAGCTATTTTTTAAATGGCAACTCATACGCCAATATTCAGACACTATTGAGGATACAAAGATAATACCATGGTGGAGGTTCATGGGTCAGCTTGAAGGGAAGACCTCGCAGTCTGCTACAGAACGGTGGCACATGTGCATCCAATTTTTGGATTCCCAAATACCCTGGATTTTGAGTCGGTTATATATCCTCGAAAACTTTTCCGAGGACTCCAAAAAGTTTGGAGATCAAGTTGTTTCGGATATCAAAAAAGAGTTCCCGTACATACTCCGTCAAACTGAGTGGATGTCTGCAGGAGTCAGAAAGATCGCCATTGAGAAAGTCAATAATATCATCCAGAAGATAGGATATCCTACCAAGAGTCCCAACATCTCCGACCCAGCGAGCGTGGAGAGCTACTATGGGAATCTTCACCTTTCACCCGACTGCCATTTTGGCAATAAGATGGCTACCACCAGGTTCAAGCTTCAACGGCAATGGGCCAAGTTGGGGAAACCCACCAACCGAGGTGAGTGGAGAATGAGTGCGCCAGCGGTAAATGCGTACTATAACCCCTCAGAAAATGAGATTGTCTTCCCTGCCGGAACCATGAAACATCCCGTGTTCTATGGGCCACAATCTCCTCTTTATCTTACTTACGGCGCTTTTGGTTCAATCGTTGGGCATGAGCTCTCGCACGGTATGTGATTAGAACACCCATTTAATGACGAGCCATTCTGCTGACATGGTACTAGCTTTTGATTCGACGGGACGACACTACGATGAAACCGGAAACTACACTAGCTGGTGGGATCGAGACACAGCAGAGGGGTTCAATAAGCATGCTCAGTGTTTCGTCAACCAGTACTCCAAGTTCACCGTCCCTGGAGACAAGTCTTTTCATGTCAATGGGCGACTCACCCTTGGGGAGAACATAGCGGATGCTGGAGGCCTTGCTGCTGCCTTCCATGCCTGGAAGAAGAACGATGAGGCCAGGCCTGATCCTCACCTGCCTGGACTCTTTACGTTCTCCAAGGAACAACTGTTTTTCATATCATTCGCAGGATGGTGGTGCAGCAAGTCAACGTTGGGGGCATATCGCGAGGCCATTTTGGATGACCCGCACGCTCCGAAGCCGGTTAGGATCAATGCGACGATGGAGAATTCGCGGGAGTTTAAAGAGTCTTTTGGTTGCTCAAAGAAAGAGCCTGTTTGCGAGCTATTGTAGAGAACTGAGCATCCAAGAATTCTGGCACGGCTACTGGGATCCGCTCTCCATATATTGCTGTAGCTATAGACGGTCTACAAACATGAGAAATATACCTCCATCGTAAGGTACTTTTACGATTAGTGAATCTTGTACGAACGTGACAAATCGCAACCACGTAGCTGTGACACGTATTATTGTAAACAATAAACAATAAAGTTCTTAATTATCAACGTTGGGGTGACTGGCTCACGGCGACGACTTGCAGGTGGGGTTATATGATAGTGGTAGTCTAGGGGCAAGTGGTTTCCTCCGTTGGTTATGTTGAATGTTTAGTTATTTGAAATAGGTCATACATATTTGACATTTAGCATTTGCAGATGAGCTGGCTGGTATTACCGATCTATCAACTCCGAGGTACACAATCAACGCTAAATCTGGGTACGTCTATGAGTCCCCACCTGGCTGTATGCAGAATCTGCATGGCACATAACACCAAAACTTAGGCCCACATATACGTGGAACACTCGGAAATATGCGAATTTATTGCCGGTACAATGTATGATAGGTAGAATAGGATGGTGCAAGGTGAAGTACAGACTGTGCAGTTCAGTTATGCTGTATAGACGTAAGTGAGTTCAGTTATGTGCAATTCATGATGTTGATCTCCGATGTGGCTGGCTGATATGCTCGTCCAAGTTCCAGTCTTTAGAGTCATGGAACTACCGGCCTGATCCTACCGTTTATGCGTTTACCAACAACGCTTCCCTGGTATAGAGACTTAATGCCACTATCTGACATAGAGAAACCCATCTACGTAAGTACGGACGCATACTGATACTTTGTGGCGCTCACTCTCGCTACAGCTCCACACCTTTCCTCATACACAATGCACGAGTAAAACTCGCAGTAAGAAGCTATGTGTATATTGAGTTGTTTTGGTGTATACATTCACTTATTGAAAACAGTACTGTATCGGTACAGTGGTATATTAGAGGCATTCCCCCATAGCTTGAACCCAGTCATCAGAGCACTGGTCTATCTAGCGTAATGGAAAACTCAAGTGGAGAATGACTAGAAACGAATCTCGTAACCATGACATCCAATTTATACATTATAACTCAAGGCAAATATCAAATTCCTGTCCATCTCGTCTCAGATGCCTAAACTCAAGGACAAATCTCATTCAGTGAAGCATTAGTGCATGGGGGAACTGATAGCTCCACAGCATTCAACGGCTTTACTGGTTCAATGTCAATCTCGTTGGCGTACGAATACCTTAGTATGGAGTCTAGTCTGCGGCATTTATGCCAGACACTAAAGTCAGGATAACCTAGATCTCGATTCTTCATCCAACTTCGTGTGATTATCCCAACATCACCATTACACATCAGAGCCTGTCGAAGGATATCGATACAGTGATCTACGTCCGCATCTTCAGTTAGATCAACCATTATTCCGCACAGCGATGGGGTATGCTCATACCGATATGAAGGCGGAGGGTGTCGTTAGTATCCGTAAATGCTGGCGGTTTATGAAGCAGACTGGCATAGTAGTCGTGATAGGTGAATTGTCGGATAATATTGAGACAATGAAGCTTTGAAATCAGGCTTTTAGTGAGAAATCTCTGAAAGGGTCGATTTTAAATTGAGTTAGGATTTTTTACCTGGTGGAATACTTCTATGCCACCTGCATAGCCAACTCCCTCAGATTCCTCTACCCGAACTTGGGAAAACGGCTTTCTCAATGGAATCATTTCTTCCGGCTCAATCTTTATTTGAGCCACTACAGACAAAGAGTTAGTAAAACATGGGTTATGAATGAAGTCGACGGCTTATACCATAGGTGATTCGGTCCCAGGCAGCATCCAGTTGTGGACTGGGCTGTCCTTTGTATTGATTCTTATCACGGAAGCTACCTTGAAATCGGACATCCTCATATTCAACCACTGGCAGCAATGGGGCTTTGAATGGGGTTATGATCAGCTTCGATACGATGACAATGCGTCAACATGATATAAATAGCACTCACAATATGCTGAGACCTGCGCAGCGCACTTCTCGTCGGTTAACTGGCATTTGTATGTCATGGTGGTCGCAACTAAGACGAGAGATATCAAAAACAAGACAGAATGTATGAACAACGTCCAGAGAGAGACTCGGTTAAAAAGGGATGGGGGCTTGGTAGTACAGTCATTTTCATCATTTATAAGAGGAGTACTGGTATCATCTTTGTCGTTAGCCTGTGAGACTCTCGTGTATTCAAATGTCGAATCCATGCTCAGCAATGGGGTGAGCGTGATAAGAGAAGGTCAACTAATATGTCCCAAACGCTTTTCATGGTACAAGGGGTATATATAATTAGTATAGAATCCTCAGATAACCATAAAGGACCACCGTGGCTGGTGGGTACAAAATTCCGCTTTAGTCAAAATAGATGAAATTCAGGTAGAGAGGGTAGACTTTCATGCACCGTACTACTCAACCATTGCAATATCCGGTTCATCGTACGTCTATGTGCTGTCCGGTGAGTCCAATATTTCCCGTCACACACACCATGCAGCAACAAGCCTGTAATATACAAGATTCTCGAGCCCTGGGCTTTTGCTGATGTCAAAGTGGTCTGCTGATCCATCAGTTAAGGCATCGTGGGGTATTTTCCTTCTGCTGAGTTTTCCTGGGAGTATCGGATCCTCGCGATTGAGCTTCTCCTCACGGTTTATGAATGATGATGGTTGCAATCAAGAAGACCATGAGCCTAATCGTGTAATTATACGCGGATGTTTGGGATTGCGCTAATAGCCTCAAAACTTCTCTGTGCTCAATGCTACAATTTTTCGGGTCGTCATAGTGCAGATAGTGTAGATGCGAGCCCAAGGGAACTGTGCGTAGACTAAGAAAGTATCGGAGTTTTGCAAGACAAGGGACCACCGCATCAGGACCTACCGTAACATCATTGAGTTTTGATTGAGTGAATATTGCAGATACGCCATGATCTTGTCTGTGCTTTGGATGTATTGGACTTTAGTGGAAGAATTTAGCTATACACTGTCTAATCAAGATTTCATTCCACCGGCTATCCAAGAAAACCGCTTATGACACCCAAATGCATCCTTGGCTTCGTCTACGTGGAAGCCTCAATTGGAGGCATATCATCTATCTACCATAAACTACTGTATCTTGAATATCTAAATTGCAGACAATTTCTAATTAGATCTTGTTTAGATGCTCTAGTGGTGTGAGCTAGCGGACGTAAGATAGGCGTTAGTCTGGCCTAATGTCTCTGGGGTATATTGCAGAGAATGTACAACCCACAAGGCACCTATGATGATGATGATGATGATTATGATGATGATCCCATTAACCAGATGTAGCTCGCTGTTACATACATGCTGCTATGCGGGGATAGCGTTTTAGAGCCTGCTCCTCGACGACAAATGGCGGTGCATGCCCAGTATACATCCACCCATGTCACCAAGACGAGTCCTGGTAACTTGAATTGTAAGGCCACAAACCGGCCGGCATGTAAACAAGACAAAAGAAATAAACGTAAAGAAAGTCAATTCATCCGTAGATAATCAGTCCTGCATTCCCCGCAGGCGCAGAGTGTCACCTCTCTGCATTGCACCTTTCACTTCCCCCTTCCACTTCTCCTTTCCCATTGGCTCCCCCGAGTCACCGAGTCCCTGTATCACTAGGATGGACAGGTTTATGCCGGCGGGTCGTATACAAACAGGTTCGGATCGCGACGCCATGCTTTGTCGTCTTCACCATTGTCGTCAGCTTCAGCTGGTCGGAGTGTGCGTTGGTGTAAGGTGGTCTCGGTAGACCTGGTACCGGGCCACTGTGTTGTGCTTCCTGTTTCTACACAAGGCACCTAAAGCGAACATAGTTCGATGCATGAGATACAAGGTGGCTAACGCATCAATAAAGCATATTTGTTCAAGGGTACTACGTTTAAAAAGCCCGAGCTGGCCTTTAAAAGCTTCTGCACAGGAGCCGTCATAACGGGCATTATCATTTTCTATCTCCAGTTTGTCTCGTCGATTATTGATCGTATTTCATCCTATAACATCAAATTCATAACCTCGAATCTTCAGTAACACCGTTTTATTATCAAGATGCAGTTTCACGGTCTTGTGGCGGTAGTCCTCTCTGCTCTAATTGCTCTTAGCCATGGTGTTCCTGTCCCTGGGTATGACTTTGCGCTTCCGTTTATATGGTTAGAAGTAAACTAACACGGCAAATCGAGAGTTTAACAGACCAAGCCCTGAGGAACTTCAAGGATATGGATATCCGGTTCAAGAACGATCGGTGGATGCCACCGGGAAGTATGACTGGTCTCCGGTTGAAGAACGATCAGTGGATGTCACCGGGAAGTATGACTGGTCTCCGGTTGAAGAACGATCAGTGGATGTCACCGGGAAGTATGACTGGTCTCCGGTTGAAGGGCGATCAGTGGATGTCACCGGGAAGTATGACTGGTCTCCGGTTGAAGGGCGATCAGTGGATGTCACCGGGAAGTATGACTGGTCTCCGGTTGAAGGACGATCAGTGGATGTCACCGGGAAGTACGACTGGTCTCCCGTTGAAGAACGCTAAGGAGGTATCTCTGAAGTATACGACTACTGTACGGTCCAACCTCGTGAGCACGGTTTCACCGAGAATATTGAAGCGGAATCAGTGAATATGGGAGGCTTGTTAGTCTTCGACATAAGAGGACAAGTGAAGTAAGCCAAATTCAACATTTGGTGGTGATTTATTGTGTTCCTACGTTTAGTCCTTCACTAAAGGAATCATTGGTTCTATCTGCAGTTTTGAGACAGACCTGAATACGTAGACACGCTAGTTTCCTGTAATAAGCCATCTCCTAGCCCTCGCATAAGTTTCTGAATAGTTGCACGTTCAACGGCTGCAGTTCATGTGACGATTCATGTGTGTGGTATTGGTGCCTGATATTAATCCTAACTACGGCAGGCAACCAACATGTAACTAATAATCATTTACCCTCTCCCCACTTTCGCATCTCCCTTCTTTCCTTTTCCTTGTGCTTAGTTGCTTAGTTGAAATGATACTACGTTGGTTGATATCTGTCTCTTCGTAGATGAGTGTAACAGTTCATAATATACCTAGTTCTACCGGAAGATATTTACGCCTCCGTAACTTCCAGTAGATATGTTTCCCTAACGAATTGTTTATTATACCTCCATATGGTATATATCTTTTCCGAGCCTTCTCGACCTGCAAATGATGGATTTCACTGCAACAAAATTATTCGATAGAGGTGAGCAACTTAGTTTGTACATCACCCATCGAAACGCATACAAGAATCTCTTATTTTCAACAGAATCTCTACATTTCTGCATTTGTGGCGTTAGGTGATTGTCTATAAGATAAAGGTCTGAAGGGGTAATCAGACCTATGATCTTATGCAATTATAGGGCACAGCAGCATCTCAAGTTTCTCTGCTTTGCAGAGTTTCTCTGCCTTGCAGAATCCACATCACTGATGCATATACACTCAGCACACAGCCAGCCACTACTACCATGTCACTGCATATGCAATCACCCAAGCAGCCACCCTACGCAGGTGTATAGCGGCCAAGGGTCGGATGCGGTTTTTTATAGTATTGGTGCCTAAATATACCTCATTTCCTACCGCCTTTTCACACCGCTCTATACAGTGTATTGTAAACGAAGCTCCTACATTGAAGCTATTCCCACTATACAAATCTCCGAAATCACCCATTTCTGGGTGTTGAAGCTCCCCCAACCGAGCACAATTCCTCATCTAACGATAGTGAAGCTATTTATACTTATACAAAGCCTCAAATTTAACATTCTCTAGCGTTGAAGCCGTCTGATCGTCCAAATAACTAATTTCTCAACAATTTGAACCAATCATATCGCCAAACTTATCGACCTACAGAAATAAGGGATCCTAGGATTTGTATGAATGCGAATAGCGTCGCACCTGTTGCCTATTTTAAGGCGTTCATCTTGACCTTGGAAGAATAGATCCATGGATGGATTCAAGTATTGCTTACTAAGGAATGTGTTAAAATAATTCAGATATTTATATTTTTTTGCCAGCTTTAATTCAGGCATCCTAAGGAAATTTCAGGCACCAATACTACAAAAGACCGCATCCGACCCCTGGCCGCTATACGCCTGCGTAGCCACCCACTACCGTAGCTCTGTAGTGAGGTGTATCAAATCAGCGACTCCAGTACCATTCAGTACTGCCGTTGTATTCAAACATCAATGTATTTTAGAGCGTTGTCAGTCAATCTAATGGAGTCTAGATGATTCTGTTGCTTCTTGGACTTACTCAGGATATATTAAGGCCCTACAAACCGCTAATCCAGTAATCTACCATTCGATCCTACTCTTCAATTCGCTTTTGACTTGATATTATCTGACGGAATTTTCCACGTTTATCACGCACTGAAAATGGAACTTGCAAATATTGAATTGATTCGCTTGCGTCTTGAGGAGGTGTCGGTTTTTATAAATCAATACCTCGCGACGAATTCGGATACTGCAAGAGTTCAAGCACTCGAAGAAACCACCAAGCTCACTCGACTGTTTGAAAAACCGAGTGATGTCATTTTGAAGATGTTTCTTTCGGTATGTACTTGTTGCATCAAAATGATCGGTTTCCTGACGGAGAAGTCTAATCTCCGTGTAGCCCACACAACTTATGGCAGTCAAAGTTTCTCATGATTTAGGGCTTTTTTCTACCATCACTCAATCTGCCACAGCTCTTGACACCGAGCAGCTGTCTTCGGATACTGGGGCAGATCAGCTGTTGATAGGTATGTAAAAGCGTTTCCAAGTTATGCCATTTTAGCTGCCTTTCCTGCAGAATGTGCGCGATCACTGCGTAACTGAGAACAATCACGCAGAGCGTGTCATGCGTGTCCTTATATCTATCAATTTCGTTGAAAAAGACGAAGATGGGAAATTTCATGCCAATAGCCTCTCCAAAGAAATGGCAAGGGGAGCATCAGCCGGTGTTATCGACTCTTTGTAAGGTTTCTCTACTGGTTTGTTCGAAAGAAAATATTTGTCCTAACAAAAAGAATATAGATTCCTCGACATCGCTCCCATAATTTATCAAACGCCGGACTTTCTTCGTCATACTGGATACCAGAATCCGACTGACCCACTCAACGCGCCAATTCAATACGCCCATAAAACCGCGCTACCCAAAGCCCAGTGGCTCGAGAAGAACCCAGACATCCAAAAACGCTTCCATAGATATGTGGAAGGGGTTCGGGCGAACCGGATGTACTGGGTTGAGTGGTTTCCCGTTCAGGAAAGGGTCATCACAGGGGCATCGAAGAGAGAAGAGGATGTGCTGATTGTGGATATTGGGGGTGGGACCGGACGTGATATATCCGCGTTCCAGAAGCGATTTCCTCACACCCCTGGAAAACTTATACTGGCGGATCTGCCTTCTGTCATTCGGAACATTCGACGCCCTAGCCCGGGGATTATCCCAGTGGAGTACAATCTGCTGGATGCTCAGCCGATTCTTGGTATGTTTAACCATGCCCAACACCTAGATTTAGCTTTGCTAGCGCCTCAATTGAGCGCTTTGATTCTTACGCTGCTAATCTCTAACGACACACTTAAGGTTCTCGCATTTACTATCTAAAATTTGTTCTCCACGAGTTTCCGGACGACACGTGTATTGCAGCTCTGAGTAATATAGCCAGTGCCATGAAGCCCGGCTATTCCAAGCTATTGATTGAAGAATTCGTTCTTCCTGACGAAGGCGCGAGTGCCTTGTTGTGCATGCTTGACATGGCCCTTTTGGTATTTAACCCCGGAATGATACGCACACGAACACAATGGACTACACTCTTGAGTCGGGTCGGACTTGAGCTTAGTGCTATCCATTCCGCCGACTATAATGACGATGGTCTGGTAATTATTGAGGCTGAATTGAACGCAAATGCTGCAAGAGAAACCCATTTATGAAGGGTGTTGGTCTATGTGAATATGACGTCGGCATATGAGTCGCACAAGAATGCCTTTTGTGCTGGTAACTCTCCAGTTAGGTATAGAAATACTATTACAATGATTTCGATATCAAGTCTCAATGAAAGCTTGGTTATCTCTCATAAGGATGAGACTCTCTCATAATTATCACCACAGCATTAACTTCGCGATGTGTCGATCATAAAGGATGGAATTAGCTTATGTACTGCTGAGCATTGGTATGATCCCAAATAAAGATACTTTGTAAAGGGGAGTATCAACCAGAAAATGTTCATGGCTCCCTTGCCCGCACCTGGACCACTGCATAACTGACTTGAATATCGTGTTGCCATCACGGGTGGTAGCCTGAAGGAGGCGCTGGATATCTCGAATTTTATTTTTCATTTCCATCTATCCTTACCAAATTCTGTAGAATACCACCTGATTAGGAGGCCGGAATAAAAAGCCACGTACGTAATAATTTGCTGAGTGCGAGGTACAAAATAAGCTAAAAAGCACCACCAGAATGATATATTGGGAACAGCCCCTCCTCAGCCTCTCGTGTATTTGAATCATTGGCCTTGGAGAAAAAGTATTGAATTTGGGGGATATTTGATGAGAAAGTCACAACTATTCATAATCCTACACAATATATGATACGGTACAGAATGTAACCTATTGCGCCCTCTTCCCATGGCGCTGTGCGTCTCGCCTGAAAGCATATACTGCAGTCCCGCATGCCTACTCCGCTAATGCACCTGGTATTGGAATCAGGCCTCAATCTGGTTATTAGACTTTGAAAGGTCCGGACTACTGGCAATAAAGTCACTTTTCCATGCGCTTGAAAAGCCAAGCTTAACCGAGCCACATCAAGGAAACAAAGTACGTCAAAACGTCCTACTACAGTTCAAATCTGATGACACGTCAATCATCATATCTATCCAAGGTCTTCAGCATGCCACGTCATCTAACATTCCAGAGGTACTCCGGAGGACTGATCCTGTCGTCAGCTGGTGCAGGAATTGCTCTGCAGCAACAGTCTGTTATTCGGGTGGCATTGTTGTATTTTCACCCCCGGGCAGATGACATGCTAGCCCATGGAAAAGCCCATCAGATAGATCGATGAGCCGGATATCCGAGCCCGGAAAGCACTTTATATAACGGTATTTACTGACCGGATGAGGCCAAGAGATCTATCCAGTAGATCACATCTCTTCCCTCTATTGAAATGACTATCTTGCATGAAACAATCATCACCAAGACCGATGCTCCGAGACCTCTCGCCGACAATGTGCTCGCTACATCTCCCAGCGCACCACAGGACCTTCCATGTCTCCTCGAGGAACTCCAAGTAGCAGGAGCATCTTTCCTCCGCGGGGACACGGACGAAAGATTACAGGTCGTTCATCTCGCGCAGTCAATTGTCCATGCTATGCGGACACCGCGCGAGACAGTATTGCAGTATTCATTCGCACAAGTATGTCTAACTGTTCCTGATGACCTGTTTTCACAATAGCGTAATTATATTTAACAAGATTACAGTTCGCAGTATTCTCAGCGATCGAAATCTGTATTGACCTAGGTATATTCTCGATCCTTACCGGAAGCAATGGACCCAAGACAGCTCAGGAACTTGCGGAGGAGACCGGCACAGACGCTAGCATGCTGGGTAAGGCCCTGCCCTTACCTGTCACTTTGGACCGGATGGCTAATTAAATGCCTGATATTTAACCCGTCTAGCACGAATTCTCAAACATTTAGCCGCCATGATGGTCATTGTGGAGACAGGGCCAGATGAATACAAGTCCAATTCCATATCGCAGACACTAGCCGTCCGCCGATACAGCGATATGTGGCCATGCGCGTACGAAATACCCCTTTCGTCCTGCGCTCTAATCATCCTTTTTACAACTCCTTCTGAGACCGAACCTCATCTAAACTCGTCTGATCTAACCTAGCCTAATCGATAGAGTCGACTGCATCCGCGGTGCAGCCCAAGCCCTCCCTACCTGGCTTAAACAGAATGCCTATCAATCCCCTACGAATGGAATAGACTGTCCTTTCACAACAGGCTACAACACGAAACTAGCCTTCTACGAATGGCTGCACGCGAACCCGCACAATCCCTCCCTGGCCAGTCAATTCGCCGGCGTAATGTCGGCCTACCGGCAGAACAGCAAGAGCTGGATGGACGGCGACTCTTATCCTCTACACGACCGATTAATCTGCGAAGCGCGGACGGGGAAGGATGACGTTTTTCTCGTAGATGTTGGTGGAAGTGTAGGACACGATCTTCTTGAGCTACGGCGGAAATGGCCTAGTCTTCCGGGGAAATTGATATTACAGGATTTGCCGGCTGTTGTTGAGAATGTTGGGATTTTGGAAGATATTCAGGTTATGGCGTATGATTTTTTTACTACGCAGCCGGTGAGGGGTAAGGAGAATCGCACTATCCTTTCCTGTTTGGCACCGTTTATTAATGCTTTAGCGTCGTCGGCCAGGGGCACGAGTCTATTACCTCCATTCAATCTTGCATAACTGGAACGATGAGAAGTGCCGACAGATCCTCGCACAGCTCGCTGCGGCAATGGCCCCGTCGTACAGTGTGTTGTTGATTCATGATAATGTTATCCCAGACATGGGCGCGCATTGGGAAGCGACTGCCATGGATATTATGATGATGGTTAATGTGGCGGCTAAGGAAAGGACGAGGGACCAATGGTCCGCATTACTGGAGTCGGAGGGTCTGACAGTAGGAGGGATTTGGACGCTAGGGACTGGTGTGGAGAGTTTGGTTGAATGTCGGTTGTCCCACAGTGCCTAGAATTCCGGCCTTGTCCTGGGAGGTATATTGAAACAAAGCCTTGGCGGGGAGCCAGGGGGGCCTGAGGCACCAATCTGCAGTCGGAATACTGCTCAGTGGGTCATACTGGTGCACCAATAGGATATCAACAAGTCTGAATTGCTATGAAGCCCCTTACTGGCAATTTAGATGGGCATAATAATGGTAGGATTATTTTCATATAAAGAAGCAGTTCGGAACTAGTTCGACCTAAGCGGTAAGCAGCAAAAGAACTGAAATTCATTTATACACTTTGGTGAGCCGAGCTTTTATCACATGATAAAAAGGGGAGATTCGATGACCTGACCAGTCAGGTCACCGCCCGATGACCCGACCTGTAGGTACCTGAGAGTCGTTGGTAATCGATAGGGCTTATCTTATCGTCACCAATCTCCGGATCTCGGATGTCACTTTCTTCACTCCTCCACCTGCTCCGTCTCTCCCCATCCAGGGTCTCAGCATACCCTTTGGCATCGTGTGTCTACTACTCGCCCGATCTCCAGGTAAGACATCACATTCCTCGAAAATTATGCGCCAAGCCTTGTCCGCTGACAGTCCTCCATTTACAGTAATCCTGCTGCCTTCCACCGCCCCTCAGATCCTCGTTATCTTATCATAACATGGGGATTTAGGTCTGACAGAACATCTGTAGCCCTTTCTAGGCCACTGCGTTCTTGCTGCACTTGCTCTTTTCTAGCCGATCGTCACCGCCCTCTCAAAATGGACCAAGAGGAGGCTCCACCACCCCCATACTCGCCCGTGGACCCATTACTCGCACCGAATACCCGGAATAACAGCTCTTCTCAGACCACTCCTCTTGGAGTGAGTGTCTCCCCCACACAGGATGCCAGTAGCTCTCGTATCCCAACACCGCCGACAGTCGTCCCGACGCACTTCAGATCCGCCGCTGCGTATTTTGAGGAACGGCTTCCCTCGATCGTGGATGAGAGCCGGGTTCTTCTACAGCATCATATGACCATCTACCCCCGAAGCCAAGCTAAGGATTTTCCACGACGGCCGCGATGCTGGGCCTTGCGGTTGAATGAGATTACCCAGCAGGACTGGGATACCTTCTTAAAATATCTATTTCCACCGCAACTGGGACTCGCTGCATCTTCTCAGCATCTCCCGCGCCAATTACGAGCGGAAATTAGACGAGACCGCAAGGATCGCCCACAGGAGACGGATGAGCAACGAAAGGCTCGAATCGCTGCCGTTGTCGCCGAGTGGAACGAATGCTTTTTCCGGTACCGCGCAACCCATATTGTCTTTGTCTACGTGGGCGATCCTGATTCTGCGCCGTCATCTGCTTTATGTCCCCGATGCTATCCAGCGGCAACGGGGTCAATAGAAGGCCAGCCAATTCGAACTCAAAATGCTCCATCCCCTGTGCCTGGGCAACCCGTTCCTCCACAGACCCCTTGGTCGATACCTCCTCCTCACTTCCGCAACCCCCAAGTACATGTGCCTTCATCTCCGTATGGAGCATATGGTGTTCCTCCATACCCTCCCCCGATATCTCCTAACCAACCACCTCAATATTACCCTCATCCGCCACCAGGCGCATGGCAATGGAACAATAACAATTGGAATTATCCGCAACATCAACCGCAGTATCCCAATAACGGCACACTTAAGGGCGGGTCCCGCGGGTGGATTTCACAGATTGCATCACAAGCGCAGAAATATGGAGAGCGGTTCACCGAACAGGCGCAACAATATGGAGATCAAATCAGTGCACAGGCACAGCATTATGGACGGCAGGTTGAGGAGCAGGCTCTTGCACATGGCCGCTGGATTGAAGAACAGGCAAGGCTTCATAGCCGGAAAGCACCAATAGCTGGGCCTCCATACGGTGGTGGCTACTACCCCCGGCCGGCCTGGGATAACTCGCCTCGTCCCATAGCCAACATTCCAATGACACCCATCCAAACCCCCAGCCCTGTGACAAGTCCTAATTCGACAGGTTGGCCTGAGACAACCAATCAGATCGATATCAACAAACCTAAGTCTCCAACAGAACAGCTTGTGATAGAGCCTCCCACCACCAAACGCACCAGACGGGTATCAGTGAGCTCAGTCTCATCCGAGTCCTCATTCAGCTCAATTGACTCTATCTCGACAACATCGGACCTCGACGTTTCAGACCTTGCCACAGTGCGCACTCAGCTAGAACTTCTAGACGATCGTCACGATCGGGTATTATATGACGCAGCCGTCGATCTCCGCCGGCAACTTTCAGTGCTGCAAGAGTCCCGCCGAGAAGCCAAGTTCTCTGGCAAAACCAAGTGGCGAGCCGGCTTCAGCCAAAGCCAACAAAACAACCAACAACCGGGTGACACCGACTGGGGTCGCTGGGAATCACCCGAGCAGCAGCAACGCAACTCAGTTGACAGACGAGCCATGAAAGAAGAAATGCGCGCTACCAAGAAAGCGTTCCGGGACACGCTGCGACGAGCGCGAGACGAGCAGCGGGAACGCCGCCGCACTCGACGCCGCCAGGTCCGACAAGCTCGCGCTAATGACGGTGATAAGGCCAAATATTCGCATGATCAGCAGCTAGATCAGCAGCTTGGAACGTTGCAACTGGAGGATTCTCGGCAATCTAACCCACCTTTGCCTGCACGTCCGGTCAAAACACAAACGCAGCCTAGTCCGATTACTAGTCCGAATAGCTCAAATGTCGGCTTTGAATTTGCTTCCAATCCCCCTTCCCCTGCTGTCTCACGGCCGAGTACGCATGACCTGACACGGACAACTACTGATGACTCTGCTGCCTCTGGGAAGAAAGGGAAGCCAGCCGATACGTCGAGTCGGTTAAAGGATATGCTGTTACCGCGTAAGGCGAAGAAGGATGATGCGGGAAGTAAATGATCTGGAGAACCTGGACATTGTTGATCTTTTCTTTTCTTTAGTTCTATTTTCAGCCTGGGTTTTCAATATTTCCTTGAGAGGATGGCAAAAGTGATTTTGCTTCTCCTCGATGTATAGTTCAAATCTCGACCACAGCCAAGTCGACGAAGTTACGATTTACATTGATACATAGTACATTCGCGAAAACTTTACAATTCGCATATCCATCCACACACACACACACACATTCCAAATATATTGAAATGAAACTTTTTGAAAAAAAATATCTCTATACATACAAATAGCAGAGCACTCATCCCCAGTGGCATCTATATGCACCTAAGCCTTGGTAGCCTCATTCTTCTCAACCAAATCACCAACCCCAAGTCCCCTCCCAACCTTAACCCGAATCATCTTCTCTGCATCCTTCTTCCCAAGATCCCCAACCTCCTCCCCTTCATCCTGATTCCCCTCATCCTCTCCATTCTTCTTCGTATTATTCTCCTTGTCCCGCTTCTCAATAGCCTTCCAGTCAAGCCACATGCTCTTAAGATTCAAGCGCATAGCATACGCATCCTCGCCATCGGCATAGTATCCATCCTCAACCTTCTCGACCTCAAAGCCAAGCGTATCGCGGTACAGGTGCAGCGCGGCAATGTTCGACATACGCACGTGCAAAGAGACGAAATGCGCGCGGTGGGATTCGGCCATTGCGCGTTCTGCGAGAAACCATAGAATTAGAATGCGTTCCTTAACATTAACATATGCAATCGCAAAATGCAACCGCAAATTCGAAACACATATGCAGAATATGTAATCTTAAAGCAAACAAAATCTGAAGAATGCCACTTACGACTCATCTTCATCAATCTCTCCGCAATTCCCAACCGTCTATGCGTGCGCATAACACTCAGACTGGTAATATGACCATGGGGGTTTCCATCCGCAGGTTCCTCCTCCATCTTCGCGAGAACATATCCAACGACCTTGGGGTACTCGCCCGAGACATTTCCTGCGATTCCGGGGCCTGTGGAGTTCTGTTTGTATCCTCCGCGCGGGCGCACGACGGCGACGAAGCTTAGCTGCGGCCAGGTGAGGGCGTGGTACAGGTAGTATTTTAGGAAGTAATTCTCGGGGAGGTTTGTTATGTTGCAGGTTTGGATTGAGGGGAGGAGGTCGATGTAGGAGGGGTAGCTGCTCAGGGGGACGATGTCGACCATTTTGGCGGTTTGGGACGGCGCAGCTGGCGTGTTTGGAGGTTGTAGTGAGGGGGTTTGAGGGCTGATGGTGGAGTTGGCGGTGCGGTGGGGAGTGGTCATGTGATGTCGAAGATGGGGATGGGATATGGATTGGATTGGAGTAGATATCTATGATTTGATTTGTATGTTGCTTTTGTTGCTTTTAGATGGAGTTGGAGTGTTCTTGGTTTGGAAATATTTTGTTTTCATTTGTTCGGGTTCTGGCGAACGTGTCTGTCGACTTGTTGACCATGCTGTTCATGTATAGATCAAATAACTACAAACTAGTACATACTATGTATGTATAATCTCAAAATCATATCCAGTACAACGTAATATGTATGGCCAGAAAGAAAGAAGAAAAAAAGCCTAACGCCGATGACCTATCTGGTCATGCATCCCAAAAAAAAAGGTAGTTATAGGTATCGTGGAAATCAGAACGCAGACATCACCATCTGCACTCCCACTGCCACCAAAAGCACCGTCGACATACCGACGATAGAAACCGCAGGCAGCGCGCCAGATTCCTGGCCGCAGCATTTACGGTTATAGGTGACATTGTTCATCTTAGCAGCGACCTCGAAGACCGAGCCGTTGAAGTCGCCGTAGTTATAGTAATCGACCAGAAGCATGTTAGGCGGACGACCCCACATTTCTATTCAGCGTTAGCAATGCGAATCGAAAAGAAAATAGATCTCTCAAGGTGACTTACCGGTACAGTTCTCAGCCATTGCACCCAGACTACCACTGCCGTTCACAGAATTGGTCTCGCTAACCTCAGCAGTGTTGGGAATCAACAAGCTCAGAGTCCCGAGGTTCAACTGCAGGTTCAGATTGTGGTTGGCCATGTACATGCGGTTCCTGGCGGCTTGCGGGGACAGACCGGGTGGGCGCTGCTGTGTGCAGGGGAAGGTGGGGTCGGTGGGCGAGAAGGGCGTCTCCCACACCTGTGAGAACTGATCCATCAGCCAGGGGTGTGCGGTCTGGTTGGCTTCGTAGTCCATGAAGAAGACTGCGCGCTTCTGTCTGAGGATCATCTCTGAGAGCGTGGGCCAGTCGTCCAGAGCCATTGGGACCTTGGTAGGGGTATAGATCAAGTCCTTCAGTCCGGAGTTGTAGATCGGAGTGGTGAAGTTTTCGGGAGAGACATAGTCAAAGTTGCCGATGATGAAAGTCACCACGTCGTATGGGTTCTTTCGCATCCACTTATTGACGTCCGTCAGGTATTTTTCGAGAGTGCCGACGCCGAGCAATTGGCAGCTCGTGTGGCAGAGATACATTGTACCGTTCTCGTAGTGAGTTTGGAATTGCACTAATGGACAAGTTAATAATTGCTTTCTGAGAAAATAAATCCACTGCCGTTCCACTTACGCGTGCGAACTCCATCGTCCAATTGTGATGTCACGTCCAGTGCCTGGTTGGCGGCGACGTTGTTCGGGCGCACGAACGGGCTGTTGTGCGCTGCGACCATGGTAATATTGGAGTACTTTCTGACACATAACTCCGGGTAGTTGTTGCAAGGCCGTGTATTGACGATCGGGGTCTGCGTAGCTGTACTAGTCGTACTTGCAGTCGCAGTCGCGTTCATACTACTGTTTCCGATCACCGTGGTTCCTCCCCCGCCCACTAACAAAGTTAAGGAGTTGGAAGTTGTGGTGATTGCCGTCTGGTTGGAAGCAGTCATTGTGCCATTGCTATGGGTGGGCGATGGAGCGATCGACTTATCGCCATCGCTTAATGTGAGTGTTGTACTGTAGTCTTGGTAGGTACCTGAGGGAATAGCGACGGGAGTTGTGATTGACACAACAGTGAATCCTGTGGTGTTCCTAGCCGACTCGGTAGAGGTAGAGGATTGAGTAGATGAGTCCTGGGCCACAGCAACGGCCAGTAAGGCCATAGAAAATATCGGCCACCTCATATTGCTGTGTGATATTTGGAGATACTATGTTATCCAAGAGAGGAGAAGACCCATGGACCCGAGGTCAATACTTCGAATTACCTAAGCGGACCTGAACGCCCTGGAGTTTTTTTAAAAAAATTAATCGTGACGTTGAACGTTAATAGAATAGGACGATGAACCAATTATATTTTTATATCAACTAATGGGGGCGAAGTGGGTTGTGGGCTGAGATGGCCTAGCTCTTAGCTTGCCGATTGCTGCCTGATACATATTTAGCTTGGTCTGCTTTGTCTCACATGTAAGTAACACATCTATTATTATATACTATAATCTATTATTCTACCTAGACCTATATGCGATATTTCCTTCATTTGAACCTCAAATACCCTCAAATGCCTTTTATGTAGTAAGATACGCCTAAATGATCGTCGACGCAGGCCAGGGGGCCACGACACTAGTATTCAGCCACTGACGATCTCACGGGAGAGGCGACGATCTAATACAATTTCTTAAATTTGAATCCAATAAAACCTGTAAAACTACCAAAAGAAAAACCTCCGAAAAAAAAAAAAAAACAAATCATCTCGTATTTCGGTGTGATATTTTGATGGCCTAACGTCATCCCGGGATTATAGGAACCCTAAGTTCCTCTCTTTATTTTTCTTGGACTTTCTGTCCTGTCCTTTTCTTCATTTTCATATTTTTATCATGCATAGGACAGACAATGGCAAGCGGAAGCTTCCCTTTTTCAAGTCCACTACACCAGTCGACCGACAGCGCCAGTCCACCGTTCACTGGCATCGTTTACTACGGTCGCTATTGTACCTGATTGCCTGGATCTTTCTACTCCTGGTAGTTATCGGCAACATCTCCGATAAGCCAGTCCTGCGCAGCACCTACTTCCTCTACCTCGATCTTTCCAATATCATTCCAGTCTCCGTTCCAAATGCCGTCCTTATCAACTCCATCGCCCAAACCATCGGTCTACATGACTTCTACCAGGTCGGCCTATGGAATTTCTGCGAAGGATACAATGGAGAGGGCATCACATACTGCTCCAAGCCGGAGACTCTCTATGCCTTCAACCCAGTTGATATCATCCTAAACGAGCTGCTGGCCGGTGCAACGAGTACGTTATAGCTTATACAAATAATCCCAGAACCCCCAAGAACACCCCTGAACTAACAACCCCACCCAGTCGCTCTCCCCGCCGACATCCAAAGCCCATTGAAACTAGCGCGTCTCGCCTCCCACTGGATGTTCGGAATCCTCCTCACCGCAGCAGTCCTCAACTTCGTCATGATCTTCGTCGGTCCGCTCGCCGTGTCCTCGCGACACCCAAGAAGCATCAAAGCCTGGGCCGCAGGCTACAGCGGCGCCCACCCGCCCGCGGGCAAACCGCCCCACCGCCGACGCACCTTTTTCTGGCTGCGCGCCCTGCCCATGCTAATTCTAACATTTTTCACCGCGCTGGTGACAATTGTCGGGTCGGCCGTCGCGACGGTCATGTTCCTCATTTTTGCCAATGTCTTCTCAAACGCAGACCAGAGCATCAATATCCAGGCGCATGTCGGAACTCAGATGCTGGTCTTTATGTGGATTGGTTCGGGATTCAGTTTGATCGCATTCATTATTCAGCTCGGATCTTGCTGCGCGGCTTGTTGTCGTGGCCGCAAGGCTCGCAAGCAGCTCAAGTCGCAGGGCATCAATTGGCATGAGAAGGGACCGGTTTCCCTCGATGCGACCGAACCTCGCGGTATCTCGTCCAGTAGAGATGCGGATGGTGTTCCTGCCGAAGAGCGTCGTCTCACCTCCAGTGGTCAGGCGTTCTCGAATGAGCATGAGCAGAAGTTGGGCAATGGACATGGTTTGAACCAGCACTACTCCGACTCTTCGACTGAACCTCATGCTGTCTCGAACTGATTGATTTACCTCGAGTATGGTCATATTATTCCTCTACGGATTCATTTTCTTTTCTACTATTCTTATATTTGGGGGGTTTTGTCTCGATATCCAACCCTGTGCTATAGTGCTCCCACTTCTGGACATTTTTATCCATATTTTATCTACCATTGTCTACCTAGGTACGATTTCACGATTTGACTGTAAAGAACTAGAGGCTGGGCATTTCTTATTTTCTTACAATATCTCTCACAAAACTTGTTTTTTAGCGTTGGACATATACATAGCTTCTTCTCCACATAAGTTCCACCTTCAGGGCTCAATCTTTTCCTCTTCCCCGCATTGTATACGTCACGGGAGTAAGTAGTCGTAAGCTCAATCTCTACCGATTCTTTGCCCCAATTCCAAACCTTGGAAGTTCCTCGCGGATTGAATTCTGATTCGTCAATCCTCAATCTCCCGTATAAAGAACCAAGCCACGTCCAGCCGCTAGTAGAAATGGCCCACAGCTCCACTCCCGGTACTCCATAGCTTCTCACCACATCCGATCAGCCCTACTTTGTACGACGTAAAACAAACGGCGACATACTTTTGTATTCGTATTCGTATTTAACTCCACCCATTGACGAACTTTGCCCTGACAACCAAGGACAACCCAGAGAGGGTGGGGGTCTAGATCGATTAGATCGATCGTAGAGCAACCACACCAAGACGCAAAGAGCCCTAACACTCCGAGAAATGAGTAAAGAAGACATAAAGCCCTTCGAGCTGGCTCTTCTTGGTTTATTTTATTTGCTAAATTTCAATCGTATAGAATATATACCCCGGGCAGTCATCGTATAGGTACAAATTCAAATACCCAGGTACTCTATACTTCCAACCATATCGAACTCAAAATGCCCCCAGTCGCCCGAAAAAAAAAAGCAACCCTATGTTTTTCCCCTTGAATTCCAGCTGTTCCCGCGCCCTAATAGCCAAGACCATCTTGAACCTATGAAAAATGATAAAAGGGCATCTCTGCCTGCCGACCTCGGGAGACATGCCCGCCGGTTCCGTGGTTGAGATCTCATCGGACCTCACTGCGTTCTGATATCATATCTTGACATTCTACTTACATATCTAGGTAATATATTCCCTATCACCCCAACAACCATCTCATTATAAACAACCCTTTATAAACATCAAATGTCCACCGAAGCCAAGAGCCGCGCGTCCCCTACTCCCAGCCCTTCGACCCAAAACGCCCAAGGTACCCCTAGTCTCGGGGGCAGATTGTAGCCTAGACCTAATCCTACCAGAGGCTCTGCTGGAAGTGGGGGGCCATGGACCTAGGCCACCTAAAGAAGCCGGTACATGCGTGTGTCACACCTGTGATACAATTTCAACTTCATAACCCCCGATAACACATTCATAACTCATTATTTCTAACTCGTATCTACGAAAGATATTGGAGTTCATAGAAAGTCCAGCAGCGCGCCAAGATCTGGCATACCGAGTTGCAGAATGGCTGTGCCGACATGCGCGACACAGACCTGCTGAATACCGTCGTCTAGGATATCGCCAATCACGGAGCCATTTAAATGGTCTAGTCGCTGCGGTCGCTATCCAAAAGGAGATGCATACTCTTGGATTACTCGGCTAAAGATAGAAATGCATTTCTTTGAAGTTAATATTACTAGCGTGTTCATGATGGCGCAGCCTGCGGCGAGGCAGATGATTCGGTTCAGAAAAGGGGGTAGTATCGCTCTAGTTGCCAGTATGAGCGGTACTATCGTTAACACGGTATGTTCTTTAACATTTGCCTGGTTTTCTTATCTCTCTCTCTATTTTATATTGTCGTATGTTCTTCCCAATAACCCATTTCATACCCTATCAATCAGCCTAACTATGTTCATAGAAACTTCTGTTATTTGTAATATTTTATCACAATCATATCATTCCTTGTTAAATTTGATACGAGGTGTTGATATATATCTCGACACAAGAAACAGAATTTAACTATGTACGTACTAGGTGTGATGACCTAGTAGATTGGATCGGAGAATAGTTCTCTGTTATTCCTTAGGCCAAACTAGAATTGTCTTTCTACATCAACTACTATTTTCTGTGCCTCAATTACCCCTATGCTGTGCGATTGCAGAGATCATAGATTGATTGATAAATACTCGGCACCGGGAGAAGCAAATGGGGTATTAAGGAAGATGCAATCGCGTTTATTGTGCAACAAATGCCAAAGCTGACAGAATCAGATAATAGATAGATAATGAAATGATGGATTGAAGAGAGAAAGGATCAAATTTCAAAGCTCAAGTTGGGTACTAGACACAAACAGATAAAAAAGACATTCACATATCTGACCAAAGCCATGCCCGCTATCCGAACATGCGGCCAATGGCGTAGCTCAAGTGAAAGAGAAAAATATCAAGGAAATGAAAGAAAAGAAACAGGGTATCGATATGGAATAAGAATAAAGCAAAGTAAAACCGAAATAAGCACACAAGCCCCGGAGAAAGATCACAAAAGCAAGGTGAGAAAAGATGACAACTACTCGTACTGACATGGATGCATATGAAGACGCAAGAAAGAAAAGTCAGGAGAAATCAACGAACAGATAAAAAAAAGAGGAAAAAGAATCACCAGCCCGTTTGTCTTTCACTCCTGGTACGCCGAGTAATCGGTCCCCGTATTGGGACGCCGTGTATGCAAAGGTCAACTCGAATGACCAAATAAGAAAGGCAGAAATGAGGCGTCTACATTTCCATGCCGTACTCATCCTCCTCTTTGAAGCTCATAGCAGCATGGCCAGCACTGTTCCAGTACTGTGGTTGGCCAGCGCCGTTGGCGCTGCTGGTGCCGCTGTGGAAAGAAGGACTCAGGCTGGGAGGGGTCAGGCCGGACATGTCACCGCCTTGCACGGCATCGCCGGCAATGTTGGTGTGCTTGGGAACGCGCAGACCGCTACCAGGTCCGCGAGTGTAGGTGAAGGAAGCTGGGTCATTCTTCTCCAATGCATCAAGGATCTCGCTGCGCATGCGCTTCTCCTCTTCGGTTTGCTCGAATGGCCAGGTTCCACCCAGGCTGCCGATCAGCTCGGCGAGTTCCGCTTCTTGCTGGTATTTGACGTGCATGGCCCACATCAGATCACGAGTCCAGCTGACGGCACCGTTGAGGATGTCGCCCTTGTTAGGACCCTTCTCCTTTTCTTCGATTGGGAGACCCATTGTGATGTTACCCGGCGTCGCACGGCGGCCGTTGCCTCCAGCGAGAAGAGATGTGGCGGCACTTCCGCCTGCGCCAGCCATGGAAAGAGCGCTGCTGTTCACAAGTTGCTTCCGGACCTTGTCGTCTTCCAGTCGGTGCTGAGGAACCAGGTGGGAAAGATCCTGAATGCGTTCATTAATGTTATCGCGTCGGCGACGTTCGACCAGGTTATGCGAGGCGCGGCGACGTCGGCGCTTGGCTTCCTGGGATTCGAGGTCTCCACCGCCAGGGAGATGCGTGTCAACCTTGGCGGGCAGTGAGGCGTGCTTTCCAGACTTGAGGATCTCGGAGATTCCGGTGTGATGCGATTGGAGAGGAGGAGATGAGATGGGAGAGGACTCGACATACGACTGTGCGCTGCCGGGAGTTCCATCCCACTGGTTGGATAGGGTCTTCTGGTGACGAGCCTGCAGTCCAGTCCGAATAGGCTGAGACGGGAAGCTGCCAGACTCAGGGGTACCCAATGTCAAGGAACCAAGTGCCGGGGTCTTTGGAGTCATGGGGCTGCGGCTGTCGGATGAAGTGCGGTCAATGCCTTGCAAGCTCTGGCGCTTAGTGTTGAGGTAGTTTTGGTCGAAAGAGCTGGCATTGTGCATGTGCGAATTTTGCTGGTTCATGCGATACTGCTCATAGTTGAAGCTGTTCTGAACGAATGGGCTGGCCATGGGAGGGTTATCTGGGGTATTGGAGTACATATGCGACATCTGACTTTGGTGACTCATCGCGATACCGCCAGCAGACTGGTCCTGGAGATAATTCACATTATCGCGCTGATGACCATTCTGGCCGCTGATCTCGAGATCCAACAATTCGTCTGTGTCGATGCCGGAGTTTCCGAAGTTGAAGCTGGATGACATGTTCTGTTGCGAACCATAGGAGTAGGGCATAAAGCCATTCTGTTGCTGCATGGTCAAGTCGGATGGGTCGACCCCATCGGGGAATTGATTACCCATCGAGTAGCCGGAGTGTGACATGATGAAAGGTGTGTAGTCGTCGGATTCGTGTTTGATGAAGAGACTCGCTTCGGCCATAAGTGAAACAATATTGGGGGGTTTGAGATAGGGCGCAGATCGGCGAGGGGCTAAGGGAGGAGTCGTAGTGCCGATCCTACTGACTCTCCGTGACAGTTGTCAAAGTTAGGCCGAGATGCCCGATGAACAGTGCGGATGGAAGAGGTGGATATGAGAAAGTCACGATCTGTATGGGAAAGGATGTTAGTCAAAACGTCGACCCCGCCCGTAGGCGATTTGAAGAAAGATGTCGTGGCCTCCGTGCGCAAGGCAAAACAGGCAACCCAATAAAGTTTGAAACCGAAGGGAGAAAAAGAATGCAAAAATAATTACCCTTGAAACGACGAGGATTGGAGGAATGAAGTTCGGGGAGATTGTGAGACGTGCAAATAAAGCCGGGGAAATTTCCTCGGTCTTAAGCCGGGATGAGTCGACAATCGGGGGACAACTGTGCAGATCGCGACCACAAAGATGTCTTAGCCAATCGCAAAGCGCAAAAGCGTAAAGTGACAAAAAAGTTCTAGAGAACTGTGTAAGCGATGGAAGATAAAAGAAATAAAAAGTGGCCGAGGCACAAATGCGAGAAGTGAAAGAAGATCAGGGATCAGGAAGAAGATAAGAGACCGAAAGACCAACGACGAGCAGGGAAAAAACCAAGCCCGAATTAGGCACTCAATCCCAGTTGATTCCAGTTGGTCTTGATTTCAAGCTGGTCTTGATCTCAGTTGATCCGAGTTACTCTCCAGGGCTGTTGCAGATGCAAAACACCAGAGAGTGGGGGAAACAAGCGGTGGGAAGGCGGTGAGAAGTGGCGGGGATGGTTTTCTTTTGGTATAGTTCACCTTCACACTTCCTGTCGGAGATGCTTGAAGAAGTTGATATTCGCATTGGATTGATTCGATTCCATTTGCGCCTTGACCCCTTGGGGTATGCTCGGGGTTTGATAGCCACGCTCGGATTGCAATTGGAATACGAGTTGACCCAAGCGCTTACTTCCCAACAACGAAAAGGAGAACATATTGGACTTTGTTTTGAAGATGAAATATTTTGGGACCTACCCAGTAAAGAAGTGTATATCAAGTTGGTTTAAGCAAGTATGTTGTAAATGCAGTCGGTATATGTAAGCATAGACCTATGTTGATGTTAGTAGATGATCAAGAGTATATGTCCCACATCTCAATAAACATGCATGTCAAAACATGTATAACATATCAGCAGAGCCCCATTCACACGTGGGGACCTGACAACAGGCCATATATCACAGATGCAGGAACACAAAAGAAATATGCGATATATCAATCTTGGAGACCTGACACGTACCTTGATCTGTATACCCAGTATAAAGTCTGATATTGAAAGTCTTTGCGAATCAGGAGGTCAAGAAGAGCATGCAGTGAGAAGAACAAAAAGCACTTGCAGATTTCGCAGACACCGAGGGGATGGAGACTTTATGAACCCAACCGGCGCGCTTCTGCATCTCTCATTTGATATATTACAACACCGGTCATGCAGGCCCGTCGATCGGTGGGAATCGATTAGATTCACCTACGCCATCGGACAGATTTTATTTTTATTTTTATTTTAAATATTAAGTTGACTACTACCATCTGGATCAGAAGGGGAAAAGGGTGTAAAAGTGTGAGTGGATTGTGGGTGAAGGAGGGGTGGCGACGATAAACCCCCGAGGCTCTTTGTATTTCTCTTTTCGTATACATTGCATATAGATAATACATATGCAATAATATAATTAATACTAAAGTAAAATACCAAAGAAAATGAAGGATAATCACACACTTCACTTAAAATAAAATAACCAACTTGGACAAAGGGGGGAAGGGTGATACAGCCGGATCAAGTAAAACGGCTATCCCATGATATCCGTTGGGTTATTTGTCACCTGTTACTACAATCATGACTCACGGGTGTCTTGAACGGAGCAAGTAGGAATGTATCAGATGAGTCCTGAGGTTACAAGCATACCAAACCCATCTTCTAGCAAACGTTAATATATCTTTCAAGAGTGGAAGTCTGCAGGACATATTCAAGATCCCTGAATGAGACCATGTGGACATCCATGAGTGTTGATCTCCATCAAGTATGCAGAGTACTAGTACTTAGGACACCGGAGATGGTAGAGATCGACTAGCATGCGAAAATGATTGCGAGTCGCAAATATCATCCGGAGAACATAACATGCATAACCTTAATACCTTGGCAATACTAGAGACGAGATTGGACAAGATCCTAGTGTATATGTGAAAGAAAGATAGAAAATATTAAATATTAAATCTAAAAGAAAAGAAAAAAAAAAAAAAATACCAGAAGCCCACAGACCACATCCATAAGCACTTTCAGCTCTGCAAGAGGATCAGTGCGGTCTGTTCTTCATGTGGGATGTCGTGCAGAGGAGACTAGAGTGACGATCATATCTGTGATCGTCAACAGAGCTTGGACCTTCATATGGCTCGGCTCCCACTACGCACTTCTTGAGTTTCTGCTTTGGTTCTGTTCTGCGTAGGGGGCGGGGACTTCGGGGTTATTGATCTGGGTTACAGCGGCAAAGGAAATAATGTAAATAATGCTATAGTTCAATCCGGAACGCATTAGAATGTTCAAGTTGGTAAGTCCGAAATCCGAACTGACCCATTCGGTCATCCAAAGCAAAAATAGTAGAATTGTAGAATGTGGTGGAGAGAGATGATTGGAGGGGTTGGAATGTGTCTTAGGACCCCTCCACCAATAGTGAATCAAAGCCATACACCTGGATTTAGTATGATTCTGCTGAGCCACATCGCCAAAGCTTCCTCTTTCCTTTTGAGCCACTCCAGTTTAGGGGATTATATTCTATGACGGATGAGGGTTGATCCCCGAGATTCCTTGTGAGGGGAAATGGATCTCTCTCGCGTCCCGTCCCGTCAAGGTTTCGCAGGCCGAGTACATATCCATGGTTGACGCAAGGGAGAGAAGATTGAAGTTATATTCCAAGATCTTTCTTGATATTCGATACATTTGAGAGATTGAGACTATCTATGTCTTACTTGAAGCACCTGTGCATAGGACCGGACCCTGGTATGACGACATCGTACGTGGTTAAGGTCGTACTCCATTCCGGGGGGTTGACGGATAAACCAACTTGTGTGCATTGGACATTCTATAGAGTAACAATACAAAGCAAAGCAGATGCTAAAAAAAACTAAGAAAAAACAGGGAAAGAGGAAAAAAGCAAAAGCAAAAGTAAAATTTGGAGAAACAATGAGGCTAGTGCCAATGTTACCCATAGTGCAGTCTGGAGTGCATATCAGCACCCTTATAGTTATCGGATAATTCCCCTAGGTGATACAGAGTACACGGGTAGCTACATAAATACAGTCAACAGCCCAAAAGTTTATATAATGGGTATGCAACATCATGGAGTTCTTCCGATACGACTACCGGTAACTATAGCCATAACCATTGATAAATCCTTTTGCGGGGCTGTCCAATACAATAAATCTGCAGCCACTTTACTGTTACAGTAACGACCGATCGCCACAGGGTGTGCATCGGCCATGAAAGATCGACAGTGGGACGGCAACTAATGATTATTGAAAGTTGCAGAAAGAGAGGGAGGGGGGGGGGGCATTATCTATAGTGGTCATGAGTCCAGATCGAGTATAGTGAAGAATAAACTATTATTATATTGCACATAATATTATAGTAAATATGACAACTACACCTCAAGCATGCTAATTTTTGATTCAATAATAAAATGATCATCAGTTTTTCACCCCTATAAGAAAGTATAGTTCTGCATGTTCTCCAAGGGTTTTGACAAATTCTAGCGGGTATAGCGCAAAGGGAAGAAATATGCAAAATATATAGTTATGAATCTACAATGCTATAACATAATAATAACTGAGAATGAAAATACCAAATAATATCAGATAATAACAGGTAGTATAAATATAGTAATAAATATAGAAAATATAGTAAATAGAAAATAATATGTGAAGTTGCTTATAGGTTGTATACTTCTAAGATGATATTCGCGCTATACCAAATTAGGCACTAGCCCCCTTTCCCCAACTTCATTGCTGAACTGGGAACTGCCACTATACCACGATACCTCTCTACACGCCACCTAGACAACATTTCACGCTCTTGGTAAGTGACATGTATATCTTTCATTCCTTAGCCTATATTCTTAGGGGATAATCCTGGTTAATAACCCCACAGGGCTCGGACCGAGAGCTTTGTACTCCAATCCTGGAAACCATCATCTGACAGCTTTAGCACTTAGAGCAGATCGGGTTGGTCGCATCGATAGCTTCACGCCATCTCGTCATTTCTCTTGGCTCCCCTCGTTCTTTCAACCATCCTTTATCGATAGCGCAGCGCTTCCTTGTCCAATCAACGCTCGTCGACTCCCTACGCCGTTCCTTCTCGGATCGTCAACGTTCAACGCTTCCTACCTATCTTTTGCTTGGTCGATCTGTCTCGCCGCATTATTACACGGCTTACCCTCAATCACGACCCACCTGCGCGCCATACGACTTTCTAAGCCACCCCCGGTAGGCATCGACGACTGCGCAAAGATAGCTGCAGATCCCGTTGAGTTGACGCCTTATCACAGTGCAGTAGGCAGCACTGTTTTTTTTTGGGTCTAGGAGATTGCCCGCGAGATTTTCTATCAGCCTGTCATACTCAAAAACTTTCATCTTTTGATCTTGATCGCATATCTTTGAGTCGGAGAACTTTCCCTCAAAAGTGGCCCCCATTCCAAAGAGTCACGGCGTGCCCTAGCTCATCGGAAGCCGAATCCACATTCGACATAGTTGTCATCTGCCCCTCTGTCGGCTTGTCTAGGACCCCGCCTCTAGCCAATCCTTGAGGATCATCCACCACCCAGCGCGGATCATCTGCACTCCATCTCGCATAGTCCCCTGCAGACTGTTCTCTTCGTCGTTAACTTCCTAGAACACGGGCCTTCTCTGCAGACGCAGCAGTGCACGCCCCTCGACTCGTTTCATTTGGCATCTAAAACTTGACTAAAACTAGTCTCAAACATGGCGAATAACTCGTTCCGAGACTCTGTCAACTCATTAGGGTGGTCGCGTAGAGATCCGGATCTCCCCGTGCGCACCGGAGCGTCATCGAACGCAACATTCTTATCTCGTCTACAATCTTACAACCCGTTCGGTGAGAGCGGCTATGTTCAACTACCCACTCACAATGATGGCCCTGGAGCCCCATTACCGGCAGCCAGTCGACGAGAAGAAGAAGAGGGCTTTTTTGCTTGTAAGTTTTTCTTGTTCGTCGGGTGACCCTCCGGTCCCCGGATCGTCCCGTATACCGTTGCGTAAGATCCAGGTGATGGGACTGCAGTTCCTGCGCCGGCATTCACTACCACCATGCTTGTTTATGCGGTTGCGAGCCGATAGACGAGAGAAACACACTAACATAAACTCTACGTATAGTGAGTAGGTGGGACCGCATGCTCATCTTTGGCGCATGTAATTTGGGCGCCGCCATATGTTTCATGCTATGCTTCTTCTTGTTTCCTGTCTTGACACTCAAGCCCCGCAAATTCGCCATTTTGTAAGTTGCCTCCACGATGGTCCGCATTAATGTGGAATATCTTCCCCGGCTTTTTTCTCCTTCCCAGCTATCTCATGCACCTGGACCGAGCTGGGATAGACTAGGTCATCGGTCGATTTTGGTTAGGGCCATGTGCGCCTTTGTACTTTATGCTGCAACCTGATTTGTCCTGAACTCAACCTATATCTGCGCCTCATGCCAAGAATCTTCATCTCTGGTCTTGGATATTTCTTGCTAACAGGTTTTTTCTTTAACTAGATGGTCCGTCGGCTCAGTCCTGTTTCTGATATCATGGGCGGTTCTCATGGGACCATGGACTTACGCTAAGCATTTAACTTCGGGTTCACGGTTGCCATTCACAGCGGCCTATTTCGGATCGATCGCCCTCACGCTCTATTTCGCCATCGGCGTAAGTACCATCGCCTTCTTTATCTTTCTGTTTTTCGTTCCCGTTCCCGTTCCCGTTTTCGGATTTGGATTTTGTCTTTGGTCTTTGCGCTTTATTTCGTTGCACGCCGACGATCCCTCCCCTCCTCATGATGCTCCCTCTCCATTTCCTTGTTTGTCGCACACTCGCTCTGCCTCCCTCTGCCCGAGTCCGTATGGTCGCACTGCACAACCGGGAAAAGGGGAATCTTGCAGCCTTCACATCCATGGCGCAGCACAACCTGAAACCACGGCTCGTCATGTCTGCTGTTGGCCGCAGCCACTTTAACTCCTTTGAATTCATTCCCACCCTGTACTCAGCCAGTCTCTTTGCTTCTGCATCTTGCGTCTGTACCACGTCCCACGGCGCGGGACTTGGATGTTCTTGCCCTTCACCTTGTCCGACGCATCCTGGTGTCACAGAGCGCGGAGTCCAGAGCCATCGAGATCAATCTATGTCTCACCGTCCCTGACCACTCGGTCATCTTGTTCTACCTGCATATCACAACTACACACCATCCACTTGCCACATTTGGAATGACGTTCTCTCCCAGAAACTCTTGCTGACTGACTTCTCTTTTTTCGTGCCCTCTAGCTTCAGAATCTTCTTCTCACTCTCATCTCCTCAATCTTCCAGCTCGCTGCCCTCGTCTGGTACCTCGTCAGCTATTTCCCAATGGGCAGTACTGGTCTACAGTACGTGGGTCGTTTCGGAGCATCGCGTGTTACTGCCTGGATTAGTGGTTGATTTGTTCGCTTGCTCGCCTGCGCTTTGTTGGACCTTGTATAGATCGGACAGTGTGCTCTCATGGTTACGTGGATATGGATTTGTTTCTTCGTTGTGTATATCTAGCCAGAACTGCAGTGCTTGACTTCCATTTCTTTCCTCCAAATACTTATGTTGGCATATGGACTGAGTCTCTTGGTACTACAATACTAAATATTGATACTGAACAAAAAGGGACCTTGTAGAATGCCAGACAGTAGAGACGTAGCTATTTTCATGATGGGGTATAGAAATGGCTACACTACTAACTAGTCCAAGAGTGCATGAACATCACTGCTTCTAAGTATGAATAGTTGGGATCCATTCAATCCAAGTTAAAGCTAGCGCAAGAATAAGAATTGAGCATGCGCAGACATAAGATCGAATGTCATGCAAAAAGCACCATAGAATGCAATCCAGCAAAATCATACCCATACCCATAGCCACAAAAAAAAACAAAACACCAGAATCAACAACGACTCCATTCCATGTTTTCAATCATTCGCATCAAAAACACACCCCTCAGTATTTCCCCCGGGCCATAACCAACCCAACAATACCATCAACAACTTTCACGCCCTCAACCTCCGCCTCAAAAATGCCCGTATCCCCACCAGACCCAACCTCAAGCCACCGCTTCAGCAAATCGTTACTCTCCTTCGGCTTAACATCCTGCGATGCCGTGCCAACTGTGATATGCGGAATGGGATTCGCGCACGGCCACTCGGCCACACTAGTTGCCTGAGCACCCTCCGCCTCGACGCCTTCGGCAGGTAGGATGCGCGCGACGAATGCCATGATGCGGTTGTCCCAGACGAGACGCTCGATGCGCACGCGCGCGGAGCCTAGGGTCGGCGGGTGCTGGATTGGGTTTGAGACTGGGGTTTTAGTCTGGGTTTCGATGTAGCGGTTTGCTAGGTGGTCCCAGGTTTCTGGGTTGTCTTTCTTTGAGGCGCGGTGGATGAGCGTTACGTGGAATGTGGGTTGGAGACGGCGGAAGTTTAAGAGTTGATTGTAGAGACGAGCTGTCTCTGGGGGTGTCGTTGGTGTGAAGAGGGAGCGGAGAATTGTGGTTATTTCGGCTGTTGGGAGGGAGATGTTGAAGTATTCAATCTTTTTTGAGAGGGCTTCTGGGGAGAAGCGGGAGTCTGTAGGTTCGGGGAGCGGGCCAGTTTCTTGGGGTTTGGTTTTGTTCTTTTGCTTTGGTGAGGGGGCGTAACTGTAGCTGAGATCTTTTGTCACGCGGTACTCGTCGAGGGAAGCTGCGATAGCTTCATCGAGTTCTGCTGCCGTTGGCATGGTTGGCACTAGGCGAGGGTAGGCAGCGTGTAGGGCTTTGACAACAGTTTCGAGGTTCTCGCGAGACGAGGCACACACATCAAGGTCGATGATGTGGTCGAGGTTCATATCTGGCAAGCGGCTGGTGTCGATGCCTTCAAAGCGGCCGAGGAATCCCTCCATGATTCCGATGGTCTCATGCTGGTCGTTGGTGCCAGCCCGGATGGTTTGGTGGTTGTCACCACGCTCTAGCACACGTTTTCGAGTGACTTCTCGAATGGCGGGGAGCATGTCTGCCTTGGGCTCGTGGACGTAATGCAGAGCGACGAACTGTGCATCCGGCAGAACAGGGTAGATATCCTCCATGAGCTGCGTGCGTTCGCGCCGTTGATGGTTGTTGCGATCGGCGATGACAACACTGTGCTCTGCCAGAGCATGGCTGACCTCGAAAGCGAACTTCTTCGGCTTGCCCTTTTGTTTGGGGATGTTGTCGTTCTGGACATGTCCCCATCCAAACAGCTTAACTAGAGCCAAGGCAACTGTCGTCTTTCCACATCCTAGCGAGGCAATTGGCTCGAGGATGACATTTTTGCTGGTCTCCTGCGATTCGCTCAGCTTTTTAGCCTCCAGAGCGATAAGTTCAGATCCATTCAATCCTCGTTCCTTGAGGAACTCGTCTCGCAAAGCAATGATCCCGTGGTTATTCATGTAATCAGTTGCCATCTTAGGGTTCTTCATCAGAATCCGTCGGGCAAACTGCAAGTACTCTTCTGTGACCTTCTCATGCTTCCTGATCTTGGGGTGTTTTCCTCCGATAACGGCTTTGGTGCATTCACGCCACTGGCGGTACATCAAGTATGGCTCTTCGAACTTATACTTAAAGAACCAATTCCGGTAGGGCCCAGTTCCATTGTCGCTCAGCTGGCATCGGATGACGAAACCCTCGGTCTCACGTCCATCCCATGTTCCTGTCTCCGCGCATCCTTCTAAAAAGCTCTGCACTCTGAAGATATCATCAAAGACCTCGAACTTGGCCTTCTTGAAGCCCCAGTCGTCAGCGAATTTGTGCACCTGGTCACAAGACATTGTCTGAAAGTCGGGCTGGTTGTAGTTGAGACCGTGGAGATAAATTCCGGAGGAAGCTTCGTCGTAGGCCAGCACATGCTCCTCAAAAGTGTCGTCACAAAGTTCGCCAACTGCTGTGACATTCATCTCACGCAGAGTTCGGGCAAGCTCCTTGACAGATCGATTCACGGACGAGACGTGGCGTTCCGTCCAGCGTTCTCCTGCCTGCGCGTGGGTGAGTTTTGTATCATCGCGGGCTCCAGTCGAGTGTTTGCTGCAAACTAGCAATTTGTCGTCCTCCAAAGCAGAAATGAAGATAATGCATCCATTCTCCTTCACACTCAGCTCGTAGGGACCTCTCGTGTTTTTCTCGACGTTGCGCCATTCTGTGGCCCTTGTCTCGTTTACGTTGAAGAACTTGTCATATCCACGCGTCGCAATTTCGGGAATGTTGTCCCTCCGTGTGGTAGTAAAGAGACCTCGGGCATATGTTGGCAGACCGGCGTGCTTGTAGTCCCAGTCCATGAACTTCCATGAGTCCACGGTCACATTATTGGTACCTGCCACCGTAAACGTGCTCTTTTTGCAGGTGAACTTTGTCTCGCCCTTTTTAGCCTTGCGAGCAGTCTCCAGGCTTTTCACCAGTTGCGATATAGTGTGCGGATCTTGAGTCGCCATGTCTGTGTTGTGTATCTCAAGTGGGAGATCTGCGGGAGAGAACGGAGAGGAGGGGCAGAGGGGGAAAGAGAAGAGATGGGATATTTTCCTTGACCTCCTGCCTGAGGGAGTCTTGTCTTGGGGTATATGTAGAAAATTGAAGCAAATAAGAAAAAGAAACAAAAGCACCAAAGGATAAAAGCATAAAGGACCAAAAGACCGGAAGAGTCAGAGACCAAATGTGTCACAGTGCGGGGAGCCAAACGGGAAAGGGCGAATTTTCTTTTTTTCTGCTAAGTTGACCTACTTGAACACCGCAGAATTCCTTTTGACTCATCTGATTTTACGAGTTTCCCCCTATTTCAATAAATATTCTGACTCATAATGGCCCAAAATCCTTACCTCCTGGCTTGCGACAACCCAACGGCCCTTCTGGACCTTTTGCGATCCAACCCCTCGATCGCATCGAGCCAAGATGAGTCTGGCTACTCATTGCTGCACGCCGCAGCCTCCTACGGCCATACCGATCTCCTCCGCGCTCTAGTGAAAGAATTCAAAGTCGATGTCAACCTCCTCGACGAAGATAACGAGACATGTCTATTTGTGGTCGAAGACAGCGACATCGCACGCTGTTTAATCGAGGAGCTGGGTGTGGACGTCAATAAGAAGAACGCCGAAGACTTTACAGCTGTGGAAAAGTTCGAGGCCGAGAATGAGTTCCCACAAGTCGCTACCTATCTGCGCGAAGTTGTCGGTGGTGCTCCTGTTCCAACACACGCTCAAGCCGCTGAAGTTTTGAACTCTCCTGGACCCATCCCCGGCAGCGATATGAGGATCAATGTTGGTACAATGACGGAGGAGGAGGCTACTGCTGGTAGTGAGCCTGATCCAGAATTCAAGAGACGCATTGAGGAGCTTGCTGCCCGTGAGGATTATTACAGCGAGGAGGTACAGAATGAGGTGCGCGAGTTAGTCAAGGATGCCATGGCTGGTTCGAATATTGAAGCTATGGAGCGGGATATTCGGAGGAGAACCGAGTAAGCAGGAGCATTGCGACTGTTAATCTTATTCCACTCTCATATCCCACTCATGTCTGTACAAGAGACCATCGCGTTTGAAGATGCGAATCATTGGAAGAAATCCACCCAAGCATTTTCAGTCAGAGTCCCCAGGTCCCTGCTGATTGAATCGAGCGCGAACGGGTACTCTACAGTTTTCCTGGGATTCTTTTCTGTCTCACTTGAAGTTTTTGAGTCTTGCTGTTGAAGCTCGCTGTTAGAGTCCCTGTCGGGGGTTGTCCGAGTGGCTTAAAGGCCCGACAAGAAGCATTATACGATCTTGTAACTAGGATAATCACGAAATGTTACGATACATCCATTAAAGCAATATATCATAACTATTAACTATATATGTGGAGATCGTGCTGTCATCTCATGTTGATGCAACTGCGTAGATCACCGGTCTAGTCCCCGCCAAGCTCGAGCCCATCCCCGACGTACCAACCTTCCACCTACAACCCCCAACCCCATATCATGTCTCAACCACCGTCCCCATTCCCCCCTCAATCGCAGTTCTACTCATCCCAAATGAATCCCGGCAACCCCAACACACCTCCTCCGCCACCCCCCAAACCCAACAGCCATGAAGCCAGTCGGCGCGGCACCCCGCAAAACAGCTCCGCGCACGCCTGGCAGCCAGACAACCAGACAGGCGCGCATGGCGCATACCCCAATAATCCTCAACAGCCATATCTCCCCGATCCCCCAACAATTGAGGAGGGCTGGCTCCCAGAGCTAGTGTCTGACAAGTCGTGTGTCCCCCCAAACCCCCCCCCCAAAACGGATGACACCAGCACCTCTAACCCGCGCCCAGAACAACCGACCTCCAAGCAATCCTCAAAGACCCAGCTCTTATCTCCGCCTTCTCAACCAAGCACCCCTCCTACACAACCCGACAACAATACCTCGAGACCCTAATACACACAAATAAAGACCTCGCAACCCGCGTCCTAGAGATGCAGAACCACCTCACCGAACTCCGCGCCTCTACCGAAACAATGCTGATCACACATCAGTCGCTGGAGGTCTCGTGGCGCAAAAAGCAAGCCGAGATGGACGCTGCTCTAGCTCCATGGTCACCGAAGGCGCTATACCAGCGCTTCAGCGCGGCAATCACAGAGCAGGAGGCTGTCTGCCATGCTGTTGAGGAGAGTTTCCTCGATGAAGACCATCACGGCCGGGCGACGGAGAAGGAGATTGCAGATTGGGTGCGGCGTGTACGAGCCGAGGCATCTAAATTGGCGGCGAGGAAGGAGGCCAAGGCACGGTGGGATGAGGGACGTGTTGGAGGTTGGCGATGAGGTCTCAAAGCAACCTCGAAATAACAAATAGTCACTGCCTAACTGCCGTTTATGATGCCATGCTGCCTCCGATTCATGATCTGTTCATTATGCACTATACAATACAATATACACGGTACTTCCATAGCCATGCTTCATCCGAGTCGCGCTCAACCCCATCGCAGAAAATCCATCGGTCACTCACCCCTCAAGTCTAGCGGCCATACTATCGCTATTCTCTGGCTGAACATGTCCCTGTGCATGAACATGTGCATGTCCTTGTCCCTGCTCCCTAAACATCATCTCTCGCATCGCAGCCGCACCCTCAACATCAACATCCAAGCCTCTCTCACCAGCCCACCCATCGGTCCCCAACGAACTAGGAAACCCAACTCCCCGCATGAAGGCGCGTCTTCGACAGCGCGCACCCCAAGCCCAGCCTGCGCCACGGCGAATCGGGAGATGATACATGTTAAACCCAATGTAAGCGAAGAAGATGCCGATGGCCGCGCCGAAGAAAATATCAAAACCATGGTGTCTGTAATTGAACCAGCGTGACGCAGCAATAAAGCACGCTGTTGCAGTCGGCACGAACGCAATTAGCATTAAGTATACGGGCGGTGCTGCACCGCGTTTCCGTACAGATGTACTGTCCTCGCTGTGGCTCTGGTCTTCAATTGGGTAGACTGGGAGATAGGGGAATGCCACGGAAAATTTCGAGCACAGCCAGAGGGTTAGGTAGATGAGGCCTGCGAAGGAGACTGTGCGGTGTTATTGTTAGCTGGGTTTTGGATTCATGTGTATATACTGTCGCTGTGATTGTGCTTTAGATCACATCCGAAGATGAGATGCACATAAACAGGTTGTCGTATGATATGTATAATATAGACTTTGACTTACAAGAAGAATGCCCACTCGGAAAACTCGCAAAACCATCAACACGCAATGAATCACTCTTGTTGCGACAAATCTCCCATGAAACCAGCGTCGTGGCACCACGAACCGACTCCCCAAGCCCACCAATGGTGAACTCGGCAATACGCGCTATGTCTGGATTGCAGCGGGCCAGAAGGTCAGGTCGTGGTCTGCCGATAAGAACCTTCAGGCCTTGTGTTGCGGCCCAGGTACTTGCGAGGGCCAGCGCGAGCCCCATCCAGCCGGCGTTCCATTCCCAGAATTTGCGGCGGATGTATTGCGCTGCGGGGGGTTTGGGGGTGGGGTCAGAGGTGGAGGAGGTGGCTTTGGGTGGCACGAGTAGCCATGAGCCCAGGAAGACTAGAATGGCCGGGGCAAAGAGGGAGACTAGGTATAGGGTAGTTATTGTTACTGTTTCTTTGGTGTATGGGTAGCTGATTGCTTGGTCGCTTAGGCTGAAGGCATGGTGGTTTGGGGGTTGTTTGTAGAATCCGTAGCCGATTAGCGCGATGCCGCTGGTTGGAGTTGTTAATTGGGGTCTCGATGTGGTTTTGATATGATGGATGGAGCAGTCTGACGTACATGATAAATATCCAGTCGATTATGTAGGATAATAGCAGGAGCTTGGAGATGGTCGCGAGGCGCGTGACCGTCTCCTTGACGGGGATGGGCATGGTGTTGTATGCAAGCAAATATTTACGGGATTGAAACCGGGAGATAATAACAATACCGGGATGGACTCGATATGGACTCGGAATGTGAAAGCACGTGAGGTTCAAGAAAAGAATGTTGGATGAACTGGGGGGACGAGTAATTGTGGCGGAGTAAGAAGCTTAATTGAGGCCATGCACAATCTCCCCATTGAACACTTCAGCCGTATATAGAATGGTATACTGTTCTTTCAATTTTCGAACTGATGAACACTAAGAATAATACATATCTGTATAGGTACGAAGTAGTATTCGCGTCTGATTCCACTATCGACCCCACTTTTCTAATATATACTATACCCTTGTCCATGCAAACTACGGTTGTTCTCACTATTTATATCCGGCGCCCAATCAACGTGATAGTCCCAAGTCCCAATACTGATTTGCCCAAGGAGTTAAAACCTTGTATATACTTCACTTCAGCCTCTAAGCGACATAGAACGTCTCAATACTTTGTGATCCAGACGAAAATAGCTTCCTTTGATGATCTATGGAGATCTCTTTGAGACTCAAGTATAAATATCGCATCTTTCTCATATGCAATTTTTTTTTTAAAAAAAAAAAAAAGATCTTCAATCGAATCTTTGACTCAATATAGACCCATTTACAGTACAAAAGTATCGATAATTGTAGTTGATTCATCAATTTCCACTTAGTCAATCGAATCTAAGCCGATTTAAGCTCAGCGGGTGTCACTCTTGTGTAGGTCTCTACTCTGTACTCCGCATACAAAATGCTTATATATGTATATGCATGAGTCCGGCGGGCTCAACCTCGTTTCCATTAAGCGATGTTACACTCTGATCCAGGCTGCATAAGGGCGAAAAGAGTGCTTCGATTATGAATGGAATTAAATTATTTCTGTGTACTTCCATGGAGAATTAATCTGGTGTGTCCGGTTCATGGAAAACAAGTCTATATGAGTTCCCTGTCAACAACCATTGATTCTCTGACATAATTCTATTTGTAAAGGAAGGGCATTTCCGACGGGATAAGAATTGAAACTGGGCTGGATAGAAATGTAGTCCACGAACTAAAGTACAGTTTGCATAGAAGCGAACTGTGCTTCGCATAGAAAGCGATAAGCCTGCACGCCGTGCGTGGATAACCTCGATTAGCTAGGATGGATATCGTAACGGATAGTATGATTCTCGAAGGTAAGCATTCGGGAAGCTGATTTGCAAAGAAAAGTAAAATAACGCCTCGTAGATCCAGCCATCTACGTGTAACCCGACCCCTTCACGCAATTAACAAATTCAATAGTTTCGAGCCCGCAGCTGAATTCCACGGAGATAGCCAAAGAAACCACTAGAATCCAGTAATCATCCGGCCGCCCATCATAGCATCGTTCAGCTGTCTGTGAACCCGTTGAACTCCCTCAAACCGAATGAATCCACACGATTCACTCTCCAGGTGGTTGAACAGACTAGCCAGGGAGTGGAACTCCTTTGGACAGCCGCGCTTGAGGCAGTGATAGACCTTCTCCTTGTGCACGGGTGAGTTGACATGGGACTGCAGCGCTTTTCTCGAGTTGAACTCCTTTTTGCATATGTAACACACCCAAGAGTCACCATTCCATGCATTGCTAGTGACTGAGTAAGTCGAATTTTCTTCTCCATGCCATGCGATCTGCTTTTTGCAGACATAGCCATTTGGATCGTGATGTTGGATGATGCGGTGTATGGTGTCGCGGTTTAGCTGTTTAGCTTGCGGGCAGGATCCACTCTCGAGATGGTGAGAAACACCGCTAGCAGTGACAAAGCCAGTCCTACAGAACGGACAGGGAATGTTGGTACCACGATGGATCTTTGAGTTCAGATGCTATGAGATAGAGGGGTGAGTCGAACGGGTTCAAAGATTCTCTCAGGTCATGTCAGCTCGCCTACCTGGCGCAAACAGTTCTTGTTCATAAAGAAACGCTCGCATTCTTGGCAGTAGTTCTTGTAATGTCCCTTGGCTCTCATATGGTTTTCAACGGCGCTCTGCGTGTGGAATTTCATCGGGCATGTCTCGCATGGAATAGTCGGAAGCCAGTGGCCCTTCGCATTCATGTGGTTGTTGACGGCGTTTTGAGTACGGAAGGTGCTAGTACATGTTTCACATTCGAAGGTTGGCGCCCAGTGGTCTAAAGCGTTCATATGCTGATTGCAAGCGATCCTGGTGCGGAACAATCGATTGCATGTTTCACACTCAATCCAGTGGCCTTCATCATTCATGTGCTCATCGCAGTCCTCCTGATACCAGAATTCGTCGTCACAAGTGCTGCATTGGAACATGATGGAAGAGTGTGAAATATGTGGAAATCACACGAAATGAAGTTGAGAAAGAAGAGACCTCAGAAAGATTTGGGGAGATTGCAAACCCAGGGGCGGAGCCGATCTATCACATCCCGCGGAACCTGAGGGTGGGGCGGGGTGCGGGCTTATCACAGGCTTATCTGCCACACGTCGGTCCACCTGGGCAGGGTAATCCAGGTACATGTATGATGTCTGACTGGGAGATGATGGTCTAGTAGTAAAATGGCTATTTCCTATAACATGTCCAGGAAGAATGGAATTGATCATCAAGGTGTTTATGAAGCCATTCGTCCTGCTCTTTAGCAGAGCCACACCTTTCTGGTTCCCACCCGCTGCATCTTCCACATCAGACGGAGAAACTCCACTTTGTCTTGGCCCTCGAGAGTAGTTTCTCTCTCTCTTCAAGGGGAGCGTGTTTTTTTTTAAATAAATATACGGCGCAGAATTCGCATCATAAATGGTAAGTAGGTCTGAACATGAATATGTCTCATCATAATTTCTTCACTGATATTCCTTCGTAAAGAATTTGTTGGTGTCCTTTGCTAAGAAGGCTGGACGGCTGTCTTTGAACCATGGCAGATATTTATCTACTCGCTTTGATTTTATTGACACCTCCATACATGTGTACCTATACTATCGGATATAATGTTATGAGTAGAGATTTAATTACTTACACAACGATCCAGCCCAGAATCGGCGAACCCACCCATTAGCTCTACTGTGGCGGAGGAAGGCGGTGCGGGATAGGCTTTCCATTAAGGAAGCCCCCACCCGGGCTCCATCCTTCATCAATCCCACTACCATCATCATCATCTCTACAAATTGAATATCCTTGCCCTATGAGCCCTTTGAATATTAATTTCCAACACACCTAGTAGTATCTACGGACACAGTGATAAATTACATGGTTACAAGTTACATAAGAAGTGCCGCGACGGGACCCGAAAACAATTGGGAAGCATGTAGACAGCTTTAATTTGCTCGACAAAGGAACTATACATAAACATCGAGAGTGGTTTCACCACCTTGTCAAAATAAATGGACGATCAACCGTTTTTACAGTAATGCTGTTTAGCCAGATTGCCTAGCATATTCTAGTAGATAATCTCGTTGGTGTCTCTTTTCTTTCTGCCAGCACCACGCGTATATGATAGCTCATATACGAATCTTGGAAGGTCTCAGGAATTATCAATACACAATCAAGCTTTAACCCATATGCCAACGTGTTCAAGGTCATCAAAGTAATCAAAGTGTACAATTGAGCTGTTGACGGGTTATTGATTTTCCTGTGCCTTTCAGAGATACATCTTCATACAGATCATATTGAGATTAAAATACGATATCATGGTTTTGTTACTGTATGATTGACACTCGAGCGCAATCTTCTCTCCCTTTTTATTGTGCTCTTTCTCTCCATTTATCCTCAATCACAACGAAGAACTTGCTGAAGATCGCAACTATGAACCACCCGATTCATATCATAGATCCAGATGGCGAAGTGATAATCGTATTGCAGAATGCAAACTCCCCATTTGCTCATACGGCCGAGCATATGATCCCTGAAAAACTCTCTCATGGCCTTAAACAGGCTGCTCCTGGAGATGCTGTCCCCAAAGGCACTGTTCCCGAAGGCACTGTTCCCGAAGGCACTGTTCCCGAAGGCACTATTCCCGAAGACGCCGCTTTCGAACACACTGCTGTGGAAAACCAAATGTCTGAACCAATGGATAGAAGAGAATTCCTCATCCAGGTCTCTGCAAAGCATATGATGTTTGCCTCATCGGTTTTCAAGAAAACTCTCACCGGCAGTTGGAAGGAAAGTGAACTTTATCTGAAGAAAGGCTCAGTTGAGGTTACGGCAGACGGCTGGGATTCCGAAGCGCTCTTGATTATTCTTCGTGCGATACACTGTCAATACAACCAAATACCAAAAAAGGTGACTCTAGAGATGCTCGCTAAGATTTCAGTGATAGCCGACTACTACGATTGCAAAGATGTTCTATACATAATGACAGATATATGGATCGGTTCTCTGGATGAAAAAGTTACAACATGTTCACGAGACCTAATGCTCTGGTTATGGGTTTCTTGGTTTTTTAAGCGCCCTACACGGTTCAAAGAAGTAACATCAACTGTTATGTCATTGGCTGACGGTCTGATTGATGTTCGGGGCCTTCCGTTCCCCGATAGAGTCATCGGTAAGAGACAATGCAAAAAGGTGGCACGAAAAGTGGATGGTTCCTAATCTAATTGCAGGGTCAATGGACAAATCTCGACAAGAGGCTATCGAGAACGTGATACTCCTTCTTTATGAGACACGTGAGGCCTTTTTAAGCGGAAATCGAGGTTGTGAGTTTGAATGCAAATCAATCATGTATGGGGCTCTTACTATGCAGATTCGGTCAAGGCCTCTTCTTTCACCGAGGCCTGCACCTCCTTTTCTGGGTATTAGCCACGAAAATCTCATACAGGCTGTATCATCATTCAGATCGCCATATTGGTATAAACCATCCTTCACATCCTCGAAGCGTGGTCAAGCTTATGGCCATGAGTTCGGTCAAGCTTATGACCATGAGTTCGGTCAAGCTTATGACCATGAGTTCGGTCAAGCTTATGACCATGAGTTCGGTCAAGCTTATGACCATGAGTTCGGTCAAGCTTATGACCATGAGTTCGGTCAAGCTTATGGCCATGAGCTCGGTCAAGCTTATGCCCATGAGTGTTCTGACTCAAAATTCGCTCCGCTGTTCGCGAGTTTGAACTGTTCCATCGAGGGACTGGAACTAGAAAAATTCTCTAATTCCTAATTGGAATTTCCAAGGTTTTTCAGTCAAGGAGGGCATACTATACCACAAACTTCCTTTTTCTTTTCTTTTCTTTTCTTTTCTCTCTCTTCGATTGCCTCTCACCGGCACAAATTGGAGAGACGCAGATGTTCCAAGTAGCCATAGGTCTCTATAGCTATTTCATATTGTTTCTTTGCTACATTTAGTTGTATCGACCATTTGAGAAGCGATTAGTGACGAGCTTTGAATAATAGAGGTCACAATGCGTAACTCGGAAAGGTGAAACCTTTCAGGTATAGAGCTCCGGTTACTATCAATGGCCGGGATGAGACTTAGAGCAATGATTAAGATTGTATCTGGGTTTCCACTTCATGCGGTCTCACATTTGTGGTTAAGTTGTCCTCATATTGTTCCGAAACTATTGAAACCAGAAAAAAGGCCTTGATTAGTACCAATGTAATATGCGCGATATATTTCAAAAAGATGTGATAAAACCATATCTATGTAGTGGAAGGTCTTGGCTTTCCTCTTCCGTTTTAGTGATCAGCGAGGCTTTTTGCTCTCTTAGTAGATTTGAGCTCGCACTGATTAGGGTCTGTACTCCGCGAAGAAACAGCTTAACGGCAGGATTCGGGCTCTCGTTTATTTTCTGCAAGGAGAACTAGTTTTTATACCAGTTGATTGGAGATGCCAACAGCGAATGGTATCAATATCTAAGCAGTAAATCTAAATCCAACCACAAAACCAAAGCAGTCGACGGATAATGGATATAGTAGTTGCAACCTTGGAATATACCCGCGTGGAGTAACTTAAGAAAAAGGTCCACTCTGTACTGAGTATAGGTACATAGTGACTAGACACAAGTAATTACTCCCCCTGGCCCTAGTTCACCGTTATACTGCCTTCCTAAAACGCGTATCCATAAATACACCCTGAAATAGTACACGAAGCTACTTTTTTCTCAAAGGCTGTATTCTTTTTCCTCCTAGACTCCATGCCATATTAGTCAAAGGTTATACATAGAGAAGTCATTTTCACAATTCAGCCTTCCACCATCCTTTTCTGCCGTTAAGTTGTAAAACTGAGAAGTGGAAGAAAGTATCTAAAGGAAAAGACATCGAGAAAGAACATCAAAACGCCTGCCAAAAAAGACATCACACGGCCGTCTATGTGACCGAATATTCGTGGGGAGATGACATATATAGTTAGCTGGATGTAAAGGCATGCAGCAAAATCAGCAGGTTTTGCACAAGCAATTCTCATTCGTCGCCGATGAGACCACGAGCATAAGGCTTGTGATTGGCATAGCACTGAATTTCCTGTTCCTCAGGAAGAGTGCCATGTAGAATATAAGCTTTAGCAATTCGATCCGTGCAGTCTGACCTGTCACGTCTAGAGCTATGCCCATAAGCATGGTGAACAATCAACCGGGCGTTCTGTCCCATCTCTGCTAGAAGTCTCCTTCCATTGCGCAACGGGGTTGCGGGGTCATATGGAGAAGCGATAAGCAAAGCAGGGGTTTTGAGAGTGTGGTTGAGATTGCCACGGTACACCTCCGAAGGACGGTCCCAATAGGTATTGTAATATCGACAAGGAAAAACAGCGAAGAAGCGAGAATTGCCTGCCATCCAGCTCCGGTCAGACATGGTCTCCCACAACTGATCCCACCAGTCAAGCCCATCTGGAAGGGGCGCATCGTACGAATCTGAACAGATCACGAAAAAATCCAGTTCACTGGAAGATGGAACGTAGGGGTATAATGGCTTTTCGGAATGGTCGCTCCACGAGAGATCTAGGGAGTTGGCAGCAAGAGTGGCATTCCCTGCCTCGAGCTCATAGAGCATTTGTGCCGTCTCTGGCCAATCCATTGGCCTATACATAGCCCGATATAGAACCCTCTCCACGAGTGCTGAGTAAGTGACCAGGGAAGGACCGCCTGATTCAGTGTACGCGGATCGAGGGCGCACTTTGAGTGACTCAAGTAGCTGTGTCATACGCGCTTCAAGCTGTGCGAGGGTGACGGGTCCGTCCTGGCTAGGAACAGGATTTGCCAATGCGCACCCCTTTGGACCGGCGATGATACACTCTCCCAAGAAGCCGTCGCGCCATGCATCTGTCGCATTGTCGAGAGCAGTCCAGCCAAAGCCGCCCAAAAGGCGATGATCCTTGACATATTCCGTACCATCGAGGATCAAACGACCCGCTCGGTTAGGAAACATGTTGACATACGTCTGACCAATCCCCGTACCATAGCTAACCAAATATCCCGTGACTACTTCTTCACGGAGTGCTTTTCGGATCTCATCTAGGTCGCGTGCCACTGACGCCGTGCTGACGAAGCGACCAAAATCCCCCAACCGCTGCTGGCACGCAAAGACTGTAGCATTGTTCATGGCATCCGTAGCCTCTAGTTGGGCCTTTGGAGCTTCCTCGCGATAGTGATTTGCCAGGAGTGACCATCTGTCCCGGAGCTTGTCTTGAGGGAAACATGCCGCGGCAGGGAGGGAAAAGTTCACACCACGAGGGTCCCACCCTAGTACATCGAGTTGTCCGTCACTTAAGCGGTTAGTCGTCTCTTCAGCAGCATCCCAAAGGAAAAATGTCCCGCTTCCTCCCGGGCCTCCTGGGTTTATGATGATAGTGCGCTCACTCTTGTGGCTCATGGGTGACATGCTGGAATCGTTCCGATAAGCCAAACCAGCGACCTGGAACTTGGTAACTGCAATGCGGACAATACGATGGTCTGAGGTGTTGTGATAATTGAGTGGGAGATCCAAGTATCCACACAGGTAGATGCCCTGACCCGTGCTCCCCCAGCTCCAATGGTCGGGATTGGGGTCGAACAGGGCAGCCCATGATTGTCCTGGAGTCGGGTCATCCAGAGGCGGCGGACGACTGGTATCAGTGCAAGGGAGAAAGTGGAATGGGTCATTCTCTTGTGGGAATGATCCATAGGGCAAGTCTTGAACTTGAGGTTCGTCCCGCGAGACCCAGCCCCCTGTTAGGATGGGGAATTTACCGAGTCCGACCAGGCCCACTATCCCTGCTGCTGTTGCTATCGAGACAATGCTTCTTCTCCAGGACCATGTTCGAGGCTGAGGTGTAGAAACGTGTTTTATTTTTTCCATCACTAATTTCCTAGGGGACTAAGGTGGATGTCGCTGTCTAAAGGTTCAGCCGTGTGATTTTGAGGTTGCAGTTGACGGAATCACGCCATTGTGTTCATTGGGCCGATTAGAGTGTTTACAGGGGTTGTTATAGGCTAACTCGTCGCTACAGGCACTAGCGTAAATACATATTGAGAGAGACTTTTCTCACTGTTTAGGCTACCATAATGCCGTTCTAACTACTCCGTACTCCGTACATAATATTGCAAATATAGCCTTGAGGTTGTAAGCAGTGGACCTGTGAATTGCTTTATGTGGTACAGTCCCTCCGCAAAAGTCTCCGTACGGTCGGATATCGACACCAGTGTTTTCGCGAATACCTAAGTATTTTTCCGAGCATAGGGCGCGGAGTTGAGGCTGTAATTGAGGCAAATGAATGGTACACTAAGTATTAAAAATAATCTGAATCCTATAGCTAATTGGCTACCTGAATTATAATTTTTTATATTTTTATCTTCAAAATTGGGGGAGTAAAAATTGAATTAAATACATATGTATGTAGGTTATACTTGGTGAAATCAAGAGTGTGTAATATATATTTGATAGGGCCCCGACCGTACGGAACCTTTTGCGGTAGAACTGTATTTTGAATTACTATCGAAGCTAGCGGACTAGAGCGTCTGGGAGTGATATAAAAGTAAAACCAGGGGCTATAACTCACCTAATCCTAATGGGGATCCCGAATTTGTCGTGGATCAGGGGGTGTCCAATCTTAATCTCCTGTGGATTGACAAGCTTTATAATCTTAATCTCCTCCTGGGGTATGATAGGACTAAATAAGTTATGATGTGCCATGAGTCATTATGAGTGGCCAGTGACAGCTGTCTGTGATTGGCCACGCAAGTATAGCAGAAGGGATGAAACAATACTTCAAAATGTTCAGCATCCTCTTATAGCAAGCTTCTGGCGCACAAGCAATCGTGTTAACAGTTCATAAGCCCGTATTTTCGAGGGCTAGACCATCAAAATGTCAGATCGAGGCGTCCCCCCTGTGGTGCCCGGTCTGCAGTTAAACGAAGACGAGAAAGGGATACTTAAGCGCCAAATACACACGCCAAAGTCGCAGATGAGTCGCCTGTGGCTTTTGTATACATGTGCAACGACCTATGAGCTATTTATCTTGGCTATAAGCTCAATTGCAGCGATAGTTGGAGGGGCCCTTCAACCCGTATCTTTTGTGAGCTGTTTTCCATAGCCATTTAATCTCCTAAGCTAATTTCCGCTATGCAGCTCTTTTTAGGTGGCTTGGCCCAGGCATTTAAAGAATTCTTCCTGGGAACATCTTCGGGCTCTCATCTTTCATCCCTGGTCGCAAGATTCGCTCTTTATTATGTATACATCGCTATTGGACAGTTTGTTTCGGTTTACATCTCTACGGCCGGATTCATGATAGGAGGGGAAAACATAACCCAACGACTCCGAGAGAAATACCTCGCCGCTATCCTCCGCCAAAATATAGCATTCTTCGATGTCCTAGGAGCTGGAGAAATAACAACTAGAATCACTGCTGATATGAATCTGATCCAAGATTCCTTGACGGGCAAACTTTCTCTGACTCTATACTCCTGTGCCAATTTTGGGGCGGCTTTTATCATCAGCTTTGCGAAAAGCTGGCGCATGGCTCTGATTCTGATATCCGCAATTGTGGCAGAAACTGGATCTATGAGTATATGCTCTTCTTTTATGGTGAAGTATACCAACATGTCTTTATTAGCATATGCAGACGGATCGACAGCCGCTGAGGAGGCCATCAGTTCAATCAGACATGTTACTGCATTTGGGATCCAAGACAAGCTGGCCGATCGGTATCAGAAGTTCCTCACCAAGGCAGAGAGGTATGGTCTTCAAAGTCGCATTGCTCTTGCAACTATGATGGCTATCATGAACGGTGTCATATTCTGGACTTACGGGTTGACGTTTTGGCAAGGGTCTCGTTATCTTGTTGTTGACGAGATTGAATTGGGTGCTCTTGTCACCATTCTCCTTGCTACGCTGACCGGAGCGTTCACGTTTGGTAACATAGCACCCAATTTCCAAGCATTTGCAACGGGTATTGCAGCTACGGGAAAGATTCTTGCAACTGTGTCGAGGAAGTCGCCGCTAGATCCATCATCATCCAGAGGAAACAAGCTACAACCTGTGTCTGGGACAATAGAGCTGAAGAACATTTGCTTTGTTTACCCTTCTAGGCCTGATGTACTGACTTTGGATGGGATAAATCTTTTATTTACAGCTGGAAAGACGACCGCTATAGTTGGTGCTTCTGGCTGTGGAAAAAGTACATTGGCAGGCCTGATTGAAAGGTTTTATGAACCAATAAGCGGCGAAATATGTTAGCCTTCTTTTTCTGTGAAAGAGGAAACATTGCTAATAGCATATTTAGTGCTCGATGGGCATGACATCACATCTCTAAACTTGCAATGGCTACGCCAACAAGTAGCGATCGTCACCCAACAACCCACACTATTTGCCACAACTATATTCGAAAACATCAGGTTTGGTCTAATAGGTACTGAACACGAAAACTCTCCTTATAGTGTGATAGAAAATCTTGTGTTCGATGCTGCAAAGAAAGCGAACTGTTCTGAATTCATTTCCGCCTTGCCAGACGGATTCCAGACCAGTGTTGGTGAAAGGGGCTCATTACTTTCAGGTGGACAAAAACAGCGAGTTGCCATTGCAAGGGCTATTATTAGCGATCCGAAGGTCTTGTTGCTGGATGAGGCTACTTCGGCTCTAGATGCCCAGGCCGAGCGGCTGGTACAGGCAGCGCTTGATGTTGCTGCTAAAGGTCGGACAACGATCACAATCAGTCACCGGTATGTGTTCAATTAGACTTAGAGAAACAAACTAATTACTATTTAGACTATCCACTATCACAGCAGCAGAAAATATTGTTGTCATGTCTCACGGGCGTGTTGTTGAGCAAGGCACCCACAACGACCTACTTGAGAAACGATCAGTGTATTACGAGTTAGTAGAGAAGCAGCGCATGTCAACCGAAAGGAGTATTGTCATCAGTGAAGCAAAGTCTGCTCTCGACAGTCCTGAGCTTACCGACTTGAAAGATGAGGACATGGATTCCAAGAAGTACACATACGAGATGGGACAGCACCGGGGAGCCCCAGACTGCGAAAAAGATTTCGAACGGGAGCCTGACCGTGAATACTCCGAATACTCCTTATGGGCGTTAATCAAGTTCATCGCCAGCTTCAACAAGGAGGAAACCCTCACCATGATTTGGGGCCTGTTTTTTTCAATCGTCACAGGCGCTGGAAATCCCACGTAAAATATCTATATTCCCATGCAGATGTGCAGAATATTGATGCTGACTGACCATTTACCTAGACAAGCCGTGTTCTACGGCAAGGCAATCGCGGCAATGTCGTTACCCCCTGATATGTATGGAAAGTTAAGTCACGATGTCAACTTCTGGAGTTTGATGTATTTGATGCTGGGATTTACTGCGTTCCTGGGCTGGGGAGCATCAGGTCTATGTTTCGCTTACTGTTCTGAGCGCTTGATTCATCGTGCTCGGGATCGGTCTTTCCGAGCAATGCTTCATCAGGATATTTTCATGTTCGACAAAGCTGAATTCTCCTCCGGGTCGCTTACATCTTCGCTATCCACGGATGCCACTAATCTCGCGGGAATGAGTGGTGTGACACTAGGCTCTATCTTCATTGTCTCAACGACTTTAGTTGCTGGCGTGGCTGTATCAATTGCGATAGGCTGGAAGCTGGGACTCGTTTGTACCGCAACTATTCCAATTGTTCTTACTTGTGGTCTTGTCCGACTCAAGATCCTCGGGGAAATAGCTCGACAGTCGAAGGCGGCTTATGCAGCTTCAGCGACTTATGCGTGTGAGGCAAGTTCTGCTATCAAGACGGTTGCATCTTTAAATCTCGAAAGCCATGTACAGCGAGAGTATCACAACATATTGGAATCACAGCGGCAAAAGTCGGTTGTTTCAACGCTGAAGTCATCGACATTTTATGCAGCCTCACAGTCGGCCAACTTTCTCTGTATAGCGCTGGCTTTCTGGTATGGGGGAAGTTTAATTATCCACGAAGGCTATTCTATGGTGCAGTTCTTCATCGCATATGCAGCTGTTATCTCTGGCGCATTCAGCGCCGGGGCTATCTTCTCTTTTGCGCCAGATATGAGCAAATCCCGCCAGGCGGCCCAAGATATCAAAACGCTGTTGGACCGGCCTGTCAACATCGACGCCCGTCAAGAAACTGGCGAGTCGTTAACGAAAATGGATGGCAGCTTGGAACTGCGAAATATATATTTCCGATACCCTAACAGACCGGAGAGGGCGATTGTGAATGGCCTAAGCTTGAGGATTCAACCGGGACAATACATAGGACTTGTAGGAGCGAGTGGATGTGGGAAGAGTACCATTATTGCTTTGTTGGAGCGGTTTTTTGATCCCGAAGCGGGAGAGATATTGGTCGATGGGAAAGACATTTCCAAGTTGAATGTCAAGAGCTACAGGAGTCACCTTGCTCTGGTTAGTCAAGAGCCAACACTGTATGAAGGAAGCATCAAGGAGAACATTACCCTGGGAGCCAATGACGAGGACGTCTCTGAGGAGAAAATTATCAAAGCATGCCAGGATGCCAATATCTATGAGTTCATCCAATCTCTACCGTGAGCCGTCTCTTTCCGTCGCACCGCTTTCTGGATTCTTCTTTCCGCATTTCTTGATTGCACTGAGACATACATCTACTAATACCCAGCCCAGTGATGGCTTCTCGACGGTCATAGGAGCGAGGGGTGGCATGCTCTCTGGTGGCCAGCAACAACGAATAGCCATTGCCCGAGCACTTCTTCGTGATCCACGTATCCTCCTCCTAGACGAGGCAACTTCTGCGCTTGATTCGGAGTCGGAAAAGGTCGTCCAGGATGCTCTGAATGCGGCTGCTCAAGGCCGAACGACGGTGGCCGTTGCCCATCGGATAAGTACGGTGCAGAAGGCCGATCGTATTTATGGTAACACACCAATATTTCATTTGAAAATATGGAGACTAACTTTAGCTTGCAGTGTTGCATGACGGCAATATCATGGAACAGGGAACGCACCGAGAGTTGATGGACCTTGAGGGCAGGTACTTTGAGCTGGTGAAATTGCAAAGCTTGGAGCGATCGGACTAGAAAAGATAGACGGCGATGAGAGAACGGAGCGCTAGTAATTCTCTTGGTACATCTAGATCGATGTTCTCGGCGTGCAAAACAGATCCCTGGTATGCATATTTTAATCCTTCCATCTTGTCAAAATAGAATCGCGACTTTGATCGACCTCGTCCTTCCCGAAAACCTCAAACCTTTTCAGATACCAATCCTGACCTTTCCACCCCTTTCCCTCACTACCAACCAAAACTGCGTCAGTCTCCGGTCGCATGAGGTAGACGACGGTATACCTGGTACAGTTGAGGGCATCCTGGTCTTAGGGCTGAGGTATAGGTTTCCAAAGACATTTCGCGGTGTATGGAGCAGAGCGATTGGTGGTTGGATAAAGTTGGAGATTCTGCCATAGCAATCTGTCCCATGCTTGTCACTGATGTTATCATCGGATGATTTGAGACTCAAGGGACGGGTTGTTCAAGAAATCCTCTTAACCACGGCCGGAAGGTGGTTTGATCGCCGATCGGAAAACGTAAGACAAACTGGAAACAGGAGACGAATCAGACTATAAGCACACTTCCAGTCTTTCTTGATCTGATTGTATCCTGTACACACCTTGTTGGGATCGAACCTTCATATTCTCCTCCGCAATCCCCAGCTCAACCCCAAGTGTATCCTGTCGACTGACAGCCTACAGGTTGCTACCAACCTGATCTCGGATCATAGCCCGGAGTTAGGTGCACAATCCACCTGACAACGGTAGCAATTGGGCGGGATTGTTCCCTGTCATTCCACACTGGATGCAGAAATGTGTGTAGCAACCACGAATTCTGTGTAGGGTAGTGCTGGTGACCCAGAGGGCCCAGATGCTGGGAACCCATTCGAGCCTCGTATGAACTTCACAATTGACGATCCAGCTGGTGTTCCATGTTTTGTAGTAGTCAGACCAGCTCTCCCTTGTAGTTGTATCTCTCCGCAATGGCGTTAATAGTCGAGGAGGCCGATCTGCAAATCGAACCTTTAGTAGTTGTATTGCATAAAGGAAAATTGAGGAATAGAAAGCTCCACTCACTTAATATAGAGCCCCCAAGAGAGCTGTAACATTCTTCCTTGGCTGGCTGGTGGGGCCAGAGAAACTGTGGTCAGTAAAATAGGCATTGATAAAGCCATGTTGGGTCTCTGTGGTCGAGCTGTCGGATCCAGCCGGGCTTGAAGGAGACAATGTCTCCACCTGCGGGCCATGTGGAGTTGAAGACGACGTGGGCCACGTTAGACCTCAGGAAGGATAAAGCATAGTGTCAGGAACAAAGAAATCATCATAGTTGATCCAGAGCACGAACATTGCACGGCTATCTCCGCGGACATGGTACAACATCGTACGCCACCATTGTGACTGTGAGTGCTGTCAGTCCCCTGACCAATGCAAGAGATTTGATCTGGAAGCCTGGGAATGCAACATTTTGACATAGGTCTGTGTATTCTATTATCTACATATGCAGGCAAGTGGAATATCTAGGATAAAAGCACAACTAGAGACGGCTGCTGCACTGTGGCTTTAGACTTTAGATGCAAGGCTTGCATCATATCCAAACATCAAATTTGAAGATAAAAAGGATGGAGACAATCTAGACAGATGAACTTTATTTCCAGCTACAAGGCTCGCACCCTTTTATCCAAGGAGAATTGTCAACATGGAGCGGATAGGCACAGCTACACTGAGTACACAGCACACAAGGAGCGAACTTGGTAGTCAGACGCGTCAATGAATCAAATGTAAATAATGTAAATACTTCCGCAACCATGCAAGCGAACTGTTGATGAATAAAACTGCTCAAATCCCGTTTGCGTGCTCCAATTAACTATCTCAATATATGAACCATTGTCACAGTGGAACTAGACCCATCAAGAAATGCAGGAAACCTAAGTGTTCCATTTTACATGTCTTCTCCAAGCGCCCGGACAAGCCGAACAATTGATGAAAAGGTGTTTCGCATCAATCGGGGGTAGTGTGAGCCCAATGACACAGTGAGACTTAAATCAGATTCAAGCCGCGAGTTCAAAAAATTTATCCTAATGTACGGGCGTGTTCCAAATATTGCTAGTTGAAAACGACCTGGGAGAAGAAGACAGAAGAAGAAGAAGAAAGGTGGGTCTGCGGGAAGTGGGGCCGCTTTATAGTTCAATGATCGGCGTCGGAATAACTATATTCCGAGCCTAGGGGAGAAAGCCGGTGGTCGAAGTACCGTTACAAAGGGCTTCACTGGGGAAATGCGGCCGATCAAAGTATCGGAACCTCGTAAAGTATGTACCCTTCAGCTGGCCAATGAGCGTTGCAGGATTCAACTGAATAGGTACCACGTGGCCCCAGGTCCAGCCAATCAGCGTCCGTTAGCCCTAAGTCACGAATCCTCAACTGAGAATACCGTAGGTACCTAGGTAGGTACTCCGTACGGACTACATACAAGGTTCATACATATGTACGCCCTGATCATCAACCCCCTGACAAGAAAGTGCCTGACGCACAAACATACACATTTCCTCAGTCTGTCAGAGATGAGAATACTCTGGCCACGTGGGGGATTGGATTACGGTGGGTTGGATGGCGGTGTCCAACGGATGGTTGCATTTTTTACTGATATCTTCTGGCTGACAGTATCGCAATGAGCTTCTCCTATTAGGCACATTAATAAATGCTGAATCTGGCCGAAATTACAGAATAGAGGAGGTTCTGACTGACCTCAGCAATCCTCTACTGTGCGTTTACCGTGCACAGTAGTATCGGTTTAAGCCACTCCAATGTCGAAATTGACGGCTAAAACGACCAAGGGTACAGGCGGAAAAAAGGGCATATTCTCAAGAACGTGATTCCAGGGGAGTTTGGTTATCAGTCCGACTTGCAGAAGCAACTAGCAAATGCGCGAGGGGTAGTTGACACAGTCAGAGACTTTGACTTTTTTATCTACCCGTTCCTTACCGGAGACTTACTGCGTCTGTGCTAAAGTCTGCCATCTTGGTATCAGAGGATTCATATACTCCGGTACGCATTACATGGCCTCGCCGGCATGCACGATCGAGAAGTTCTCCGCAGTGGAGGGTCTCGCCACACCTAAAGACCGTTCTCAGCGTACTAACCTTTTCACAGATATCAAAGTGGACAGTATTCTCTTTGACTGTGACGAAACACCTGACGATCAAGTTGTCATCAAGAATGTCCAAATCTCAGACCTGGAGGATGTTGTTGTTGTACCATCTCGGAAATGGCCCAGATGCCCTTTGTGTGGGAATGCAATCTAGAGGAGCCCTGAAAGCTGGTGCTAGTATTGCTAGAATCAGGCTTCAGATGTGTTCTTTTTTTTTGGCACTGTGGGTTGCCCGTCACATCCCCGACTGCTTCAACCCACTGGATGCTGATACTCTCGTCAATATGATCTACATTATGCTCAATCGGATGGTATTTCGCGTTACTGATCGTTCTCACTGAGCATATATCCTATTTTGCTGATGAACCGGGCTTCACTGGATTACTGAACCACATAGGAGAGGATAACCCCTTCCAGGAGCGCTTGGTAACCCTTGCCAGCAGCTTCAACTCTGCAAACCATAGACAACCTTTCAAAGGTTGGAATCATGTGGAGCGAGATCTCAGCGACCTAGTGATCAAGATGACGAACTTGGACCCAACAAAGAGGATGGCTGCAAGGCAAGCACCCGAGCACCGCTGGCTCAGGCGAGATGAGTCAGAACTCTAGCACAATAGGAGTTCAATCAAACACTTCTTTATGATATTTTGGAGGGTTCATGCCAAATAATCGTTTTCTTGGGTCGACAGTTCAGGCATTCTAGGGTAGTGGATACGTAACAATCATTCCCATATTGGGTTATCCATCTAGTTTAATTTGTTTATTTTAGCGCTGAAGCTGTCGCATGATTCAGAAAAATGGATTTGCTATGTAGTTCTAACTATATTCTTCTCCACATATTCAAAATTACTCAATCACCACTCACAATCCCTCAATGACACCCGGAAGGTCCTCCATATTCTCCAAAAATGCATCAAACTCAGTTTTGACCACCTCCATATCCTCATCAATATCATCAGTCCACCTGTGAACGTACACAGTCCGTAATCCACACTTCTGCGCACCGCGCAGATCGTACGCATGCGCCGCAACCAGAACCACCTCCTCAGGCCGAAGTTTCACAAGCTCTAACCCCTTCTCATATGCCTCGGGACGAGGCTTGTAAGCACCCAGCAGCTGACTAGAAAACAGCATGTTGAACTCCAACCCCGAAGACCGAGCCAGGTCCAACTGCAGCCGTGTCGTACCATTCGCGTGGACGAAGACTTCCAGAGCAAGATCTTGTCGAAGACTCTTGATTGCGTCAGAGACTTCGGGCCATGCTTTCTGCGAGTGCCATGCTTCGATGATGGTATTCTTGGTCTCGACATCGAAGAGTTGTTTGTGGTCGGGTGACTGGTGAAGGAGAGTTTCCAGAGTGCGGGCAAGGGTGATGTCGATATCTTCCGGGTGGAGGTTTTTGCCAACGCGTCTGCTGGTCTCCAAGAAATATTGCCTGCGCCATTCCAGGGCAAATTGTGAGGCTTCGTCCTTGGTAATTGCTTCTGGCAATGACTGCACTACGCTGCTGTGCCAGTCGAGGCATGTTCCCATGAAGTCGAAAAAGACCGCTTTGATTCTTGGTTGAGACATTGATGTAGTTGGTTCTTGGTCAAGAGTAGAATCAAATATTGCGAAATATCTTGGGATTGTGAGTAAGCTGACATGTAGATCTGATCCTCTTGCAGATGGCGGGGAAGGTTTCGATTAGAAATCCAATTGCTTAATCCCCAGCTTGGTCATATCATCTGGTTCCACTGTCGTATATTCTCTTTACCTGAAAGCTATGATGCCCATCTTACTGTGCCCTACTAGAAAGATACATGACGCAGGGACATTTGAGAACTTGACTTCAATATCAACCGCAAAATATATTAGCGACAATATTGACAGTAAACATACATTGGTTGACATCAATCCAGTAGGTAAATTTAAACATTCCTGTCAACTTGATGTAGAAGGTCCGAGACTTACCAGATCCCGCGACCGTCTACGGAAAATATAAGTGCGATTAATAACAAACTCTCCCGACTTGACCCTCCCATAAAAGTAATCCAACATCGCTTCAGCAACTTCATAAATGGCATCCGAGTCAGGAAGCTCTCCGCCCACACGGATTGATAAACAGTGAGAGTATCTGTGGTGCATGGGTAACTCGTTGATTGTAACCTGTCGATTCACGACGCGGAACATCATAAGGCGAATCAACTCTAGATCATCAAGCCTAGCCTCATCGGGGTCAAAATACACTGTGGCCCATATAACATTGGGGCCTGATGGACCGTCGGCTATGGGGACATCGTCTATGCGAGTCCTGAACACGGTTCGTGTAGACATGTTAATTTTTGTTAGGCTATTGATTATGATGATGAGCTTGGGGACTATTTGCAGTGAGCTTTCACTTATTTCAGAGGAAACGGGGGTTGGAAGAGCTGAGTGAGTATTTTCCCCCCAGTGGTGGTGATTTCTAGGTATAGGAAATGATGATGTTTAAATATTCGCGAAATTATGTCCCATTATAGTAGACTTGAGCCGTTGATAGAAACAAGGATTCTTTTGACAACCGCTTTGTCGAGTCTTCCTCATTTGTACCAATTATAGGAATGGAGCTGACAAAGTAGTCGCGATCTTTCTTTCTCAGCCCCCGGCATCAAGCATCAATAAGTCAAATTATAGTCCAATCATCATAGCTTTACAGAGCTCATTATTATCATATCAGCCATGCGATATACCAAAACAATGAGCAAAAAGACCTTTGTTCTTCACTTTCGAGGATCAGTCTATTCCATCCTTTGTCTACACCCTCCAATATGCCAATAAAAGAAATTAATCTAAGCCAAAGAAAATCGCTTGCTACCTAAAAGGCATCCGACCTCAAATGAAAAAAGCGAAAAAGTCTCACCCGATCAATCTCAATTTTCCCAGCCGCACATTGTCCCTGATAAAAAAGTGCCAGTTCCAGCGCATCCCTAAGGAATCCATCAAGATACAAATCCCGAAACTTTGCAAAGGCCCAAAAGTCCCCACGGGCCGGTAATGAGAGACACCCCATGACTCTATGGTGCATAGGCTCCGGCGTAATAGAGACACTGCCCAGGGGTGCTTTCTTAGCAATTCTCGCGTGGATGGTGTCAGCCACTAAGTCCATGAATTCCGCATCTGTTTTGTTGCGGTTTTCTGGGGTCGCGACGAATACATTTACCCATACTATGGGTCCGCAGATGGCACATCTCTCGTCGGTGTAGATGCCGTCGCGGGTGAACATACCTTCTTGCGCCATATTTGATGGGCTTTTAATCTCCTGCTGGGTCGATTAGGGTTTGGCGGAGGGAAAGTGTTCCCTTGCTAGAAGGGCACTTCTAACTCCCACTTATGTATGTATCGTGAATCGTAGGGCAGACAAAGCCATCCCAGTTGCTGAAATGCGATTTTATTGGGTATTCTCGTATTATTATACTATCTAGGATGTTGCAGGTTCTTTGTTGGGATTGAAGGTCTATGTTTGATTGTTACAATGGCTTTCTCTGGTCAATTCAATATGAGAAATGGTCTCAATACTTGCCGTGACAAAGAGCATTGGAGGGATTTTGCTGATTTCTACACTCACTTCAGGCAATGCATGAAGGCCAAAAGGGAGACAAGCGTTGGGGTTTTTAGCGCTGACGGCTGAACTTTGGGGGTTATACATAGATAACACGCTAACCCAGATAGGCAGCGATGGTCAATGTCTTCTGTGTTCTGATTGGCTGTAAAATGGTACCTGGCCCGAGATGTCAGCCCCCATGGTCGAGACCCCTACAACAGACGGACTGGACCCTGTTTACGGACCCTCCAGGACTGTTTACTTTAAACCTGTTATGGGATTTATGAACTTCTTAGGTGTGGATGAACTTCAAATGGGCTTCTGTTCGGCATACGGAGCACTATTTATAGCGTAGTTTGAGCTGAAAAAAAGTTTCTAATACATAATCCAATTTACGAACACTTGGCATAACACGCTGGAACAAATCTCATTACCTGTGCGGTAGTTCAGCTGACTAGCGTCTCTAGAGCCTCACACCTGCTACTTGCGGTCAATGCTAAATGATCATTCGTATCCCGTTGGTGGCTGATCAAGTTAGTCTACTGCGACCTCGTAAAAGTGGATCGGAAATGAAATCGTTAATCTATCTGCAGCCCAAAATCATTGCTGATAGCCTGCTCCAGCGTTGTAAATACGGGCATGCCCGAGTGCCAAAAGATTAATAAAAGGTTATCTCCCAACCTTGTCTTCAGCCTCGAGCATGGGAAGGACTGACAAAAATTTCCGTACTGGGGGAATCTCTTACCCAGCATGGCTCCATTAAACGGTGATCACGCTGAAAACAATCCAATCCTTGTTCAAAGTCCCGACCATCAAGCCCCCGACAGGAAAGCACCTGACGCACAAACATATGCCTCTCCTCCGTCTGTCAGAGACGAGAATACCCCGGCTGCATGGGGGGTTGGATGGCGGTGTCCAACCCTGATGGTTGCATTTGTTGTTTGTGGCGCGATGTTTTCGATGGGACATCACCTCTACTACCGCAGTCTCGACAACACCCTCGTTCACTCGGTCGACCAACAAACATGGGCAATTCGAATCGGAACTGGCTTTGCCTTCCTGGTCAAATCCTTTCTGGTATCTGCTGTCGGGATTGCAGCGGTGCAACAGATGTGGGCTACCCTCCATCGGAAGTTTGTGAAACTCCGCGGGATTGATAGCATGTTTGCCGTCCTTACCAGCCCAATTGCTTTGCTCAGCCCCGATCTCTGGGTGTGCGCGAAGACCCTCATTCTACTCGCAGTTATCTCCTGGTAAGTATGATGTCTTCTTTTGGGGAGAGCTATTATTCACTGTCTAAATAGGCTTATCCCATTAACGGCTATTGTCACACCCGCTACTTTATCCATCAACCTCCTGCCAACCACCAATATCACCCAGCTCCGTGTTCCGACAGTGAACTTCGTTCGGTCCTTCTGGCTCCCTTGGGTAACCTACGGAGGGGCAGGGTTTATTTCATCGCCCTCGGCAGACATCAGCCGCCTGTTTACAGCTATCTCCTCATCTGCCGAAGTACTCCCCATCTCCGCACCTTTCCCAAACTCGTCTTACACCCTAGAATTCTGGGGCCCTTCATACAAATGCCAGAGATTGAGTGAAGCTATTGTGGAAATGCAGGGCATGACTTTTACTGATTACTTGGATAATGAGTACAGTTCCTTGCAGAGACTGTGGGAGCACGACATTGGAACTCCGACAAACCTGAGTCGCGTTGTGTACACAGGGACTGCTACTACTGCCCTTAACAACACACTTTTTGTGTATGCCGCAGGGTCAAACCCGCTATGGAACGAGAACGCCACACAACCAACCGAGCTTGTCTGCCAGCTTTGGAATACCTCCTATGTGGTAGATATGCAGTTCATTAACGGTGTCCATTCTCTGACGCCTGTATCAACGGAGCTCGTAGCTCCCTCTAATTGGAGCTCAAGTTCTGGTTCATACTCTACATTCCGAACTCAAGATCCAACGGTTAACGGGGGCTACTACGTGATGCACATGCTATTCTCTGGCCTTGTCCAACGAACCATGTCCCTCAGCGCTACTGGATCACTGTCAAACTTTTTGCCCTCCAACCTACCATTCAATACAATGTCAATAATGCAAACCGGCCTTTTTTCATGTCCAGATCTGTGGAATGGTACTAATTACCAAATGTTCGTTCTTTCAGGTAACCAGTCAACCACTCTGTGTCGGAATAAAACATTAGCCCGAGCAATAGAAGATCTCTCGCACAACTTCACCTACAGCCTCCTCAGTCTCAATGCTGCGAATACCAGCATACCCGTGACTATCTCGTCACCACAGAATTTCTACACCTACGACAGCAGAAATCTTCTTGCGGCTTATATGTCTGCTCTGGGCGTGACTGTTGTATGTGTTATCGTCGGATTCTTTGCCTTGCGCGAGAACGGCGTTTCTCAGAGCACCTCCTTTTCCAGCGTGCTCATGACAACACGAAATCCTGAGTTGGATGACTTGGCCAAAGGACATTGTCTGGGATCTGATCAGTTGTCAAAGGAGATTGGTGACGTCCAGTTACGATTTGGGGAGATTGAGGGATCTGAGCAGTACAAGCGTGCGGCATTTGGAACCAAAGAGTCCGTGACTACTCTATCTAAGGGGAAAGAGTATTACTAGACAGGAGGCAGCTCTCGGTCATTGATTGGAACATCATCATTTTTTACCCAGGTTGGGTTGTCAGAGATATCTCCGGTCTATATATGTGCATATATTCACCATCTAATGTTATCTATTGCAAAATTCCAATAGGTTGCTCCGAGTGCAACACTGTCTATACAAAACAAACTCTCATCCCCTCACAGCTTAATCCATCTACCCATCCAAGTGTCAACAATATCCTTAGCCTCATCAACCAAGCCAAGATCAAGCAACAACTGCGTTGTGCCACGAACAGCCGAATCCAAGGCCGAGAAGATCCAAGCATGAGTATAACTAGTATGCTCGCCAATAAAGATAGTCTTAAACTCGGTCTGATAGTAAGCAGGCAAATACAGCTCCTGCTGTCCAACAAGGGGACTAGCCCAAGCACCAGCCTGGTGGTGGTCAACCTCCCAGCACTGGCGATCGTAGATACCGGTAAACTGCTCAGCAGCAATCTCACCATGCACCTCAACCATGGCACGTTGAACATGTGCAACATGTTCCTCGTCAGTCAGCGCTGCCGTTGACCGAGCCGGCGTTCCCGAGACGTATGATGCCAGAATAACACCAGGTCCTGTCGCGTTCATGTTGAAGGAGGGGTAGCAGACACTTCCGACACCCGGGACATCAACCGACCCGCATCCGCCGAGGATCGGCTCATCCATGTGTTCCCAGAAGCGCGTCTTGTAGAGCAGTGAAATCTTGCACGAGGGACTGTAGTTCATGGTCGAGATTGCGCGGCTCAGGAGTGACGAGTACCGGGGTAGATCCCAGAGTCTGACTTTGCTGAATGGTGCAGCAACAACAGCGTAGTCGTATTCCTTTGTTTCCGGCACCATCTGGAACAGGTCTTCGCGCCATGCGACGGCGATTTTGCCCGTTGTCTCGTTGTAGATCAGTCCGTCGACTGTGCGGTTGAAGGTGGTCTTCTTCTGGACGTGAGGGTAGAATGCGCGAGGGAGCGACTCCAGACCCTTGTCAATGGTGCGCCATTTGGTGGCGGAAAAGTAGACGGAGTCGTAGCCCCACATTGGGGAGTTATCTGAACCGGCGACATAGTCGGTGACGTTGTTGTCGTAGCCCAGCGCGTACTTCAGGTACCCGGCTTCGGACCAGTGGAACATGCCGTCTTCAACGGCTTGCTTGTGGGCCTGGTACAGGTTGGTTGCGATCTTGCGGATTGTTTCGCGGTCGCTGGTTTTGGTGTAGTCAGCGAGTGCGGATTCTGCGTTTTCAACGCCTGTTTCGTTGGATGAGGCAGCCTTGTAGACTAGCGATGAGTTGGCAGCGACTTGGGAGACACTGGGGATTCGACCGTTGGGGAGACGGTTACCGCCAGAGGCTGCGGGAACATTAGGGCTGTTCTGCACGAAGGGGATGAAGTTGACCTGGAGATTCTCCTTGTGACTGTTCATCTTATTGAGGACTCTGGCGAGTTGGAAGACCATTCGGTGATCTTGGATTTCGAGTGTCTCATTGGTGTCGGTGTAGGTGATGCTAACAGGGAATCGCATTGGTCCCATCTCCTGGTACTGGTACTGATCAGGAGTGGTGTTGTTGAGGTATTTGGTACGAATACGACCACCGAGTCGCCCCGATGATTCGTAGATGTGCCAGTTATGGATACCAACAGAGTCGAGCAGCAAACTCGTCATCAATCCGGACATTCCACCTCCGAGAATAGCAACAGAGGCGCTCTTCGCCTTAGAAACGAATGCGTGGCTTTGCTCTTTTGACTTCATGTAAGCCACTCCGTCAAACCACGGTCCCATGGCATCTGCCACATCGGCGATACTCTCGCGCTTCTTGACGGGTGACGAGACCATGATGGGAGAAGAGCGGCCCACAAGCGTCGATCCGGAGAAAGCATGCAGACAATGCGAATGGGGTGCGTCAGATGGTGTGGTCCAAACAAATCGCTCGGGATGCGCTTCGCGTTTAACGAACGTGCTCCCGATCGAATGGTGACTCTGCGTCGGATCTTGGATCCCGCATTCCCCGTACACAAGCTGCAGCTGACCTTCGAACTGATCGTCCAGGAACTCGACATGTATGTTGTGCAAAGAATCGGTGGTTACACCCCCAAGGCTGTGGAACCGTATCACCTCTATGTTCCTCCCCGCGACCCCAGCTAAGCTCAGGCCTGATAGACCCAGCCCCAAGAGGGTATGTTGTAGATAAACCTTCATCCTTAATCCGGACAGCAGTAGTGTGGAAACAAAGTCTGAGCGCTTGGTGATAATCTATATCCCTTGCTGCTGGACACGTCTTATATGTATTTCTTTTGCTTCCATATAGTATCTCTGAAAGACCATGTGGATCGGCATTCTTTGCTCGTAGCCAGCCATGCAAAAAAAATGGATGCTACCCGGTATCTTGGGCCATCGCTATCTTTGCCTTGGTGATTCACCGCAATTTTCTTATCTAGCTGTCAAATTGAAGCTAAAGAAGATAGGTAATTTGTCCCCGAGAGGTATGATGCATGGCCGTATATAGCTTCCTCGGCAGCTTGACCGGTATATGATCCATCACTTTCATGACCGTTACCTAAATCGTAGAATCTCCTGCAGTTGTTTATTCAGTAGCTCACTCTCAGCCAACTAGAAGCTCGGGATTTGTCGAGTGCAGCTGTCAGTTGTCAATTTCTCTTATCAACGCGAGGCTTGGACGCTATAGGCGACCGGGATGTTGAGGCTATACCGGGGTGCATTACAAATTAATTGCGGGGAACCTAGGAAAGATTGTTGTAGTCAAGATATGAGTTTGGATTTGGATAATCTTCATGTTATCATTTGATTTGGTACGGAGATCGGAGTGGCTCGGCAAGAGAGTCTTGGCACGCCCTTTGTATGAATACCTTCTAGAAAGAGTCACTCCGTAATACTGAAGCTACAATTCTTAGATTGCATAGCTTGACAATTTAGATCAGGGCCACTTCCGCGCTTGCTATGGCTTGTATTTCCGTCTATGCTCCCGATACCACCCGTTTAACCATTCGGATAGCTACCAGTCAACACATGGATTGATTATTTATTTTTGGATAGTAAAATTCCAAGAGCCTTATCCCCCAATTGGTCTCTCCATCGGACCCATTTATCCATAGCAATTTTGATATGCTCTTATCGCTCCAGTTGAAGCCCTACATGTGCTGTTCTACAAGGGCATTTAGTTACATAACTTTATATTAAATTCCTCATAGGGGAGTTGGCACAAATCAAAGATAACAAGCATTTAGCAACTCCACAAGCAAAAAGAACAATCATGGAAAGTGATAGATTTAATATCGATATGCTTACCTTGACTGTTTAGGAATGAATATGCGGCACGGAAGATGCGGACCTCCGGGTGGATCCACAGCCATTGCGGGGGAAATGTCGGAAGGGAGGTCACGTGTTAGTGCCTAAATATGCATACATTTATGCCTGAATTAATCCATGTACAAAGAATCTCCACGGAATACCCCGATAAACGATAAACGCATGACTCAAATTCATTCCAAATCAACTAGAACGGAAGTCTAGATAGGAGACATTCTAACCCCATACAGGCAATCGGAGCACAGTCGTGATAAAAGCACTCGGCCAAAATACCTCGGATACAATCCAAGCCACACTGAATACCGAGGCAATCAAACTGGAATTTATATTCCAGGAAGTAGCATCTAGGTAATCCATGGAAGAGATTTCGATGCGGGGTCTCCAATGCCATCTCCGGGCCAAGTTCCTCCATGTCACCTAATAGGGAATCAAGAAGATCGAGTTGGTCGCAGACTTCCCAACAATTCTCCATGCTGAACCCATCTCGTAGCGTGAGTATGGTGCTCTTCAAAGTGGCTGTGAAGTCTTTATGTGCCTCGTTGAAGCGCTGTTCAAGGTCCTGAATGCCGTCGCTTGAACTCATCTCGGGGAGAACAGAGAGCAGTCAGTGATGCTCTTGATGTCCTTGGTATGAGTGGTACAGGCAGATTTTATAGCGGCAAGTCAAGAATTTAGAGGTCGATAGGTCAGTAGAGAACTATTCCAACAAGGATAGCTCCAAGGGTGGGCGGAATTGAGGTTGTTTAAAAGCTTCCAGATAGTTATTCTCACATATAAAGACAGTAGTTGAAGACATGTAAATCAATAGAAGTCAGAATACTCATTGTTAGAAATTTTTCTTTGTAGTTCTGTTCTTCAGTTACACTCTCAGAGAGATGTGGTGTGTGTAAGGGAACAAATCCATTGTTCTTGTTGATATTGCTGCAGGTGTCCAAATCTAAGAACAAAAGGTGGAAGCCCCAGTATATATAAGAAAACAGCATTGAAAGAGACCATGGAAATGATTTAATGCTCTCAATTTTATCAAAGGCAAATTAAAGGGTATAAACGCTGAACCAGCAGCCAAAATATATACAAACGTCATATCAAAAAGAAGACATTAATCACAACATATTGTTGTCTCCTCCAATTTCCGTGTTTCATCCTGCACATCGTCTATCCCGACTGTGACAACCATCCAATCACATAAGAACTTGCCCAGCCCCGCACCGATAAAGATGCAAATAATCACGTAGACATTGAAATACATAGCCAACAACATAATGATATATGCCCCTGCAAAGGTGACAGCATGAATGACAGACCTCGTCAACTGCTGCAATGGCGTCGCGCGAAATGTCACTGCCGTTCTGCCAGATTCACATTTCTTGGCAAAGATGCCGTGTGCGGCTTGGCGCTGAAATTGGCGGGTCAGGAAATTGTCATATTCCCGACCAATGCGCCGAAAGAACTCGACCAACACAGCGAGCAGAATTGCGCCAATGCAGGTCGCAGCAAACATGCCATTATTTTTGATCTGCCATCCTGTGGACAAGAAACAAGCATCGATGGTGTGAAAATTGAACAGCATCTGGCCTTTGGTTAGCGAATCCACTTGAATCTCCGAATGTCTTGGCACTCACCGAGACCTTACAGCTTGTCTCGCTGCTGCTGTGATCCATGCCCTCCATCTTGGCTTGTGTTTTGGATATAAGGGGAGGAAGATGTGAAGAAATGGTGCGTCCGATATCAGCGCTCGAGACCGATGGTCTTATAACCTGGTGGCCTCTCTCCACCTGCGCTAAGGCGAAGTGGAGAATCCCAACGATGGCGTGGGAGAAATGTGCTCAAATCGCCTCAAATGCGAAATGGCCACTTTAAACTTGCAAATTGGGATTCGTATGATGTCGTTCCATTAAAAGCTCGTGGGCTTCTCCTTGAATCTCAAAACCTCTTTTGCACTTCACCATGAGATAACCCGACCACACACAGAATTCGGTGTTTTTTTGATCAACTTGAGCTGAACAATCGCTCCAGGGTTATTCGAAGTGGGCTGAGGCTGATAATCGGTCCTCAACATCAGCCCATTGCACAGGGCAGTTGGAGACACAATGTCGTCCCCAAAATTGGATGTTCGCCACATCCAAGACATGAGCACGGCGACAACATTAGAGCCTCATTGGGGATATTACGATCGTGCCCTACCTTGTACCAACGATCCAGGATCATGCGAGTATCTCGACGTTGTCTACGCATCACATGACTTGGGGATGCTATACTCAGGCATTATGTGGTGTGTCATTGGCACAATTTTGCTCCTCTGGGTCGTCCTAAAACAGTTCAATGTGCCAACAATATCACCAACACGAGCGACACCAGAATTAGCCGGGCTATACAAGGTCCGCCGCTCTGTCGCCTCATTGGCCCGGAAGTATCTCCTACCCGATGCAGCTCGACTGATCTTCGGCCGCACCACACGCCTTCAAGTGCTCACCCTCTCTCTATTGGCTGGCTACCTCCTCATCTTCAGCTTTGTCGGCATTCTCTACAACACATGGGTCACTCCTGTCTCAAAGATGCCTGGCGTATACAATACCCGCAGCAGCATCGGCCCATGGTCAGATCGCATCGGCACCCTGGCCTACGCCCTTACACCGCTTTCCGTGCTGCTGAGCAGCCGAGAGTCTTTCCTCTCCCTCATCACCGGTCTGCCATATCAGAGCTTCAACTTTCTCCATCGCTGGCTGGGCTACATCATCTTCGTGCAAAGCTCGCTGCACACAATCAGCTGGTGCGTCGTCGAGCTGAGAATGTACCAGCCACAACCCACAGTCGGAATCGAGTGGGTCACTCAAACATATATCGTCTGGGGCATCGTCGCCATGATCCTGCTACTCCTCCTCGTCGCACTGAGCACACCATGGGGAATCAGACTTACCGGCTACGAAACCTTCCGCAAACTGCACTACATCCTCGCCATGGTCTACATCGGCGCCTGTTGGGCCCACTGGAAGCAACTCAAGTGCTTCATGTGGCCTTCGCTGATATTTTGGTTCCTCGATCGCGGAGCTCGCCTCGTTCGCACTGCCCTGCTACACTATCACCCTGACCACTCCGGTACTCTTGGTCTCGGCTTCAAGCCCGCCGATGCGACCATCACCCGTTTCCCGGACACAGAACACGGAGATGTCATCCGTCTCGACCTATACAACAACCAGGACCCCTGGTCCGTCGGCCAACACTACTACCTCTCCTTCACGAAATGCAGTGTCTGGCAATCCCACCCTTTCACACCACTCAACCTCCCAACCGTGTCAAAGGGCACAGTCCAACACTCCTACATCCTCCGAGCCAAAGGCGGCGAAACGAAAAAGGTTGCCGACCTCGCTGCCACCGGCATCCCCACAACACCCGTCATCCTGACCGGCGCCTATGGCGAGTCCATCACCAGCCACTTGACACCAAACACCAATATAATCTGCGTTGCCGGCGGGACCGGCATCACCTACGTCCTCCCCGTTCTGCTACAACTTGCCCGCGAACAACGCTCCCCCGACCGAAAGGTCGAGCTCATCTGGGCAGTCCGACACACGGCGAACACGGAGTGGATCGCAGCCGAGCTGGATCTCCTGCAGAAAGCGAGGAATACCTTGAATCTCGAGATTCGCATTTTCGCCACCCGAGACTCGGGGAGCAAGACGCCCTCGATCGAGAACTCGGATGCGGAAAACTGCAACCTAGAGATCCCAAAGACTGATGAGAAGGTCGTGCAGGTCACACCTTCTAAGTCGGTCTCTGCATGCTGTGGATGTGACAAGCCTGCTGGTGTGGAGCGACTCGGTGGTGCGACGGATGATATCAACAGACATCCTGATCTTCCGCAGTTGGTTAATGATTTCTTGGCTAATACGGTGCGCGGATCGACGAGTGTCTTTGCTAGTGGACCTGGTGGGATGATTAGTGACCTCCGAGATATTGTCGCTTCTTGTAATTCTGGTGGGAAGGTCTGGAAGGGGCAGGAGAGATTTGATGTCAGTCTTATCTGTGATGATCGGTTGGAGTGGTGAGTCGGGTTCAGAGCAGGCTTGTATATATTATGCAGCTGGCTGCATTCATGGGGACATAAGCATCAGAGGTCATGGATTCAATGTACATATTTATAGTGACGAACTGATTAGTTACCTTATGTACTTACCGCCACTATATCCTGTCTTAATTAAGTGATGGTGTGTAGAAGTGGAAAAGAATCAAAGAAATTGAACAAAAAAAAGAAGCCGGCACTCATCTCAACAGTGCCGACGGATGCTCCCATGGAAATTACCGCCACTAACTCCCATGGCGCTTGTACAATCTCATGCTAGTACCTATGCCTAGGCCACGCCCAACCAGAGGTTGGGATGCATAATACATTTCTTGATGTATTTTAAGAGCGTGGACTGAGAGGATCAAGCGCCGGCCGCCAGTATTACCAGTAATACCAGCATGTTTAGTCCGGAGGAACCCAACTCAGCCACTAGCTGAGATTGTTGAAAAGCTTTTGTTTGTCTTGAATTTATAGGAACATATGCTTCCGAAAAGGGAAGGTGAGTCCATGTCACGTCCTAGCACAGGCGGTACCTTCCGTCTAATGCAAACATTGAAGAGATCGGGGACATCGGGGACATGATCGTGTTTGGTTATATTGCTTCGAGTCCTCCTGCCAATTTGATTTTGCTGTTTAACGAGTATCGTGTTATTTGAAAGGCACCACATGTCTGAGGTCGGTATCACTCACTGTTCCTTCCCTACACTCTCAATTGAGCTTGTGCTAGTGCACCACATAAAATTGGCAAGAAGTGGCACCCCTATCAACTGGTCTTGGTTTGGCGCACGCTCGGTAACTATCCTCGTAATGCACGACGGCCACCGAAGGTTGCTTAAAACTTACAGCTTGCTGACGTAGGGTGATTTGAGCACTATGCTAATAAACGATATGAACAGGCAATACTTTTCTCGATGAATCCCAAGAGGCACATGCAACGGCTCGAAATGTGCGGTGTGACTGCTCAGAGTGCTGTCTACGTCGACACTCGAAACTCCCCATGAAAGTCAGATTGCTCAAAAATTACACGGAGGATAAATGACTATAATTAAGGAGTTTTTCATGATCTCAGACATTCTCCTTGAAAGGATGCTCTCGCTGCCCGAATCAAGTGCGATTGGGATACCGAAATGACAAGGCTATGGATTCACGATGTGGAGAGCCCACACTCTCTGTCCCGCAATGTTTACTGAGAGCTTTGCTTCCACCAAGTTGTTACCTCTGGTTGGAAGATTTCTGAGGGGGGACATCGATCCCGTCACCTCAGAATTTTTACCATGCGCTGCGGTACCGAGTGATACCATTCTGATGGATATACAACATACATCCTTCTCCCCACAAAGAAATACCGCCAGGTTACGTGCTACTTACCACTCCCGAGGTCCTTTTCTTTGTTTGTGGTACCCATGTATCCATCACTCGTAGTAGTCTGGGCTTGACATTGGAATGAGTGTGCACCTCTTGATAATACGGCACATGGAATCAACTAAATCACCCGGTGCCGCTGACAAGCACATCTATAGCCCGATGCCATCTCAGATTTCATAGAACCAAGAACCAATCGGATGCCGGGGAAGTGGCTCCACTTTCAATTCAGGGCCAATTGGGGGTTAGCGCCATCCAAATCCCGACCATGGCGCGCTCTAATTGGTTCTCGGCAACAATAGTCTCCTCGTGCAGATACCCAGGTAGTATAAATAGACACAGTAAGTTCTAGAAACGGGGCTTGTACGGAGTAGATAGCTCTGAATACATTCATGCCCCTTAATTTTGAGAGGGAGAGTTTTTCTTTAAAAGCCGGAAAAATCTCTGCAGAATCGAAGACAACCTTGTTTCATGGTGTTTTGAATCTCAGTCGAAGCGTAAGAAAACAAAAACGGAAATCATCTATATAATATGCAACAGAATCACAATCACACAACTCAACGGCACCAAGTTCGCTTCAATGTTTCCTGAAAATGTCTATGACATTGAGGAACTTTCCCCTGACCATCGCACTCTGTCTGCGCGGAAGTACCGGAAATATCTCCACCATATAGCGCAAGCAGCAATATGGACCACCTACATCTACTTTGCAGCGCGACTATTTTTTACTTTGACGACCCCTGAGCAAACATGGAAAATGTGGGTGATTTTTGGTGTTGAAGGTCTATTTGCTCGTAAGTTGTCTCCAATGGAAAACATCGAACAGCCGCTGACCGTCTTAGACATATCTCTGAACCACCAACGCTTGTCCTTGGCCGCCACAACAAAGCCATCAAATCAGACAATCCGCAAGAGACTACTCGGTACCGAAAACCTACCCAGAGTCGACGTGCTAGTAACGTGTTGCGGAGAGCCGGTCGAAATCATCCTAGACACAGTCCGAGCAGCATGTGCCCTAGACTACCCAGTCTCCCGTTTTCGAGTACAGCTTCTAGATGACGGAGCGTCAACTGAGCTACACGACGAAATCGCAAAACTTGCCACGAAATGGACTCACCTGTCCTACCACACCCGCGGCAAGCAATCCGGGAAGTCCTTTGCGAAAGCAGGCAATCTCAACTACGCCTTGTTTTCCCTACAAACTGAAGATCCACCAGAATTCTGCACTGTGGTTGATGCAGACTCTATCCTCATGCCAGAGTTTCTACGCGCAACACTGCCCCATCTACTTGCAGACCCGGAGGCAGCATTATTGACCACACGACAGTATTTCTATAACCTACCGCGCGGTGATCCCCTCTCTCAGTCGCGAGCTTACTTCTATACGTGTGAGAACACGGAACTCGACCTTCTCGGCCATGCACTAGACGCAGGCTCTGGTGCAGTCTTCCGCCGCGACGCGATTCTTGACGCGGGTGGATATCCGACCTATTCTTTCTCGGAGGACTGGCAGCTGTCATTGATCCTACGAGGACTGGGGAAGCGCACGATGCAGGTACAGGAGGTTTTGCAATTCGGTCTTGTTCCTACCTCCCTTGCTGGGCATCTCAAACAGCGCAATCGGTGGCACATCGGACACTCTCAGCAGGTTTCCGTGTTGTTTCCTTCTGTCAACAAGGCGATTCCAGAGAATTTGCGTTGGGATATAGCTCTTGGTGGCCTGGCTATTATGGCAGGCCTTGTGAGTTACTCGATTGGCTTTGTTGCTCTGCCTTGTCTTCTTGTCTCTGATGGTGGATTTATTCCTGCTGGATCGGCGTTGGAGGTCAAGATCCAGCTTGTTCTAGCCGCGGCGTATGTTGCGTCTACATGGGCATACGATTGGGCTCGGAGTGCGCATGCCGGTATTCCCTTTGAACCTTTTGCACATGCGGAGAACAGTTGGCTTGCTGCCGGTAAGTCTGATTTGAAACCTTCCACATGCCTGGTGGAACCTGAAAGTTGATTCTAACATATTTTGTTGACAGCCCACTTGTACGCTGTTTTACGATTCCACCTATTCGGAAGCAAGCCCAAGGGATCTTTTGTTACCGGTAGCACCGCCAATTCGACTGAGAACGCTACATCCATTTCATCGTTCCAAAAGGCATACAGAGATACTATTCAAAGCGGTGCTTTGCTGAACGTTTGTCTTTTTATTGCGACTGTTGGAGCTATGCTGTTTGCGATCTGGGTGGCTGTCACCGGAGAGGGATCGACAATTCTCAAACTGCTCACTACAATTGCCTGGCCTCCATTGCTGCACTTGTGCTTGTTGGCGACTGTCAATAATTGGGTACCTATTGCTCATCTTTTCAGCCCTCCAATCTACCACTCCAGAGACTCGAGATTGCTCACCACAGAGAAGGGGATATCATATCCGCGAGGGGGAGTTGAGCTGGAACTTAGCTCTGAGATGTCTTTACTTGGCCTCTGTTGCTGCTTTGTGGTGCCAATTGTTCTTTTGGGAGTGCTCTTGGGTGTTGTGATATCATAGAACTTGGCCACTCGAATTTGGATTGTGTATTATATTCTTGAAGTTGGGAATGCAGAATTACCTGTTCTTGTTAGTGTCCTAGTGGCGTCCTTGCTGTGTTCCCTTGTGCTCGCGTCCTTATGGTATCCTCGCGGTACCCTCGCAGTGTCCTACTGGTGTCCCTGTGGTGTTGTAGCATCCCGCTAGTGTCTTTCTAGACATGTTTCAAGGTATCCTCTTCCACCTTCTAGGTAGAGGGAAGCTAACAGTCTTCGCAAAACAGCCCTAAGGCACTCTCCAAAAATTGAAAACAAATCTCCTACAAGGAAATAAGGGGTTTAAAGTTGGGGGAGAGAGTGGTGAATATATCAAGAAGTAAATTTGTTTTTTAACAAAAAAGAAGCCGGCACTCATCTCAACAGTGCCGACGGGTGCTCCCATGGAAATTACCGCCACTAACTCCCATGGCGCTGGTACAATCTCAAGCTAGCACCTATGCCTAGGCCACGCCCAACCAGAGGTTGGGATGCATAATACATTTTTTTGATGTATTTTAAGAGCGTGGACTGAGAGGATCGAGCGCCGGCCGCCAGTATTACCAGTAATACCAGCCTATTTAAGCCAGAGGAATCCCACTCAGCCACTAGCCGATATTGTTGAAAAGCTTTTGTTTGTCTTCCATTTATAGGAACATATGCTTCCGAAAATGGAAGGTGGGTCTATATCACGTGCTAGTGCCTTATGGCCTGTAGATCATACTAAGAACTACATACAATAAGATTCGCCTGGATTTCCTCCTAGAGCACGATCCAGATGCTTTCCAGTTGAAGCCCTTATCCAGTAAACGATTTTCGCCGAGTTGATAAACTCATCCCATCTCTCCATATTGTTAAGCTTTGCAAAATGGTCGAAAAGTGATCATGATCTTGGATAGAATTCAGATTAAGCAAGCGAGCAAATTTCCAAACATCATTGCCGTTCTCGAAAGGAAGAATTTCCTGAGAATCTAACCCTTTCCTTTCAACGAAACCTTCTGCAAATGAGGCTATAAAATCAAGTTGCGGTGGATCCTGAAAATGGGTAGTCCGGGACAGACGAGGAGCATTGATCTTGAAACAGATGAGGTACAAGCCCAATCAATCATACAGGTCACATTCAGATCGTCATCCACGAACAAATAAATTACTGGCACTCAGGTCGGGATAAAACAATGGAAAGCTAGAGCTGGTAACTTGGTTCTCTCTGTCGGCTAGCAAGGGGACAAAGTCCAAGGTAGCAAGAACAGCTGAGGTATAATCGAGCCTATTTTTAGCACTCTCGGTCTTTAATCTCACGGTAACATAGTCATTCCACCTTTCCGTAGCAGTATGGTATTTATTGAAAGTATTGTATTCCTGTCTTGTAGGCACTGTTGCATGGAACATACGGTGCTCTATAGGTATTTCTCTCACATGAGCAAGTAAGGCAAAGGTCTGTGCTCTGTAGAATGGTGCTGTATCGTCAGACGGCCCGAGTGGTATATCTTCTTCATCAAACCCATCGCGGCGATGCCAGACGAGGGCTGGAGAAATACACTTTCCTAGGGTACAATCGTTTTTTGATTGTATGAGTGATCCTATCCGATCAAATCGTATATTCGGAAGTTAGGCGAGGATTTTTCCAAGTTGCCTTATCATCTTATGCTTCTGATGTAGCGTCAAATATGACCCAGAGCTTTGATCCGAAGTATCATAATCGTCACCCCAACCGAAAGAAAAAACTGGCTTACCACGTGCTTTGCTCATTAATATATGTGTGTTGGACTATTTATACTGTGAGAAAGATATCTAATGCACGCAGTAAACCCGAGGTTCATTGATCTTACTGAAATGAGAAGACTTTTAGAACCGGAAGATCACTGTTGTCGTGCAGATAATTTAGCGTTGCAACCTCGCTCGCTAGAATTGCGCTTGCAATATGCCCTTGAAGTGCAAAATTTTCTTTCCCAGGAGAGCAGAATATCCACTCAATTCCATTTTCGAAGTAGATAGATATAACCCAGTTCCAACTACCAGTTTGGGGATTTTAGGATTAATCACAAAAGCAGGGTTTTCTGCGTGTATTCTTTGCAAGGGATTCAAAAGGGCAAGTAAATCAAACTCAGAATGGCGAAAAATATTGGCGCGTGACTGCTTCTTTGGCATTTTCATTGCGGGCTTATATAGTCTAGGTACCAAGACATATGTATATATGATCTGTAGGCAGATATTCAGGTATAAACATATGGCGTGGGATTCATCTTCCCTTTTCGGAAGCGTATGTTCCTATAAATATCACAGAAACGATATACTTTCAATCGACAATCCGACCAGTGGCTGATTGGGTTCCTCTGCTAGTATTCACCTCCCCCCCCCCCCCCCCCCCCAGCTAGTTAGAGTTCGAGTCCTTCAATCCACGATTGAAATTGTAAAAGAAACACGCTAACCTACCCTACAAAATGGATAGGCGTGATGGGCAGAGTTGGTTGAGATTCTCAATTTTTGTATTTTTTTTAGATCACCCTAATTTATATATTTTTCTCTTGCTCGCTTTACTCACTGCTTCTTTTTGCCTAGGTCTTCTTCAAAGACTAAACCAAGGCTACCTACAAAATGTAGACACACTAGAAGAAATGATCTTGGAAAACCTTTGTAAACGCGTAGATAGGGCAGGATATATCACCAGCAAAATGTCTGGGAAAGGGAGAGGTCACGAGACATCAGTCACAGACCTCGGTCTCTTGGCAAAGGCTGAAAGGATTAATATTGTACCTCAACGGCGTTGAATGGACCACTTAGATTAGGATTATAACCCCAACACAGCATTACCTCATCAGATTTACCTCAAATTTCATTCCTGATTGATCCCAGGTGTGTCGGAAAGGACTTTTCGTAGGAGAGTTTAGTCAAGGAGAGAGATCAGTAGCCCCTATCCTGCAGTAAACGTGCTGGTTTGCGACATCTAGCCTCAGAGCAAAATTATGAATTATATTCCAAAGGAATTACCGTATCTCAAAATTTAAAATAGATACATATGAATATTGTCAGCGAGAATTTAGTCCAGGGCTGGTGAATAATCGAGGACAGCCAAGGAATGAGTGCATTTGGTGGGTCTAAGCAAAGTGAATACCCATGGAGATATATACTTTTGACACCCTGCATACCTAATTTGGACAGATTCATGTGAAAATATGGTAGAAATAGAGTCATCGCCCGCTAAGATCTCGCGCCTATGCTCCTTCAAAGCTGAAAATTGAGAACCCCTGAGCGACGATCTTCTCCGCAATGCGGGGGATCGTCATCCACCCCTCCTCTCCAAGGTCCGTTCACCTCTTTTCATCGAGGCTGTTTCAAGAGTCCCCACAAAAGAGTAAAATCCCAACGCCCATATGTGATAAATCTGTCGACCGATCTCAAACACCGAGGTACTAAGTTTGATTCGCCCGTGAATCCGGGACGGTGGCCGAGGCAACCATCATTCTATTCATGTGGGCTCATAGGTCTTGAACTGATTGAACAAGACCACGTCACCAGCAGATTTGCAACTAAAACATGTTAGGTTCCCCAGATAGACTCAGCAACATACCCACGATTCACAACATGTCTCCTTCTAACGACCCCATGTCCGGGCACCTCGGTCACCTTACCCCTGACCAGGAAGCAAAGGTGATTGAATTCTGGATAATCATTTTGACCTCTATTGCGACTGTCCTGTCGGCTGTGTATGATGTCCCGATTCCGGAGGGCTCCTCCAGCAAGCTGTTTGCTGCTTTGGAAAAGATCAACGAGCCGACGGTGGAGGCTATTATTAGCGCATTGAAGGGCGAAGACACCAATAAGCAGACCTCAAATGGGACCAACCCTGTTCAATCAAATAACGAGACCAGCAGAGAAACCACTGTGGGAAGCAACTCCAGCAATAAAGAGCAAAAATCGATCGACAAGGTGGACTCGTTGATGAATGAACATGCCAAGGATACTATCATTTCCGAAATGGCCAACCGAAAGGTCACTCCGGCGCACTTTTCATCTCTTTTTTCGCAGCTCCGAGAGCTAGGAGTGCAGGACGCAGAAATCAAGTCTATGCAGGATATACTGTCTAGGCTGACGCCCCAGGAGATGTGCTTTGCGATCTTGAAAATGATCAAGCAGGAACACCCAGATAGCTTATTGCTCCGGTTCTTGCGTGCCAGGAAATGGGACGTCGGGAAGGCATATTCGATGATGACGTCGAACATTCTGTGGAGGAAAGAACTGGAGGTTGATGAAGAGATTCTGCCCCAGGGAGAGGAATATGCTCTGGAGCAATCCCGTAGTGCCACTGCTACGTCGAAGGAGAAGAAGGAAGGTGTTGACTTTATGAACCAACTCAGGATGGGAAAAGGTTTCATCCATGGCTTTGACAGGGATGGTCGACCTGTTGTCTATGTTAGAGTGAAGATTCACAAGCCAGGTGCTCAGAGTGAGGAAGCTCTTGAGCGGTACATTGTCCACATGATTGAGTCGGTGCGACTTGTAGTGGCTCCTCCGGTTGAAACGGGCGTACGACCGACCAGAATGTTGAGGTATTGACTCACGCTGACATCTTCACAGACAATTGTCTTCGATTTGACAGGATTCGGGTTGTCCAACATGGTGAGACCCCATAGTGCAGCTAGATCGAAGTGGCCGGTCCTACACTAACCCTTACAACAGGAATACCCTCCAGTCAAGTTCATCCTCAAATGCTTCGAGGCAAACTATCCTGAGTCACTGGGGCAAATGCTCGTTCATAACGCTCCCTGGGTTTTCTCCGGTAAGTCATTCCACTAGGGAATCCTCGTTTTTCATTGCAGAGGATACTCACTGTCACCTTTTCACCAATCAGGAATTTGGAAACTCATCCATGGCTGGATGGACCCCGTTGTCGCATCTAAAGTTCATTTCACGCGGTCAATCGCCGACCTGGACAAGTTTATCCCGCGCAACAAAATCCCCAAAGAGTTATCAGGCGATGAAGACTGGACATATAAATACGACGAGCCCGCGAAAGGCGAAAACATGATTATGAAAGACACAGAGACGCGCGACTCACTCATGTACGACCGCATGATGATTGGAATCCGGATGGTCACTACCACCGCAGCATGGATCTCTGCCAGCTCGGATTCTGATGTGAAGAAACAAGCGTCGGAAGTGGAGGAGCTCAAGTCGCGAAGGAATGCGGTTATTGATGAGTTCCGCGTGAACTATTGGAAGTTGGACCCTTATATTAGAGCACGGTCGTTCATTGATCGGACTGGGATGCTTCTGCCTGGTGGTGACGGTAAGCGGGATGTTAGTGCCAATGGTCAGGCAAAATAGACATGTTTTCGTATTTATAGGATTTGAGAATCGCGGGTATTGTTCCAAGGTTAGAAGTTGCAGGCAGGAATGGCTACATATTAAAGCAAAAGCACGTGACACGGACCCACCTTCCCTTTTCGGAAACATATGTTCCTATAAATTCACGACAAACAAAAGCTTTTCAACAATCTCGGCTAGTGGCTGAGTTGGGTTCCTCTGGCTTAAATAGGCTGGTATTACTGGTAATACTGGCGGCCGGCGCTCGATCCTCTCAGTCCACGCTCTTAAAAATATATTCATAAAAAAATATATTATTCCACTGATGCATCCCAACCTCCGGTTGGGCGTGGCCTAGGCATAGGTATTAGCTTGAGATTGTTATAGCCCCATGGGAGTCTACTGCTGGCGGTGATTTCCATGGGTGCGCCCCCCGGCCTGTCTGTGCCATTTTCTTTCTTTTTTTGTTAAAAAAACAAATTAGACTAAATCTTCTCGCAAACCAATACGCATTATATTGGTTTTTTCCAACGTTTCCGCAGCACCAGACTCACTTCTACCAAAGCCTACTGCTCATCAGCATTCTTTATCAAGGCTATCCTAGCCAATGGCCACCACCTTCGTCGCTTTTATCAGGTCAAACACGTCCTTAAGAACCTCTCAGCTCACCTTCATCGCTATCCCATTTCTGCCTATCACAACTTACTCTATCATTGTGTCTATTCTCACGTCCATCGACCCCAAGAACCTTCCAGTGGGATCATGCTCCTGATACGACTCGCTGCTGGCCAATCGGCATCCCGTACAAATTTACAGGGCCATATCCCACGATGCCCCTCGACAGATTTCACAGCCACCGCTATTTCAACAACCCCCGATATGAAATCTTCTCGCTCACCCCTTCCAACTTCCACCAACTAAACTTTTTAGCGATTCCTAGCAATTATAAGACCCTCCAACTGCCTTTATTTCAATTTTCTACACTTTATTTAGAAGATAATTCGACACACGTCGTAAAAAAGGTCTTGTCCTTTTGCAAAATTCCCGACCTCTTTGCCAATTTGATCCTCTCGCCTTGTAACATGTAATTTACTCGCGTTTTCACCTACGTTTCTCAGAGACAGCCCAGCCCGACTTCTGGCTACTGTGGTTCATGTTCAGCCTCTTACTCCCGTCTATGGCTGCATACTGGTGGATATCGGATCAGCTATGTCTCATAATACCTACATATCAATGAACTTATTATATACTCTACGCTTGCTACCTCTATCCAGTAGGCCATTTTCTATGTGATCTTTCTGTAGAATTCTGTATGTACTTTTATTAACTGCCCATGGTCTAAAGAGAGCCTGTGCTGATCTCCTATCAAGGTCGACTGGCACGTGCTAGCCTAAGGGGCGGCGTATTCCAAAGGCTTATCCGCCGCGTCACTGGCAAAAGACTACAATTCCAAGACGATTCTTAGAACTGCGCTCGCTATATAAGGACATAGTCCGTGACATCAACGCGTTGTGTTATTGAGGTATCCTATCCTGGTTGTAAGTTATGGGCAAATCTTCTTTGAAAGGTACTGAGCATGATTTGTATAGTGCTCTTTCGTACACTATATAAACCTTCAATAGCAAGGTTTATTCCCATCTATGGGAGCCTATATTAGATACATGTGTATATTAGCTTCTTAGGTTCTTTATCGGACTAGATTGAGGCAATACGGTAATAATAATGCGCCCTCGTTGGTGCTTGATAGTCTCGTACACAGTGCTGTGATTGATAGGGAATTGTCGCAGGATGTGAACAGAAGTTTCTATCTAGCTGTTTAAATTGCGACTATGGGTGCAACTTTCGCAAAACAACTACCGTGAACTTAAATTGGCTCTTCCTGCTGCAAAGAGGCATGTTTTGATACAGGATTCTTGCTGGTCTGGTGGAGGGACTGAAGTGGGAGTATTGATGGGAGGCGTTTGAGAAAAAAAATGAGAATCCGTACGTCGTAGCTCTCTTCCTTTCTTCATCTGGCTGGAGTAACGTTCGGACGCAGTTCTCTTTGCCCTTTCCCTCCTGTTCCTCCTCTTCTTCTATTTCATCCTCTATCCCATCCTCTATCTCATCCTCTATCTTATCCTCTATCTCATCTGATTCATCTGATTCATCCTTCATCCTTTACCATTTTCATCATCCTCTTTGTGTTTACCTCTCGTCTGGTGTTCTATTCTCGTCTGCCTATCATTCCAAGAGTTATTCGGGGTCGAGTCCTACAATTCCCCTTTGCTTGGGAAGCACCTCGCCAGTCATGGCGTCTCTTCCTCCCCCCAGCAACTTGGATTTGCATTTGTATCTCCTGAATCATGTTTTCCTTCCTCCCAGACTCCCAAAGCAGACAGATTACAACCCTGTGTTTGAAGATATCCTGCTCAGCGAGGTCATTGAAGCTCTCCATGCATTTGGCAGTCGTGTCTCGAGGCAAGATTCGGGCCATGTGACAACGGTGATTAAGATGATCAATCGTCTGAAATCCGTTCTCGGGGATTGTGGAAATATCAATGCGAAAGAGCTTGTAAAAGCTCTAACAGAATTGAACACTCCTAGTGAGCCTACCCTTTTGGCTTTGAGATCCCCTCTAACCATTGCTGATCATAAATTTATAGGTGACTTGCTTCCGATTTACGTTCGCGAGCAGAACGCTGCAATTCTAATGACTCGACGCGATCATGTCGTGGAGATCGAGTCGTTTGAGTTATCTGCTCGCAATGAAACCGTCATTACCACTCTAGGTCGTCTCCAGCGCATTTTTCCAGGCCCTACTCTCGCCATGGACCTCACAACTTTCAACACTCCAGGCTTCCGAGACACTCTAGCACAAACTCTCGCACTAATGAGCAGCCAGACTGCACCAAATACCAGACTGAAAGTGAGGAAAGCTGGCCAGGAACATGATGAGGACAGGGATACCACCCATCCGAAAATGGTGACTGATTTCATGATGGCGGTCCTGCGTCCTCAGTGTTCCGAAGTCAACGCATTGCAGATTCAGAAGAACACACGCGAAGAGGTGATGTGGTTCAATAGCCGATTCCCGTGGCGGCGATCTGCTCTATGGCTTCTTCTGCGTGTGATCCTACAACTCACCTTCCGCAGGTTGTCGGCCCAAGGGACGGACAACATCTACAAACATTTTATGGTTTATTTCATGGCCCATATCCTTCATCTATCTTGCGAGAAAGTATCGAGCGAGAATATTTATCTCATGAATGCAAAGATTGCTCGCCGGTTGCGCAAGCTCGATCTCCACGACGAACCTGCGTGGTTCAACCCTGTCCAGAATATCTTGCAACGGACAAGCCACATTATTCAAGATAAATGGCAAGAGATCAACAAAAGCTGCAAGCGTGATGCCGATACAAATCTCTTGACCGGACTGTCCTTGGATCAAGACATCTACTGTAAACCTCCTGGTCTCGATAAATACATTGAGATGATCAAACGACGAGGTAGCCAGCAGCCAGTTGTTTCCACGGACTACCATCCACAATCAGGACTTGTTAGATACCGCCCGTCGAGGATCCCATCAGTCCTCAAATTTGATGACCCTGAATATCAAATTTTCAACCTTGCTTCTTTTGAACACTGGGTTGCTTCAAACCTTGATGCCTGGGTTGACAGAATTCAGGAGAAGAAAAATGCATGCCCTCTACTTGCTGATCTGATAACTCGCTACTACAATGCCGCTTCCTCACTGTACTCCGGTGATCCAGAAGCAGTCTCAGTTATGTTACTCACTCTATTGGAGTTGTGGATTGCCTGCGATAGGTTAGCGGTTGTCGACCTCCATATGTTGGATGAATACGATCCGTGCATCCCTGTCCATCTTTTCCAGTCTCTGCTGTTACCGTCCAAGTCACAAATGATCAGATTAAACCGGGCTGAACAATACCTGACCAACCGTCAGCAGAACAGCAGATACTGCGGGCCTGTCATTTTCCAAGGCTTTGGTATAGAATCGTGCTTCTCAGTCCGATATTTCGACCAGTCTGATCGGCACCAAAGCTTGTACAAGGATATCTGCGATGACGCTTCGGGCAAAAGGCAGCAAAAGATTTCAGAGCTTTTGGCAAAGAAACAAGAATACAGTCGTCTCATGGACTTGGTCAACCAGTCGGATTGCACTCACGAAGCAGTCAGCACGAAACAGAGTTTTGACAGTGGAAGCTTGATTCACAGCAAGTCTTGTACCAGGTGTGATCACGAGCGTCAAGCAAATCAACTCAATATCAATGTTCATGAATGGCCTTTGCCCACTAATGAACTGCAAGCAAAGTCGGTTGTTTTTGAGCTCAGTTTGCCTCCACCATTTGGTGTGTGGAGAGACACTACCATATTCTTCCTCATGGTGGTCCTGAAGGTTGAGTATATCTCCGACGTGAAGCCTAGAGCGGTGTATCCCCTTGCAGAGTATCAAGGGCTCCGGAGTTATCTATCTACCAAGGTCAAAGGCCAACGCATTGGTCTTTTATCAGAAATCAAACCTCACGAGGGTACCCACCGACGGAATAGACTGATCTCCTCTTCGACCCAAAACGATGTTTGCCTTCAAAGCGGTCTGCAGTTTCAGTACTTCGATCATCAACTCAACTGCTTTGTGGACAGCTTCAACCATACCCTTGAGGTCGCAAAGTCATGTACCTATCAATTGCCACCCAAGAGCTCAGCGCTTCAGCAATTCCTGTTCCGACCCGCCGAAGACCCTGATGGGCCCTCTCCCAATACAGCCATTGCAATCCAATCCGCTGCGCCCGATGATATGACACTGGATGAATGGAGAGCGCTTGCAACGATGCCACTAGGGGTTGAAATTCAGTGGCAAAATGTTCTTTTGGAGCTGTCAACACAGGCAATTGATTTGAAGAAGATTGAGACGGAAGTCTTTCTGAAACAGATAATGAACCAGTCCGGTCCCACCCAAAAGGACACATGGTTGCGAAAGGCGCATCGCATTCTCATGGACGGAGATTTTGCAAAGAAGTTACTTGTACGGGTCCAGGGGGTGTTTCAGAGGCTGGGGGAGAACTGGGAGACGATCTATGGCCTCAGCGGCCTGATATTCCTGGTTCAAAGGGTCTCTTCTCTATCTGATTCCTCTGAGATACAAGAATTGTCTCTTGAGTGTATGAGAGACCTTCGACAGATTGCCTGCAACTGGATTGCTATTATCAGAGACCGAGTCAATCAAACCTTTGATGACACCGAAAAAACTAATTTCGTTTCAAAATGCGTTCATATTGCATTGGTGTGTACGGAAACGTTCAATATAGAGAATTTGGATGCGATATTTGCAACCGCATCAGATGTCTCGGTCTTCATTCAGTGCTGTCTGTTGATTCATGATTGGAAGAACACATGCACTTCTGAGTCTAACACACCATTCCCCATTTTGCATCACCGATGGCAGCTCCTGACATACCGCTGCTACCCGATGCTAGCAATCAAAATCGTCAACCAAGGGGACCAAGGATTGAATATGGCCATACAAAAGGCTTGGACAGCACACTACATCACAACAGTTTGGTCAAAAGCGCCATCTTCAAATGGCCACTGGCTCATGTCCCACTCCGCATCTCAGCCCAACAAGGTTGTGCACTACAATATTTTAACTGGCGCATTGCTTGTCAACGGACACCCACTCGCTCGACTACCCCCAGATTATAAGCGCAACATCACGTACCAGATTTTGTTCGGAGGGTCTCAGCTTCCAGTGATGCCCAGCGTTGAACCAGGAATGCAATTTTCTTGTCAAGCGCAATACATGGGGCATACTGTGCATTTGAAAATGGAAGATATCCCTGACACCGATGCCTCTGAGCTTTTTGTCAAGGTATCCAATGAGAATGGGGCCTGGGAGTTGATTCCACCGAGGCTTCTTCTCGGTTCATTTCTTGAAAGCTTTGTCCAAAACTTTGTTCACTGGTACGCCGTCGACAAAGGTTACGTTGAATTTCGACCAGTTCATACTCTCTGGCAATCATCTAATGAAAACTGGAGGCTATCAGAAGATGAGCTTTCGAAGCTGTGGTCCCTAGGTACACTAGACACGAGGTTACTCAGTACAAAAAGTCAGACTATCAAATTGATGTCTCGCATCTTTGCACCAGTTGCACACGAACTGCACATGAATTGCAGCTGGCATTTGCCAAGTGGGATCTTGAGCATCGATCTCCCATTCCTCCGAATGGAGTTTACTCTGCAGCCCAACTCTTCTTCACTTCAATGCCGACAATATCCGGGTATGTCAATCGATACCAACCAGTCGCTGGGGACTTTGACTGGTTTGGAAAATAAGTTGCTGCTCATCAATCCAACGACTCAAGATCGGTTGTTATTAATCCCCGAGGGTGATGTGACTTGGGCCCAAAATGAAAACCACGTGAAAATACAAGTGTCATGGAAAGGGGAGACCAAAGTTCATGTATACTTGGTTGATAACAAGTTAGGGAGACTGATTGACAACGGAGGTCCGCAAAGTAAGCTCTTTTTGAGTTACTTGCATGCTCTGACTTCGTTCTGTCTTCCAGACCACTTGACTGGAATGACTGGAACAGAGCAAGCACTCTCCATACTTCGCTCGGCATCGCTGAGGTCTTTCGACAACCTTGACCAGGAACAGAAAGAAATACTGGCAAAGATTGCAGCACTCACTCCCCAGAGACGATACTATCCTCAAGATACAAAGGTGATGCAGAAAGTCTACTGGCCAAATGACCTACCCTGCCTTTCACAGAACAGTGACTTCTATAAGGAGGTAGCGGATATCTTTGACCAAGACCGTCAGATGGCTCTCTTCCACCCGGAGATGGAGGCAATCTATCCATCATTACCATTTGTCGAAAAGGAGCTCTGGACGCGGGACCGGATTCGCGCGTCATCATTTTGTGTCGCGGGATTCGGGGCAGAGAACCACACACGCGATTTTGACAAGAAATACACAGCCTTGGACTCTCAGCAATCTTCTGGCACTGGTCAAGTGTACTCAATCTGCAAAATGATGTACGATGAGCTTCCTTGCATCCGTATTATTGCGGTTCGGGATTTGGTAGAGGACCTGTGGAGACTCTTTTCGACACTCGATATTGTGCATGGCCCTCAGATACAATTCGACATTTCGGTGATAAGATACGATGCAGAATGGATCCTTCGACCAAATGACTATCTTCTCAGTCATTGGTGCTCTATTCATCGGATCATACACTCGCACAGATCCGTCGTGAACAAATTTCAGCTAATGCTTTGGCTTTCAGCTATGGCGTTTTCAGAGGACTCCGAGGTGTTCCCTTTGGAGATGATTGCAGCTATTTTCCTCATTCCTGACATTGGTTCTATATCCCTGCCACTCCGGGATTCCTTTTGCCCGCGTGATGGCTGTGGGTTGGATCGGGGTACCCTAAAAACACAGATCCATTCCACCCACCTTAACCATGTCCCAGAATCGAGTCTTAAGGCCAAAAAAAACGAGGATCATTCAATCTTCAAAGGCCGAAGAAGGTCTCTGATAAGAGAAAATCGAGGCAAAGCCATGGACAGGATGATGCGCCATTTCGAGACCCAGTGGCCAACTCGGTCACCGTCAGTCCCCAACTTCAACGACCATCCGAGATGCAGTGACTATTTCAACACAATGAAAGCCACGCTTCTTGTACAGAAAGAATTTGTTAGTTGGTCCAACAATAGAGAACTTCGAGGCTATCTCACGAACCTCGTTACTCGAGTGAAGTCCCAAACGGTTTGTACTTTCGCAATGCCTTCCTACTCCGCTCAGCTCCCTGCAAACACCACAAGACAAAAACGGGGATTTGTCACTTTGGATGATTTGCTTGGTGAAGTACCTATGTGTGATTTAAAAAGGCCACAGTTGTGCAAATTGTTTACAACATCCCAGATGAAAAACCACTGTGAACTTCTTTCAAACTTCATAGTGTCCCTGGAACTGCAGGCAAAATCTCGGTTTGAGAAGGTCTACGTGGCAGAGCTGCGCAGCAGCGCGATTTCACTTCAAGAATTGAATATGGAAGCACACTTTGTTGTCGACGCCAGCGAAATGAAAAAGGAAATTATTGGCTACCTCCGGGAGTGCCAATTGTATCACGAGAGAGTTTACGCCGCCATAATGTCTAGGATACCCTCTTACAATGCTTTCACTGGCTTCTCTAAATCATCAAAGCCTATTGTTGACAAGGTTCTAGAGACGCTAGCTTGCGTGAATCAATTCCCAAGGCTCTCGCCAATGATTCTTCTTCGCCAATTATCGCGATATCAGTGGTCCCACCTGCCAATTGGCTGGAGAGACTGGTTGTCTTCATATGGTCGTTCAATAACCGATTTGCAACGAGCAAAGCGGCTCGCAAGCCTTGTCGGCAAAGACGAGGATCTTTTGAGGGAACTTCAGAATCCAGGTCATGGAAACTGGGAGCCGATCAATCACCCAGAGTCTCTGCTTCTGGAGATCGAAAATGGTATCACAATTCGAGATGTCCAAGAAGAGATAGCGAGGAAGATAAGGGACATCAAACCGGGAGAGAATGCCGTTATGCAATTAAACATGGGCGAGGGCAAATCTTCTGTGATTGTGCCTATGGTCGTCGCAGCGCTTGCAAATACACCACGCCTGGTCCGTGTACTTGTGGCAAAGCCGCAATCCCGACAAATGATTCAGGTCCTGGTCTCCAAGCTAGGTGGATTATTGAGTCGTCGTGTGTATTATATGCCTATATCGCGCTCTCTCAAACTTGGGGCGGTGGAAGCCGATCAAATTCTGAGAATGTGTCAGGAGTGCATGTTGCATGGCGGAGTTCTACTTATTCAACCTGATCACATACTCTCTTTAAAGCTAATGTGCATTGAGAGCTTTATTGTTGGGAGAAGTGAGGCCGACCAATCCCTCTTGAAGTGCTTGAACTTCTTCCACGAATACTCGCGCGATATCGTTGATGAAAGCGATGAGAATTTTAGTGTGAAGTTTGAACAGATCTACACAATGGGAACTCAAAGTCCCGTTGAGTTCAGCCCCCAAAGGTGGATCCTGATCCAACAAGTGCTAGGAGTCCTGCAAAAGTACGCACCTAGTGTCAAGGAAGAATATCCTCACTCCATTGAGTTGGATACGCAGCAATCAGGTGGAGTCCCTAGAATACGTTTGCTTCGTGGCGATGCGGAAGAAGCGCTGTTCGACCGAGTTGCGACTCATATCTGCAACAACGGAATCGACTCTCTCCCAATCTCCAGACAGCCTAAACAAGTCCAAAAGGCTGTGTTAAAATATCTGACAAAGCAGAATCTGACACCAGATGAGATTGCTGCAGTTGAGAATCCTAGCGAAGGCGGTTTCTGGACAGAGAGCACCATCAATCCACTTCTTTTGTTGCGTGGCCTGCTAGCCGGAGGTGTTTTGAGTTTTTGCTTCTCAAAACGCTGGCGCGTGAACTATGGACCGCATCGGAGCAGATCGCCCACCACGAAGCTTTGCGTCCCTTATAGGGCTAAGGACAACCCTTCTCCCAGGTCTGAATTCAGCCATCCCGATGTCATTATTGTTCTGACGTCGCTCCATTATTACTACGCCGGGTTAGAGGATGATGATCTTGTTCTAGCTTTCGGGCATCTCTTCGAGTCAGATAATGCCGCCGCAGAATATCAAGCATGGGTCCAAAATGCACCAGCGCTTTCCCTTTCTTGTCGCCAATTGGTCGGGGTCAATCTGGAAGACCGACCAAATTGCACAGAGAATATATTCCCTGCTCTTCGTTCCTCTAAGGGCGCAGTCGATTATTTTCTCTCTCGCCTTGTTTTCCCTCGCGAGATGAAAGCGTTTCCGCACAAATTGTCAGCCTCTGGGTGGGATATCGGAGAGCTCAAGAAGCACGCCACTGTTGGATTTAGTGGGACGAACGATGGCAAGAAAACTCTACCACTAAACGTTCGGCAGCTGGTGCAAAGCGCACAGAATCATACCAATGCGTTGGTTTTAACTCACCTGCTCCAGGCAGAGAATTCTGTGACTTTCGAACCGGAGCAAGCAAAGCCTAGAACCTCAAATGCAGTGCTTCTCCTGGAATTGGTTTCTTGCTTAGACCCACCAGCCCAGGTAATCATTGACGTTGGTGCCCAGATCTTAGAGCTGAGCAATTTGGAAGTGGCAAAGCACTGGCTGCGAACTTTGCCTAGGGATGGACCCGTCAAAGCCATTGTCTTCGTGGACGACAACGACGAGATTTGCGTCCTTGACCAAAAGGGAGTTGAGCTACTGAACAATTCACCTTATGCACGGCAAATGGAGGCGTGTCATGTCTTCCTGGATGAGGCACACACGCGAGGAATTGACCTCAAGCTCCCGCCTGCATATCGTGCAGTAGTTACGTTGGGGCCCGGAGTGACAAAGGACAAGCTTGTACAAGCTTGCATGAGGATGCGCAAACTCGGGAAAGGACAGTCCGTGGTATTCTACCTCCCAAACGACATCCAGTTCAAGATACTGGAACTGAATGGGAGGCAGAACAAGTCAACCATCACGGTCTCCGATGTCCTCTGTTGGGCGATATCTGAAACTTGGGCAGAACTCCGTCACAGCATGCCTATTTGGGCGGTGCAAGGCAAACGATTTGAACGACAACGAGAAATGTGGGACCGTATCTCCACGGATCATTCCCTCGGGCTATCCGGAAGTCAGGCTGAAAACTTTCTTGAAACAGAGTGTCAGAGTCTTCAAGACCGCTACCGACCTGGCTGTGCAGAAAGTTCAGATTTGGGTTCTGCGCGTAATGAGACCCAAATCTCACAGCTGATTTCCGACCGACGCGCTGAATTCGACGCCCTCAAATTCGATTCTTCCGCCCTTCAAGAAGAGCAAGAGCGTGAGCTTGCTCCGGAAATCGAATTTGAGCGGGAAGTGCAGAGGCCCCCGATGATGACGCCAAATGTGCATCAGCTCCATGAGGACCTGGTGTCTTTTGTACGCACTGGAGTGCTTCAAAGGCCCTCCATTGCTGTCAAGTCGGCATTCCACTCGTTTTTCACGACAACATCAATCGCGTCTTGCATAGATTGGTCTAGCTTACCAACCCGCCTGCTTGTGACGGCAGACTTTGCCAAGACTGTTCTGACCCCAGTTTCTCAGCCGTCTGACCTTGCTGCATTCCAAAAGCCAGTCCGGTGGATTCTGACGAGCTCCCTCCCCTCTTCCTCCTCTTCCTTGGGCAACATAAGGACTGCCACGCTGATGATAATCATCAGTCCTTATGAAGCCCGCTGCCTTCTTCCGGCCATTCGACAATCAACAGTGGTGACCCTGCACCAATATGCACCGAGGCAGAGCTTTGCGTTCGATTCGCTCGACAAGCTCTCCCTGCACAACATTCCGGAGAGAACAGGTGCTATTGAGATTCCCGATGGACTCCGGATAGAGCTGAACCTTTTCGCTGGGCAGCTCTATCTTGAGTCGTATTCGGAGTATCAACGACTCTGTGCTTTTCTCGGGTTGGCATCGGTTGCAGCGCATGAGGAACTGCGTGTTGATGTCGATGGCTTCATCAGAAACGGACAAAAGTCTTCTTCGGCGTTCCGCCAGAGCCCGGTGAAATTTCTCCGGGTTCTAATGTCGCAGGTCCGCAAAGACGGACAGGGCATCGATAAGTCCCACATTGGGCAAATTTTGAACGGTGTCCTGTTGTCCCCGTCCGACTTTGCGGATCCGACATAAACGGCCGATAGATGGTCTTTTGGAAATTTTCTGATGATTGTGTACGAGTAGAGTGCCTTCGGGGAGTTTCCTCCCCTCACTTTCTCTGATTTATATAGAATTGATGTTTGATTTACTCTCACCTCGCTTTCACCTTGTAGATGAATCATATAGAACTCGTTAGTTTGCCTCCTTAGAAATATTTCAGTCATTTCAACGACGCCCAATCTCCTTGGGTCCTTGGCTTGAAAAAGTGAGCTCGGAGATTTATATGTCTGATAAAATTGACCAATTTGAAGTAGTAGTGGAACTCATCCAAGTGTATATGCCTACTTATAAAAAACGATATCATGTCTCATGGATTTATTGGCCAAGGATACGAGAAAAAAGGGATACTCCCTGCCAGTACCTGTGCCCAGGGCGCCCAACGCATTTTTGGGGGTGAGGAGAATGTTTCCTTCATTTTTTGTTTTTTATTTTTTTTGGGTTTATACTTGTGGACTGGGTAATTGAATACCTATCATGGTAACCAGCGTGTTTAGTCCGGAGTGATCCCAACTTAGCCGCTGGGAGGACCGTCACTTGGAAGGAAAGTGTTGTGAAGAACGGGAAAAGGTGGATCCACGTCATATTCCAATGCCTGACTGCCTGCAGATCATACTTAAACTACATACATATTGTAGTGGGGGACATAGTCCTCACAACGTATTAGCCGCCTGCCTTTTCCTTACTGTTGCAGTTTTGGGTTATTTAAGCATGAATTTACAGAGGTTACAAGTAACAAAGAGTTACAGATTGAGAATAAACACTTCTCCACCTCTCCAAAATCACTTCTTGGAGGATTGTCTCGACCCCCTTTCATATGCCTTGGTCGTTGGTATAGAGTCGAATTGCAGGTGCTGAATCGACCCGTATGCCTGAAAGCATATAGCTTTGAGAATTCCCCTCTTCAATATGTATGTAAGATTGATTGGCTTTGATTGCCTCTTAGAAGAAAAGATCTAGGCAGGAGAGAGTGGTGAGTGAATATATCAAGAGGTAAATTTGTTTTTTAACAAAAAAAAAGGAAGAAGGTGGCACAGACAGGCCGGGGGGTGCACCCATGGAAATCGCCAACAGGTGGACTCCCATGGGGCGGTAACAATCTCATGCCAGTACCTATGCCTAGGCCACGCCCAACCAGAGGTTGGGATGCATCAGTGGAATAATACATTTCTTTTATGTATTTTTAAGAGCGTGGACTGAGCGGATCGAACTGCCGGCCACCAGTATTACCAGTATGTTTAATCCGGAGAACCCAACTCAGCCACCAGGGGAGATTGTTGAAAAGCTTTTGTTTGTCGTGAATTTATAGGAACATATGCTTCCGAAAATGGAAGGTGGGTTTATGTCACGTGATGTCACCCACTGCACCCATTTCGACTTCTTGAGCAATCTCGATTGGCCCATAGTCTCCATACATTGTCACCATCTAGATTGACCCGCTGTCACATACAACCTTGAGCTCGTTCTTTGTTTGCTCTAGGGTTTATTTCTATTTTGGTTTGCTCTTGACAGCAAGTTCGCATGGTTTATACAAAGAGAGTCCTACCTACCCAAGTCTCCTAGCGGCTTTACCAATTGTACCATAAGAGAATTCATACTGCTATGCTCATTTTTTTAAACCTCAGGGAACACAGCCCTACGCGATACAAGCCCTCGAGTTTATACGGCTACTATCGACAGCGGTTTTATAATACTAGTCACCTGTGTACTTGTTTGTTGATTGGATTTGATGAGCGCCAGGTGCGATCTTCTCTTTTGGGACATCAAACATATCCCCCAGTCGTGATCTGCCCTATGATGCTGATATGTGGACCCAGGATGCTGAGATATCGAACCTTCTTGGGTATGACGCAGTGCATGGCCCTGTGATCGCGATTATCCCGAAGTCTTTCTAATGCTTCCAACTTAGCCAGTTCGTGTGGATCTGGTGAAAAGGATTTGTATGCCAGGAGATCGTTTTCCAACACCCCTGGGAGAACAAAGTCTACCACTATGGGCCGTTCGCTTCCCGTAAAGACTTCAATAAAGGGGAATTGGAGGTTATGAAAAATGTCCAGGCTTAACCTAAAGCTTGAGACACAGACGGGTGTTCTCTTTGCGGAAGGACTCCTCATGTCTGGTCCTCATGTCTAGAGATGACCAGAAGAAGTCAAAATATTTACTCATGGTGACATGGACCGTCTAACATCATGATTTAGGGTAGGAAAATAACTGGGATCATCGACTAGGCCGCTGTGTGTGATGTGCCGGAGAGGGAGTACTACGCCTTGCTATGGCCAGCGCTCGATGCAGAGTGGCTCAAACTCTCGACATCTATTGTACCGCTAGATGAATATGAATATTGGTACAAAATCAACCGTCAAATGAAGCCACACAAATGTATCTAATTGTAGAGTCATCTATATCCACAGCACTCATTACATACTTAATAGGAAGTGTCTCTAACTAATTAACCTTTGGAACTAGCGTGAATAGAAATAAGCTTAAACTCAGTCCACCTGTCGGAGACATTACATAATCATTTGTATGTGCCGAGGTGTGCCGAGGTGGCCAAGAATCCTGAATCGGGACCTAGTTCAACCGGGTGGATATCATTCGGCGACTTTCGTATTTTTTTTCCTCCAAAGCTGTTTCGCTTTATGCCCTGACAAATGGATCCATGTGTCAAAAGTGGGATTGTTCTAGGGGGAATTTAAATTCCGTGGATATGTGAGTTATTCGCCTTCAGAATCCAGATGGTAATAAATTCAAAATTTTCAGATGATAAATCAATCTTCAACTTCCCCACTGTAGATTCAATATATAAATTAGGCCAGTGCCCCCCTGCAAGATGGAATTATTCACGCATATAACAAATAAACATTATACTTGAACATTATCAAAATGACTTGGCCTGACGTCTCCGCTAAGGCCGCCGAGGGCATCTCATACTACACCCCTGCCCAGAGCCCTCCGGCAGGAACAGCTCGCAATCCTCAAACAAGCGGAAAGCCCATTCCCAAGCTCTTCAAGCCTCTCACCATCCGAGGAGTGACTTTCCAAAATCGCCTGGGTGTATGCAATTCCCCCCCAATATCTTCCAAATCACACAGCTAACAATAACCCTCCAGCTTGCGCCCATGTGCCAATATAGTGCCGAAGATGGCCACATGACCCCCTGGCACATGGCCCACTACGGCGCCATTGCCCAGCGCGGACCTGGAAACATGATCATCGAAGCAACCGGTGTTGTCCCCGAAGGCCGCATCACTCCCGGCTGCGTCGGCCTCTGGAAGGACTCGCAAATCGCGCCGCTCAAGCAGGTCGTTGAGTTTGCCCACAGCCAAGGCCAGAAGATCGGTATTCAGCTTGCACACGCCGGCCGCAAGGCGTCGACCGTGGCTCCTTGGCTTGGCGGCGTTGTTGCCAACAACTCTGTCGGCGGTTGGACCGATAACATCAAGGCTCCCAGTGCCATTCCCTTCTCCGAGGGTGATCCTATCCCCATTGCCATGACCCAGGACGATATCGCCGAGGTCAAGACTGCCTGGGTTGCTGCTGTTAAGCGTGCTATGGCTGCTGGATGTGATTTCATCGAGATCCACAATGCGCATGGTTACCTCCTCTCGTCGTTCCTTAGCACATCTGCCAACAAGCGTACCGATAACTATGGTGGCAGCTTCGATAACCGTATTCGTCTGTCCTTGGAGATCGCTCAGTTGACCCGTGACGCGGTCGGTGAGAATGTTCCCATCTTCCTGCGTGTCTCGGCTACCGACTGGCTTGAGGAGAGCATGCCAGCTGAGCAGGGCTGGAAGCTTGAGGATACGGTTGAGTTCGCTCGTGCGCTTGCTGCGCAAGGCTGTGTTGATTTGATCGATATCAGTACTGGTGGTATTCACTCTGCTCAGAAGATTACCTCTGGTCCTGCTTTCCAGGTTCCTCATGCTGCTGCTGTCAAGAAGGCTGTTGGGGATAAGATGCTTGTTGCTGCTGTTGGTATGATCAACAACGGAAACTTGGGCGAGAAGATTCTCAACGAGGATGATCTTGATGTCATTCTTGTTGGTCGTGCCTTCCAGCGTGATACCGGTCTCGCTTGGCAATTTGCTAAGGACTTGGATGTTGAGATTGCCATGGCTGGACAAATTCGTTGGGGTTTCACCAGCTTCCGCAATGCGTCCGAGTATATTCAGCCGAACTCTATGAAGGCTTGCATTTTTGATTAGATTTAGATTTAGATTTAGATACACCAGCTGTTTGGCTTGCATTGCATTGCATTATATAGACCGTCATTTTCAATAAATGGAAATAGATATGCCGTTTACGCCTGAGACCTGTGGTTGACTTCAAGAACAAAAATGATCAGTAACGAAGCGATAATGAATTTCATAAATGTGACGGATATCGGTTTCGTCTCCCTCGGGATCTTCTCTATCGTCTTTTTTAGTTGCCGCCTGTTCGTAGTTCCATGCCCTCGACTAAAAGTAATCCAATACATCTGGGCAGGAAAAGTTCCAAATTCAGAGGCCACTTTTAGGTAGGACATGAAGAAAGGAATGCTGAGGCAGTCACTTGTTCCAGTCAAGAAAAATAGGGTTCAAGATAGGACTAATCGTCTTCAGAGAATGGTATCAAATTCAAGAGAAAATATTCAAGTTTGCGCAGTACTACGATTCATTATTGTCCTAGTCAAAACTTAACATGGAAGGCTACGTTGAGTAGAATAATTGAAATGGAGATCGTGTTAATTAGATTTTAACTGGCCTAACGAAAGCTGCGATTATTTTTTCATGCTGGAAACATGGTAAACAGTGTCCCTGTCTCGCTGAGACTTGATGACATTCGGATTTCCAGCTCTATGACCCCTTCAGCGTACATCGAAAACCAGTTATATGGTTCTCAACGGACGCTGAAGAGGCCATAAAACTGCAGATCCGAACAATCACCATGGTCGTCACCGAGGTGAGGTAAAAAGGTATCTCACCGTTCAGACAAGAGCCATGGCCTCAGCAAAAAAAAATCCTCCTGGGGACACCCAGGGGATATAAAAAAAAAAAAAGAGACATCGCTACCTCACTGAACATCCACCCGAGGGTTGCGATCCCTGAAAGGGAGGTCCAGTTTGGTAGATCCGCCACGTACCCGCCGGGACTGTCAGCAAACGATTGCGACCCGTGGTGCATCGGCCTCGTGCTAGAAGGATTTCTCACACGCTTCCTAGAGTGCTGAACTCGGATCCAAGTCCAGACAGCTCCAGGTTTCCTCTTCGTATTTCGTATTACGCGCAGGTGTAAACCTTGAATCGCTCCGTGCTCGCTGGGCATCGGAAAACAAATGATGATGTTTCGCAAGCGGTTCCATAAGGGGCCGTTATGGCTTCTCCTCTGGTATCTCGACGTTGCTACTCCAACAAAGCGAAATAAAATCTGATCATTGCTTGAACTTGGGATCGGACTGTCCAGCACAAAGGACAACTTCAAAAGATGTAAGCAGGTTCGAACCAGAACGTGAACTAGTTCTCCCCATGCCTTCCATCATACAGTCTTGCCTGGAAAATCCGTGGTCCTCCCGAAGGGGACTGAAGGTTTCGCCAGTCAAAGTTGCAGAAATTGTAGCGATGGCCTCACAATTCATGGATCCTTTCGCATCAGCTCTGATTCAGTGAATCCGAACGCAGGATTTACCCTGCATCCGCTGAATAATCTCTAAACGATGCGCAGATCGTTGAGTTGCCGGCTTCATGTACTAGACGAATCTGAGCCATGAAAGCCCCATGAATCTATCTTAAGAAAAAAGCTTCGAATTTCCTCCCTGATCATGCCGCATCTGGAGCGAGCGTCTGTCGTAGCTTGCCGAAGGCGTGCAGCGGGGACATCGCAAGAGGAGCCAATCAGAGAGTAGTTCTAGGCAATGTAACTCAAGACGAAAAATCTTGTGGGCACCAAACCCGTAAGAGATGTCTAGGATCCCACGATTGAAGCAACGCCTCGAGGATCTCAAGCAAATGCGAGGGTTTCTCGGCGCACAGCTCAAATGAGACCTTTCGACAATTGCCGAGATCAATCATTTCCAGCAAACAAGCACAGGCGACGGGATAAACCTGCCTTATTTGCTGGTCATTCATGATGACGCCAATTCCAACATTCATCGCTGGGATAGGACTCTGCAGCCGCCATTCCATTGAAGACCGTTGATATCGCTGATGACAAGACCAGCGAAATCAAAAACGACGTCCACCGTCAGATATTCCAACTACCCTCGGTCGGAGGGCAGGACAACCGAGAGATCAAGGAAGTACCTTCTGATGAACGCCCCATCCCAGTAAGCAGCATAGCTGTTTGGCGGGGTGGTATGGGTGAGAGAACTCCTTCCCTGTGCAGGTTCAAAGAGCCGAGACGGGAAACTCAGGAACCCGCTGCTTGGTGGACGAGGCCAAGCAGGCACAGTTGGGAGAACTCTGGAGGAAGAAAGAGGGAGGGGATTAGGGGGGTACTTATACTCTCTGGTCGACGCATTCCGAACTTCCGGGCGCGTTAGTGGATTATCTAATTATTGCCCCACCTGGGCTCCTGACGCGTCCAACTGGCTTTTTTCGCACTTCTCTCCTGAAACCGATTATGTATTATTCAACGTAGTTATTAATTTTGTTTTCGTTCTCGGTTCTTTTTGTCATAGCCAGCCTGATAGTTAACTACGTGTGGATTTCTGACAAGCTCCACAACGATATTGTATCACAAAGTCCGCATCTTGAGTCACCTGATCTTAGACATGTTAAAAAGTATTCTACAGAGGATATTGTAGGTAGGTCATTGAGGTTAGATATCATCCTTCATTTTTCTGCCCTGGGTCTTTTGTTTTGTTGTGGTCTCATCCTATCAGCTTCAAGTTCATATCTACAGTTTACGGCTTTTGGTATACCTGGAATGGACCATATCACCGGAGTTCCAGAGCCTCATTAGGAGAACAGTAAACACAATCTTTGGCGGGGGTTTACAACTGTGCTGGATTTCACGGAACGTCCGGTGTGAGAAGTCAATTCAGAACCATACTAGCATTATTCCACCTGTAAAAGAGAAACGCTTGCTCTATAAAAAAAATCATCTTGCTCACAGAAATCACTTCCTAGGGATGTGAACTGCTCACGGCAAAATCTCTTTCCCCATCCAATCCCAGCACCTCCCTCTCCCTCCTTTGGCATCCGGTGACAACCCCACAAGCACCTCCAACAGCTTGTCGGCCGCATCGGCTGGCTGCAGCATCTCCCTCGTCCCCCAATACTCCTTGGTAAAATCCGTGTGCACAGTCCCAGGGTGCAACGCCACAGCAATTGCCCTCTGCGCACTCTTCATTTGCAGATGCAAATCAAAAGTCTTGGCCAATTGGAACACAGCTGCCTTGCTTGCACGATAGGAATACCATCCGCCTGAGGCATTGTCGGATATTGAGCCGACCCGAGCGGCCATCATTGCATAGATGGCATGAGAGGGTAGCCCCAGCGGTCCCTGAGAGTCGATTGCAGAGCTGGCCTCTGTTGTCTGGAACTCTGGTGCAGATTTCAATGGGACAAACGGGGAGAGGTACTTCATGAGTAGCAACGGACCGAGGGAGTTGACTTTAAAACTGTCCAGCGCATTGACAGAGTCGATTTTGCTCGGTGATTTTTCAGCATGTAAAATGCCGGGAATTGTCAATCCTAGCCTGAGTGGTGTGTTCGGATATTCCTGGCGGATTGTTTCTGCCATTGCTGATATCGTAGACTCATCTAGGGGGTTGGTTAGCCTTGGAGTAATTAGAAGAATATATTTCCGGGGATTGAGTTGCTTTTTGTACCTGTTACATCAACTTGGAGAATGCGGAGTCTCTGCTTTGCATCCGTGGGCATACCCTTGCTTGACAGCAATCGTTGTTGGAGTTCATCGCAGTTCTTACGGGCCGTTGCGATCACAGGGAGCTCGGTCCGGGTCAGAAGCTGCTGTGCGAAAGCGAACCCCAATCCTCGCGAGGCTGGGGTTACTATGGCAAACCCATGAGCTGCTGGCAGCATGGCAAATTTGCTGAACCAGTATATGCTGTTTTTTTTTTGTGAAGTAGCGAGGGATGGTGGAAGCAATTACAACATGGAGTTGATGTTCGACCTGCATGTGACGTCACAAAGCGTGTGTATCGATTTAAGCTTTCGATCTGATCTCAGGGCTGGGAAGTTTATTTCAATGCAATTTAGAAGGCGCGACCTGTTTACACTCAATTTCTATGATCTACTTGTCTTAGATCAACTGCAAGTCTCCCCGACGCCCTCAACCCTAACCAATATACCTCAATTCTTTCCCTCCAGATCATTAAAGAAGATTCTGCCAAATTCATCGCTGCTATCATTGAAACGGAGCTTCTTGTTGAGTTTCTCGATCTTCTTCATGTCCTGTGGGCTCAGTTTGAAGTCTCCTTCTAGGTTGGCCCTGATCCTCAAGGGTGTTTTGGACTTCGGCAGCACCGAATGGCCCTGTGTGACTCCCCAAGCTGTCAAAACACACAACAGTCAGCATCATACAAACTAAATTCTGGCAGATCACACTCACCAAGAGCAACCTGAGCAGCACTTTTGTTATACTGCTCGCCTATCTCCGCCAACACAGGCTCTTCGAGCAATTTTGCGGTCACACTCTTGCCCTTCTCGCCGTAGATACTATTCTGGTTCCCAAATGGCGAGTAGTGCGTGACATGTATACCATTCTCTCGGTGCCATGCTGTGAAATCGCGCTGCTGCAGCCACGGATGGCATTCCATCTGGTGCACAGCGGGAACAATGGAACTGTTCTTGATCAGACGCTCTAACTCGGACTTGTCGAAGTTTGAGACGCCGATCGCCCTCGCCTTACCGGTTTTCAGAAGCTGTTCCATTGCTGTGTACGTCTGCTTTGGTGTCAGCACGCTTTAATCCAGGGACCAAGAGGTGAGAATGCAACATACGTCGACGATGTCGATACTCTCCATAATCGGCTTCCCATCCTTCTTCGGAAAGAGGTCCTCGCCTGATTTCCAAGCCACGGGCCAGTGCATCAGGAAGAGATCAACGTAGTCCATTCCCAGGTCATCCAAGGATTGCTGCAAAGCCGGTGCCACGTCGTCCGGGTGATGCTTGTTGTTCCATAACTTGGTTGTGATGAAGATATCTTCGCGTGGGACGCCGCTCTTCTTAACGCCTTTGCCGACGGCCTTCTCAGTTCCGTAACTGGTACACAGTCAACACTGCACATTGAACACGCTTCCTGTCTCAAACAAAAAGTAAGATACTTACACATGTGCGGTATCAATATGACGGTATCCTGCCTTGATTGCTTCCGCTACGGCATCTTCCTGCTCATCTGCATCCTGCCAGGTGCCGAATCCAATGGCCGGAATCTCTGCTCCGGTGTTCAACTTCCATTTTGTGGGCATCTTGGATTGATTTATGTCAACAATGATTTAACAGTTTATGTCTTGCTATGAGCTCCAGCTTGAATCCAGAGCAAATCCAAAGCACATCGACACGGTTTTCAAAGGCACGTCAAGTTGACGAATTCGGATTTGTGATTGTCGGGTTCATGACGTGGAATGACGTTTTTGAGATCTCACGGTGCCACTCAAGAATACGAAGTTATTCGGTTGGTGGGCTTTTGAGTCTTCCATCGCACAGCTCGCTTTCCTCTGTCTATAATGCCAATGAGACGCCCGGACCTTGCTGTACTAGTATTATGGCCGTGGGTGCTATTTCGTGTGATACCCCATCTTATACTAGCTCCATGGACAAACAATCCTCCCTCAATCTTCACCACTTGCTAGATCAAAAATCATATGCTGACATTTATCTCGTTCTGACGACGCTGCTAGCTCCTACCATCCAACTTGCTTTTAATACATTCTCACCAGCCATTCCACGATACCAAGCACGTTAGATTTCTCTTCGCCGAGAGGTGTCTTTCGAGGGCTTAACACCTACCTACATACTGATGGTTTCTGCCTCCTGCAATCGGCCCTGTGTTTCCATGTTGACGCTGAGTTGTTTATGAGTAAGGGATCAAGGTGCTCTTGACCTAACAACCTTTTAATGGTTGCTCAACACTCGAGGCTCAAGCCCTTCGGCATCCTGCAAGCAGTCGTGATACCAGTCTAACGATGCCAAGTCGGCCACGCAAGCCAACATGCAAAGTACTTGCATGATGAAGCACGGATAGATGGGAGCATTGCCGAGCAAATCAGCTCATCTCCATCATCGCAGTGGCATGTATTGCTACATTGTATGTATCTCCAACCATTCCTCTTAGTTGAGAACAGGCCATTCCACGTGCAAATATAGTTTCCCTTCATCATACTCCGTACCCACTCCAACTCTCGGCCCAGCTATTTCGCCGATGTTTGATGCCAAGGCAAACAACGCCAAAGGTCGCAGACGTCTACCGTAGCTTACCGCATTAGTTTATATAGCGAGCTCCACCCGCAAATTTTTTTCTTTCCTTCTTCATCGCTCGGAATTATCCAGCTCTCGATCAATATTTTTGTTTTGTTTTTTCTCAGCTTGAACTGTGTCTAATGATGGCACACACTCCAGCTGTGCTCAAAGCCTGAGGTAAATCTCAGTGCTGCGAATAATTCTCGGTTTCATTTTTTCAAAAGGTAAGGAAATCTTTTTTTTTTCTTTCGCAACCCCAAACCCCCGGGGATGATTATATTATAGACATGCAAAGGCATTCCTCAATCAGAAGATCCATGTTGAATCTGTCATACTTTTAAGTTTCAGCCTTGTCTGACCCATCACAACAAAATCATTACTTTACAAGCCATTCATTGAGTGATCTTTGACTAACAATCTCTCGCTCAGGTAAATAATACTTGGATTCAATCCCATCCCTCCATTGCGGCCGTTGCCTTGCATGAAGAAATTTGAACGAACGGGCGGACATAACGTACCTATCTCCTGCATTCAACAAAACCAGAGCGTACAAACTCTGTGGGTGCAAGGAGGTGGATTACTTGTTGAGAATTCGTCACCTGACCCATTGCCCTATCACACTTATTTCATGTCGCATCGACAAGTTGAGACCAGTATTTCTAACAGAAATTCTAGGTAATATATCACTCATCTCTCTGCCCTCCCTCAACATGGACATATCTATTATGATGAATGTGTTATTCACACTGTTGGACTTGGACTTCGGTCCGGGAATGAACATTTATACAAAAATCTGATTTAATGAGGTATGTGTCCCCTGTGGATCGGATAACTCGTATTTCATGCTGACTGACTTGAAGCCTGACTTAGTTGCCATGTCTTGATTTCGCTTTTGACTCATGCTTTTTGCTTGGATCCCATCGCTGACTCGACATAAGTGAACAAATAGGAATACACCAGGTAGACCATTTGGCTCGTTGACCGTGAGTTTACTCTGCTTTCTTCCCCTGTCTCATTGCATGATGAATACCAATATACTGTTCTATCTCTGAACTATCATGTCGATAAACTATTTTCACCTTGGAGAACTGATCTTTTCCTTGACTATTATCATTTCACTCACTTCGTGATATGATCAATTGCTAATATGCATTACAGGAGTCACTAGTCACTTTATAATAGCTCAATACCAAATAATATTTTTCTTCTTGAACACTTTCATATTCGTATCTTTGGGCTTGTCCCTTATTCTCTCCTAGCCATTCCGTAAATCCTTTCCTAGGCTACCTAGCCTCCATTCTCGATGACAGTTCCCTACTCGACAAACAGACCATGCTTCTTGTGCCATTGCTCAAGACTATCCTTACCATACACCTCGTGCACAGTCTTCTTTCCCTCCGGCCACCGCGCCCACGCTGGCTTCGAGCCATCCATGATACAAACCATCTCATCGGGCACCGGCAACTCCGTATCAATTGCAGAGGCAAACGGATGAATCAGTTCAGGCCAGTGGTGATCCCAAAGCCACAGCATAGTGCTGCAATTCGAGCAGAAGTTCCGCTCAGAGGAGCAAAGCTCTTCGTCTGCTGTGCCGCGGTCTTTGATGGCAGTGTATTTCCTGGTCATGACGTTAGTATGTGTGGGTGACAATATGATTTGCGTATCCCGGTGTATAGAATGGCAGTTTCCAGCTGGATCCTGTATTCGGAGGTCAAAGTGACTAGATATGGATGGGGATATGCATGGGTCATACTTGATCAGATCCTTGCCCTTGATGACGTTCAGGCTATCAGCGATGCCGCCTAGGTTCACAGCACCGAGGTGTCCGCCTACTTTGCGGCAGATGCTGCAAGCGCATAGCTGGTAGGGAACTGGTGTTTGGGACTGGAGAGTAAATTCGACGCCACCGCATTGGCAGCTTCCTTCAAGGTTCCTGTAGACCCAGTTAATATGTCTGTGTCCAGGATGCAACGCGGTGCTGGTGAAGCTCCACATACATAGGCATGATTTGGTGTGTTTGTTTGATAGGCTAGTGGCAAGTAGAAGTATAATGAAAGAGAAAGGCAATGTAGGTAGGTGGAATTGTTGGAAAGTTTGGGTTTATCCAGAGACAAGAGGTACTCTCGATATATATACTTCAACCACCGCAGGGGGAAATCCCACAACAAAGCTAGCAAAACGAGCAAACCGCACAGGCCTCATATGATTAAATGACGTGTTTACCTCTACACAGCCTATTTTCCATCCATAAAGCTAGATATATCATAATGCTCGAGTCTGATTCCCCAACGGCCCATTGATATCGTGCATCATCGACCGTACCCCGCAGCTGTGATTGGCTGAACTGGTGTTTGTCTAGTTTGTCCTGTTTGTTTCTCGGAGGTTTGGATTCGCTTTCGCCGACTGATAGTCACCTTACGAGCTAGTTTCTTGTCTGTACCAATCCAGAATCCTGCTGTGTTGATAGTCAGAGCGGATATACGCTCATTTTTATTGAATATGAGTTTCGGAGCCCCCGGCGGTGGGTCGGTGAACTACAAGCCATCACCGTGAGTTGGATTATTCCAAGCATTCATATTTGCGCCGGCTACATGTTGTCTAGCGAATGAACGAAACTGGGTCTCTTGATCTACATAATTGCTGACACAACGAAATTGTCTGCAGACCTGAGCGCGGTAGCTTTCCTCTTGATCATGAAGGTACACCAGCCCGCAGCCACCTAGTTCATATCCCTAAGGAACTCGGCAAGACTAGCAAAGACAATGGCACTAATCACAATCTGGGACACTACAGGGGAATGCAAGCACATTATCTCGGGATATCTGAAGTGTATCAAGATGAACAAAGGCACCAACGATGAAGCGTGTCGCAAATTGGCTAAGGAATATCTTTCCTGCCGAATGGACAAGTAGGCCACCCCGATACACACCGCGCTACTGGATATTGCAATTGCAATGGGATGTGGAATTGCATTCATGAAGAATGTCAGAGCAAAATGCTGACCGAGACAACTTGTGTGATTAGGAACCTCATGGCGCCGGATAACTTCGAGAACCTCGGGTTAGTGTTTAAAGACGGGAAAGAACAGACACCAGCTACACCAGCCGCAGGCTCAGCGAATCCAGAACAGAAGAGATGATATTGGACTGCGAGACATTGCATGATATTGTATGATATGGAAGAGTGGCGCTAGTCCGTGATATTCGGGTAGTGCTGGCATTATTCAAGGCGTTGCACATAAGAAAATGTAATTGATACCTATTCAACACATGAAATAAGTAAATATGACCTGTGTAAATGGATTAGCACCAAAATTCGCAAAATCATACCAATTCGAATCATAGTGGCCTGTTGGCTCTCGCCCTATGCAGTTCCCCGCATGAGAAACCGTTTCCGCCCACCCACTCTTACAATCTCCAACTCCTCCACGGAGCCCCAACCAAATGTCATCGATCGCCCGGCCACCAGACCCGTGCCTCGTAGCAATTATCCTGATTGTGCGCTCTCGTACTGGCCCCCGCCTCGTCTTCCACTACCCTCCGAACCCCCTCAGCGAGAACCGCATCAAAACCACCACCAGGGGCGGCCGGCGCGTCTCGCGCACCCGCACGCGATCCAAGAATACCGATTCGAGCTCGAGTTCGGAGAGCGGATCGAGCTCTGACGAAGATGACGATGACCGGGAAACACAGAGCCATGCTGGTGGAAGTTCCGTGCTAGCGGGCCGTCGCGCTAGCAATTTCGGCCTCGATGATCATCTCCCCGCTGCTACATCGCCTGCTGCTGGTGAGTCTCAGCGCCCTGGGTCGCTAGGCTCTGGGCGCGCATCGTCGGTTCGGAAACGGGCTGCGGGCTCCGATCCGGACCCCGACGACGATGCGGGGACGGCATCTGATCGGCCGGATGATGGTCCTGGGAGCTCTAGGCCACCCTGGGAGTCGCTTTTGGGTGTGCCTGGGAGTGTATGGGAGAAGCTGCTCAGTCCATCTCGGTCGTGGCATAAGCGGCGCTTTGAGGTTGGGATCAATGATTTGGCGCTTATTGGTTGGCCGGTCTTTGTGCGCGAGGATGGTTCATGGCGCAAACAACGACGCAAGAAGCAGAAGAAGCCTCGTCCTGAATGGGACGGTGGGGAATTAGGTCACAACGAGAGTGCTGAGGAAGGTAAGACGGATGAGCAATTTGTTACTTCGCCTGATCTGGGTGCCAGTGTGACTTCCATTGCGGAGTCTGTGACATCGCCGACTGACAGCAAGCGTGGGTCAACTAGCGGACGGCCTGGGAAAGTAGATGGGCCGCTTGATCCGGAAGACAAAGACCATATGACAATGTTCAATGTGGTGTTTGTTGTAGATCCTCCTTTGTTGGAGTACTCCATGCGTGTGAGGGAGATCTACGAGAATATAATCAAGAAATTCGCCAAGGCTCTTAAATGGGAACAGGCTCGCACTGATTATGTGTGGAAGGAGTCACAGAATATTCTACAAATGAGGAGAAGAGCACGAGAGACAAGTATGTTCCCCGCTAATAGCCATACTGTCGGAGCTGACAATGATACTGTACAGAAACATCGACCCATAACCTCTACTCCGAATTGATATCTCAGTCTTCTCTAGCTCGAGCTATCTACACAGTTTATAGCAGCATATCAGCATCCAAAATCGCATCCGTATCGCTCAGCCCCGAGGTTTCCATCTCGCTCCAAATTCCACCTTTGACCTCTACATCATACCTTACTGGTCCTATGGATAAAGCATATCCAGGCCTGTGGCTCACAACAGCAGACAGTACAACCCCTGTCGACGATCCAAATGCAGATGAAAGCAACACGCCGCACCAGATCCTAGCAAAGCACTTTGCTTTACTTCTGTTAGACAGCGAAGCCGCCATTATCAAGGATGTCGAGGCGTCCGGGGGAGCGCTTGCCCCTGCACTTGCACATTATATCCGATGCTCCAAGCCAACCAAATCATTTGCACAGATATCAGCATCATCGGGAATCCCACTATCCCATGTCCAGATGCTGTCAAGTCATCTTGTGTACTGGCGTCGTGCTCGCGCCATCCCTCCCATCCACCAGCGAGACACATACATCGTCTCTCCAAACTGTGACTTGAGCAAGCTTGAAATAGCTACGATCGCTTATGAGACCGCATTCCCAACATACCCTAGCTTGCCAAAAATGCTTTCCACCCTCAGTGGTACCCCTCGCCCTTACAGCAATTTCATCCCTAGCAAAGACCACAAGGAGATATACTTTACTATCCTGGCCTGGTTACTGCGCGGCGGCTGGGTGACCCAGCTTCGTACTTTCGCACGCATCAAAGTCTCACCTGAGATCAAAATGGCCGTGGAGATGGCGCTGCGCAAGGAGGAAGTCGAGCGATATCTATCCAAGGGCAACTCAAACTCGATCCCAGTCGATGAGGACAGCGACTCCGACGATAAAAACGACGACGCGAACTCCTCCTCGTCCTCTTCCCTCGACAGCAACGGCAGCGGAGAAGAGACACCCACGCCTAATCGACTCGACCCCCACGCTCAACTGCGCTCTTCTCACAAACTCCTCGATCAATCAACAGCTCTCCGGCTGTCCTCTTTCATCCTTTCCCCGCACCGCGCATCCCCACTCGAGTCCCGCTGGCTGGACGAAATCTTCGCCCGATTCCCAGACAACCCAAGAACTGTCCAGGGAGACGAAAACGCCAGCCCGGAGATCACAGCCAACGATAGCCTAGCCCTACACAAGAAGTATTGGCCTGTCTTCCTCAAGTACTTCAATGGCACTGATGCGTTGGAGAAGATCTGCGTACGTGAGAATCTCAAGCGCAAGCTTGTCTGGCAGGTCCTTATGCGTCTAGGCTTGGTGACGGGTCCGCTTGGCGCGATGGATCTCGATCCGCGGGAACAAGTGTTGGTCACTGTTCGACATTGGTAGGTTGTTTTCTTTTGGTGTTGGTATAAAATATGGAATATGGAGTTTTCTCTAGCAGGACAATGATATCCCTCTTTTACATACGTAGATATCAATCCTAATATAAATCACCGAAACCTCAGGCGACGGAGTAGTTTCGGGGTCTGTACCTGTGCAATACAGCCGCCCGGGCCCGGGGTCCCGGGGGGCGTATTCTGATTACATACCCACTCTCCCATTCCGATGGTTTCCGCGTGCCCTCAGCCCTAATCACTGCCGAAAGCACAACGTCTGAATATGGATTTATTAGCTAAAAGAGGAATTGGGATTGCTTATATTTGAGTTATTCGGTTGAATTGGATTGGTTGAATTTGAATACAAAAAATATACAAGAGTGACAAATGTTAGTACATGTAGGTACGGAGTACACTAATAGCACTTTCGACATTGGGTTCACGTGTCGGAAGTATACGATATCACATTCTTTTCGTCGCACAAAGGTGGTAATTTCTTTTCATTCACCTTCTCCAGCTGTATTATGTATTACGGAGTGCATTTTCCCCGAATATTTCATCACCCGGCTCGTATATCCGAACGGTCCAACGGGAAGATTACACTTTGGCAGGAAATGGAAGTGTCTATTAAAAGTTATATATACATATGTATATCTAATAAAATAGAATAAAATAGTATCAATACCTGATAATATACTATTATTGCGATAATATATAACTATATCAAAGTAGTAGTTGACATCCAAAAAAGAAAAACTCGACTTTCTCCAACGTCAGATATTTCTATTGTGCGCCAATGGCCGGAGGGGCTCCGGTGGACCCCGCGATATACAAATGCAGTGATGTATTTTTGCTTGGAGGTCGATAAGCCGAAAATTGGTTTAGGTATTTTGTTGTATTATACATATGGGATATTTATTGTTAGGACTCGAATAGAAGCTCTATGTATAAAGTAGAAAGGTCTTTGATGGAAGGTTTATAACAAGCAACCCCATAGTGTTTTCCAATTGGCTGGACATCTGTTGCTGAGACCTTAGAGCCCTGAATATTGCCACTTAGACAGCTATTTTAATCATGGGTCGCCTGAGCTGTGATTGTTATTGGGTCAATACTCCTTTAAAGAAGCATGCGGCTCATATGCCTTTAAACTGGTTCTTTGTTAGTCTCATAGACCATGTGTATATAGAAGAAGCAAACGCAAGAAGTTAACGTACATATGTACATGTACTCGACTACCGAGACTGTCGACCTCGGCAATAAAAACACACCAGAAGGGGACATAGTATATATAGAGATATATATAAGATAGATGGTATTGTAAGGGATTCATCTATTCTGCAATGCATATCACAAGTATATATTAAGTATGGGAATATTCCTTAAACCGGCTACTACCTCAGCTCCGAGATGCCCGATTATAGTAAATGAGTTGAACTAGGGAACCTAGGTAATGGTAGACTTGAATATTAGAGAGTAACATGTATTATATCTCAAAAGAATCAATATATATATAATTCAAAGAGAAAAAAAAAAAGCATTACACTGTTACAAAAAAACCCCCCAAATGCCTTTTATGCGAAATTCCACAATTAAAAAATTATAACGTACAAAAACAAAAAATGTGCCTCAATTAATTACGTGTAAAGAAAAAACCCCGCTACCAGTTCTGCCCTGAACCAAATAATTTTGTGTCTTCTCTCTCTTCTCTCTTCCTACATTTCTTCCCCATCGGGCTGTTTTTCTCCTCCGCGACTTCCTCCCTTTCGGTACCTCTCCGTCTCAGAGAGAACCGATACTTCCGTCTCTCCTCTCCCACGTGCGAAATCGCGTTCAGTTTTTTCCCCCCAAGGGACGAGCGAATTGATCTTGTGCTTCGCATCCTTGTCAAGAACCGAGCCCAATCCTGACAGCAAGTACACAGCGTTCCTGTGCATCCGACTTGCAGCCCTCAGCGACTGAGTCGTTTCAACCCTTTCCTAATCCTAGCGACGTCGACCAAGGCAGTGCCTTCGCAGCGTCCTCGGTGGGAATTTTTTTCCCCTTACACTACACCTTTCTGTTTTTTCCTTTGACAACCGGTATTCTCACAAGCAACGTCTGCTGAGATCACGCCTCCACGAGAAATCGACAGCCCATTTATCAATGCGATTTGTGGTCTAGACGATCCTCCTAGCAGATACAACTCCTTCGATCGCCCTTTTTTTGCGACCAGACACCCCCGTGGTCTTTCGTCTCGCTTACACACGAAATCGTCCTTCCGACACACAATTGAGAGTATCTCTGAAAATACGGGAAGCTGCAGATTAGTGGGGTTACAAAAAGCTGGAATTTTTTTCCCTTTCTTGATTTCCACTTGCGCAGGTGCCATCTCGCCCCCCCAGTAGGCGCAGACTGATATCCCAGAGCAACCCAAGGTCGTCCGGGTAAAATATCCCGCACCTGAATTTTTTTCTCCCACACTCGATCAGAGCTACGATTAGCTCTCACTCCGACATGTCTACGTTTTCGTACGCACAAGCCGCCAAGGGCGTCTCCGGGACACCGAGCCCGTCCAAGACACCATCAGAATCCGAGAAGACTGACTCCAAGCCAGAGGAGCAGATCCCCGCTGAGACTACAACGGATGACGCACCAGCCCCTACTGAGTCTGAGCCCGTCCAAAAATCCGAGGTAGTCGCAGAGAAGAGCGAGGATGATGATTTCACCACTGTTACCAACAAGCACTCTAAGACCAAGGCTATCAACTCTCGAACGTCAAGCCGCACGGGATCAAAGTCGCGCAAGACAAAGGAGGATGACTCCAATACCCCCAACGGCAACGTAGATGCTACCGCTGAGAAGCAGGCTCCCAGTGAGGGACAGACCGAGAAGGCCGAAGGTGCCGCAGATAAGTCTGAAAAGTCCGAGGATTCCGAAAAACCCGCATCACCACCCAAGGAGCTGAAGGCTGCTCCTCTCCCCTCAGTCAACATCTGGCAACAGAGACGAGAGGCCCAGGATGCCAAGGTCAAGACTGTCCCCAAGTCCGCTTCCTCTAGCAAGGCCGCCCCCACCAAGACTGCCTCGACTGTTGATGAGACTGCGCAAGACTCCAAGGCTGGCTCTAAGAAGAAGGGCGCCGATGGTGCACAGGAAAGTGCCAAGGATCGCAAGAAGACCGATGGAAAAGCACGCGATGCCGGTAAGATCTCTACTCTCCTACTTAACAATGCCTATCAATCATAGCTACCGAACTCGTTGGGCTTGGATACGAATGATGGCGCATTGCTGGAAATTTGAATTTGAGAAGCTAAGCTAACACAAAATCAGTTCCCTCAGTAGAAGACGCTACCGCATGGCCCACTCCCCAAGTTGCAATTGGCGAAGAGAAGAAGAAGGCTCAAGAGAAGACTGATAAGAGCCCCGTCATCAGACCCCATGGAAAGGAAAAATGGACGCCCGTTCCTTACGTCCCCACTGCTGTTTTCAACACCCCGCTCCCATCTGCCGGAGGCCGTGGAGGTAGACGCGCCACTCGTGGTGGCCGGGACAGTGGCCGCGGAGCTCACGGTAATGGAACTGCTGCTACCGACAAGGCTGCCTCTGGACAGGCTGCCCAGGGCACAAAGCCCGCATCCGGAGATCGAGGACGCGAGTCTAACACTGGACGTGCCGCTTCTCTTCCCGCACAGTCGAGACGGTCCACAAGCACCGACGCCAGTGCTGCAGCTGATGCACGCAAGCCTTCCCAGGCACCTGAGCGTAGCCGTGGAGCTCGCAACGGCGAGGAGAACAGCAAGCAGGTCAATGGCGGAGAGAATGTCCCCCGCTCTCAGCGTGAGGGCAAGACCTTTGGAAGAAACCAGGATGCCCGTGCAGGTGATCGCAACCAGAAGGGTGGAAACTTGGCCGTTGACGCCCAGGCTGCAGCCCGTGGCAACGAGCGTCGCTTCGAGACCGGATCGAAGTCTGCCGACCCCACCGGTTTCAACGATTTCAACCGTGAACGCGGAGAGTTCCGATCTGAGCGTGGAGGCCGTGGATCTAACCGCGGTCGTGGTGGCGCCTACTCCAACTTCGGCGGCCAGAACGCCCAGTTCAATGCGTCTATGTCCAACAACTCATTCGGTGCGCCCAAGTTTGGCTTCAATGACCGTCAGCGGTCACAGCAGCATGGACTCCCCAATGGATCTCAACAAGCAAACCGTATGCCCCTCCGATCGCCCTCTTTGCCCACTCCTGCAAACATGTACGGTGTTGTTTATCCTTTCCCAGGTGATATCAACACGATGTATGGCTACCCAGCTGTCAACTCGGCCCCGATGAGCGCTGTTCCCTACCCCCAGCAATATGTTGAGCCTTTCTCGCTCATGAACATGCTCTCCATGCAATTGGAGTACTACTTCTCGGTTGACAACATGTGCAAGGACATGTTCCTTCGGAAGCAGATGGATTCTCAAGGCTTTGTGCCCCTGAACGTTCTTGCCAGCTTCAAGCGTGTCAAGTCTCTTACTGAGGACTTCGAGCTCCTTCGTCACGTGTCCCGTCAGCTCCGCAGCGTTGAGTGCCAAACTGGTGAGGATGGTATCGACCGCTTGCGTCCCAGAGACAAGTGGCAGCAATGGGTCCTCCCCGTGGATCAGCGCGAACCTGCCGCCCAGCATGATGGTGCCGCCCCTGCTGGAAAGACTGACGAGAACACCCCGGTTTACAACCAGCCCGAGAATGTGATCAACGGATCCGCTCCCCAGTTCGTTCCCAACGGTGTCGCCCATGATGTCAAGACTTCACTTTCATCCACCGCTCCGGAATTCATGCCCTCATTGCTACCCACCGCAGTGAACGAAATTGCCAATGTAGGATACCCCTGGAACCCCCCAGTCTCCCCCGATGACTCGACCACGTCGTTTTTCTCGTCGTCTTCGTCTTTTCCCGTGGACTATTCATTTATTGACCCTTCTTCCTCAGCGCGCGGACTAGATTCGCAGTCCGAACCCTCTTTCCCCTCTGATTTGGAACCGACGGTGGCCCCAGTGAGGTATGTTGAACCTTTTACATGAGATACTGTTTTCTGGGAGACACTGACTGACTGACTATACCAGCAGCTTTGATACAGATTACTTTCAATACCAAGTCGGCGGTGCTGACCGGTTGATCAACCAGTTTTTTGCTCAAGCGCATCAACCGGCGTCCAAGTCAAATAGGAAGGGCCGTTCGTCTACAGAAACGCCAAATTATGCCCCCAAAATTTCCAATATGTCCCCCCAAGAAACTTTCGATGGTCGAAGCCGATCGGTGGTAACAAGGTATAGCCTTGGAATGACCCAGCTCTACCGATCCTGGTCACTCACCTTGACAAAAAATTTCGACTCGCATTTGTACAATGAATTTAGGCGTTCAGCCCTTGATGATCTTTTGACTCGAAACATTGACAACGGTTTCAGAGTGCTCATGGAATTTTATCGGAACTGTCTGCTTCATCCTCGCCCTATTCCTGACCTTGTGATGTACGACCTGGTCCATCTTTCACGAGCTCACGCATCGCAATATCACACCTTCGTCTCCAATACGATCCATGAAACCATTGCCAGTGGAAAGATGAAATCACACAACCGGGGAAGAATCAGCAAATATTTCAATACCCAGCACGGCAAGATGGCCGGAGGCAAGATGGCCAGAGAAAAGTTACCATGAGCCCTTTTTGCATTTCTTTTTTCCTTCTGAATTTTGCTTTTTCGCGACACGTCTACTTCTGCTTATTCATCTTTCATGGCCAACATTATTCTTTTTTGTTCAAAATGGTTTTCCCTTTTTGCATGCATATTCGCCAACTTTTTCTTCTAGAGTTCCCAAGTGGCCACTTCATTTCCATAACGCGGTCTGGCTTCTCGGTCAACTCGAAGCTTCGGAGTTTTATCATCTCCCTTTTTTTCTGTTTAATTTTCATTGCTTTTTCAGTCATGGGAGGTTCTCAAAACGTTCTGGCGTCCGGTCATGATTTTCCTGGCAGTCTCTCTTTCTTTCAATGCCTGCCGCCACGGTGTGCCGGGCCCTCAAAAATTCGTTTTTTTTTCCACCCTTGACATAGATATTTGCACTACTTTTTTTTTTATCTCTTGTTTCCCAAGGTTATGGTTTTCCTTGATTGATCCAGTCAATTTCCTATCCAGGCCTTTCATCGGCTCTGGATCTTAACAAGTATCAGCATGGCAAGGACCCAGAAAACAGCACATGTCTTAAAAGTCTTGTCTGAGGTCACTGCGTGTTTTGAGTTTCGTTCATGGTGCCAATCCGAGAAAATGAATCCAGCATAACTACATTGCCGATCTCTTCCCTGGGTGACTATTTTGGTCTACCTGTTTTTTCTTTGGACAGACCTTTTGAAGTGGATTGATCCGTTTGAGTGCTTTGTTCTTCTTGCCGGGATTCCTGCACAGAAGATTTCGCTTCTGCGCTTTGTTTTTTGCATAAACCGGGCTGTGAAGCCCTTTGTGGAGTAATATGATTGATATGATTGATATGCATACTATGCACTACATGATATTATACTTGCTCTGCAAGGAAATGTCAGTTGTAAGAGTGTATTAAACTATATGTACATAATGATAGTCTAATATTAAGTAAGTCGGATCTGATACAAAGAGGTCGATAGTTTCTGCCTCAGGCAACCAGATCTTGCAACCAAAACGGAGCTAAATCAATCCCGATCCGACTCCAACAGCTCCCCTTCCCCTCTCTAGCTCTGTTCTGCACATCTAACCCACTGTTCTTTATTTCATTTAAGCCCTTTCACATTTAAACCCACCTCATTCCCAAGATGGAGGGTGCATCCCGCCAAACGTCACGGCTACTCCGGCCTCGTGGCCAGAAACTCCTTCCCCAACGTCTCACACGAACCTCCGCAGTCAACGCCACACCCTTCGCCCAGATTCAACGACGGACCCTGTCAAATTCCCCTCAGCCTCTTGCCCCAGAATCTCTTTTCAACACCTTCAAAAGTGGCGGTTCCTACAACGAGGGACCCACCAGCTATTTCTCCAACCGACAGACCCTCCCCGCGAACACCGTTGTGCGATTCGTGCCGCAACAGACAGCATGGATCGTCGAGCGCATGGGAAAATTCGACCGTATCCTAGAACCCGGTCTCGCGATCCTCGTGCCATTCTTGGACCGAATTGCTTACGTGAAGAGCTTGAAGGAGGCGGCTATTGAAATCCCCAGCCAGAACGCCATCACGGCGGATAATGTCACTCTAGAGCTGGACGGTGTGCTATATACGCGTGTTTTCGATGCATACAAGGCAAGGTGAGTGGTTTTATGGTGGTTCTTGGCTCTTGTGTGGAATTGGACCAATCGAAAGAAAGCAATCACTAATACATCAATTGTCAATTGTAGTTACGGTGTTGAGGATGCAGAATACGCTATTTCGCAACTCGCGCAGACGACCATGCGTTCCGAAATCGGTCAGTTGACCCTCGATCACGTTCTTAAGGAACGCGCCAATCTCAATACAAACATCACCAAGGCTATCAACGAGGCCGCCCAGGAATGGGGTGTCGTCTGTCTCAGATATGAGATTAGGGATATTCACGCGCCGGAGGGCGTCGTTGCTGCTATGCACCGACAGGTTACGGCTGAGCGCTCCAAGCGAGCCGAGATCCTCGAGTCTGAAGGTCAGCGCCAGAGCGCGATCAACATTGCCGAGGGTCGCAAGCAGTCTGTTATTTTGGCTTCTGAGGCTCTGCGCGCTGAGAAGGTCAATCACGCTTCTGGTGAAGCCGAGGCTATCAAGCTTAAGGCCGAGGCTACCGCGCTCGGCATTGACGCTGTTGCTCGTGCCATCCAGGAGGGTGGCGACAATGCCCACAACGCGATTAGTCTCAGCGTCGCTGAGAAGTACGTTTCCGCTTGGTCGAACTTGGCTCGCGAGGGCACAGCAGTTGTTGTTCCCGGCAATGTCGGTGATATGGGTGGCATGATCGCCAATGCCATGGCTGTCTATGGCAAAGTCAGCGAGACCCAGGCCCGGAGTTTGGCGAAGAAATCCCTTGGTGTCGAAGGCGCTTCTCGGTCATCAGAGACGTCGCAGAGCAGCCAGGTGCCTACCTTCTTTGAGGGGGCTGAGAAGAACACACAGTCCGATATCGCCTCGCAAACCGCCGAGGAGGGATTTGAGATGGCTGGCCTTGAACAAAAGAAATAGGCGTTTGTACTTCACCCAGCCGAAATGACAACGACGACTTCTCTTTGATGTGCTTTTAATTCCCTGCGCCCTTTTCTTCTCCGCTTTTTTTCTGGCATCTCCTACTCCCTTTTGTCTTCCTATTGTTTTCTGGCATTTCTTTAGGAGTCTTCCAAAACGCACGAGCTTTGCTGTGCATGTGGCATTGAATTTGCCGAATTGGTTCCTGTATGTGTATATAAAGGAATTGTTGGTCAGAGAACCTGCGAGGAAGGTCAATATCTCAATGTACAACTATTAGTATATTATATTGCTTTCCAGGAGTTGTAGGCTTCATCATTGAACTATGCTATATCACGCCTCTTCTACAAGAGGCCATCTACTGAATTTACTACGGATTATGACAGGGGAAATGAAGGTTAATGAAACAAGTGCATTTGTACCAGCTGTTATTCAGGACGGGCAAGCCCTATTTAGTTCAAACCAAACACAAAGAGTCAAAAAGGAGGGGAGAGCATACCTGAAAATGAATAGAATCAACCAGCAGAAGCCGATACAGGAATCGGCTCAATATCGAACCTCATCTCAAGTGAACAACTCTGATCCCAGGTCACAATCCTAGCAATATAATACGTACCTCTAGGAAAGATTTCCAGGACCAGATAAACCGCACACCTCCCAACACGCGTACCTAGAATACCCTGGTACTCAGGGGTATTATACTGCCAGATCAGCGGGGCTTCACAGACCGGAGGCCAGGTGAGATCATTTCGCGATGAATACAGAACCTCTTGCACAAACTTCCTAGTATCGATATTGACAATATCACAAACGTAGAAGTGTCGCAGAGTCTGCGGCTCGGCAATCTCCTGCAAATGAGCTCGTGCAATCTGAGAGAACTGAGGCCCATCACTTCGGAACATCCCCTCGGCGATGATCAATCCCTTTCCGACTATGATGTCGTACACGTTCTGGCAACCAGCAATTCCAGGATCGCCCGATGCGTAAATTTGTGTCACTGTCTGGTTGTATACCGCTTCGTTGGCATAGCCCAGTGCGAAGGCGTTCTCGGAAACCTGGAATGGGATGTTGTGCTTGTCAGTACGGACGTACCACCGCGCCGCTATAAGGTCGTCAATTGTCAGGATGCTGCGCTGGATTTGGCATGTGTCGTCTGTGGGGTCTTCGATCCAGCGTTGTCGTTTAGCGCCTTCGTCTTGGATCTTGCCGTATCGTTGGGCTGGCGTGGAAATTGCGGGGGGTATCTCTGGGGTGTCGGCTGGAATACCCGCAGGGGGAATTGGGGGAACCCAGGACTGCTCTGAAGGAGCCATACTGATGGGTAGGTATATTCCCTGTCGACGAATCGAATGGTAGGTTTGAGAAAAAGATTAAACAAGAGAATAAATGGTGCTATATATAGCATGTGGCAATATAATGAAGATTGAGCTGATATAGATTTCTATGAAAAGTTCATATAACAAAGCAAAGACAACAATGGCCTGGAAGAGAACAAAGACTAAGAAATGCCACTGAATCATAGAAATCGCCTGTCTAAGAGTCCCAACAAAGAATCAGCTTTGCGCTTCTTTGTGCAAATCATTCCTGTTGAACAAAATATTCCACTTTGGATGACAATATAAACCTGGAGGTTTCCACGTATCATCTCATCCACTATCCACAAGCCACTAACCAAAGGCCTTACATCTCTACATATACAATCCAAACAAACCCCTGTCTCATCACCGCCACAATGATGTGCCTATCTCTTACCAGGCCTAACCACCTGACCTATGAACAGCATTTCGAGCGTGAGTGCCGAATCCTCGAGGAAGCTCTCCTAAGAGAGGCCCAGTCACTTCAGATGTTGGAAGATCGCCGCATAGAAATCATTAAGGCCATTTGTGATATGATCGTTCAACTGGAGGTCGTCGGACGGCTCGCTGAGACTATGGCCAGAAAGTCTCGAAAGTGTCCAACTGTCCTGATTAGCCCGCCGGGCTATTTCCTTGGTGAATTTCAGGAATTTTGCCGGGAGAAGGTCTTGACTGCTTTGGGTAGGGCGCTGACTTGCCTTAGTGAGTCAACCAATATTTATCGTGATATCAACTACACAGTCGCTGATCAATTGGAGGCGGCTCATGAGGAGTTCACTTTTGCCTTGGATAGTTCCGAGTAGTCGGATTGCTTTGTTTAGATTTTTGTGTTTTGGTTAAGCTGTTGAATTACCTTTGAATGTTGGATTCATATATTTTGAGGTTAGCTTTATAGACACTGCTCGATATGATGGCCCTAAGGGAACATGGCCTTTGTTTTAGATGTCGTGAATAGTCAGTTGCATTGGTTATAGATGAATATAAAGGTTTATTCTGATTTGTGTTTGGCGTTGATCTCCGTAGCTTAGGAGTGTGTCTAGTATAAGATAGGTCGTTATCACAGAATTTGTGGTCGATAAGCTAGCATTTCACTGCCTACATTGTACATGACCTATCATTGGTGTTGCTTGCATGTCTCTTGTAGATAGCTCATTTCCCCGCTTCTAAATCTCTTGTATGTGATTAATCAAGTTTTTAGATTAATCAACTAGTTAAGTGGCTGTTGATGTATCACATAATCACCTCCGAGCCTTGGAGGTGTCCCAAGAGAGCTATATCTGTACCCTCCATCACACTCCAATGCACTGGCAGTTGACCATCACAATTCATGTACAGATTTTGAGTAACTATATCCAGACCCAAATAAAACACTGTCAAGTCTCAAACAACGTCATTAGCCACGAAGTGCAGCACCCACTATGGGTGAACTGCCGAGTCATTCGTGCCGCTTGTCCCCACACCAAGCAATGTCACTGGTATATGAACCCCCCTCCTCCCTCTTGCTCTCTAAAGTTTCTTGTATCCTCGGCACTATATCTCTAAAGAAATACAATATCCAACAAGATATCCACCATGTCTAGCTCCGGACAGGGATACACCACTAACAGCTCCGGCACCAATAGCTAGGTATGTCACACATGTTATGTATCTGTTCTTGGTGAATACTAGACCATCATCGATATGACAATTACAAAAATAAAACTAGGGCAACCACTATTGCTCTCGCGACTACGGCTCCAGCGCGTCCAACTCGAACAGCTACCACTACTCCAACACGTACGAACCTGAAGCTGCCATGCATAGTATGCAGTGAATGGAAACAGTATATTCTGATTCTTTACTCTAGCAATGGCTCCTATTACTACTCCAACCCTAATGGAAGCACCTACTACAACAGCGGATCGGGAAGCTCAACTTACACTGCCCCCTCTGGAGGGTCCGGTGGATCCGGCAAGAAATAAATTTTTTGTCATAATGTGGGCAAGTGATGGATGTATCCCGTAGACTCAATTTGAGGGAATGCCCAAGAATCTTTGTGGTTTATTTATAGATATGTGTGGTCATGTAGTTCTGGTAGGCATATCTAGTAGCCCTGTAGTGAATCTTCGATCACTCAATATCCGCATACATTGAAGTATTTCTCCGTAAGATAATCATTACTTACCTATCCCACAGTGGTACTTTGACTAGAAGTTTTACTCGGTGTTATTTTCATTATCATCGAGATATCTACGGAGTAGATATTTCGCCTCTCCTTCACCAAAGGATGAACGAAGCTCAAAGACGAGGCCTCAAAATGCAATTCTATGACTGAATTAAGAAATGGCATACACTGGTACTCGAAGAATGTTTGATCTTTGTGTTTGTTTCTAACTATAATCATTCATTAAAGACAAAGCTATCTAGGTATGTATATACTTAAGTGGTCATACTTTCTCGCATATAATCACGTTTGCCCTGTAATACTTTGTATGATGAAACTAGTATGGAGTAAGCTTGTATAAAATAAAACATACAAAATGATAGTGATCCCCTCAAAAGAAATCAATAAGTGCTAACCCTTGCAGCCCTGGAGTGTAGTTCAAAGTCTATCAACGCGGGAGCTCGGGCCAGGCAAATCTGGAGATCGCGACTTTTGGATTCGCGCCCTTTTAATCTCCGGTCTCATCTCTCATCTGGACCTGAGCTTTATATTTTTTTTTCTTGAATCTCGCCACCGAGGACCCTATTTGTTTTTGGCTCTTGGTCCTGCCATGTTCCACATCAAACTCATATAAATCACCTACAGACCAGCTCCGATCCGACACGCCGCGATCCCCTCCTTACCCACGCTCCGCGCACATTCGTGCTGATACGTGTCGCACGACCTTATCTCGAGACACGACCACTCGAACCTTTGAAAATTCAGCGAATAACCGTGACTCTGCTCCGGTATTAGCGCGATGCATATCATAAAGCCGGTTTGGCTCACCCATGGAGGTACGGAGCTTGATCGCCCTGATTTTCTTTGCCCGAGACCGTTGGGACGGAGGCACTGTGCTTCATGAGAGCAGAACCAAACCATCCCATGAAAGGACCAAATTTGCTAATATTATTGCTCTGATACAGGTGAACGCAAGGATTTCGAGGTTTACAGCTGCGATGTATCGCCAGATGGGAAGCGACTGGTCACAGCTGCTGGAGGTGAGCTTGACAATTTTGGCTTTGCTTTTTGCTTCGATGCGGAGATCATAAAGGTCATGCGACGCATAGAGAATTCTCGCTGACATCATGCCTCTCGATTCGCTTTAGATGGATACGTGCGAATCTGGTCAACAGATGCTATTTACGGCACCGGAAATCCCGAATTTGAGGGCAAGCCAAAACAACTGGCGTCTATGAGCAACCACTCGGGCACAATCCATACTGTCCGCTTTTCACCCAACGGGAAATATCTTGCGTCAGGCGCAGATGACAAGATTGTCTGCGTGTATACCCTCGACGCTAACCCTCCAACACATTCATCAACATTCGGTACGCTTTAGACACACTGGATATGGAGAGATGGAGAAAGATACTGACAGCTGTGGGAAACCTCGTAGGCAGCGATGAAGCGCCCCCCGTCGAAAATTGGCGCACGATTCGGCGATTGATCGGTCACGACAATGATGTTCAGGATCTTGGATGGTCGTTCGACTCATCGATACTGGTTTCCGTTGGGCTGGACTCAAAGGTCGTGGTATGGTCTGGCCACTCATTTGAAAAGCTGAAGACGATAGCGATCCACCAGAGTCACGTCAAAGGCATCACTTTCGATCCAGCAAACAAATATTTTGCAACTGCTAGCGATGACCGGACTGTCCGCATCTTCCGATTTACCTCCCCTGCCCCCAATTCTTCAGCTCACGACCATATGAACAATTTCGTCCTTGAGCAAACAATCACAGCGCCATTTGCCAATTCTCCTTTGACAGCCTATTTCCGTCGTTGCTCTTGGTCGCCCGATGGGATGCACATCGCAGCTGCAAATGCTGTGAACGGTCCTGTGAGCTCTGTGGCCATCATTAATCGTGGATCCTGGGACGGTGATATAAACCTAATTGGACATGAGGCACCTGTAGAGGTTTGCTCATTCTCTCCACGACTTTATGCAACTGAGCCGCCCAACAAGAAACAAGCCGATGGGCAGCCTGTGCCGCAACACCACATTACTGTTATTGCTTGTGCTGGCGGGGATAAATCCCTTAGTATCTGGATTACGAGCAATGCACGGCCGATTGTGGTTGCGCAGGAAATGGCCGCCAAAGCTATTTCGGACCTGGCATGGTCTCCTGATGGGAAATGTCTCTTTGCTACTGCTCTGGATGGCACAATTGTGGCTGTCAGGTTTGAAGATGGCGAGCTGGGTTGGGCCACGGAAATGGAAGAGAATGAGAAATCACTCACTAAGTTCGGAACTAATCGAAAGGGCGCCGGCATCACAGAAACCACAGATAGCTTGTTGCTGGAGGAAAAGAGCAAGGCTGGCGAGATCAAGCACGTCGAGGGAAGGATGGGTGCGCTGATGGGCGATGCTGAACCAACTACTGAGCCTCCTACCAATGGAGACAAAGCCCTACAGCCATCAAATGGGACCACACCTGCTCGGGGCTCTTCGCCAGCTCCCGAGGCTGCGAAGACCCAGACTAATGGAACCCCTTCGACACCTGCCGCCACAGAATCAGAGAAGCCCGACCCTTACAAAGCCAAGCTGGAAAGACTTAAGCAGCGTCCAACATATACAAAAGAGGGTAAAAAGCGTATCGCTCCATTACTAGTCTCCGGAGCTGGGGCTGGCGAGTCATCTCTCCCGCAAGCCCGTTTGATGGCATCTGTCAGCAACCAGGTCAAGTCTGACGCCCCGACCACCATTGTTGACCTCTCAAAACCCTTCGATGGCCTACCCAAGGGTGGCCTAACTGCTCTTCTGCTTGGAAACAAGCGCAAGCTGGCCCAAATAGAAGGCGATGAAGATGGCAGCGTAGAAAAACGTGTGGCGCATGCTAGTCAAAATGGTGCAACTCCTATCATGGCCAACACCCCCGACGGCCTTCTACCAGCTCAAGTTCAATCTGCCATGACCGGTCAACAGCCAACTCCAGAGTTCATTCGCCCTGCAGTTACAAATCCTTGTATGTCAGTCAGCCAACTCCGTCTTGCAGTTCCCAAAATTCGCAGTCAGATTGTCCGCGCGCTAGATGCGAGCGGGAAACCGACGGAACAACCTGCACCTGGTGCAGACTCGAGCTCTACCAAGAGTCGGGTGGATGTGGTTTTCGAAGCTCGTAACCCATCGCCAGCAAGTTTGACCGGTCGTGCTGTGGATCGCGAGCCAGTACGCCTCACATTGTTCCGTGGAGATCAGCCATTATGGCAGGATTTCCTACCACGGACTGTCCTGCTTGTGACTGGTAATCAGAGCATGTGGGCAGCTGGGTGTGAGGATGGATCAATCTATCTTTGGTCACCGGCAGGTCGTCGTTTGGTAAGTGCCCTTGTTCTCGAGGCACAGCCTGTCATTTTGGAGTGCAACGGACCGTGGATCCTGTGCATATCTTCCGTGGGCATGTGCTATGTCTGGAATGTCAAGCACCTGTCTTCTCCTCACCCACCAGTCTCTCTCCAGCCAGTCCTAGATGCTGCAATTCATACTATGGGTGCGCACCCCACGGTTGCTCCCGCAGTAACAGATGCACGCATCAACTCGGAGGGCCGAGTCATCGTTTCTTTATCCAACGGCGAAGGATACTCCTATTCCCCATCCATGTTCACATGGCAGCGCATCTCGGAAGCCTGGTGGGCTGTCGGCAGTCAGTACTGGAACACTACAGACGCACCCGTGAGCAACTTGCAGGCCAAGGACGCACAGCAAGATACCAAGGATGCAAAGGCAGCTGTCGCAGCTGGCATCATTCCTTGGTTGGAGCGAAACACCACGAATGAGACCCTCCTTCGCGGAAGAGCATACTTCCTCCAGCGTCTCATCAAGGTTTTACTGTCACGCGAAGGGTATGAGACCTTCGAGTCCAGCGTATCCATTGCTCATCTCGAAAACCGTCTCGCTGCTGCTCTGTCCTTGGGTGCCAAGGAAGAGTTCCGGTTGTACCTTTCCATGTACGCCAAGCGTATCGGTGCGGAGGGTTTGAAACTGAAGGTCGAGGAGCTCCTGAAGGGTCTCATGGGAGGTCTTTTCGAGGACGAGGACGATGCCAGTGAGGGAGTCTTGAGACTACAGGCCAATGAGCGTGAAGGCCGTAACTGGCGCGAAGGATCTGATGATCTGTGTGGCTGGCCACGGGAAACATTGTTGAAGGAGGTGATTCTAGCACTTGGTATGTTTTTGTTCTATGTGTTTTTGTTCTATGTGTTTTTGTTCTATGTGTTTTTGTTTTTGTTTTATTTTAATGATTCAATTACTAACGAATGCTCGTCTAGGTAAACACCGTGACCTTCAACGTGTGACAGTACCCTATGCCAAGCTGCTGGATATGGTTGACACGACATCAGAGAATGGCGATGCAATGGATCTTTAATGATGTTTTCTATCTTGCTATCTATACCTTTTCTGCTGTTTTGCTGGCGTTCAAGAAGTTCGGGCTGGGTTACCCAAAAGGGGGTTGCATTATTTATCTCTGCTGAGGCGGGATTGGAGATGATATATCTCATTTTCAGGGTGTACTTGTATCATAGGTTCTTTTTTGGGGTCGTTCTTATTTAAGCCAACCTATTCCCATCTTGCTATGGTCTGTTGTTGTTCTAAGATGGACTAGACAGACCATGATAACCCTACAGAGCTCCATACATCGTATTACGTACGCGGCACCCACTGGGGTCCGTCCAGGGCTTCAGGGCTTCAGGGACAGTGACGTCGTCAGGGCTTGACTTTCACGTGGGCGGTCACAGCTCTGCAGGCAGAAAATTTCAAGATACCTGGCGCGAACAACATCAACTTTGCTTTTTGATAGTTAAAACACGCATTCATTTACTCTCTTTTTACTCATTGACCTTGTCCACAATTACTGTGGGCAACCGCAATCACGTCTTCCACTTCCTCCATCTTCTTCCTTCGTATCGTCGATCGATCCGCAGCTGGTTCTGCATTTGGCGCGCTCCATCCTTGCTCCCGCTTCCGCCTTTCGACTTCCCCCCACCTCCCACCTCTCTTCTGTCGCTTCTACTCAAGCAAGAAGAAAAAATCCAATAAAATGCCTCCCAAGAAGCAGCAAGTCCAGGAAAAGGTCCTTTTGGGCCGTCCAGGAAACAACTTGAAGAGCGGTATCGTATGTGAGCTAGGCCCACCCATTTCTTTTTTTTTCCCTTTTTTTCCACACAGCACAGTCCACTTTTTAATTCCGAAAAACTATTTAAACCCCCCTTGCCCCCTTTCCTCCCAACATTTTTTTCTTTTCCTCTTCTCAACCATGATTGACTAACATTATGGCTTCAGGTTGGTCTTGCCAATGTCGGCAAGTCGACACTCTTCCAGTCCATTACTAAGTCCTCCCTCGGCAACCCGGCTAATTTCCCCTATGCCACCATTGACCCTGAGGAGGCCCGCGTCATCGTCCCCGATGAGCGGTTCGACTGGCTCTGCCAGCACTACAAGCCCAAGTCGCAGGTCCCTGCCAACTTGACCGTGTATGATATTGCCGGTCTCACCCGTGGTGCCTCGACTGGTGCCGGTCTGGGTAACTCCTTCCTGTCGCATATCCGCGCTGTCGATGCCATCTTCCAGGTGGTTCGCTGCTTCGATGATGCCGAGATTATTCACGTTGAGGGTGACGTCGATCCTTGCCGTGATCTGACTATCATCAACGAGGAGCTCCGCATTAAGGATATCGAGTTTGTTGAGAAGGCTCTTGACCTTCTTAGCAAGCAGACTCGTCGTGGTGGACAGTCTCTGGAGATGAAGAAACTGAAGGAAGAAGAGGCTACTACTGCCAAGATTCTTCAGTTCTTGCAGGATGGAAATGACATCCGCAAGGGTGACTGGAACCCCAAAGAGGTATGTTTTAAAATTTTTTCATCCTTCTCCCCCAACCCACCTTGCCCTTCTATCCACACCAACTCCTTACCTGATGAATAAGAGCACTGCTCGAAATTTAACCCAGCTCGTTGAGTGCCCTCATTAAAAGGATACTCACAATCCGAGGGCATTTTGAGAATAAAAGTTATATGCTGAAATTTTGGAGTCCACTTCTACATGATTGCATCACTCAAACTCTTTGAGAAATCTCATGCTAACCAATTTGGTTATAGGTCGAAGTTATCAACCCTCTGTTCCTTCTCACTGCCAAGCCCGTTGTGTACCTTGTCAACCTGAGCGAGAGAGATTACATCCGCCAAAAGAACAAGTACCTCCCCAAAGTCTTCGAGTGGATCAAGACCAACTCCCCCGGCGACCCAATTCTTCCCGTCTCGGCTCAGTTCGAGGAGCGTCTGACCCTGATGCACGATGATGCGGCCGCTGAGGCTGAGTGCAAGTCCCTGGGCACTAAGTCCGGTCTGCCTAAGATCATCACTACTATGCGTCAGTCCATGAACTTGGGCAGCTTCTTCACCACTGGTGAGGATGAAGTCCGCCAATGGACCATCCGCAAGGGTATCAAGGCTCCCGCTGCTGCTGGTGTCATTCACACCGATTTCGAGAAGACCTTCATTCAGGCTATCGTATACAACTACGATTCGCTCCGTGAATACGGTGATGAAAATGCCATCAAGGCTGCTGGTAAAATTATGACCAAGGGTAAGGACTACGTCGTCGAGGACGGCGATATCCTGCTCATCAAGGCCGGTGCTGCTAAGCACTAGGTGCACATAGACAATAGTTCTTTAAATGATACACCAGTATGACTCTTGTTAATACCTCCCAAACTTTAAATTTCGGTTTCCGTCCCATAATCCAATTTTGCCTGGCCTGATGCAAATAATTGTTGTTCGCTCTTTTGTATTATTCGCTAGCTTCAATATGTTTGTTTCGTTGCAGGATATGTATACCCTATTTTCTTTATGTGTATGGTTGAACCTTCCTATTTGGAAATAACACGCAATACTCAATATTCATAGTGTAAGATCATACATTATGTTATTCTTTTCTGAGCCGTTTAGCATCAAGTAGGAAAAAAATGCAGAGCACCTTATCAGTCACGTGACTGCGTCCCCGCGCATCCCACTTGCGTATCAAGAGCTTTGATTCTCATAACATCACACCCTCAAACAGCATCATGTTTAAGAAAGAGTGAGTCAAACCATTCAATCAACTCACGCAATGATATACATGGCCTAGTATTTTGATCGGAGCCTCCTACTAGCCAAATGGGAGCACACATCTTCCTCCGTTTCGAGTGCAAAGACCGCAGGAGCTGTCCAGCACTCTAGATCAAGACATACGCAAGCCCCATATGATAGCACTTGCCACACATGCTTTCTCAAGATACCGGCTAACATCCATGCTCCATCTAGTATTCCCCCAAGCAACCGGTCTAAGGTCAAGTCCTCAGTGCAGCGCGGCCTGCGCCAAAAGCTGTTGGAGACATACCCCGGCTTTGAGCCCTTTATTGAAGATGTCATGCCCAAGAAGGCCTCATTGGAAGCCGTGAAACTGTACAGTTCCCGTTCTCCCGTTTTTACCTTCAAATTCCAGCAACGTCATCTCAGACTTTCGACATGAATATGCTATGCATCCCATTTCAGAGACACCGAAAACTAACCAAAACTACCACCCCAGACCCGACCGCGTGACCCTCTACACAATCGACTCAACCCCTCTCTTCTTTCAACCTATCGACGGACCTCCAGTCCCCCACCTCCGCCTCATCCACGCCTACCCTTCCGCTGTCCCAACAATCCAGATCGACCGCGGCGCCATCCGCTTCGTGCTCTCCGGCGCAACACTCATGGCTCCCGGCCTCACCTCCCCCGGAGGCCGTCTACCTGATGCCGAACATGCCCTTGAGGCTGGACAGATCGTTGGTGTCAAGGCTGAGGGAAAGGAGGAGATTTGTATGATTGGTATGCTGAAGGTCGGCACCGAGGAGATTAAGAGTAAAGGGAAGGGAGTTGTTATTGACGAAGGTCATTATCTTGGTGATGGGCTTTGGAGAATGCATTTGGATTAAGTGGATGGTTTGAAAAAGCAAGGGATTCATTGGGCTGGGGTTGCGGGTCTTTTGTGATGTTTTGGCTTGGAACTATACCTCTCTGCACGTACATTATGTGTTGGATGATTTGAAATGAAATATCTCTCTGGACGAGGATCCAGATTGGTTCCAAAATGGGCATTGATTCAATGTAGAGATAGCTTCTTGTAGCGAGGCTGTAATCATGCCTCTTAATATAGTGCTTTGCATTTTTATATATGGAAGGGGAAGCATAATTATCTAATGCTCTGTTGGGTGGAGGTTCTTAGCTTCAGATATCCACTTCCCCCTTTTCATGTCTCCTTTCATCCAGTCAACATATGTCGTGCGATGGCTTCCAAGGACAGAAAATACAGGCTGTGGTATGTGCCAGTAAGTCAATGCCAGTGAACTTGAAAGTTCAGAGCTATAATCTAAAAATATTCAGGTCGATATGAGTATCCCGCAGAAGCCGCAGCGGCGATACTATGATAAATTTGGCGGATACAATGTCGTCAGAGCAAATTATAACGCCTAGGTATGAGATAATTAGACAATCATTTTTGATATATCATGACTCTAACCATATTCTAGAACGATTGGTACTGCAAGCATGAGTATCACTGTTATCCGGGCGCTGAATCCTACCACTACATCAATTTGTTAGTCTTGCCTTGCTTACTATGAGCCTAATTACCAAGTGTCCCTTTTCTAATATCATATCTCGCCTCACATAGGAATGGCTGGTACTACTCAATGAACCCAGATGGAAGTGAAGAGAAGCTTCATATGAAAAGGAAGGAAGCCTGGTTCGGCCCACCTGACAATGATGACTGGGAGAATTGGCCAAACGTCGTCCCTTGGGACAAATTGCCAGCGATACCTGATCGTTGTATTGACAAATTCAGTCGTCCTGGACCTTGGATTTGGAAGGAAATTGAACGATTAGAGCGGGAGCAAGGTAAGATTTAGTCACTTACACCGCATATCATAAGTAATATCGAGAAGGAGGCTATCAGGGTGCCATGATTACTCAGGAGTGCGATCACTCAGACTGGGAGGAACGAAGTGAAGGAAGGGTGCCGAGTGCTGACGAGGCCGTGGAGCCTAAATCGACGAGTGACACGTCGGTAAAGTCTGAGGACGACACATCTGAAGGCCGTTCCTCTACTGGCGAGATGTCCCGGGATGAGATGTCCGAAAGCAACGTTCCTAGGAAAAAAAGATCGACTGCCAGCAAAGTCTCGACACAGCACACGCTACCCATGAGTCTGAAGGAGCAATCGGATGAATCCGAGAGCGATGCTATTGATGATTCCCATACCGAAAAGATAGGCTGTAAAAATGGGAGGCAGAGTTTGATAGCCATAGATGCAAGGCTTACGGCTGAAAGCAACACCTTTGAGGAGCCAGAAGAGCAGAAGGAGCAGAAGAGACTCGAGAGCAAGCAGGCCGAGAAGCAAGAGTCCCAGGAGGACCCCGAAGAAAGGAAGCCGAAAACCAAGAAAACCAAGAAGCAAAAGAAGAAACAGAGAATACTTGGGGGGAAGCTCAAGGAAGATCATGAGAATCCTGTGGATGTACCAAATCGGAAGCGGAAGGCAAGCGATGAAGATGAGGTTGGAACACCTCCAATTACGGTGAAAAAGAAGAAACACCACAGGTCTCAGGAGAGTGGTGTTGCTACAGGGGGTGAAACATAAAGCACAAACAATAGAATCTATTTATACAGTTTACCCAGGGAACTGATCACTCGATGACCCATGGAGAATGATGGGTCTTTTACACTCATGTGGTTTAACAAAAACGTGCATTATATCCTTCAAAGATTACTTGAAGCTGTAGACCACTGTGGAATGTACTTTCGAAGCAGATCCAGCGCCGGCATCCAGGCAAGCAGCTCCGGGCTATCGCGAAGAGCCCCGAGAGTGTTGTTAATCTCAAACCGAGGCGCATTTTCTTGAACCGCCCAACGGGTGTGGGTACCCCATATCTCCTCCTGAAATAATGGAAGAAAGGGATGCAGCGGGTTCGTTGCATCGTCGACAAAAATTTCCAGCCAGCGGGAAAATGAGATGCCTTGTAGCGGGCGAGAGCATTGTCTGCTGATCAGGTCAAAGGCTTCTTGAAGATCTATGGGTGCCGGCTGGATCAAATTATAAGCATGGCCCACGTTCTTGTCGAAGGCGGCAATTCGCAGCATCGCATCCACCACGTAATCCACCGAGGCGAACGCTTTGCGTTGCCCCAGTACGATGGGATAATGGCCCAGCTGAAGGCAGGACGACATGAGACAACCGACGAAGTCACTCGGGTTCCCTATACCTGTCTGACTGTGGCCTAGGACATACCCGAGACGTATGATGATCGCTGGGGAACCGTTGCGGATGGCATTCCAGACCACATTTTCCGCCACGAATTGGCTTTGGGAATATCCTGTGTCATACCGTAGAGCTGCGATATGGCCTAGTGGCCGCTCATTCTCTGGGACGGTCTTGGTTCCTTGCACAAATCCCGTTGGTCCATATGCGGCGATGCTCGAGGAGTAGATCAGCCGCTTCGGTCGGGAGTGATTGGCAAATCTTAGCAGCTCTAATGTTCCCAGGACATTGGCCGCTCGATGCCGGGAGTACGGCTGGACGTAACTGACTAGTGCCCCCAAATGGAAGACCACGCTTGACCAGCCTGCATAGTGATCGTACTGTTCTTGCGGAAGACCGAGGTGCGGGAGCGACAGGTCGCCGGTGATACAAATGATTTTGCTCTCCTGGGAACCATGCAGTCTGTACTTCTCTAATATTTCCTTAATGCGCAGGTCGGCTGCCGATGCGTCCTGGGCACGAACAAGACATGCCACTCGGGTGACCTGCGGCATAGACAGTAGTGTTGCGAGAAGAAAGGCGCCGACAAATCCAGTGGCTCCAGTAAGGAATACTCGACCTTCTGAAGCATCGAGCCAGTCGATGACTGGGCCAGAATTGACGTGTAGGTCTTGACCCAGCAGCGAATCCTGCACCAAGACGCTTTGTTCCTCCTCTGCATCTGGCAAAACTGCTCCATTCTTGAGCTTCTTCACCAGGTGTGTAAGCTGGCCTAGTGTGGAATTATTGTACAGGGCTGCGGAACGCAACTCAGTTCCTAGCAAAAGTCGAATACGGCCGATTAGATATGCCACTTGGAGTGAGGTTCCGCCCAAATGGAAGAAGTCATCTGAAGAATTCAGGCGGTCTAATGGATACCCCAGGATCTCGAGCCAGAGCTGCTCCAAACAAGTTTCCACGGAGTCAGCGTTTTTGCTGGAGTGCACTTGACTCTCACGCGCAACTCTCATCTTCTCCATATGTAGTTGCTCAAGCTTCCTTCGATCACACTTCCCTGTCCTTCCCACTGGAAGCTCCGCGAGGAGCTCAACGCGAGGCACTAGAAGATGGGGAGCGCGGTTAATGAATGCTCGTGCTAAGGCCTCCTGGTCAATATGAATACACTCTGGTACAACATAGGCAACGAGTATTGGCCCCGTGTCGGAATCCTTGGGCTCAACCTTGAGAACCGCTGCTGCGGAGGCGAGGTTTGTGCTCAAGAAGATATTCTCGAGGCCTTCTAGTTCGACACGATGTCCCCGGATCTTGATTTGTCTATCGCAGCGGCCGATAAAATTGTACAACCCAGACTCATCCATACGTACGATATCGCCTGTTCTATAGGCATGACGCGGGAATCCCATCGCAATGCCTTTCAATGGAAGGTGTGGGGGGTTGATAAACGATTTGACGTTGGCTAGAGGGTTCCCACAATATCCTCCACCAACTCCTGCACCAGCTATTACTAGCTCACCTTCGCTACCCGTAGGAGCTGGATTGAGATTTTCGTCGACAATGAAAAGCTGATAATTGCCCATCGGCCTTCCAAGCGGAATGTGACCATTTCGAATATCAGCTGCGGTGACCTCGTGCGAGATAGAAAACACGGTGCATTCTGTCGGCCCATAGAGGTGGATTACTCGCTGCGGGCGCCCGTAGTCAAATATCTTTCGGATCACCGGCACGTTGATCATTTCACCCCCGGTCATCAGAGTGTGGACGTTGGAAAATGCATCCGGGCAGGTGTTGGCAATTGTGTTTAGTAACGCGGTAGTAAGGAACACAACCTCAATTCGGTCTTCTCGGAGACTTTTTGAGAAGAGAACAGGGTCTACGACTGTCTCATGTGGATATATGATCACCGTCCCACCTCTCAACAAGCACACCCATATTTCGAACAGGGTGATATCGAAGACGGTATTGCCGATGTGCGCAAGGCGTTGGCCATTTTGAAATGGCATAGTAGAACTGAATGCTAAGTTGATGATTCCACCGGCCAGAATTTGGGCAGCTTTGGGATCCCCCGTTGTACCTGAGGTATGGAGGATATGGGAACAGCTTGATGGCCCATTGGAGGAGACCTCAAACTCCTCGTCAGATATTGTAGGGCTGAGCGTATGGTCCACAAGGATATTGTCGATCTCCAGAGATCGACTGCGATTTTCGACGTCCACTAGAACCAACTTCACATCCAGGCTTTTGAGAAGTTTCCGGAGGAACACGTCCGGCTGCTTTGTGTCCAAGGAGACGCAGGTCCCACCGGCATAAATAACGGCAATTTGCGCCAAAACATGGTTCATTCCCCGGGGGATGGCGATCGAAATTAGAGTTCCTGGTTCCGGAGCTTCTAGTCGGATCAGTTGCGCGAGCTGGAGGGCTTTGAAGTGCAATTGCTCGTAAGAGATAGTGTGCTTGCCAGATTCTATAGCTGTCACTGGGCCAAGAAGTCGGGCCTGTGCTTTGAAAAGCGGAGCAAGCCCAACATGCCTCACCAGACTTGCATCAAGTTTCCTCGCACATAGGAGAGACGGCGACATGGCGAAATCAGGACAGAGGATTTGGAACAGAATTCAAGGGAAATAGCCTCTGAGGCTAAGTAGTGAAGCAATGTGTGGCAGCCCAACAACCAAGAGGCTTGTTTTCTACTTCATCCTAGTTTGCAGTTGGAGTTAGTTTCATGATAGCTTTCCTGAGACTGTATCAACTTAGCGATGCATTGTGATACGTTTCACGGTGGCATTATTTAGGAGCACTGTCTTCTGTTGCCTCAATAATGATGCGGTAATTGTGGAAAATGGCTATTGTCCATTTCTCACTTTCCAGCTCAAGAAAACCCGAGATTGAACGGAATAATGGAACCTAATACTTCGATATACACTGATGCAACCCGATCCATTAGTGGCTGATGACAAAACTTAGATAGGGGGAACTATATAGTAATAAAAACCGACAATATTGCATGATGTACGACATAGGGACTACGTCTGTTATTTTATAGTGGCCTGAATAGTGCTAATTGGTTGGTCTATTTATATTGTCTTAGTTCCATCTAAAACCCGACGTTATACTGCAGTCCTCGGCTCTTTGCTTTTTAACAAAAACAAGCCGAAAGTCAAAATAAGAGCACAGCATGCATAATAAGCGTTAGAAGTGTAAATGTTACCTTAGGGTATACCTCCAATACTTCGTCAGGGCTGATAATGAAACCACATAGTAAATATATTTTCGCAAATTCATGCTACCAAAGTGAAGTTCTGGGCAAGGAGCATTTGCACTAGCGGAGAAAAGATATGTTACCCTGCGTAGCCGTAGGTTATTCAAAGCACAACATTTGAAGGACCAAGCTTGAAGTTTATAAAAGGGCTCTGTCTTGCAGGGTAATTCAATAGACTCTGGACATTCAAAAACCTGTTAAGATATTCTCGTTGAAATATCCCATATCGATCTAGGTATCGGACCGAAAATGGATGAATGCCAGATCAATCTGCTCCAGTACCTGTGCTCAAAGACCCAGGTCGATGTCGACAGCTTTGATGTTGATAGTATGGAACTGTGCTCGAGTTTCTCCCTCTTCTTAGTTCAATGACATATGCTAATATCTCACTGTGCATCAGTATCGACTGAAATACCAGGTTGTGTCGATGCAACGTCCAATCAGGTATGTGCATTGTGGGTCAAAAATAGACGCCAGGGACTGAATAACTGATTGGAACTGTTTCTCCTTAACAGGCAGAGATCTATTGCGAGATGATCAAGCCACGCCACGATAGTTTGGTAAAGGAAGTGCTTGCTTTCAGCACTAATATGAAGTCCGAATTTCCGACTCTGAGGCTGGAGGAGCTAGCATTTGAAGTCATGGTAAGCCCAAAGCTCTTAATGACTGCTATCTACTGCCCCATAGATTGATTTGACTTTCAACTTAGGCAATTCGGCTAGCCTTTCTTATTATCCCAAATATCACTGGTTCTGTGCATGTGATGGCGAATCCGTGCTACTCGTACCACAAAGAGAAGATTGTCGAGACTGGAACACGTACGTTACCTTTCAATGGTAAAGTCGAACCGTGCTAACAGAAATTCGGTTAGGGTTACATAAAATCTGCAATCTCCTAGATCCCGCTTTCGACACGAATCGGTTGATCATGAAGGTGGCCTCTACATGGGAAGGCCTCCAAGCATGTCGGGAATTGACGATTTGCGGGATAAAGACTCTGGCAACCACGGTGTTTACGATGGAACAAGCCGTTTTGGCCGGCGAGGCCGGTTGTATTTCCATTTCGCCTTTCGTTCACGAGGCTAAAGCACATTTCGATGAGAAGTAAGTCGGGTCTCTTCAAATATCCACCCTCAACCGTCCTGCTCACCGGCCGGTGACAGATACTCGGACGAAGTTCCCCTTCTTCATCTATGCATCCAGGCACAGCAGTTCTACAAGAAGCGGTCAATGAATACAAAAGTCAAAGCATGTGCTACGCTCTCGCTTGACGAGATCCTACAGTTGGCTGGTGTGGATGCGTTGACCATCATGCCCGATGACCTGCGGAACCTTCTAAAGGGGACTGGCTGCACACGCTTGGCTGAAAGTCAATCTTTGTTTGGCGATACTTCTATCCCTGACGGCGGCGACTATCCTTCGTACCTTGATGACGAGAGCACTTATCGTCTTGACTTTTCTCGCAGTGGACAAGGTGCAGGCCAATACAAATTGATGCAGGTTCGTTTCTCTGATCAAGCTAGAAGCTCCCCGTGCTGACGAGTTCTAATCCTAGGTCCTAGCAATCTTTTCAGACTTCCAGTTCAAAGGAGAGGAATTTATGAAACCCCACCAGCAATTTTTGAGCTAGCTTACGAGGATGCGTTGCAGTCGATATTGACAGATGACAGAACTGGCGTGGTTACCGGATATTGCCTCTAGTGCCTCTAGTGTGCTATAGCGGCTTGTATAGTGCTAATTGATTGGGCTCTCTGTACTGTCTCTTCCAGTTCCATCCAAAACCCGATGTTATACTGCAGTGCTCGGCTCTCTGCTTCTTGACATTACACTTTAGATACTTCCCAGGTCACCTTGTACCGAGCTAAGTCCCAATACATGATCATGAAGTAGACAAGAATCGAAGAGAGAAATAACATCTATTCAATAGTGCTGGTATACTGATATTCTGCTAAAAAGCAAACCGCTCGGGGACACCCCACATGCACCTATATTCCTTGACTATTACATTTTAGATCCCGACTGCGGTCTTCGTAGCCCTTATGCATGCATCATGTATCCGATTTTGTTTTCCTTTGCAGCTCAGTCACCCGAGGTACTTGTTAATATTACACGTTTTCCTTTTCCTTCAGTCATTCAAATTTGGTATTTCAATACCTTCTCGACTAGGTACGGACATAAACATTTTTACTATTGACCGAGGTCTATATATTTCTTCTAATTATCCTCTCCAACCCTAGTCTTAGGACTTCAACTGATTTTTTTCCCTTTCCTTTCTCCCCTAAAATATACTCTAGTGAGTTTCGTTTTAGGAAGAATTAACGCCTTCTGCGCCACCTGACTGACTCCCAAAGACCCCTAAATGACGTTCAAATCGTTGCCAATGAATATCAGAGGCCGCAAGCAGATTCAGGTTCCCTCCCCTGCATTTGGCACTTGGACTGTAGATGGTTGGAAATCAACCGGTATGAAATAAAGGCCAGATTCAATCCTGCTTGGAATTCGGCTACTTAATTTATTTTCAAGGTGACCCGCAGAAAACAATCCAGGGAAGTTGCACAGCTCTCCAAGCTGGATGTCGTCATCTTGACTGTGCATGGGAATACAACGTATGCTGCCTTCATTTCAGTTTCTGATATTCCCTGATCTGACGAGTGTTACCTCCACAGGTAGATATTGAGGCTGGCGAGGCGATTCGCCAGTCCGGTGTCCCACGCAAAGAGATATTCGTCACCCATAAACTGTGGTCCACCTTTCTTGCTCCTGAAAATGTGGAGCTTGGGTTGGACCTGGCTCTCGAACGAATGGGACTCGAATATGTCGATTTGTTACTCATCCACCACCCTGTCGCAATCAAGTCAACCGGGGATCTCCGTGAGGCGTGGATTGGCGAGGAGGCAACGCTGGAGGATCAGGGCTCTGCAGCTGACGAGAAGGGCAACTTCGTTCCAGACCTGGAACATTGTCCAGCAGCGGTGGCTGCGCTCAATGGGGGTGTAGGCAGTATTATTCCGACATGGAATGCGATGAAGGCATTGGTTCGCTGTGGGAAGGCTCGAGCAATTGGAGTTTCGAACTTCGACATTGAGCATGTACAAGAGATACTCGGTGCCCAGAGTGACTCCGACGACGAAGTCCCGCTTTCATGCAACCAGATCGAGTGTCACCCCTGGTTTCCCAATCAGCGACTGGTTGACTTCCTACAGGCGCATGACATCCTGGTAATGGCGTACAGTCCATTTGCGTCCTTCAAATACGAGACTGGAGTCTTCCCGCCTCCACTGTTTGCTCCTTACGGAACGACCCTATTGAAAGACGAAACAGTCGAACGGATCGCAACCAAGAATGGTTTGAGCGCCAGTCAAGTCTTGCTAAGCTGGGCAGCTCAACGGTCTACACTGCCAATATTTAGGAGTCGCTCCTCAAATCATCAACAGGAGAACCTTTTATTCAAGGAGTTGCCGCAGGAGGATGTTCAAGCACTGGCAACTTTGGAACTGGACAATAAAATGGGCAAGAGCACGCTACCAATGCTCTTTCCAGAAATCAAGGTATATGACTGGTAGCTGTTGCCTCTGGATCTCGATAACAATCTGCTGAAGGCAACATAATGCTAGTAAAGTACGTGATTGGCTCGTTCCTTAGCAATCGATACTATATTGCACAGCCTAGCTCTTTCTGCAATCTATTTGTCTTGGGGGTTGAATGTCAAACTGTTGTCATTTCTGCCCGAGATATATTCCCATAACCAAATACGTAATGAATTTTATAATAAACAACTAGCGGTGTACTATGTAGGTATATACAACCTGCTTCGTGATGAAGCAGGACATAAAATCGAAAACCAACAATGCAGCACATATGTGGTCGATATGCAAATCTGCACACAGAAAAAATGCAACCGTATTGAGTAAATGCTCAATCATTTGCGTAGTTATACACATTAGAGTAGGGAAAGCAACAATAACTTGAATCTGTCTAATTCCATGCTAAAGATACTATTGAGCAATTAGGACAGGAGACTAGCCTTGAAACTGTCAAAAATCCATGCAGCTTGGTTGCCTACATTTCTGTCTGACAGACCGGGTGTTGTCCTAGGCTTACTGCGCCATATAGATGGAGCCAGTTCCCTCGTTTTCCGTAGAAATAGCAACTCCTCTTCTTGATCTCTACATCTTATCACTATTCTACCGTAAGCCCAATTTGACCAATTTGCTCCTAAAATGGGTGCTCCTGTTTCAGAAGTTGCCATCATTCCCCTAGCGAAGGGTGCCGATCCCCGTGTGGAGAACAGTGAAGCAGCAAATTCCCTCGCCAGATCAATCCAGGGTACAATCGAACAACCTGGATTCCAGCGCATGGCTTGGGGGTTGTACAAAAATGATCCTAGCGTGATGGTTATGCTTGTCGGTAAGTCCCTTCTTGATGAGAAAATCAGATGAAGCCACAAAATAACCTTCTTCTCCAAGATTGGGATGATCTCGAGTCTCATCTCGCCTTCATGGCTGCTCCGTATTATGAAGCTTTTATGGATGGCTTTAATGAGATTGTTGGTGGATCGATTGTTTTGTTCCATGCCATCTTTGAGGAAGGAGTTGGCATTTTGCCTCTGGTCGAGCTCAATAAACACACGGCCGATGTCTCCTTTGCTTTCTTCCCTGCCCCATCCTTGACCCAAGACTTCCAAGATGACCTCTCCCTAGCCTCGCGGGCTGTGAATATGGCTCTCCTCGAGTCGAACGATGCGCCCTCGAGCATTGCCAGTGGCTGGTGCAGTGATGATGCGTTGGACGAGGAGCGCGATGGAAAAGGACCAGAGAGGCCGTGGATGTCGATTGTGACATGGAAGACTACAGAAGACCGACAGAGGGCGTGGGATCGCAAATCTGTTCTCGGTGATATTCCGAAGCTCGCTGAAGGACAGGGGGAGTTGAAAATATTCGAGGTTGAGTTCCAGCCTGTTGTTTTCAAGCCATGAACAGGCTTGGAAATATGTTGCATTTATTATTTAAATAATTGAATGCCAAAAACTTGATCAACTGGCTTATAATTCAAAATTGTAACCCACTCAGCAGATCACTCATTATATATTTCCGCTTTAGGGAGTGTGTTTATATGCATATAGACCCACCTGTACTAGTCCTAAGAAAGACCGGAAGAATCCTCCGGGTCTTCCGTTTCTAGGTATTTCCCCTGAATAGCTTCATATTTGAGTATGTATAACCTTGGGGGTTTCCGGTTCTACTCTATCGGGCAGACCACTTCGGATGCGGGATCAACATGCCGATCCCTCTGATACATCAGTAAATACCCAAATGACTCTTCTGATCATATGCACACGCTAATTATGGAAATAATGTTAGATAACGCAGGGCCCCTGAAGGATGAATTTGGCGAATACATAATTAGGACTCAAAAGTTTAACGAAAGAGTGAGAGATGATCGTACAAGCATGTTTCATCTATTGCTCAAGTCTGACTATGTATTCTAGAAAGATTGGTATTGCACACACCAGTATGTCCGCGAGGAAGGGGATTACTGCTACCATTATGTCCATTTGTGAGTTTTTCCCTGTTGCATGATTCCAATATCTATTGCTAAAATCTTTAGGGATGGCCGGTACTACTCGAAAAACCCAGATGGAAGTTCAGAGAGCATAAACCCCATATTGAAAGAAGCATTCTACACTTTACCAGGAGGGGATGTTCCGATAGATTGCTCAGATGAAGTCGATTGGGACAGGTTGAATGAGATACCCGACCCTTGCATCGCAAGAGCCGCTCTAACCCACAAGGGTTTGGGAGACTTTCTACAGAAGATGAAGAGCCAAGAAAGTAAGTTCAAGTGACGAATAATAAGTGATCATAGCTAATATAGTGCAGAGAAGATTGTCGCCAATGACTAAGCTAGAAAAATACAACTTTGGAAACACATGCTGAAAGGAAAGGAAACTTCTGATATGATCATCCGTGACAAGGACGAAGAGAGCGAGTGCGAGACCGAGGAGGATTGGTCTTCCGACAAGTCTATTAGCAACGCCTGCTCCTCCTCGCCCTCATCTTCATCATCTTTCTCTTCTTCCTCGTCTTCCTCCTCTTCAATTGACAAGAACCCCACGGAACTAAGAGAGAAGCAGATACTCGAGCAGCAAAAACAGGAGAGAAGGAATGAGAGAGAAGAGAGAAAGAAAGAAAAGAGGAAGAGGAGTGAGGAAAGGAAGGAGAGAAAGGCGAAGAGGATGAAGGGGGAGAACCCGCAACGGAAGCACGACGAAGAAAACCACGGGCCAAAGGAGTCTGCGGCACAGAGACAGATATCCACGCCCGAAAAGCAGATACGAAGGGCCGCGACGTCAATGTCTGATTTGACATCGGAAAATGAGTCAATTGACCAGGCCATGGATCTACGAGAGGCCGACGGCAGGTCTTCTCAAAAGCGCAAGGCCAATGAGTTGGACGACGAAGATGAGAGAGTCAGGACCCTAGCCGCGAAGAGGGGAAACAACATGAATAAGAGATGCGAGCCTAAAATGTTGAGAACAGAAACGAATCGCTAATTATAACAAGCGAGTCCGCCGCGCAAAGGCGAGAAAGGCGAAACAGGAGATCAAAGAGGGGGGCACCAGAGTTCTAGTCTCACCGGAGGTATGCCCTGTTGCCATCTTCAATTCGAGCGTGGGATATTGGCATTGGAGGTACCACTAGGGAGGCTGTCAAGCGGTTGTTGCGTTCAAAGCCTCATATTTGATGTTCACTGTTCTTTCATAATATCGAGGCTGGGGACGGTGGAAGCAGATGGACATCACGGATCTGGTCACAAATCATGCATGCCATTTATTCTTGCAGAGGCGTTTCAAGCTGCACCACATATCTGCATGTGGAGTATCACCGAAACTCAAAATTAGAGAAGAATGCAAGATGTACTTGAATCTCAAATTCCCCAAACCCATGTGGCGGGTTGGGGCGTAGTATGAATTATTAGAACAGCACAAAGAAGGAAGCTAACCCCAGCGAATCCCGGAGATAAAACACCTAGGGCCGGGATATAAAAAAAGAGAGAAAAAAAAAACAAGCAGATGGATGGACTCATGGAGTATTCTATAAATGAATCGAATATAGCACAGAAAAAAAAAAAAAAAGCAAGCTCATGCATGCAATCCGATTACATCCCTAGTCTACATCAATAGATGAAACCCCGAAAGGCCGACTAGCCACCTGCTTAAAAAAAAAAAGAAAAGCAAAGCAATCCATCCATTCATTACCATTCCTCCATGAATAACGCAATTAATTACCAGAATTCAGTTCTCAACCCTCCACACCTTGAAGCTGAAGTCATACCAAGCCTAGGCAAACACCCAAGCTCGACAGAACAGCCAATCTTCAAGTTGCAACTTACAGGAGAGCGAGGAGACCAGCCAGAAGGCCAGCAACGGCACCGGGGGCAACCAGAGCCATAGCAGCACCCTCGGAGGCAGTGGGGGAGGCAGAGGCAGAGCCGGTAGCGGAGCCGGTGGCGGAGGTGGTCATACCGGAGTTGGTCTTGGTGCCGGTGGAAGTTCCGGTAGAAGTAGACTGGGAAGCTGTACGGAGAGAGATATCAGTGGTGTTTTTTTCCATGGGTGGGGAAACCAGTAGTCAGGGAGGTATGGGAGCCAGTGGGAAGGGAGCCAGAAGTAGAGTTTCCGGGGGGTTTGATAATAGAAACGCGTTGGGTGGAAGTACCAGTAGTGGAAGCCTCGGTCTCAGTGGTGGTGGCACCAGTAGAGGTAGAAGCGGAGGTAGAGGCAGTAGAAGAGACAGAAGAGACAGTGGAAGAAGTACCGGTAGTAGTGCCAGTGGTGGAAGCGGTGGAAGAGCTGTTCTCAGCCTCGGTCACCTCGAACTTCTGGGACTGGGCGAGGATGCCGGTGTTCTGGGCTTCGGTGGAGAGAAGGTTGATCTGGAAACCGGAACTGTAGTGCGCGTTGAGTGTTAGTGGACTTCATTGCGTGGTGATATATAATGCGACGCCGTGTCACAATGGTGGTCTTACCCTTCGGCGACATCCTTCACGCCGCTGGCAGAGTAGGAACCATCGGAGGTGTCGATGCCGGAGGCAATCTTCTTCGAGACGGGGGGGTAGATGTCATTGTTGACAAGGACGATGTCAACGGAGGAGGCATCGGTGCTATTATGGGGTTAGCTTTGGGCATGACTAGGATAAAATATGAGAGTATAATTAACATACTTGACGTGAGTCCACTTGATGGTGAAAGAGCCGGAAACATCGAGCTTATCGTTCTTGGTGGGCTCGGTGACGTTGATGGCTGGGATAAATTGTTAGATGGGGAACTTTTGTCATGGGGTGATTATTTTTTTTTACATACCTCCAACGGAGAGGGCCAAAGGCAGGAGAGACAGAATGAGTGAGAGACGCATATTGATCGACTTAAAGCGAGAGTGGGGGGTTTAAAAAAAACGAGTGGACGTTGGAGCGTAGAATAAAGAGAGTTGTGAAAGAGAGAAGTAGAAAAATCTTCAGATTTAAGAGATGCTTGTGATTAAGTAGGTGTGACCAAACGCTTCTGATATTGCACAACCTTGGGGATATGTCCCAAACCGTCGACAATGTCTTTACTAAAATACGGGAAAATACATCTGAAAATAGAACTCACATGGTGAGATACCCGGGTTTTCCAAGCATAATAATATTTTTAAACATTTTATATTACAAAACGTGGGAAAATCAGGGTCTGAGTGAAGGTCCTTTGGGGAAAGGAAGATCTTCATGGTTCGTGGACGAGCTAGTTTCAGGTACAAAATCCCACTTGACTTGCATTTATAATATATTACTCCATTATGTCAATTGAGACCCTCCATAAGAACTAAATATAATGTACAGGAGTATAGCCGTCTACGGGTATGTCTACTAACCATGGATGTTGTACGCCGATAGGGCCGATAAAGAATACGCTAAGCGATCTTGGCAGTCCGCTAGTGGAATTTGAGGTCTTGGCAGAGCGTAAACACGAACACGGTTTCAATACCGCTTATATCGTCTGTATTGTATCTTTGAATTTGCAAAAAAATGACTGGTGTAATTTTCAAAAAAAAAAAAAAAGCCTGGACCCTGAACTTCGGGAATTCCCGCATATTTTTAATCGGGTTATCAGGGGGTTTTGCTTGAGCTAAGACTTGATGCACAGCCAATCTCACACTTCTACAGGCAACTAGAGGGCCACGTTCCTGAATCTAAAATCTACAATCCCTGCCCAATATATATTATTTAATATATTATTCCCGTGTCTCAAAAACCAGACTCGAAGAATGGCTCTGCGAGAACACCGTTTGTCTCAAGAGACCCACTCCGCCACCAGGTCAATTTTCAGGCGTGAGACATCTCCCAACAGGGGAACTCGGACTATCCGCTAGACGAACCATAGGTGCACTGAAGGGAAATGAGTGTCTCACCGAGAATCTACCGGCACATTCTTACCGGATTGCTGCGGACTACTGACAGCATGGTGCCATGGCCATAAGTAGTGAATTAGTCAGATTCAAAATTTTGTAATATTCCCCCCCCTTTAAGTCGTTATGGCTTAGAATAAATACGAGATCGGGGGAATGCAAAAGGGTCACAAAATACATATTAGTATTGTACAATAATTTACACCGGCAATTCCGCAGAGCCCCGATATCTACGGGTATCTTGCGCCCTATAATCTAAAAGATTAAGCGTAGATATTCACATTACTAGGGTAGCACAAGAAAGTCAGTCATCACGCGACCTCAACAGCAGAAATCTGGGGGTGAAAGGGAAAAAAAAAGGTGGGAACGGTGAATGGAATACATACAAGTCCCTTTTAAGACCATCCCGGTCCACTGTGGCAGAATCAACCCAGACACTGGCACTCATCCCCTGAACACCGAAATTTCCATAACCATTTTTATCAATGACGACAGGTTTCATTTCGGGATGTAAGAGATCCGTCCACTGCTCGAATGCATGACGCTGTCCAACAAACATTCGCTGCGTACCCCGACCGGCGTTACTGATAACACACGCGAGCCCGGATAAATGGCGGGCGTTTCCGTAGCGGACGAATCCTGTATCGCGGTTAGATCTCGAGTAGATTGGTGGGGGCTCCGTATCCAGTGGAGAAGGCAAAAAAAAGTGAAGCGAACCTATGCAATTTGGCTGGTCGAAATAATCCTGTTGTTCACCGTAGGCGTAGAGTTTCCGGGCTTGTGTTAGCACGGGCAAAAGGCCGTTACAACTTGGTGTCATTGGGTTATCCACATTCGCTCGGATCCCGTATAGGTCACCCCAGAATACGCAGGGGTGACCGTCTTTGCGGAGGAGGACTAGTGCGTATGCTAGTAATTTGAAGGCGGGCGATACAGGGGTCTGCCGTTGATTAGCTCGGTCCTACTAGATCGGGAATAGTAGACTCACTTCAAGCATTTGTCCTGGTGCCTGTGGACAATTAGATAAAGAAATTAGATATGCCAAGATCGAGCCTCAAAAGTTGGTACTTACTGTATCGTGATTGGCAACAAGGGTCTGGAAAAAAATATAGATTAGTATGTGTATCGCTTCGTTGCGTATCAGATACTGAGAAAAACTTACCACAGCATGGTCCGGCCGACGCTGTACAAGTGTATCTTTGAAAATACCGCGCAGGTCTGCGGCCTGTGCATGCGATAACTTCGAGAACCGTTCCAGGAGAGGTACATCATATGCAGAGAGATTATACTCCACATCTTCCAGGTAACGCAGAAGTGAGGGTAAATGTCCAGTCCAGTACTCTCCTATGGCGAAAAAGTCCGGATTGGCTGTTTTCCGAATATGTTGCACAAATGCGCGTTGGAACTCCGTTGAAAAATGCTTGGCGGCATCGAGTCGCATGCCGTTAAGGCTTAGCGATTTGGTGACCCAGGTTCCCCATTGCATGAGGTCTGCGCGGACCTCTGGGTGGGTAAGATCCAAATCGGCAAACATGAGGTAATCGTAGTTTCCAAACTCCGTGGAGACATCTTGCGCCCAGTCCTTGTTTGATTCGACGATCTTGTAGATTGCGCTTTGCTTGCTCTTATCGTCCCAGTCGACACCGCTGAAATGTTGCCAGTTATACTTCATTGAGCTGTACATGTCCCTGCGACCGGCGAAATCAAAGCCTGTCCAACCATTGACTTCCATTGGCTTAGATATATCCACATCTCGTCCTGTTCTCTCAGTTTAGTAAATGGTCCAAAACATGCATATATTGAATCTCAACAAAAAAAAAAGAGGAAAAAGAAGAATAAGATAATCTCACGTTTAGGATCAACCTTGACGGCCTGGAAAGGCTCCGGATAGTCCGCGCCAGCTTTATGATTGAGCACAGCATCCCAGATAACACCAATACCCAAGTTTTGCGCTTGACACATCAAATCTTCAAGTTCACGCTTGGTACCCCATTTCGTAGGGACTGCACCTTTCTGATCGAACTCTCCTAGGTCATACAGGTCGTAGATGTCATAGCCATTGCCATTAGCATCCATCCCCTTGCATCCAGGGGGAACCCAGATTTGATCAACGCCAATGGCCTTGTACTCTGGTAAGGCATTTTGCAGACGACGCCAATGCTGGCGGTCGGCGGGAACATGCCATTCAAAGGTTTGCAGTATGAGCTTGTTATCTGGAGCAGTCCATGATGGTAGCTGTTCTAGATTTGCTGCTGATTCTGTTACCGTGTTAGAGAGTTGGAAGTTGTTTCTAGTGGGGGAGATGGCACCTTCAATCTGTTTCCATTTCTGACCTTTCTGTCGAGATCCACACCACAGGAAAGGCATTGTTGGATGTTGCAGTGCAAATGATTGTATGGAAGCACATATGCAGAATACGCATATCCCTTTTGGGGTTAGAACTCGGATGTGGGGAGACTATTTTTACTCGGACAAAGTAAGGTAAGGAGTACTACTACTCCGTACATACATGTACTAGCAGTACACATGTATTGTATGGAATGTAGTGGATCTTGAAATTATTGAAATTCCAATGTCTTGGAATGAAATTTTCAGAACATCGAACTTTTCTAGAAAACTGGAAAAACTCCCGGGGTCCACCGAGATGATTTAATTGGCTTCCCATAATGCGTAAGGAAAAAATGCACCTCATAATATGAAAGATCAATAGGGGAAAGAGAAAAAAGTGGCCAATATGTATCGCCAATGTCAAAAAAAATATGTCAAAGAAAATATTGCACATGAAAAGGATATCTCCGCGCACCAAGTTGAGCCGTCAATAGGGCTCACCACCATGGAAAAATAAAATAAAAGGGCAAACAATGATATCAGCATCCAAAAAAAAAGAAAGAATAAGTAACGAAGGGATGAAGGATGATTTCGGGGGTATTTCTTTCAAAGGAACGTCACAAATATGCTGGTCACCATTGCTAGCAGGAGAGTAGCTAGACCGGTACCATTGGTAACTTGGATTGCACCAGAGGTCGAACCACTCTGAGTCTTCAACATCGCGAGGGTGACGTTCGTCTCACTGTAACCACAAAGACCGCTACCTTCCATGTAGCGCGTGGGGAAGAACACACGGGGTTCTCCCTTGTCCATAGGGACGCGAAGCGTGCCCTCGCTATCGACAGTATAGTTCTTACAGGCCAGCACATCCGTCACGGGCACGCCAGCATTATAGCTGACTGCCATGTCAATGCTGTAGGGTTTGCTGGTCGAGTGTTGAGTGGACAACACCATGATCACTTGTCGACCCTGGACACCCTTTGTGAAAGCAAGCTCACTGCCGCCTTGGAAGATCGGGTGAGTTGAGTCGTCGAAGTAGTCTGAGCCCAACAAGGATGCGTGTTTCCGGAGACGATTCAGCTTTGCGATGAGCTTGTAAAGCTCCGCATCGGTGTCGTATTTGGTGAGCCAGATGGCTTCTCGGTTATGAGGTACCCCATCTCCGGCCAGATGTTGCTCTTGGCCTTGGTAGATCATCGGGATTCCGTCAAACAGCATAGTAAACACGAGAACGTTCTTGGCCGTCTGCACCGTATTATAATTAACAAAAGCGATCACTCAGACCGAAGAAGGGTGCACATACCGCAATATCGCTGGAATAACTAGCAATTCGAGCCTTGTCGTGATTTTCAGAGAAAGAGGCCATAGCATTGACATCTGGGATCGCGATTCTCATGTTCTCCACTGCTTTTGCCAACTCGGAGGTTTTGCCTTTGGTGAAAGCATCTAGGATTTCGAAATAGATGGGATAGTTTGGCAAACTGGCGATGTAGTTGGTCTGGTAATCTTCCATGATGCTGACAGCCCCTTCAAGAACTTCTCCTGTCATGAAAATGTTGTCCAGACCCACAGCAAAGTTATGCAGGAAATCTGGGTTGACGTGCTTGGCGGCATCAATCCGGAGCCCGTCAATAGAATATGTCTTGATGGCGTCTTTCGCCCATTTGATTAACATCTGTTGGACTTCTTCGTGCTCCGTGTAAAGATCTGGCAGCGGCACGATAAGATCTCCTGTCTGACATCTCTGCGCGTCCGTCATGTTATTCCAGTCTATGATCTTGCAGTAAGGATGGTAATAGTCAGCGTTATTAAAGGGTTCAAGGGCCGAGTAGTCGATGTGTGTGGCGGGATTGCTGCCATTTGTGATCCAGGCCATGTTGTTGATGACGGTATCCATCATAAAGTACATGCCTCGGGCATGGAGAGCGGCACTCAAGTCGAGCAAGTCTTGATGTGTTCCAAAATGGGGGTTGAGTTTGTTGAAGTTCAAGGGCCAGTAGCCGTGGTAGGCTTCGCCATACTCGACTCGACCCTCGATATTCTCCATGATGGGAGAGATCATCACCGCATCGAATCCCATTCCTTGAATGTAGTCGAGTTTGTCAATGGTTCCTCGCCATGTTCCTCCGCAATAAAGACCCTCCGTGGTATTGCATGGTGCTGTCATGGATCCATCTGTACGAGCGAAACGATCCGTCATCGTCTGGTATATGGACCTGAGTTTCCATTCCTCTGTAGTTGCGGCCGATGCCGAGGCGATGAGCCCGCTGATCAACATGAGCCCTGCCAAAGGGCGAATGGTACGTGACATCATGGCTCCTCGTATTTGCTGACTCGTATTTGTGCGGGTCTCAAAGAGGAGAGATGTAGAGAGGGCAGTGGAGATTCAAAAAAAGAGTGACTTGATTAGTTGACGAACGCACAGAAATGGCCGATGAGACGAAGTAACGAGTGACATTTGAACTTTTAGCCAGAAATAGAGAGCGAGAGGAGGCAAAGAGAGCGAGAATTGGCCACCGGACAGGAAAAAGGTCGAAAAACGGGGAAATTTGCAAGGGCAAGGACAACCAAGTCAGGTGGCTTCCAAGGTTCTGTCGTCGATCCATACGTTAGAGCCCATCACCCCACAATCACATTACTCGCATATTATTTTCGGAAATATGTGTGTCCATGAAGTATCTACCACCTAAGCATATTAGATGCGTGAATATAAATATGCATTACTCTGATTACTATCCGATTTAGCTTATATTTGTTAATATCCTCCCCCGGATTTTCGAAGATAGGAAATTGTTCTTTTAGTGGTACTCAGGATTGAAGAAGTTACATGGTGGCTTCATAGCCTCGGATATGAAGCGGGGACGCTGCATATACCAATATTTAGTGTGACTGATTTTATGGTCACGTACGTCTATGGTGTAGATACCCCTCGCATCATCTATTGGATCTATCTTACAGTGTAAGAGGGGGGAAGAAGCGCAAAAGACCACACTAGTAACACTACTGTTAGAAGATACAAGAGGCATTTAAGTGTCTGTCAGGTACCCTAGTCAGGTACCAGGCACCAGGCACCGTGTGTGTCCACTTAGGGAATTCTATCCTTACGTTTTGATTTGGTTGATTCTTGCATGTCACGTGAAGACACTACCCTAATTGTAGAGAGTCATTACTCCATGATCCGTAAAAGGAATGAAGTTCAAGACAAGAAATGACAAAGTTTGCACGGTCCAATCATTTGAGACAAGACATCAATGCGAGAGAGACTAGTGAGTGTTTACCCTCGGGGGCTGAATCCACCAAACTAGCAATGCTATAGATAGTACTTTAGTCCGTACACTCCGTACGGAGGTACCGTACGGAAGACTCTAAATCGTAAATCGATACAACGCTTTGGCCTTGGGATTGGATACGAGATAGTGAGACAATCACGGACTGCGTGAGATTGAATATTATCCATGTTACATACATCTCGGTTAATTTATTTTTGCTAGATAACCAAGTACACTATAAGGGCTCAAATAGACCAACGGAAAAAAAAAAGGAGAAAAAGGAGGTGGGAAATGCACGAAGATAAGTGATTAATACAGTGGCTTTCTTTTCCTGCGCCATTCTCGTCCTATGGCTTCCCGGACTTCCGTAGTGCAGCGTGGCGTTGATAGCAATATCACATCACAGTGAATACTGCAGGGATGTCTGACCATGTGGAGATTAGGGTACAGATTTTTTTTTTTCGTATGGAGTATACTACAATCCAAGGTTTGGATGAATACGAAAAAAAAAAAAAAAAGAAAAAGAAAAAGAAAAAAGAAATCCATAGCGGACATACCGATTATACGGTGTATAGTTTTTGGTTCGGTGGGAGGTATCCGTCTTGGCATTATTTCTTCTTCTTTACATTGGCTGTCATGAAGAACATTTAGACTTCCATGGTTGCACCATGGTTTTATGAATAAATTTCCAGGGAACTGTAAGAAAAGCGAAAGTCAAAAAATTGAAAAGAACGAAGTCAAAACGAGAAAAGAAACGAAAAAAACAAGCCCCATACACTATCTCGTATCGGTCGTAAAAGATACTCTGGGAAGTGGGTAGGTCTCAGTTTGTCAGCCAATCGGTCGGTTCGGGCTACCAGATACTCGGCCCCCAAGCCCACTCGGGCCATGGCCGACTGGTATATCGGCATTGTCATAGGTTGATATTTGCGGGTCTGGAAAAAAATCCAGTGTATTATAGAGTAGAAACACCTATAATAGTCGAACACGAGATTGACCCCTATATGAACTTCTAAGAGTATTCGTTTATCTCTACTTACTAGAGAACCTATAATGTCAAGGTCTATAAAGTATATATCTCATGATAAACAGACTATAGTTCTGACTGTACAGAGTCAAGATACAGGGTCTATCAAGTGGAGTTAGTGAAATGCGATAGTATACGAACGTGCGAATCGGGTAGCCCCGTTCTCAGGCTCCAGTTCTTTTAAAATAACCGGTCAGAGAGATCTCTCCTATTCGGAGAATGCCGTTTTTCGTTTCTTTTTTCAGTATTCTGTTAGTATTGGTCGAACCAGTCCAATTTGATGCCAAGCATAACTTCTGATAGAGAACGAATTAAAACATATAGATAAAAAAAAGTTTTATATAGAAAAAAAAATTACGAGCTTACAATCAAATAGAAAAAAAAATCAAAATCAAAATCAAAATTACCAAGGCCGAGGCGTTGGATACTCCAATACTCCAATACTGGGGCTCTTAGAATTTGATATGGGGTTTGTCTCATCTTTTATTTTTATCTTGAGCTTCAATGCGACTAGCCTCTTAGCACTTAGCACTTAGACACTTTGCACTTTGTGATTCTTTCTCCCCTTTCACATCACATTTCCTCCTTCGTTTGGCACTCCCCTAGTCCTTCGTTTTGTTTGCTTCAGCCTCTCGTTATCATTCTTTTTTTTTTTTGGCACTGCCTTTGACATCTTCTGAAGTTTTACCACCTGACTTCCCAGATATCCACACTCCACCGCCCCATGGCAATTGAGAGCCGCACATCTCCATCTTTTTCATAGGGTGTCCCATCCTCTCATCCCAGCGGGGAGATCCGCACCGAGGCGCGTGGCCATCACCTCTCAGCTCCGCGCTGTCACTAGCCATGAAGTGGTTACTTGCCAGCGGACTGGTCTCGCTTCTTGCGACGACCGTTACCGCTTGGCCCTACGACGAAGCCTACCTCGATTATAACCTGAACCAAAATAAGACGGCCACCGACCCGGCTGATTACTGGGGGACATGGCCTGGCCACGAGGGGAAATATAACCCCTCTCCGGAGAACTGGCGATTCCCCTTCTATTCTTTCTTCTTGGATCGTTTCGTGAACGGTGATCCTTCCAATGACAATATCAACGGTACCAGCTTCGAGCACGATGTGGATCAACGCATTCGCCATGGTGGCGATGTTGCTGGCCTGGTTGATTCACTGGATTACCTCCAAGGAATGGGAATCAAGGTTTGTCTTCTCTATGATCTTCTGGTAAGAAAATATATGCTCACAATATCTAGGGTATCTATATTGCAGGAACCTCGTTGCTCAATCAGCCGTGGACTTCGGACGGATATGGAGTTTTGGATACAACGCTTCTCGACGCGCATTTTGGCACTATTCAGACCTGGCGAGACGCCATTACTGAAATACACAAGCGCGGCATGTATGTCTTGTTCGACAATACCATTGCGACGTAAGTTGTCCCCGTATGCGCAGAGAGGAGAAGAAAAAAAAAAATCAAAAAATCAAAAGCTAACCAAATATATACAGAATGGCTGATTTGATCGGATTCGAGGGTCATCTCAACGTCTCCACTCCATTTTCGGAGAAGGAGTATAAAACACAATGGAAGAGTGACCGCCGCTACAAAGACTTCGACATTGGAGTTGGTAACTACAATGCCAGCTGTGACTACCCTCGATTCTGGCTCGAAAGTGGATCCCCCGTCAGTGAAGATGAGATCTCGGGCCTGGTTGGATGTTATGACAGCGACTTCGACCAGTACGGTGACATTGAGGCTTTCGGTGTGTGGCCTGATTGGAAGCGACAGCTGGCCAAGTTCGCCTCCGTCCAGGATCGTCTCCGCGAATGGAATCCGACTGTGCGCGAACGGTTGATCCGGCACTCCTGCCTGGTGATCCAGGTTTTGGATATTGATGGTTTCCGTTATGATAAGGGCACTCAAGCTACTGTCGATGCGCTTGGAGATATGTCCGCTGCTTACCGAGAGTGCGCGCGCGCCGTCGGAAAGGAGAACTTCTTTATCACTGGCGAAATCACGGGTGGAAATGACTTCGGTTCTATTTACCTCGGAAGAGGTCGACAGAGGAACCAGTGGCCTGCAACCTCGGGAGATACAATGAAATTGACAAATGAGTCCGCTGCCCAGTTCTTCTTGCGCGAAGCAGGGCATGAAGCCATCGACAGCGCTGCCTTCCATTACTCGACATATCGTTCCTTGACTCGATTCCTCGGTATGGACGGGCAACTTTCGGCTGGTTACGATGCGCCTGATGATTGGGTTGAGGGTTGGGATTGGATGTTAAGATCAAATGATCTCGTCAATGCTAACACCGGCAAGTTTGACCCTCGACACATGTTCGGTGCGACCAATCAAGATGTCTTCCGTTGGCCATCGATTGCCAACGGTACCCATCGACAATTGCTCGGTTCTTTTGTGACTACCTTGATGCTCCCCGGAATCCCACTTCTTCTTTGGGGTGAAGAGCAGAATTTCTATATCTTGGATGCCACCGCCGAGAATTACATTTATGGGCGACAGCCGATGTCACCTACATCTGCATGGATGACCCATGGCTGCTTCCACTTGAAGTCATCCCAATACTACAAGTGGCCTGTTCATGCGGCTATGAAGGGCTGCGAGGACCCGACAGTTGCTTACGACCACCGTGACCCTTCCCACCCTGTACGAAATATCATGAAGCATATGTACCACTTGCGTCAACAGTATCCAGTTCTCAACGACGGTTATGCCCTTGGCAATTTGTCGAAGCAAACCACACCGGTTCGGTACCCTGGTTCTAATACCACGGACACAGAGACCGGAATGTGGTCCACTCTTAGGGATGTCAACACCGCAGTGCAAGATTTGGGCTCCGATCTCGACAACCAACCGGTCTGGCTTGTTTACCAAAATCTCAATGACACAGGGAAATACACCTTCGATTGCAAGAGTGACAATACCTCTAAGACACTCACCGCTCCATTTAGTGGCGGCACCACAGTCAAGAACCTTTTCTACCCGTACGACGAGATCAAACTAATCGATGGAGTACGCACACTCGGCTACAATGGATCAAAGGAGGTGAATGGCTGCGTGGAACGCATGGAAATGGGTGCATATGAGTTCCGTGCATACGTTCCCATCGATGCATACAAACCACCTCGGCCCACGATCACCAAATTCACCCCGGGCCATGACTTCCCACTGCGCTCTACCGTGGAGGCCAACCAAACTGAGAGTGTGGCGATTGAGTTTTACTTCTCGGAAATTATGGACTGTGACTCGGTGACCGACTCACTTACCTTGCATTCATCCACAGAGATTGGGAAGATTCCAGCTCTAAATGTCAGCACTGTCCATTGCGGAGAGATTACTCCTATGCTTCAAACAAATTGGACTGCTGAGATCCCAAGTGTCTGGAAGTGGGCAGGGAACCTAACTGGAGTGTACAATGGAGTTCATAAATTGACTCTCAGTAACATCACAAACAAGGCCAAGACTGATTCTACCCACGCCGTTGATCACTTCCTCTTCCGTATCGGCCAATTCGATAACCCTATGGTATTCCCCAGGGCCAACTACTCGAGCAGTTTACTCCACAGGAGAGAGGACAACAGCCTTTTTATCCAACATCACGCCGCTGGTGCAGATAAATACCGTTATACTACCAATTGGGGAACGACATACTCCAACTGGATAGATTACAAAGGTGGAAACGACACCATTGAGAGGCTTAAATGGTCTGGAACCAAGGACCAAGAGTGGGAGGGTGAGCATGTGCGTGTTGAGTACTGGAGTCGTTTGACTGGAAGCAGTGACTACGTACAGCAAGGTGACGTTGACTGGGTTCCCTCAGTCCCAAGACGCTTCCCCCATGTTCACTTCAACGGACCTTACAACCAATATGGATATGACGGGGGCCTCAACAACAAAATCGAACTTGATCCCAAAACCGGAGTCTGGTCCTTCCATTTCACGTCTGAATGGCCCGCAGTCGGGCAGCTCAACATCTGGGGAATGAATCCTGACGGAAAGCCCGATCAGTCCTGGGTTTTGGGTGATATGGATAATGACACAATTCTGGACAGAAGTCCCCCGTCTTCTCTGAGCGCAACCTTGATCAATATCACCGCTGCACCAGCTAAAGGCTATCTCTCTCACAAGCTCTACATCGATGATGGAACCCTCCGTTTCTGGCTTGATCCCGTTGGACCTCAGTCCACACAGATTATCATGTTCGTGTTATTCTGGATCATACCCTTCCTCACTGCTGTGGCATGTGTGTACATCTTCATGAAGTCTTTCTACAAGGTCAAATTCAACCAGGTTGGTGTTAGTGAGAAGGAAAGCTTTATTCCACTCGCTCTTTGGAACAAGATGAAGGCTCGTACTCGCAGGGATCCGTCCTCGAACCCACTGATGCGCTTGGCCAACAAATCCGGCTTTATGCAGAGCACCACCGCTCTGGGAGGAGCTCTTGCGGCCGGCCAGCGGCGTATGGTTCTAATCGCTACTATGGAGTACGACATTGAGGACTGGGCCATCAAAATTAAGATCGGTGGTCTCGGTGTCATGGCTCAACTTATGGGTAAGACCCTTGGTCACCAAGATCTTATCTGGGTCGTTCCTTGTGTTGGAGGTGTCGATTACCCTGTGGACCAGGAGGCAGAGCCTATGGAAGTTACCATTCTCGGCAGCCCCTACCAGGTTCAAGTGCAGTATCACGTCTTGAATAATATCACCTACGTCCTGCTCGATGCTCCTGTGTTCCGTCAACAATCGAAGACCGAACCTTACCCTGCTCGCATGGATGATCTCGACAGTGCGGTGTACTATTCAGCATGGAACCAGTGTATTGCGGAAGCCATCAAGCGATTCCCAATTGACGCCTACCACATTAACGATTACCACGGTTCTCTTGCACCCCTTTACTTGCTACCAAGAACTATACCCGCCTGTCTTTCGTTGCACAACGCTGAATTCCAGGGCCTCTGGCCTATGCGAACTCTCAAGGAAAAAGAAGAGGTTTGCTCGGTCTTTAACCTTGACGAGGAGGTCGCTCGTCGTTACGTGCAATTCGGTGAAGTATTCAACTTGCTCCACGCCGGCGCCAGTTATCTCCGTGTTCACCAAAATGGATTCGGTGCTGTCGGTGTGTCCAAGAAGTACGGAAAACGATCCTATGCCCGCTACCCTATCTTTTGGGGTCTCCACAAGGTCGGAAACTTGCCTAACCCTGATCCATCTGACGTTGGTGAATGGACCAAGGGGCCAACGAAAGAGCTAGATATCACTGTGGATCCAAACTACGAGGCTGGCCGTGGTGAGCTTAAGAGACAGGCCCAGGAATGGGCTGGACTCGACCAGAACCCTGATGCTGATCTGCTTGTCTTTGTCGGTCGTTGGTCTATGCAAAAGGGTGTTGATCTCATTGCGGACGCAATGCCTGCTGTTATCGAATCTCGCCCCAACGTGCAATTGATTTGTATTGGTCCCGTTATCGATCTCTACGGTAAATTCGCTGCCCTCAAGCTTGACCATATGATGAAAATCTACCCCGGACGGGTCTTCTCGAAGCCCGAATTCACTGCACTTCCGCCATTCATCTTCTCTGGTGCCGAGTTCGCCCTGATCCCATCTCGTGACGAGCCCTTCGGCCTGGTTGCCGTCGAGTTCGGCCGAAAGGGTGCATTGGGTATCGGAGCGCGTGTTGGTGGTCTTGGTCAAATGCCAGGCTGGTGGTACAACGTGGAATCAATCTCGACATCTCATCTTCTTATGCAATTCAAGCTTGCAATTGAGGCTGCGCTCAACTCCAAGACCTCCACCCGTGCCATGATGCGTGCCAGATCTGCTAAACAGCGTTTCCCTGTTGCTCAATGGGTTGAGGATCTTGAGATCCTGCAATCCACTGCCATCGCGATTCACGAGAAAGTGGCCAAGACACAGGGTAATTCCAACAACAATACTCGACCTGGCACCTCTTCTGGAATGAGCACTATGAGTGGAACTATGGGAGGACTGCCCTCACCTGGGATGAACTCTCCATTCACGCATTCTAGGGAGAGCAGCTACTCCTTCAATCAAATGAACAACCTCGTTCCACAGAAGAAGGTCAGCTACAGCGCAGATCCAAGCCCGGATGAAACGGAGAAACCCAAGTCGGGACTGAGTCGTTCGCTCTCCCTGGGTGTCCGCTCCGGTCCTGGTCATGCTGGACGCCGTCAGAGAAGAGCTGCAGAGAGTGGCATCCCCGAAAGTGATGAAAATGGAGCCACTGATGTCGAAAGTAGCGACGATGACGCTGCCAGCAACATGTATGATGATGACGAATACACTCTCACTCCAGCCCAAGTCGAGGCAGGACGACGAGCCCAGGCTGCTCAAAAGGATCGTTCTCATAATTTGCCTTCTCCAAGCAGAGAAGTCAGCCAAGAGTCTTTGCATCCCAGGTTCATGGCTCCTTTGGAAAGCCCGAGAAGTCCAGGAACACCCCCAAGCGCCGACAGCCTCCTTCTTCCCCCCCAGCCACTGGGCCAGTCCAACCGATTCAGCAGCGCGTCCGTTCTCTCTCTGGACTCTGTTGTCGGCAACAAGACGGACTTCAAGCTACAGAAGGTTGATCCTTTCTTCACGGATAGCACTGGCGAGTACTACAAGACATTCGACAAGAAATTGTCTACCTTGAACGGATCCAACTCCGAGTCGCAACTTTGTATCGAAGAGTTCCTGGTCAAGAGTGAGCAGCAGTGGTTTGACAGGTTCCGCAATGCCCGACTGGGTCGTAGCAAGTCTCCCACACCATCGATTCGCCATTCCTCAAGAAACACCGATACCCCAGACAATATGTTCTACAATGATGAAGTTCTCTCCAACGTCAACAGCAACGAAGATAGTCCACTTCAGGATGATGAGTTCCTTCTCGGAAAGGACTATGTCCCTCCCACTGGAATGAAGAAATGGATGCAGATCAAAATTGGAGACTGGCCAGTCTACTCTATGTTCCTCGCTCTGGGCCAGATCATCGCTGCAAATTCCTACCAGATCACACTACTCACAGGTGAAGTTGGTCAGACTGCGGAGAAACTGTATGGAATTGCCGCAACATATGCCATTACATCTATCTGCTGGTGGCTCGTGTACCGGTACTTCAAGTCTGTCGTTTGCCTTTCGGTTCCGTGGTTCTTGTACGCTCTCGCGTTCATTTTGATTGGATCTGCTCACTTCCAGGAAGATACCTTCAGTCGCGGATGGATCCAGAATGTCGGTAGTGGTTTCTACGCCGCTGCCTCCTCCAGTGGATCCATCTTCTTCGCTTCCAACTTCGGTGACGAGGGAGGTGCTCCAGTTGAGACCTGGATTTTCCGCGCCTGTGTTATTCAAGGTATTCAACAGGTATACGTGATTGCGCTCTGGTACTGGGGTTCCACCATGACCAAGGCCTCTGCACTGGGTCTCTTGGACCCTGCGACCAACATCTCCAATACCTGGAAAATGAGGTAAATATCCCTGCCCACATATGTTCCTGACTTATTTTACTGACCTTGTTCCAGTGCTATCTGCTACCCCATTGCCGTCTTTCTGTGTTTCGTGGGTGTTCTACTAGCTATGGGACTTCCCAACTACTACCGCCAGAAGCCAGGCAAGGTGCCATCCTTCTACAAGTCCCTCTTCCGGAGAAAGATCGTCTCTTGGAACTTCGTCGCCGTCATCCTACAGAACTTTTTCCTCAGCGCACCCTACGGCCGAAACTGGAGCTGTAAGTTCAATCCCCCCAATCGAACTTCTGCACACCAATCAGTACTAACATTCCATCTTCCAGTCCTATGGGGCTCATACCACACCAAGCCATGGCAAATCGTCCTCCTCTGCATCCTCTTCTTCGGCATCGTCTGGTGTGTCTTCCTCTTCGTCGTCAGCAAATTCTCCAAGAAACACAGTTGGTTCATTCCCGTCTTTGCCTGCGGCCTGGGCGCACCCCGTTTCATCCAAATCTGGTGGGGTGTCTCCGGCATCGGATACTATCTCCCTTGGGTGGGTGGATACACCTCCGGCGCGCTGGTTTCCCGCAGTCTGTGGCTGTGGCTTGGCGTGCTGGATTCCATCCAAGGTCTCGGATTCGGTATCATCCTTCTGCAGACTTTGACTCGAGTCCACATGTGTTTCGCTCTTATTGCATCTCAGGTGCTTGGTTCCATTGCGACCATCTGCGCCCGAGCTTTCGGCCCTAACAATCTCGGGCCTGGCCCGATTTCTCCTGATATGACGCTCGGCGCCCATTCTTTGGCTAATGCCTGGTTCTGGGTTGCTTTGTTCTGTCAGTTGTTGGTTTGGTATGTTGATCCCGGCTTGTCTGGTTAATTATGGATTGATTGCTAACGTGTTTCTGCAGTGCTGGGTTCTTGCTGTTCTTCCGTAAGGAACAACTCGCCAAACCATAAGCTCCCTTTTTGGAGTAGTTCTGTTTCTTGTCATAAAACGGCTATGCCATCACGACGAACATGAATGTCAAATTAATCTATTCTGCATACATGAAGCATGTTGTCTCCTTCCTTTGTGATCTACCTTTTCTCTTCTTCGGGTATTTTAATATTAATACATATTATTGTTGTGCCGAGTTCTTACTCGGTTGAGATGGTATATCAAGTCCTCGCAGTTGTGAAAGTAGGTAGAGTGAATTTCATAATCATCCCCCCAATTAGCATGAATAGGAAAAGATGAGAATCATTGATGATAATGTGGGTTTCATCCGCTTTTGTTCTTCCAACAGGAGATGTATCTCCGATTTTCGGCATTTCCTTCCTTCAATCAATCAGTCAAATTTCAATTAACCTGTTGCAGCCTGACTACTAGTTGCATATGACTATGCAGGTGCTTCATCCACCTGGAGCAAGAACTCGAAGCCAAACGCCGAGTTGGGATCACTCCTAAGAGTAAATATAGAGGCTGATTTGTAAGGAGTGTGGAATCAGCCCATTCCTACATATCGTAATCCATACCCTTTATTCCTACTTTATCGAGCTATTTCTATATCTTTGCCCGAAGCCTAGTAAACGGACATTATATGAGGATATACCTCGGTATTTATAACTACGTCGTAACTATATTAGTCTATTTCTAATACCTTAATTTCAAATAAGAAGTAACGAAGGCCGACCCTTATTGTACGTATCTAGATTAGAATCGTATATTACGGCTTCGTTAATCCTTCGTATAGACCGGGCGATTTCTTATTCAGCGCCTATACTAAGCGCTTTATAGGAGCCGACGGCATCTCTCGCTCATGCTACTTCTTTGTAAAGGATATGCCTGTGCGCAAATTCTCCCGCTCGGCCAAAAGACCATTATGTTAGAGCTCATGACACATATCAATCATAAGAAAGAAGGAAGAGAGAGAGAGAGTTCAATTTTCTGCCAGCTTAGAATCAGGCACATTCAGGCATATTCAGGCAGAAACCCTAATTTTAATTGAATCCGACGCTATGCAACTTTGCAACAACTAGTTCGTTGTCTCACCGACTATAATTTTGCCTGTTGCACTCAGGTTTTCCTTGTAACTTCCCACCTCCAAAACTTCATATAACTCCGGAATGGGGCAGTTTTCACCCTTCATCAGATATTCTGCCGCGGACAGACCGTATGATACTCCTTGCTACCTACAACATAACAAAAAGACCAATTACTAAGCCAAGTAGATCTGGATCTCCCCGCCTCACTCTTACTCTCCAAGCAAAATCGGACCTAGATATCGAGGTTGAGGCGCGGTGTTTTATCACCATCATAATCACGCGAGATGCAGATGATCCTCAAGGACAACCATGCATCATCCACTGGGACCCCATCGAGGATGGATTTGGCCAGTCGGGCATGATGCTACTTCAGTACAATTATCCACACACGAACGAATTGCAGCACCTTCAACCCGACCTGGAGCAGTTGCCAGCAAAATCCCTCCACCCTCGAGAAGTGAATACGTCGGACCCGTGTTTCAAAGAATTGAACCCAGGCGCTAGTGTTTCCTGGGAGGTGGCCTTGCCATCTGTTTACTTTGATTTCTTCCAAGTAGGAAAGTTTTACAATATCTTTTGGCCAGGCAGCCAAATTCCTTTGTGGGACTGGGGAACATTAGCGGAGCATAGTAACCGCAGTCTTGGCCCCAAGTCTCCTGCAGCGATCCTGCCTAGCAAAATAGGACGGTCACTGTCCATTACCGCCGAGGAAAGCGATATAGATGATGTGGGCCCATTACCACCTTCGCCCAAACCTCTGTTAGCACCTGCTAGGATGAGTGGCGCCCCAATCTTTAGCCTTAGCATCGCCGGATCTGCTACGTTATCGATGAAAGATCGCACTCAAAGAGGTGAACTGCGTTATCCTATCACAGCCACACTCTCGTATGACACAGCTCCGGACGCCTATGACGGAAAACCGGTTACATTTCATGCGTTCAAATTCGAAGGTTTTGATCGCCGCGAGGACGGATTCCGGCTCTATTTTCGAAAAAAGGACAAGGATGACTGGAGTCCACATGAACTTGGGGGCCTGTTTACGCACCATGATTACAGATTTTCTACTAAAACTCCGGTAAATGTTGGCCGTAACGACCAAAATAGTTTTGTGAGCCTGATGCCTGGCGAGTCGTGGTCATTTACGCGGGAGGTGAGTGACTTCCCGAAAAATGCAGCCCCGGGTGATAAGTTTCGGTACGGGTTCAAGGGAGCTTTCATTGACTGGTGGGATTGGGGAAATCTTCATGATCATCAAGATACTATGGTGCGGGTTAATGGCAGGGTCGATCCGCAAGATAATGGACGCCGGCCTACACTCGCGGTGCCGGCTAGTAACTGGGTCGAGTTTACACTAGTTGAATGAGATTATTTCGAGAAAACAGAGAGACACGAATACATTTGCGGATTAAAACAACAAAGGATGGCTAGACGTCTATTCCTGTGCCTCATGCCCTAAGAGCGGCTCCGTCTCGCTTCCCCGTTGTGTAGTGACTTTGCTTGAAGACGAGCGATGCAAAGCTAATAATAGTAGCACCGCCTGGCCGAGAGCGAAGATAAAGCTATCAATAATGATCCAACCGATAGCCCCGTACCAAACAGAAAAGGCGGTCCAATTGAGATCCCGTTGGCGGTCAATTTTCTCATACGGAAATGGAAGGCAATATATCCACGTCACCGAGACTAGCGTGAACACAACAGCTTGCATAGCCAGACTCTGCAAGCTCAGCGCATTTGGAAAAGGTACAGCCGAAATCTCACGAGCCTGACGGTAGATTCCCCAAACGCCTATCGCCGTAAGAATCGGGTAAATCAGCATACAGTGCAGGGCAAAAAACACTGCTGACCAGAATCTCCGAGCTTCATAGTCAATCTGTGAGATAGCATCGCTAATGAGAGGAATGATTGAGACGAGGAGGAAGCTGGTGTATCCGGCGACTAAGGCAATACGGCTGCTCCTGTCGCTATAGAGAAGAACTTGTGCGAATCTAAGAGAACACATTAAGTTCTGTACAGGTTGCTTCTGGAGATTATAACACGGTCTTACAGTGTCAGGAAAAGCATTGCAACCACGGCACAGTGCCAAAGGCTAAACCTGTCCCCTGTGCTTGGGGGAGAATGCAGAAATATGGTGCCATCGGGTTCGCCTTCCGTAAACATGAAGTAGATATAGATAGTGAGCTGTTCAGTGGCGTGGATCAAATTCCACAAGACGTAGAGCGAGGATACTCCATTCGTGGTCTGTTTCGTCTGGAAACGCAATATTTGGGGCAGAAATGAACAGATGGCGAGGATCAACAGGATGCTGATCTAAGTCAGTAAATAATTATGGAGGGATTCATTGAAGTATGCGTACACACGACACCATAGAGGTAGCTCCGGGAGTGACATGTTGCGTATTGTGGTCCGGGAGAAATTTGACAAGTATTTAGCATGTCAGGCCGAAGTGCGACAATTGTCTAGGCTGCCAAGCTTATAGGAAATTTTGGGCTGTAACTAAAGGTTGGTATCAGACTAGTTTGAAGACGGAAGAGAAGCGAAGAAGAAGCGGTCACAATGTTAGGGTAAGACTTTCGCAGAATCCAACATTCGACCCGATCTTGGCACTGCTAATCAACGAATAGCTTGTATATGTGAAGATAGTACTCCGTACTCCGTACTAATTTATGCAAAAAACTAGGTTATATATTTTGAGATGACTGGGTTTTGCGGAAGTCTGCGTACTACACCTTGTAGTGGGGTTAAAATGTACGCTTGTAAGAGCACTTAATATAAATTAAAATTAAGTACATTTGCTTCCATATTCCTACTTACAGTGACTGGACATAAGTAATTGCATACCCCTTGGCCCCACCCAACTCACCGCTGATACCGCCTTCCTAAAATATATAACATGGATAGAACTACCTGGAAATAGTATAGGAAGCCGCGGTTTTTTGTAGGCAAATTCCTGTCTTATTTTTTCCCTGACTCTTAAAGCTAGTGCTCTTATATGTGCAGTAATAGTAGAGATAATTATACTTTATAGAGATTCTTTTGACGGGCAGAATATTAGGTAATCTTAATGGTGTGGGGCGGGATGCAATTATTTATGTCCACTGACTGTACCTGGCCGTACGCATTGTCCACTTCCCCCCCCCCTAAAGTGCATGAGTAGGAGCTCCAGGGCTGTTAGTTAGCCCCCACGTTACATCGGTCTATTGGACCTAACGGATAAGAGCAAACTAGAAGTGGAAATTGTGTAATTGGGGCCATGTGAAGAATCAATTGGTTATTGGTGGATTGCAAGAGTAGTAGAATTTGCCCCTCTACAAAGTATAGAAGCCTTTGATGTTGACTGGTTGATACTACGGAGTAGTGGATCTTGCATGACCATAGGCGCTATGCCCCTTCGTATCAGATCCGCTTGCTAAGCGCATCTATAGCGCTCAATGCCAAATGCCTGATTTTAATGCCTGGGTGCCTTATTTTTGCTTGACTTACTGAATTAAGCCTTGTTTTAGACCGCTTTTCATCTCCATACAATTCGACATATCTCCATATTTTTGGACGGTTTCCAAATGTCAGAACGAAGCTTTTAATCCCAGAAATACGGAGATATCTTCATTTGTGTGGAGATCAAAAGATTTCCATTCCTACCTAGGCTAGCGGAACCAGTGTACATTGCTTGTTCAGGGATCTGTAATAGCGATTCACGCATTTTTATTTTTTTGCCAAGCCGAAATAAGGCCCACAGGCATTAAAACCAGGCATTTGGCATTTCTTTTTTCCCCCCCATACAGCTGTCCAAGAGAGCGAGTGAGAGGGGCAAAAAAAAACCAAGCCCTTGGACAAACGCTTAATGGATGTAGGTGGTCGTTCCTTACTAAGCCTGAGCCTCTCCCGATAGTACCTGCAATTTTATTTATTCCTACTTAGTGGCAAGAGTTTTAGAATACATATGTAGTATCCGTGGACATGGCTGCAACTTCCTTTCCCCCGGGCCTTTTTTTATTTAGCGCGTTTGTATCTTCTTCCTCCTCTTTGTCTCCTTTTCTAAGGTGGTAATTCTAGTTCGGGAACGCCCCCGAACTAATTGAAAGTGGCACTAACCACGGAGTAGTCCGTATTCCAAAAATGCCCGTAAGGTCCGTGTATCCGTTTGTTAATCTCCTGAGCCTCGACTAGCGTGGAAACCGTATCTATGGCTTGAATTCCCGGCCTCCGAGGATACCATATCTGTTAGGCTTCCTAAACCATTATGCTATGCTGAAAGTAAACAAAACTGAGTGCTCTATACGTAGGATGAGCCTGGCTCGTTAGTTATAGACCAAATAGGAGAGCGGAACTACAGGGAGCTTTGCATAAAAAAGGTAACACAGTTCACTGCCAGGAATCCAGGGTATCATACTAACATAAGTGGATCGCTATCTAAAGCTGGCCTAGGTATAGACACGTTAAGCCACCGCTAATCCTAGCTCGCTCTGTGACTACGAATGGACGTGTGACCGTTTACGGACAAACTTGTAAAACTCAGAACCTCTCTAGGAAGTTTTCCCATGAGTGGAGTTTCAAGCAGGCTAAAAACTCGGCTATTAAGCCGGATGAAAGAGTCCAGAATGGATTTAAAAGGGCAGTTGGGTTGCAGTTGTATCCATTAATTCTTTTCACACTCCTTCAAAGTCTCCCAGCAACAATGAGCCAGCTCACATGGCTTGCTGTGGTGGTCGTGATGGCCTTGCAGGCCATCCACCAGGTGGATGCAAAAGCTGTGTTTGCCCATTTTATGGTACTGTCTCTCCTTTTACTCCTGGGCTTTAGTACTCAGTTTACTAATGCTCTTCAAGGTCACTAACTCAGAAAACTACACTCTTTCCAACTGGGAATCGGAGATGAAATTGGCTCAGGATGCCCACATCGATGCCTTCGCCTTGAACATGGCATGGAAGGACGGCACCAATGACGCTTCTGTGGAGATGGCGTTCACTGCTGCCAGCTCAGTAGGCTTTCAGCTCTTCTTCTCGTTTGACTATGCCGGAAATGGACCTTGGGATCAAGAGGTTGTCATCGATATGATCCAGAAATATGGCACCACCTCAGCATATTTTCATCATAATGGCAAGCCATTCGTGTCTACATTCGAAGGCCCTGGTAATGCGGATGACTGGGTGACAATCAAAGCCCAGACAAACTGCTTCTTTGTACCAGATTGGTCTTCTGTCGGCGCAAAGCCAGCCGTGGCCCTAGCCAATGGCGTCGCTGATGGTTTGTTCAGTTGGTCTGCTTGGCCATGGGGCAATCAGACTATGGACACCTACACCGATGCTTCATATATCCAATATCTAGACGGGAAACCGTATATGATGGCTATATCTCCCTGGTTCTATACCAACCTTCCGGGGTATAACAAGAACTGGATGTGGAAGGGCGATAGCCTCTGGTACGATCGATGGCAACAGCTTTTCGCTCTCGATCCAATGCCAGAATTCGTTGAAATCATTTCTTGGAATGACTACGGTGAATCCCATCATATCGGACCGATATATGGGAAGTCTATGGCCGCATTCGAAATCGGTGAATCCCTCTACAACTACGCATTGGATTATCCACATGACGCCTGGCGTGATGTTCTCCCTTTCTTGATTGATTTATATAAGAATGGGAAAGCAACCATGTCAGACGACATAGCTGTCTTCTGGTATCGCCCCAACCCTGTGTCCTCTTGCAATCCCGCAGGGACAACAGTGAACACTGCCTCTCAGCTGCAGATTGAATTCGAGCCTGCATCTGCCCTAGAAGACCGGATCTTTGTTATGGCATTACTGCAGAGCGGTAACTCTGCGGTATTTGTTAACAATGAATATGTCGATTGGGATTCTCGACCAGATCCCAAAAATGATCAAATTGGAGCTGATCTCTGGTTTGGTAGCGTCGCTGCAAACCCTGGGAAAGTTAACGTCCAGATACTCAAAGGCGATATGACCGTTGCTTCTGGTCCAGGGTTAGAGATCTCTTCGAGATGCGAACAAGATTTCAATAACTTCAATGCTTGGGTAGGAAGCGTTTCAGGGGGGGACTAGGTGGAACCTACCACACTGCATACGACCTAGCTGACCAGGAGTGTGTCCAAGGCAAGGGCGCCTATGACTTCAACGACCTCTGCAATTTCACCTGTTCCTACGGTTATTGCCCTGTCGGTGCATGCACCTGCGAGCGGATGGGACCCCCACGCGATAAGCCTAAATCAACGGGAACAATTGGCTATCCCGCAGAGGGGAAGGACGCCAACTACCTCGGCCTTTGCAATTTTGCCTGTAACCTCGGCCATTGCCCATCCAAGACATGCGATACTACACAACATCCGATGCCAGTTCCAACCGTATCAGACTTTCTGCCACCAGCCTGTGTTGCAGGCTCAGGAAACGGCGCAGTCGCCGGATTATGCTCGTATGCCTGCGGCTTTGGTTATTGTCCCATTAACCTGTGCGTCTGTACCAAGACTGGAGCCCTCGTCCAGCCCCCAGCTCAGACCGCGCCCGCTGGTGAGGCAGGCCCCGACCAGCCTGAGATATATAACAATCTCTGCGATTTCACTTGCAGCCGAGGGTATTGCCCATCTGGAACATGCGCACCAAAGGATGATATCGCAATCTCGGGTATCAATCCGAAAATGATATGGGGTGGCACAGGCGCTGCTGCGTGCGATGCTGACCAAAAGCCGCAAATTTTAAGAGAGTTCCGATTTGCAATTTTGATGGCAATGGAAGCAATGGACAACGTACAATCGTGGGGCTACTACGATACTTTCTTCTCGAAGGGCGTGCGGAATCGAGCGGATTTTGCCCAAGTTGCATCTAAGGTCTACGAGACAATTGTTTCGATGCTAGATGGCTCCTCTACTTTCGGTCTCCAGGTTACTTGTGACAACGGTGCAAATCCATGTCAAAAAGAGAAGCCTGATCTCGCCTACATGAATGCCGGCAAAAAGACAATGAATATCTGTGACGGTTTCTTTGACATGGAAGAGACAGCCTTCAGATATATGAATCCCCCGAAAAGCATCAAAGATGCACACCATACAAGAGCAACCATTCTTGTTCATGAGATGACACACTCCAAGTTTGCAATGTCACCGACAGGCGAACGACAATCCAAAGATTACGCGTACGGGTGGGAGAGTTGCAAACAGCTTGCTGAGGGTACTTTCAACCGAGGATGCGAGGAGTACGCCGGTCTCAAGGGGATGCTTTGTGCGGATCCAAGCAACCCTAAGAAGGATGGGGTGTGTAACGCCGATTTTTCGGCAAACAATGCAGATACGTGGGCCGTGATCGCGGCTGGCATTTTCTTCAGTGAAGTGGGTCAAAAGGCCATCCCACTAGACCCTCCCACGACGGTGTCTGCTAGGGCTGATTCTGGGTGTGTACGACATGACGACATTATGTTTGATGAAGGGTGCGGATTTGAGATCAGCGGCATAGTTTCATTTGGTGATTCTTTCGCCGCAGGCATGGGTACCGACCCCGAGACGACGACCGACAAATGCCGTGTTGGTGGACACAATTACGGTGGTCTGATTCATCAGCATGTCGGTGATGATTCAGTGTCTATCGAAAAGAAGGTCTGCTCTGGTGACACGACAACCGGCCTTCAACGTCAGATTGGGGAATGGGCGAGTGCATCTTCTGCAAACCTGGCCACATTGACCATGGGAGGAAATGACCTTGGTTTCTCCAATATTGTTTGGTACTGCGTTATAACCCCGTGGGTTGGTCGATTGGGATCAACCAACCGCAAGAACTGCATAGATGCAGAGGACAAAGCCCGCGCGTTGATGAATGATCAGGGGGAAAGCGGCTTGCGCTATAAGCTCAGTACTCTCTACAGGAGCATTCTGGACAAGGCAGAACAATCTGACTTTTCTCTCTTCGTCACTGGGTACCCTGGCTTTTTCAACCAAGACACCACTGACTGTGATAAGAGCAGCTTTCATTACTGGTCGGGCGCCTACAAGCCTCCTAGTGATTGGCCGTTTAATCGAATCGTTTATCTTACAACATCTCTACGCACAGAACTCAATCTTCTTGTCTCTCAACTCAATAACGTGATTGAAGCTGCTGTTCAAGATGCCAATTCTCAGGTGGGATCAACCAAAGCTTACTACGTTGATGTCCAACAGAAGTTTGACACGCACCGCTGGTGTGAGGAAGGGATTCATGAGCCTGATTCCAGCGCTCCGAACACCTATTTCTTCTTGAGTGCCTGGCCAGACCTTTCTCTAGACAGCAATGCTGTCACATCGTCTGATTCCGAAGATATCTCCTCTCTTATGCAAAATGGAATCAATCTTCCAGACGCGTCAAATTGTGAAGAAACATTAGGCTCGGATCCAGATCCTTGGGACAAATGGCTCTGCCTGGCTTCTATTACGATCAACCAAGAGCCCGATGGACCAATGGCTTGGTCATATGGGAATGCAACGCAGGACATCAAAGATGGAAACATGCAAACGCAACATGTCAGCGACTGGTATCCCACTCGACAAATCAAAACTTTCCATCCACGGAGTCCCGGAATGGCACTTTACCGCGATGCTATCCTTGAAAAGATTGATGATACAATTGCGAAATAAGTAATTTTAGTTTAACTTTAACACTCATCGTCAGTGTCTCAAACAATCTATCAAGCCAAAAGCACTTTACCCATCGCCTCCTTAGGAATCCACAACTAGTATACAAATTCAGCCATGACAAGTCTTCGGGGTCTTACGTGTATAACAAAGGGGGGATTTTACAGGCAGCGATAAGCGACCCGAGTCAGCCTGGGCTTGGAATTCAAAGAATCACTTTGACATGGCAAAATTTGGATTTTTCTTCGGGATGGAATTTTCGGTACGAACCCATGCTCCTGGAAGACGAACATAGGAATTGGATGAGAAATATTGGTCTTCCAGATGAGAGTAATGTGTATCTTCATTCCGGATCCGTTTATCGAAGGACAGTTCTCCGAAATATCACGACTGGCACTATTTGGCAAGGGCAAACTGGACCTGGAGTGATTATTCTGAACTATGCGGAGAGACACAAGGATTCTGGCGATCCCTTCATATCCCAGTTGACTAAGGCTATTTATGAACGTGACTTTCGTCTTGATACCCTGCGATACTTCTATGTGACGGATATAGGGAACACCGAAACCATAAATAATATCGAGCAACATATATACAGGCCTGGAAACACCAGAGGGGACGAAGGTATAATCTTCCCTTCTGCTTCAAATAAGTATATAGGATTACTGGGCACTGAGCTTGGCAAAATCATCGCATTTTTCATCTTGGGAGCTTATGGACAGGGGGTGAAACATGTCACACAAATTCGCGTTTTTCGATTCAATAATACCTACCAACTTTTGTTCTATATTGAAGATATTTAGTTGTGTTGGTTACTAGAAAGCCCGGTGCAAGTTCATTGCTTTATATCATTTGATTTTTCAACGGCGTTGCAATGTTGGTTGAATTGTGATGAGATAGTTTGCTGCGTTTTGTTTGTTTATTTGGAATATAGATCTAGATTGGAATGAAAAAAATTTCTTTTAGTCAACTATGACGATTTAATTTGTAGAGGTAAATAGATATTTTTTCTCTCGTATATCAGCTATGTTTTTCCCATATAAAAGTGCCTGACGGCTAATGTTCACACACCCCATGAATATCAAACGCAAATCTTTCTTCTGCAATTCCTGCTGTCGAGTAGAATGTCTTCCGATCCCAAAAAACTAATGTTCTTGGACTATTAGGAGCTCAGTTTTATTTCATGGCACCCACTTCTGCTGACCTGGAGCAAGCTTTGCATTCTGCCGTCGATAATAAACCCAAAGGCCCAACGCCAATATCATTGCCAGGAATTGACTAGCAGCATTGACAGCATGACCTGTCTGGTACCGAGGAGCCTGTCGACTCTGATAGATCCACACCCCTATAATTTGACCGGGTCCAGTAAAAGCAATATTCAGCCCGCTCGCTACCGACGCCGCAGTAGTGTTGTGAACATTATCCGAAACCCACGCACACAGTGCAGGTAGTGACCCAAATACAGAACATGCACTGAGCACAAGCATAGCGTAACGAAAGTGAAGTGATGGACTAGGGATGCACGCTTTACCGAGAATCGTTAATAAACACCTTTCATGAGGACAGAAATCACCAAACTCACCAGGAATGAGAAACGTAACAAATCCCGTAAACCCGAATATCGCAGCAACCAACCCTCGACATACAAATTTATCGGATATGTATGCCGCTGTGAGAGCAACAAAATATGCGCACGCGTAAGGTGGAATGGTGAAGAGCTGCGCCTCAAGTCCAGTGTATCCGATTCCCTGGATAATTGCCGGAGCAAATAATGAGAGCGATGAGACGCCAATTCCGACCAAAGAATAAATAATATAGTGAACCCACAGCCGAGGATCCTTGATAGTAGCCTTCGCATCGGACCAGTTGAGCTTGTCATCACTATATACAGATTCAAGTTAGTCTAGGTATTTATCGCTATAGGTAGACGTTTGCTTTACCCTCGTGCCATATTACTGCTGAAAGATGCTTTGAGAATGGCCTTTTCCTCCGCAGTGAGCCATGTGGCCTTTTCTGGGTAGCTGGGCAAGAAAAAGAAAATAGCAACTGCTAGGATGAAACATGGTAAACCTTCGATAATGAAAAGCCATCGCCACGCTTGTAATCCTCCAGCGCCGTTCATATGAGCTACTCCGTAGGCAATAGCGCCTATAAGAAAGTTTAGCAATCACACACCCATGAAACGGGTTTAGTAATTATACCTCCGAAGGCGCCTGCTAGTGTGGCACTGCAAAGAAAGATCGCGATCCGGATGGCTCGTTCGCGCGGCCCGTACCAGAAGCTAAGAAAAAAGATCATTCCCGGGTACACGCCAGCTTCCGATGCACCCAAGAGAAATCGGAGAGCCATGAGTGTTGAGGCATTGTTTGATCCTCCAATCCCTGCGCACAGTGCGCCGAAACAAATGACAAGAAACGCTAGCCAACTAGTCATGATGTGGTTAGTAAAGTAAATAATATAGCCATCTGACCTTTAAAGTGTGAAGACTCACACTGGAGGAGTGAAAGTTTTCATTGCCAAGTTGCTTGGTGCCTCAAATAGAGAATATGCCACCATAAATAACATAAGGGCAATGCGATATTGATGGTCGTTCATGTCAATAGAGGTCAGCAGATCATCGCCAGTGCCATTGTTCAAGACTTGCGCATTTCCTGTGTACAAATCATGAGTACATATAAATATTGCACAGTTTCAATGGGAAACTTGAGCTTCGTACCGATATTCGTTCGATCAAGGTAGCATAATAGATAGGTCACTGCCAAAAATGGTAGGATCCGCCTGTCAATTTTTCTATACACTCTACTAGATTTCAGCGATATATTCGGTCAATAAACTGAAAAGAGGAAGTGATTACCGTGCACATTCCTCCTTGGTTGGTTGAGCAATCTCATCTGAATACTCCAGAGGGATGCAATCTCCACCGGTGTCCTTCTCAGTATCTTGGCTTTCAGACATTGAGAATTCAATTTGCTTGTATCAATAAGTTCGATCAGAATGAGAGAAGTTCAGTCCTCTGAGATCTTCGATGATACTGATACTGTCTGGACAAGTCAGGGGTTGGATAGCCCTCAGCCCCGCATCCTTCTCAAACCCCCTAGATCTGGGGTTGAAAGCATGATTGGCGGGGAGATATGCACCAACTTCATTGATCGTCGTCGAAAGGTCAAGATCGAGAACCGGTATATACACCGTTGATTGGCTAGAGTTAATGATGGGTGTGGCGGGACTAAGCATGATCGGCGAACGATAATGTTCATTGGAAAGATATTTTGATAATATTGAAAGGTCAAACTGCAATGAGACTATGATCGCTGGCCACATTAAAGAAGACATCATCCGGGGAGGAGAGAATATTTCGCTAGTAGGAATCGAAGCAGGACATTCCTTGCTTCTGACAGGGCGATTGTCTAGGCTTCTGTTATTGGGGCTATCAATGGCTGACTTCGAGAAGAGATAGCTGGCTTCGTCGCAATGGCCAATGGCCATAGTAAACCGATTGGTAAAGAGTCCAGGGATGGGTGCGAATAAATCTCGGTCGCTTCGGATTAACAAGGCAATTTAGTGGATACGTGGTTCTCAGTATGGTGTTCCTCGAGAATGGCCAAATACTGTATCTGGGGAGATTAAGAAGACATTGTTTACGGGAATACAAGAAGGGCGAGTGAAGGCAGTTTCTGCTCTCTTTTATTCTCTTTTCTTGGACAATTAAGTGAGTGGGTGGACATCGGGTCTGACAGGGTTGTTGAAGGAGGTACTGCAAGGAGCTCGACTTTAAGAGAGTGAGATCCCATTTTCCCTGTTACCTCTTCCTATTTTCTATTTTTTCACATCTTCTTTGACTTGATGCATCTTCAATACAAATAGCCGAATCTATAAGATCACAATCAATCATGGCCCCCAAAACGCAGATCATTTGTCTGAAGACCCACTCAGGGCTAGGCAGTTTGGAATATCCCGGACTGGTGGATCGTGATTGTCAGCTTAAAAGCTTCTTTCTTGTGCTAAATAGTTGGCAGATCTGGCTTTTGGGGAAATAAAATCATGGGAAAGGAATAAGCCTGGAGTGGAAGGGCCAAGCGAGACGGTGCCGCCTCAACTCCGTAGCTCTGGCATTGCTACAAGCCACAACTACAGGCTTATGAGGACTTAGCATTATAAACACACTATAGAGAATCAAAATTCAAACTGATAGCTCTAGAAGAAAATGATAATTATTCTATTGAACTTTATATGAAAAATTAAAAGCCAGCAGTGAGCCTCCGTCTATTGCCAGTAACACCGAGGTTGAATAAATCCCCACAACCCCAAACACCGTTTCCCGTCGCAATTTCACATCTTCGAAGCTCTGTGCCAAGCCCGGTCACCAGTTGTAGGCACTGGCTTTGCCAGTCGCAGACACCAGCAAAGTGCATATTCGAGGGGAAGTAGCAAGATAAGAATTCTGTTGAAGTGGTAGGACAGAGTAACCGTAAAAAGTGCTACAACAGCATCGAGCCAGTAATGATTTGCGGTAGCAACGATAACACTGAGAACGAGAATCGGATAGCATATAGCGAGTGTCAAAAAGCCAAACTCAGTCAAGGGTGACTTTTGCGTCGGTTTGCGTTGGAGTCTTTGCAGGAATCCGGAGTGGTGGAGAAAGGTGCATCCGATCACAAAAGCATAGGTAAAGTGCAAGCTTGGCATGGCGGCGAATTGATTCACCGACTTGCCACCAACCCAGATGCTTTCGGCATTGCCTTGGCGCACGGTGTCGTAGAATCCATACGAGTCGGGAAGGAGACGTGGCGGCATGAGAGGGTAGACGCAGAATACCAAAAATGCGGCGAGATTTCCAAGGGTCATTGTGCGGCGCGCCAGGGCGAATGATGCATGATTCTTGGCGACGTAGTAGTACCAGGAAAGGTAACTGTTTCATTGGGTTAGCTAAATTATTCAAATTAGGACCGCATCGAGAATCAAGGGGTACTCACAGGACTGTGCCAGGAATGTGGATCAATGAATAAATGCGATTAAACATGGTCAGAATGGACGGGTGATTCCGAATAAAAAAGGATTGGAAATCGGCTTCGTGAATCGGAAATAACCAAGAGGCGGTTTTATGTTCGAAGTTGAGAACGTTGATGGCATGACCTCGCGCCACCTCGACAACTCCAATATCAGCGGGAGAGAGCCACTGTGCCGTCGCTTTCGTCACGGAGTAGAACAAATAATTCATTATCCAGTAAAACATCTCAACCAAGAAAGGGAATTTTTGCAGAATCCTGCTGTGAATGTGATGCGCCCAGCGAGAAGAGTCTCGATTCTTGACAGTGAGGCCGCATACAGTTTCGGACTTGGGTAGATCGTCAAGATGAGCTTCGCCCTCCTCCAGACTGGCGTAAGTTCCCAGGTATCGACTCCTACTAGAGTCTCTGCGACGATTCACAATTAAGGATGCAAGCATGATACCCACAACCACCTATTCATGAGGTTAATACATGTTTAGCGATAGAGATTAGTTTGAACTTACAATAGGCTCAAGCCATGAGTGAGAGGCTAATTGTGGTTTGCCCAGATCTGGTGTATCTGCAGTCCGAATAAAATGTGTGGTCGCCATAGTTGGGATAGCAGACATCACATAAATAGAAAAATATGAAAACCTCCTAAAGAGTCGGAGGATCAAGCAAAGTTGAGGCAAACGGATTTTAAAAAGGGAACAAGGGAGGTGGACAGACTAAATAATGTTGTCGCGTGCCTTAGATTAATTATGCGTATAATACATATATATCGGAGTACGGAGGACGGAATACGATTACGGAGTATGTGAATGAATCCCGAGGTGTGGAGATATCCACGGGATGTGCACAACCCCTGCTAGCACGGCTAATCCTGGTTAGCCTGAAGAAGTGTCAACTAAGTAGTGACAACGACATTTGGTAGGATGTAAATGTGCCCATGTACTACCATAATTATCTTTTTCCAGCCTCTCTAACATTCCATTGGATTAAAATTTTCAACAATCCAGTGCAGTCCATGGAAAGGGGGAGAAACAAGAAAAGTCCTTTCGCTGCCAAGGCAATCCACGGATCCACCGGAGTCGTAAGGGAAAGAAAATGTGAGGGAAAAGGCGTCCGGCTAGAACAGAATAAGAGCTCCGAGTGGTTTGAAATAGTACCCCCTTTCATCTAAAGCGGGGGATAGAGGCATCTTGACGTATCACGGTGTTTCCTGTTCTATCTAATAGTAATATTGTGTTAAAACTGCTATGCTCACCTGGTTAAGTCCAGCCTTGGCCCTATATGAAACACGGACAAACTAACTATCCGAAGGCAAAGCCAAAGTCCAATAGAATAGCTGCAGGTCAACCCTATCTATCTTAGCATATGTGCTTTGTTTACATTCCAGATATGATTGAGGTCAAATGGTCCGATTAATCAGCGGGGCTATTCACCTGGACACCTGGGCCTCGATACCTGGCGCCTGGGCGTGCTAAAACCATACACAGTACCTTTGAGATGTGTGTCTCTTACAAGTACACTTGGAAACCCGACCGATGAGAGGAAATCTAGAATGCAAGGCTGCGAGGCATTCCTTCAGGAATACACACCATCATACCGATCCCCGAGTAGAGTGGCAAGATGTGGCAAATAATAATAGCACAATATCATGTTGGACCTCGGCTGATTTGAATATTTTTATGCAAACGTCATTTCTGTTTCCAAATTGCGAATAGCTCCCGATGTTTCGAATTTGAGGGAGAAAAAAAAAAAAAAGAAAAAAGATCCTGAGACAATAAATAGGATAATCTGTTATTCGCTACGATGGCCACGGAGTGCCAGGTCCCGCCTTGCATTATTCCATACATAATTGAGATTTATGACCCTGAATCCGTCCTCCAGCACTAAAGCTTGATTTCCCAGGTCAAATCACAGTCCTATACGTGTGTACATAATCTCTTCCCTGCAGATCACCTGGGATCCGCTGAAGGCTTATCACCTTGAATTGATTTCCCGAGGTTTAGATCCGAGGCAGATTCCGAGGTCGATCCCGAGAATCGAGGTATGGTATATAAAGGGCGGAATTGAGCCGGAACACTCCATAGGAGTGCCACTGAAGCTCATCTTCTCTTCCCATCGGGATTTTAAACTCTCATAGAGGGCCAGAAATGTAAAGCTGACATATGATGTGTCGACAATACGACTAAAAAGGTCATGGAAAAAGATTCCATAGGGCCTGAGGCAGCAAGGCTTTCAACTTCGTAGGAAGCCGACAACCCCCGGAGACAGTGCCCAAGTGTGCTTTGAGAAGTTGCATTAATATGAATATTGTATGAAGCCTCTAGTGCTGTAGGTATTGGAATCTATAAAACACTTTGAAGGTAGAAATGCGGTCTTTTCATTTTCATTTTTATACTCTCTCTATATCAACTAGATATACCAAACTGGCTGATTCTCAATAGCACCTATAGTACAGACGAAGACTACAATGCTGGCTGCTCAATAGTCAGATATAATGGATCCTTGGTGTTGTAAAGAGTCAATTTGTGTATGATACCAGGGTTGCTCTGCCAGATATGTACCTACTCACAGTAGTAGTTGCCAACCCTACATCGCACCTGCTTCATTTCAGAATTGCACTAATTGCAATGTTATATACCTCACACAGCATGACTCTCTCTACAACTCACCAGGCTCAAACAGCAAGGTATCCATTCACTTCCAACTTTCCATCATGAAAACCCTCAACCAAACCCGAGGATCGGTAGAACAGGGGGACTACGGGAAGCTCGCTATTGCCACAGCCGCCATCCTCGGAATCCTCACACTAGGCGCACTGACATACTTGGTAGTGTGGTACGTTCGCCGAAGACTCCGCGCCCGACGTCTTCGTCGCCAGAACAGTCACGAGAATGAATTATTCGACCAGTCCGCAGTGTCTCTGGCCGAGGACACAAGCAGGACCCTAGATGACTTCCTCATGAAGGATATCCATCCTGATAGGTCTTCAATCAGGTTTAACAGAAGCCGATCTCCATCCATCACCATCGTCATTGATGATGTCGACGCTGAACGCTGCAGGTCTCAGTCCCAGCCTTACCTCACAGAACGTAACACTACAACCTCTTCATCTGCAAATGCACACACCTTGGCACAGGTCTTGGCCCAGGAATCCGGTTCTTATAATACACGGTGTGACCAGACTGAGGAGAGCAGCTCGGGACGGAGTTCATCAAGCACGACGCCAAGAGCATCTACCTCGTCGTCCACCGCCGCAACGGCAGGATCCTCCCAGGCTTGGACTACGACCTCTGTTGGCACGTCGTCAAACCAGAGCCAAAGTCAGACGAGTAGCTCGGGAGAGCGTTCGTCAAGCACGACCCCAAGAGCATCAATCTCGTCCATCGCCCCAACAGCGGGATCATCCCAGCTTTGGACTACCACCTCTGCCGGGGCTGAGACGTTTTCGCTTCTTAGCCAATCTTCAAACTACTCGCACCGCCCTCAAAGCTCCACTGCCCCATCGACTGCCCGCAGCTCACAGGTATATACACGCCGTTCGAATGCTGCTTCTGGTGCATCAAGTCGTCCGTCTAGTATGGTCTTGGCGTCTGCATCCCGCATGTTCAATGAGGCAGAAACTGCTCGGATGGCGCACTCGAGAAATATCGACTCTGTTGATTCAATGAATTCTACTTCTCCTATTTCTCCGGTGTTGGTAGATGTTTCGGCTGAAAATGATGTACTCCAATGGACTTATGTTCCCCCGGCTCCCTATCCTTTCAGTCAGCGCTGACCGTTGATGGTATATAGTGGGTTGTTGGCTTGGTTTTGCTTTTTGGTAGTTGTTTCACACCCGATGACGAAATATTGGGATCGATTCAGATTTCATTTGTGACTAGGGACTATTCTGTCTTTGCTTTTCCCCTCACCGTTGATGTCTTTGGAAGTTAATGTTGTTGGACGGGATTTCTTTTTGCTGACACCTCTTATCCATTATGTATAGTGTCATGGGCTTTCCATTGCTAATTTTTAATTAATTCAATTATTCAATTGCATGTCAACTAACCTGAAAGTTGGGAAATCCCAAGTTCAATAGCAAACACTGCACGTCTTCCATTCATACTTTAATCGTGGATTGATCCAAGCAAAATAATATCCATCCAGTAACTAAGACATTATTTTAAGAAAGTATAGGATGGTAGGTTGAAGGACTTAGAGAAATGATAGTAAAGATATTTGATTGCTAATCAAATAATTGAATGTGAAATGTAGAAGTAATACCCAAGAGGCTGGGTTGATGTATGCATCGGTTTCGTTGATTTTACTTGTGTTTTCTGATGCAGACAGAGCCTTCGTATTTCCAGTGCTGGCTCCGGTCGGTTCTTTCTCCTTTCCACTGGCGTGTCATGGTTTCCAGTAGAGGAGTGGAAGACCTGCCTCTAGACCGGAGGAGTATGCATGTCAGCGATATCGGTAAACTCCTGATACCTTTCCATGAAAGTAGCCTCGTTGGCATAACGGTCCGCCTTCGTATTAAACTCCTTAGGAATCCGCCAGAATTGAACACGGATGCCCTTCTCCTCCCACATTTCGACCTCCCCGAGAAGACACTCCCAAAGATCGCGATTCCTGACTGGTTCCCCGGCAGTTGTAACCCAACTCCAGCTTAACCATTCCCAAATCGACTTCGTGATACCATCGACCAGATATTCCGAGTCTGACGCAATGATCAGACGACTGCATCCATCTGCCGCCCAATCTCGATATTGCAGCGCAGCAATGACAGCTCGGACCTGTGCGCGGTCGACTGTCAGCGTGTGCTGTTGACCAGTGGGACCTTTGTACTCGAGGGCAAAGCGTGCGTAACCAGATGCAGAATCGTTGAAAACAAAGGAACATCCCGCTCGAGCGTTCATTCGGCCGTTGTCCTTGCACGAACCATCTGTGTAGATTAGGAATTCATCTTCGACGGATCGTCCGTTGGGATTGAGACGGATGTAGCGATGGACTCGATCCGTCATTGTGACTTTGGGGCAATGTGGGAATAACGATTGCGGCGTATCATCTGGACGAGGAGGGTTGAATTCTGTCGGGATAATACAGCCGGTGCCGACATTGAGCTCCGTAAACAGACGAGGAGTGTAGCCCGCGAAGATTGGCACGGGGTTTCCTTGATAATAGGACATGATGGTTTGGTGGTCGTGTCAAATTTTAACTTCCAAAGAGTCGGCGTTCTTTGTATCAGGCAAGCAACATACACTCAGAGGCTGACTTCAAGTCCAGAGACGAGGATGCAAGAGGTAGACTACGGGGAGATGACAAAATGAGGGACCCAAGCAGGAGAGCACTCTAACATCGTTCCTGCCATATGTGTGTTGGGTGCCTAAGGCCAGAATAATAAGCTTAGAAGAAATCAATGATCATTATATTTCATTGAATGGTCTCTGAGCTACAAAAAACAAAGGGGAAGAAGTCCCACCTCCACGCGCCTCGCTATTCCAGTCCTGGGGACGTTTCAGACATAAAACCGACAGATATTAAAAGCAATACATGAGCAAAGTTCTCGAACAAATGTCCGCCATGAGATGTACATACAGGTAGGAAATAAGTGTTAACACAAAAAGAAACGTGGAAGGCCTTGAGATCTATTTGGATATATGATCTTCATCTTCATGCATTCATATCACGCACACTGCGCAGGCACCGCTCAAGGCGTTTGCCACGCTCCTTTTCGCGTACAAGGGTATCCTTGACAAACGCTCGGATGGCGTCGCGGCCGACCCTTTCCCGCCATGAGGTCCAGCCAGCGAGTTCGCCGACCACGACATCCTTGTTCCACGAGACCTCCTTTGCCAGCCGAGTGGAGTCAGATTCGCCATCGCGAATCTTTTGTTCCAGGTCACGGACAGACTTTTGGCGAGACTCTTCAAAGCCTGGTAGGTTTATATTGAATTTGCGGGGAAGGGAAGAGGAGAGGAGAGTTGAGCGAGAGCGGGAGATATGGCGGTTTGTTGAAGAGAGAGTGGACATGAGCGCTAGTGGACGGGATAAAGAGATGAGGATTGCAGCGGTTGTGTTGTCGATTGAGGAAAGAGCTGCCAAATACTGGAGGAGAGGGGAGGAGTCGGACCTAGATGTCGATAGGTAGGTGGCGTAACGAGAAAAGGCCTCGATGTGTGAGACAGGAAGTGCATTAGTCGGCGCTCGGAGTGTAGAGAGGGCAGATGAGCATATCATCACCGCATCAGCGAGATCGGATGCTGCATTCTGCAATGCATGACCTCGGCGAATTAGGGAACGTGTGTTGACGTGTACACCGCGCACCATTTCCTGAGCATGAGTGATGAAATGCTCTGTGTCGCGCATGCCCTCCAATGAGACTGGTGGGTATTCGTCGGCGATGGTCTCTGTGAGTACAGCAGCCTTGCGGTGCGATCGGTCGGCCACCATCTCAGGTTGAAGTTCTGGAACAAGGAAAAACTCCCACAGCATTTCGTGAGTTGAAAAGGTTGGATGGGCAAGAAGCGTTTTCAGGAATCGATCCAGTTTTTCTTGGAGATCATGAAGCACAGACCGTGATGGCTTCGAATGGATCTGGAATGGATTCCGGAAATCTGAGAGAGACGGCATGTAAGATGCTGGATGTTCCACTGCAAGCCATTTAGCCAGATTCTGAAAGTCGGAAAAATTGCGGCGACAGGTCGTAACAGTGTATGTTGTCGATCCGGGACGCGATGTTGCTACAGATTCGGAGGGAGGAAATGGGGCGCCAGATTTGAGAATGAAGCGCACAGTTGCGTCTTCGACGAAGTACGACCGCACAACCGTTGTGACACGACCTGAAGGATCTCCACAAGAAGATGGAGGATTGGACAACAAGATCAAATCGTCGATGCGATTTCGCACCTCATCGTCCTTCGCCAATTCAACGGCTGTCAAACCACGGGCTTCTTTCACATGAACGTCGACTCTTGGGTCTAAGAAGAGAATGCGAACTTGGTCAACTCGCCCATACTTGCTAGCCATCATCAATGGCGTGAATCTTTTGTCATTGGTCGCATTGGGATCACAATCGCTCTCCTGCAATATGCGCCGGGTAATCTCAGGATCACCGACAATATGCAGCAGTGTGTTCCCCTTCATGTCGACATGATCATCAAGCTGAAGAGGTTTGTTGTCGCCTTGTGACCATTGCGCTGCGGTCAAAGCGGCTTGAACCATTGACTTATATTCCGGATGATCATACGATCGACACAATGCAAAGAGCGGTGTTTGTCCATGCTTGTCTCGTTGTCGCCATGGGATAATGCTACCGAGTCTCCCTAGCAGCGAGGGTGTACTAAAAAGATAATGGGCAACAGTCCGACCGTGGACGTCAGATTTGGTCAAGTAGAGTGCAACCACACTTGTATCTGTCTTTGCAAATAGGAAGTCCAAGAGGATATTGACTATCTCGGTGTTTGCCAGTTGTACTGCGGCGTTTAATAGCGTGGTCCCATCAGCGTTGGTGTCTTGGATAATTTCTTCCAGGGGGTAGTATTCTTCTAGAGTCAAAAGGTACTTCAAAGCCTCCGGTTGACGGCCTTCCACTGCCATCATCGGTATAGAATGGCCTGCAGGATCTAGGGTTTTTGTCAAGGTCTCAATCGAACTGTCACCTTCAATCCCACTAGCCACGGATCCGATGGTTGCGGTCCTGGAGATAAATGAGATAGCTGATGATTCCGATAGGCTCCGAACGTCCATTGAGACCTTCTTAACTGGACGGTGCGGGTGAGGTTCTTGGATAATCGAAGGATCATCCCAGGTTTGGAATGGGAACACATGGGATAGCGGTGGTGCATCAACAATAGCTTCATCCCGGTGTGAGTCGCCATTCGTATGACTCATGTAAGACTGCTCAAGAGAGAGGTCATCCGGCTCATCAGCATCATCTGTCTGGAACAGTACGGACTTTCGCTCCGGTTCCGGTCGAGTCGTGTCGTCTAATGATTCGTGATCCTCGTTTGGTTCCAGTATAGATTTCATATCCGACACTCTGCCGGCCTTTGTTGCTTGCCACAGACGTCTGTTCCGCAGGCTGGCGCGCCGTAGTCCGGCGGAATCGGTTACGAGATACATCAAAACAGCTTCAAATGTGCTTAAAGCATATCCCATCTCACCATTATCAACATCGTCGATGTAGATAAAGTGCTGCATGTACAACAATCGAGCTTGGAGATGCCGTATTTGAGAACGAATGACAACAACAAGCAACAACGACACCAAGACATCAGCGTTTATCGTAACAGAAGAAGTTCCCTTCTCAGATGGCGTGCCATCCAGTTGATCATAACTTCCAGGGAAGGAGATAACCTTCACTGTTCCAAGGAGAGCATTCAGCATATCATGGGGACATCGAGCATCATTGATCTTCCGAAATTCTTCCACAGCTCGACCAAGTCGGCGAATCAATTCTCGCTTCCCTTCATGTCCACCTTCAACGGAGATTCCGACTTGGGACACATCAATGCTCTCCATCTGACGAATGCGGGCATCCAGCTCTGTGTCCTCGGGTTGGCGGAATGAACAGAGTCGAGGGAAAAGCAGGGGCTCGTGAACTTGTTCAGCAACATAACGTTCTATTAGTCGCTCTACTAGAGGACCGGTTAGATCAGTAGTCGCACCAAGTAACGATAATTGCTGCTTGTCAACGAGGCGGAAAAGATCAATGGCAGCAGTCACCGCGGTTTCCAAGCTTCGACGCATGAGATCTTCATCATCCTCGAAGTATTCCTCGGAGTTGAATGGCAATCGCCCTCTGCTGCGTGACGACCAGCTGCGGATGGAAGAGCTTTCGTCTGTCCAAGACTCGGTGCGGGACAACTTGTGCACGCGTTCACTGCCGGATGCAGATGGTGATCTTGAAGGAGGCGCCGGCAATGGTTTACCAAGTTCCTTTCCAAACTCTTTGAATAATCTTTCCAGGCCCGGGTGCATTTGTCTGGCAATCATCGGGTAATTGGCTAGCAATTCCCCAAAAGATTTGATCTCTTGTTTTGGTGGCGTCCCAATTGAATCTCCATTTTCATACTTCTTGTCTGGGGGAGTTTGTCCAACAATGCTGGTGTCGGTTCCAGGGACTGCCGCTGGTAAGATCTTCGCAGGGTCATATGTTCCGATCAACGGGCGAGAGATGTAGTAAATCAGCCATGGGCGCGATTCATTGGATGAGGTGTAATATAGCGCGTCGGAAAGCAGTTGGGCTTGTGTGAGCGACTTGAATCCTGATAGAAATTACTAGTGTTAGCTAACATATTTGACCGAGCGCATTCACTAGCAAGGGCTCTCACCTTTGTTGCTGTACACTGAGTTGTCCTTGATGATCACCGTCCTTCCATTGAATGTGGTTACCTGCTTTGCCTTCCCTCGATTTTCTCGCACATTGTTCTCCTCTTTGGAATTCACAGAGCCATTATGGATTGGTATGCGGAGCACATGGCTTCCTAGGAACTCCTCCGATGCGACAAGGTCGGAATATAGCAGGTTGGACTCCCGGTCGCGTGAACCGATGAGAGATTCTGTCGTTGGAACTAGCAAGACCTGAGGGACACACGCAACATCAATTAGCCACTCCGGATGATCCGACGACAGATTCACAGCCTCCACCTACATGATTCTCCACCGGTATACACTGGCCCGGGACAGTGCTTCGGAAGAAGGCACGGAGGAAAGGGTTTAGAGGGTGCATCCAAACGGTTTTGGACGGCCCAGTCGAAGAACACGAGCAATCATCAAGCCGTCCGTCTCAAATCTCCGCAGCAGGGGATATGTGCGCCGTAAGATTTCGCGGGGAAGGGCAGCTTGCATCCAACAGGCAGCAGCTCGGTATGCAGCCAGAGCGGGTCGTTAGATTTATTAGATAAAGCTGCAAATAAGCTTGAACAAAAGCACAATGCTAGATCGCAGAAAACAATAAGCCACAAAGATAAGAGTTGAAGTAGAAACACATGTGTCGCGGGTGAATCAAGAACGTGATCGACAGGATGATGGGCGCTATACCGCATCGGGTAATTCTTCCATTCAATACACTGCGACCTGGGCTTCCTTTTGGGCAGCTTCGGAGAATTCCCAATTTTTTGTAATCTTTTGTCATGGCTGAAAATATGGATGTGTCAGACCCAGTCTCTACCTATGTATTTAATGAGGTCTGGCAAATAGAGTTTGTGTAGTCCTGTCATGATATTTCTAATATACAGAGAATAGATGGCGACAGGCACGCCAAGTAGATAAAACACAAAAAGGACTGCTGAAGTCTCTCCGCACAATGCAATCCAGTACAGCTGTGCTACACACAAGCAGCCAACCCAAAACAAAAACATGATCTCTCCTGTGAAGGAAAATCAACCCAGTCTACGCACGTGTCTGCTGCGAGTACCACCGAACTTCAGTCGCGTGGAGTCGCTCACCCGCGAAACAAGCCCCCGAAGGTGTCGTCCCTCGTTTCCCAAGAGGACCTTTGTAAATGCCTCGCGGCCCTTTCCAAACCCACGGTACACAATCTCCAACCGCTCAATCTCCATCAGGAAGCCCTTTTCCTGAATCTGGGTCATAACATGAGCGGACAGTTGGTATGCCGGGTCAAACCCGGAACGACCAGCTTTGCGGAAACCGATCTGACCACACCCAATGGACAGAAGGGGGTTTCCATTTGGTCGTGTCAAGGTGAGGATTGTGTTGTGCTTGTGGCAGTAGACGTGCAGGTGGTGGGGAGGAGCTCGGTCGGCGTAGGGATTCTTGATCATGTCGGCTTCGAGGCTTTCGGCCATTCTGGAGTAGTCAGAGTTACCGCGCGGGGACGGCGCGCCTGACCTCTTGCCCTGCATCATTTGTGTGATTGCAGAAAGCGGCGATGAGGAGCCGGAAGATGTCTGAGGTTCCCGGTTCAACATCTGTTTCTCAATGTCGCTACCATCGTTGCGCGCAAAACGGGTGCTTTGGTGGGAGAATAGCCGTGTGACGTTCAAGGAGGTGGTTCGAGGCTGAGATTGGCGACACACTGAGGGCAATGCCTTGGTCAACGTCCTCATCGAAAAGGAGCTCATCGTGGTGATCGGGATTTGCAGCGACAAGGGACGTATAGCAAATGAGGAAATCAACACTTTATTATGAAGACCAGATCAATTGAACAGAATTCACTGATGCAAAGTGCCGAGATGACCACAAAGCACGGGTGGTGTAGAGCCGTTGTCGGACCGAAGGGCAACGCTGGAAGTTTTTCGAAGTCTTGGCATCTGCACTTTTTCCCTTCCCCGAGATCTTTGCCTCCCCCATCACCTTCTTCATATCGCGTCCAGGCTGGGCTGGAAACCATCTGTCCCCTATCCTCATATTTAATTTTATTTTGTTATCCTATCCTGTCCACGCTCTAGAGCATGATTCCGACTAAGATGTCTGCGGCACGAGCCGCTTCCTTGCGATCTCAAGCACCGTCTCTCAGAGCGTCATCTCACCGGTTGTCTCGCGCCGGATCATATTCGACCGTCTCAGCTCAACCATTCACGTACTCCACTAAGAGCCACCGAGCTATCCTTCAATCCCCTTCCCACCCGGTTTCTCAACTCGTCTCGCCGTTCGCCGCTCTCCCTTTGACGCGGTCTTTCCACGCCGCAACTTCCCTTTGGCAACAACAGCAAAAGCAACAGGAAGGAAAGCAGGGCGAAGAAGGAAAGTCTGAATCACAAGACGAGGAGTCTAAGGAGGAGAAAAAAGAGAAGAACGAAGAGAAGGCTCCGCCACCACCCCATGGAGACAAGTCTCCTTGGCAGGTGTTCCGTGAGACTCTACAGAGCGAGTTCAAAGCCTCCAAGGAATGGGAGGAGTCCACCAAAGCGCTAGCATCCTCAGCTCACCAGTTCACTGAGAATGAGAACGTCAGACGTGCGCGTGCTGCTTACGAGGCTGCGTCAACCGCTACAACCTCCAAAACCTCCACAGCCATCAAGACGACTGGTCAAGTCATTGGAAAGGGAGCTGCTTGGACGTGGAACACCAGTGTTGTGAAGGGCGTCCGAAAGGGTGTTAACGCAACTGGAGAGGGCCTCGAGAAGGCCACGAGACCCGTTCGGCAAACCGAAGCATATAAGAGTGTGAAGGAGGCCATTGATGATGGCAGCAGCTCACGCTACGGTGGTTGGGTCGAGAAGGAGGAACGTCGCAAGCAGCGACAACTTCGAGAGGAGCAGGCACTCAAGTCTGGAAAGTCTCTTCACGTTGAGGAGAGAGTTGCAGACCCCGAGTAAGTTTCGATAATGACAAAATTTCGGGTTTGACGTTTCTGACTGATTTATTTCTAGTGCCGGTACCAATGTCACTCTCCACAAAGATTCCGCCTGGAAAGACTCCTGGAAAGACTTCAAGGACTCGAACCCCATGATGCAGAAGCTCTTCTCGATCAAGGAGAACTACAACGAGTCCGAGAACCCCCTAATCAGCACAGCACGCAGCATATCTGATCGTGTTGCTGGCTTCTTCGCCGAAAATGAAACCGCCATGGTCATCAAGAAGTTCCGAGAGATCGATCCCAACTTCCAGATGGAGCCTTTCCTGCGGGAAATGCGTGACTACATGTTGCCAGAAGTCCTCGACGCTTATGTCAAGGGAGATGTTGAGACACTCAAGCTCTGGCTTTCAGATGCCCAGTTCCACGTCTACGCTGCTCTCGCGAAGCAATACACCACTGCCGGACTCAAATCGGATGGTCGCATTTTGGATATCCGTGGCGTCGATATTTCTCATGCCCGTATCTTGGACCCCGGTGATATTCCCGTGTTTGTCGTCACGTGCCGTACACAGGAGATCCATGTCTACCGCAAGATCAAGACCGGTGAGCTAGCGGCTGGTACGGATGACAAGGTACAGCTGGTCACCTATGCCATCGGATTGACTCGTATCCCTGATGAAGTCAACAACCCCGAAACCCGGGGCTGGAGATTGATCGAGCTCCAGAAGGCTGCCCGTGACTACATCTAAGACCGGAATTTGTCCTTCTCAACTCTATACTGCCACACCTTTCTATATCTTAGGGTGGGCCTATCCCTTCGTGGACCTCAACCCCCTCTTGCATCTTGACTTCCACTCCACCCATTTCAACTGTACAATACAACTGTTTGATATCAAGCCAGGTGGATCCTGGCACCTATTACGGTTATGCCTGTTCCAGTGACTGCGAATTCGGGCCTTCACTGGTTAATCGGATTTTCTTTTCTTCATGTATTAATGCTTCATTTGGTCTGACATTTTGGCCCAGTTCTTACTCTGAGGACTTGGGGCTCAGTCCGCTCAAATCTGAATGTTCCATCCTTCCCATAGACTAGGACGCGTTGGATTTTATCTGATGGCATTTTTCTGGTTCTTGAGGTGTTCTCCTGGCGTCTTTGTGCATTTTTTTCCCACTCTCCCCTCGCCACCGTGTATGATTGCATTGGGTTGTTGGTTTTAGTTTCTGTTGGGCCCAGAATGGGTCCCCCAACATATGAGGATCCTTAAAAATCGTGTAAATATATAAACAGACATTTCTAACATGGATTCTTTGGCTGTATATTGTAGTTATATTGAGAGTATCATGAAATATTCTAAACTCTACCTTGACTCAGGACTGTCAAAAAGATATATATACATGCGTCACACCTTCCATTTCCACCAGAACCGCAGCTCCATATTCTTTGCGCTCTACTGTCTGTTCTTTTCTATATTCTTATTGCGGACCTTAATTTTCGGATTCATTCAAGCGCGAGAGAGTGTTAAGAGATGTAGCATCTTGGATACCTACCGCAGTGTTGGAAACTCTCCTTCTGTACCAGTTGTATAGCTGTCTAATTTGGATGGCCCATACAATCGCCGAAAAAGGCTCTAACTTCTCTTGTTCGTCATTATTCGAAGTTGACTGGCCGTTCAAGTTGAGGATGCACACTGATTTGCGGACATTGCTGCTTCTTTATCTTCATCGGGTGACTTGGATTTGGGGTTTGTCTGCAATAGCGACGATAGGCTCTCTCTAAAGTATTGAACGCAACAATGAGACTAATGATGCAATGACCATGGGTTTTATTACTCCTTTGGATGCTGAGGTTTGGATTCAAAAATTTCTAGGGACAGAATATGTCTCTCATGGCAGGCTTGACTGACCGACTGTAACAATCGATACATAGGTCGGGTTTGTTATGCCGTACAATGAGACCCGACAGGACTTGAGTGTTATCAGAGATACCTCATCTCTCTAGACGGGCTTGTCTGGATAATATTATTGGAGATGCGGGTGATCCAAAATAGACGAGTGATTTTTAGTCGTGCTTGTACTTAAAAGAATCGGCTTTGTCTACCATTGTAAAATGTATTGCGCAGAGGGGAAACGCTTCAATGTTAGGATTCTCATCTGGTTCCTGGACTGCTTGGACGACACACGTAAAATACTCCATGTTATTGCCGCATCAAGGACTCTTGCTCCCTTTGATCAAGAGTTAGGTGTAATTCTTACAGGTCATCTGCATCTCTTATGATAGCCACAACCAGCCGGCATCCTTTTTCAGGCTTTTGCCACTCGAATCAGATGTCACCAGAGCCGCAATTGCGGGACTCTAGGATTATAAGGTTAGTATAGCTAATTATAAAGACCTGGACTAATGAAGAGAGAAAGAAGAAAGACCGAACTACAGTTTTAAGAACAAACTAGACTTTTGATAGGCTTCAAACGAGCTAGAAGGCCCGAACAAATAGGCATCAAGCATCTCAACAGCAAATCTTCAACGCCGCCATCCAATCATTGAAACGTCATACTAATGACGAGAACATGGTGGTCGAGAGGTACATATACTGTGGAAATGCCCGAGATGAAAAGTAGGGAGTTTTTTTTCCCCTAAGGAACGCTTTGAAACATGAATTTGCTACATGGTATATCAGATTGCGTCTTTCAATTTCATGGCATCAATCATCGAACCAGAAATTTATTTCTGGCCTTGCCCAGCACCGGCACCGGCACCACCACCGCCCATCATGTTCCGAGCCCTGTAAGCCAATTGTCAGTAATGTGATTGTTGAAGCCCAGCGTTGGATATATACTTACATATCCGCGAGGCTGGGATCGCTCATCAGGCTGGACATGTCAGGCATGCCGCCACCCTGGCCAAAGCTTTCGGCCATCTGGCGGAGGCGAGGGTTACTCATCAGGTTGCTAAGCATATCGGGGTTGCTCATGAGATTCTGTGCCATGCTGGAGAACATCGGGTTGTTCATCATGGAGGCTAGGTCGGGCATACCACCAGCACCACCAGCACCACCACCGCCTCCACCACCAAGCATGCTGGCCAGGGAAGACAGGTCAGGCATGCCACCACCACCACCACGCGAAGAACCAGGAGCAGTGTCCAATTCCTCAGATGGAGGCTCGCTGGTCCGAGCGCTCTCTTCAAGCTTCCGTTTGGATGTCTCCAAGCCACGCTTCATGGCCTCACTGCCACCGTTGCCTTCTGCCTGAATACCCTTCTCGTATGCCTCCTTGGCAGCATGGTAGTCTCCCATATCGAAGCGGGCGAGACCCAGACGGCTCCACGCCTTGGAATACTTGGGATCAGCGGAGGCAGCAATCTCTGCATCAGCTGCGGCCTTCTCGTGCTGACCCGAAGCGGAAAACGCGGCGGCGCGGTTGGAGAGGTAGATGGGGTTTGCCGGGGCAATCTCGAGAGCCTTGGTGTATTGCGCAATGGCACCGGTGTAGTCCTTCTTGGCCATGAGAGCATTGCCCTCAGACTTCAGTTTATCGGATTCCGGTGTGGGAACGCCAGCCTTGGGCTTCTCTGCCTGGGAGGTCTGAGCTCCTGCGGTCGATTGCGGGGTCGACTTGTTGCGCAGCTTCTCGTAGACGCTGTAGATTCCGACCAATGATTGTCCACCCACAGCATCCTTCACAGCAGCCTCATCGGTCGGGTCAACTTTGAAGGTATCTGCGATACAAGACTGGGCAATTTCAATCGACTCCGCATCGTCGGCGGTCAATGTGCCATCTTTCAGGCTGGTGCCGAGGAAATCAATGACGGCCAAGGCCAATCGCTTGTGGCTATCTGTAGGAGCCTGCCATGAATCAGAACAATGAACCGATCACAACAGGCGGGAAGCTTACCATTATAGCAATCTTGCAGTGAATATTTTTAATGAAAGATAGACAATGTTCAAGAGTGACTGAGATGGAAGAAAAAAGTAAAACAGGTGAGGCAATGCGGGGGAACAGCTTTTACACGTGATCGAAGCTTATCGCTTCCCCGATCTGTTTCCAACCAAGTTGTACTTTGTTTCTTTACATTTGTAATTTGTGCTTTGAGTTTCTTGTCTGCGTTGCTGACGGATAATTGGTTCTTTGGAGATGACTCCATGTGAGCTTCATTGTCCATCTTAATCCCTGAACCTGACCTGAGCCATGTACTGGCCTCATGGAGTTCCCCGGGTCTACGCGGTCAACGGGCCCGATATTACCTATGCCACCTCTGATGAGGATCGCGAAATTCTGAATACCACTCCAACCAATGATCGCGATACAATTGACGACAACGTGGGAGCAGAAGGGGACAATGGAGACAATGAGGACGACGGTCAACATGAATTCCCAAACACCCAGCCTGATGAGGCGCAAAACAACTCGTCCCCGGACACTGGCAAATCAAAATGGGAGGATGAAGCTATTAGGGGAATTTGTGTTTCTCGATCTGGCCAGATGTTTGCCACAATGTCAGAGTCATCAATTGCTCTTTGGCAGACCCGGGTATGTCGACGGTGATGTTATGGTTCATGGGGAAAGTTAGAGCTAGCGACTGACAATTCCGGTAGCCCACAGCAGTCGTCACAGCAATCTCTCGATCCCAATTGTCATTAGAAACATACGGTCCAAATGTTTCGCTCTTTATGCACCCAGATTCGACCATCCTGGTTGTACAGACCCTCAATGGGTACCTAATCACATACTCGGTGACGTCGGATTCAACAACCCAAGTCTACCAGCAGCGATTTGATCACTCCACACACCCTCGTCGTCAACAATTGGCTCGATTTTCAGCAGTTGAAGAGGCCAATGTTGTTGGGAACATCAGCATTCGCTTCCGAATGGCTATCAAGATCGAGTCGGGAATCGTCAAAGCGCTGGCGCTAGATCAAGAACTTGTTGTCGCCACAGTGAAACCACCGGCTATACAATGCATTCGGTGGACAGCCGAGGCAGGAGGAACGCAAACCACATCTGAGCTACTGAGTCGCATCTTGGGGATTTCGAAGAAGGTCTCGATTGTGGACATGGTTTACGATCGTGCCATGAATCTCCTCCTTTGGATTACCAACAGTGGTCAGGCATATGCAGTGCAACGAGATACGGGCTCACAGCAGGATCCTGAAGCAGCTAAGAAACTCTTCCATGGACATTGCTTCCATAATCCGAAGGATGACAACGAAAAGGCCGTGAAGGTCACCGTAAATGCGCGGTTCTCTCTACTGACCGTGAGCTGCTTAAATGGTGACATCTTGGTTTACACTGCAAAAGATTACATGGGCAACATTCCACTTTCACAAAAGCTCTCCCTGCCAGCATCGCCCGCAACCACCGGGGCATTGACTTTTATGAGCTATTCCCCGGATGGATATTGCCTCTTTGCTGGGTTCGAAAATGGCTGGGCAACATGGAGTGTCTTTGGGAAGCCTGGGGGAAACAGCTTTTCAGTGGACACTGCGTTGGCGACAGCCAATTCAGAGGATTGGTTGACTGGAGTGTCAGACGGTTGTTGGATTGGTGGCGGGTCGGACATTATCCTCACTGGAAAAAATGACCGTCGCCTGTGGGTTCTGGAGACAGCTCGCAGTGCTTTGACTGGTTGTTTTTCGTCTGCAAACTTGGCTAGAGGCCTGTTGCAGACTGGGACTGAGTTTATCCTCTATCGAGGTCACGATCTTCCAGATCTCATGACAATTTCAGGAAAGGATTCACTGTGGCATCATGCCCAGTACCCTCCGGCATATCTTCATTCCCAGTGGCCAATTCGATCTTGCGTCGTGTCTCAGGATGGCCGGTATGTTGCAATTGCAGGTCGTCGTGGCCTTGCACATTATAGTGTCAATAGCGGTCGATGGAAGGTATTCGAAGATTCAAAAGCCGAAAGCTCCTTTGCTGTGCGAGGAGGCATGTGTTGGTACGGCCACATACTGATCGCAGCGGTGGAGAGTGATGGGTCATACGAGGTACGATATTTCTCCCACCGGCATTAGCTTCATGGATGACTGATTTGGATTGAAAGATTCGTCTTTATTCGCGAGAGGCTTCCCTCAGTAATAATTCGATCATGTTCATTGAATATCTCCCATCACCGGTCGTGTTCATTGGAACCTCTGGAGAAGATTCTCTATTGGTTTATACATACGATAACATTCTGTACCATTATATCATTAATTCGACACAGCCTCAGATCACTCTTGTCCCCGTTGGACAGATCGCCTTCAATGGGATTGTGCGGGCACCCACTCGCGTCCGATCAATCAGCTGGGTATTGCCCGAGGAGCAGATGCGTGAGTTAGCTTGCTTTATATGCGGTTATCTGGGCACAACACTGACAACAAGGTAGGAAACGGTGATCCATCTCACGACGTGAAGGTCGCATCTGTGCTTCTCCTCGTGGACGGCAACTTGGTATTGTTGCAGCCCACAGTCTCAGATGCGGGCGACCTTAAATACGACATGCGGGTCATATCCCATGATGTTGAGTACTACATCTTGATGCGCGACCAGATTTCCTTCAACTTTCCCTCCCAGGTTGATGAATCTCTACCCGCCAGTCCTTCGGTTGATATGGCACTGGAGCCACCTCACAGAAGTCTCTCGCTCAGAGACTCTCTTTGGATGTTCCGTGGCCAAAACTTGATAGCTTGGAATGATGTCCAGGATGTTTTGCGGGAGGAGATGGTGCCGGCACCACTCAACGTCCCCCTGGACTTTTATCCTTTGTCTGTGTTACTGAACAAGGGCATTGTGCTCGGTGTTGAATCGGAAATGATGCAACGACGCGATGTGTCATTCACTGTTCTGAAATTCGCCATCCGGGTAAGTTACTATCTTTATCAATAACATTCAATACTGACCTGTGCACCTCAGACACACCTTTTCTTACCATACTTCCTCCAATATGGCCTGACCAGTGTTGGAACACCTGCGGCTCTCGCTCTATGTCGCCACTTTTCTCATTTGTCTTACTTCGCCCATGGGTTGGAAATCCTACTTCATCACGTTCTGGACGACGAAGTGGACAATGAGAGCCGAGCAAATAAAAGTGAGGATCCACAAGCACGAGCAGAACCATTACTCCCAACCGTCATTGCTTTCCTCCAAGCCTCGCTCCCACCCAGGGACTACCTTGAGATTGTTGTACAATGCACACGAAAAACAGAGCTCCGATCATGGCGCACATTGTTCACCTACCTACCCCCACCCAAGGATCTATTCGAACAGGCCTTGAAACTTGACTCTCTCAAAACCGCAGTTGGATACCTCCTTGTGTTGCAAGCCTTCGAGGATGAGGAGCAAGGACACGATGGCCGCATCGAAGAATATGTTGTTCGTTTGATTGCTCTCGCCTCCCAGAAGGGAGACTGGGAGCTGTGTGCTGAGCTGGCCCGCTTCCTCATTGCCCTGGATGCTTCAGGTGAGATGCTCCGCCGTGCAATTGCCCGAGTTGGTCTACGGTCCAACTCCCGGTTTCCTGTGAAAAGTGCGTTGCCTGGCGCGGCAACCCGATTTAGTCCTGCGGGTGTCCAAGGTTTGGGCTTGAACCTCTCAGCTAGATCGCCATCATGGGTGTCTCTTTCCCCAACATCGTCTCTCTCGCCCCTTCCAAGCCGGCAACATGGCGATGTGCCAGATGAAAATCCATATTCAGTGGGTGAGCAAGATACATAATTAAGTTTGTTGATAGTAAAACAGTTAGATATTAATAAGGTCCACTATAATCTTCTAGTTGCTTCCCTCTGTTAAAACCTCAAATATACGGGTTTCTCAACCTACTGACGCTCAACAACTAAATTTAGATGTACACATGTGGTTTATGCCTGCTTTTATCCTGGAAATTGGAAAATTTGATAATATATTTCTGTAAATCGTAAAGTACCGTTGCTAGAAACCTTTTCTAACGCCTCTATATCAAATAATCGGTTTATAAATTACTCCTCCTGGAATGGCTCAATATCAAACCGTAGGTGTATCTGGTAGTGACTGCCGAAAGTATGAATTCTAGCGATACGACGCGTACCTCTCTCCCAAGCCCCTAGCACAAAACATGCTGCCGACTTCCCTAGCCTTGTACCTAGAATTTCTCTATACTCATCAGTCTCGTACCCCCACGCCCTCCACTGCATCTCGCCGGACGTTGGCCACTCGATACCATATCTTGGGTAGAGAATATCTTCCAAGTAGGGCAGGGTCTCTTCGTTCTGGACATTAGTGAAGTAAATATACTTTAGAGTATCGATATCATGGTCAAATTTATATTGAGCAACAGCAATATCAGACCAATGAGGCCCTGTCCATCTGTAAATGGCCTCACCAATCATAACACCTTCTGCGATGGAATGCTGATACTCAGATTCCCTTTTGCAGCCATCCGCGTCAAACCCGTGGAGCACCAGTTCTGTGAAGCGGTGCCTATTGCCTGTTATCGGGAGCCCTAATTGTGAGACATCCTCCTGAATATTTGAAGGTGGATCATCGAAATGGTTCCTTGGACAAGTAAATCTCTCTCTGTCATTGTCGTTATTGAACATGTCAAACAATGTACTTGTTGCTCGTGCATATCGGCATCCGGCTATAGATGGGTCGGCAATCCATGCTTGGAACCGGGATCCTTGTCGATAATACTCGTATACTTGTTCTTCCGATACTGGGGGTAGGTCACTTACAGGGCTGCTGGGTGTCTTGATTCTATTTCCATCACTAGATGGACTGCTGTATTGTTGAATGGGATACGGAGGAGGGCCCTCGGAAGATTCTGAATCATTTTCGGAATCGGAAGATTCTGAATCGTTTTCGGAATCGGAGGATTCAGGGGCATTAGAGGATAGACGGCGTCGGGTTGGAGAAGGAGAAGAGTCATCATCATCTTCCTCGTTGCGTCTACGCTTAGGGGGCCTTGGCTGGCTTGTCGATGGCAAGCGTCGTCCTGATGGTTTAAATTGCATTTTGTAATATGAGTCGTTTGTGACTTATGTTGTGATGGCTATCTTTATTTGAGTATTGTAGTATTGTAGTATTGCACGTCGAAGGAATACTTGTCACGAAGACAGGAAAAACTCGATAATTATATAGTCCTAGTTGCCCTTGATAATAGAGTCTATGGGGGCTATCATAAGAAGAAAGAACCAAGTTGGCAACATAAATAGCACAACCGTGCAAGCCATGAGGATACTGAGGGATCAGACAAGTTAGCACAAAGAGAGTAGAGACCGTCGACAAAGAGTACTGAAATAAATCAACAAAGAAGTCGAGGGAATACAACGTCAAACAAAAAATTGCTTTGTGGAAACAATAGTATTCTGAGCTACAGGTTATATTAAGCCTGGAGCGAGGGATGCTAATAATAGGTATAGCCTAGCATTGTGTTATAACCTGCCCCTGGACTGGCGAGTTACACACAAGGCCAAAAGGACCACTATATCTGAGCATTACGCTCAGATATTCAAGGCTCCGATATAGTATATAGTGCGACATGACACATTGACACCTACGATTTTTCTACAGTGTAAAATGCTAAGTTTACATCCTCTGGTTATGGAGCCGGATATACATAGGAATGAATATGAAGTACAGTGCCACACGTGATAATGAGCTAACTTGCATAGAGACGGGGGAGATGGAGGGAAGAAGAGCTTCTCTCTCTAAGTAACCCGACAAATTAAGTACTTCCCACACCAACACCTCAATATCGTGTCCCATCATATCATAAGTGGATAAGAGCCGCAAAATGCATGTATCTACGGCCTTGTATCCGGAGAAGTCATTGCTCCAGTCCAACAGGGCGCTGGAGGTCTGCCAGCAACAATCTGTAAAGCAGCCAGCTGCTTTCGGTCTGCCTGTAGAACCGCCAAGTCCTCCTTCATGGAACGAACATCGACAGCTATCTGAGCAAGACGGGTTTTGAGAGCATACTCAACCGCTGCGTGCGCAGCCGGGCTCGCAACAAAGAGCTCAGCCGTGAGCGGAGAGTGATACACCCCTCCGACACCACCCGCAATCTGAGCCAGAACAGCTCCCCCCATACTAACTTCAATACCCTCTTCAGTAGTTTTGACTGTTGGAGATAAGGACACCTGTTGCTCCCTGGCTTGTGAATCCTTGCTGGAATCACCAGATGAGGGGCCCACCGGGGTGGAATTCACCGCAGGGTAACACATCACGATCCTAAACAATAGGAGGATGAATTCGCTAAGACTCGGGAAGAAGGAAAGGAATTACCGGATTTTAGAAATGGTAGTGCCACAATGTGGAAGAGTGGTTGGAGGAGGAAGTAAGTTTACTAGGGGAAATCTTCTTTATCTTCACCGAAGTGTTTGCTCTTAGACAAAGAACGAAGGACTGTGAAGTTTGTTGCCCAGTAGCAAATAGAGGACACACTGTTTATTCCCAGTGAGTATTCGCTTTAGAGAACTGAGGCGCACACGGGCAACGAATGAACCATGCATGTGTTCCTCGGCGAATTTCGATGTTCTCATCCATCCTGGCCCCAAAAGTTGCCTATTCAGGTAACCCTAGAGACTCGTCTAAAGAGATATCGCTTATCGCTTATCGAGAGCGGTAGACAATGGTAAATAGAAAACAATTACATCAGTGCCACAAGAAACTTCACCAAGGGAAAGCTTTCGAGAAGATACTTCCTGCATCAACGATCAAATTACGCCACATAGTTTACAACATCCATGGATGGCCTTTCTGAGCTAACTTGTCGAGATTTACACTCATCCTCGCGTATCCAGTTTCAATACTGTGATCCAAGTTAGGAGGAATCCGGCCTTCGACTTGTGGATAAAATCATTGAACTGCTACGATGTTGTTAGGTACAAACCATTGCTATCCCAGGGACATTCCCCGACAACATCTGAGATCTCACTTCCATCTTCTCCTAGATCTGCATATTCTTTGCCGATGTAATATTTCTCGGCAAAATTGTCGTTCCACTTTTAGTAAGATGGAACATGGACGGTGCGCAGTCTGGTGAATGTGTCGCGGCTACGTTCGCCGCCTTCTTTTCCAGTGCCAACTGCCTTCATGTCGTTGTATCCAGCACTAAGCTCACGGCCCAGCCAGCAATTTCCCCACACCAAGCCTGCATCAAGCTGTTCTGCAACTCGGCGCATTCGGGAAAGATCATTGGTCAGCACAACAGTTCCGATCACGTTGGGAGTGCTATTGCACATCGCGACTATACCCGCCTCTGTGTCAAATGTGCACAAAATGGCCACAGGCCCAAAGACCTCCTCTTGCAAGAGAAGACTATTGTTGCGCACGTTGCTCAAAACGGTAGGAGTGACCCAGAAACCATCCATGGGAGCTCCAAGTGGAATCTCGCCAGTCTCGCACCTGGCATTTTCGCTCTCAGCCTGGCATAGGTAAGATCGAATCTTGTCATAATGCTGTTCAGAAACAACCGGACCAAGTTCCCTGCCACAACGGTAATCCATACGGACAGATTGGACGAACTTGGGCATAAACTCTCTATAAATCGATCGGTGGATGTAGATCACAGAACCGCCCATGGAGAGTTGTCCGCTGTTTTCAAACGCCGCGTATGCTGCCACATTAACTGCCTCATCGATGTCGACATCTCCAAAGACAATCGTCGGGCTACTGCCTCGGAGCTCGAGAGACAAGCGCTTGTGAATCTCAGCTACAGTATCATTTCGAATCTGAATCCCGGTGTTGACACCTCCAGTGAACGAGATTCCTCGTACAAGCGGCGACTTCAAAAGGTTCGAGCCAGTGTCCGGTCCATCTCCGAAAATGATGTTCATAACACCTGTAGGTAGTTCCGCTCGTCGGAGCACTTCACTGAACACTATTTTCATGTTAAGCGCAGTGACTCAAACAAGTCAAGGAAGACAATTTCTTACAAAACGCAGTCATGCTAGTCAGTTCACTTGGCTTTGCCACACCCGTGCATCCGAAAGCAAGGCAGGGGGCAATCTTCGACGTCAAAAGGCAAAGCGGCATGTTCCACGAAGTGATGATGGCGAAAACACCAACTGGCAATCGGTGTTCATACGACAGAGTAGACTCTCCAGAGCCTTTGTTGACACGCACTGCGCTATCTTCATATTGCAGTATGTATTTCGCAAAGTATCTAATGGGATTAGGTGTCAGATTAACTCATATGCAGAAGCTAAAGGAACGAACCGGAAATGCTCAATGGAACGAGTAACTTCAGACCGAGCCCGCATGATTCTTTTGCCTTGATCAATGCTTTCCCAAACTGCAAACATTTCCCTCTTTTCCTCAAGGATTGAGGCAATTCGGAGCAGGATTTCCGATCGTTTGGCAGGAGGTGTTTGTGACCATTCCTGGAAAGCTCGAGAAGCCACGTTGATGGCGTATTCGACGACGTTGGGGGGACTACGAGGAACCTTCGACAGGATACTGCCTGATCGAGGGGAAACCGAGTCAATCCATTCCGATGTGTGTTCATAGCCGAGGAACCTGTTTTCGATGAAGTTCTGAAGATGAATAGGCTCGTTCGTCGAGTTGTCGAGGTATTCGTTGGCACGCGTCAGCGTGTCAAGCTGCCAGAGCATGGAAAGGTTGTCCATGATTGATGCGTGGGTGATGAAAAGAAAAGTAAGTTTGTTAGGGTGGAAGAAGCAATCCGATGCCTTGGATGATAAGACTGAGTTAGTTCAGGGTATCTTTTGTTGATACTTTCTGGATTCAGATATAGGTACCTTGTCCTACTGATGTCGACCAAGTCAAAAGACAAGACGGGCCGACAATGAAGATTCAAAGAAATCTTCTCGGTTATTGTGCGGTGTCAACACTGAAGGAGAACTTTTGACATGAATGAATTAACCGAGACAGAGATGGGATGAAAACTACAAACACTACAAGCCGGCACGTGCCCTTTGAACTGGCTCAATTTGTGGCGGTAAATTTATCTTCTGCAACTTCATAGATCTCAGGATCCTTCACGCCATCAGACTAGAGAGCAGGGTATCGAACCTTCCATACTCTCAGGTACAACCTACGATTGCTCAATCTCTAACCTATTCCGATGCGGGGTTGCTAATATAGCGAGAAGAATTCGAAATCTTTGAACTCAGCCCTGGAGACAATACCATTTCAAGAAACTTGCCCTATCAATATCTTCAAATACTCTCGTTGGTTTTATCGCAGAAGTCTGCAGGGTCTGACTTTGATAACCTTGTTTTGACAGCTTACTTTAATCAGTTTGACATATTTGCTAAAGAACGCTTTTGCAAAGTCTTTGCTAGTATTCTAGCTGCTTTTATGTTACATGTGTATAGAGCCCCCTGGCCAGGCTTGCAGTGGCATTGCGAATAGCTTTTGGATCATCCTGCTTCCTTTCTCAGTAGATTTTAGGCAATTGCTCATCCTTGAGGGGAGAAAGTAGTAGATTACCCAACCTTGGGAATGCCTATCATTACTATGTATGGACTATGGGCAAAAACAAATACATGATTTATACAAATATGGACACATGATGTGGATATCCCTTCCCTTTTCGAAAGCATATCCTCCCAGCTTCCTATAAATTCAAGAGAATACAAATCCTCCGACATCCCACCTAATGACACTCACTGAGTTGGGTTCTCCGAATTAAACATACAGATAATCCCGGCTGTCGCTATTCGCTCCGCTCAGCCCACGCTCTTAAAATACATAAGAAGAAAGATGTATTATTCCGCTGATGCATCCCAGCCTATTAGTTTGAGCATGGTCTAGGCATAGGTACTAACATAGACTGACTGGAGGTTTCACCCCTCTTTTTCTTAAATCAATTCTGAATATGTATCTCTCTTGTCGTCTTTGTTTACTAAATTCTTCTAAAAAAGATCTTGGCTAGAATAATATTATAACTATTGTACATGATCAAGTCTTATGATCGACAGGCCGTAAGGCACAAACACGTGACATAGACCCACCTTCCGTTTTGGGAAGCAATGTTCCTATAAATTCAAGACAAACAAAAGCTTTTCAACAATCTCAGCTAGTGGCTGAGTTGGGTTCCTCCGGACTAAACATGCTGGTATTCCTGGTAATACTGGCGGCCGGCGCTCGATCCTCTCAGTCCACGTTCTGAAAATACATTTAAAAAAAAAAAAAGTATCATGCATCCCAACCTCTGGTTGGGCGTGGCCTAGGCATAGGTACTAGCTTGAGATTGTACCAGGGCCATGGGAGTCTACTGCTGGCGGTGATTTCCATGGGAGCGCCCTGTCGGCACTGTTGGGAAGAGTGCCGGCTTCTTTTTTAAATTGCTTCCTAAAATATCACTTTTATTTTGTTCTGCAATCCAAGAAGTTGAATCCCGATGTATTATAGTATCTTTGTAGCATCAACTTCAAGCTGTGGAAAAGACAGAAAAACCATAAGATTTTCTTTATTATTTTACATCGAAGTCCAAATCCCCTCTTGTCATAACTTTCAATGTGTCCCACCTCTGGTCGCACTCCATCGATGCTACCAAATAATGAAGATCTCGCATAGCCAAGCTTGTCGGTAACTCACTAACAGCATATGACGATCCAACTATTCCTAGGTTCACCTGTCCCTTGTTGCATTATAGCTTTGCTTTCGTGATCTCGCTGCACAATGACATGTCCGCAGACCCACCGTTGGATGATTCAACTCTCTGAGGCAAAAAATGCCTTTTTGCGTTCCTGAACTGTCTCGCCGGATTCTCTGCTATTTTTACACTCACTCACCAATTCACAGTGGTTTCTCCCGTCTTTTTCTTTTCCTTTGGTCTCCAAAATCTACCTCAGTATTCTGGCTGATTACATTGTCGAACTTCTCGGATTTCTCCACCTTCTCTTCCATCATGTCTCAGGATTCCGGGGTGGATTAAAAGTCCAAGAATGACTAGCACCACCTTTGATTCTGAAGACAGGTTCTACTATTGCAGCGGGACCACCTGGTGTTTCTTTCTCAGTCCAGGGATGTACCAGGATGACTCCAGCGCATCAAAGGTCCACGAGTATGCCCCATAAATTGCGCCCATGTGTTCCACCATTTGCTACAAGATAATCGGAAACGGAAGCCCCTGGTTGAAAGCAACAACTGTAGTGCTGCCTGGCTATTGGTTTGAAGATAAGTTATCTACATGCCAGATGGTTCGGTTGAACTTCTTCCCACTGTTGAAGGTATTTTTTTCTCAAATGAAGCCAGGTCCTCAAAACTACCATTCATTCAGTCAAATGTAAAGGACTTCACGGGCCACGTACAAAGTATTGTCTACTTTGTCTATGACAAAGCTAAGGAAGTCCCCTTCTGCTCTTTGTTTCTTTGACTATTTTGAGTCTTTCACAATTAATCTCATACAGTGCGCAGCACAATGTCTTTGTTCTGATATGATTTGCTGTTTAGCGTTGTGTGTGCTCGTCTTTAGCATATATCTCCATTTGATCCATACTACCGCCTATCCAGGTCGCCACATCAACTTTAACTTACGATGGCTTTCAGGTATCCCCAGTTTGAGCCCTATGGGGATAAGCTAATCCGATGGATGGAGAACACCAATGAACCCGGATGCCAAATTCCCATGACTATACTCACCGCATTGACTCTACCACAGCCTAAGATCTTCAACAACGAGTATGAAAGAGAATGGTTATCACCAGCACAGATTTTCTCTATTGTAGGTCTTCATCTGCCAGTTGCAGATCTAATTCCACATTCTTCAGATCTTACAGAGTCCCCGTCTTTCCGGCACTCAATAATCAAGACCAAAAATGGAATCACAGCATTGGTCTCAACGATTGGGCCAGGTGTTTTATTCGTCTATTCTATGAGAAGAGTCCATGTTTCAAACGATCCGTACATATCCGAGCTTATCAAGATTGCCTATGAAACGCACTTTCGATTGGATACTCTGAAGTATCTCTTTATAAACGAAGTACAGGAACATAAAACTGAACCTTTTATTGAGGAACAGATCTACCCTTCCCGTGAGGGACTTAGCTATCCATCTGCAGAGCGTCAAATCTGGGACCGCTCTTCGTCGGAGTTTAGTGCTATTATGGGTACGCCTGTTGGTAAGGTTGTCGGGTTCTTCATTCTAGGGGCCTATGGCCAGGGTGTCAAACGGATTTCACAAATTGTTACGTTCCAGACTGGCCGTGACCTTCACAAACTAGAGATTCGTTTTAATATCGAAGATGTTTGAGTTCTGCATTCAATCCTTGTTTCTAGGAATTTGACTTGGAGATGAAGATACCAGGGGGTTTGCTCAGTTTCTTTTCTATAGAGTGCGAGGAACGGAGATACTAGCTTTTTTTCAATTTGATTTTAAGAGTATACGTACCTTAGACTTAATTGTCAGACCCTTCAATCCTTAAGTGGTTTATTGTATCCTAGCTTTTCCGACCAAGATTAACCAAGTAACAAGGGCTTTCCCGGCTATTTGAATGGAGGCCTTACATATATTTATCAAGGGAAGGAATCATAAAATGTAGAAAACATCATAGTATTCAAAAGATTGCGCCAAGTATCTGCACGTATCTACCACTCGTCAGCCCCAGGGGCTGGTGGTGTCTCCACCACGTTGCTTGACGGCTTGTCGGGACGAGGTGGAGTATTTCCCCCTCTCTTCCAATTCTTCCTGTTGTTCTTGCGGCATTCACGCTGCAGGCGACTGGATTCCTGCCCACAACGCTTTGTAAACTCGTCAAAAGTGACGCCCTTGTACAGGTATTCGGGCATGACAGCTCTCTTCAGCTCTTTGGTGAGACGGGCATGTAGCTCGTGCTTCAAGAGCTCGAAGGGCTCTCTAGATCCACCAGACCTATACAAAAACTTGCATAGGAAAGTATGGAAGTCATCCTTTGGTTTCATGTTTGGTCTATCAAGGCAACCACAAGCTTCAGTTGCATAGTTCAGATCACCGAACCGGAATTCGAGGTCATCGAACATGTCCTGGACTGTATTGTATGGGAGAACAGCATCCTGTCGCAAACGGGCGTTCAAGTGCAGGTGTGCCGGTCCAGTGGTTCGGCTTGTAACATAGATAATTCTATGTTTTTCGGTTGGGTAGTGGTCAGGATTGAAGAAAAGCTTGCCTTGCATGTCAAGGAGCCAGCTTTCAAAGGGAGGATTGACTCCATCATCGAGCTTTTCGGGATCCGCGAGGCGAGTGGACTTGCTGATTCGGGGCTCAACGTCCTCTCCAACACTCGCAGCAGGAAAGCTATATTGATTGGATCCGATTCGGTCAGGGTTTTCAATGGAAGCGAGCACCTCAGGGTGTACACGAGTTGGTTCGTTGGCCTGGAGGCGACGGGGTTCGCAGGCAGAATCACTTGCTTCCCCAACGGCAGAATAATACTGTATCTTCAAGATATCCCATTCAGCCTGCGCAATCTCGGCGGAGTGTTGCGTTTCGGCAGCTTCAGTCACGGCACGAGCTCGGTGAGCTTCAAGTGCATTGTTGGTTTGCTCTACGGTCTGTTCGTGGAGTTTCTTGTATTCCGCCTGTGCAGAAACAATTGTGTAGTACACACGGCTAGGATCCTCCTTGACCCATCGTATGAAATTTTCGTAATCTGCAATACCCTGTTCTAGCTGTTGAATCCAGGACGGACAGCCGCGGTAGGTGGAGTTGTCGGAGTCATCGTAAGCTTCAGGGTTGGCAATATTGGACTGAGCGGGGTCAGGTTTGAGCTCCTGTTGCTCAGCGCCAACCTCCGTCTCTGATGTGACGATTTTTTTGGCCATTATCACAGTGCTCTGGTCGATTGTAGATCGGGTGTCGCTCGACCAGTCGGGAGCAGGTGGGGCCAAAGATGCAGCTGGTTCGGGCCGAGTCTTGGCGTGCATGAGTGGAGACCACGTCAGAGGTGATCTGTTATGCAGGTGATGAAGGAGATGAGGAAGATAGAAGTGAAAGAAAGATTGTGAGTCAAATGTGAAATGATGTTTCCGATCAAACACTCAAGAGTGTGTTTATGCGAGAGAATTAGTACAGGAGCATAAAGAAAGAGAGAAGCAAATGAAGTCTGAGAGTAATTTTTATACCTGATCTTGTTTGCTCTACGCGGTAAATATACTATACAAGCTCGTTTATCTCTTGAATCGTCTTTTTTGAGGATTGGGATACCCTCTGAAAGTCACTTAATGTCCTAACCTTATAAGAAGAGGGCTGTTGGTTCACGAGGCACGTTGTATTCATACATTTATCCGTCATGTCTTATATCTCTTTCAATTGTGGCTTTTCTGACCTTCTCACTCGTCGCTATTTGCATAGTTCAGGGTTTATACTAATACTTCCCAATATTGCTCATTCGTTTGTCCCAATCTTACCCGCTATTCCTACCATTGCATTCCATCAGGGCGCCCCGTTCAAAGATTCCCTGCCTTTCTCAGCCGACCCCCACGACTAGAATCAACACCGGCACACCGATAGGGCTATTAAAAAGACAGTGGCTGTCCCCACATACAGACTCAGAGGACGACAGAGACATGAGCAGGATAAAAAAATACAGAATGTACAATGTAGGCAATTATTGAATCTAGGGGCAGCTAAAAAGGTATTTCTTGGAATGTGATCGTGAACAGTAATCGCCATTAAAGCGACTGAAAAAAAATCGCAACCAACTACAACACCACTACAGCATTACCTAGATGTATTGAAAAAAAAGTAACTAGTTCGTTATCAAAGATAAATGCTTACCATGGGCTTTCTATTAGCAAAAGATTCAGACTATCACCTGTTGTCTACGTATATTGACACCTAATCATCACCAAGCAATTGTATGGTCTAAAAACAAGGAATCGAAATTGGTTTTAGATACCAAATTTTACTATGGTAATTTATTGAGTCCCAAGGTTATCTTTCAACATAATAAAAACGTACACATGCAATGAGGTGTAATGATATATGCTATGGGCAGTTCTAGCACTTCTTATTTAATTTGAAGCTCCGCTCTCCCGTTCCTGCAATGTTTGGCGAACTTTAGGAAGCACAAAACGTCCATAATCGATAGCGTCGTTAAGATTATCATATCCACGGATAGAGATAAGGTCGGCGCCAAGATCAATGTAGTCAAGAAGAGACTCAGTAATAGTCTGAGGCGATCCAACCAAAGCAGTAGATGCACCACGTGCATTCGTCGCAGTAACAGTAGGATACCAAAGAGCACGATCCTGAACCTCCCCACGAGCGGCAATATCAAGAAGCCGCTGAGAGCCTGCGTTCTGCGGGGGCGGCGCGTCTGCAGGGGCCTTGCCTTGTCCCTTCGCTCGGTTTGAAGTCAGTGCATCGAGGGTTTTGTGTGCCTTAGCCCAGGCAAGGTCATCAGTCTCCGCGATAATAGGACGGAATGTCACCCAGATGCGAGGTCTGTCTGAGTCCGGGCGACCGGCCTTTGCCGCCTCGGCATAGATGCGATCGATTTGATCCTTAGTTTCTTTCAAGGGTTCGCCCCAAAGTCCAAAGATGTCAGCCAGGGAGCCTCCAATGCGGTATGCTTCATCTGACGAGCCGCCGACCGAGACAGGAATTGTGTCATTGGTCAGCCGAACACGGTTGCTAAATTGTTTGAACTGGTAGTATTTGCTGTCCCAGTCAAATGGCTCATCGGACTTCCATGCACGGCGGAGAATCTTAATGTAGTCCTCAAGGCGAGCATAGCGTTCATCTTTGCTTAGGAAATCCCCTTCCTTGGCCTGTTCTGCATCGCTTCCACCTGCGATAAAGTGAACAACGACGCGACCGGAGCTGAGTTGATCGAGTGTGGCTAGCGCCTTTGCCGCAACTGTGGGGTACAGCGTGTTGGGCCGCAGGGCAATGATCACCTTGATGTTTTTGGTCACAGAGAGAATGGTGGCTCCAATAGTGAATGGATCATATGATGAGGAATCGTAGGGCACTAGTGTGTAGTTGTAGCCATAATCATCAAGATTGCGAGCATAGCGAACGAGATATTCTGGGTCGATTGAGGCGTTGGGAATTGGATTGATCTCAGTAGATGCGTTCGGGAATGTGACGCTGATGAATTCCGGCATAGTGGTTTTTTTTCCGACCGTTGACGTTCTTAATTTTCTCAGATACTGTTTTAGTTATCAGCTTGCGGCAGATCGATCTTCTTTTAATACTTCAGCATTGCAGTATCTCTGGGATGATTTGGCATCTTAATGCATGACGCAAGATGGTAAGCGATTGCGTCTTAGCACGCAAGTCGATAACCATACACTTCCGCGATCAGATAGTACTGAAATTTCTCTACAAACCCAAGTAAGCAGTGTTTCTTTAGTCGCACTAAGGAATAGTAGGAGAACTAAAGGATATTGCGCCAGTATTGCGCAAGATGATCCATGAGAATCGCAATATGAGATTGGCCGAGATCGCAGTTCAGTTATGGGGTTAACTTGATAAGATCTTAAACACTTAGATAATAAGTTTGTAGGGCAGATTCCATTCATGATATGATCCCTAGAATAATTCGCATCGTAATATGGTTCTACGGCTAGGATTTTGTGCAGAATGGTGCTTCTTCATAACTGTAACTTGCCACAGCTCGTAGGCTACATTTAGAGCGAGATTTCCCGACAATAGAAAGCTCAAAGCAAGGTTGACGCTGTTCAGGTCCATTGGGAAATAAGTCAAAGTGACAGATAGAACGGGGACGAATTATGTGTACCAGAAACGATATGGTGCAAGATCCGCGATATTGAAACTATGCAATTAATGAGAATGACATATGCTAAGTTAGATCTGAGACACGGGTAAATGAGGTCAATGGAGATTGTCTCTGGTGTTCTATAGTGGCCTACATATCTAGCCCCGTTCGGGGTATACAGCCCGGGTTTCTTCTAGGCTGTTTGCACTGGACCCATGCATGACTCAGCTTGTGCTCAGCATAACCCGTGGACCCTTGGAGTATATGTAGGTAGGCAGACCCAGCCCTACTTAGTTAGGTAGTCTAGTTATTAAACACAGGGCCTATTAATATTTTGTTAGTCGCGAGGTCTCATTCGACCCAGTTCGAGATAAGCTCGGATAGTCCTATTTTAACCATTCGGCCACACTTGCCTGGATGAGAAGTTCAGGACAAGTTTTGCTCGTTATTTTTGTGATGTCATACATTCTATGTCTATGCGCTTGATGTAATTCATATAGACAACGATAGGTTGTTTTATGGGTCTTGAAGAAGCAGAGTGTATTGAGACTTGTCTGTGACGTGGAATTGTGAGCAGGGAATATTTGGTTTATCGGTCAAGGAATATATCAACTGCTACTGAGGATAACGTTGTGGAATAGTTCATCATGCGAATGATTTCGTCTGTTAAAAGAGATTGAAGAATGCCTCAACGCTCCTATTGATTGGTTCCTATGTTTCTACACTGCGCCCAACGGCCTTCGAGGGGTCTAGCTTCTAGGGGCCATTAAGCGATGCCACGTTTCATTTAAGATTGAGCTCATCGCTACGCCTCTACCCGCATATTTTTCAGAAGCCGGGGAAGTAGCCGGTAAGTGTCAGGACCTGTAAAAATGGCCACTCCGACCAAAAACACCATGCTGCTGTCTGGATCCGAGAGGAGTTCAGCCACAGATTCAATAAGGCTGCATGTTAGAGACCTTAACGGAAATTTAAACGAAATACTTTTGGGGGCAGCCCCACAGTGTACGGAGTAGCCATTTTCACTTCGGAAAATGTGCTCCTATTCCCCCTCATTTCAGCCCCAATCAATATTTTAATCTGAACCAAACACAACCTCTTCATCGCATAAATCACCTAGAGCCTAATGAGGAAAAGGCAAATATAACCAAAAAACGCCGCAAATCCACCAGTACAGATCAAAGATATAAATAATATCCGAATACATTTGGTGTCCAATTCTATGTACCAAAACCATCGAGAAACCCTTGAAGAATCCCTGTCGAGATGGAGAATGAGTCAAGACAAGATGCCAAAGAGGAACTAAAATCCATTCAAGGGATGTTGAATGAAGCCTGTGTTCAATTCGAGAAAATCACGAAAAAAAAGCTCGACTCCAGAGGATTTGAGAATGCTAAAAGTTTTGACGACCTCAAGGCGAGAATCTGTTCAGGCAAGGAAGCCGACCCTCAGTCCCGGGCAACCAGGCAAAAGTTCCTTACAATTGTGTCAGTTGTTCAGACACTGACTGGACCAGTCAAGATTGCTACCGATATAGTAAGTCCCTGGTTAGAAATTCCTTTCAAAAAAAAAAAGGAACCAAGCTCCTCACAGTATCATATCTGCACGTTCATGGGCTAAGATTCACGGTTAGGCATTCTCGCCTGCTAGCGCTTGTGTTAGTGCTTTGTCGTTTCTTCTGGAGATCCCATCAAAGGTTCACAGCATTCATGAGTCAATCAGGGCTGTGATTGAGGAGGTTGAGCCTAGGTTCACTGAATTAAGGGTGTATGATGAGATGAGTGCAAAGATTGACCCAGTTCTCATCATCTCGGTTTGCAATGTCATGATGGCCTTTATTACTCTCTGTGCCCAGTGTGTGAAGCATCTTGAAAAGGGAAAACCTTATCAGTACTTCAAGGAAGGAAAATGGATTTTGTCAAACAAGGATCCCATCAAAAATGGTCTGGATAAGTTGAAGGAGCTTTCACTTCAGAAAGAACACGCTCAATCGATGCTTATGATGAAGGAAATTCTGGATTCCAGCGACAAGCTTGACAACGTCGGTGCTAAAGTTGATGGAATTTCCGACTATGTCAGCAAGCGCTCCGACGAAATAGCCCGCCAAAGTGATTTGAGTGAAATCAAGAAACATTTTCGTGTGAATTCGGAGGACGGGGTATTGATGGGTCACCGTGTCTACGAGGAAGCATCTCATATAGTGGGAGACAAAAAATGCTGGTTCCTCGAGTCGGAGTCCTACAAGACCTGGGCATTCAACAAAGAGCAAGATGTACGACCATTGATTTTGATATCTGGGGAACCGGGGACAGGGAAGAGTGTCTTGTCAGCCTCAATGTTTCTCGATGTCAAGGCAAAAGAGACGTTCGTCGTTTATTATTCGTTTCCACCGATGCCCCAAAGTCGCAAAGGCCACCAGCAACCGCTTGAAGACTGTGTAAAAGTTACGGGACTACAATTGGCAGAGCAGAATTCAGACTACCGGCGACGCTTGCTGCACTTTCTTAGTACGAAGGAGCAGAGTGCCGAGGGGACGGACTATAAGAGCTTACTGAAGACCCTCAATGTCTGGCAGGCTCCAGACAAGATGATGATTTGCTATCTTTTTTTGGATGGCCTAGATAACCTGGCGGAATCTGAGTTCACGGATTTCATGGACTATCTGACTACCAACCAACTCTCCTCCAAGGAGAATTCCTTGCGCGTCTGTGTGACAGGTAAATGGGAGATATTACGCAAATACTCGAAGCTGAAATACTGTCTGGAGACTGCCAAGATGGAAGACCACAATGATGGGGTGATTGCTGAGTATATTGGAAAGTTTTTGAAAAGGAAGGACTTGTTACAGGAAGACTTTTTGGACTTTGCTGCTCTGAGAGAGTCGATTTGTATCGGAGTGACAAAAAATGCTGATGGTAGCTTCCACAAAGTGCAGAAGTGGCTTGACAAAATTGAAAGTCTTGTTCAATCAGATAGCAGAGATGAACTCACTCGCTTTCTCAATACACTGAGTCAGGGAGGGTCAGACCTTGCCGAGTCTGAGCTGCGGGATCTCGAAAGAATACTCGACTCGAAGGAAATCGCGGAGCTGAACGAGTTGATTATCTGGTGCGAGTATCACATGTCCAAAGACGTTATTTTTGGCATTGAGCAACTTGAAGCCTTCCTGGTATGTCCCCCCCCCCCCCTCTCCCCCGCCCAAAATCTTTCCAAAAATTCAAAAGTATTGTCACATTGGAAATTCAAGAGATGGTTAATTAATGGTGGGAACAAAAGTTTATTCGCTCGAACTCGCCGCCGTTAAGATCTCTTCGAAAGAAAATACGAGACAGATTTTCTCTAGTCTTGGAAGAAAAAGACGATGGAGTTTGGCTACGAGAAGAGATGAAGCAATGGGTAATTCTTCAGCGGGATGGACATCAACAACCAGCTATTTCGGCTACAATCTCCGTCCAGAATGCCAGTATCGAAGTAGCCCAACGATTCTTCTGGGATCTGGCCAATCATTCAGTGATGAACCGGTTCAATTTTGATGCAAACCAAATCGATATGTCAAAGCCCTCAACGCACCGGATTCAAGTCACGAAATTGAACGCGCATCTGGTAATCGTCCAACGGACCTTCGAGTTTCTCAGAAAAGCACCCGATCCCCTTTCGAGACCAATTGGAGAAACTTTACTGGCCGATCTTCCGATTCATTTAGCAGTCCTGCAGGAGCCCGAACAGCTTGAACAGCTTGTGGACACTGATCGAAGAACCATAGGTGAAAATGTCCAAGAGCTATTCCTGAGCCCAACGAGCCTTGAAAGGCATTGGGGTATTTTACAGGAGACGAGATGGCATACAGATCAAAGTACTATTTACCCATTCTGGAGATGGCTGTCGGACGATGCTGCAATCAAACACCCTATTATTCGAGACAAGATCAAGGAGGTGCGGAATGACCCGAGACGAAACCAGAAGCTCTTTGAGCCTCTGGCAAAATTGGCTGGTCACAAATGGCTCCAGGATAGCTCATCCAGCTACAGCACAGCTTCGTTTGAATGGCTCAATATTTTTCTCGATATGGTGGGTTCTAAATTTGCCCTTTTCAAAATGTTTCAAACCTAGGTTGACTTGTAGCAGGATGAAGATAGTGATCACGCCAGCCAAAGTTCGGAGACTAGCTCTGAGGAAAACGATGATGTCGAAAATGCTGAGCAATGGTGCAAGAAGGCACTGGGATCAAACCGCATGCGTTCAAAAGATGTTTGGGTACAACGGCTAGCCGAGACATATGAGTACATTGGTAATTACGAGAAAGCTCAAAAGAAGTATCAGGAGGTAAGCTTCTCCAAGGTTGCTCTCGCTTTCTTCATGCATAGTGGTTTAACATTGTTTGTCAATCTTTTAAACAACAGACCGCCGAGTTACTTGAAAAAATGGGAGACGTCGACCGGGATCGACATGGGGAAGTGTTGGTTCGTCTAGCGTCACTGGACGTTGACAGCGACCAAGCTTTAGAATACCTTCGGAAAGCCCTAAGACTGAGCTCCACCAATATCGATGCCCGATATATGCTGATCAAACTTTTATTTTCTTGCGATTTCAAAAAAGAGCTGGAGAACCTAGTTCTTGAAACACTGGACCTCAGAAGGACTTCTGGGCCCATGAGACATCTGGGTCTAGTGATCCAGATGGCCATCAAAGATGATGACTACGACGACGACGCTCAGAGGATGAACATAATGTGTACTATCAGCTCTATATGCTCATCATCTACAGAAAACTTCAATTACTTGCTGGAAGACTTGCAGATAGCCATTCAAATTGCCAAGGAACAGAGCCAGGTCGAAATGTGGGCTACATTACTTTTACATCATGGGATCACGCTTGCCTGCTATTCCAAAAGCCCTTCTCGTACAGACCAAGCGATAAAATCGTGGAAGGAATGCGCTGAAATTATTCTGGCAAAGATCAAGCACCAGTCGGCCGGAGCAATTCTGCTAGACCAAGTTGGGCGGCAGCTGAGCTGTTATTACTTGGCACAGCTTTCCACAGATCCAACAAATACTGTGTGGTCTCAAAAGTTGTGGGAAGTTTTCCAGAGCCAGAATGGAGTAGTTCATGGCATGTCTGCGGCGAAGACATACCTGGCAGCACACCTCGTCCGGAGTGGGAAGAGGCCAGAGGCTGAAGCACTCTTCCAAGAAAATATCAAAGAGGCATTTAGCTTACTATCTGATGACACCACTGGCAATGACAATCGGGGATTCACACTGCTGTTTCAGGTCTTCCTTTACACAGGTGACAAAGTCAATGCCCTCATTGCCTTTTCGCTTCTAGCTCGTCGTGTACTAGATGCTGAGATTTTGGAGAAATGGCTACAGTCTGATGAAAAGACCACAACACCAGAAGCCATGAAACTCCAGGAATTCTACCAGGAAAACTGTGGGGAAACAGCTGGGATTTGGTCGGATGTAGAAACAATGCGGACTTTCTTGATACGAAGCAAATTCAACTTGGCGGACGAGACCCCCCGAACGATGATGACACAGCCAGCAAGTCCTATGATGCGCTTATTGATTCTATGAACCGATATTATGGTGCTTTGGATGATGCCAACAACGATTATGTATGTGATGTGTGTGGCTGCGTCCTCGAAATGAGCACCAGCATGTATGCATGCAAGTTTTGTTATAACATCGGACTATGTGAGTCATGTCTCCAGGGATTCAAGAACGGTGAATTCAAGACACCTCTCTGTCGCATCGATCATGAATGGATGCAGATCCCACCTTGGAATGCGAAGGCCCATGTTCGAGCATTCCGGCGCAGAGTCTGCATGGGCGCTACTATTGGAAAGGATGGGTCTCTGGAGGGTGGCCGAGAAGTCCCGCTTGTCGAATGGCTGAATTCCCTGAAAGAGAAGTGGGATCCCCAGAGAGTTTGGGACTTCCGGTGAAGGATTATGATAGGTTGATTAAGGGGTGTCCCGTTAAATTTACTCGGTTAATATTACATCCATATGGATCAGATCAAGGGGATGTGCTAATCCCAGCTGCTGAAAATTGGGGGAAAATTCTCGCTTTTTTTGACGGCTTTAGTCGAGTCCTGTGGCGTTTTTCTTTGTCTGTCAACGTTGCCGAGTCGTAGTACGAAGGTTTTTAAAGGCAGTATATCGGATACCATAGTGTACACTATCCCCCTCTTTTTACGAGTAGACCCTTAGACTCTTCTTCCTGCTATATCCTTCAACGGTAGTGTTTCCAACTAGGTTTCGATATACGGTTATTCTCGCCGTAGCTCCTGCTGCTCGCCGCGCTGCTTTGACAGCGTATTAATACTAGTCTGGCTCCCGCGGATGTTCCGCGCCCCGGTCTGCTACCTCAGCCTCCTCCGCCGCCTACTTATACTGAAGCAATATTGGCGTGGCTCCGAGGGGTTCCTGTTGGGGTAGTACAGCGTACAATGGGTCTTTGGAGGAGTGTTTTGGTTGGCTTCCGTATGTTTTTGAATGCTCTTACACCGGGTGGTTTGAGATTGCCTCACGTTTTAAGCAGCTTGCATGTTGAGATCTTTGTTGACTTCGTTGCATTTATGATCGTCTAGGAGCTTCTTCGCGATAATCTTCGGCCTCGTGCTCCTGCTACTCTTTCCGAGGCTGTCTATCCTTTGTTGGTCTATCTGAGGATTTGTGCTCCTCGCCAAACTTTAGGACACCGCGTGTTTCATCTTCTACGGCGTTGTGGTTTCAATTTACACGACGCGGCGTTCTTAGGTCAACGGATACGTCACGAGCTAATAATAGCGAGGAGCACGAATCCTCAGATAGACCAACAAAGGATGGACAGCCTCGGAAAGAGTAGCAGGAGCACGAGGCCGAATATCATCGCGGAGCAATTCCCAGACGATCATAGAGGCAACGAAGTCAACAAAGGTCTGAGTATATAAGCTGCTTAAAACGCGAGACAGCATCAAACCACCCGGTGTAAGAGTATCCAAAACCATGCGGAAGCCAACCAAAACACTCCTCGAAAGACCTAGTGTACGTTGTACCACCCCAACAGGAACCCCTCAGTGTTGAATTAAATACTATGAATAGTACGCTAAACAGCATGTAATAACTTAAGTTTAGATCCTTTCACAAAGGGATACTTTGTAGTATAGAAAATTGAATTGAAAACTGTCTAACTCTCTCAATGCTTGGGGATGAACCCATATTTATGGCTTCATCCTCTTTCCCCTGTAAGTTCCATTGGTTCTCATGAATAGTAAACATTCCTGCGAATACATGCGGTATGGAATCGTGGAGAAGTAGTTGAACTGGCGGTGTCAGTACTGAGTACTGTGTTCTCCGTGATTCCATTGATTTGAAAGCAGTTCAAATTGAAATGCAAACATAAACTCTCGAAGTACTCGAGATTGTATGGTGGAATTCATGACTGGGGCGTCAAACTGCATTGACGCCGCTAATCCCTATCCCGTAAGAGCTATACAAGGCATAGCGCTTTGTAAGAATTGATCTTAACCGTGGGGTCAACTAGGGTTTAGCGTTGAACTGGACCCAATTCGTATGTCAATTTATGGAAGATTCACTTGGGTTTTCAACACTCGGAGCCCATGACTCCTCGGGCTAGGACCCGGGGTGTATGTATCAGTACCCTAAATATATATTTCCAGTTAACATACAAATTTACACCCTAAAACTTTAAAAAAAAGTTCCTAATATCGCTCTGATTCTCTACCCCCAATTTTCTGGCCTTAACCTTTCATATCTCTTAAGCACCCTAATTAACTACTCTCGTAGAGTCACTTTCTAGGAGGTTAGTATCGATCGATGAGGCATTTTAATTGGTTCAAATTGGGTAGAGTCATGTGATAAAACACTCTTAACGATTTTTGTCTGTACGGCTGATCAATTCAAGCACCGGATTTTGGTTATAACTGAGTTATCTTTGTATTAGGTATCGTTATAAATAGTTTTTATAAGGGTAAGCAACCTTGGAACCTTCTATGGACGCGGTGGCTAGATGACGACTTAGCATTGTATATTTCCTATTTACTATTTCATCCACGCGAATCTCTATAAAATCCATCGAAAAGGGACGTATTGTTTTGAATCTTGAGATGCCTCAAGCTTGACATCATTGCAATGTCGAGGCCAATAAGCAAACTGATAACTTGAGAGGCGCGTGGATGATACTACGCTAGTCCCAATCAGGATACTACGTCATCGATGAGGGATGGGTTATATCCGGACATACCTCAGTTTCCATCTTGTATCTTTTACACATTTTTCCATTTCAATTGACTACTTTAAACCAGCCATTATGCCTCTCGTTGTTCCAGGAATCAACTCCTCAATGGGCGATAAGCCTGAGTGGCTCAACAAGCTTATGGGAAAGACGATTAGCGACACCAGTAATGAGACAGTACGTCACATTTGAGAAACTATCGAAATCAAATGTGAAATCCTAACCGTTAGGTAGTCCTTTGCGAAGAAAGACCTTCCTGAATCTCACCGGATATTGAAGCCGGGTGACATGAAGACCATGGATCATAATCCCAACAGGTAAAGCCTCCTTGTAAAGCTATGAAGCGACCGAACATGTTGTTGACGGAGTACGATTGAACTTAGACTCAATGTCCATGTTAGTGATGATGGGACTGTCCATGATGTGAACTACGGTTAAATTTAAGATATAATTACTAGACCTTATGGTGCTGGCCTAAATCACAAGAACAAATTGAACCGATTGAATATCTATTGCATGAAAGTCTATTTCCGTCCTCATAATACCATCTCTATAAGTTAACTTACTCAGCCTTCCATCTCATGACAGTAAGCGAGTGTCGGGGGAACACATATGTGCCAGTTCCATCCCAGGTTGACTCCTGGATCCCCACTTCTTCCTTGCCCTTCATATTAGTCACGAACAAATCGCCCGCGGTGACAGTGAACACAGAAACTTCTCCCTGGGATCCTTCAACACGGCTTTCCAAGTCTTCAGTGTCGTGGATGTTCACCACAGCAACATTAACATACCCATCATCTCCGAGAGTGGCACTGACATCCAACCAGGGAGTATCCTTGACACTGCGAACCCACTTGGGGCAGGTCTCACCCTCGTATGTTCCACAAGACACGTGGCTGCCAATGGTCCAACCGCGCATGTATCGGGAGAACAGCCAAAGAGGCCACCAGGTGGTCTGCTTGGTGATTCCCTCTGGAGTAGTCATCAGGGGCGAGATGACATTCACGGTCTGTGCGATACAGGCCATGCTGACATCCTTGCTCTTTCGGACAAAGACGTTCAGCCAGACGGCGACGGCGAGAGCATCAGAAAGAGTGTAGCTCTCTTCGGCACCCTGGCTTCCCTCGGCGCGGATGGGATCCCAGACATTCCACTCGTCGAAGCAGATGGTAGGTCGGAGTTGCTCGGGAGGGACATTGTTCTCAACCCGGGCAAGATCGATCAAGGAGGATGTGATTTCAATGGCGCGCTCAGCTGCTAGTGGTGCTGTCACGTTGGGGAGGTGGGATGATGAGGAGGTGTAAAGATGGATGCTGTGCATGTCAATCAAAGGGACTGAGCTAGTGGACAGTGCGGAGTGGGCAGGCACAAGACACTTGTTGAGTGTGTAGTAATCCCATGAAGCAGTGCCATCTTGGCCGCAGAGGATCAAAATGAGAGTGGGATCCAGGAGTTTGAGAGCTGTAAGAAAGTTAGCGCTGCTCTTATGCTGGTAATCAAACAAAGTATTTACCCTTGGCCCATTGAATCGCCTTGTGAGCATATGCTTCCTTGGTCATCTGCTCCACCTGCCAGGGACCCCAGCACTCGTTTCCAAGGGCCCAGTACTTGACCTAATCGGGTTATTAGATTGACTGCAGCTCGAAGGGTTGCACTTCGTACGGGAACATACATTGTAGGGCTCCTCACGGCCATTCTTTCTTCGCAGATTGGCATAGTAAGTGTTGCCAGTTCCATTGCAGTACTCAACCCAGCCCAAGGCTAAGAGGATTCAACATCAGCATGCCTTCGTGTTAAAGTAGGATCAAATACAAACATACCTTCATCGAGGGTACCAGTACCAAAGTTGAAGCAAAGGTACGGCTCTGTGCCTAGAGCCTCACACCATTGCATGAACTCATCAGTGCCAAATTGGTTTGACTCGGTTCCGAGCCAAGCAAGCTCCGGCCTTTTGACAGGTCACATCAGCAAAGTATTCTAGTAAAATACATGTTATACGAGGAGTAATCATACCGCGCTGGCCGCTGATCCTTAGGACCAACACCATCGAGCCAGTGATAGGTCGCGCAGAAATTGCCGCCGGGATACCGAACGACAGGGATGTTGAGCCCCTTCAACGCCTCCAGGACGTCTTTACGGAATCCTTTCTCGTCGGAAAGCGGATTTCCGGGTTCATAGATGCCGCCATAGATACACCGACCCATGTGCCTGTGGAACGAGTTAGTTCATATCATGCAACTGAAAGAAATCCCGGAGACTTACTCGGTAAATCCGGCATAGATGTTAGGGTTGATCTTGGAAATGCGCCTCGAGGGGTGCACGGAGATGAGAGGCGTCTCATGGTCCTCCAATTTGGTAAAGGTCGTCATCTTTAGTACGAATGTGTTTCTACGGTTTATGTTGGAGGTGTCACCGTGGCTAAATAGGCGATTTAACTGTGATCCGAACTTGCGATTCACCTCCGGGGAAAGGTGTCCTTGTTAAGTTTTCCACGAGCGTGATTCAAGGAAGACAGTTAAAAAAGCGAGATTGTTTCTCATCACAGTGGATTTATCAAAATAACCGATCTTTCGGGACTTGAAGCGGCAAAACTCCTGCGGGGGAGAGTTGAGACAGCAGAATGACGACCACTATATTAGCCCAGTAGTGCCTATAGTGGCTACCGGAAAAACGAAGCCAAGCCCTTGGTTATCTTCCTAAGTCAACGGTAGACCAATAGACCAATCAGTTGATAGTTTAGCTTCACGATATCCCCAGCATGAAGACAAATGTGGAAGATATTCCGTCAATCAGAGACCGGATCTTGCGCCACATTTATTCGCTAATTCCTCCCCGCATACTATCTGCTTGAAACTCCTCGTCCCAAGACGATTCCTAGCGAGAAAAAAAATAGCGGAAGCGATTGGTGAACTGTATTCCGCATTTTTCCCCGTTTACACCACGCGATATGTCTCCGCCATGCTTCCGCGATGTTAGCGCAATTCAAGCCTTGAATTCCCAAAGGAAGTACCCGATTCTCCGAAGTAATGTGATTGCCCCATTTGGATTCATGAGTTCCAGCTTTCCCCAGTATATGTAGACAAGTTCCCCCGGAGAATGAGTGACATGTGGAGATAGATCTTCAACCCCATATTCTACCAAAATATCCACTTCTTGAAGCCATGCGTCTCTCGCCGGCATGGTACCAGGTACGAAGGCGCACACACACTTATTAAGAATACCAAGTTCATGCTTCAATATAGTTCCTTGTCGGCGTCTTTGCGTCTCTTGGATCTTTCCTTTATGGATGTATGTGCTCTTCGACCTCCTATCTTGACATCTTGACACACGGAGTCTAATATAACCGCAGATGATCTGGGTGTTATCGCCGAGGTGCTTGTCTGTCAATCTTTTACAAGCAAGTTCAGGGCAAATGATACTGAAACGTGAGTCTCGTATATCATACGAAAATTATGAGAATAGTACCTAACAATTTGCAGAGGATTAGTCGTGTCTCTATTCACGGCTGGCGCATTCTTCGGTGCCGGCTTTGCGGGCCCCAGTGGTGATTATCTAGGTAGACGAAAGACCATTTCAGTGGGATGTTTCGTCTTCACTCTTGGAGGTGGTCTTCAAACTGGTGCGAAAACAATTGCCTATCTATACAGTGGAAGACTCCTGGCTGGATTCGGGTATGTGATCTCTCTCGGAAATCCTCGAATAAACACTAATCGCATTAACTCTTAGTGTTGGTTTCCTCACTATGATGATTCCTCTGTACCAAGCCGAGATCTGTCACCCCAGCATCCGTGGTCGAGTTACAGCCTTGCAGCAATTCATGCTGGGTATCGGAGCACTTTGCGCTACCTGGATTGGCTACGGAACTTACACCGGCTTTGCACCCACCAACTCTGCACAATGGCAACTGCCTCTCGGTTTGCAGATAGCCCCTGCAGTGTTCCTGGGTCTTTTGATCTCGTTCTTCCCTGAGGTATGTCTCATTCTTTGATCGGGTCGACTCCAATAACTAATGTATATCTAGTCGCCCCGCTGGCTCATCGATCACGGTCGCCCCGAGGATGGATTACGCACATTGGCCAAGTTGCATTCACATGGAGATGAAAACGATGCTTGGGTTCAGGCAGAATTCGCTCAAATCCAGGAGAGTATCAGCTTTGAGCATGAGAACGAAGCGAAGTCATATCTCGATTTGTTCACCCACCGCGCCTCGTTCCGTCGCCTGTTCCTTTGCTGTGCATTGCAAGCCTCAGGCCAGATGACTGGTGTATCCGCCATTCAGTAAGTGTATCAATGATTCACCATTGGCACGGCTGGCCAACATACAATCAATCAGCTAACAGGATTTCGCGCTTAGATACTACTCTCCCCAGATTTACGGTCAAATCGGTATCTCCGACCAAGACACATTGAAGTACCAGGCGATCAACTCCATCATCGCATTAATCGCACAGTTCCTGTGCATGATGTACATCGATCGCTTCGGTCGTCGCTGGACTCTAATCTGCGGTAATCTCGGCAACTGTGTTACCTTCATCATTGCAACCGTGCTACTCGCGCAATTCCCTCCAGAGACCAACAACAATGGCGCCCATTGGGGTTTCATCATTATGACTTGGTTGTACAATTTCTCCTTCTCTGCAACCTGTGGTCCTCTGTCTTGGATTATTCCAGCCGAGGTGTTCGACACTCGCACACGTGCCAAGGGTGTCTCGATTGCCACCATGACTTCGTTCGCTTTCAACACGATGATTGGTCAAGTCACTCCAATTGCGATGACCAACATCGGGTATCGCTTCTACATCCTCTTCGTTGTCTGCAACTTCACCAACGCGATCTTCTTCTGGCTGTTGCTTCCGGAGACAAAGCGTGTGCCTCTCGAGGAAATGAACCAAATGTTCACAAACGCGCCATGGATTGTCCCTGGCAGCAAAAAGAGAAGACTATATTACTCATGATTTGGAGCGGAAGGTCGAGGAGCAGGAAGCGAAGCAGGAAGCGATGCATGTTGAGTAGAAAGATAGAGGAGGACTTTGTAAAGAAGATAGTTCGTGTTATGTGTGGGAGGTTCGGTTTATTTGATACATAGTACATATGTATTGAGATACAATAATAAAGTTGTTACCCATGAAGTGAAATGTTCCAAGTTCCATTTGTCTTGTGATATATAAATAGAGACTATATGTACTTCAAGTGGCAATGCTATCGAAGCATACGGTGGCTTTGAGACCATCACAAGATTTTGAATCTGATTATCCAAATATATATCTCAATTTTACAATCTCAGCTACTTACTTGTGTTCTCTACCGGCAGACTGAAGGAGAGATGAAGTATGGCGTAAGGAAAGATACTAAAACAGATGACTGAAGAATGTCTACGTGTCCACGGGTATTCCACATGCAAGCTACGCAGTGAAAACATCATAGTAAATGCGGTATATGCCTTCAACAACCAACGTTTCTTTCTTGTTGTCGATAACTCTTGATAAGCATTTTAGAAGCATATCCATGTCAATTTCGAATAGATTTAAAACACGTTATAGTATCGAAAATACGGCCCTACATATGTGTATAAACACATATACCTCAGAGAATAATTCGTTAAATTCCCGAACTTCCCTCAAGTGGCAGGATTTTATGTAAAAAGTATTAGGTTATAAGGAAATGTTCACACAGGCAAATTTTGTTGGGATATATAGTTGTAATGTATCGCATTTGTGTATCTGACTGCGCAGCTCACATGTGAACTACGTTATTATCAACATGTATGTAGGGATGGTCGATATGTATAGTAGATCGGTGAGGCCAAGATACGCCTTCCAATTATACCTGTAAAGATATTTGCTTCTTCAGTCATTAATTTGGTCTATATATTACAACCCTAATGTAAGACAGTAAGGTGATTTGCCCAGCTAGTTGGTGGCATCTAAGATAGATATTTGTGCTAGCCAACCCCTGTCATGCATGGTTGTTGGCCAATCATTCCGAGTCCGAGCTGTATCCCCCCAAGCCAAGCGAAACAGGGGTTGCCTTCGTCGAGATTGTCTTTAGTTGTCCCTTCTCTGTATCTGTCACCACCTTGGGCGTTTCAGAAGCCGTAGTGGAAGTTGTAGGTGCGGCTGTCTTGGATTTTGAACTGTCTTCTTCCAGCTTCTTGGTATTTGAACTGCCAATTCCAGCCTGTTTCTGCGAGTCTTTCCCGTTGTTTGTGTCCTTCCCAGCGGCGTTCTCGGTAGTTGAAGCCTTGCGCTTCTTCCCTGGAATCAATGAGTCTCTTTGTTTATCACGTCGTCTCTTGCGAGCTAGTGCGGCCCAATCTTCTTTTTGCACGGGTACCATATCCGGCGATGTTGATTCTAGTAGCGCTTTTTGTGCCTCCTCGCGTTGTCGGCGGAAGGCCTCAAGTTGCTCCGCTGTCTCCTTCTTCACAGCGGCCTCCTGGGCGCGTGTTGACTCGAGAACAGAATCTAGGAATTCGACTTCGTCTTCATCGAGGGAACGGAATTGGTTTCTGAGACGGGACTTCTCTTCAAAAGCTTCTTGTTTGGCCACTACATAATAACCGAGGGAAATCACCCTAACATGTTAGCCAGATTCCCTTGATGAATTTGTCCGCTCATTTCTCCGGTCTTGTAGACGGAGACTAGGCAACCGAGTTGAGCTCACTTTTATTGCGCTCCAATACCTCAAAGAGACTTTTGCCCCCATCTTGCTTCCCTATTTCGGCCTTTCGTCTCCGCTCTTCCTCGAGCTCCTGCTCCGCTCGAAGCCACTCATCATCCCGCTCGATGGGTTTCTCGTTTGTTCCGGCGGAAACGAAGCCTGATGACATAGTGATCGGGGCTGGGTAAAATGGTATGGGGTCACGGGGAAACAGAACTCGGGTATAATGGACGGTCGGAATGGGAAATTATCCGGCGACGGGGCCGGGATGGGATGTGGGGTGTGTGAAATGGACCGAAACACGGGCAAATAATAAACTTGAATGTAAAAGGAATTGAGAAGTTTCTGGAAAGGGATGTTTCACCTAGGGGAATCGGGAGAATTGGAATTGAATTGTCGATCTTAAGTGAAAGATGTGATTGGAAGGGTGAAATTTGAGTGGAAACGTGCATTTAGCCAGAATGGTGAGTCGTCCCTTGGAGTACCTTGAGTTATACCCTCAGAATACTCTCTAGAGCTCCAGTATGACGATGTAAGGGTCTATCACAAAGTGGATATGGCCAGTCGGGTAATTCTTGATCACTTCGTCCACGGTATAATTGCCATAGGAACAGGAAATAACGTCCAATGCGGCCAATTTCCAACCCCCCACCTCTCCCCCTCCCCCCACGACATCATCGCTCTTGGACCTTCCCACTTTAAACTGAACACATTATATAAAGAATCCCTTTGCCTGTTATTTTAATTCATTATTCCATCTCTTGAAATATATCCAAAATGTCGAACCAACACACTGAGTAAGTCTTTGGCAAAACAAAACACTTCCAAGACCATCACATTAACCCTTCCTCTCTCTGTAGGAAGACCTACACCCTCAACACTGGCGCCAAGATTCCCGCCATCGGTCTGGGAACATGGCAGTCCAAGCCCAATGAGGTCCGCTTGGCCGTGAGGGACGCCCTTCTTGCCGGTTACCGCCACATTGACACTGCTCTGGCTTACGGCAACGAGGCCGAGGTTGGTGCTGGTATCAAGGACTCCGGTGTGCCTCGCGACCAAATCTGGCTCACCACCAAGCTGGACAACCCCTGGCACAAGCGCGTGACTGAGGGCATTGATTCCTCTCTCAAGGATCTCGGCACCGATTACGTTGATCTCTACTTGGTTCACTGGCCCAGCTCTACCGACCCCAATGACTTGTCCAAGCACTATCCCGACTGGGACTTTATTAAGACCTGGTAAGTAACAGGTGGCCCATGAAATTCATCCGTTGGTGGATCATTGCTGACTTCTCATCTTCACCACAGGCAAGAAATGCAGAAGCTGCCTGCCACTGGCAAGGTCCGCAACATCGGTGTCTCCAACTTCGGTATCAAGAATCTCGAGATCCTCCTGAATGACCCCAGCTGCAAGATTGTTCCTGCTGTCAACCAGATCGAGTTGCACCCCAACAACCCCTCCCCCAAGCTGGTTGCCTACAACACCTCCAAGGGCATCCACTCCACCGGTTACTCCTGCCTCGGCTCCACCGACTCTCCCTTGTACAGGGATCCCACCCTCCTCAAGCTCGCCGAGAAGAAGGGCAAGACTCCCCAGCAGGTGCTCCTCGTTTGGGGTATCCAGAAGGGCTGGAGTGTCATTCCCAAGTCCGTCAACAAGTCTCGCATTGAGGGCAACCTTGATATCAACGGCTGGGAATTGACTGCTGATGAGATTAACGAGCTCGACAACCTGAAGGACCGCTTCAAGGTCTGCGGCGACGCATGGCTCCCCATCAAGGTCTTCTTTGGCGATGACGAGTAAATATGTCGAAAATGATGAATGTTTTATGAGTACATAGGCTATAGATACCAAAAGAATGATTTTGCCATGACACCCAAAATTTCTATATTAAGTACGGAGTACATACATAGGCCTTAATTACCAAAAGAATTACCAAAAGAGTAACCAATCAACTTCAATATTGGGTGGCAAGGTATGGAGTACAAAGTAAAAGGGCATTTCACCGGGTGAATCCATTTCGATGTCATCATAGTATCAAACATAACATAGAGGGCAAACAAAACAAACAGAGATTTTTTTGGTCACGAGGGTGGCGTCGCACAGCCACTGCGGAGCCTCGGGCCTGAGGCGGAGAGATAAGGGTTCCATACCCCAGCGTCATCAGGCATCCTTCATCTTCTCTCATCTGTTTCATCATCTTTGGAGAGCAATTTATCTCTGAAATATCACCATGGCGCCTCCAGCAGGGCACCTGCTGCTCCCTAAACTTTGGAGAGTAGCAAGGTATGTCTGCCTTTTTCTGTCACCATATCGACTTACAATGGAGCCATTGACTAACATCCTCCTAGGTTTGCCTACGCGAAGGCCTCCAAGGCTATACGTTCCAAACTACCAGAGCCTACACCGTATCATCCGGTGCGGTATCAACCCGCCTATGCTCGAATCAATCCTAGCCAGCCAATCAGCCGTGCCGCTGCCATCCGTCAAGCCCGCAGTCGCCACTTCTCGACCCGTGCTGCCGGCGCCTTCGCCTCTGCGATTCGATCCGGACTAGGAGCCGACAACACTGCACGTACCACCTCTCGCATTTCGTCTAATATCAGTCGACTCAGTGGCCGTGCACCATTCGCTTCTACTCTTCGTCCCAATCTCACCGGTGGTACCCTTGGCCGGACTGCAGGAGGATACGCTGCTGGAGCTGGCCGTTTTGGCGGAGCTAGATACTTTTCCCACGGGCCTGCAGCACCAGCACAAGTTATTCAAAATGTGTCGCAGGGCGTCCGTGCGTTTTTCCTGTCTGGGCAGAAAGTCCGCTTCGATGGCATTGACCCCCACACTGGAGAGAAGCGGTATAAGTCAGTCAGCGCGCTACAAGATCAGGCGGAGCGAAAGATGAATGCCAACCAGCACAGCGCACCTGGCTCGTACGTTGACTTCCAAGTTTCCCCGACCATCACTGCACTCAGTGCTGGTGGTCTCGGCAAGCAGGACCGCTCCGTCTCGTGCGACTCTCTGAACTCCGAGGGTCTCATGGATCTTCTTTCTGCCGATTTTGCCCGTGCTTTGAAGGATTTCTCCGCAGTCATGAACGACCTCAAGCGTCTCTCATCACTTGGTGATCTTCCGATATCCCTTCACGACCGATCAACCATACGGGTCCGCTTCCCAGGTTGCGATGCAGAAACTGTAGAGCAGCTGTGCTGTGAAGCTGGGATTCAGCGAGGCCTAGTCGTGCAAGATGAAGACTTCGATGTTCGCACTGGCGCTGATTTGGCTCTCTTGTTCCCTTTCGCACCTAGCATGGCCACTTCCTCCGACACTGACTATTACTTCGAGAAAGTCCCAAAGTCACAAACACAGTATCCGGCGGATCTTGACTGGCAAGGCATGATGACACCGGAAAGCTGCACGACATCATCGCCAGCTGGCAGTCGAGATTCGGGAAATGCCATCAGTTTTGAGGACGGTGAACTATTTGGTGCCAATCCATGGAGATCTTCGACCAAGAGCTACTCCAGTATTAACATCAGTGAGCTTGGAGACCAGCCTTTCTTCCCGGAAGTCTCCAGCGTTGGCCCACCTGAAAGTAACTCTGCATATGAAGGTGTTGAGGGAATCTACAAATTCTTGGCTGAGTGCGATGAAGCCAAGCGTTGACGAATACCCGCTTATATTGTCCCACATTTGTCTTCTGGTCCCTTTTTCCGGGTTAATGTTTTTGGACTCTCTTTCTTTCTTTCCTTATTTTTTTTTTTTCTTTTTCTTTTGCACATCCCAGGCTGAGACCGGGACTACATGATGATGATACAGATACCACTCCACTCTTTAACACCCTTTTTTGTGTTATACCTGCTCAATTGAATGAAGCCACATTGAAAGCTCCTTGCTTGCTCAAAGAAGTCAATGCCACTGCCGACATAGTAAATTAAGGGAAGTGCAACCTATCAGATATCCTGTATGAAAGCGCTTAACTTGGCTCAATAATAATCCATCCCTCTCACCCCGGTTTTCACCTTTTCAAAACAGCCTATTATTTCAGCCTGGATAACTTGATTCAGCCTCTATCACTATGACCTAACGGATCGTACGGTAAAAGTGCCTGCTGACACCCCAGCACACCATTTTTAATTTCGTTTACATGAAATTTGCTCGTTTCGTGTAAAAACTAATCCGGCTGAAGAAAACAGCCGCCACGGTGCGGGGTCCGGGGTGTCCCCGGGTGTTATGAATATGTGGCTTGTCGAAAGCAGATAGCGTCTTCATGTATCATGTTTTGACTTTGGAGATTTCAACGTCTTGTCTACATCTCGCTGTTTTAAATCTATCAGATGGCCAGAGCAATATCTATTCCATTGCAACGGTTTCTCCAATGTCTTCCTCTTACCAGGCGAGATCAATTTGTATTGACATCCTTCTGCTTACTCTGCTTACCATTATGACAGCCAAGGAGCTTACTCTACTATTGTAGCAGTTAAGCAGCCAAGATGGAGTCAAACAGCTTAATCTCGCAATGTGGACCGAGCCTAATATCCATGGATGGTCCTCCCGCGCCGAGTCTGGGGAAGATCGACGATGACTGTCCTGTTTGGGGACGGGGATAAATTCCGCGGGGGCGTTGACATTATATTGCAACCCCTCCCCTTGACTATCTAGGCAAGCTGTAGTAGTGTCGAGGCTGAAGATTACTCTTTTGATCAGTGCGGTGTTCCATCTACCCCAGACGAGAAAGTATTTAGCCAGATTGAACCACGTGTAGGGCAAAGCATGTCATTCTCTGGCTTCTCTGCCGTGCATGTGTCTTGGCAATGGCTAGTAATGGTCAGTTGAGCGGAAATACTTCTCACCATGCTCGAATACCCCGAGATGGTGTGACATCGTCTTCGGGTTTCCGGCTTCAATCTCCGCAAAGACGAGAAGACATGTATCTCGCTGAGGTATATAAAGAGATCTGATTCCTGCGTAATTATGGACAGCATCACACAGCAACCAGGAACAAAAAGCCACTGATTCCAGACTGCCAATATGCGGTCTTTCATTCCTTTCGTGCCTCTGCTGGCTACTTCCGCAGTGGCAGCTGCAATTGAACACGTGCCTCGCGCAACCGTCACCACTGCAGCTTCGGGAAATCCCTTCGAGGGATACCAGCTTTATGCGAATGCGTTCTATGCATCTGAGGTCTCGGCGTCAGCCTTGCCATCCATGACGGGTGCTGCTAAAGCGGCCGCAAGTGCAGCCGCCAAAGTTCCGTCCTTCTATTGGCTGTGAGTTCATTGCATTCACATTCATGTCCTCTATACCACAAGCAGACACTGATATTGTGAATTCTAGGGATACTGCAGACAAGGTGCCGACAATGGGCGAGTTCTTGGCCGATATCAAGGCTAAAAACGCTGCTGGTGCTAACCCACCAATTGCCGGCCAATTTGTTGTTTACGATCTGCCTGATCGTGACTGCGCCGCTTTGGCTAGTAATGGAGAGTACTCCATTGCCAATGGTGGTGTTGCGAACTACAAGGCGTACATTGACTCCATCCGTAAGATCCTGGTGGAGTACTCTGATATCCAGACTATCCTTGTCGTCGGTGAGTAGATCTTGTGGTGAAAGTCTCGGAATAACCACTTGCTGACATTGCTCCTAGAACCTGATTCTCTGGCTAACTTGGTTACCAACATGGGTGTGTCGAAGTGTGCCAATGCACATGACGCATACTTGGAGTGCACTAATTATGCTGTCACTCAGTTGAACTTGCCTAATGTTGCCATGTATCTCGATGCCGGTAAGTAGATTTCCTGGCGCCATCAAGGGATGCACCAGCCCCCTATGGTGAATACACTGACCATTGGTATAGGACATGCTGGATGGCTCGGATGGCCCGCCAACCTGAGCCCAGCAGCTCAGCTGTACGCCAATGTCTACAATACCGCCAATAAGCCCGCATCTCTGCGCGGCCTTGCCACCAACGTTGCCAACTACAACGGCTGGTCTCTCACTACCTGTCCATCTTACACCCAGGGAGACAACAACTGCGATGAGAAGAGATACATCAACGCCCTTGCTCCCCTGCTTAAGAACGCAGGCTGGGATGCTCACTTCATCACTGACACCGGTACGTATTCAAGAAACATTTTATAACAGCATCATATCGATATTCCGCTTCGTACCAGTCGAAGACCTCTCGCTGACTGTTTTGATCCAGGCCGCAACGGAGTCCAGCCCAGCCAGCAGAATGCCTGGGGCGATTGGTGCAATGTCAAGGGAACCGGTTTCGGTGTTCGACCCACTACCAATACAGGTGATGCCTTGGCCGATGCCTTTGTCTGGGTGAAGCCCGGTGGTGAGAGTGATGGTACTTCCGATTCCAGCGCTGTTCGCTACGATGCCCACTGTGGCTATAGCGATGCTCTTCAGCCTGCCCCTGAAGCTGGTTCATGGTTCCAGGTAAGAGGTCCCCGATTCAAGGTACTTATTTGTATAATACTGACAAATTTGCAGGCATACTTCGCTCAGCTTGTGCAGAATGCTAACCCCGCCCTTTAAAGTGGTGGAAATCAGTATTGGGATAAGCTCTAGGGTTAGTTGGTAGAAAGAATGGAAATGATGATTGAATTCAAGGTTTTGTTGATGGTGGTAGAATAATAAGGACTAATTTTGAATCTTCAGCATAAAACGACCTCGCAAGACGTATGGCAGAGTACATAAGTTCAAATGTTTAGAAAATCTGTATTCATCACTAAATCGCCTGTAGGTCTTTCCCTGGAAACTAGTTTTTTGTTATGAGGTCACATGACATCTCTTGTTTGCTTCCAGCTTTTAGCACCCAGATCCTGTAGATACATGTTTCTTCTCTTTTTCATGCATCAATTCGTTTTGCAGAGTTTACTATTCTTTCCATAGTAGAACTCTCTCAGGTTATGAGCACTGTGGCTTTGAAGCCTCTGTATCACTGCAAACTTCAAACCCTTGTTTACTCCGATTTCGGGTGTTGCCTCGCACACTACAGAAGGACCCACAACCCCAAGTCGTATCCACACCGGCCAGTTAAAAAGCCGCATTCATCCTCCCTTCGAGGCCCACTTCGACGCCACGATGGACGACTTTCAGATTGAAGACTTCGAAGTACGGGGGGAATTGGACATTACTGGCAGTGTTCCTAAACTCGAAGGAGCTGTCAACTGGCAGGACTGGGAAGTTTCTCTTAAAATAGCTCTCGGTGCCAACAATAGGTTCTACGTGCATATCATTTCACATGGTATTGAACGTCCTCTACCCCCTCCCTACCGTGAGAATTCGACAGATGCAATTCGCTCTCTTCTTCAACAAGAAGGTATCACAGAGATTAACTCTACCGCTATTCGTGAGCGCGGAATTCAGGTTGTCGAGGAAAACAAATTGCTACGCAAGGCCTACAACGATAAGTGTTCCAAATGGGTTACTTGCAACAGCAGGGCTTTTCTCCAAATGAAGAAGACTCTCGGTGTTAATGCTTCTTCCTCGGTTGCGCAGATGACAGGTGTTCGAGAAGCTTATTTGAAGCTTCGGAAGACATACTTCACTATCCCTCACCAACAATCCTATGTTCGCTTCACCAAGTTCAACGATATGCGATACGAAGGAGGAGCTGCTTCGGAATTTGTACGCAAGTTCCAAGGGGCTCTGCGTGATTTGAATCAAATGGCAGGAGATTTGTCTCCTATTCTGGAGTTGTGTCACTTCAAGAAAGCTATTGTTGATAATCCTCGCTGTCTCCCTTTCATGCAAAATCTCAAGATTGATGAGAGAGACGGGCACTTTATAGACAAGGTTTATGCTGAATTCAAGTACACACTTGACCTAAACCCTGCCTAGATACGAGACCATAGACCTCAGTCACTAGTAGCCTTACGTTGACCGATCAATAATGCAGAACCAATTACCCATGTAGCGATTTCACGTATACGTAGAAATAGACAACGTCTCGAGATGAACTATCGGTATGAAAAAGAACTATAATTGGCTATACATATGTAGATATATGACGTAACATAAAGAAGCAACCTTGGAACCTTAGGAACGCCTAATGCTGATGGGGAAGCCACTACCCAAATCTTACAATACATATATATTGCCCGGGTGCTACGCGCGACTTCTTGGTGAAGACCACAACAACAGACTCCACGGTTATCCTACGCCTTACATCCCTTTACATATATCTCGTGAGATTTTCCCCCATCTATTTTGCGCTTTATAATGGTGATATACAAGACTCTCCACTAAAATAGAAGATGAGTGAACGTTGGAGTAGTCATGGCATCAAGGAAGATGACAGGAGGAGAACAAGCCAAAAAAAAAAGAAGATTTGAACGCGACATCGACGGATCGAATTCGGAGCAGTCAGGTAGTGGAAGATCTAAGGCACTTCCCTCGTAGTACACACGCGAAGCATGTTACCACTAGGCCACCCGCTGAATTAGTAAATCTTGACGTTAAACTTCCTTTTGCCTTCCACTTTCCAAAGTTCCTTGGTGTACAGTATGTATAGATATCCTAGATTTAGATATAACGAGGCTATATGTAGGATTCAATCTCGTGATTGAATCCTCAAGACTATACTTAAGTTATCACACCTTTATAGTGATCCTTTTCCTGATCAGACGGTGTCGGTTTAGGTGCTACCCACAAACTCGAACGGCACCCTGAGGTTTTGCTGAATAAGACACCGATATATCTGTAAGATTCCATGGTCTAGAACAAAGCCTTGGAAAATCTCAACTCATATTGCACTGCATCTTGACGTCTTCGTAGACCTTTCTTGATAGGCTGTTACGACTCCCACCCAATCCTATCGGCCTCGAGTAAAAGTCTATTATACCAAAGACAAGGGCATCGCAAGACTAGTCCGATGATAAAAGCATGCAAATAACCGTGGACAGCAAAGGCGACGCAGACATCTGTAGGTGGTATAGCTAGATGTGGGGATATGGTTACATGGGTCGGGCCTTTATTCTGTTCCGCAGATGCCGGTCTCCTTCCGTGGATGCCTACTGGACACCTGATAGATACGCTAAGCTTTGTGCTAAATATGTCGCAGTCTAGGAAACCAATTAATATCCGGACTTATCCCAGTAGGTGCCCCACTTGTGCACTGTCGGCATGTGATAGCAACCGATCTCCGAGTCTTGTGCTATATTGACAATCTTGAAAAAATATATTGATGATCATAATCAGCACTAGAAGGTCGATTGGCGAAAAGAAGCCGTCGGGGGACCGCCGGAGATCCACTTGATACGTATCACAATCAGCGCCAGCAAAGGGTTGATGGGCAGGGATCCACCAGGATGCATGTAGGGGGCCAAGAAAACAGGTTACACTAGAAAATGCTTGGTTTAATCTTATTGCTAACTACATATATTCACCTGGGTAAAATACTAGATGTAGAGTGACGAGTGATAGGATCGACCGACCTCGGCTCTTTTGGGATGTTTTAACATTATACCCCTCATCTTTCGGTCGACACGTCAGAAAGATATGCAGATAGCATGTCTGCCTCTAGCTGGTCTGCAAAATGTCATATTATGTAGCGAATCATGGATTAACCGAGTAATTTTCGTCTCCTACGATCCCGAGTGGCAGCTAGAAATACCTTTTCTTCTTACTGAAATGTATGGTTTTGGATGGGATATAGTGTGCAGGGCCATTATAGGACCGTTACATTGTTTCAGCTGAAAGTTCATCTAAATATTTTCTGCATGTTCCGTCCACTTCCTCCGGTGGCAAAGCTTGATTCAGCCCCAGAAAGTGCTAGCTGCACAGGCATCCTATTGATCGACGTACCCTTGCAGTGCTCGCAGAGCCTGTGAAAGTGTAGCCATTGGTTCACGATCCCAACCCTCTTGCTGACACTCCTGCAGCTCCAAGTCAAAAACATGATCAGCTCCACGTACCGGATAATACGAGACCTCAGCCCCAATCTCCTGCAATTTCGCAACCAACTTCTCACTTTCGTCACAAGAGACCTCCCTATCCACAGTACCGTGCACAATTACAGTAGCTGGAAAACCAGGACTGAACAACCCCCAGTGAAGCGGGAAAAGTTTCTTCGCCCGTTCATCCTCCACTGCACCTTCCAGCCCGACATCCACAACTCTCTCCCCGAACCCCGATACACCTGTCAGATAATCCAGAAATACCCCTCTTTCCAGAATAGTGTAGAGCAAGGGTAAGCGTTTCCTAGTCCGGAGTTCCTCTTCGGATGTAGGGAAGTCTTCCCCGACGCTAGTCTCCCCGCGCGCAATCCTTTGGGGGATACCCTTGAGTAGCAAATAATGCGCCAGATCTGGATCCACCATTGCGCCAGGGAGTGACACGCTCTGCGCCCATTTGTCACTTCCGAGATCCAACATCGGGTAGAGGAGCCAAAGAGCCTTCGGACGTGGGATCCTGTTCTGCGATGAAAAGTGCAGCGTAGTGACCAAAGCACACCAGCCTCCAGTACTGGCCCCACCAATAATTATTTGGCTAGGGTCTGCAGTGCAATCCGGATGTAGGCGACTGAGCGAACCTGCGACCCATTCGTAGGCTGAAACCAGGTCTTCGGTTGTTGCAAAACCGGTGGATTCCGGTAGGACCCTGTAGTCTGGTGAGACCAGTGTCCAGTCATGGGCGAGCGCATGGTTTAGAAGCCAACGAGGAATTGCAGCACGGCTGCCTGTGACCTGGTGATGATGATGCTTGAGCGTTTTGGAAGTAAATTGGGGTATCCAGTGTAAGAAACATACTAGGTAGCCACCATGAAACCATAGGAGAATAGGTTTGGGTGTGTTCGACTCTTTGTTGCTCGAGGATAGATATATGTCAAGATGAAGTTCTGTAAAGAGATGGGTTTTATAGACGTGGGTTCGTTTGATATATAACGTGGTATTCATATTCGCGATGAACGAATGAATGAATGAATGTACGCGGTCTAAAAGATCTCCTAGCGAATTTCTTGCGCAGAAGTTAGGTTTATAGGAACAAATTCATAAGCTAACTAGTTGACCTGACTATGAACATAAATCCTAATGGAACTCAGGTGCGGGGAAAGAAAGACACTGGCAAGGGGCTGCGAGAAAGCCCCAGGAAGGTAGGTAAGTGAGATAAAAATATACACAATAGTAGCTATATGCCAACATTGCTTTCAATATCTCGTCGCTTTGCTGTCCACTTTTTATGGTTTCAGGCTTTACCAGAGATTGTTCTAGTCATCACTGCTCGTGGGGAGTGATAGTGTGGTAGGCATCATCCGCATCATCACCACGCTTGTGAGGAGTAATTGTGTGGTAGGCATCGTCCGCATCATCACCACGCTTGTGGGGAGTGATGGTGTGGTAAGCATCGTCCGCATCGTCACCACGCTTGTGGGGAGTGATGGTGTGGTAAGCATCGTCCGCATCATCACCACGCTTGTGGGGAGTGATGGTATGATAGGCATCGTCGGCATCATCGCCACGCTTGTGGGGAGTAATTGTGTGGTAGGCATCGTCGGCATCATCACCACGCTTGTGGGGAGTGATGGTGTGGTAAGCATCGTCCGCATCGTCACCACGCTTGTGGGGAGTGATGGTATGATAGGCATCGTCGGCATCATCGCCACGCTTGTGGGGAGTAATTGTGTGGTAGGCATCGTCGGCATCATCACCACGCTTGTGGGGAGTGATGGTGTGGTAAGCATCGTCCGCATCGTCACCACGCTTGTGGGGAGTGATGGTGTGGTAAGCATCGTCCGCATCATCACCACGCTTGTGGGGAGTGATGGTATGATAGGCATCATCGGCATCATCACCACGCGCCGAAATAGTCATCATGCTAGCAGCTCCTGCCCGAGCCTCATGGGAAATTACAGCACCATTAGAATCTAACGGCTGTCAGCTATGACATGTAAGCCAGGTCATTGACTTCGGGACTAACCAATTGATGGGACCGGGGCCGCAGCGATCTTTCCTGCCAGGAAGGCTAAGGTGACAAGGTAGAATTTCATCTTCGAGATACAAATCCAATGGTCTTCTGGAGTAAAAGCAGTATATTTTGCTTCTCGAGGACACACATTCAAAGGATCTTATATTTTTTTTTGCAAGGTCATATAATCACATATAATCTAAATGATGAATCAGTCTAGTCAGGGTTACAGTGCAGAATGAGACTTGCATTAGTGTCTAGTAGTCCTTCTCTTTCCTGAAGCAACCTCGTATCACTTCGCTTCACTTACCTATTTCTAGCGTGGATATTGCATTGATAACAGATGTAAGACCAATGGCAAATATGCCTCACCTATTCCCACCTGTTGATCGCTTGATGTATGATTGCTAGTGAGCCTCTCAATCCCGAACAAAGCCGGAGAGATGTGGGGATGAATGCTATCGAACCCTTCCTCTCGAGGAGACCTCAGTAATAGCTTAGTTTCTCGCCTATTTCGGTGAGAGAATACTGTATCTTGCTACATACCAATTATATAAATACCGCATGTACCCTACAATTGACTATCACTCGCCCACTTAACCCTTCCCCTCTCTCCCTCAATTCTACTACGTACCTATATAGTACCTTGGCTAGGCACAGCCAAAAGCAAACAAGGATTCTCAAAAATAGGTATCATGGAGACCAAGTTCGAAAAGTTGCCGCAATATGACGAGGACCGCTCTGTCTCCGACTCAAACAGTCTATTTTCTGAGTCCAAAGGTCTAATGGGAGAAGAAACGACCATTCTCCCAAGAAAACGGTCCTGGACACAATGGGCTTTGCCCGCAGCACATCTTGCACTCTTTCTACTTTACACATCAGTCTTTTTCTTCTTTCTGCGGCAAGTCCAAAAAATAGAGAAACAGAACCAGCATGTGCTCTTCTGTATGGATCTTCTAACAAACAACCTTAGGGGTTTCAAATATTCTCAAGTTAGCTAACCAACATCTTAGCACCTGCACAGGAGGCTGTCAAGTTAGAGGCAATGGAGTTTCGTTCGTGCACCTCCCTTCTTTCGAATTCGCACATCTCTAAGACTGACCGAGTATAGAGGGCCAGCTACGAATCATCAGCCCATACCAGGGTGATCCAAGTCCCGAACTAGATCAGGCCTGGAAAGACCTCCTACAATGTACGCATGCCCTCAATAAAGCAGCTTTACTTAATGCAGGACTAACCACAAAATAGACTCCAACATCTGGGTGACAGGCGAAGAGTTATCCAAAATCAACAAGACCTCTATTCCAGTACCCGACGAAGAAGACAAGTATTGGGTTGAGCTAAGTGTCGTTCACGAGTTGCATTGCATTGTCAGTCACCGCATCGAGTTGCTACAGAGTATTAACTAATCGACTTCTTCCCATCATTCAGAAACGCCTCCGCCAATACATCCACTCCGACTATTATTTTGCCAATATCTCCGCAGAGGACCGTCGTCTTAATGACCTCCACACTGGTGAGCTGGCCGTCCTTCTCATACTTATAACCGCATGCTAATATCATGAAGACCATTGCTTGGAGATCCTGAGGCAGAGCGTCATGTGTCACGCTGACATATCCATGATCACCATGACCTGGGAATCCACCAGCAAGTACCCTGCAGCGGACTTCCAGAATGAGCATGAGTGTAAGAACTGGGATACGCTTTACGAGTGGCAGAAGGAACGCTCGGTCGATATGATGAAGCCAGGGTTCTTGGTCCACCCTTATCTAGGTAAGTACCACGCTCTTCCTGACTGATAGCCGTGTAATTCGTTTTCCCACTAATTTGTGTGATTGCTAGGCGTGCCATTCCCTGACGGTTACTACCATGGAATAGGCGCCGCAGATCCAGAGAATGCCATAGGGGATGGCGGGGAGGATATGGAATAACGGCCTGCTTAGCATTATAGGATGATTTCCTTAGACTCCGCCGATGACACTAATGGGGGTGAGAATAGGTACTGTATGGGTTACTATCAGATTCCATAGTCCAATTCTAGCTATCAAAACTCTTCAATCGACTCGTATTGCACCATATATCTGGACATCTCCCATGAAGCTGGATTGTAGTTGTGGTTCGGATCTTGATTATTCCGTGGGTAGTACGACCTCGGAAGGGATAAGGTTCGGGTCGCGATTGTGCTCAGGGCACAGACCATGCTTGGCAGTTTCGATCGTTTATTTTGACTTCATATACTCCGTACGCCTGGAAGGAATTCCAACCAGGAGGTCTTCGGGGTAGTAGTAAGACATACTGTACAAAGCATCTACGGAAACTACTGACTGTACAAAGCATCTACGGAAACTACTGTAGATAAAGAGCTCGCCACGTGAGATTCAAGGGCCCCTTTGCAAGCTGATATGGATCAGTTAAAAGGGTACGATTACCCAATACCTGCCAAAGGTTTTCTTAATCGGCCTTGTGGTTTCAACCGTGTATCCACTAGTTAGGTAGGTTCCACGGCGGGTAACCCTCGGCTATTCTGGAGGGAACTTGAACATGAACTCCCAACTCCCATTCCTCGCAGGAATGGCACAAGATGCTTACTCTTGATCCTAGCTAGCGATGCTGGTGTTGGGCGTCCCTTCAACTATGCTCATAATATTTGCCACTATTACCACGGGCAACTTGAGCGCCACACAATCGATACCTGCTGCATTTGGTCTTATCGAAGTTGGATGTTGAGAACAGCTAGGTAGAGATGGTGAGGGTGCATCTTTCTGACGAGAAACCTGCTCTTATCGATCGAGCAATGAAGTTCTTTGTTACATTTGATAATCTCAATCCAATCTGCAACAAAGAAGAAGACGAAGAAGAGGACCAAGCCTTGCGCTAGCGCTATCCAATATTCAATCGTGAAGCAACCGGATTATAACCTCAAAGTTCACGGCGCTTGTACATAGGTGGAAGCCTGGGGAAAACAAGCGGTGTAGAAGCCGTATCAAATAGGAAGGCTGATATCCTAGACGATGGTGATGATAAAGCAAGCCATCCTACTTCCTAAAATACCGAAGATTATAAGCCCGAGTGGCTAGACAGGACTTGGAAGTGATAGGGACAAATCATTTTCAAGCCCCTCATGAAGTAGTTATGTATAGGACTTCTCAAATTCAAGCATTAAGGATTTAACCTGTGTTCTGATGCAGAGAATTGGGCGATATTGGTACATACATACACTCCGCACAGAGTACTACGTATATCGAGACAAAATATTTGATAAGAAAACCCCTATTACCAAATTGTACTATAGGCACCTAGTCTGAATTAAGGCGGTGATTTACAAAGTACTCCGTACTCCGTGCAGAGGGGCATTTTATCAAAAGGCGGTCTGAATATGTACGCATGGGCAGTATTCTCACCGCCCCTAGGCGAAGAGCTTCGATAACGAATTGCGGGATATCTTGCCCACTAAACCATCTTCCACAACTCATAGCCTGTGCCAATTCTCCGACAAAGCCTCGTGGCTCTTGAGACCGAGGTGAATATAACGTGATCTGCATTTCACGGCTGTGCAGGTTTGGCTTGTTCAGTGCCTTGGGCCTCATCACCCCCACCTGGCTTTCATACCAACCACTCTGAGAGAGACACAGAACGAGAGTGCGCGGAAGACTTGTGACTTCACCGCGATACACTATCATGATGGAGGACTTCAACAGCGAGACGGATAGTGATTATACCAGCTACTGGCGTGACTGGGTGAGTGAATTTCCTTTTTTTTTTGTCTCCCTTTAGATGAGTGGAACATCACCGCGGCTGGGTCATCGTGGGTTCGGGGTTCGAATGGAGGGTAGGGAAGGGTGGCCGTGTGCAATTTCCAAGAGGGATCCCGGGCTCGATACCGCGGCGATCTTGATACCTAGGAGCCGGACAACGTTGCGTTTGTTGACGGCGTCGCACTTGTCGTCTCGGCGATCTCACTGGCGGTGCCTTCTCTGACATAAATACTACGCCCGCTTGTCTTCAATCCTCTCCAATCTCTTCTTCTCGCAACATTCTTTGTCCTCCCACAACATCATCTTCGGGTTTCGTGTTTTACTGTATTGCATTCGCTATTCCATGATGGATCCCCCGGTGTTTAACTGGCTTTCCACGTTGTGGGTCGCTTTCTTGAACGCGGGGATGATCATATTCTTTCAACGCGCGTACCAGTCGTGGAATGATGGCGATATGTACGGCTCCTTGGTTGATACGTTCACCGCGCTTATTTTTACCCAAGCGTACCTCAAGTTCCTCCGCGTTTACATTATGGTAGCCCTCGATCCCTCCATCCTTTATGCCTTCAATTTCTTCAACCACCCCCGTGGCCCTCCTCCTGGTTCTGGCTCCAACCCCAGTGGACAGCGATCTCAGCCCACTGAACAGTTTCCTAATCATCCACCGCGCAACCCTGGGCGTGGAGGGTCCTCGACTTCCCGGTCTTCTAACTCTTCCACTTCCACTGGCTCTCGTCGCTTTAATTTAGCACTCTTGATGGTGATCGTGCTAACGGCCATCATGTATCTTCAGTTTGTCTCATCGCGCGGCAATGAATACTTTTGCGAAATCGACGAGGACTACCTGACCGATCGGTTCAACCTCACTGGTCTGAACACTGAAGTTTCGTACTATCAATACGCTCTTGATCTTGTGACCGACGTTTTCGATCTTGATGCTGACGACGATCTGCGTGAGCAAATTGAAAAGTCTGCCCGCCACCTTTATGGCTTGGTTCATGCTCGATACATCGTTACCACTCGTGGTCTTGCTAAAATGGTATGTTGGACTCCTAAACTTGTGTGATTATTGTTTCCCAAAATCAACATACTAACCTCTCTGCAGCTCGAGAAGTACAAGAAGAGTGACTTCGGAAAGTGTCCTCGTGTGATGTGTGATGGACACGCGCTGCTTCCTCTTGGCGAGTCAGATCTTCCGAACATCAGCACCGTCAAGCTGTACTGCCCCAAGTGCGAAGATATCTACAACCCCAAATCCTCTCGTCACTCGTCCATCGACGGCGCATACTTCGGTACCTCGTTCCACTCCATCCTATTCCAGGTTTACCCGGCCCTGAATCCTGAGAAGAGCAGCCGTCGTTACGAACCCCGCATCTACGGGTTCAAGGTCCACGCTGCAGCTGCGCTTGCTCGCTTCCAGGATAATCAACGTGAGGAACTGAAGTGGCGTCTCGCTGAGGCTGATATCAACCACCGGTTCATCGAAGACAGCGAGAGTGATGACGATGCCTTCGAGTACGACGAAGACTATGCCGAGGGCAACACGGAGCCAGCCAAAAAGGACAAGCTCCTCGGTGACACAGCCGCCACTCGTATGAGTGCCGCCAAGTAATCCCGACAAGGAGGGATTCCACTGCCAAACTTTTACTGGCAGTATTTCGGCGAAATCAGGGGTGTGGCGTGGTTGTGTTTTTTTTCTTTTTTTTTCCAAATGTTGTTACGAATGGCGGCGTTGGGGAGTTTTTTTGTTCTTCGCCTTCCATTTGTACTTAAATTACGTGTGCAGTCCGTCGAGGACTGAATTGAAACCACATAACTTTCATTTAATCTTCGCAACAGAGGTGGTTCTAAGGGTTACATGGCCGGATAGTAAGAGATAATCAACTCAATAGTAAACACAAGTGCGTATATAATTCTGCATAGTCCATTTGGAGTCGCTGATTGAAATACTTAATAGTATGTCCTTCTCGGCATCAGAACTAGGGAGCCAGCCCCATTTCCTGCAGTTGCTCGAATGCAAAGGTTACCGCGTGAGCCAGTTGCTCGCCATTCTCCCATGCTTCATCATGAGCACCGCTAATCGGCAAGACACGGAGCCGTCTATCACGGCGCGACAACTCTTGCACGGGTATCTGTGCCCCGGTCTTCTCCCAATTTCCCAAAGCCGCCTTCATAACCTCCATCTGAGACTCGTCCACCAGTTGATCGTCCTTAGAATGCGCTAGGACAACCAATCTTCCAGACTTCCATCCACCTTCAACTCCACGAGAACCAACCATCTGGGCCGGCGATACACCATCCCATAGCACCTCATCCGCCCCAAAGGGCCCCTCAATGAACTCCTGATAGGCCGAAATATCAGAGTGAGTATCCCGCAGCCGTCGCAGATCGTAGATACCCGCCACGCCAACGATCGCAGTGGGTTGCGCTTTTAATTGAGGCGGCAGTGGACCAGGAGAGGCGGAGACAAATCCGACCCTATTATCGGGATTATCTGCGGACCCATTGAATGCCTGTTCACGATGTCCTGAGACCCCGCCCATCACAGCTTGGAAGGCCAGCGTTGCGCCGCAGCTGTGGCCAACCAGGACATATCGCGCATCGAAACCATATGTATTCTGGAGAAACGCGAGCGCTGCCTCAACGTCGCGGATGTGATCAGGGTGTTTCGCATCTTGGAAGTCCTTCGGAGGGGTAGTTCTTGGATCTTGTGGGTGATTTGGGTGTGCGCTGAGACGATACGAGATCGAGGCGAATCCGGAGATAGGTAGGCTTTTGTCGCGAAGTATGGATTCCGTGGCTTTGAATGATTCCGATGTAACCGCCGGATCCCGCCAGGCACCACCATGGATGAAGCTAGATATCTCAAATGTTAGGTGTTGCTCTGGGGCACGGTTATGCTGGGGATTCGTACATCACCCAGTAGCCATCTTTGCGTGGAGCTAAGGTTGTAACAGTGATGTGTTGTAGATTATGGACCCGGCCATAGGTTATAGCCCGTGTATTTGAGTGATCCGACATGGTGCTTTGCGGAGTTCCATCTTGATTTATGGGGAAGTGGGACATGTCGATAGATTACAGGCAGGTTGGAGTCGTGCAGAATCTGTTACCATTTGACTGTCTGACATATTGTAAGTACACTTAGTATCTCGATGTGCTCTGATTATTTTGCTTGTTTATCTTCCCTTGCGTCTCCTGTGTCGTTTTAGACCAAAATATAGAATGAGGAATCTCTCGTCGAATGAGAATTCTCCGGCGAAGTCCATGGGAGTGTAATATGACTGTATTGCCCCTCCATCTATATGATAGAATACTGAAACATATTTCGTTGTGTATCGGTAACACACTAAGCCCGATCGGGAATGAATGGTCCCTTTCACACAAACCCTCCAAGTCCACCCGTCTCGACCTTAACAACCGTCCAACTGTTGCAATCTTTGACAATGGCCGAGTAAGTTATGATCGTTTTTTGATCCGTGACAATATGATACTAACCGAGTTGCAGAATTCCAGCTCCCCTCGCGGCCGTTCAGGTCGAGGCCTTGGTATGGTCTCCCGACGAAAATCTCCCCCAGTCCTCGCCAGTCAGAAATACTGACGTCGGATATTCCAGGTGGTGATGAAAATCATCAAGCACTGCTCTCAGACCTTCCCCTCCACTGCGACCGGCGCTATCGTCGGTATGGATGTCGATGGCACCCTCGAGATCACCAACTCTTTCCCATTCCCCGTCGTCGAAGTCCCCGCTGAATCGCACTTCGACAACGCCGCTCCCAACCCGGCCGCTGCCGCTCCTCGTGCCAAGGCAAACGCCGCCTACTCTGCAGAGATGATTCGCATGCTCCGCGAGGTCAACACTGATGCCAACAGCGTCGGATGGTACACCAGCGCCAACATGGGCAACTTTGTCAACATGAATGTGATCGAGAACCAATTTTACTACCAGAGCCAGTTGAACGAGCGCACAGTCGCTCTCGTTCACGATGTCAGCCGCAGCGCCCAAGGCAGCCTCAGCCTCCGGGCCTTCCGCCTGTCGCCTAAGTTCATGGCTGCGTTCAAGGAGAACAAGTTCACTTCCGAGGAGTACGTGCAATGATCTGAGCTATTCACAAAATTATATAAGCCACATGAATACTAACAAGAATTGCAGCCTACAAAAGGCCAACTTGCGCCACCCCGATATCTTCGAGGAACTGCCCGTCAAACTCCACAACTCCCACCTGATCACCTCTTTCATCCACCAGCTGCAGTCCCCTACTTCCACAGCTTCCACAGAGCTCCCCGCCTCCCTGGCTGCCCTCGAGTCCAGCCCCTTCAGCAAAAACTCCACCCTCACCCCCAACCTCGACAACCTGTCCCTCAGCATTGATCCCTTCCTGGAGAAGAACTGCGATCTCCTTCTGGATAGCATCGAGACCCACAACACCGAGGTCAACAATTACCAATACTACCAGCGTGTTCTCGGCCGCGAGCAGCAGAAGATCAACGCCTGGAAGCAGAAGCGCGCACAAGAGAACGCCACCCGTGCCACTCTCAACCAGCCCCTCCTCCCCGAGGACGAGTGGCAGCGTCTGTTCAAGCTTCCTGCCGAGCCCAGCCGTCTGGACAGCATGCTCAACACTCTCCAGGTGGACCAGTACGCGCGCCAGGTCGACAGCTTCGTCTCATCCAGCACGGGCAAGATGTTTGCCATCAAGGGCAACCTTCTGCCCAACGAGACCTCGAACTAAACGTTGATGATTGCGAAGGGGAGACACGACGCTTCTGGGATTGCATGACCTTTTTACGGCGTAGGGAGGGAAAATGTTCTCTATTTTGGATGTTAATATGACTTCCTGTTTCTTTTTTCTTCTATGAGCGGAGCTGAGTCTCTGGGCATTAAACTCCTGCGTTGTATCGGCTTTTATTCGATCATAGAAGGAAATCTTTATTTTGTTTAGAATATAACAAACACATTGAACAGGTCAAAATTCTCATGTATGCTTTTTTTTTACAATAGGATTATATACGGAGTACAGATGGAACAAATCTAGGACAAAAAGCAAGGTTAAATTGATATACTAAACCGGACTCTAGGAACACACGTACATGCATTATCACAATCACCACTCGGCTGGATAATTCCGCTTGCTGGGATCTCGAACCTCCCAAGGAACTGCACTCTCAAGTAGCCCAGCAACCATCAATCCTTTGATGGGATCATTGTCCTCGCAGAGAGTGACAAGTGCGCTGTATAAGATAGGTTGCAGAGCGCAGCAAATATGAAAGAAGCGAGTGTCACCGAGGACCTGCGAAGCCCCAAGGTAGCGAGGTACCATGCTAGCAAGCTCTCTGATGGCTTCAATCACCCGAGGCCGATGATCGGGGCAAGCCTGGAGCTCCAAGACCTGGCGCTGTAGTAGGTCAAGGAAATAGCCTCGTTCCCTGTTATAAATACTATCAAAAGCAGGGCAAGTCATGATGAAGAAGTGATGGGTTGATGAGACTAATATAAGGTTAGTATAAATCTGCGAGGTCTTTCGGATCTGTGGGGATTGTTTTAGAAACACTGTTGCTTGGTGAGAAGAGTATATCGAGGTGGGATCGAAGCTACTTATGCAGTTTGAGTATTTGACTTCAGATTCACCTGTACACTAAGAGGATGGATAAACAAAGGATCTATTGTTCTCATCTTCCAAGCTGCGCTTCATCAGAACACAAAGTCATTGTACCCCAGAAAGCATGAGAAGAAGGGAGTAAACAAAGTGAAAAGATATTAGCTTTTCTGTCTTTACAGGACACTACACTACGAGACACGGAGTAATCCATTCTCTTATCCATGACTGAACGTTAAGGGATGGAACGGCCAGATTTAGGCGAGTAAACGAGTCATTCGATCTCACAAGTGTTGTAGATTAGGAATATACATGTACGGAGTAGACAGAAACCAGTTCTAAGATACGGGGGATGGCAGCCTTGCAAAAGCAAGGCTATCGAAACATAGAAAATTAACAAGATGTTACTTGATTTGATTTTGCTTCAGTAATTAATATATAAATACATGTGGTTGAATAATACAAGTTTTTGCGGCTGGTGAATGCACACTTTTCGTCTCCGACCAGTCGTGAGTCGAGGAATATGTACTCCATTCATTCATTTCCTTAATCGTATATCCCGGTTACCATGCTTCCCCTGTGAGCTTCAATGGAACGTGAAGCAATCGATAACCAAACTTCGTTGGTGAAGGAAGTCGCCCAGCTCGGATATTGACCTGCAAAGATTGGTGGAGCAACTTGGGCGCTGCCAATCCTGCATCACGTTCCTTTCGTAAAGACACAAACTCTTCTTCGCTGATACCGTCTTTGAGGTGTTTATTCAGCTTTTTGTGATCTTGGACGCTCACCCAAGGCATGGGGTCCCTGCCTCCCTCTGGCGGATAATCATGACCTGTCCAGATCTTGAAGTGCTCAGGGAGGCTCAGAAGCTTGCGACCTGACTGAAAGAGGTCGTTGGCATCGCCACCGGGGAAGTCACAGCGTGCAGTGCCGATATCAACATGGAAAAGAGAATCACCACAGAATACATTATCTAGAAAGTTTTTGTCAGTAAGTGTGTACCAAGGTCATCGTTGCTGGTGAATAATTACCTCCAATCATGTAGCCAAGGTGATCCGGAGTGTGACCAGGTAGATGAATAGCCTTTGCTTTCAGGTTCCCAATAGTAAAGATCTCATTGTCCTCCAAAAGGTTGTCAAAGATGGCTTGATATTCCTTTGGTGGAACACCATATCGCTCGGCGAACAATTTTTGCACTTGTTCAATGCGCTTGCCAATGCAGATGGGCGGCTTATGATCTTGATGTTGGGCAAGACGTTTTTGGAGATAAGATGCTGCACTTAAATGATCTGCATGAGCGTGCGTTTCAAGAATTTTATCGATGGTGTAGCCCTTTTCCTTGATAAGAGAGAGCAAGGAGTCGGCTGTTTGGGTGGTCACAGCCTGAGTGACGGGATCATAGTTCAAGACCGGGTCGATGATGGCAGCTTTTGATGTTGACGGATCAACGATGAGATACTGCCATGTTCCAGATGTGGGTTCAAAGACATCGTGAATCACAGGCTCAGTAGGTATAGTGGATGCAGTGCTGTATGTGACTCGACGTGGGAGTAGGTGGCCGGGAGATGAGAATGGTTGGTTCCAGCTATGAGCTGGTTGTCCTTTTTGCGATCGACAGACGACTCTCCTGATCGAAGAGCTGTTTCTTGAAGATTTCGGAGTATGAGATACACCTGTTCGCGCCACTTGTTGGATATGACGCAATTGTCTAGAGTCGGCCAACAATGAAGTTCGAATTGGCCTGCTAGTCAATCTGATCATCTCTGACGACCATTGCCAGCCGATGGTTGATGATTGCTGCCGAAAGCTGATCATGATATATTGGATTTGATGTACAAAAATTGGTGAAGAATTTAGGACGTGTTTGTTGCGGTGGCCATATACATACTTGGAAGACTTGGGTCGGCGAATGAGGTCGGCGAGCATCTAGGTCGCCGATTGAAAACAATCCATTCCTCCGGGTCGAACATCATTCGGGGATAGGTTTACATTTTTCTTTCAATAAACCGTTGAAATCGACCTCGGCAGGAACGTATGATGATATAGCGAAGTACATTGTTTTAGATAATGATGCTAATGCTTTAATCTCATATGTTACGATGAATCAAAGTAATACATCAAGGTCGAGCCAGTGAGTGGACATGAGTCCACATACACACAACTAACTATCAGCCCTACCTAGTAAAGTGAGAGATAGTTGAAGTGCAAGTGAAACATATCTGAAATAAAGACATGAAACATTCCGAGGCCTGTTAGTTCTTAATCCCCTAAAAAAAACCCCGAAAACGTCGGCGAAGAAAGGCCGAACCCCGATATCGGAACGAGTTAATCCGAAATCACGACATCATAAGATCAGCTATTTTGGGTACTTCAGGAGTCCTTCAGGGCTTTTTCACATTTTGGCTTATATTCGAATATGTTTCAGCGTCGCACAGTAGTTGCTGCCAAGCGCTCCGTCGCTCAATGGAGGAGTCTCGCAACTGCGTCTCCCGTGAGTTCCACGCGAAACCATAAGATTGTAGTGGTCGGTGGTGGTAGTGCTGGCCTCACCATCAGCCACCAGCTTCTGAACACTGGCAAATTTGCGCAAGATGACATTGCTGTCATTGATCCAGCTGAATGGCATCACTACCAACCCGGCTGGACACTGGTTGGCGGCGGCCTCAAGCACAAAGAGGATCTGCGCAAGCCACTGAACACCTTGATTGATCCCAAGTTCAAGTTCTATAACGAGGGCGTTGGCGCTTTTGCCCCCGCTGAAAATGCGCTCACCCTTGAGAGTGGCGACAAGATCAACTACGAGCATCTGGTTGTCGTGCCCGGTATTAGCATCAACTATGGCAATATCAAGGGTCTCCCTGAGGCTCTGGCAGACCGGAACTCCACAGTTTCGACTATCTATAGCTACGACACGTGTGACAAAGTTTTCCGCACCATTGAAAACTTCCGCGAAGGCAACGCTATTTTCACTCAGCCAGCCGGTGTGCTCAAGTGTGCAGGCGCTCCGCAGAAGATCATGTGGCTTGCCTTGGACCACTGGAAACAAGCTGGTCTCTACAACCCAACCAGCCCCTCTGAGTCACCTGTGAAGATTAGCTATGCAACCGGTCTCCCCGTGATGTTCGGTGTGCCCAAGTACAGCGCCATCCTCGAGCAGATGCGGAAGGATCGCGGTGTTGAGGGATTGTTCCAGCACGATCTTCTTGCTATTGATGGCAAGGCTGCCATTTTCTCCTCCCCCGAGGGAGAGGTCACCAGACAATTCGACCTCTTGCACGTCTCCCCCAAGATGGGCGCTCATGCTTTCGTGAAGAACAGCCCTCTGGCCAACGAGGCTGGATTCGTCGATGTGGATGACAACAGCACTCGCCACAAGAAATTCCCCAACGTCTGGTCTGTCGGCGATGCTTCCAGTTTGCCCACATCCAAGACCGCTGCAGCGATCACTTCCGAGGCACCGGTTCTTGTTCGCAACCTTCTGCAGAGCATGGAGGGCAAGGAACTCGATGCTTCTTACGACGGATACACTTCGTGCCCGCTCTTGACTCAGTATGGCAAGGTCCTTCTTGCTGAGTTCAAGTACGGCGGAGTGCCCAAGGAGACATTTGGAGACTGGTTCGGTATTGACCAGGGTGAGCCTCGTCGTGCGTTCTGGCACTTGAAGAAGGACTTCTTCCCTTGGGTATACTATAAATACATGGTCAAGGGTCACTGGGGTGGACCAAACGGCTGGCAATAGAAAAAAACTGTGGAGGCTTTGTATATTACCCTATGTTGCGATATGATGGTAGCCTGGAGGTTTTTTTTGGCGATTTAGAGGTTTCAATCAAAATATAAAAATATTTGAGAACCGACAATATTAAGGAGATTGGGTTCAGATCAATACAAAGTGAACTCGGGTAGTGTAGATGTTACAACCTCTAGGGATATTCTCACATGCAAGTCTCACCTTCCTTCTACCAGATGCACGTGACTCGTGAACTATGTTGTACATGACGTCATCACTCATCATATCGATATCGATAAGTGTTCAGCGAATACGAGCCCTGGAGGTCTAAGGATGTTGGCTTGCTCATCTTTCAATATTTGAGTATTTACTATGTCTCTACCACTGAAATTCGAGCTCTTTTGTTCTGTATATTCTCTATGTACAACACAAGTTCCGATATTTGGGTTGTGAGTCTCCTCCAGTCCACCTGGACGCTTTCCTAAATTATTGGCACCGATACTTGTTTCAGAGTTAAATCGCTGACAGGAATATATTCCTCAATAGGCAGGCGCATTTGCTGCAGTTGTAGTCGATTTTGTCGTCTACCCCTTCGACACACTCAAGACCCGTGTCCAATCCCCAAACTATGAGAAGGTCTTCAAAGATGTGCGCACAGGAGCAGTGCAGCGCAGTGTACTCTTCCGAGGATTGTACCAAGGTGTCTGGAGTGTGGTTTTCTCTACCATTCCATCTTGTATGTGTTGACTCTCATTCATGAACGGGTAACAGGGAATATCGCAGCTAATAATCCCATCTATCTGTCGAGCTAGCCGGCGCATTCTTTACCACCTACGAAGCTGTGAAGAGCATCATGCACAATTCCTCAGCAATAAGGCCTACGAGTGTGAAAAGTGGCACAATAACCTCCCCAGAGAGTTCTCTGAACAGTCTACGCTTGCCCTTCACACATTCCCTTCCAACTCCCATTATGCATGGAATTGCCTCTTCGGTCGGGGAGATGGTATCATGCCTCATGCTCACCCCGGCAGAGGTACTAAAACAAAATGCGCAGATGATCCAAGGTTCTCAAACAAACAAATCTGCCATGCGACAGGTCCTTTTGCGATTTCGACGTCATCCTTGGCGCCTATGGAGTGGGTATACGGCGCTCGTTGGTCGAAATCTCCCAACAACAGCTTTACAATTCCCGCTCTTTGAGTATGTGAGATCACACTTAGTTGACCGGCGGAGACAACGAAAAGCTGCCCGCAGCAACACCGGCCGACCACCATCGGAAATGTCAGAGCAATTAGTCGAACGAGCCGGCTTGACGGGTATAGCCGCGGCATTTTCAGGCACAGTTGCAGCGACGGTGACTGCTCCAATTGATGTGATCAAGACCCGCGTCATGCTATCAGCAAATGATCCCAGCACTAGTTCCCAAGATCAAAGTACTCGGGCTGGTGCCCGTGGCAGTGAAGGGGTATCTTCAGGGGCGCGCACAAAGATCAAACCTAGAAAGTCTCTAATTTCTGTCGGTCGTGATATCATACGTCATGAGGGCATCCGTGGCTTGTTCAAGGGTGGTCTGATACGTGCTGGATGGACGGCGGTTGCATTGGGCTTGTATCTCAGTTTGTATGAAGGGGGGCGGTTTCACCTTGAGAATCGGCGAAAGGAGCGGGACCGCATCTCTGGAAAACTTGAGGAGCAAGCTCATGAGAGCAACAAAGGGATCTAAAAGTAGTTGTGTGGTGTTAAAGCCTTTCGTCATGCTGCCGCCGCTGTTAGTGAAACGTTTCACGTATGCTCGACTCATAAATTTCCATCATTGGTATTGTCAAACCAGTCTTGAGAAGCGGGTCGCTCCAGACTTACCAATATCTTTGCTTTGTCGCTTTGATTCCATTGTAAAGACAAAGTTAGCTGGTATTAAACAAAGAAGGAACTATTACTATATAAAGTGATTATATTTTAGTCTCTCGAGGGCCATCTTTGAATGAAGAACGAAAGTCAAAGGGAAACAAAGGGCGTTTTTGAGCCAAGCATGATAGTACGGGGCCTCCAACTATATAACCCATATTCCCACCTGACACAACAGCAGACCAAGAGCTTACTCGTATTTCAATTCCTCTATCCAATCCAAATCATCTAACGATTACAAGTTTCAATCATGTTCGGGAGATTTTCACGTAAAGCTGTGGTGGCGAAACCCTCCATTGACACTGACGAGAGCTGGGATGCAGATGACGAGGACTCTGGTTCAGACCCCGCTCCCAATACCTTTAACCTTATGCCGATGTCGAAAGTACTGGGACTCAAACCATCGAAAGATGTCACTCCCCCCTTGTTTCGTTTCAGGGTCCGCCGTGAAGAAGATAAGTTCCTAGGCGCGTCAAGTAGTTGTGATGGCTGGATTAACATCTCTCATTTCCTCTGGACTATGTGCGCTACACTTGCAGATACAGGTACCGATCGGGAATGGACAGCTGCATTCGAAAAATGGCGACCCCAGTGGAAGAAAGTCCGGGCCCAGGTGAAGACATACGGATTTACTCAATTTTCCTCTGAGATCGCTCTTGCGCCGGTTGATCTTGTGTTGGTCCAGTTCTTTGGATCGCAACTTGACGGAGGGGTCAGGGGATTTGAGATTGAACAAGAAGATCCCAATACGCCCTCTGATACGCAGGATGTCTGGGCCCTCTGGCGATACATTATCGAGACCCCTGCTGGTCAGATCAAGGAGTTTAACGTTACCCTTAGAGATACGGCAAGACTTATGCGCTCTTAGTAGATCGCAAGATTCGTTGAGCATTTTCATATGTGAGGGAAACCATCTTGCTGTCGAGTCAAACTTGTTGTTGATATTGTTTCTTTCTGTCCAGACATCCATCATATACATATGTATTTACCAAGGTCAATTTTGTAACCAAATACAGATTCATATTTTATATTTCGTTTGACCAAATTATAGTATTCTTACGTAGTCCTTCAGGTATGTGTCTAGATTTTGATAAGAGTATCTGATATCCAAGTAAAACACAACTTGGACTGGTAGTTGGTCTACACAAGCCATATATATAGTTGCACCCCGAAGTTGACATTGTCAACTTTCAAACAGCGTCCAAAATCCTTATGAAGAAATTTTCTGAAATAAAATTCTTAGGTCAGAATAAAAAAGATATTTAACGTCCCACAGAACTAAATTCAGGTTGCAAAACTGTATGGAAGGATCTTGGGAGACCAGTGTTCTCAGGGTTCTGTAGATCACCTGAGTATCTAATGTTTTGCCGTTTTTCACCGCACCAAGAAAGGAGAAAGGTAAACAGAGCAAACACGCGTAACCGACACAACCAATCAGGAGACTCGCGAGGCCACCATCATTTAGACTTGAGACTTCACTTTTACTCCTACGCTGAGAGCTTGATTCTTTATTATATAGCGACACAAGGCCCAAATTTGGGATCTTTGTCAAACCCTTCCAGTATCGATTGCGCACCTTTTACATTGGGATTCGTCCTTTCCCGTCATTCACTTCTCCCACGCTATTTCCGGTGTATGCATCCTGCCCTGATCCCAGAAGCCTTCCCGCCCCATCCTCCCTTGGCGAAGGTTTATGTGAGAATCACTCTATCTGATGAAATCCCTACTTCTGAAAAGAAATTCCCGATCAATAGAAATGTCCCCAGAAATAATATCCTCCCTGTAGCTTTCCACAAGCCTTATAATGATGGCAAGACACTCGCTACGACTAGCGCCGTAAATTGAGACCGGGAATGAACTACAAAATCCTCTTCCCTGGTGTATAGGCTCGTAGTCAACTGTGAATCCTCCCACTCGGAGACGTCGAATTGTAAGTTCCATCAACTCGCTGTCAGAACAGTATTGGTCCTTGTTCAAAAATCTCACTGTAAACCACAGCGTACCTCGGAATAGGCCATACTCATCGACAGTAGGGTAGCCCTCACAGAGAAATATGGTTCGTGTGGAAGACATATTTTGGGTTTCAAGCAGTAACACTAGGACTTGAAGATGATTGACCACTAGAGATGGTTGAGATTTTGCTGTTTTTTGTTAGGTTGCGGTGGTGGATATAGTAGATGTTCAAGCATTGAGGCGAAAGGTATGATTTCTTTGACTTGATTTATAACAAAGCCTTTCATTGTTTGGTCCTCTTATTGTGAGAGGTAATTAATAAAAGAAACCCGACGCTTTGTTACTGTGTCCATATATTAGGGCCTCAAAGCAAGTAATCTAGTTTAAACTCTTGAAAGAAAGCCACCAACAAAAGAAGGATAAACGCTTTGTTCTTGCCCCATCCAAAGCTACCATCAGCAACACTATATAATGGTCCTGGTTTCAGTTGCTTCTTAGGAATATCCCATTCTTCCAGTGCATTCTTCCAGTCCGACAGTGACGTACAGACTGACCGTTTTGACTACAGATATATAGGTACCATCTGCCGCCAACATGCCTACAGGGCGTAAGCAATCGGTCAACAACGGTTTCGTCACTGAGCGCGAGGTTGGTGGCGAGCGCCGTTCGATCCGCCACTACCACGATGGTCGAGTATCAGGACCCACGCGGCCCGTCGCTGCCCCTATTCCAGTCCTCTCTAGGAAGGCCAGCACTCTAGATCTATCAGACGCCAAGGATGCTCCTAACCCAAAAGGTAAGTCCAACATCATTGCTGTTCCCGAACTCAAGGACCTGAAATGTGATCCCGAGACTGCCGCTGAAATCGTTGATTACTGTGGCGAACTTGGGAACGTCCCACAGAAGCTTCCTGAAGTGTGCCTTCCGACCGATGTTAAGACTATTTCGAAACAGTGGGAGCAAATGGGGGGAAAGGATCACACTGGAAATTCAGATCTTCACAAGTAGAGGGTTGTCTAATGCCAGGACGATCCAGACGAGTCGCCACTTCGGAGCTAACATAGATAGGACTGTTTGGACAATATCAGATAAGCTAACAAACTATTTTCTTCATACATATAATGTAGGAAAGTATACTATAGGGAAAAAAAATGTTAAGAAGCAGAGTGCCGAGTGTTATATGTAGTAGTATCCCACCAGTCAGATAAAAGTACAAGGGACGGTGCAAACGGTCCAAAGATATGCAGACCACTGTAGAATACTAAGTAATAACTTCTGTTTGACTGCCATGATATAGAAGTCTCACGTTTACATGTGTCTCAGATTCATCTCCTATAGAGTACCCTATCATTCCATAGACCAAGTATCAGAGAGCTTTCACTTACCTACAAATTCCTCCAAACTTCCGTCAGTAAAGGGCGCAACCAGTGCTAGCCCTAATAGAGTTTTTGTAATATATCACGTCAGCTGTCAACTATAGGTCGTTCCAAGGTTCTCCAAATATTAGCCTAAGGTGTCTAGTTCCTCCTTTTTTTTCCGTCACTATCCAAACCATCTCCACTTTCCCCCACCTTCGCAGTCCGTGATATCTCATTGGGTATTTTATTCTCTCAACGTCAACTCTAGCTCTGGCGGTCAATTGAGCCAAGAATATGGACAACGAAAGGGCAACCTTCCTGAAGGAGCTCCATAGCGACCTTGCCCGCAAATGCCAAAAGCATGCCACCGTGGTTGAGACTAACTGGCGGTCCTTTAACCCCAATGAACGAGCGAATTGTTTCAAGGCTGGGGCTGCAGACGGTGTTGTCTTGAAACATTCCTTGGATCGGTCTCTGGGGAATGTCTACAAAATCATCCCAGACTTGAATTTACACGACATCATGTCCGATCCAGACTACCTTTTGAACCTTCTCAAACATCGAGCTACAAAGACCCTCTTTGAACAGTACTGTGAAGGAGTCAATGGTGGCCCCGGAGATTATGCCATGATCGAAGAGTCAGTGCGCACACGTGGACTCAAGCATGTCAACTCCTTTAAAAACTGTTACACTATGTTCCAAGGATCCATGTACGCCATTTCTGTTCAAGTGCTAGCTAAAGAGGCCTTGGCCGCTCTTGAACCCGCAATCCGTGCTCACGTCTGTCTTCCCCAATCGGTCGGAGAGTTCGTTATGCACAGACAGATCTACACCTTGCAGACTCTCAATATTCTCATTGAGGATATTTTAGACCAAGGCTCGAAAAGCCGGGCTCAGAAGGCCCCGACAAAGAAAGAGAAGCCCACGAAGCCCACTGATACCGAACCTCCTGTGGCTGTGTCAAAATCAGTTGCCCAGCCCCCACGGAAAAAGCTTACACTTTCCGACCTAGTCGCTAGTGCTCGTGATCACCAAGATAGACTTGAAGAGTACCTGCGTTTGCTCTCTACTGAGCCTGTTGTGCTTGCTCACGCTGTGAATATTTGGTTCTTCAGCCGCCCAGAACTCATTCCCGACGAAAAGGGTCGCCGATTACCCGTCCACACTGACAAATATATCAGTGCTGCTGTTTTTGAGGCTATCCACAGTTCAATCCAGGGAGCCGCTACCTGGAACTACATTGCTAGCATCCTCGAGCTCCTCGAGAAAAGGGCTGAAGATAGGGCCTGTCGAGCCGTTCTACTTCAAGAGATCTCCAACATATGTCAACTAGAACTCAACCGAGCGCAGACTCTTTTCAAGCGCCATGTTCAGACTGCTACGGGATCCAATTGGTTTAAGCGAACATCCAACATGTATGACAGCGCCGGGAACCCACGCGTTGGCATAAAAGGCAAACCGGAGGACCTTACTGTATCCGATCCTCAGCTTCATTATATGTTGCGTCTCTGTCAGCCAAAACTTACTGTTTCCAATGCCATAACCTGGATGCAAAAACTCAGCGAGTTTCAAAAAAGCCATCCTCGGGAGCGAGAGAAGCTGGTGGAGAGTGAGGCCGACTCATTGGGTGACCTAGCTATAATTATAGGATTTATCCTGGACTTTTCTTCTGTGATTCCGATTCCTTCATTTTCCAACAATAAGGGACAGATGTTTGTCTCTAAATCACGGGAGGTGGAATCTGAATTCAACCATGTGAAGGATCAACTTGACCTACTCGATTTTGTCGTTCCCATCGACAACCTCCTAGAGCCGGGAGCTGCCGTTGGAGCTTTGAAAAAACTAGACCAATTCGCCATCGAAAAATTTGGCACAAAAATGGGATTCGTGTACCAAGATATGGTCGCGGACTGTTTGTCTGGTGTTCAGGAGCAATGCGAGGATGTCGAAGCGAGATTTGCTCAGGGATTAAAGGCTGAATTCCTTTCAGCCCTAGGACAGAGCGCGGAGTCGACAACAATCAGAGTCGAACAGCGGAAGCAAAAAGAAAAGACACGCCCCTCGCATTCGTCTGTATATGACATTGTTGTATCTACGAAGCCGGCTTCTCCACAGGAGCCTGCGTTACCGCAGACCTTCAACATAGATGATTCGACAGCTGAGATCTTCAAAGGACTGTTCTGCAAGTCCGAATCGCGTGGGTCAGTACCCTGGGTGGGTTTTACAGAAGCAATGACCAAATTGGGATTTTCAGTAAACCCGAAGTATGGCTCTGTTTACACGTTTTACCCACCAGAGAGCATGGCAGCGAGGAAGTCATTGACCCTCCACCGGCCACATGGGCCAAAGATCGAAGGATACCGGTTGCTGATGATAGCCCGGCGGGTGAGGACCTTGTACGGATGGGGCGAAGAGACATTTCGAGTTGAATGAGTTGATTAACCCAGGCACGGAGATCAATCCGGATTTTAAATCTATCCCTAAATCCCTGGTTGTTATGGCCGTCATATGACTGCTCCCTTACCGTGATACGTGTATGTACTACTTAGTTATTCCAGTAGCTCCACCCTAGTTAGTTATACTTATAGTTATAAATAACTTCCCTTCTCCCTTTTCAATCTTTCTAGCTATAAAATTGAAAAAATTACTGAAAAGACTACTCAAGGCCGACTATTCATGTAATTTGAATTTTGGAATTGTTATTCCGATACTTAACTGGCTGTGTTGAGATGCAGAAAATTGCAGTATATCACCAGGGCCTCCAAATGTTGTTCAATTAATTGCTACTTTATAATTACGTGGATGGCCAACTTTGCTAGCAATAAAAGCCAATAGCTGAAGTCCCTAGTGGTTACTGTGTACAGCACACTGCGATGTACAATAGACAGTGCAAACGCCAAAACTAATTAAGGATGTAGGCCACTGTGAGTGACAACAGTTACTTTCCCTTAACCATCTTATTTTACCTATAATCTATCTTTGTCTCAAATCATCCATATCCTATAAAATGCCCGCTCATTCCATAGATAAATATCAAAGATCTTTCAATTTACCATTTCTGGTTTGCATAAAAACCCCTAAACGTACGATTTATAAAGGGTCTAAACTATCTAGGTGGAGCCAATGCTAATACGCATTTGCGTGGATTATTCCAAGGTTGTTTTGAATATTGGCCTGAGGTGTCCGGGATCAGTACCTAGACAGCGATATTCACCCTCTTCCTTTTCTATATCTTCGCAGTCCACAGTATTGCATTGCATCTCTTATACATATATATGTTCAACTCGACATTCTCGATTTTGAGCTTCGATTCGACAAGCTTCTTATACGGGGAATGACCGATAGACCTCTAAGACGGCCAAATCAATCTATCATCGAAAGATCCAGCACAAAAATGAGACATTTATAGCAAGACATGTTCGCTAACTGCATGTCTAGTGTTCGGGACCAAAATGAGCCTAAAGCCGAATCCGCGCAGGGAGTTGAGTCCAAAATACCTTTTGTTCACCTACGAACCAAAACCTGATAGCGAAACGAGCCGATAATCGCAATGAAAAGGAAAAGACGCGTCATGATTCCAATTCCCCCATCAATGAGATCGTTGCCGCGAAGCTTCCTTACCCTCCCCGGAGCCTTCTTCTGTCTCGCTGACCTTCACGGTAGACAATTTAACAGCCAACGTCTTCCAAAGACTTTTCTGCAAGTCACACTCACGTGGACTGGTGCCATGGGTGGCCTGTGCAGACGCAATGACCAAGTTGGGGTTCTCTGTAATCCCAAGATGTGGGTCTGCTTACACGTTTTGCCCGCCAGCCCTGGAGATAGTATGACAGCAAAGAGGCCCTTGACCCTCCACCAGCCACACGGGCCAAATATCGAACGTTACCAAGTGCTAACGATGGCCCGGCAATTGAGGACTTCTTATAGATGGGGTGAAGACACATTTCGGATTGAATGAGTGTCATCATACTAGTTTAGCTCTTAGCTGATACAACTATCAACAATCTCATCTCACATTTACACCATGTAACTAGACGCCTCTGTATATGTTTCCTAACAACGAGTCTAAATTTTGATTAACTCAGGCACGAAAATTCCATCAAATCCCAAGTTGTATTTTGGAAAGGTTTTCTGTACGGTTTAAACTTCTCCCCTCGCTGTTGAATCATTCTAGCTATGAACTTGAAAGTGGGATGGAAATATCTAAAACAGATATCTCGAAAGGCTACTAAAAACACAGATCAGCCGACTATTTTTGTAATTTGACATTTGGAACTGTTATTCTGATACTCAGTGACATAACTGGCGGTTGATAAAAACGAATCAGCCAAGAAGAACAGCCTTTCCAGCCTCCAGGTCTCCAATCTCCTTTTCCAAGTGTCGCCGTCTGCGCGTTGAGGCTCTGCCCTCTCCGGCTATCTCTTCCAGTCTCTCGTTGGAGAGCCTGTTGGCCCAGAAAGGTGAAAACAAGTTCATTGGGGCCTCGGGGCCAGTCACTAGGAAATGGTCTGCTGCTTGCATGCATACACAGCAACAGAAAGTTACGCTTGCCGAGGGTAACTCGCGGCGGACGTTTGATGTGAGGAGTTCTTGGAGGCGGCCCATCAATGCTGACATCCCGTAGTTCTCAGGCGGAACACTATTCCAGGGCGCATTTTGATAAAATATTCTTTCTTCGGCATCTCGGTCGGCATCGCCAGCCTGAAGCTGGTTTTGGCCGAGATTTCGAACAAGGATCCACCCCAGCTGCCCGTTTGCATTCCCATCATGGATGAGTTGGATCACTTTGTGTTCGGCTCCTTTGTCAACAAGATCTAGTTTGGTGAGGATCCGCAATGTTCTTTCTCCTTCCGGGTCGATCTCCCTGGCCATCTCAATGATTTCTTGAGTGGCAATATCAACGTTTGCGGGAACCACAGCCAACATGATAGATCGTTGGCTTTCCATATAGCGAAGAACCATATTCCTAACTAGCGTAATATCATGCTTGGTAGTTCGATTAAATGTCGTATTCTTAAAGATTCCAGGGACATCGATCACGCTAAGGTGACTCTCGTTCGGGCCACGAATCTCCAGCTGGAGCACGCTGTTCGAAAAGGTTGGCTTTCGGTCACCAACAGAAGAAGAAAGGTTCACGATCTCGTGCACCTTGCAAGCCACATTTAGCCTCCACTACCAAAATTCAATCAGTATGTGTATAATACCTCTTTGGTTTGTGCGAGTGAAATCCTCAGCATCCAGTGACTGAAGCCCAGCAGCCTTCCATCTCCGCAGCTTCTTGTCCTCCTCTGTGTTTGCATCTGATGAAGGGAGGATAGATGCAGATATCTGCCGTTCAGCCATGTTGGTATCGAGGCGGAAGATGATCTGCGTCGCAAATCTTGTGCACAAGCTGCTGTCGTGAGGGAAGCTTAGCTTGGTGAGGCCCTCGAGGACCGAGCTTTTCCCACTAGACTGGTCCCCAACCACAACGAGTTGGAGAAAGCTAACGTACTACCCCACGTCACATGCAAAAAGCTTGTCAATCTGCTCCAGTAAAGCTGGATCAGCCAACTCAAGACTTCTCGTGTGCGTTTCTCTGATAGCCATAGCTTGTGGTGCTGACTGAAACTGTATAGTACAAGAGAATATGTGGTTGAGGTGTGAGATAGATGAGAGAAAATGAGAGAATATGTGAGAAAAGGTGAGAAAGAAAGAAAGAGAGGGGAAAGAAGAAGAGACAGGGGGAAAAGGGAAAGAGGATGGGAAGAACACCAAAAAGGAAAGTAAAATGGCTACAGTATTGCAGTGAACATCACTGGGGATATGGGGTCCTATCGGCTTTTGAGATTTGCCACTTGGATCTCCCTAATAATATGAAATACCACATAATTCATTTGTTATACACTCGAGATTCTCTATAGATTTATAATGGTGATGATAGAGACTATAGAAAGGAAGATGGACAATTGACTAGAATAAATATATACGAATAATGACCTACCTAACTCCAAAGCTCCTGATATACATGAATGTAGCTTTCTAATAACAAAGGGAAGCCCAACTGACCTAGGTATTACATGTACGTATAGATATCCTGGAGTAGCAATCTATCTATGCCTTACCGCCTAAAGAAAATATAAAGGACAATCCGAATATTAAAGTCAGTTGAAGATGGTATTTTAGACGTTACAACTATGATTCAACTACAATATGTATCCTTTTGATAGTATTCTCAGAAATTCTTTTTAGATGCCTTTTTTTGAGATATTTTCTCGGCGAAGAAGAGTCAACCATACAAAGGCCCTTCTGTATATAACCGGGGATACCCGAGTATTACGAAGGGCTCATAGTCTCATGGCCTCATAAGGTTGAGTAGGTCTGACGGTGCCAGAGTGTCCTGGGATATGCTACATTCCTACCAAATAGAACATTCAGTATCAATAATGTATACGTAGGCTACATTTACGTAGATACATATGCAGCCATGGTCCTTGTACCCATACTTCTAAGACACAGGAATGACGATAAAAATAAAATCCATCGTTATTCCACAAGTATTCATACTCCCCAAACTTTGTCCACCTAGAACACGGGATCCGCCATAATACCTTCGATAATGAAATGAACACACATGTCGCATTTCGGATTGAGACCAAGTCTCGCGGCTAGTTGAGGCATCCGTATCTGCAGTAAGCTTGTTATGTCTGGAACCAGAACACTGTAGAAATTGGCTGGCTTTGCAGTGACATAAACATGGTCAGTTGCCTCGGAAGCCATGGCAATGGCAGCGTCCGCCAGTCGCTCCAGGTACTCGTTGGCATAGTCCCGTAGATTGACTTTGGCTTCTTGGATGCTGTCCGATGTCGGTTGTTGTCTGATGAGGCGAGATTGCTCCTTGAGGAATGAGAGCAAGTCAGATCGCTCCTTTTGATAGTCGGCGACAAGATAAGACGTGGACATTCTGAATGTGAGATGGACGTGAGAGATGACTCGGTGGTTGATAGAGTTGGAGTATAAGTCTGGAGACTTGTCCAGCTTGGCGGGTTTCGCGGTTGATCTCGAGGAACGCAGGGTTCAGCAATTGTGACGTGAATGATGGATCAGGTTTGAGACTCGGGGATATTGCCCTGGTGAAGTGAGTTGGTTAGGCTCTGCGAATAGAATGCATATGGAAGACTCATGATACCTCGAGAAGGTGGAGGATATTGAAACTTATCCGACTCGCAGACTTTGGCAATGAGCACGATGCATAGTTTTTGGGGAAGAGAGAGATCATTGGAGGAATGGATAACATTGAGTTTGTTTACATCAGGTCTGACGGGAAACAGAAGAATAGTTACCACGATCTACTGCGTCAGTTGAAAGAGTGTATTGATGACACCTTGGGAATCAGGCCGCTTATCACATATTTGCTGTAATACATCCATGCTGTATAGAAGCCGAAATTATCCCTTTTCAAGAGGCATCTCATTAGTGAAGAATCTAGCCCGCGAACTACACTGCTGTATCATGAAACATATTACAGTAGCCACCTGAAAATAATAATAACAAAGAATCCAAATTGCGTATATTGCTAGGTCATAGTATCATATGAACTTCATATATGTCGTCACATCTGTGTCTGGGGTTTCATCACCTTATAAATAACCAAAAAAGGGAAGAAAAAGAACGCTGCAATCAATATCAATACAAAACAAACCGAAAACAAGTTCTCACACAAGCATAGAGAACTGCCAAATTTCTGGTTTACAGATTCGTCAATTTACGGAACCAACTGGGCTTCTTAACACCCGAACTCGGCGGACCACCTCGGCTCCCGGGCTGGGACCTCATTCCACGGTCACGTTCATAATCACCACTTCCTGAGCTGCTCTTCACACCGTCACGACGAGAACCACGATGTCGGGAACGAGCATCATCAATCTCTTCCTCATATCTGGCACGTTGGCGGGCCTTACGGCGAAGAGCACGACGAGCTTCCTCGTCCGACGAAAGGGAATGAGCATTACCTCCATCGTCAGCCGCAAGAGGAGGTAGATCAATAAGAGTGGGGACAATTGGCGGTGGCTCCGGAGGTTCATCGCTTTGCGAGTAAACCCAGGAAGAAGTCTTGGGATTCAAACCACCAGTCATGAGTGGCTCCCGAACTAGCTCAGGAGCGACCTTAGACTTTCGACGACGAGCGGTCGGCTCTTCAAACGCGCGGGAGCTGCGAGCCCCTCGACGGTTTGTCTCACGCCTATCAGCAAAGACCTCATCAGGGATCCTTTGCTCGCGTTCACGTTCACGTTCACGCTCACGCTCACGATGTCGGCTCGCTCTCGCAGCCATCATCTCCTCTTCACGCAGTCTTCGGCGCTCGCGGCGTTCTGCCGCCCTAGCTTCAGCCGCAGCTTCGGCTTCAGCTTCACGAGCTGCTTGTTCTTCTCGAGCACGACGTTCTTCACGTGCAGCTCGTCGGGCCCGCTTTTCTTCTCGTATACGATCTTCTTCTCGTAGACGTTCTTCCTCTTCCTCTTCGCGAGCACGCTGTTCACGTTCTCGTTCTTTTCGTCTCGCCCGCCGCTCCTCTGCTTCCCGAGCCTCGCTTTCACGAGAGTCGGAAGGCGCCTTGCGGGATCCACGCCGTGACTGGCGTGCTGCGCGCCGAGCTTCCGCTTCTTCGGCTTCTGTATCGCCACCTGCACCTACACCGGCGGCATCGGTTACGAAACCATCGGCATCGGTATCTGGTCGCACAGATCCTCGGCGTCGATCTTCGCGGCGTGCTCGTCGAGCACCATCGCGCTCCATTTCTGGAGGATATCTTGCGTCGTCGTCACGATACAAGCGAGACTTCCGTCTCTCTGGCATTTCTGGGCGTTCTGGACGTTCTGGGCGTGCGGTTTTCCGCAGAGAATCCAGGAGCCCCATGAGTCCACCGGTCTCTTGTTTCTTAGGCGGCGGCGCGGTGTTGGAGCGCTTCAGACGACGTTCTCTTGGAGGCGCATTGACAAAGCCCATATTTTCTGGTCCCGACATGACCTCTGCGGTAGGATGCGCTTGATATGGATCAACCAATACAGCGTCATCCTCGTCGTCGAACCTGGGGCGCGGCTACAAGGATCGGCGGTTAGTGCAACGACACAAAGAACACTGCAATCATCCCGGCATACCTGTCTCTTAGACTTGCGCTTCGAGCCTCTGGAGCCCTCTTTCGGTGATTGACCCTCGGCATCCTCCATGTCGACCATAACAAGGTCATCGTCCTCGATCGCATATGGATCGCGAACTGTTTTGTAGGAAGTTAGCGATGATAAGTAACATGTGACGGAAATGAACATGCCTGATTTCTGCCTGTCCGTGCGCGGGCGCTCACGTCGAGACTTGGAGGGATCCATCCCCATCAGTTTGGCTGCTTTGTCAGAAACCTCAGGCTTTTCATCTAGAGGGGCTGGATCAGTAGTTTTGTCCTCTATATCAAATGATGGACGCCTGGAAACGGGTTTCGATGAAGAGCCAGGTTTGCGAGTCGATTTGCTTTTGGACTGGGGTGTACCCAGTACCATGTTAGCCAAGGCCAGGCCACGTTGGTTCTTCGAGGGCCGCCCCTCTCGTTCTCGCCGCTGTTCCCGGTCAGACGCAGACCGTTCCACTTCTGCCTCAGGGTCTCTGGGTCGGGATTTTGTGGATTTTGACCGTACTGCGGGTGGACGTTCTCGAGTAGACTCTTTTTTCTTTGGGGGCTCTGCCTCTGGGACCTTTTCCTTCTTACTTAGCTTCTTGGGAGGTTCTGCTTCCTCCTGTGTGTTTTCCTTTTTAGTTAGCTTTTTCGGAGGTTCTGCTCCTTCCTGAATCTTGTTTTCCTTCTTAATCGACTTCTTCGGGGGCGGCGCGCCCCCCCAAAAACCCCATGAAGAGGCAGTTGTAGTGCGTTCAGTGCGTGGTCGCTCCTTCTTCGCGGGTTTTGGAGGCTGTTTGGTAGGCTCCGGTGGGGGCATAGGAGGAGCAGCTTCGTCTTTCTCTTCTGCCTCATCGAGTACAAGCTCAGGTGCAGGTTCAGGTACTGATACAGGTTCGGGCTCAGCCTCAGGCTCCGGTTTAGGCTCTGGGACTGGTTCTGGTTCTGCTATTGGTTCCGGCTCAGGCTCCGGTACTAGTTCACGTGTTTCCTCGGGAGGCTGTGGGGTTGGCTCCCTGGGAGCCGCCGCTACAGCTGCTGCGGCGGCTGCGGCTTTCTCCGCTTCGACCTTTTTGTACTTCTTGAGTTCCTTTTTCGACATTTTTGAAAGATCTGGGACTGGTGGCTCGGGCTCAGGCTCAGGCTCGGGCTCAGGTTCAGGTTCAGGTTCAGGTTCGGGTTCGGGTTCGGGTTCAGATTCAGGCTCGGGCTCAGCTTGAACAACTGGCTCAACAACTGGCTCAACAACTGGCTCAATAACCGGTTCCGCAACCGGTTCAGGCGCTTTTTTAGGCGGCTCATCGGATGGGAGCTCGAAATTCTTGCCAGGAATGGGAAGCCCCTTACGCATCAATTGCTTCTCTCGCTTCTTACGCTCTTTAGACGTTATATCGCGCCAATTTGCATATAGAGGCTCATCAGGTAGTTTCGCCGCTTCAGGCTCGAGCTCGGGCTCTGGTGCTGGCTCTAGTACTGGCTCTGGCTCCGGCTCCGGCTCTGGTTCTGGTTCAGGCTCTGGTTCTGGTTCAGGCTCTGGTTCTGGTTCAGGCTCTGGTTCTGGTTCAGGCTCAGGCTCGGGCTCGGGGTCATCTCCAAAGTCTGGGAAGCTTCCGGGAATAGAGTCCTTCGAAACTTTCCTCTCTTTAAACTCCAGAGCTTCTGCTGTCTTAGCCTTGGATTTTGAACTCTTCGTTGGAGCGGGCTCCTCTACGGGAGGTTCAGGTTCGGGCTCGACCTTCGTTTCCTTGGATTTGCTCTTTGAGCTAGATTTTTCTGCCTTTGCCTTGTCCTTCCTGGCCTGCTCTAAGACCTTGATGCGTTCAGCAACACTAAGCTTAGAAGTCTTAAGTTTAGTCTTTTCGGGGGCAGGAGGCTCAGGCTCAGGCTCAGGCTCAGGTTCAGGTTCAGGTTCAGGTTCAGGTTCAGGTTCGGGTCCTGGCTCTGGCTCTAGCTCAGGTTGCAGCTCTGGAAGGTCATCGCCAACATCAATAAGCAGGTCTTCCTCTTCTATAGGGTCGGGTTCCTCCTTTTCCTCTCTGGCCTTCTTCGTTGATTTTTTGCTCATAGATCCCCCGGTCAATGTCGACCAGAAGCTTTTAGAGGCTTTTTCTTCTTTGGGGGGTTCGATGGCTTTCATGGTCTTCTTTGAGCCCTTGGAAGTCTTAGGAGCTAGCTCCGCCCAAACATCGTCGGCATTATCATAGAAAGCTTCTGGCTCTGGAGTAAAGCCCTGGGAAGGAGGTGTGGGGGCACGTGGAGGGGGTCTTCATAATCCATGATCTTCTTCTTCTTTTTCTTGTCCTTTGCCGGCCCCCAAATACCCCAAGAATCCTCTTCGGTCGGTTTCTCTGGTTCGGGCTCTGGTTCCGGCTCTAGGACTAGTTCGGGTTCAGGTTCAGGTTCAGGTTCCGGTTCAGGTTCCGGTTCAGGTTCCGGTTCAGGTTCCGGTTCGGGTTCTGGTTCGGGTTCAGGTACTGGCTCTGGCTCAACAACCGGCTCAGGCACTTCTTCAAGTTGCTTATCTGATGGGAGCTCGAAATCCTTGCCGGGAATGGGAAGGCCCTTACGCATCAATTGTTTCTCCCGTTTCTTGCGTTCTTTGGATGATATCTCACGCCAATTTTCATATAGAGGTTCATCCGGTATTTTTGGCGCCTCGGGTTCAGGCTCAGGTACAGGCTCAGGCACTGGTTCTGGCTCTAGTTCTGGCTCCGGTTCTGGTTCAGGTTCTGGCTCAGGTTCTGGCTCAGCTACTGGCTCTGGCTCAACAACCGGCTCAGGCACTTCTTCAAGTTGCTTATCTGATGGGAGCTCGAAATCCTTGCCGGGAATGGGAAGGCCCTTACGCATCAATTGTTTCTCCCGTTTCTTGCGTTCTTTAGACGATATCTCACGCCAATTGTCATATAGAGGCTCATCCGGTATTTTTGGCGCCTCGGGTTCAGGCTCAGGTTCAGGCTCCGGCTCAGGTTCAGGTTCAGGTTCAGGCTCAGGTTCTGGCTCTGGCTCTGGCTCCGGCTCAGGTTCGGGTTCCCGAATAGGTTCTGGCTCGGGTACTGGCTCTGATTTGCCTTTGCTTTTCTTTGAAACTCCCCAAATAGCAAATGGATCAACCGGCTCTTTGAGTTTTGGTGGTTCGATGATAGGCTCCGGATCAGCTAAAAGGTCGATCTTCTTCTTTTTCTTATCTTTTGTCTTCACTGGAACACCCCAGCCCCAGTCATTATCTGCCTCGAGTGGTTTTTCGGTCTCCTCGACCACCAGTTCAGCCGCAGCCGCAGCCGCTGCCTGAGCTGCTTCCTGCTCTGCCGCCAGCTGTGCTGTAGCTTCCTCGTCTTTGATCTTTTTCTCCATCTCCTTCTTCGCTTTACGCTGTTCAGACTTGGAGAGATTTCGAAACCATGCTTCTTGTGTGAAGTCGACTCTGGGTGCAAGCGGAGGCGGAGGTGCAGGAGCCTCTGGGATGGGCTCTGGATCGGCCGTCCCCTTCTTCTTTTTGTCTTTGCTCACAGCCCACCCCCCTGCGCCCCAGTCGTCTTCTTGCTTGGTTTCGGCGGGTGCGGAGCCCAAATCAAAATCGAATTCGCCACTATCCAATGATTTCTTCTTATCCCATGGGTTGTTGTCCTTGGGTTCTTCGTTCGAAAGAGGATCAAGTTTGCCGCCCGTATTCCAGTCTTTGCCCCATCCCCCAAAACTAAACCCAGTTCCGCCGGTCTTGGGAGCCGCATTATCGAAGTTCAAGTCTAATTGCGGTGCGCCATCATTTAGACTTACGTCCTGGAAGCCCCCGGAGGGTGGAAATGTGTCCTGTGGTTTTACTTAGATGCTTGTATTGTATATTGGAGGAGGACGGTCTTACCTTTCCTTTCTTCTTTTTTTTTACGCTCGTGAACGCAGCCCAGGAATGGTCGCCCCCACCATCATCTTCAGCCCAGCTAAGATTGTTGGCAGCAGAGGACGCAGCAGCCTTTCGTTCTTCCTCCTCTTTGGCCTTTCGTTCTTCCTCCTCTTTGGCCTTTCGTTCTTCTTCCTCCTTGGCCTTTCGTTCTTCTTCCTCCTTGGCCTCTTGTTCTTCTTCCTCCTTGGCCTTTCGTTCTTCTTCCTCCCTGGCCTTTCTGTCTTCCTCCTCCTGGGCCTTTCTCTCTTCCTCCTCCTTGGCCTTTCGTTCTTCCTCCTCTTTGGCCTTTCTTTCTTCCTCCTCTTTTTCTTTCTTCTTTTTGTCTTTCTTTCCGCTCACATTCCAATTACTCCATTCGTCACCGCCATCTCCCCCACCATCTCCCCCACCATCTCCCCCGTCGCCGCCTCCGTCGCCGCCTGAATCACCGCCAGCCCCACCAGCATCACCGTCGCCTTTGTGATTGTCATCTCCTCCACCAGCCCCTCCTGCCGGTGGCGGCGGAGGAGGAGGGGGAGTAGGAGGGGCTACTGCTCTCTTTGCGGCCGGTTTTTTCTTCTTATGTTCCCGAATACCAGTTGGATTTTCAAAATCAATTCGTACATCCAGCATGCGGTCTTTTAGCAGCGAGGATGACGGATTATATGATATTTCCAGAGTATTTGGCGCGAAGAAAACAGCCGTGGATTTGCGCTGCGCCAGTGGAGGCAGTGTGGAGTATTCAGGAGGAAGATCATGGATCGCATCATCGTAGAGGGGCGGAGGCTGGTCGTACGACGGTGGCTCTGACGAGCTGGTCGGAAAGCGAAAACTCAATCCGGTGACCAAATCTACTTTCTGGTGTACATAGTTATCTGAGAGGCGGAAACTCGCTGGGCCAGTCGAGATAGTACCCCAGATCTCCTCGCGGAGTTTCTCCTCCATTCGCATGTTCCGTGTGTAGTATGCGACATCCTCCGCATTGCTGTTTCCCCCCGCGCATACACGATAAGACGCCTCAATCGCTTCCATATCGAAAATCACATGCGCTATTTTCACGGCCGGTCCAATCACTGATGTGGCAACTCAGCGATATCAAATGACGAACGCATCGGTGGCTGGGTTAGATTCCAGTCCTGGTGGGGGAATATTGTCCCAATCGATCACAGACGGAGTTCGTGGACGCGGAGTTGCGAGAGTGCGATATCGGTGCGGTAAGGTTGCGCAAGCGGGCGCTGTGAGCCTATGTAGAAAGCAATAAATCAAGTAAAAATCAAGTCAGATAGCCTCCCTGCACGACCGGCGCGACTTCAGGTGTTTTTTTATGCTGATATAAGTGGTATTTAGACAGATCAGGACACAGTGACGCAGGCTGTAAGACTGTGTCTGCTGTAAAGTGAACACAGGGAATTTCAAGTGAGTCAAGGGAGTCAAGGGAGAAAAAATAGGGAAAAGTTAAGCCTAGGGAGGGGATCTTTTGAAGAGGCAGGGATAGCAAGTTCAGGCGGTGGAGGTGAAGATCATCCCATTTGACCCGCAAAGTTTCAATGTATGTACCCCGTCTGTACAATGTACTTGTTTAAGGTTGCTGTTTCATTGATGTGGTCGAGCGTTCAGATAAACATAGAAGTTATTCAAGTCCTCGAACATCATTATATGTACCTACATGAACACCCCTGGGAGAAGGCGAAAAAAAAAGAAAAAAACCAAAACATGAATGGCTGGGAACACAGAAGGGCCAAATGCCTATCTCTATGAAGAATGAAGCAAGTACGCCCTCCCTTGGAACTGAGTGGAAGGGAATTGTATGTACTCTGTACATTTGTATACTTGAATATGTATGTTTAGAATTTTTTCTCCTACAATCTGCATGGCATACAATGTACTCGAGAGGTCAATGTTGCACAGACCCCTTGATAAACAAACAGTTCCCCGATTCCATGGTTCTCAACTTCAAGTCCATGGATTGCAACAACATAAATTGTGTAGTACCGTGGTACTTTAATTCATTCAAACTCCAATTGCATCGAAGTATATAACCATTGAGTGCTTATATATATCTTTTGTCTATACGGAGTACAAAATGCATCAGAAATCACATACCTAAATGCAGGGACTCCAAGATGCTGTACATTATATACTTCCGCGCGTACCTACGGAGTACAATGTTTGCATTTTGCCCTTGAGTATGCCCAAACAACCTATGTTTTACAAGCATGGAGTACGCGGAAGATGCTGGAAATCTCCTTGAGCCCAATTTACAAGTCTCAGACTAAAAGAGCCACCTGCAAGCGCAACACATCTTTTTCACACCGCCACTTGATCGGAGTTAAAAAAAAAAAAGGGCCTAGTGCGGGGTTGGTGGAGAGTCTGCGGCGTAAATAAAGGACTAAAAGGGATTTTTCTCTCTGACTCATTGATTCAATGGAGACACTACCATTGAGAGAATCGAATTGCATTGGAGATGGTTAAACTGAGGTATGCATCGATTCATTACGATATCCTATCACAGCGCTTCCACAGCTCGGCCAAGCAAAAACATACAAGGAAACTGTTTGACAAAAAAAAACTACAATACAATAGGGAGACGCGAATCAGGCCATATAGGAAATTGAAAACGACATGTGACAAACAAGCTTGGATGTCCAAACTGAGCTAACCACTTTCCGAAAGACCTCAACTAGGTCAACATAATCCCAATGGAACTTCTCGTTACAACTCTGGTTTAGGTTGTAGCTCGGGTTCAAATGGAGTCTTCCGATTTACCCGCAGTGATCCTGACTGCCTGCGCTGGGACTCCATACGCCTTCAGGTGCTCTCTCTCATACCGTTGGCGATCTTCGACGTGCAATTGTTCGTAGCGCTAGATCTATGGTCAGCCCCTGCAAAATCCGGTATGCATCAATGCTGCTGAGTGCTCTTACATCTTTCTCCGATTGGGGTAGTTGAGCCCATTCCTCCCCAATGTATTTGAAGGTCTCTGTGCCGGGCTTTCCATGGTAGTTCTCGGCACCGAGGCGGTCTATCACGTAAAACATGTAGGCAGACTTGGGTGACTTGGGCAGGCGGTCGTCTTTGAGGGAAGGGTAGCTCTTGTTACTAAGACGCGAAAGGTTTGAACGGGCGGAGTTGGCCTCCTTGATCTGAAGAGGTGTGTGTGACCTGATCCATGCATCGTGGGCAGCGGTATTAGCAACTTTATTCGCATCAGCTTGAGATTGGAATCTCTGGAGTTGGAGCATTAGCATGCTGCTTCTAACGAATACGAATGAGTTCGAGGGCACATACCTCCCTCTCAAGGCCGCTGAGGGATTTGCCATGCTCTATAGCAAGTATAAATGCTTCCTGGATCTTGTATTGACCTTTGATCTCGCGCAGCTTCTCAGCCATAGCAAGACCAAAGGCACTGACGACTAGCCTCTTAGGCGGCTCGAGCAGGGCAGTCGCCTTGAGCTCTGTGATTTGAGCTCTGAGTTTCTTGAGCCTCTGAGCTTCCTGCTGTTTCTCACTCATGGGCTTCTTGTTCTTCTTCGATTCATTGTGGGCGTTCTTAGAGCTCTTCGCCTTGGGTGTCTTGCTCGCCTTGGGAGCGATAGAAGCAGTCGCGAACGAATTTGATTGGAATGGCGATTGGGGGGAGGAAATGGGTTGGATTTGCGGGCGCGCCAGACCAGAGTTGGCTGCCAGACAGACGCGACTAAGCTGGTTCTGCAGGTCGATCACGCCAGTACGGCGAGGGAGAGAACCGCGGTGCAGGGTGCGCAAGCCCCCCGAGCTGCCGACTGCCAAGACATGGAGTAATTATCGAAGCAGATTTAGCTGGAGCGAGGTAAAATACGAAGCGTAAAGATGAGACAAATTAGCAATCGAATCTTCAAAAGCTAAGAATTGATAGAGGAGCTGTTGACGCAAGCGGAGCAGGTGTCGCGCCTACTTTGTCGTACCTATCCGCATCGGGACTAGCTCATCACATGGCATTATGTAATCTGTTTCTTCATTCCAACGGTTTGCGCAAGTGACGATGCGATAGACAAACACCTCACACGTTCTTTCCTCTCGCTGGCCTGAGGCTTGAATTGTCGTCTCAACCCTTTTTCTCACGCCGCGCTCTCTCTCCCACGCTTTCTCTCTCCTCCTTCACTCCGTGTCCCGGGTGCTTTTGCGTTCCAGTAAAACTCACTAATCAGCCTGCAACAATGGCTCGCCCCGGAGATACTCGCTCACCATCACCTGTAGGCAGCACATATTCTTCATCCCGACGGCCTCGCAGACAGGATGATCGCTATGAAAGAGCCAGGCGGGATGATGGGCGCAGTTACCACAGATCCCGCAGCCCAGAGGTACGTGTGGCGCATCGAAAATTCATGTAGTATCTTCTGATCTCTAACAATCCTTGTTATATCTAGAGACGATACCGTGGGCGCGACCGCCCTCGCGATAGAGATGCATATCGACGCCGAGACCTCCCCATAGACCGACGCGATGAAGATAGTTATCGACCAGCTCGACGAAGTTCCCGAGAACGGCGGCGAGATCGAGATGATGACCATGATTTCCGCCGCAGAAGTCGTGACAGAGATTACCTTGCTAGGCGAGATGACTCCCGTGATCGGGACCGCAGGCGGATAGATGATTCTGCTGACTTGAAGCACAAGTCTAGACGGGATGACAGCCGCGCTCCGAGCCGACGATCCAGGTCCAGAACCCGAGAGGTGAGCTGCCTGCACCTTGCATCATACCTAACTCTTCATACTAATCGTGTTCCGCAGCCATCAAAGATATCTACACCGGCCGCGGCTGCTCAGACAGACGAGGAGAAGAAAGCAGAAAGACTTGCCAAGCTCGAAGCGTGGAAACAGAAACAAGCCGCCGAACGTGAACGAAAGCAACGAGAACAGGCATCACTTGATCCCAAAAAGATACTTGAAGCGATTGACCGTAAATCGGGCTTATCTCCACCTGCTACAGCTCCTGCCGCATTCCCCGGAAAGTTGAAGTTCGATCCAAAGGCCATCGTTAAATCGTCAATCACAACCACGGCTGCTCCCGCCGTCCTTGGTACTGATGTTGCTGTCCCGGCATCTGCGAAAGCTCCATCTGCGACAAACGCCAATATTCCTGCCGCTCCGCCTGCCGCCCTCTCTGGTCCATTGAAAGCTACAGGTAATGTCAGCGGATTTGGCTTGGGTTCGAGACAAGTTGCCGAAGCGGAGAAACCATCTGCTTCCAACACTCTGGGTTTTGGGGATGGAGATGAGGAGGAGCAATCCACACGCAAGAAACTCGAAAAATTGCCGACCCCGCCTCTAGATGCGAGTTCACAGGTGGACGATGCCGGGGACGACGATGTAGACATGCAAGGCGAAGGTACAGAAGAGCATGCTGCAGCGGAAGCGCGTGCAGCAGCCGAACGCCGAGATACGCGATTCCATAATCAAAATGATGATGTGCATATGGAGGAGTCGACGAACGTGCAGGCCGAGTCTACCCCCATGGAAGTTGACGATGATGAAGAAATTGATCCTCTGGATGCCTTCATGGCTGAACTCGAAGACTCAGCGCCGCCTGAAAGGGCAACTGGGGCCACGTTTGCCAAGAAGAACACATACCAACAACCCGAGGCGATGTTCAACGACGATGAGGAAGCGGACGTCGCTGTAGTTGGTGACGAGAAAGTCGAGGACGTCCTCGCCTTGGCAGCAATTAAAAAGAAGAAGAGAGAGATCCCGGTAATCGACCACAGCAAGATCGAGTATGAGCCATTCCGCAAGGAATTTTACACCGAACCTTCCAACCTTGCCGAGATGACCGAGGAGGAGGTAGCAAACCTGCGTCTTGAACTAGATGGCATCAAAGTCCGCGGTGCCAATGTTCCAACACCTGTGCAAAAGTGGTCGCAATGCGGTCTGGGCGTACAGACATTAGATGTCGTCCACAAGCTTGGGTGGGAAAACCTCACATCTATCCAAGCACAAGCAATCCCCACGATTATGTCCGGTCGCGATGTCATCGGTGTGGCAAAAACAGGCTCAGGAAAGACTGGTGCTTTCCTGGTTCCCATGTTCCGGCATATCAAAGACCAACGGCCCTTGGCTAGTATGGACGGCCCCATCGCTATGATCTTGTCACCTACTCGTGAACTGGCCACTCAGATTCACAAAGACTGCAAGCCTTTCTTAAGGGCCTTGGGTCTTCGTGCTGTCTGTGCGTATGGAGGAGCCCCCATCAAAGACCAGATTGCCGAGCTGAAACGTGGCGCGGAAATTATTGTATGTACTGCTGGCCGTCTCATCGATCTGCTCGCTGCAAACCAAGGTCGAGTTCTCAATCTGCGCCGTATCACGTACGTTGTCCTAGATGAGGGTGACCGCATGTTCGATATGGGCTTTGGCCCACAAGTTGTGAAGATCATGGAGAGCATCCGACCGGACAGGCAGACTGTCCTTTTTTCGGCCACGTTCCCCAAAAGTATGGAGGCATTGGCTCGGAAGACGCTGAACCACCCGGTGGAGATCACAGTGGGTGGCAGAAGTGTTGTGGCTCCGGAAATCACGCAAATTGTTGAAGTTCGTAATAACGACCAGAAGTTTTTCCGCCTGTTGGAGCTCCTGGGAAATCTGTACGAAGACGACGCAAATGAAGACGACCGCACGTTGATTTTTGTGGATCGACAAGAGGCCGCGGATGACTTGCTCAAACAATTGATGTACAAGGGTTATCCCTGCATGTCGATTCACGGTGGTAAGGACCAGATTGATCGTGACAGCACGATTCAAGAGTTCAAGGCAGGCATTTTCCCTATTCTGGTCGCAACATCAGTTGCTGCTCGTGGGTTAGATGTCAAACAGCTCAAGCTCGTCGTCAACTATGACGCACCTAATCACTTGGAGGACTATGTCCATCGTGCCGGCCGTACTGGACGAGCTGGTAACACCGGAACCGCCGTCACGTTCATCACCGAAGAACAGGATCGGTATGCGGTGGATATTGCCAAGGCTCTCAAACAAAGTGGACAGGAAGTCCCCGAGCCCGTCCAAAAGCTGGTTGATTCGTTTAATGAGAAGGTCAAATCTGGCAAGGAGAAGCATTTCTCACGCCATGGATTTGGTGGAAAAGGTCTTGATCGCCTTAATATGGAACGTGAAACTGCGCGACTGCGTGAGCGGAAAGCATACAAAACTGGGGATGATAATGATGATGAAGATGATAAACCTGAGACTGAATTGGAGTCAGATGATCGATTCAACAAAGCTCTTTCAGCTGTCCGATCCACTGCCGACCCAGTTGTTACATCACCCACAGCAGCCGTGTCTGTGCCGGGTGTGCCAAAAGGCATTGATCTTGATGGGAAGATTGTTGTACACCGTACTGAGAGAGCGCCAGCGAATGCTTCAAAGAACCCGTTGGACAAGGTGGGCTCTGCGGTTGCAGAGATCAACGCACGTTTGAGTCGTGCGGGTGTGATGAGATCGGGTGTACCCATTGATAACCGCGGGCCTGACGCTGGAGCCTTCCATGCAACGCTGGAGATCAATGATTTCCCTCGTAAGTTATCCTGTATTGCTCCCATCTTTTATTTTTCACTTACCGTTTTATTTCCGTTATATAGAAAAAGCACGCTGGGCTGTCACAAACCGCACGAACGTCGCAAAGATCTTGGAAGCATCCGGCACATCCATCACCACGAAGGGCAATTTCTACGCCGCCGGAAAGGAACCAGGTCCCGGGGAGCTTCCCAAGCTGTACATTCTTGTTGAGGGTGAGACGGAGATTTCAGTCACCACTGCCATCCACGAGCTTAGACGGCTGCTCAAAGACGCCACACTGGCAGCTTCAGAGGGTGAGGCGCGCGCTCCGGTGGGTGGCCGCTACAATGTTCTTTAGGTCCTCTAAGTCAATCTTTAGTTCACAGTAGATTACAGATACTTGTTCAATAACAACGATTGTACGATATCTTTGATGTGTCTTGATTCTTCTATAAACCATACCTCACTAGGCCTATAATCATTATTCTCATCTGATAGTGTAGAATTGGAGAAAGATCGACTCATCGGAGCACCTTTCAAGAGCAGCATCATCGCATCAATTAAACCTTCAAAGAGATGCTTGATTCCAGAGTTCTGAGGACAAAACAAAAATCAAACAGAACGCTACAAACGGACAAGTAGCCCCCAAATACAACGCCAACAAGCAAATCGCCGGGATATAGTTAATGGCAGTGATGATAAAATCAAAATGTCGCATGGGTATGCCTATTCCCATCTCCTTGCAGCCTCGACCCCATCTACATCTCGCGCAACCCTTTCTGTGCGACTGACTTGATCCAATGTTTGCGCTTGAGTCTGTGCCTTTTGTGCAGCCAACTTTGAGCCTAATTTTCCTTTATTGGCGGAAGCGCTATCGGCGCGTTTCTGTAACACCCGTAAGTCAGCAATCGGAGCCCTACACAGCATATGTCGGCGGGAAATAGGTTGTCATACCTGTGCAGCAATTGCAGCATTTGCACGTGCCTCATCCGCTGCAGCAGTACTGCTATTTGTATTGCCCTCACCTAGAGTGCGACCAGGTGTAGCCTTCCAGTTTGTCTTGGCTGGAAGTGGGGCGCGGGGTGCAGCACTCGTCCCTGAATCGGTGCCGACTACACGGCCCGGCTGACTGAAGGCGTCTGTCTCATTGGAAGAGCGGGAGCAGATGTTGCCCATTGCGATTGTGTAGAGATATACGGATATCAGATCGGGGTGTTTATTGCGATTAGTCTGCAGTGGCTGATGCAGGACAGAACAGGGTCGTTGATTAGAGCCTCGGATACGGTGTACAATCAATATTCGAGGAACCCAATTGAATGCAGTTGGCTTCTCTATTTAGATTCTGTAAGCGCTATGGTTGCTTTGAATCCAGTTGTCAACGAGCACGTTGTTCGCGGGTCATCGCAAGTGGATGTTGGAGCCTCGCGATAAGCTGATAGTCGATCCGGGGCAAAGGCGGTGACCAGATTGCAAAGCTGATTTCGCCAAGTCGGGCTGTTTAATTGGGTATAATATAATACACTAGTTAGATATGACCCAGCTTTAGAATCTATCAACTAATGTCACTTTCTCGGTATACAACGTCTACGGAGTATAAATTGCTGGATTAGAGCTGTTACGGCAAGTCGGACCAGACAGGCAGAATAGACGTTAGTCAGCATTTTTGGGGCCGGGGAAATCATCTCCGCCTGCGAAAAGGAATTCTTCATCGGAATGCTGGGGGTCATTTTCTAGTTTCTATTGTTCTTAGGTCTTTGCTTCCTACAGCTTTGACTCTTTATATCATATATATCACAAAATCTGCCCAAGTTGATCACCAAAGCACGTTCTAGGATTCGCTCGAAAATCATGACGCCTAACCCCCAAGGTCCCCATCCTCTCCTGCGTCCCGAAGGTCCTCACGGCTGCACTTGAGGGGTCCCAGTTGGCATCAGATTATGCCGCCTAATCCTCTCACAATACTTTCGGTTTGATCCTGCATTTGCGACTCCAAGGTCCTCGTTTTTGCTTTTCCGATCGCGGTCAATTCTCCGATTGCGCCTATTCTCAATCAGTCTAGGCCAAGCGCATTGTGAGACCCCTCTGTGAGAGCATATCATTGGGCAATACAACCTGAATTTCCTCTTGGGAACGGCGGACACGCTGGGTAGCGCTTTGCCTCGTGGTTACGTGGTTTTTGCAGTAGGGTATTGTACCTGGTCGGCATTTACTGTCCCACTTACGGTCGCACACTGCTCGACTCCTCGACTACACTTTCCCCATATCGTTCACTGTAAACGCTCTCGTGACCACACTGTTCCTGGCGAACCGATTTGATCTTGATCCGATACGTTCCCTCTATCATCTGAAGTGAACCGTGCACCATGGCGTCCCAAATCCAACAAAGCGATTTCTGCCTTGAATGCAACTGGGAAGCCTTCCACATTGATGGCAAGGCTGCGGTAGATCCCTCGGGTAATGTTGCCCAACATCATTGGAACTGTTCAAGCCACGAGACCCAGACACCCCTACCCCATTGCGAGGTCGATGAGGCCTGCTGTGATGTAGATGACTGCGCGCTAGACTGTGGGTCAGTATGTGACGGCTTTGTGGGCTGTGACACTTCCACTGTATGCTCAGTTACTCATTGCGCGAACGAGAACTGTGATGATGATGACTGCCACGATGACCACTGCGAGGATAATCATTGTGATACCAACCACTGCGAAGTGGATACCTGCGAGGACAATCACTGTGAAAGTATTGATCCCTTGTGCTTCGAAGACCACTGTTGTGATGGTACTGCGACTCAAGACTGTGGCTTTGACAATCTGTTCGGACTTAACAATCCACTGTCGCTAGACACGGGGATGTTCCCTTCCATGGCAATGGGAAATCATTCCGTTAGCCATGTGACGAAAGCCATGCAGCATCCTCTTCCTGGGCTCGTTGACCCATACCAACAGGAAAATCTCCGATCCTCGTATCAAACGCATGCCACCCACTGCGACCAAGAAGTTTCCAACCACTTCGAGTGCCATGATTTCCAGAAAGATTGGCAAGGGATGTTCCTTGCGCCTTCCCTCCCGACACAGACAGAAGTCAACCCAGCAGAAGTTTTCCACATGCTTGGTATGTGTTCCGACTTCTCAATATGCCAAGATCAGCATGTATCTCAACCATCAAATGGTCTCAATACCTTCGACAAACCCAAAATCGACACCTCGGACGCATTCAACTGCTTCGATCCTGAACATCATCATGTCCACAGCCATTTCAAAAATCCCAATGATTTCAACCTGCAAAATATTCGCAAAGGACCTCACCGCAATCACCATCGCTGCCGACCTCATACCCATGCTCATTCTCACCCATATTCCCCTTATTCCCGTCAGTCTCGCTCAAGCATCAGCTCTCACCTTATTCCCAGTCCAGCCGAGACCCCACCACCCCTCGAAGGTGATTCTTCATCTGTGCTTACCACACCGGAATTTTCTCCGGTGGACAATAAGCTGCACATCTGCAAGTGGTCAACTGATATTTGTGGAATCAAGGCTGCTTGTGGTGCTACATTCGCCGAGTGCGGTGCCCTTCAAGAGCACCTCACTACTAGTCATATGAATACCGTGAACGGTGCCAAGGGCAATGGATACTACTGCTGCTGGGAAGGATGCCATCGTCCGGACGAACCCTTCTCACAGAAGTCTAAGCTTCAGGGCCATTTCCTTACACATAGTAACTGTATGTGATATCTACCATCTCGCTATCTATCGATGATAGGACAAATGTACTAACACAAACGGGACCTTTGCAGATAAGAACTTCTCGTGCTCGGTGTGTGGCAAGGCGTTTGCTAGACAGGCGACATTAGATCGACACGAGCGCAGCCATCGTGGTGACAAGCCCTACACATGCAAACATTGCAACAAATCATTTACAGATAGCAGTGAATTGAGTATGTCCTCCTCAAATTCTTCTTGAATTCACCGCTAACTATCTCAGAAACACATTCACGAACTCACACTGGCGAAAAGCCTTTCAAATGCACCTGGCCAGGATGCAGCTTCACCACAGGCGACGTGAGTTCCTCTATCTCCATGTAATGTACCGACTCATGTTCTAACATCACATCAGTCTTCGAATATGTCTAGTCACAGACTTAGTATGACACGCCTTCCATTTTGAACGTTTAACTTATTTTTACTGACCCATCTAGCCCACGGAGAGCGAAAACATAAATGCCTTTTTGCAGGGTGCTCTAAGAGCTTCACACGTCCTGGTAAGCTCTATGATCTAGGCCTTATCTGGATCGACTACATGCTAACATCGATCCTTCGTAGACCAATTGAAACGCCACCAGAGAACAACACATAAAGAAGGATCTCTCCTATCACCGAGCCCCGATCGCTTGACTATGACCCCTTTCACTCTTGTCTAATGAACCACCCCTTTGAATACACATTATTGCATGCGATTGTCGTGCCTTACGACCCAACGAATTAGCTATTTGCGGCCGGGCGTACTATGGATGGCTGAAAATCACTTTCTGTATGGCGTTTTGCGGATTGTTGAAACCACTTGATACCACCTTGGCCTTGATGCTGCCGGGGCTTTTCAGCAATGATTTAATTGATATCTTATCTTAAAGCTTAACCTGATCAACCTGCTGAACCAGGTGATCTATTTCCTAGGTGATTTTATTATATTATGATTTGCTTTCATGAACTCACATGCCAGGTGTGATCTTTATACCTAGACAAAATAGAGCTTGCAGACTCAAAATACATAATGTCTTCATTTCTTTCGCTGATATGGACCATAGTATACAAAGCCACCAGTTAGACCTTTAAATATACAATTGCCGCATCCAGACCTTGAACCATATCATCGGTTACACCTCAGTAGTGATAGACCCGAGTTCGAACAGCCACGCGACAAAACATGCTCACTCCTCCATTGCGCTCTGCTCCAACGCCTCAACAGCATTCTTCAATTCCCGAATCCGATGCCCGACCCGCCGACGCACCTCATCCTTAATACCCTGCGGGATCTCCGCCGGATTGTATTGGGTCTCGACAATAGCGCTCTCCGGGGACTCCTCTCCTTCAAAGAGCGACTCCTCTGTCTCATTCTCGACTTCCCCTGGACGAGCAGTGTAGAGGCTGTACACAGTGGCCAGCTGGTTGAGAGCATCGCGGGCAGACTCGCGGTCCGAGGCAGCATAGATGGTAGATGACTCGGTGCTCTCCGTGGCTATTTCGAACTCGTCTTTGGCGACTTCGTACAGCTCTTGTAGTTCCTCGACCAGGAGATCGGCTTCGGCTTTGCCGGTAGATCCAGTGTAGCTTCGCGCTGTGGATTTTGGGAGCGATGGTCGGATGGAACATTGCAATTGGAATGGAATTGGGCCGGGCTGCCATTTGCTATAGCTTGGCAGGCTGTGCAAAGAGCGAAAGACGGGTCGCAATCGATGTATGGAGGGTTGGCTGATGTGGTACGATTGTAGACCTCCAAGGCGGAGGAGCGGGGAGCCACGCGCAGAGCGGATGCATCGTAGGGCGGACATTTTAGAGACGAATGCCAAGGAAATAAATCAAAGAGATTTGTGAATTATTTTCAAAAATGTAGCAGCTCTCATAAGAGGCTGACGCGAGGTGATGACGTCGCGAGCAGTTTATCGTATCACGTGGCGATAAGAAATCAGCTATATTCAGATCTATGGGTCCATAGATGCTCACTACCGAGGTGAGTCACTTGATACTCACCTTGAGCGGTCTGATCTACTCATTGGCAATCATCCAAATACCCTGGTTAATGGATCTTTTCTAACTTGAGAGGATCTCTTAAGTCAACCATGGATAGTCACGAAACAATAACCCTGCAGCTGAGTGAGGTACTTCGACAGGTTGCCGACTCGATAAATTCGCAGCACAATGAACTTTATGTCACCCTCCATGCGCATGCTACCTGGAGGTCTGCCATCCGAACTGCTGGAATAGTCCTCGGCGATGTCGGTGGACCGTTTCTTTTGGTTCCTCACGGAACTAGCAAGACAGCACTCCAGTCAGCCTCGGAATCATACTCGAGAAATAGTTTAGCTCTTCCAATCCGAACAAATGTCGACCTAAACACAGCAGAACTTCGCCTAGCTTCAGATTCAGGCCGCAAACATCGCCACAAGCTCGCTAGAAAGATGGCCAATATGGGATTTCGATGGCCGACGTCATGCTGGTTCGTACAGAAAGATCAGCGCACACAAGGGCCAGCACCGTCACAGTGAAATCCTAGTCGCTAGATCCCAGCTTCGGGTTCTGGAATACGCAGTCGCGGGTCTCGATATGAGAGCAAATTTATTGTTGTCCCCAGCGTGAGTAATCCCTTATCCTTGACGGGAGACCAAGCTTCCGGTACATAGTTGTCAAGGTGATAGGTTGTCAAATATCTTAGCCTCTAGCTCTCCAAACCCTTAGCTTTATCGACTATTCAACCCTCGCATCTCATGTCACATTCATCATGCCCCTAGACGTCTCCGTACACCTCTACTGACACGGGTAAGGGCCGGCTCTCACATTTCTCTGTTTATATCTCCGGTCTAGAGCTCGCCAAATGGTCTGGCTGGGCAGCCTATCAACCAAATAAGGTACATAAATTTCCAGCCTAGGGCCTAGTATCTGATAGGATAGGGTGGTTGTAGCAATGATTCAAAATTTGAAATTGGTATAGATCAATTTATCATCTCTCTCAACTGCCTGAAAGCTTTATCCAAATAATTCCTGGCTCTATGAGCACCTAAATCTCTTCCCAAAACATAATCATAATTTATGAAGAGTGTTCAAGCTTCGCTCACACCTCGACGAAATCTGTTCTTTGATCCTGGCGACCTCCCCTTGAAGGCCTCATCAATCTCCCCAAAAGTCCGACCTTTCGTTTCATGCATGAAGATGACGCCAACGACGACTGTAATCATACAACACCCCCCGAACAAAAAGTACGCACCGAAGCTGCTCTTCGCAAGGAGCACAGGCGTCGTCAAAGCCACTAAGAAGTTGCATACCCAGTTGCTTGAATGAGCCAATGTGGTAGCCGATGCTCGTGTTCGCTGAGGCTGAATCTCGGCGGCATAGACTTTGACAGAGATACCCCAGGTGACAGAGTAAAAAGCGGAAAAGAGGTAGATGCAGACAATGACAACCCAGCGACCGGCGCCTGTAGTCTTGTGGACGGCATTTCCAGCATAAAGACTGCCCATCAAAAACATCAAGACACCCATTATAAGCCCACCATAGATAATGCTGCCTCGGCGGCCCCATTTATCGGCATAAATTAAGCCGGGAATTGTGACGGCGAAAATCACAAGCGCTGACACACCAGAGGCTAGAAAGCTTGCTTCCGAAGAGGCAAGACCGGCGTTTTGAAATAATTGCGGAGCGTACTATCGAGTTCAGGTCAGTCACTATCTGTTATATAGAGGCATGGATAGGGCTGGAGCATACATATAGGACGCCGTCAATGCCACTCATCTGCTGCATGCCCATCAAAAAGACTGCAAGAATGGTCCGGCCCAAAACGTCTTTGGAGAAAATAGCTAGAAGCTTATTCATGGTTCCATCTTTGACATTCGGGGTATTAGAGTCGACTTCCTGTGCCCGCACTTGTAGGACAACCTTCTCACGCTCTGCGTGACTGACGCCCAATTTATCCCACGCCTGTTCGGCCATTTCATAGTGTCCATGAAGACCTAGCCACTGCGGTGACTCGGGTAGATAAACAAGTGAAATTCCACACAGGATCATGGAGAAGGCAGCAAGAAGGATAAACGGCATGCGCCATGAGAGTGACGAGCCAAGTCTTGAAGTTCCATAACTGATGAAGTACCCCATTACCAACCCTAGGGTAATAGCCAGTTGAGGGCCAGTTGTGAGGGCGCCTCTAGTGCTTGTTGGAGAGATTTCACAAATCAGGACGACAAGATTCCCAAGGAAAAGGCCTTCTCCGAGGCCTTCGATGACGCGGCCCACGATGAACATGGATAGAGCGACTGATCCCGCTTCTATTGCGGCTCCTACGCCGAAGATGAAAACGCCGATGCAGATTCCCTTCGGCCGACCAAGCCGATCGGCAACATAGCCAGCGAAGAAAGATGAGAGGGCTGCTGGAATCAAGATACAAGAGACGATGAGGCCGTGGATCGTGGAGCTTTGACTACCAAATGATATCTTGAAGTCTTTCATGTCCGTCACGGGGCCGATAATACCCGTGTCCATTCCGAAGAGGAGTCCATTTGCTGAGCATAGAATACATGCTATCACATATTTCGGTGGATTTTCGAACTTGAAGCGAATCAATCCCATTACTTCAGCTTAATCGATGGGTCTGGGAAGATATTATTCAAGGGCTTGGGTGGTTGAAAGTATGAAGAGAGTACTTACAAATTAAGAAGAGAAGAAAAGAAAACTCTTACCCCTCTGGAGTTTTATTTAATACCCATCGAGCCCCACGTACTCCGTAGGGCAGTCATGATCTACAAAGATTCAATACATCATATGTACAATTTAGGGTTATATGCATCTCTATTCAACTAAAGTCATTGTCCGCTATTCTTATGTAACCATGACTCGCCCCCGGGATCTTGTGCTTGCAAAAGTCTACTAACTCTAGGTACTAGGAGGTATATTGTACAACATGGTACATGGAAAAATTCGTGCCTACAGTCTAGACCTCGGAGAAGCCTCCTCCGGCGAGTTTATCATCCGGGCTCTTCACGGGCCGAATTGACGCGTTAGAGGAACAAGCGTCGAAGACATTTGTGGGCCGTCTTCCTATTGCTTTCTGGGGAGCTCTCGGTGATTTCCCCTCGTTTCTCGTGGGTTTTTTTTAATGGGGCCTCTGGGGTTTGGCCGGCCATTTTTATGGGGCTCGTGAAATTGATTAGAAATAATATTCGGGTCGTAAAGCCCTAAGGCCGACGGCAACCCGGGCCCGATCACTTGGCGACATGTAAAGTGTTTTTATCTACACCGGCTTCTTGACGGAGCCAATAAACATACTGGACGGAGTTGAGTCACCGATCTTTCACATTCCAATAGACTCTTCTGGGCCCGAGGACAGCAAATATAGGTCGTTTACCGATAAGACTACCAACGTGCGTAGCGCCATACGTAGCTGGCATACATCGAGACCGCTCCTCAGATCTTCGATCTCCCTATGACGGCCAGTCAAGTCCAAGATATTACGGAGTGTCGCATGAACTGCCAGTAGGGTTAGGCCTTAAAAGAGGATAAGCTGTGTTGTGCTTTGGGAACTGAACGATCATATTCGCGGGTAGCATAAACCTGATTAGGCCACCGAATCCATGAAGTATCTTGACTTTCTATCCATGAATAGCATTCGTAGCCTCAAGAACGAACTTGAACTCTGCAAACTCGGGACGCGGCTATTGGTCTAGCTACAATTTTCATCGCGGTTAATGGTCGGGTAATTAAAGCCTACCACCGTAGGGTTGAATGATATATTCTAACCTTGAAATTATCTAATTATCTGGTAAAATGCCCCTTTTTTATTCTATGCCTCATACTATTTGGTTCTCTCAATCGAGGTAATCATCCACATAGTTTAATTAGACAAGCAACACTCATTACATTTGGCTTTCCACAATTCCCATGTGACAAACAACCTTGCTTTGGTACTATGATTCTTTGTTTTTCGTACGGTTAGATGAGTGGAAATACTTTTTTTTAAACATAAACAATAGCCTTTGTCCTTTGTCCTTTGTCCTTTGTCCTTTGTCCCTTGTCCCTTGTCCCATTATTAGTGCTTTGAATAGAATCGAACAAGTGCCGAATTGTATAACATAAATATTGTTCATGGTCCCCTTCGAATACTCACCGAACAGCAAACAAGCATTCGAATTGGCCTGCATACCATCAAAATGCTCCAGTCTGCCCATTACCGTATGTTGCGAATTTTCTTGGTCACCCTCGATTTTTGGTTCAACACCGATCAATCTGCATTCCCCGCAAGCCAAGTCCAACGAAGCGGTAAGCTCACGCTATCAATTCCACTTGACAACCTGACTCCTTCATCTAGTGCTCAAACTTCGTGTATTGCCCAACAAACCGAAATGTCATCTCCCGACTCAACCGAATCGGAAAGCTGGGAGGCAATCTACAAAGAGGAGTGCCTGAGTTTCAAGGCCAGCCTACAGACCCAAGCTGAAATCTTGAGGAATGATCCGGAAAATCTAGGAGAAGATCGTCTCAAGGGTGTTCGTAAAGAGCTAATCTCACTTTCCCATCAGGCAGAACGAATCAAAGAGGCTGCATTGGAAATGGTCGACGAGACCCCGAATAGTGTATACGTCCGCAAGGCAACACCTGAGTGGCTCTCCTCCCGATTTGATCCCCAGCTAGAACAGGTATGTATTAGCATGGGGTACAGCTTAGACCGATTGGCTTTTGAGCTTAGATCCGACCGATCAGTTGACCTTTTGGTCGCCGGCCACCTTGAGCAAATGACCGACGATATTGAGATGGACTTTCTTTAGATAGTGCTAATGCATTTACTTTTGTGACCTCTAATAGATTTTCGAAATTGTAATAAACGAGAATAGTTGTTGCGTATAGGATATAGATAAATAATATTTCGATATTCTTTTAAGTGCCTTTTTAGGTATTTTTTTAGATGTCTAACACAATGTTCCGCCTGCGTCATAAACACGTCTCAGTAACCATAATTGTACTAGTAGTTTGGATGCTTCTGGCGTCGGCTGTGACAATAAGTGCTTCAGGGGTCTTCTCTCCTCTCTCTTCTTTCATTCATCTTTCATCTTTCTTTCACCTCCTTGAATCACTTTCTTTCATAAACAAATCCATCTTTCATCAGAGTCTACCAATCCTGAGGTCTCTTTTATACTTCTCAAGAGACCAATAGCCTCTGCTTCATCAAAGCCCCATAGTGGGACTGGTGTGACCAACCACAATCCAGTACCAGAAATACTCACTATTGTGAGGCCAAATCCACCTAATCACAAGCCACGAGATTGATCATTATGGCGTCCAACAATACTGACCATCGGGCCGGTGACACCGCTGACACCCCCGACTCTTCCCCCAACTCATCCTCCGACTCCCAAACCACCAATACTGGGCAACGAGCCATTCTAACCACCAAGGATCTCGATGCCAACAACATCGATTCCAATGATAAGGTCGATATCAAAATCGACCTCGATAATGCAGACGTGCGTCCTACACCAGAGACACAAGCGTCCAACCTACCGAAGTTGACCGAGGCCATAATTACAAACGTGCCACGTCGACTGAAAACCAACTCCAAGAACCTCGACCAATGGGTTTTTCGAGTGAAGTTCGCACTGGCCCAAATCCGACTAGAACACCTCATCAACAGCAGTGTTCCCCACCCAGTTAGGGGCCAGCATAACTACAACAGATGGGTGCAATGGTCTCGCACTGTGGCCAACTGGCTGTATCTCCACGTGGATGAAAGAATCCAGGATAGACTCAAGCAGTTGCCCAAGGCACCCAATACAGCGGATGCTGTATTTGACGGGATCATGAAGATCGTTCATGAAAGTGACAAGGTCGTCAAGGGTAGCGTCAAGCTCGATGGTTACGATGACCAAAAGATATCGGATTTACAGGCTATCAGGAAGTACATTACGGCTCATCAGACTCCATGCCATTTGCTCGGTTTGAGGCTACTTGCGGGCTCTTCTTTGCGCTAGCAATATCGTACCAGTCAGCCAGATATTTACGCTTTACAATCAAGACAAATATTTCCTTATCGACTTTCATGACATTCACTTTAAGCCCAATAAGTATAGTATTATTACGAAGAATACCAAGAGCGGATAAGGTATTTTTACTTAATTTATCGTCCAAGAACATGGTCAGTGGTAGACAGATCGTGGTGTATCTGCATATATCATGAAATAACTATGAACTTCTACCTAATTTCCTCCCCTCCTCTATTGGACTATTTGCAATGATGTTGAAAGTCATCACCCAATTCATCAGCCAAAAATCATTAATGAGTGTATACAGTTCAGTTCGTGTTCTCATGTGTAAGCCATGCTTTTCCTTCAACCAAGCCGACAATGCGATCCCGATTGCTCCAAGTCCAAGATACTCAATTCCATGATAACCATCAAACCCTTCCAAGCCTATAAATTTGAGCTCAATCCCATTCAGGACGTAGGAAGTAATCAAATTTATTCTTGCTGACCAGTGAGAGCACTGACATCCTCGCCCTGAGCCTCATTCTGTGCATTGACAGGGTAATTTTGGTAAGAGCCATAGTTCTTGTAGTCACCATAGCTCTGGTACCCGCTGTCCTGGGAGTTGGGAGTAACCTCGGCGTTGTTGGCAGAGTCCAAGCTATTGGGCTCACTGCGGGAATCCACGGGCGACGGAACAGCCTGGCTCTCCTGGTTTGAATGCCACTGACCATTGGCATCGGTCCAGCCATTCTGGTCCGTCTGGGTATTTTCGTTGTTGGCATGCCATTGACCATTTTCGTCAGTCCAGCCGTTCTGGCCTTCGTTGTTGGCGTGCCATTTCCCTTGGGAATCAGTCCACCCGTTCTGGCTTTCATTATTGGCGTGCCATTTTCCGTTGGAATCAGTCCACCCATTCTGGTCGTTCTGGGCATTCTGGTTATTTGCATGCCACTGGCCGTTTGAATCTGTCCAGCCATTCTGGTTGTTTTGTAGGCCGTTCTCGTTGTTATTGTTGTTGTCGTGCCACTGGCCATCTTGCTCCGCCTGACCGTTTTGATTGGTTTCGCCGGTGTTGGCCACGAACACACCGTGCTGCCAGCTACCCTTTCGGTACTGTCCACTCGGATCCCATTGACCGGCTAGGTCGTTAGGGTCCACAGGAAGGGCGAGGACAGATACAGGGGAGACGGCCAAAAGAAGGAGGCTGCTGATGATCGAGGAGCGCATTTTGAAGAGAAGTGAGCTCCAAGGGTTTCAAATAAGGTATAGATAATTGTTGTTTGTAGGAGTGCTGTTGCGATCCTGAGGTTCTTTGGATTGTTTTGGGTTGAGAATACTGATTGAAACCCGGTTTGCCTGCCTGTATTTATATCTTAGCTCCTCTAGCTCCAACCTCGAGGATTATGTACGGAGCACAAAATTGCTGCTCATCAGTGTTGGAAGCCATTGACAAGAATGTCTGAGGTTGGCTTTTGCCATTCTTCGGTGTGGGTGGATGGACATTGGCGCTGCAAGGGATACTGGGGAAACGTGTAGTCGATTACCACTTTCTTGCGGGGGATAAGCGATCGGATGCGCGATGATCTCAGTTGATTACAAAATACAGGGTAGCTCATGCAATATTAGGTAAAACAATAAAGAATATAGCTTCCTACTGGACCTTCGGAGTGTTGCATGAATGAACCTCGCGTGAATCTGCACAGAACTCGTAGATCCTATCCGTAAAGGGAGAAGTAACATTCCTTGAAGATCATAGCCAAGTGTTGATCTTGTCTGACTAGACGTACAAGGTGCACCTACCCCAACCCAGCGCATATGAAGTTGTCTCCCATGTACTAGTTGAGAAACACTTCAGTGATAATTCTCACGTTGCCTATGCACCACGCGGTGGGAGACGTATGAGATCACAAAATGCATGAGATATGCAGTGGCACGTTGCTTTGATCAGTGATATCCCTGAGCTTCAATCTGGTGTCAGAGTTGAAGCTGGGGAAAGTCCAGTGTGCGAAGTTGCGGTCTGGAATCGGCGTCTGGTCGTTAGCAATCAAAATAGTTCATTTTGCCCCTTGGATGATTGAAAATCTCGTTCGCATTGGCTTTGCGATCTATTAAGCAGACCATCTGAGTGACCAAAATCAAAATGCGTTGTATATTGGGCAAAGATTCTCATGCAGAGGATGCCACACATGAAACTGGGGAACGACTTCTTGCGGATGAAGAAGGTACTCTCTGGAGCAGAAAGAAAACCGCAGCACCCACATGTACCAGCGTGGCCACAGGCCTCTTTCAGGCAAGTGCACTTGTTCTGGTCTTCCTAATCGGGACTCTGTTTGGCCTTCACTGGCCTGGTGACTTGAATAGTCTTTGCAGTCGGCATGTTTCTCAATATTGTGAGACTTCCAAGCTTCCGTGGTGAAACTCATTTGTCTCATTGAAATATAGCAACGGTCATGAAGGAAGTTGGACTTCAATATAGCCTACGACAATTTAATGGCTCTCTCCTGAAAGAGAATGTTTTCCGACAAGATGCTGGCGCAGATGTTGATGCGGCGTGGGAGTCCTTGGGCGTCAACTGTGCGTCTCCAAACTGATCGACTAGTCTCTGTCATAGGCTGATTACAATTCATATCCCTAGACCGCAGTGTTCGGATACCACCAGAAGACGCTGAACAATCTGGACTTGCTGCTGACCAAGTGAAGATCAATGCAAAGTATGGGGGAGGATTTCCTGCCAATGTTGAGGGCTTGCACCATCTTCACTGTCTAGTCAGTGGTCTATGTATCACCACCATGCCGAGAATAACGTATACTAATACCAACCAGAACCTTCTTCGCCAGTCACTCTACTATAACTATGATTATTACCACGCGAAGGGGGAAGGGCCCTTCATGAACAATGACTATATCATCCGTCGCCACGTGTGTATGTTCTCTTCATTCTCGTTTCATGGCAAGGCTTTGAACTTATTCTTTCTCATCACAGCACATTGCCTCGATATTATTCGTCAAGAGCTCATGTGTACTGTTGACACTGGTGTGCTGGGTCAAGTCTGGATTTACCCCGAAAACCCGGAGCCCTATGTTGACTTCAACACTCAACATCGATGTAAGAACTTCGATGATGTCCGTCGCTGGGCTGAAGAGAATCAGCTGCCTCAAGATCCCCCCGCGGACTTTTTGGAGCCACCATCTGAGGGGGACCGAATCTATAGCCAAATGCCATGAGACCTGACACGTGAACTTAGAGGTAAAGACTTAGACGGGTCTACAAAAATAGCAAAGAATATAAGTATCAGTATCAGTATCACAGGAAGTGATGATACCCCGTAGAACAATGATTCCCTTAATTCAATCAAGATTATAAACACTCAAATCCTCACTCATCCCAGGCAAAACATAAACAGCATTATCCTCAGTACCAAAAACTTTCAAAGGCCTAATCCCCCTAAACTCCATCCCAATCTTCTCCAATGCCCCGCGACTCCGTTGATTCGTAGGCGAACAGAATCCAAATACAGCATCGATCCCAAGAGTTTCCTTCGCATATTGCAACAGACCCTTTGCAGCTTCGGTCGCATACCCCTTCCGACCTTCTTCTGGTAAAATAGCAAACCCGATATCCGGGGCAAGATAACCTGGGTCTGGTGGAATTCCTCTCATGAGCGATACAGTGCCGATCGGCTTCAGGCCTTCATCAGTCTTTCGCGAGACGAGGAATATGCCATAGCCATGGTAGGCGTAGTGTGCTGCAACCCTGCCTGCGAGGAATGAAGATGCCTTTTCCGGTGTGGTTATTCCGGTTTTCCCACAGGAACTGATAAAATCGTCTGTATTCCAGAGTTGGACTAAGAAGGCGCAGTGGGTCGGGTCGGTGGGGTTGAAGGGGCTGATTTGCAGACGTGGGGTGGGAATTGTGAAGTCCGGTGGGAAGGAGAAGTCGGGCATTTTGCTTTGATAAGATTATGCGATATTGAATTCTAGAGAACAACTGGAGTCTGGTGTATTTTCTTCTCTTTATAACTACTTTCATGGGATAGAACGATAAGATCGCCAATGACTCACAGATTGGAGGCTGACAATGCACAGGTGAGATTGGCGCTGTTGGCGCTGGGAAGGTTGCATTGACAAGGATTATGGGGGCCATCGTAGGGCTAGGCTCTTGTTGTAGTCAGTTATACTACATAGTGCGAACAGCTTAGATAGTAATCCTTGTCACAAGGTAAGATGGTATGCAATTGATTATATTCTCTTATTGCTCTTATTGTCCCATCTTCATACCACCATTAGCACATACCACACTGCCAGTACACCAAAGACCATCTGGGGTACACAACATGCCAACAACACCAGCAACCTCACTAGTGAAAGCCGGTCGCCGACCACCCATCTTCTCCAGAATCAAGCGCTTCTGCTCATCAGTCAAGCGACTCATAGTATCCTCATTATTTACATCCAGCTTGCTCATAGGCGTGTTATCCTGGTATCCCTGGATATCCTTCCAGAACTGCTCTCCAGTCGCAAAGTACATATCACCAACAACGGGGCCGGGGTTAACGCAATTAACAGTAGCACGGTCTGCCAGCTCACGCGCCCAAGTGCGAGTCATCGCCTCAATGGCAGCCTTGGTACCGCCATAGATCGACTGGCCCACGAATCCAAGCGACGAGGATACGCTGGAGATGCTCACAATGCGACCGCTTCGGTCGGTGGGGAGGAAGGGCTGACAGGCCTGTGTGAGGAGGAGAGGGGCGAGGACATTAATAGCGTATTGCCAGTTGAAGTGCTCGGCCTCGATGGCGCCCTTGGGGTCGTTCAGGTTCCGGTCTTGCGATACACCGGCATTATTGATCAGGATGTTGATCTGGAGTTTTCCGGCAGTGCTGAATTTTTCTTGGGCGGCCGCGATGATTGCTGCCACGGCTTCGGTGGGTTGGCTTAGATCGGCTTGCACGCTCTCGCATTTGATGTTATGGGTCGAGGCTAGGGAGGAGCAAAGGGCTTCAGTGGGAGCGCGCGAGAACTCCGATGTGAAGTTCAGAAGAAGTGAGCAGCCCTTTTCGGCCAGATTGCGGGCAATTGCTTCGCCAATTCCTGCGTAGATGGCATGTTAGCTCGGTCTCTTGGTATATGCGGGGAAGGCTATTTACCCCGCGATCCGCCAGTGACGATGCCGAATTTCCCTTCAAGTACTCGAGCCATTTTGGATTTTGGATGTTAATGGAAAAATAGGGAGAAATATCGTAGAAGAATTTGAAGGAGATGACCACCTCTTTAACTCTCTTATTTAGCCGAGTTGTGTTCCCCTATCCCCACGGAGAAAAACTGCCCGTTGGGGTGCGACGGAGGAAATGCGGGAATACGGGTAAATTCCACACTCGGTCCGAATTGTCTTCAACCGGTTACTAACACATCCACAACATCCATAACATCCACAATATCTAAGACAAACTTTGAATCACACTACAAAGTAGAATTGCAATATAATTTCCCATTATCCGATTCTCCGGGTCAATTTCTGCGAGTTAATATATATCAATGCCTTGTTTGCCGGGCTTCCACCTTCAATTTAAGTAGCCGTTTTCTTGTAAAGAACAGCTTTCTTCCTGTCCTTGCTTATCATATAAGCCTCACTTAAAAAGGGTATCTCCGACGCTGGTATAATATACGCCTTGATCTTCAAGGATATATGAAGTTTATATCTTAGTCTAAGCTAGTCATCCAATGACAGTATGGTAATAGTCCATCTCATTATCGCTAAGCAACGTGGTGAAACGTTAACTGTCTCACCATATTCATATCGCAAGGTTGTGCTTCCCATGTTCTGAAAATCCATTTTTCGCTTTCCTGATTTTGTACTCGTAGAAAAGGCTGCCGCCAATGGCTCGATTTCTAGGTATTCTTCGAGATCTATGTAGAGTCGCGACAGCGACTTTAATATCTTTCTGATGGGAAACAATTTCAAGATATGTCGCGAAGTAGGACAACTATTCATTTATTCATAAATCTGATATAATTCGTACATCTCATAGCCCCCAGGTGGCGTGGCGATCAAATACCGTAATAGGCAACATTGTGCGCGGGATATGTACCTGATCTTGCCAAGAAACCCTAGAAAATATGTAGATATAAATATTACTATGGGGAAGGATAGATCTATCTGGAGAAAAACCAGAAACAGACGGTTTAATTAAAAATCCACATCTATCGATTTCTTTTGTAAATTTTTTTTAGCACCGCCTATATATAAATGTAGTGAAAACAGCAATATATACTGAAAAGGTAAGTTCAACTTCAGGGGAATCTCCTAGCTGCCAATCTTCCAAGCCTTTCAAGATTAATTTGATAACTTCTTTGTGGATCTTGATTTTGCTAGACCCACTGACGAGTTTCTTTTCAACTTGGTTGATGGACGACTTGTCAGTGTTGAGTATCCTACTACCGGTTCTGTTCTCAAGCGAGTTTGAGTAGAGGTTAAGATCGGTCCCACTGTTAGGCTGGGAAATAGTCAGGTCTTCCAGTTTACCTTAGAACATGCATTGTTCATTTCTTTTTTCCCCCGGCTCAGTATGAAATCCCATATTGTAGCAAACTGCTCAAGACATTGACAGCATCAAAATCTTGCCTAAGCCGCATATAAATCAGTCGTAAGCTCCCAAAACTGATGTCCATAGAAATTTGGATACCCGAGCCTAGAATTAAAATTAGAGATGGTCTTTCATTCTTCTTTCTGAGATTTTAGGTAGTGTGTCTCTTTAGAAGTTGCCGGGGTCCGTGAGAAACGAAGTTCGATGATATTACGCCTAGCACTAATGTCGTGATCTAGGCTCCATACAGAGGCCATAAATTGGCGCCAATTGTTTAAATTAGCCCTCCTATTTACCTAGTCTTATCTTCTTATCATGTTGATTTGTAAGAATTTCAACTTTCCAACCTTGGAAGGTTGGGAAGCTTTCGGTTTATAACATACGTAGAAACCCACCTATCTACAACACTGCACCTACTGCGCTCTCCATCATGTCCGCCACACTCCCAAAGATCAATTTTATCACGGGAAATAAGAACAAGCTTGCTGAAGCTACGGCAATCCTGGGTGATATGGTGCGGCTTTCAAATCAGAATATTGAGAGCTCTGAGATTCAGGGTTCTCTTGAAGAAATTGCGCGAGATAAATGTCAAAAAGCAGCTATAGCAGTATGCCAGTCCAAGATTATCCCTGCTATCAGAGCACTATCAAACTAAGTCTAAATGTTTGTTTCTTGATTTAGGTCAACGGTCCTGTCTTGACAGAGGACAGTGCCCTTGAATTTAGGGCGCTCAAAGGTTTACCTGGGCCATATATGTATGGCCGATAACGATTGCTGTTTCCAAGTTTTCATCTGTAATAATTTCTAGAAAATGGTTCTACTCTGCTCTAGGAAATGATGGTTTATGCGATTTACTTGCAGCCTACGAGGATAAAGTAGCTACCGCCGTGTGCACATTCGCCTTCTCTCCCGGCCCAGGAATCGAGCCTCTGCTTTTCCAGGGATATACCCAAGGCAAGATTGTTCCTAAAAGAGGCGATGGTGGTTTTGGTATGCTTGAAAATTGCTTAGCATAAATCGCGAGAGAGACCAACCCTAATTGAATCATCTCTAGCTTTTGACCCTATCTTCGAAGTCCAAGGCCAAACGTATGCGGAAATGAGTTTTGCACATAAAGTGAGTTGATTCATAGAATCATCTTGTGAATATAATTAATTCCCTAACCACTAATTCAAATAAACAGAATACAGTTTCTGAGAGATTCAAAGCTCTAGAGAAAGTGAAGGATTGGCTAAAGAGCACAATATAACTAGATGAACCAGAGCATTGCGATGCTAGGAATATTATTCAATGGATCACTAGCCATTTATACAAAAAGGAATTATCAAGGAACAAGAAAAAGAAAGACAATTGTTGAGGTATCCCATTCCCATTATTACTTGCAGACCAAGCAGTTGTTTAATAGCTTTCCTGGGTATAAATTCCCTGCTTTTCCATATATTGAATGTCAAAGATTCTTTCCTCCTCTTTCTCCCCTAGTAGCCGCAGCAGCAATAAATACTATAGATATACACTTGCAGTATCAGGGTTTCATGTGTGACAGCCAGCTAGAAACTAGAGTATGCAGCTTGTCCGGGTAGAGTGTCAACACAGGCACAGAGCATTGTCGATCTACTTGATCTTCACTCATGCGTTTTTCTTTTTCTGATGTTTTCTTCCTGGTATTGAGTTTGTCTTTGGCTACTTCATCTTCTCGTTATAGTCACTTATGCAATGCACTTTGTCTTCTCCCTAAATTGACCACTTTCCTTAGTCTTCCACACAGAGTAGAATAGCTGATATCCGAATTTCCCCAACTTGAACTACGAACTCCGTACAATAGAGCGATATTGCCCCACATTTATAGAGAAGAGTCCATCGGCACGTGGAGTAAGGCGATATCCGAGTGGATGAAACCGGAGAAGCCACGCGCTGATTGGCTATATCAAGCGCCAAGGAGCACACTAAATTATAGACCGCGGGAAACACCAGTAATCTCCACCTTTAAAAGCAAGAGAACGACCTAATCTCTGTTAAAAATTGCCTTCAACTCCAAAATGACAGACTCTACCGTTCTCATCACGGCTGGCCCGTACCAGTTCCTCGCGAAGCTCGAGTCTGCTGCTCCCAAGACTGTCAAATTGTTTCGTTCTCTCCTCCCATACCGCCAAAAGCTCATTCATGTGCGATGGAGCGGCGAGGGTATGTGGATTCCGTTGGGCGAAACTGATTTCAACCTCCCCTTTGAAAACCACACAGCACATCCCGCGCCTGGTCAGATTCTGTTGTACCCCGGCGGTATCTCGGAGACCGAATTCCTCTTCTGCTATGGAGGAGTTGCCTTTGCAAGTAAGATGGGAGCACTTGCTGCAAACCATTTCTTGACTATCACTGAGGGATCTGAGAACTTGCATGCGCTTGGGAATCTGACATTGTGGAAAGGAGCTCAAGATGTGTTGTTCGAGCTGGCGGATGAGGATAAGTATGTTTTGGAGATTCAATCTTTCCTTGTGTATGTGGCTGATCAAATACAGAATTCGTCAATTCAAGGCCGCAGGATCTTCTAAGCTCTAGTTTATATGCATAATTGTGTAAGCAAAATGTTGACATCGTGGGAGGGAATTATTCGAATTGGTGGCACAAGAGAGAGGAAGCATAGTACATAGTATGTCCAAGATAGCATATTATCACTGTTCATTCCATATATACAACAATGTTGCTGTCATGAGCATTATCTCACAGGATATTGGGTACACACCTCTATACATTGAGACTCGCAATCCATCTTCGAGGTCCTTGAATATCCGCTTCATGATATTCGCTGGTGTCCATAATCAAGTCCAGAATGTGCAAAATAATCTCTATAATCAAGTATTGTTCTTATTTTCTGACTTTTCCCTTCAAATCCCAATTTCATGCACTTACCTTGACGTAGTATATAAAACCACCCCACTATAGTTCCAGCTGCAGACCCCACTTCAACTTCCATCGACTTCAACCAACTACCCCTTAATCCAATTCCAACCAAGAAACCAATGCCCAAATACAAAATGTCTCCAACTACCCCCACAATCCTTCTCTTAGGAACATGTGACACCAAACTCCCAGAACTCCTTTACACAAAATCCCAAATTGAATCCACCAAAGCCACAGTCCTCCTAATGGACATCAGCCGCAACCCAACGATCCACCCAGAAATCACTATCCCTCAAAGTGCCTTAACCAGCCTCTCCCTCTCCCCATCAGCCCCAATCCCAGATCTAACAGCCCTCACCCGGGCCGAGTATATAACCACACTCACACCCTACGCCACAAAGAAAGTAACCTCCCTCCACGAATCCCACCAAATCCACGGCATCCTCGGCATCGGCGGTTCATGCGGGACATCCCTCACAGCAGCAGTGATGCGTGACGCACTACCAGTCGGATTCCCCAAGCTTCTCGTCTCGACCATGGCGTCTGGAGATGTGGGTCCATATATCGGCGAAACAGACATCAGCATGATGTACAGCGTTGTTGATATCGCGGGCCGGAATCGTGTTTTGGAAGGTGTTCTTGATAATGCTGCTGGGGGGATTGTGGGGATGGCGAGTGCATTTTTGAAGCGCGAGCGAGAGCGAGAGGAGAAGCAAGTAGGGGTACATGCATCCTCTGCTGTTAGGATTGCTATATCCATGTTTGGAGTTACGACGCCTGGTGTTACACGTGCCCGGGAACGTCTGGAGGAGGTTCTGTCTGGTTGTGAGGTTTATGTTTTTCATGCGACTGGGTCTGGGGGACGGGCTTTGGAGAGGCTTGTTAGGGAGGGGCAGATTGATGCAGTGCTTGATTTGACGACTACGGAGATTGCGGATGAGGTTGTTGGTGGGGTTCTTAGTGCTGGTGCTGGACGGTTGACTGCAGCTACGGTGCGGGATATTCCTAGGGTTGTTAGTGTGGGAGCGTGTGATATGGTTAATTTCGGGGAGGCAGGGAGTGTCCCTGCTTCTTTTCGGGAAGAGGGAAGGTTGTTCCATGAACATAATGCGACTGTTACCATTATGCGGACCACTGAGAAGGAGTGTGTTGATATTGGGAGGTTCATATCAGGGAACTTGTTGCGGGACTCGAGAGACAAAGGAGAATTAAGACGGACGAAGGTGATTTTGCCTGTTGGTGGAGTGAGTATGTTGGATGTTCCTGGTCAGCCATTCCAGGATCCAAAGGCAGATGAGGTACTGTTTTCTACATTGGAGAGGGAATTGGAGGGCAGTGGGATATCAGTTGTGCGAGATTCCCGTGACATCAATGATCCTGACTTTGCGGTGGCGGTAGCAGACGAATTGGTTAAATTGATCCGCGAGGAATAGACAGAAATACGAACAATGACTAGTCTACGAAAGCAACTACACAAGGAATGTAAATGTTGACGCATAGCTTCGATTTGTTGAAGTTCTACACTATCACAATCGGCCCATGGAGGCCTACACACCAGAATAAGGTATCAAAGATAAAATCCCATCCGCACGCAGTGTTGAATGCAAGACCATCCCAGGTCATCCCACGCCAAAACAAAACATTAGAAACACACCATCCCCGGTGCAGGCCACTTTTTATGCCGTTGAAGGACAACCACTTTTGAGTTCTAAGTTGATGGAGAACTCGAAATGCCAATCATAACATCGTCGAATCATGTTGAAAGTCTATTTCCCAATAATATCATCGATCGCGGTTGAAAAATATAAAGAAATTAGTAACGGTAGATCTCGGGCTTGAAGGGGCCGTTGACATCGAGGCTGAGGTAGTCGGCCTGGACGGGGGTCAGGGTGGTGAGCTTGGCGTTGACGTGGGCCAAGTGGCAGCGAGCGACCTGCTCGTCGAGCTGCTTGGGCAGAACGTAGACACCGACGGGCTTGCGGCCACCGGCACCGAACTCAATGTACTTCTTGCCGAAGGCGGCATCCTCGGCCTTGAAGAGGGCAATCTGGGCGAGGACCTGGTTGGAGAAGGAGCAGGACATGACGAAGGAAGAGTGGCCGGTAGCACAGCCAAGGTTGACAAGACGACCCTCGGCGAGGAGGATGATGTTCTTGCCGTTGAGCTGGTAACGGTCAACCTGGGGCTTGATGTTCTGAACGGACTGAGAGTTGGCCTTCAACCAGGCGACGTCAATCTCGATATCGAAGTGACCAATGTCTGAAAGATCGTTAGTACTCAATGTTTCAAATCAACATTTTGAGTTGGGAGCAACTTACTGCAAACAATGGCATCGTTGCGCATGGCCTCGAAGTGACGGCCAACAAGGATATCACGGCAGCCAGTGGTGGTGACGAAGATCTGACCGGTAGGGGCAGCCTCCTCCATGGTGGTAACCTCGTAACCCTGGACAGCAGCCTGGAGGGCGTTGATGGGGTCGACCTCAGTGACAATGACACGGGCACCCATGGAGTGGAGAGCCTGGGCACAACCCTTGCCGACATCACCGTAACCGGCAACGACAGCGATCTTACCAGCGATCATGACATCGGTGGCACGCTTGATACCATCGATAAGAGACTCACGGCAGCCGTAAAGGTTGTCGAACTTGGACTTGGTGACACAGTCGTTAACGTTGATGGCGGGAACCTTGAGCTTGTTCTCCTTGAGCATCTTGTACAGGTGGTGGACACCGGTGGTGGTCTCCTCAGAGACACCGAAGCAGTCCTCGAGCATCTCGGGGTACTTGGTGTGGACGAGGGAGGTGAGGTCACCACCGTCGTCAAGGATGAGGTTGAGCTTCTTGCCATCCTTGAAGGCCTGGAGCTGCTGGTCCAAGCACCACTGGTACTCCTCCTCGGTCTCACCCTTCCAGGCGAAGCTGTATAAAGAAATGGTCAGCCAAAGTCCATATGAAGCTTACGAAATCTCAGAAATATTTCGGAAAGAATGAGAACTTACACAGGGACACCGGCAGCGGCAATGGCAGCGGCGGCGTGATCCTGGGTGGAGAAGATGTTGCAAGAGGTCCAGGTGACCTCAGCACCGAGGTGAGTGAGGGTCTCGATGAGGACAGCAGTCTGGATGGCTGGAGAAGAGGTCAGCACAAGTTTTGCTTTTTGTGATGGATCAACATACTCATGTGAAGACAACCGGCGATACGGGCACCCTTGAGGGGCTGGTCGGGACCGTACTTCTCACGGATGGCCATGAGACCGGGCATCTCAACCTCGGAGAGCTCGATCTCGCGGCGACCGAAGGCGGCCAGGGACTAAGGAATGAATGGTCAATTGTTGAAAAGGAGAAAAACAGGTGATTGAGAGAGACATACGAGGTCAGCGACCTTGAACTTCTGTGCGGGGGCAGCCATTATGTAGTATGTATTCAAAAACTGCTAGTTATTAGAGAGAAAGATCAGAAATGATGCGAGTGGAGGGATTGACTGACCAAAGGTGTATGAATGAGAAAGGAAAGGAAAGAGGGAAAAGGAGAATAATAGAGGGGAAGGAAAACTCTCCGCTTAGTGAGAGATCGCCAAGGTCCTGGAACGTGGCAAGTACTGGTACTGTATTTATTGAATATTTCAGTGTGTGTAGACATGTACCGGTACTTCTCAAAACTTCTGGGTTCCCGTAGTGAGCTGACTGATGGCGGGGTCTTGCTTAGTCAGATCGGCCACCGCCACCTCCAGCACTGGACCCTGGAGAAACTACATTTAAGGACTGAATAGTTACTCCGTAGTTAGTTAGCTATTATGTATGGTTAATCAACGTATCTTGATAATTATTCTGTTTAAAACATATAGCGGAGGATTTCTGTAGTCTCGTTTTTTGATAATCAATAGGTGAATGGACTGTGGAGATGATAATTATTTATATTCCCATCGCCTCTACGATATAAATAGATTTCAAAACTTGCTTGTCTTTCTATTTTCTTGCTGTGCACGTTCTAGTCGCTCATGGCCTTTGGTGAAGGTGTTGTTTGTTCCGGACGCTGCAGTGCTGATTTCAAGCACAAGAGAAAAGGCCGCAATCAGACCCGCTAAACGGTGTTTGTTTCGTACCAGGACCGATGCATCCCAAAGTTCCCAGGGCTTCTCGCTGTATTTCATACCCAGTTCTACCTCCAACGGTACGAACTAGTAGAGATGAGAAATAGAGGGTCAATTTAAGCTGGCGAGACTCATGATCGTACTCTGGGGTCAAATGACCCCAAGGCCCTTCAGCAATCGCTGCGACATCCTGACCAGTCGCAACAAAAATCCCGGTGATGATATTTGTTACGTTTATATTGGATTCGAACCGACCATTTCGAATCCTTCCCTCTTGTGTGGTGCGGAAAGTGCGGTATAGGCTCTCGGTTGTGCATTTGAGAACGGCACGGTATACGGTATCAGAAATGCAAGTCCATGCAACAACCTCCACACCTCTAGGCGAGTCAACAGCTCCCCAGGATGGCTTTTTGTTCGGCGCCACATTGCCTTCAATAAGGATTCTTGTGATGTTCAGCCCCAGATCCTGTGTAGAATCAAGAAGCCAATCACAGGCACGCTGAGTAGCAATCGAGACCATATTCTGGCCCGCTGCATCTCCACGTGTATATTCAAACTGCACATGTACATTAGAACCCACGATATTAGGGGTCAATTTCACCAGGCGAGCATAGCGGCTTGTAGACTCTGTGGCTTTGACGATTGGATCCCAGAGATCTGGCATGCGATGAGCAAAATCGATCGCGTCTTGGGTGCAATTAAATCTAAACACCGGACTGCGAGACATTCCATCGCCTAGAACGCAAAAGTACCCTCCACTACACTCATTTAGAGCCTTGCAGCCTCTGCCGCAGCTTGCGATGATGGCAGACTCAGTGGTCGCGATTGGAGCATAGCTTCTGGTACTAGTGCCATCTACGTTTTTAATCAACAGAGGACCAGCCAGTCCAACTGGCACAGAGGTATATCCGATAAAGTTTTCAATGGATATTTTCGGTGCATTGTTATACGCTCAGTTATATGCTTTGCATCTTGCAGAACATGCCCAAATTTTGCCATCGTTTTTGAAACCATCTGTGCGATATGGGTTAGAGGTAGAAATGAAGTTTCGTCTGTCGGTATCTGTCGATGTCTGTTGGCGTAGATGAGTTGTATATGCGATGAAATATCCATAGTATGCATATGTACATCATACTATGTGAAGAACCCTCTCTCGGGATTCAGTATCAATCCTACAAACAGAACGTGTTCTTCAGAGTCTGCAGCAGTATTTTGGCTCACGATATGCACACGCTAATGCATCATAAACAGGATCTTTGGATCACACACTTTCTGTTGTTCACTCCATGATAGGAATCTGTTTACGTAGATCGGTGATGATTGCCCGATATAGATGTCACCAGCGAGCTGAAGGTTAGCCACAATCAATTATCTCCCCACGCTCCTCCAATCATCGTCATTGGTTGGTTCCCATCTTATAGAAAGTCACCAATATTATCAAGCATAAACCACCTGAGCATGTAAAATAGAATTGCTTTTTGTGCTACCTATCTGGACCTCGTGAGTCGTGAGCAGGTAGCTATATTTAGCAACATGCCTTGGAACTCATGTAAGGAGTTACATTATTACACTACCAAAGCCAACAGCTATATTGATCAAGGTGATGTGAATATTTTGTAGAAAATCACATCGCCGTCGATCCATCTAGACCTCATGATAACATTTCCAATCTCGAAGTACCAAATATATAAATGATCCATGTAGCACTACTACCTTTTCTTACTTTAGTACACTATCTATCACGATTATTCAAATTCATTGCTTGAACAATGTCTTTTCCGTCTCTCAAATTGCTTCATCTACCCTTATTCAAGGGTATTCCAGAAGATGTTACTGACCATGAGAGAGCCTATCGCAGTTACCAGCGTGCTGCCGCTGTTGTCAAAGCTTACGGTTAGACGACTACTTCCAAAATTCAGACTTTGAGGTGACCTAACCCACCAATCCAGGGATGACAGCAGCAGATATCCTTCAATGCACGCCAAGGTTCTGGGAATTTTATCTAGATCTCATCGGGGCTTTCGACTGCGCTACATATACGTTGGTGACGATCCAAATGAATCTTGCGGCTGGGACCTTGGCCCCTTTTGCAGAGAAACAACCGCAGTACCGAAAGCTCCTGGATCAGATTTTGAACTTTGAAATCTCGTTAGTATAAAGCTGCCAATAACTACGGATACGTCAATACTAATTCAGTTGGCTAGGGCACAGTATATGCTGACTGAGGTTGAGCATGGGTTAGATGCAAATAATTTGGAAACAACTGCAACAATGCTTCCAACTGGAGAGTTCGATCTGCACACCCCGAGCCTTGGTGGCGCAAAGTAAGACAAAATGTGCGTCTCATATTGTGGTATTCTGTTGACCATTTCAGGATTATGCCACCGTCTTTGCCCGTAAAGGGTTTACCAAAAGTTGCGATTGTATTTGCCCAACTTATTGTTTCTGGCGAAACTCGTGGCGTCAGGCCATTTATTACTTGGCTTAACGATGGAAAGCATATGTGCAATGGTGTGACTGCAAAGTATGTATGATAGAAGACGACTCAAATTGATAAAATAAGGTACTTATTTAATTTCGCGTTAGATTGCTCCCCAGACGAGCAGCATCAAAACCAGTGAATCATGCCATTACAAATTTTAATCATGTCCGTCTGCCTCATTCAGCTCTCTTAGGAACTCTGGACAAGCCAAAGGATGTTCGAAAGCACTTTCTATCATCTATCTGGCGCATTGGAGTTGGTACTCTTGCTTTGCCACTCAACATGATCTCGGTAATGAAACGGGCTGTTTTCGTCGCAGGAAAATATAGTCAGCGTCGGCATATATCAGGGCCAGACCAGAAACTCAAGCCCATTATCTCCTTCCCAACTCAATACGGCCCCATACTGCATGCATTGGCCCAGATCTTTGTTTTCGAAGCTTATGCTCGAAGGAGCATTCAGTACTTCCAAGACACCAATTTAGCACCCCCGGTCCGACATGCAATGGGGACTATGTCGAAGGCTGTTTTATACAAAACATCTCAAGCCTGTCTTTTTACTCTCTCAGAGCGATGTGGAGCGCAGGGCTTGTATGAGAACAATCATATTATTGAATCGATGGTGGAAACGCGCGGGATATCAATCGCCGAGGGAGATACCCTAGTGTTAAGTATTCGTATGGAACATCCCTTCTTTCATATAGTTTCACTTCGGAGTATTAACGAAGTTCAATTCTAGGATTGACGTCGGACCTTCTCCTCAATCATTACAAGATACCTCCTGCAAAGGACCCAACCTCCTTCCTAGCTAAACATGAACAAGGGCTACTTGATGAGCTTCGCGGGATGACCAATATCAAGTCTGGAGGTCACCATGGAGAAGACTTCGACCGCTTGATTTTGCCAAGATCTCAGGAATTTGTCGAGGCTATAGGATATCGCATAGCCTATGAAGCTGCTATAGAGGCAGGGGTTCATTCTGATTTAGTGTCCCTCTATGAAATTTGGGTCATGTTGCAGGATCAGAGCTGGTTTGTTCAATATGCCGGTCTAACGCGTCAACATATGTTCCAGATGGAAGCTGAAAGACTCAGTGTTGTTTTGCCTCGGTTAGATGTGTTGCTGGATGCTACTGGTGCTGAACCGTACTGTACTGCGCCTATCCTATCTCAGACATCGTGGGAGCAGTTTGTTGACAGTTTGGAGACTAAGACAGGAAGTGACACTGAAAACACTGGTCTCTCAAGGGGTGGGATGGCCATGCTCTGAGTATCAGTTTGGCTCCTACGATTTTGCTGAGGGAAGTTATTTGATAGCCGTTTTTCTAGATTTCGGTAGTGGCTGCGTGCTATACATGCGCCAGGACTCGTAACGGGTGACCATTTCAGCCACTCCATGTATTAGCAGATAAAATGGTCTCCATTCAGTCCCTGTGTGATGATTGCTGTGCTTAAGTGTGGCTAAAAAAAAGTATATCTTAACGCGTGGATCGCTAGAGAGGGATACTTGCTTTGAGTTCGGATGTATATATAGTCCCCCAGATTCCTATAAATTGGAGACAAAGACAAGCTCTTCGACATTTCCCCCATGGGAGTCCCCGTTCTTTTTTTTTGTTTGAAAATAATTACTTCTTGATTTATCCACTACTCTATCCTGCCTAAATCTGATTCTAAGAGGAAATCTAGGCAAATTTTACAAAGTATAGTCTTAAGTACGATCTGCAGGCACCCACCAACACGTGACATGGACGCACCTTCCCTTTTCGGAAGCAGATGTTCCTATAAATTCAAGACAAACACAAGCTTTTCAACAATACTGGCTAGTGGCTGAGTTGGGTTCCTCCGGATTTAACATGCAGGTAACACCGGCTGCCAGCACTCGATCCTCTCAGCCCACGCTCTTAAAATACATAAAAAAAATGTATTATGCATCCCAACCTCCGGTTGGGCGTGGCCTAGGCAAAGGTACTAACATGGGATTGTCATAGCCCCATGGGAGTCTACTGCTGGCAGTGATTTCTATGGATGCCCCCCCGGCCTGTGCGTGCCACCTTCTTCTTTTTTTAATTGCATCATAATATATTGAAGGGGGGAAGGCTCGAAATTTTGAGATAAAACAACTTGCTGCAAAGAGCGGCGTCATTGCACATGGCCTCGAAGTGACGGCCTTAGTTGGAAGGAATCTCAACGTGGCAAAGAAGGAAAGTTTTCACTAATCACTTCCGCTTCATATTACCTATCATCACTTGCCTTCACAGGGGGTTTCACCTGCCTCTTTGAAAAAGGATGGTTTCAGAAGACTGGTCGCTACCAAGGAAGAGCTCTATCGGTGGGCCATTCAAGGCACTGGTTAAAACGTTTGATTATAGTAATCATAAAGCTGCAAGAGTTGTTCAAAATGAGCACAATGAACGACCAACGAGACTAAAGACCCATGAAAAACTCACTAATACATATTTGCTATGGGCTCTCAAGTAAGGTTGGCAGAGTTTAGGTGTAACCGCGTCGAATATGTAATTGGTCTTTGAATTATCTCGAGCTGGAGATAATGCTGGCATAGGTTTTACATGACCATATCCCTGCAGTTTCCATAGGAATGAGATTCTCGAGCAGATTTAGGCGGCAAGGCTCTTCACAGCGGGCTTTTTGGCAGCACTGACAGTTTTTGTCGTGATAGAAATATAGCAAGGCAACTCGAATACATTGTCATTGCGTACATGGTCAGTCTATGCCAACTTCCCGGTGAACCATGTTCATTTTGGCAGCATAGGATGTGTTATTCTTGGCCGCCTGTTGGCCTTCGCTTCTGCTGGTGATCCCGACTTCAGGCTGTGTCATCTACACAACAAAATAGAGTGTTAATGGGTATATGTGTGTGCGCTTTGCTGTAGGGGGCCTTGCTTGATTTGTCCTCTTTTGAACCCATTAGTCTCACCCTTCTTCTGAGTCACGCTCATCTAAATTGGCTTTCTCTGTACTCCTCAGAAAGTCCATGAATGCTTCGTTACTCGTCGATCGAGTCAATTAAGACATCCTTGGGCGTGCCGTCGGGGTTGAATATGAGATCAGGTTTGAAGATGATATTGCTTGGGCAAAATTGCTCCCAGTTTTCCAGCCAATATGGCAATGGTAGGCTGTGTTATGGAAGATAGACGTATGGAGTAGGTATGGGATTCAACAGAGAGCACAGAAAGCTTTCATGGCTGTGTATCGTAATGGGACAAAGATGATGAGTCAAAAGAATGCGAAAGGATTTAAAAGGAAGTGAAAAGAAAGGGAAGGGAATTGACCGGTTGGAGTTTATATAAGAACACAGCACTCACCTATATAAAACTTCATTTCATCACGCAAGGCAGGAACTATAACCATAGATGTATGTGCATATATAGGGAGATCGTGCAACCTAAGCCTGAGTTCGTACCTATTTGAATATAGGAATTTTATGGACCAAACTGTGATATGCGCCTATTTAATTCTTCATCTTGATTTTCCTCTTGTTCACCTTCCTAGGTACTCTAGCCATGCGAGTCTTCCAACCTTGAACAACAAGTAGTTCCCACTCATTTAGTAAGGAGCCCTAGAGTATTTAAAGGACTGCCTAATAATGCCGTGTAGTCTCTCGCGGTTATTTAGTTAGGATCGGTAGCAGGTACACCTCCAGGGCTGTGGGCCTTGGGAATATTGCACACATGCCAGTCTATATAGTAGATATACAGGACCATTCCATACTGAGATCCAAACCACTGATAAGCAGATTCTTTGTTCGTGTGCAGGACATATCGAGTCTTGACAAAAAGGAACGAAACCACCCATGCGAGGTTGGAATGACCTTCACCATATCCATCGTGTCCATAGAACGCTGCAAAAACAGAAAGATTGCAAGTCACAAGATATTCGTTAAGCTAAAAAATAGAAAGTAGGAAATGTAAAAATCAAATAAACATGGTCTCATAAATCATGAAAGAGTGAAAATCGTGATAGCTCAAAAAAGAAAACAACACTAGTAAGAGATCTGCGGTGCTTCATGGGCCCCATAAGGATTTCCATCACGGTAAATTGGGGTGTTGTCGTTCCGGGATTCGTTTATCAAAGGGGGATATTCAATCTCATCAGGCCATCGATGACGATGGGAAGGTGCACCTTGGCTACGAGCGCGACGACGCTGACGCCTAATCGCTCGTTGGGCACATTCCTCCTGGAAATGTGTATTTTCTTTTCGCTTCTCCATAACCTCCTTCCATTCACCATAGGCGCCCTTGATACCGAGTGCCGCAAGACCAATACTCATAGCGTCCTTGGTGTTAGCTTTCATCCGTCGTTTCCGAGCCTCCTCAGGCGTAATCTCTCCTTCTTTCAACTGCTGCATGCGCTTTTTCCTCTTCTCCACGCTACCATAGAGACCGTGCGCAGCGTGGATGGTAGCCACACTGGCCAGACCTCCCGTCAGCAGCATATCCCGCTTCAATTTCTTCCGTTGCTTCATTTCATCAGAACTGTCACCTAGGTCAGAATCACTCTCGGAGCTGGACCCGTGGCCACGGTCCTTTGAACCGCCACGTGGTTCACCACGTGTAGTGCCGCTGGGTGCATATGGGGGTGGATTTCTTCCGTCCAATGAACGGTGTCGACCTACATCTCTCGAGCCTTTGCTCCGTCTCGAGTCCCTGTCGTAATAATCGCTGTCCGCATCTGAATCCGAAGAGTCGTCGTGTCGAGTTCCCCGGCGATGACGCCGCTCTCTGTCGTCCCGATGCTCCCGACGATACTCCCGGTGGAGCTCCTTACGACTGTCTCGGCTGTCGCGGCGGCTGTCTTCTTGTTCTCCAAGTCCCAGGGCGGCCATACCCTTGCTGATGTAGTCCGAAACGCTCTTGCTGCGCTTGTGGGAACCACGCTCCTCACTGCTGCCACGGGAATCGCTGCGGCCGCGAGGCCGAGATCGTGATTTTGAGTATCGATCAAAGATTTCCTTTCCTGCAGCAGCAATAGCTCCAGTAGCGGCAAGGTTCTTGAGACCACTGCCACTACCGGAAGAGCGACCACCGTCTCGGCCACGAGATCGCGAGCGTGAGCCACCACCAACAAAGTGACTGGCGGCCAGACCTGCAAGCGTGGACTCGATTACATGACGTTTTCCGTGCTTGCTGGGATCTTTATCAACAAGGCCATCGGTACCACCAGCGGCCACAGCAGCAGTGAGGACGCGCTTTCCTTTTGCGCCAGCCCAGTCACCGGGCTCTTTGCGCTGTTTGAAAGCCTCAACTGCGCCGGCTGTCAAGGCAGCACGAGCAGCCTGTATGAGGCGCTGCTCGCTCTTATCACGTTTGCTACCACCGCGATGGCGGCTGCGACTGCGACTGCGCGAATCTGACGGCGACCTTGAATATGATCTACGGCGACGGTGGGACGGGGAACCGCCGCGGCCACGCTCTCCGCGACTGGCCGAAGCAGCGGCACCCCCGAGGCCTATGGCACCCAGGGCTTGCTCGCTGAATGACTTGCGACGTCTGTGGCGGGGTGGAGAGCGACTTGGAGAAGAATCAGAATCGTATCTGGAGCGACGGGAGCCTGAGAGATATTAGAATTAATTCCAACCACATTCAGTTCTATGTCACTCACGTTTCTCCTCGTAGTGTCTTGACCCGCGAGGACGGGAGTTTCGGTAGGAAGCATCGTTGTGTGGATCGTAACCGCTGATGGAGGAGGCACGGCGCACGTTCTCGTAGACGGGTCGTCTCGCCCGCCGAGAGTCATATGACCGCTCGTAGACATAGTCTGAGCCTGGTGGATATTCGCGCTGCACTTCCTCGATCGAGTCGGTGCTGGCACGAGGTATATATGGCTCTCGCTCGTGTCTTCTGTAACGGCCACGAGGGTCATCATATGGATCAGCATAATTGGCGGGGGGGCGTAGCGGTCGCGCGGCTCGCGATAACGGCGGTCCTCGTAGTACGCCATGGTTGAGGCGAAAGTGAGGGGGGAAACAAATACAAAGATAAAAGCCGAGAGGTTGTGACCTGCTACCGTTCACTGGGAAAATATGTGGGTTGAAAAAAAGAAGTTCGTGATCAGAGATGTATGGCGGGGCTAAGGCTGGGGGTGGCGTGACGTCGATGTGGATTCAGATGGATTGAGCGAAGACTTGGGGCTGAGACTTGGCAGTGGCTGAGAGTGATAGATAGTATATCATGAAGATAATACATGGAAGAAAAAGTACAATGGTAAAGGCTAAAGGTCGATTGTTTTTCAGACAGCATATATATACTTGCAAATCAAGATTACGGCAATGACGTACAATAGAACAGCGAGGGAATGTTTTAAGAGCGGATATACCCCATCGAATGAGCATCTGGGCCGATGTCGTGTATCAGATATCAGTTATTACTCCGACGTCATCCTGCATCTTTAGCCCTGATATTAGGGGATTTTCAACGGCCCAGCCCTATGATATACACAAATAACAATTCGATGATCATTGACTATTTTCATTCTACTTTCAATCAAAAGATGTATATAATATTATACAACATACATATGTAAACATCTGTGTACATATGTAAAATATAAAAAAAGAATGCCGGGGATTAAGATTTATGGAACGTAAACAATGGTTCCACGGGTCGCCTTCGGGGGTTCCCAGTGGCTTACGATCTGACCAACACGATGCTCTGGATGTCGTTGAGTGCAGAACTGGTTGCACATAAGTTTTCATGGGAATCCCTGAAGGGACGCTGGACAGTATTTGGCTTAGAACATCGCCTCCAAATTTCAACCACACATATCACGAGAATCAGATGGTACACGAGGGATATAAAACAGGGAAATAATAAAGACACATAGTAACACGTATGATAGGCCTAGACGTCTCGATATTTTGAAACGTGCAGTCATGCAAATGGATCGCTGAGATATGAAAAATAAACAAAAGTAAAATAACACATAGTTGAGAGCCCAGAATTGACAGTCGGAAAAAAAAGAGGCACTAAACAGATAGAATCGAAGTACACCGCACAGCAGTGGCCAGGCACAAGGGACCAACATAAGGAGGAAGTCATATACTAAACAGCTAATAGAGTGGACGGTCGGGGAAAATAAAAAGAGACAGCATTCCCCTATGGCGCCTGTGGACCAGTCCCTGGGGGAGGCCGTACAGCTGCCTCCATGGGTTGACTGATATTGCGCTGGTGAGAAGCAGATGCGTATGCCGGGTTGGGACGACCCACCGCCCAGCGAGCATCAGTTTCCGGCTCCGAGGTGGAGCGTATGTCATCTGAGTGCGTGCGGTGTGTCCGGATGTGTTGTTTCATATTATCTTTCCTCGTAAAGGCTTTATTACAGATTGGGCAGTGCACACTCTTTTCGCCCGTGTGCTTCTTTCCGTGGCGCGCAGCATGGCCAGAAGTCGTAAACGTTGCAGTGCATCCATGGCTTGCGGCATAAGGGCACGGGTACTTGTTCTTTCTTCCAGTGCCGCGCGGTGCTCCAGTCTGGGAAGACGCTGGTTCAGATGTGCTCGAACGAGTCTCAGGCGGCGTTCGAGCTGCTGGACCACGAGCAGGGAATCGGTACGGGTCCCGTCGCGGATCCTGCCGGGCATACGGGTGATAAGCCGATGGCTGACTGGTGATATAGTCATAAGCCGAGCCATCCGAAGACCCAGGCGAAGCAGGCTGGACGACTTCGGTCACCGTTTCCAAGTGTCGTTTGGACCCTCGTGGTGATGCTGCTGGGGATTGGGATGATTTTTGGGGACTGGTATGTTGTGGGTCGTCGACGGGCGGGGCTTGTTCTGAATGATGTGGATAATAGGATGGTGATGTCTGAGCCCGACTAAGTCGGGGTGCGGAACGGACCGCAAAAGATGGGTTATCATCATTATTCAGAATGGACACAATACTCGTCCTACAGCTGGACATCTCCTCAATGCCCCGATGTGCGGTCACCGGGGCTGGAAAATTATACTATAAGGCAGAATGCAAGTTAGTTTAAACTGTTGGCAACCGGCTCAGCCGGGCTCTGGGTGTTCGTAAGAACTCGAGAGGTCACCGATCTGAGACAAGGGGAGAAAGGAGAGGAGGGTGAAGAAATGAAAGAACATCTCGCTCATTTCTTGCTCCGGAGGACACAACAAACGCACCAGCGGCTCTCGAAAGATGTTTGTCCTCTGTGTCGTGTAACACGTCGACAACATTAGACCCTAAATCGGCGCTCGCCTGCAGACCTGAGCAGAGGCCCGATGACTCGAGCTTGTGCCGCGCTCCGTGTGTCCTTTTGAGGTACGGAGATGGAAAAGTATCTCAAAGGGTGGTTTAACGACGGAGCTATGATAACTCGGCAGTGATAGGGCAAGGTAAAGTTTGAGAAATCTCCTTCGCTCGCAGTGGAATTTGTTTCGAGGCTCACGTCCTCTTTTGTTTCCCTATTCTCCCTGGGATTTCCTTTTTTTCTCTTTCTAATTTTGCAATTGGATGTGGGGAACACAATCCTCAACGGCAGTTGCAAACTGGCCTGGGGATGTTGCAGAAAAGTCGAAGTTCAACGCCGGTTGTCTAACCGTGCAAAGTAACAGTTCTTCCAGAGAAGTGTTAGGCTGTCTGGGAATATGTAGAAATGAAATGCGCTCTGCGCGTGCCCGTGATAGAGGTCAGAGTGGAAATGAGAGCCCCGATACGAGATAAGATGGGGAGGGACTGAATGTAGATCCTTAAATAAATCCCAAAAAATAGAGGTAAGAATTCAAATATGAATACAGATCAAGAAGTAGAGAAAGGGAAAAAAAAATGATGAGCAGCCAAGCATGGTCATTGGTAACTAATTATACTAATAAGAGTGAAAGAAGCCAAGCTCCAGGGTCTGTCGAGGCTCCCCAGACACTTCCATACCGAGCACGCTATTTAGCTCGGTGGAGAATTAAAAACAAAAAGAATTCAATAAATATAAAATTCCCCCAAAAAGAAATATAAGACACAATACAATACCAAGACCCCTAATCCACACCCTGTGCAGACCCGTTTTCTTCTCCGTTTCTTCCGGGCCGCCCGCGTCTCTAGTATAGAAGGTCTGTGACTTCTGTGTTTCTTTTTTTGGGCTTCACTCTTCTGATTACTCTTGATTTGCTTTCTGGTTTTCCCCCCTCACTTCTAAATATACTGTAATGTGCAGTTAGAGGTGTCAAGGTGTTAACTCCGACTGGGTTGACATTAGGACTAGGGCTTCGGCTAGGCCAAGCGACAGGAAACGATCCACCCTTCGGCAGAACTACGGACAATCATGGGACGATTGGACCCTGAGCAGTTTTTAATGATTTTACGAATTTTATTAGTTTTAATGGTTTTAATGGTTTTATCGACTTTATTTTGAGGGATTCTAATATTATTGGAGTCTGAGAAAATCAGCAGCGGACAAGCTTTTAGCCCTGTCCACATTATTATCCCCCAATGCAACGTATTCATATGGAGTACTCCGTACTAGTAGCAGCATATTAGAATCATATTTCGGCTCATTTCCCAGGCTAATTCTTTTCCACCTGGGAATATAAATCCGAGAACATACGTAAGTGATGATGTTAGTAACTTGGCCTGTTTGGGAACTCACCTCCGGCTCGGGGACTATAGCGGATATTGGCTTCAATTCACGGATTACTAGGTTGATTGGCTAATTTCTTACTCCGTACAAATTATACTATGTTATTCCTTTTTATTTCTTCGTTTATTACAAGGTTATCTCGTCCCAAGCCAAGGGAAAAAAAAAAAAAAAAAGACAAAAGGGCCCAGCCGAGTCTAGCGAATCTATTTCCCCATCAGGGACACAACGTGGCGCCCTTGCTCGTCGGGCTTTCTTTCTTCTAGAAAGAGTACTTTGCACCGAGATTTCTTTCCCTTCCCTCCGAAATCATTCTAGTTCGGGAATTTCCCGAGCTTTCCCCCAAGATTACGTATACAATTAGTAGGTACACACATATATTGAATGCTTTGCCTCCAGGGTCCCCAGTAAAGATAACCTAATTAACCTAATCTGGATTATCTCTGTCTATGTTAACCAAATACTTTAGGTCCTAAGGTTGAAAATGGACTGGCCCGTGCAACATGTATTCGTATTCGCATCCAACATCCGCCCCGCTCCGAGAACACCATTCGCGGGGACCTCTCCAGGATATTTCTTCCTTTCCCTCTTGCAGTACGGAGTACACGTAAGGCGACGTATAATGAAACCTTAGACATGTGCCGAGTAATTATACGTCGTTCTTTTTTTTAATAAAGGTGATATATCTAGTAGAGACTGTGATTAGATTGTGAATTGTATACTCTATAGAGTACATATCATTTTACATCCGGAGTATTGCTTTTCCCTTTCCCTCGTTTCTCCCGCAAATATCACTCACACTGGCATGGCAGCTGACACTGCCGATCAAGCCAAGCTTCAATCTTCCGATCTGCTGGACATCATCTGAGAAAGATGTAGTTCATGGGCCGAGGACGCGGACCGTCTTTGGGCTTTTTCAGCCGAGCGCCAACGTTGATTTGCCTAAACCTCGATCTTAGACGGGGCATACGTATGCAGCCTACGTATATCCACGGTAGTTCAAGCTGTTTAATTCAGGCTATCCAGTCCTGCCCCAGCAAATATACTTCCGTACTTGTCTCAACTAGGCATCTAGTGTTCGAATCATTTTTTCTTACTCGCCATTCCAGCTGACGCCACAAGCTTGATTCGTCAGGTCCCTGCACCTGTCGCTTTGTTTTGCGTTCCTGAAAGGACCCTGTTTTTTATTCTAATATTTCACTTTATTTTGTTTCTTTTGCCCTTATTTTACATACCTGAATGCAGGGACTCGTGGCCCGCTTACTATGATGCGACTAGTCAGGGCGTTGACCAGTAGTATAGCTTCGCTCTAAATTTACTACTGCACACGCCACTTTATTTTTGCCATCTTATATGCTTAGATGTTTCAACCATCCTGTAGGCAGTACTCCGTATAGAGGTATCAAATTTAAATTTCAACTAAATAACTTGGATTTATTGTCTCAAATCTTATACCGGTCGGAGATTTTGTTTATATCCGAAATGTCCGGGAAAAAAAATGATCGATGTTGATCTCCACCCAGTTCCCACTCATCTTTTTCTCATCTTCGAATCAGAAAACAATCGCCATCACTCAGCCACAGTCTGCATAAAACTGCTGCCTGATTACCAGAATTTACTCCATAACAAGCATAGTTACAGTATGAAAGTGTACAAGTTCATATTTATAACCCGGAATTTATGCTTAACTACATAGAGACGATCCGGCAGTTAGCTTCCCGGTCTCTAGTAGAGCGTGGAGACTTCACTTCTGCACTAAGCTTCTCTGGCTCGTGTCCGGATGCTTTCGCACTATTGATCTTTTGATCTATTTCTAGAATTCGTAACGAATTGCCGATAATTATGGATTTGTGCTAAGTCATATTTTTCTTATTAGAGTATTATAGTGCATGGAGAGAGTAAGATGCTTAACATAGTATTTCTATGGATCCGTGGACCTGGCGCATATGCTTACAAAGCGGAGAAAAATGGCCCCGGGGCTATCGGGGCTGCTTATGGATATATATTACCGCTTATGCATATAATTCTATAACAGAATATACAATATAAATTCTCCAAATTGGATCGACAAGTCCGTTCTGGTCTGAGCGGTACAACCCCAGGTGTCTAGGCTACAGTCAAACCTTGGCTATAATAAATCTACTCTCGGTACGAATTTTCATTGTCTGACTGTAAAGACTAGACCCTTTTTATGACTAACGTCCGATGTTTTTTTGGATTGGATATCAAATCAACCTGTATATTATAGTCAACGATTCGTCAGAGCTTGCGTAGTATCCATTATAGTATCCATCATCTCTTAGAGATTCCCCTCTTAATTCCCCATTTATCTGAGTTCATCTGAGTTATGTTCCCACCTGGGCAATTTTCCCTGAAAGAGTTCGCACATCGTATTTAGTGGATTGCAATAATTTCTAACGTTTGTACTCCGTACTCCGTACTAGTAAACAGAAAACGCAATAGTCCAAACTTCCTAAAATAAACCTACATCAGGCCACGTGGAGGAGGAATCCATAAGAGCTAACCTCCCGAGGCCCATTATTATGCGCCACCTGCTGATAAGGGTTCGGCCGGATCTGGTTCTCGGAGATGGATTAAGGAAGTGGAATGGATAGCTAACGATAGTCTTCAAGGTACGGAGTACTCTACCTAAGTTCACTAGGTAGTGACCGGTGGCGCAGCTCGTTGGATACTTGAGCAAGTCAATACATACAGTACTTCACAGCAGTATATAGATTGTTTTGATACCAAGATTTATTGGCCTTTACTTTTGCTTATTTTCCGCATCCATTGACTTCCAAACAAGCATTAAGCCTATAGCCATATTAGCGTATATGGTATACATGAGGCTGCGTAAGCAGAAACGTCATGTTGGTGCGCTATTCATGCTCCATCCTGGGCGTGGTGCGTTAGCATGCCAAGAAAAAAGGGAAATTACTTCGAACACTGATAGGTTAGCCCCTGCATATTTGGGTGGGGAGTCCGATGCGATATGGCGGCTACCTAGAGATGGTGTTGGAAGTCCCGGAGAGCGTTTTCGGGTAGGCACCGAGCGGAGAGGAACGAATACGTAGACGGGGATCGTAGTTCTTTTGATTATAGAGATCTTTCGCGGGAATTTCCAATATCGGATCCTGACTTATCATGATCGACATGATTATTGCCAGCGTGTCAGCATCGATATAGCCGATGGAAGTTTTTTTGTTAATTCACACTAGTTAGTTAACTAGTTGGTTAGTTAGAGACCGAATTTACTCCGTACATAATACTACATTAATTAAATAACCTTGAGAAATTAACAAGATCAGGTTTCTAGGCGGCTAAAAGCTAATAGCTGCGGTGCTCTAAGAAATATCATGCCCCTGTGGCTATCCACCGGCTCTTGTCCCATCAAGCCTCTTTCCCCTTCCATGATCTTGATAGATTAGTAACAAGCAGAATCTACTGGAGTAAACTCCTTCAAACCCCCGTACTAGTTATGGTCCTCGAGTACCTTTTGGAAACACATTCGTGAACCCCTGCTAATATTCATTTTATCTTGTCAGACTTCAACAGACGAGTTTCTACGCCCGGTCCTTCATTCCCCTCTCCAAATATGCAGTGCCTTCATGTGAGTTCGGCGTAGCAATGATTCGAAATCATGCAGTCAGCCCAAACCCGTCGTCCAGCCTGCCTCTTGCCCGAGAAGGAAGCAAGTCCTACATTCTCTCCAGGGCTGAAACTACTACACATGTCATCCAGCCTCAAAATGGAAGCGATACTGCTAGGTGCGACACACGGGCACCAGCGCCCGGGTCCTGCGTGTGACAAGTGGCCATGCCGAAAGCTGCGCTGCGATGTACAGCAAACACAATGCGGGGTTTCGTCAAGGGATAGGGACTGTGTATGAGGTGACACAGCTTGGGGCTTGAGGGCCAAAAAGGGTCACCTGAAGGTCCAGCAGAATGGGGTCGGACATGCATCCATTGACTATGTTGAAAAGCCTTTTCATGAGTCAATGGGGAATATTAAAACTTTCATCGATCTCCGATCAGTAATAGGTTGGGAATATTGGCGTTGCGAATGAGATAGATTACGCTGGACCTGTATATTACAACAGCGGCAACTTCTTCTATCTCAGAGCTCGATGCGTTCGGATTTCTGCCTGGCTCGACATTGCTTCCTTGTGGATCCGTCTTTTTGCTTGACGTTGTAAATCATAGACAACCCGCCACAGGGGATTCGCAGAGTAGCATACCGTGATGTAGAAAAAAATAGCAAGATTTAGATCCAACATAAGGCAGTGAATTCAAAATCAAGATATGTCAAAAAGATACAATTAAAAGAAACGCGGTAACCCTCAACTTTGGCGTTATTAGCAACACACTCTAACCAACTGAGTTATGGAACCCAGTTATAAATCTTGACAGCTATTGAGGTCTTGTCAGGGCAGATCTAGATTAGGACTCTATACATAGTGCATCTGTATAAATTGGACAGGCTATCATTCAATCTATAAGACAGACAAAATATGTAGTTTGTTAGTTTATGTTTGCCCTCAACCAAACTTAGGTTGTAGGGCATCACTAATGTTGGTACTCTCCTTTGTTGTCACTGAAATCCTCACCTCCTTCTTCCTCTCTCTCTTCACATCCACTTCTTCCTCTTCTCGCTCTCGAGATTTACATTGCATCTTCCTCGGCTCATCGTTTCCCCCTTCTCTACGCCTTATCGTCAACAATAATGGTTAGACTAGTTGCTGTCACCCAGGGAACCTGAATGCCAGAGGAAGATGAAGCGAAAGATGCCGTACTGCCCAAGATCCCACAACTGACCATGGAGACAAACATTAGCGAGTGGTGTAGTACTGTAGACGAGGATCTACACCCAAACTACCTAAACTTTATAGTTGACGTTTCGATCCCTCACCCAAAACTATCCGACCCAGATTACAAGAATTGGTATCAGTGGTCGACCACTGTTTATCGGCTGTTATATTCGAGCATGGATGAGGATGTCCAGAATATGATTGACAAGTTGTCTAACCAACCTGAGGTTCTTCTTACGTGTTGGCTTTTCAACGCTGTTAAAACGATGGCAAGCAACCGCACTGCCATTCAAGCCGCCAATCAGTGGCGCAAATGGTACGCCCTCCACCGATCCAACTACCCATCGGCCGCAGCCTACATCATCGCGTACCGAACACAATATGACATCGTACGCAAGCTCGATCAGGCTCCTAGCTTTTTTATCTCCCTTTGGGCTCTGCTGCAGGAACTGAGAAATGAGCTTCCAGAAGCCAGATGCGCCATTGAATATCTGGCCTTGCACAAAAGTCCAGAGAGCATCGACTATGATACTTTTGCGGCGCACTGCCACCATATGGTTACCAAGTCTAACAAGCCCGATCTTGCATTCAACAACAACCTCCCGGGCAGAGATACCCCTCGCCCGCGCGGTTTTGAGCTTCCGAACCATCGAAGTGCCAAGTCATGGGTCAAAGAATGGCGCCACCACAAACCTCAGCGGGAGTGCCATGGATGGTGCTCCTTTTGTGGCATTGATCGGCACCGCTGTCGCCGATGTCCGTATCTAAAGAAGAATCCGCATGTCGGATTTTCGCTGCAGCCCGGGATCCGGTGTTATTCGTAATACTTAAAAGATCATGCGCAAGCTACCTCAATTGCCCTAGTTCCTAGCCTTCTCCGTGACTGATTTCTCAGGCCACCTGTTCAACTGTTAATGACTCAAGTGAGTCTACAGGCGCTGCTGGTGTTACTTCCATTACCGCTTCCCTTCCCCGGGGCCTACTTCTATTCAATTTCACTGGGGTTCATAATCCTAGATTCATGTCTTTGAATTCTTGACTTTGGTTTTGCATCTTTTTGATCAAATGAAATCATTCTACTCACCAACGCTGAACATTCGTAAAAGAAAATATGTCTGTAGCCCCTATACCTAGGTCATTGCCCTTCACCACTTGGAGGTGCCGGACAGACCTCTTCAGGACTAGCAAAGTCAAATTATCAAAAAAAGAAGCTTTCGGCTTTTGAACTTGAAAATATCCCGGCTATGCGGCATATCCAACCTTAGAACCCCTCCCGAGGGGATGAAAGGCTTATTCTTCAGTATAGGGTCAAGTTAAGTTATTAAGTTCCTGTCTACGGAGTACACTACTTCGAAATGGTCCGATCCTTAGAGCGGTTCAGCTGTTAATTTTCTTACTGACTACGGAACATATATCTCAATAACACCTGGAAGTCTCTGATTTAATATCCTACCTAGGTATACAATCACATCACCCCGCAGAATTTAGGTACTGTGTAATTGGGGAGACAATGCGGAGATATTGCGGGGGGTTTGTGGGGTGCATTCTGGGGCTGTGGTGGGTTAATCCCGTAAGCTTTCCACATTGTCTACGCAGCGTCATATCGGTATATCGGCTATTGTAAATAATTTAGTTACCAAGGAACTGTTGCTTTTTATAATATCATGAGGGTCAAAAGTGAATCAAGAGTAGTCCAGGGGTGAGGCTCTATATAGTGAACCCTGAGGCGAGTTGAACGCAAAAAAAGGTTAAAACTTTGGTATACATAGCATCTCGATTTGTCTAATTGTCGGATATAGCCAGAGTCACAAGAATCTTCGATTTGTGCCGCCGATGATGCATCTTTAGACTATCAAATGCCGACTTTGTATACCCGCTAGAAGAGATGGATATAAATATCATGAGCGGATCGTCTCAACAAGACCGGAAACATCAAATCACCACCGACTTTCGAATTCACCATGTTGCTCAGTATCCAGGTACTTCTATCTACGGCTGCTCTTATAGCCTCAGGAAGATGCAGCTCCCATACTATACCGGTCCCATCGTTCCCAAAGAACAGTAGTCCAGTCCCCAGGGATCTGCAATCAATTTCCATTGAATTTGCATACTTTCCTGACTATGCTGGCAACAAGTCACACCCAAATAAGTTTTCGAAGAACTTACTTCAAAATTTCAAATCTATCACTGGCGTTGCTCCGAAAGTTAGAGTTGGAGGAACCTCGCAGTATGTTATATTTTCCTCGGGTTATTGATCACAGATACTTATATGAATACACCAATAGGGACCATGCTATATACTTCCCTGACCAGGAAGAGAATGTCAAACTATTCTATCGAAATCCCACTGATGATCAGCCGATCCAAATCAATTACGGTCCGACCTATTTTGAATCATATCACACCCTGGGAAAAATCAAATACGTGCATGGGTTGAACATGAATCAAAATTACTCGACTGAGCAGCTTGAACTTGCTGCCACGGAAGCTTGTACTTCCATCGGTCCCCAGCTGCATCTGTTCGAGCTGGGTAACGAGTTCAATTTCGCTCCCGGAAAGTACCGCGCTGCAAACTATTCACTCCTTGATTATGCCGAAGAGTGGAATACCAAATCAGCTATTATCAAGTCTGCTGTACAGAAAGCTTGTCCTGGATCTTTCCCGGGGTTTATGGCGCCTAGCTTTGTTTTGCTGGATTTCATTGTTAAAACTTCCTGGACTGCCGAGGAACTCTACAATCTTGGATACGACAAAGATAATCTCACTAAAGAGATGTGCTTCCACAAGTATGATATTCACTATCCCTGTCGTTCTCCTTTCGCTTCGCTAACTTTTGGGACAGCTATATGGGTGTCAACTCACCCCCTCTGCCCCCTGCGCAGCTTGATCTCCAGCGTACGTCCCTTTGCTCCACACCAAATGGGTAATTCTAATAATGACAGGGACCTTGATGAACCACACAAAAATTGTGCAAAACCTTGCAGCGCAGATTAAGCGCTCTGAGAACCTTGCATACCTTGGTCTCCCTTATACCCTTGGTGAGCTAAATTCGATCGCAAATCAGGGCGTAAATGGAGAAACCAATGTGTTTAGTGACGCTCTGTGGCTGGTCGACTTCTCTCTCTGGGCAGCAGTACATGTATGAATCAATCATCCATGGATATTTCGGATAAAACAAACCACTGATATTTGAGCAGGGTATCAAGCGTCTGCACTTCCACCAAGGTCTTAATTACCGTTACGCCTCGTGGCAGCCAATCGAGAGCAAGGGAATTTCTCCTACCACCAGACCCCCGTACTACGGTCAAATCATGGTTGCCAGTGCCATCGGAAAATCCAAGGATACACGCATTGTCAGCATTCCTCTGTCAGAGGATACCGAGTCCGCATATGCCATCTACAACGGAAATCGACTGTCAGAACTGGTTATAACGAATATGCGGGCTTTCAACCAGACTACGTCAGGTCATCGTCCTCACAGGGAATATCAATTCCGCGTGCCTTCACAGCATAAAAGCGCTAGAATCGATCGTCTAATTGGCCCAGGAAGTGACGCGCTTGATAATATTACTTTTGGTGGGATTTCATATGATCATGCATTGGAAGAGGGGAAACCTGTCCAAAGGCATTCGAACGAAGAGACAAGGATTAAGAATGGGCTGCTTACTATCGAGGTTCCGGACTCTTCCGCCGTTCTTATCACTATGTGATTAGCTGCATGTGATTAGCTGCATTTGGGCTGTGCAAGGGACTAGGTAGTCCGTATATAAGCACAATATATACACATATTAGTACAGATATAAGTGCGGCTAACAGACGCAGCAGCCTTTTGAAAGCCGTGAGAGTCTAGAATCTATCTGAAAGTAAGCACTAAATAACATCCGTCTTATTTAAATCTCATCCACAAAATGCGCGTAAGTAATTAGCCAAAGCGCATAGCGACATATGCCAAGCAGCTACTTAAGCAGCTAAGAAGGTCACGATAGGGCTAAGGGGAGATTAGACTGGGCCCCTCTCGATCCCAGCCCCCAAAGTGGGATCGGTTTCCCTATTTTTAAACTGTCTACGGAGTAGAAAAGTTCTCGATTTAAGACGCCTGCCGTCCTTTTCCCCTTTTTTCCCCGTATTTTTTTCCCCTTTGCGTCTGTACATGTTTCACCATGGCTTCAGAGCGGGAGTCACAGCACTCGCTGCTATCCAAAGATTCCCTCGACACACAGCCCCAACGTTCTTGGAATCCACTAAGTAATCGCCTAACCCACTCGGACTACGACTACCATCCCCCTTCCGAGGTAACCTGGTCCGAAGAAGTCCTGCGCGATGTGGGTCTTGGCATCTCGAACTCAGCAGGCAATGCCATGCCGGCAGACGACCCCATTCCTGCAGACCGGCGCCATTCAACCGACAGCACCGCCACTACGACTCCAGATTCTACGTACAGGATTCCCCAGACTCCCCAGACTCCACATTCTCCACATTCCCACGCCCACGTGCGGTGCCGCAATCGAGCAACTGTTCTCCAGAAACGGCTCTCCTGGGTCCCGTTGACAGTCTTGGTTCTCGCCATCTATGCGACCATCTTTTCAGGTATTTATCTTGTCATTGCGCTGCGCAAGCCCCGATGGCACGATATCTCTAGTAAGGGGCCAGTGGCTCCATCCACAGCAACTTTACTGAGCGCCTTCTTTGCGAAGACCATCGAGTTAGCCTATGTTACAATCTGTGTCGCGTTCCTGGGACAGGTGCTTAGTCGGAGGGCTTTAATGAGGGATTCTCGAGGAATCAGTATCTCAGATATGAATATGAGGGCCTGGATTATGCAACCTGGATCTATGATTGTACATTGGGAGGCGTTGCGATATTCCGCACTCACTTTCCTCGGGTCGGTTGCGTTGGTTGCAACGTTCGTGGCGATGCTATACACCACTGCGGCGCAAGCTTTGGGTAAATCATTCCTCTTCTATCCACAGCATATGTCAAACACTAACCAATAACAGTCGCCCCCAAACTCTCTCTTGGTCCTATTGAACCAACGATGTTGCAAGGCAAGGTAACGGCCAGCTTCGCAAACTCCAACTACATCGCATCTGTCTGCGATACACCCGTCACCAACGACATGGACGTGCTCTATCGCAACACAACCTGCCTTCAAATTGTACACGCCGGTCACGCATATCACAACTACCAACAATGGATATCCCGTTGGAGCCAGCTAGTTGGTGGCAGTAATGAAACCTCAAGCCAGCTCCAAAAGCGCCCACCGCCAACAGGCTCACTCTGGGACAACACCACAGTAACAGGCAGCTGGATCGACATCCAAGACATGTCGACTCTCTCCAAGAAATACAAGCGAATGATCAACAACATCACAATGGCAATGCCGCACGGCGGCATCCCCGCCGCAGCAATGAACACTAAAAACAACCTCAGACAGCCCTCAGACACCTCCGGCGACGGCAAATACAACATCGAAGCCTCCGTCCCCTCGCCAGCAATAAACGTCCTCTGCGCAGGAATGACCGAAGATGATCTCAAACCCTTAGTCTACTCCTCCTGGCCCGAGGGCCGCAAGGATTTCAACATGACGACCTGGAATTCCGCCACCCCGGGCCACATGCCCCACCCCCCATCCTGGCGAAACCGGACCAACGTCGACGAACTCTTCGAATTCAGCTCGGAAGCCGGCCATATCCCACCCATCTTCGGAAAATACCCAGAACCATTCAACACAATCCTCAACGGAACAGGTCCCTGGCCCACAAACGCTCTCTACCTCCTAGGCGCAACGCCACGATCCAAAGACAAAGAGCCCGACCCAAACATGCCACAGTACGTGATGTGCGCACTGCGCACGAAACAAACAGGCGTATGCACGACCAAGTACTCCGCCGACTCGAGCGGCGCATCCCTCAGCACGGACTGCGAGAACCCATCAAACAAACTACAATACGACAAACTCCAAGACTCATTTCTAGAGGGGTATTGGAATGCAGACTGGAAGAATATTGCATCCGAGTGGGCGAATTCGCTCAGTCTGAACGCCGGTATCTCAGACGGCGCGGCTAGTAATGCCAGACTGCTGATGCAGATGATGCCGCGATACAACAAGACTGAGAAGACATTCGCTCTAGACCCAAAATTACCGTCTATCTCCGAGGCTTTGGCGGTGATGGCAGGTAGCACGCTCATCCTCAGCTCACAGGATGCGCCATTCGTTCCGTTTTGGAATTACACCACAACTAGTCTTTCAGAACCTGTTTACCAGCTTTTCAATGCTTCCATCCAGGCTGTCGGATATGCATCTGGTGGGACAGAGAAATGGCAAGGGGTATTCTATGTGATTCTTGTATTCGCATTCTTGACCAGCGCTGTGTGTCTCGGGTTTATGATTGTCGAAGCGCGGGGTCGACAAGTAACGGACTTCACTGAGCCGCAGAACCTGTTCGCACTTGCTGTGAATAGTCCTCAGACAACGCAGTTGGAGGGTGCTTGTGGGTGTGGACCTTGGGGAGAGCAGTTGAAGGAGAGGTGGTTTATTGGGATGGAGGAGGATGATGAGCATTATTATATTCGGAGTAAAGCTGAAGAGAAGATCCCGCTTCTTCGGAAGACGGTGGATTCAATGCCTTTGGAGCCGATGGAGATTGAGGATGGAGGTGGGGGTGGGAGGATGCTTAGTCCTATGGTTGATGAATTTAGGAGGGTCTCGAAGCGGCATTCGTTTTTGGCGAAGCTGTATTGAGGAGATTCCTAGGATGGCTTTATGGTGAATGTTTACGATACACGATTTTAGACGATAATAGTAATGAATATGATGGAAGGACGTGTTCAAGCGTAGGGCATGGCTAGAGCATGCGCTTGATTTCAAGTGATTCACACTCAAATATGTATATGAATACAACATCATACAAAAACAATTAGATCAACACGGTACAGGCACAGCCATTAAGTCAAACGAATAAAAAAAGAGAGTAACCGGTTCAACAATTGTGGCATAACGCTAAGGAATCGCTCATACACACAAAAACAAACGGAGATGATGCTGGAGGCAATAAAAATGCAGCACGTCAAATGCAACGACATAAAGCAATAAGCTTTTTCTAGCCACCAGTAACCACGGAGACACCATGAAAGGAATGGATGAGAGGTAAGAGAGTCGCCAATGGCCTGGCGAGGTGAGGTGGGTATTGTTTGAGCAAATAGAGGGAGAGTGTGGGAGAACTGGGCTCCAAATGGACTAGGGATATTGGGCGAACATGTGTTAACGATCAGCCTTGAGATTGAGCCAGCTCATATCTGTGCTGGTACCGTTCTTCTGTCCTTGCATCGGAAGTTCGTCGATGTCATGTGGTATGATAACGCTGGATCTTCGTGCATTGGACTGCCTTGCCTTGTCGGCGAAGCTTGCATTCGATGATTCCCAGGGCATATCTTGTGTGCTCGTTTGGTAGAAACTGGTGGTGTAGTTGCTGCTGGTGGGACGTCCAAGCCAGCTGCTCTGGCCCGCACCTTGCCATTTCGGATCATCGCAGTCGTCATCCGAGGCGATACTGATTGAATCTGCACTGGAGATTCGTGCCGATTGGCCCTCCGGGATCACCAGGCTTCGACTGCTCATGTTAGAAGGGCCGTGTTCCGTGGTCGGGCTCCCGCTTAAAACGTGACCGAGTGGCTTGGGTTGTTCAAGGAAGCCGAAGTTCAAAGGTGTCAAGGTGCTCATTGGCCAGGCGCTTCCACGGTAATCGGACTTGGTGTATGCGGAACTCATGGTCGAACGGTCAGATTGGAAGTTAGTGGCACTGCCATCCTCGAAGTACTTTCCCCATCCTTCGTCGGTCAATCGGTCAGCGGCCTGGTTTTCATGCCCGGGGTCATCGCCAGCCCGATTGCTGTCATCAGTGTACACGCTTGATGCGCCCATGATACCGCTGGAGGGAATTGTAGAGAGCGGACTGCTGCTCTTGGGTTGAGGAGACAATCCATAGCCTGTACCACCAGGTGGCCTGAGAGATTTCTCTCCTCTGTAGTTCCCGGACATGATAGCTAATGAATCGTTCGAAGCAGCAGCGAGTGGGACAGGAGATCTTGCCATAGGGTAAGCGCTTTCGGTCAGGGGTTCTATACCCTGATCCTGGAAGCTTAGGCGGTCTTTGTTATCGCCGCCGCCGCCGGGTTTACCTGCCTGTCTCTTCTTCTTCTCACGTCGCAGCAGGAAAAGAATGATAAGCAGGATCAAGCCAAGCCCTAAGACACTCCCAAGAGTTGCGCCAAGAATCATTTTGCCGTGATCACTCAGGCCGCTACCTGCAGCCACAACTGGTGACGATGAAGAAGTGGGCGTGGCTGAAGCCGAAGTCGATGTGGATGTGGATGAGGTTGATGTGGGAGTAGATGATGTGAATGATGTAGTTGAGGTGATTGATGTGGTTGATGATTTGAGAATATGTTGGTCTCCTTTTCCATAGAACAGCTCTGTAGAGTTGACCCATGCGTTGGAAGTTTGATTAAAGATTGCCAAGGAGTTGTTGCTTTGGCCGCTGGCGAGAACGACCAAGCCATTACTACCATGGGCAAGCGTATAATCAGACCAGGATGCTGTCGGGGCGAATTTGTCGCCGTAAGAATCGGTGATATCCCTCTTTTCCGAGGGCGCAATGGCTGTAACTGGATTCTGCACCTTTCCTTCCGAGCTGAGAAGATAGCTAGTGACGCTATTGGGGGAAGCGACCATGTTAAACTCCTCGAGGACCTTGGTTTTACCACCAGAGCCGGAGGCGAGCGCGCATCGAGATGAGAATTGGATTGCAGAGGGAAGGGTCGCCTCTGAGATGGCCCAGCCTTTGTTATCTGTCGAGTCATAGATGAAGATAGCGGTATTGGTGGCAGAGCCTCCAATCATGGCTACCTCGGAAGAACTCCAAGGCAAAATGATGGGGTCATACAATGCCGGTGCGCCCTGGTCGACCCCAGAGGAGAGCTCAAAGGTGTTCGATCCTGTTTCAATGAGGAGTGTAGATTGGGAGATCTGTGTGCTGCCATCTGTGTTTCCTGCGTAAACCAATATTTGCTTAGTTGCGGAGATGTACCCGGCGCCGTGTCCAGTTCGATCTTTCATCTCCGTTGATACCATGGGTAATGTGTCCCATTTCTGTGTGCTGAACGAAAAGCGCTGGAGGCCACTGTTGCTAGAGGAGCCGGTCCCGCCGACCAGATAAAATGCAGTTTCGTCCGTTTCGGTTCCACCTTGAATACAGGCAGGACCGGTAACCTTGTGTTGTGGAGACGGGAGTGGCGCCCATTCTCCATTTTGTTTGAGGGGTATTGATAAAAAGCCTTCCGGCGAATAGACATAGAAGGTATTGCTGTGGATAGTGGAGCAATCGCCCTCTATCTTGATTAGGGGTTTGGGGCCAGTCATGTTTGAAAAGTTCAAAATGAATAGCTCAAAGTCGCGATTGATTCTGGATTTGGTAGTGAAGGTGGGTGGCCAGCCAACAAAGGTCTTGAAAGACCCTAATTAGAGAGTGAAAAAAAAGGTGACCGCCAGAGCACTATCTCATCTCGACCGAGGCAGTTGAGAGGGGGGAAAATGCTAACAAGCCACACTGATCTGAGCGAGTTGACGCGATAACAGACAACGTGAGCACGGGTTCTCGACTGCTTTTCACGCGATCAAGCGCGATTTCAAGTTGCTCAGGGCGAAACTGAGGTGGGTCGCGTGTCGGATGACTCGGCGACTTGGGATGACACAATCAAAGTTGTGGTTCAGGGGTGTCAACAATAGGATCACAGCACCAACGCGTTGGTCAAAGAAGATGTCGAGTAATCACAAAGGCCTGAGGCTGGGGGCGATCCGGTCGATACGTGCAAAAGAAAGACAGGCAAACAAACCCCGAGTAAGCGAATGATGGAGGGGTTGGCGCCAACGAAATGAAAGCTAGAATATCAAAGTGCACAGCACAAGTGTAAGTTCAGAGAGAAAAAAAAAGGAGAGGCAGAACAGAAACAGAAACCACATCCAGGTGAGACAGGGAGAAGGGCCCTCTCAACCCCCTAACGGAGAAGGTTAGCAGGCGGCTTAGGGGGGTTAGCGAACAACGCCATCCCTTAAGGGGAATAATTTCGTCATTTTCAATTCGTTCGGGTTTTTTTCGAAATCCATTTTTTTCCCGTTAATTTGAGTTATTTCACTTTGATTGGATTACAAAATCATTCCCGTGACTTTTGTTCGTTCTTATTGGTTATTTTCGAGCCTTCATCTATTTCAAAGAGGAAGAAGGCCCTAGGTAAGTGTTCTGGGTGTGGAGAGACTGGGCATACGTTTAGGAGTTGCCGATACGGAAGTTTTGATCTTATTTGTGTTGCCTAATGCGGAAATAATTGTTGTTTGCTATCATGTATGTTATCAGATTGATAGGGTGCAACTTGCAAAAATATATGGTGCGCGTAACCATATACCTGGGCAATGCCCATCCGCCCGTCCATGGGCGATGTCGCAGTCTATACATGGCCGGTCGGGCCCTGGGAAGTGGTCCCTTTTATTGGCTTGGAAGGGGTGCCTCTGAGATCGTGACCTTGACGTGCTACACTAGCGTTAGTTATAGCCGCGAAGGCATCAAGTTACAAATTATAGATTTCAGGTGATAGATAAAACACAAGTGTTATGGGAAGTGCAAGAAAGGATAATCTTATTCCTATATAGCTAAGGGCTAGTAATAATAGTTGGGCGGTCAAAGCCCGTCAGGTGACTGTCACCTGACAACAAGGTTGACATTGTGTGGTCCCAAGCAGAGTCTAGGGCCTAATATATATGCCGCTGCAATGACAAACAGATGTTCTGTTTGTCCTTATGATCTTTTGGCCTAGCGGTTAAATGATCTTATGTAATCACTTAGGTGTAGCGGCCTAAGTAAACCTGCCGTCCCGGCAGGATTACAATTGTAACTCGACTGGTACGTTGAATAAACTTGTCTCGTGATCACCAGTGCAGCCTACTGCACAATATAATATCGATATCGTCCGGTTCACGAAGTTAGCTGGGGAGGCAAGATCTCATGGCAAAGGAGTGAGTCCAACGAGATTGAGACCAGTTTTCGTTATGATCTCTCGGAGGGAAGCAATGTCAAATTCAAGCCGATCGCTGCCCTGGGAGCTCGAGGCAATTGCGCCGTTAAGAAGATCGTCTTTGGTGAGATAAATGGGCCGTTCAAACGGCCCATGAACCGGGAAAATTCGGTTGCTCCAGATCATAGATGCACTGCCTGTGGAGTTTCGTCCCCAGAGTTCGATTGTTCCAGCAACACCTTGTCTGCGCTGGAAAAATTTCACAAGAAGAACCTTGCGCACACTCGCCCCCACTCCTTCCAACCAAAGTTTCGCATCTTCAACGAGACTTGAACATGTCTGACTGAAGCCAACCTCAATAACGATCCTTGGTTCATGTAAGGTGGGACTTCCGAAGTAAGAGATAAAGGTATCGGGTTCTTTCTGATCACCGGTGTATGGAGGGTTGCTGGCAGTAACTCGCGGGCTTGCTGTTACCATGACATTGAGATGTTCATCAGGAGTAAGTTGACCGTTGATGTGCCAACGGGTCAGCTGTTGGCCAAACCACGCATGCGGGGCTTCGTGGGTATAATTCGGCATTTTCAGTGTGACAACTTTCCTCTGGGAGAACAATCCTTTCCGAACACGGGGGTACTTTGCGTCGATGAGGTTTAAAAGATCAATTGCAACATCACGATCCACCGAGGTAAGGACAACAAACGAGTAGACAGACTGGTTGAAGAATCCACTGTCGTGGATTATCGCCAATGCCTCATCGGCAGAGTTAATTTTGGTAAGAGAGATTTCTTTATCAAGGGTGTGTTCTTCAATGTCGCATGAATCTTGGAAAATACCGCTATTGGCTGGCGTGGAATCGAGTGGTGAACACATAATGTGCAAAAGAAAAGGAGGGGGGTGCTTTGCTGAACATGAAGAGTGCAAGTCGCGAAGTCAAGTACAAATGTGACCCGTGATCAAGGCGGAGAAGCATCAAGCCGGGGACGAGAAAGAGCTCGTTCCTTGACTATCACTTCTGGATCTCTCATATGATTATTTGATAATTAGTACTGTAGGATGAGGTCAGTCAATAAGGGCTTTTTCTGATGTTCATACGTACTTACTCATAGTGGTAGTCGCAATATATTTTTCAACAAAGCGTGAAGAGACGCGAGAGTGAGAGAAACAAAGGATACTAACATTTGAGATGTTTTGACTTTATATGTGTTACGGAAACGTAAATAGTCCACTGGTAAAGATGATGCTATTGCCCACTACTGCATAGCTACGTAAGATAAGCTAGTTAGTTAACTACATATGGACTACAAAGTCAGCCCCTGCCCCGGCTGAAGAATTATCAGCGGAGATGAAGGTGTTGCACAACATGACCGAGAGAATATGTAATAGCAACTGACGTGGTGGCTAGCATGCACGACATCTGTACCATACTCGCCTAGATGCAGGGGACAGTCCCATTTTGAGGACACTACATATCGGTTCGTGCCGCGTAACCGGCGACACCGATTCGAACAAATGAAAGTGGATGGTGCGATTTCATTGTCACACGCAGATATCGGACATGGTATTCTGGTCTGAGTATTATAACACATGAAGTCCGTCCCCATGACCATGTCATGCCATGGGTTTTGCACGGATGTTTCCATAATGGAAATGACCGAAGGTATCAAAGTAGGGGCGAACGTGGGAATCAATTGAATTTGGAAAATAATATATGCTACCACACGCTCTAGGACTGGCTCTGCTTCCATTGGTGTGCCTTTTGGAGCAGACGAGAAAGGTTGGCAGCAGATTGGTCGTCCGCAGGGAACACATAGTCCGTGTACTCCTCGTACTTGTCGTCCTCCAACTTGCGGCGCTTCTTGACAAGTCGGGGCATCTGTTTTTCGACCTTCTCGATATCTTCGGGCGATCCACTCGAGTGTTCGAATGTTCGCCAGGTTTGGAGAATTTCCACGCGCTGTACACGAGTTAGGATAGACCCAATAATTTGTGGGTTATGGAAATAATAACTTACCTCTTCCTTGAGATCCTTGTCTTTGAACACCTTGTGTGCCCGAGAAAAGACTGAACGGGCGCGGATTATTGCGTCTTCGCTGATCGGCTTCTCTTCTTCTTCTTCTTCTTCCTCCTCCTCGTCCTCGCCCGGCACAGAGGCCTCGAAGCGGGCGTAGTTGGACCATACCTTGACGTGGTCGGTCTTCTGGAGGAGACGTTCGTATAATTGTCGAACTCGTTCATACTCGCCCTCCTCTTCCTCAAAGTCAATGTAGGCCTTCCACACAAGCTCGGGCATGTCAAGTGTCGGTTGCTCGATGCCAAGCTCGTAAATAGCCCTTGTCCGTTCTGGGTCGTCCAGATTACGTTCCAGCTCCGCAAATTTCAACCACGAGTGGCTGTTGGAGGGGTTCCATTCGATTTGCTTTTGGAACAAAGTACGGCACCGCGAGAACTCGAACAACCGGTACTCAATGTCGATATAGCCACGGAAAAGTTTGTCTTTCGGGCACATTCCAATCGCCTGACCCAAGGTCTTCCGTGCTGCCTGTAGCTGCATTTGGCGAATCTCAAACTGTGCCTTCATGAGCCAGACTTTGGCAAATGTGAACTTCTTGTGCGGGATGATCTTCAGGCATTCCTGATAGATTTGTTCTGCGCGTTCCATCTCCTTCGCTTCCATTTCTTCCCACACAGCGTAAAATATCCAGAGATAGACATAACGCCGCCAGTGCCTTTTCTCTTGTGATGGGGGAATTTGTGCAATGGCCCGTTCGTAGATGTCCCGCACCCGCTCTGGGTCGCCCGAAGTTTCCTCCAATCGTGCAAAGTCGAACCAGATGTCATAGTTGCGAGGGTTCTCCTTGAGCTGCTCTTCATACTGCACTCTGCGCTTGGACAGAATCACATCTTCTACACCTTCACGATCACCGAATTGCTTTTCGAAGGTCGTGTAGGCCTTGTGAAGGGCCATAGCCTTGGACCGTGGAAGTCGGTCTAGGGCATACTTGTAAATCGCTCGTGCGCGCTCATACTCCTTTAATTTAGCCTCGAATTTGGCATATGCGGAGAAGAGCTTCTCGTCCATGAAGTCCTCCCCTAACGTTTCGATAGCCACACCATAGACCTCGCGAACCAAGTCACTTGTGCCATACTCCTCCTCGAAGCGGGCCCATTTGATCCAGTTTCGGGGTTCGGGGTGGACGACAGTAAACCGCTGGAAAATAGCGCGCGCTCGTTCGAATTCGCTATATCTCTTTTCCATTTTGATGTATGCGCCCCACGCACCCTCCTCTGGCTCCCATGACATCCATCGCTCAAACACCTGACGGGTACCAGGAATGTTGCCTAGTGTCTCCTCCATGTAGACATACTTATACCAGAGCTTGTCGATGCGGGGGAGGATAGTTACGGCGCGGTCGAGGAGGTTTCGAGCATGGTTGATATTCCTGTTCTTCATCTCAGCTTCGATGTAGCGAATCCAAAGCACCACCGATGTCGGATCGACGTCGAGCGCACGCTCGAAGATGGATCGCGCTCGGCGGAATTCCTTTTGTTCGAGCTCCCAGGCGGCATAGCGCATCCAGTTGTTCATGTTAATGCGGTTGCGCCGCACATAGTCTTCGAAATCCTTTCTTTTCCGACCCTGGTACTCGTGTAGTTCTTCAAGATCGGCAAAACGCTGTGTCGGCGCCTCAAGGCCAGGCTCTTGCCGGTCAACGGCCTCGCGGAGTAGTTGCTCCGCAGAGATCTGAACCGGCGCGGCGGCCTTGTTCTTGACCCGGGGGGGTCCACGAGAGGCCTCCATTGTGATGATGCTGTATTGACTGATCCCGGTAAAGAGGCGATCCGCGACTCGAGAGGATGTAAGGTGAGGTTCGGCGACCTGAAATTGTCGGATGAAGGTTGGGCAGAATGAAGGGGTTGAGAGTTCAAGCTGCCTTCACCAAACCGCGGCGATCGCTTTACTCAGAAATTGGCAGGGAATATTTTCACGACCAATCCAATGACGCCGAGAGTAGCTTGGACCCGTAGCTCAGAGAATCCGCGATGAAATCGCCGAACTGCGTGACTGGTCTTTATCGCCCCCTGCGCACCTAGCTTTCTTCTGACTAAGCACAACTTTTCTTCCCAACCTTAGGCTTTGAGAATATCATTGCTTTCTTTTCAATTTACCCAGTGGCGTTCTGGGACTACGATCATAAACACCTCAGCATACGGGAGCGCACGCGCCACAAAACCTTCTGAGCCAAGATGTCGACCGCCGAAGAGCTTCTACGCGACTTTGAGGATGATGAGGAGGACTTCGATATGGGCGAAGGCGAGGAAGTCGACGAAGAGCCCGAGCAACAGGAAGAGCCCAAAGAAGGCGCCGGGGTTTCCAACGAATTCGACCGCTCTATTTCTACGGCCGACGAGCTGACGCGCCTACACAAAGTCCTGCGCGACCATTACTCTATCCGATTCCCCGAGCTCGAAAGACTCGTCACTAATTCTATCCAATACGCCAAGACAGTTGCCATCATTAAAAATGGCCCTTTCAACGACATCAAGACATTGTCCACGTCATCGGAGAACATGGTCGGCGTCCCGCTCAAGTCAGTCTTGAACGGCCCGTCTCTGATGGCCGTTGCGATGGAAGCAACTATCACCAAAGGCCGAGAGATGACCGAGTCCGAGCTCAAGCTGGTTCTCGATACATGCGAGAGGATTCTGAAGCTTGATCATGAGCGCATCGCTCTCACTGCAAGCATTCAGTCTCGCATGAACCAGATTGCGCCCAACCTGGCAGCACTCATCGGAGCCGAAACGGCTGCACAGTTCCTCAACCAAACCGGCGGCTTGCTTGAGCTAGCCAAAATCCCCGCCTGTAATTTGGGCGCACAGGGATCACGGAGATCAGAAGGACTAGGCCTGGCGACTAATCACGGTGTTCGAGCGAAAGGTTTCCTCTACGATTCGCCACTTCTCCAAGATGTTCCTCCGGACCTCAGGAAGCAAGGAATTCGAATTGTTGCGGCCAAGATGGTACTCGCTGCCCGCGCGGATGTTTCCAATTACGCTAAGGATGGCTCTCTTGGAGAAGAACTGAAGGAACAATGCCACACACGACTGGAGAAACTGACGGAGAATTCTGCGCCAAACGCCGGTACAAAGGCTCTTCCTGCGCCCGATGACAAACCATCTAGAAAGCGAGGTGGTTGGCGGGCCCGAAAGGCCAAGGAAGCCGTCGCCATGACTGAACTACGGAAGGCACAGAACCGTCTTGCATTCGGCAAGGAGGAGGCGGAGGTGGGCTACGGTACTGGCTCTGGAACTGTTGGCTTGGGTATGCTGGGACAACAGGACGATGGCCGCATTCGCGCAACTCAGATCGATCAGCGCACCCGTGCCCGACTCAGCAAGAACAACAAGGGCTGGGGCACAAACACCCCCGCTAGTGGCACTGCTACCTCATTGCGTGGCTTTGGCCAGGGCGGTACAAGTGGCACGGCAAGTGTTCTTCAGGCACGAGGTCTTCGTGCATCTGGTGTCGGATCGGCTCTGCCTGGCGCCGCTGGTACCTCCAGTACTATCGCATTCACACCCGTTCAAGGCCTGGAGCTGGTCGATCCAAAGGTGCAAGCGGAATTGAAGCGCAAGCGCGACGCCGAGGAAAATCGGTGGTTTAAGTCTGGAACTTTCACCCAAGCTCCTAACCAGACTAGTGGCACTTCCCATGGTGGCGAGAATGGCGGTTTCAAGGTGCCTGCTATCCCACTCAAGAGAAAGGCTGATGCGGGTCAGGGCAAGATGGGCCCTCCACCCAAGCGTTGAGAGTTCATATGTTTTTCTAAATTCTCGCTTGATTGCTTTTCGCACTTGATTGTTTTTATCGGGTCCCAGCATTTTGACGGCGTTTCAAGGGGGAGATCAGGAGGGTTGACCTCGGGTCTATGATTTACGTGATACCAAACCGATTGTACATTAGTTCTGATAACTACAGACTTCAAAATCACATTATTTTTTAGAAAAAAACACCGAAAATATAGATAAATTATTGCATTAGAAAAAAAAAAGGAAGAAAGGAAAAAAAGAGGCTGAGGTTTGCCAAGAATTGCACCATCTCAAGGGAATTGCCCCAAGGATTTTACAGGACTTTGGTAGCCAACGGTTTAGGGCTGCCCCATAGCACGTGTATATTATAGGATTGAGAATATCGGAGTAGGATTTAATCCCGTCTGATAATATAGTCATAGACTAGTATATTTAGTACAGTAGACATGCCTAATAATGCCCAAATTAAAATAACGGACAGTCCAAATCTCCAATTCGTCTCCAATTCGCCCACATGGCGTGCCCTGTCTTGCCCAGCACACAATCGCCGTGGAATGTGGGACAGGATCTTGCACCATGGTAGCAGTCAGAATACTGTATATATAAACTGTCATCTGGCTCCAGTCCTTTCAGATCTTTGCGTACCTTATATATAAAATTTGTCTATATCAAACTCAGATTCGCCTCCCGTTCCGAATTTTTACCGATACTATTTATTACCTTGGCTTCAATTTCTTACTTCCCTCAAATTTGGAATCTTTTGAGTCACAAGTCATATTCACCGAGACCTCCAACAAACATGACGTTTAGCATAGTCAACCCAGTCCTCAGCAACGCAGTTCCAGCTATAAAAGCCCCCCCAAACAAGGGCAAAGACCAAAAAGTTCCAAGCACGACTCGACTCTTGCACCATAGCCATGTCACCACAGAATTTGATCCCTTGAGATTTGAAGCTGCCGCATCATTGCAACTGCAATTGCCACTGGAGAAAACATACCCAGAAACAGAAATAGACACACGACTCATTGCATCGCCCTACAATAGCGTCCCCCATCTGCTGGACATTTCCACACTGGAAAGACAAGACCGACTCTTCGCATTGGCGTTGGCATATCTCAAACCTATTCGCGATGACTATGCCACCGCTGAATACACAGAATCATTAAATTGGACAGAGGTGTTTGATTTGTTGAGAGCGTTCTCACAGGCAGAAGACCACGCCTGGACATCACAGTCGTATTATGTTGTTATTTTCCGGTCGACACTGTTGCCGGATATCGACTCGGTTCGTCTTTATGATCTTGATGCGCACTCTCACCAAGAAGCTATTGCTAGTGGGGGGTTGTTGAAGTACTGGTTCGGGGCAAAGAACGAAAAGCATCAGAATTTGGCGACTTGTGAGTATCGGACTATTATATCTTACTCTTTTTGACCTGTGGCTGATTAATTCGATTAGGTGTTTGGCGCAATCGAAACGATGCGAGACTTGGTGGCCGCGGACCTTGGCATGCTCAAGCAAGAGCGGCTGCTACAATCATGTATGAGCAAATTAAGTTCACGACGCTGAAGTTGGATATTGAGGATGGAGTACAGTCTTGGAAGCTGAGTGATTGGAAGGAAGATAAGGCATAAAGAGCATGGTTGGCATTAGCAAGATTAGATTATTGTTGCATTTGACTGGAGTCTAGAATGGAATGACATTGTCAGCCTGCATATCTGCATATACAGTGTTTTATCTATAGAGGTTTGTTACAGCCAGTTTACGTATGCGTGTAATATCCACATGCTTATAGGCGCAGTGTATTCGGAGGTTATTTGTGGAGGTGGCCGGCGTATATACAGGCAAATTAGTATTGAATTTGGGAGGTGGTTGTGACCAAAGCCCATCATATTTGCTCGGAAATCAAGGCACTGAAAGCTGTCTCAAAAGGATAGCTAACAAGATATGACAGTATCCTGGCGATAGGCAATATACTACATTGTTTCACTGAGGTGTTTGCTGCTTGCTCCGTTTGCCCAGACTCTCTTCACCCCTCTGTGACTCTGTTTCTTTGCCCTTATGGGGCTATATAAATGGCTCCATGACAGTGAGTTTGCTCTCCATCTTTAGCCACCTACCTATTAGCTGTTTATAAACATATATTTATAATTCAGCATCAAAAAGACATCCAGGCATATAAAGTCAAAGCATTAGTATCCTTTGTTTCTCTCACTCTCACGTCTCTTCACGCGTCGTTAAAAAATGCATTGTGACTACCACTATGAGTAAGTACGCATGAAGATCAGAAGAAGCCCTTATTGACTGACTTCATCCTACAGTACTAATTATCAAATAGTCCTTGCTATAGTGTGCACTGTTGAAGTCTAGTGATGGTGGGCTCACCCGTTCCACTGAAAACAAGTGCCACACATGCAACATGGTCTATGACATGGGGCCACTTTTATCGTCTCTTTTGATTATCTCTCTCTCTCGGCCTGCATATAATACGTTGCATATCATCCGAGAAGAGGAGAATTGGAGTATATACTGTTACTGATCACACCTGCAAGCCAGAGAGCAGCCCAGGTCACCTTCAATATTACGGAGAGGGCAATCTTGACTGTGAGTACGGCTGGAATCCCTTTGACCACTGGAAGGAGACAATATCGGTTGATCCTATATCCCTTCAGGATCTTTCTAATGCTCCACCTACCACGTTACTGCTGAAATAGCGTTTACCGTTTCAGCCATCTATGACCCCTTTGCTCCATCAATCTACATCAATCTACCCTTGACGTCATGCTTTCGACAGAATATATTTTGGCCAGAAATATCTCTTCTATCCACCTACTCTCTGTCAACCTGGCCTGCATGGCCGATCGTGCTGGTTTCCCAGCTCCCATACTCCCAGCGACTCCTGCAGGGGTTGCAGCGTTCAATACTGTGGGTCATGCACTGCAGTGATTGTTCCGCTTACTGTTAAAGCTCACAGGGCAGTATACCAGCCTCTATACTGGCCGAACCTCCAGATGCTGAGGATGAGGCAATCCCAAATGTCGCCGCCATGATCCTTCTCCAAACCGTCTCTCAATCTCCCCACTAAAAGCTAGAGTCGATAATGAACCACATGCACTTCGTATGCCAATTTAAATATACGAGATTCAATGTGTCTATAGATGAGGCGACCCCGTCAAGTCTCTTCAGCAGATCTTGTGCGATGTTCGATGTCTGATTATTGATGAGAAATCAATAGGAGGGCTTGGCATGCTCTTCTGGGTGAAGCAGCATTGCCGAAAGATTGTCCGGCGTTGTCATAACCGGCACCTTGGAGGGCTGTGAGGTGTCGTTGTCGGCAACTTCTTCTATTTGTTGGTGTCCAGCCGAAGTTTTCAGATACCAAGGTGCATGCACTCACTCTGCATTCCGTGAAGTCATCAAACTGTTAGACAAAAGACAGCCTGGCATAGGTCCAGAGGGAAGCAAAACAGAAGATACATACACAATATCTTCCCAGAAGCTGGCAGATTATAGTGGTGAAATATCAAACCATATCCTCTAACCGGCCCTTACATTTTTTTACAAAAATTACAGACCCTCCTAACGGAGGGTCCGCCACCCAAACGGAGGGGATCACCCAAATGTCAGATTTTTCATACTTTTTACTTCAGCATCAATTTACTACCTTACAACATAGTAAATTAATTAATTAAAAGTAGTAAAGATATCAATTAGCTATTTTACTACTAGAATACAGAAAAAAATCAATTCCCCCGGCGTTTCTTAGCTCTTCTATACTTCCTGATTTCGATCAATACCTTCTTCCACTTCCGCATCGTTTTTTCTTGATCGGCTTTTTCGCTCAATTTATACTCTTTTCTTTTTATTTCTTTGACCTGACTGGCATTGATTATACCGGTGATCGGTATATAACGACGAGAGGCGTCGTATCGGGCGTGTCGTGCTCCTATAATAGCTTGTATAGAATCGAATTCCCGCTGTAGCTGGTAGGCTAGTGTAGCCTATATCTCAGCCCCCTTTATAAGCTTTGTAAGCCCTTCTTTAAATCGTAAAGAATTGGGTGTATATTGATTGAGACGGTAGCTAATTCTTCTCACTTTTTCAGCTGTTTTTGGTGTACTGAATTCAGTATATTGAGATGTTATTGACGGGGTACTCGATCTTAATGGATTATTAGGATAGGGATCGTATAATGTCAATTCGTCTGTAATTAGCGTTGGATTAATAGGCCAAAGACCTGTCAATTTGAATCTAAGCTTAATTGTATAAGGACGAAAAGTCTTTTGTCGAATCTCTGCAATAGAGTGGAGGAATTTATCCTTTGAGAACTTACGGCAGCCAGTCTTTGTAGCAGCTTCAACAGCCTCACTATACCAGTGTTTATAGACACTGAATACGCCTATATCTAAAGGCTGTAGTATATAGCTGGTATACGAAAGTAAAAAGAAAAGAATAATATTTTTCTTATCACAATATTCGATAAATTGTTGTGTTACGTAGGATCCAAAACGGTTACACAGAATAAGCCTTTTTGCACTAAGGGTACGATTTTTTGTCCACTTATAAAACAGCTTAATCCACTGGAAAGCGAGAATATCATTGATATAGCTAGTATCTGATATTGCGATATATTTGTCTGCTTCGATATTATCAAACCAGCGTAGGAGAGTTTGTTTTGCGCTTAAGATAATAAGCGGGGGACAGGTAAAACTATCAGCTGAAATAGCCTCCAAAACAGTAACAGATTCACGATTTGTAATAGATCCGTTAAATAGCTTCTTTTTGGGCTCTCTGGTAATAATAAATTGATCGCGACCGATACCGATTTGAAAGCCAGTTTCGTCAAAATTGTAGATATCTCGAGGGTTGATACCGTTTTCTTTAACTATATATATATAGTTTTTAAACCACCTCTGTACCACAGATTTATCAAGTGCAGCAGCTCTTTCAATATCAAGAGCTCTCCGGCGGCGTACGTAGTACTTAGGATAACGTTTAAGAAAACGTTTTAGCCAATAGTTACCGGTTTATAGAGGTTCTGTTAAGGTGTCTTTGTGGTCGTCCTCGAGAATTGAATTGGCAGCGATTACGATTTATCGCCGATTAATTGATACTCCCGCCGAGTTAAAGTAATCAATGTATTTATATAAAGCCTTTTCCTGCTCTATATTGAGTTTCCGACCGTTGGGTTGTCTTTGAAATAGCGATTTTCCTCCTTTCCATCGGCGTCGGAGTCGGCTTTCTGGGACCGCGAATTCTCGCGCAGTTTTCGCGATATTGGGCTTCGTTTGATTTGACAGGCTGTCAATAGCCTTAGTGATCTGATCCTCGATGATTTTATTGGATTTAGGCATGGTTGGTGGAGTGGTTGATAATTGAAGTTGAAATTGAAAAAGTATGAAAAATCTGACATTTGGGTGATCCCCTCCGTTTGGGTGGCGGACCCTCCGTTAGGAGGGTCTGTAATTTTTGTAAAAAAATGTAAGGGCCGGTTATATGCTACCAGATGATTTGCTACAATCGCCTACAAGGAGAGTCAGGTTGCACTGGCACGTCTGGAATACGAATGAGACAAGCTCATTGCGTATCCATGGGAGTTTAATACGGAGAACGTCGACGAATCTTCCGAGGAACTGCTGGATGCTTGGATGTACGGAAGAGCCTTAAGTTACGTGAGTCCTGATCTACATGTGGAGAGACGTCCTTGCTTGTTGATTCCTTTTTTATTTTTCCTTTTATGGATCGCACCCATCTCCATATTTGATGTTCTCCCATAGAGCTTGGGCCGCTCACTCAGCTCCACGAGATTCGTTCCTTGTCCCCACGCAGCCGATCTTAAGTACAAGACATTTGCCTCGCAAGGAAACGCAAATAAACATGCCAAGGAGATTCATGACCAAGTGAGAAGGCTTGTATATTATGCTTGACAATGTCTTTTTCCATATGGTGTTTCACTTTGTTTCCCATATTTTCCTCAAGGATTGTACTCTGTAGGTCATGACTATTTTCATTAAATTTGAAAAAGCTATGCTTATAATTCCAAGACATAATCTGTTGCACAATTTACACATTTCATAGGACAGCATATCCTTTTGTTCCTTTTGTGGGAGAGAAAAGAAAAGGAGCAACTTTCCCCGCGGCGATCAACATTGGCATCTCCACATTTCAAAAAGAGTAATGAACTCCTCCCCCAATCACGGGGAATATTACTCTTTTTACTGTTATTATTGCAGCCATGGAGTCAAGCTATGCGGGGCATTAGAGTCAGCATCAATTTATTTGGCTTCTGGTTGGAGGGTTCTCTACTTGATGCTCTACTATACCCTTCTATGACCACAAAAAACCAACGTGCGACGATATGGATGAAAGATATAAAATGGGACCGTCCGACCTGGTCCAACTACCAGAACTTCCTTCTGAATTCCAATCTCATTTGAATTGAACTTGCCATCGCATCCAACATGGTCGGCATCCAAGCAGACAACATCGCTGTCAACGACGGCCCTTTGACACCAGAGAATGCCACCCTCCTCCGTCCCTCAGAGCCAACCCTCCCCCTCGAGGAGCTCCGCGGGCGTTATGAAGAGGACGGCTACCTCTTCCTCAAACAGATCCTCCCCCGCGAGGATGTGCTCGCCGCTCGCGAAACATACTTCTCCACCCTGGAGCCCACAGGAGTTCTGAAGCCTGGCACAGCACCCGTTGATGGTATCTTCGACCCCGCCAAGGACCACCTCGACTACCCTGGTATTGGAGCAGGCCACGCTGGTGGAAATGGCAAGCCCGGTGGTGAGCGAGCGGCGGCCTTTGTGGACCTTGCCCTCGATGCACACTACCAGGACTGGTACGCGGAGAAGTTCTGCAACCATCCAGCGCTGTATGATTTCATTGCGCGCTTCTCAGATTGGGGAAAGAATACAGTGAGCCTGCGTCGCACAATGCTCAGGAACAATATCCCCAAATCGAAGCCGATTGGTGTGCACTATGATCAGATCTTCTTGCGATATGGAGATCCCACCAGTGTTACTGCTTGGGTTCCCATGGGTGATATCAAGCTCAATGGGGGTGGATTAATCTACTTGGAAGACGGTTCGTTTTGGCCCTCTGTTTTTGGTTAAGGCTGCTTGGAGACGATTTTGTATACTGACTGCGTTTTTGCGCAATAGGTGACAGCATTGGACTTGAGATGGAAGAAGCGTTCTATGCCAAAGCAAAGCAGGCTGGGCTGACCGATGAAGAGGCCAAGTCGGCTTTCAACTCGAATATGATGTCAACGGGCCTGCTCTCTGAGCGCCCGGCCGAGTTTGCTCGCGAGCATGGTCGACGATGGCTGGTGTCGGAATATGAGGCTGGTGATGTGGTGTTACACAAACCTCATATGGTGAGTCATTCATTCTTACACGGAAAGCCCAATTATGCTAAGATTTTGTCCAAGATCCATGCTTCCACCATCAACAATGATCCGGACAATGTCATCCGTCTTGCGACAGATCTACGGTTCTGTGACTCGTCTAAGCCTTATGACAAGGTAAGTACCTTTGAACAGCATCGCAAGCCCGAATAATACGGACAGTAGCTTACAATTTATTTTACAGAGATGGATGAACTTTTACAAATTCAATGATGGTGTATAAGGTAGTACTAGCATTTGAGTGGAGCGAACATCAAGCCCCAGGGTCGTAGTGTTTTATGATCAATGGTTTCTTGAATGATTTGAACATTGGCAAAGTCTCCGAGCGCCTTCAATAACAATGCAATTTTTATTTTCGATAACTATTATTGCTAGATGGTAAAAAGGACGAACATGCTGATTCGGCAGGAATTGAGGTTGGGACAGAAGAGTATGCATAGGACAGTATCACTCTCTCATTCCAATCACTCTAGATTGTAATACTAGCCGGTCCTTTCTCCTTAGCAAAATCATTATGATCTAATAAGGGCGCACCTGAGTGGCAGGGGAGTTCGTCTCTGGAATGTGTTCTGCCATCATTGGGAATCGACACAGGCCCCTAGATCCACGAAGGGACCCTTTCCTCATGAACTCCGTTTTTATATGGAATCAATACAAGTTTGAATAAGATAAATAGAGTTTCAGACTATTCCAGATGAAATGAATAAGGTTTGAATTGATCTATAAGAAAAGGGGAAGACACACTAGGGATATAAACATTGGCATTCAAGTGCCTACACAACGCCTCATTCCAAACGATAAGAGAGGCATTTCGGTAACTCGGATAGTTCCCAAAATACATGAAGTATCAGTATGTTGCAGACCAGCCTCTCGGGAATCGAATCATATATAATAGTTGTGACGCTCGTGAGTTCCCTGATCATCTCAACTTTATTACAGCATCCGCTTCAATTCATACAATATGTCACAATCTATTCCCAGGGCATCATGGCTCTCTCTCTTTATGGTGGCACTGCTGGCAGTGTCTACTGTCAACGCACACCCAATCTCCCAGACAGACAAAGATACAGAACAACGACAAGTAGTGAAACTTGAATCTCGATCACCGGTTAGTCATCCTCAGGTGATACTCTATCACCTAAAGAACACACTTCTAATAGAAGAGCAGAGACTTATTACAGACACTCAGAATTACGTTCATGACATCCTGCAAGGGTTAGGCCTGGAAGATCCAACCCCAACCGCCGCGCCCACTGCCAGCATCGAGACCACGCAGCAGCAGAACCCGGAGAACACGAAGCCAACACACATGACCTACTCAGATTCCAATATTTATGCACCCAGTTATGACAGCAACGGGGTGGGTTTCACTCAGACTGTGAAAACCGAGCACAGCAACAACAGACCGGTCGAGAACGTTCAGGTTGGGCATGGTTGGCGCGGGGGTGATGAAATTACTCCTGAAGATTTCCCTTTTATCTTTGAGACTATGGCTAGGGAGCTGGGGCATCGATTCAAGAATATGGTTGATAGCTCCGATGAGGTTGGATTGGCTATCTTCCTGTGATGAGAATCTTGAATGACAGGAAAAGAGGAGATGATGGATTATTGACCCTGGAAAATGTGAACTTACAAAACTATGCTTGTTTTTGGTTTGATACTTTGTAATGATATATTGGATGTAGTCCTATTTGTTTGTATAGCAAAGGGTGCCCTTAAAACTGCGGTCATGACTCGAGGATGCAGCGTTGTGCTCATCACCGTGATATCTTTAGATGTTGTTAGGAGGCTATAGCACTAGTCCTTAGCGATACCTGGAGAAGGGATTTTAATGTGAATTGATGATGCAGAATGAAACAGCTTGCGGAGCTTAGCTATCCAACTTCCGAAACCCGTTAACGCCGTATTCTTTTCCCGGTCGCTCCGGGCATCAGCAGTACAAAGTACAATTTAACAGGGTATGCATGAAGCCCAGAGGAGAATCCCCGTGTCATTATTAATATGAGAGCTTCCAAGGTTATCTAGACTTGGTTAGGGTGACGAAGGCTTGCGGTAATAATATTCTTAACTGCGACAAGTCTGACCCGACGGCGGGGCGCTATCTTGAAAAAACATAAAAAGGCATCACAGCCCACCAATTCGACACCAATTTTTGACATTCTATCATTTATCTCATCTCTCTAACATCGCTACTTTTGTATTCAATCATGCCTTCTCTACTTGGAAAAGAAATCGGCTCTACTGGCTATGGCATGATGAGTAAGATTTCCCCTCACCACAATTAGACATTTCGCTAATAAAATCAGGAATGACCTGGGTTGCGCAGCCTCCCTCAGACGAGGTGTGCTTTGATACACTTAACACTACTCTGGAACTGGGTGCCAACTTCTGGAACGCTGGCGAGCTGTACGGCACTCCAGAGTACAATTCTATGCACCTGCTCAACAAATACTTCACCAAGTACCCCGAGAATGCAGACAAGGTCGTTCTCAGTGTCAAGGGTGGCTTAAAGGTGGGCCAGCTTGTCCCGGACAGCTCCGAAGAGAACATCCGTCGTAGTGTGGATGAATGTCTGCGTTTGCTTGATGGCAAGAAGAAGCTTGACATTTTCGAATGTGCGCGACAAGACCCCAGTGTTCCCATTGAGGAGACCATCAAAGTTCTCGCCGAGTATGTCAAAGAGGGCAAGATTGGAGGAATTGGATTGAGCGAGGTTGATGCTGAGACAATCCGCCGAGCGTATGTGCCTCTTTTTTTGATCTCTCTTTTGATTTTATGCTCCTCCTCTTGGCTATGAACAATCTAGTCTAACGGCTTCTATAGACAAAAGGTGCACCCAATTGCTGCCGTCGAGGTTGAAATGTCCTTATGGTCCACCGATATCCTCCATAATGACGTTGCCAAAACCTGCGCGGAGCTCGAGATCCCCGTTGTCGCTTACTCGCCACTTGGCCGAGGTGTTCTGACCGGAGCTGTGACCTCGTTGGCCGATATCCCCGAAGATGATTTCCGGCGCCACCTGTCCCGCTTCCAGGAAGAGAACTTCCAGCACAACCTGAAGCTCATCAATGAGGTCAACGACCTTGCTAATCGCAAAGATCTTGCTCCTGCTCAGATTGCCCTGTCATGGATCCGTACTTTGAGTGAAAAGCCCGACATGCCTACTATTATTCCCATCCCTGGCGGTACTACGAAGGACAAGGTGGTTCAGAACATGGGCGGTGCACAAACGCTAACGGAGTCTGAGATGGCGGAGATCGATGCTATCTTGGAGGAACACACGGTTTCTGGAACGAGATATTAGGATGTTCCTGTAGAGTATATTTGTATTCATTAGACATTGATCATAGCAAATGAGAGTTGTTTGTAACACCAATGGGTTGTTGTATAGGTCAGATCAAGTGTAGTAGAGTCAACAGACAATCTCACATGTAATTGGTGATTGTCAGAATTGCAAATTCGATCTGATCATCATGTAGCATGTAGGGTATTTGAAGATGTTTGGTGTTGCAGATTTCATTGTGTAGGATGGTGTGTATAGAAGGCAAAGGCGAGCTCACCATTGGGTTAGTGTGGTGCACTGATACATAGGAGGTCAGTGCATGATAGTAAATAAATCAACATTTCAGAAGTTTTGAAGAAATGGATAAATAGCATAATAAACAGAATAATAGTCAATAAATAGTAAGGACAATGGAGGAAGAAGTATAGAGAGAGACTGGTTCAGTTGTGGCCGCCAGCTCCCAGTTGACCACGTGATTAGATACATACTCCACGACTAGGCACGTGATGTGATACGATGGCCTCCCTCGCGCGACATATACGGCGCAGCTAATAGACGGATCCAATTTGTTTGTTGTCACTTTTCCCTTTTTCTATACGAGCTATACAATCCACAATGGCTTCACGAGATTCTCCCGGTTCTCCCCTCTCCTCAGTGGGATCCCTCGAGACTTCAGACCATGAATCCATGAAGCATGAAAGCCGCGCGCATTCGCCTTCGATGTCCAACTTGCCGCCCTCCAAGCGTCGTCGCACCGGCGTCGCATCCTGGGACCGACAAACTCCTCTCTCCTCTGCCCAAGACGAAAACCACCCACCTCCATCCCCGACCGCCTCGATCTCCTCTGATAGCTCCGGCGATATCCCCAACTCCCCCAGCATCCTTACTCTCCTTGGTACCAATCAAGAAGAAGACTATAGCGGCCAGAGCACCGATCAGGTTACTATTTGCCGATGGGATGGATGCAGCGCTGGTGACCTTGGCAACATGGATGGGTTGGTGCAGCACCTCCACAACGAGCACATCGGGAGCCGACAGAAGCGGTACTCGTGCGAGTGGACCGATTGCACCCGCAAAGGTCAAACGCATGCCAGTGCTTATGCCCTTCGCGCACATATGAGAAGTCACACCCGCGAGAAGCCATTCTACTGCACTCTACCCGGTACGTTGTCTCAGACCCGGACTCAAGCCCTCCAAACGGGGGGTATGATAGATCTCGAGTACTAACAATGAAAACTACAGAATGTGACCGCAACTTTACCCGTTCCGACGCTCTCACTAAGCACATGCGCTCTGTTCACGAGACAGACACTATGCGCCCGATTGACTCCATCTCAAAAGTTCACGGCGCTCCGGGCAGCACTACTGGCACTCCAGCCTCGAAGTTGCAACGCATCCGCTTGAAGCTGACCCAGCCCAGAGAACCGGGGACTGAATCTGAACCACACACTGAAGCAATCACTATTGGGCCACCCCCCGTAGCAACCACGACTGACGCACACGATCCCGAGGAGACCTTGATGCCAGAGTTTGGCCCGGAGCTCGACTTCGACGAATCAGAGCTCGCCCTACCCCCTCGGGACCTCTACCGTCTTCTCCGTCGACAGATTGCGTGGGCTAGCAAGGAGGCCGCACAGTTGCAAGCCGAGTGGGAGACAATATGTCCGCAGCGCGAGCACGCATGGCGTGAGAAGGAGGCGATCTTTGATGACCTCATTGACGCCGAGATTGGGCTGTTCAGCGCAATTGTCGGCTCGGTACCGCCCGCACATCTAACGACCAGCCTTGAAAAGCTGCAACAGCAACAACTGCAGTTCCAAAATCAACAGGAGCAGCTGGCGAAGTCGGCAGAGATGCCGACTATTGAGGGCAGCACTTAGCTGGCCCGTCTTGACTTCCTTCTCTCTTCTTTCTTATCCCCCAACTTTACTCCTCCTTTTTCTCCTCAACCTTCTCTCACCTGACGCCGTGTTTGGTGAGCTTGGCCTCAGTACTGCGTCACTTTGCAGTCACCATTTCATTTGTTGTCCCCTCATATCCCGGCGTGCATGGCGTTAGTGAATGCGTTCTCTTATTTGTATCTTCAAACCTGGGCAGAAGAGAGGTGTCCTGCAACGGAATGTATGAATAGCCTTTTTTACCTTTCTTTGGTTCTTGCTTGCAGGCCTTGCTCGCTTAATGACAGCTCAACACTATGGGTGATCAGCACAATTATATTGTCGATCAAGATTTTCTTCTCGTATAGGTGCTATAATACAAGGTAATCTAGATGGAAGCGTCCTTTTTTCTTTCCTTGGTTGGTCTCCATATGTCTTTGTCTCCGTCGGCGAGCGATAGGGCAAGGCGGCTTGTAGGTTATTTACCCATGTCCGGGGTCCCAAGCATACCTGAATTCCTTTCACCACCAGTTTATTGAATATTGGTACATATAAATAGGCTACATACATATCACCTATGCTAAATCTCTTGAAATTTGTCCGCAGCATAGGGAGATGGAAGTAATGCAATTGTGCATCTCGTACGTACTCCGTAGTTTGGATATGAAATTTGATACCGAACTGGAGGATGGATAAGTCTTATTGCTCAGCACACTCCCTTAACCACAAGCATGAAATTATTAAAAGAGATCACATCCTCAAGTCCGAATCTGGCGAGTAAGCCAATATAATCGTGCCTCACCCAAAGATATTAGGGCTAAGCTTTGAGGTAAATCGCAACGGGGAGTCTGATCTATCCGGGGCCACAGGTGGCCTCTAGCCACCTGCAAGGACCCGAGGACTCGCTAAGGCATCCCCGATCTCTGGAGGCTACGTCGGATGGGCGGTATTTGTATTGAAGGAATAAAAATTCATACTAAGGCTAGAAGGCCCGGGTCTTACGTTGGTTCTAGAAAGAAAAGCAAAGAATATCGAATAACACGCTCCGAATGATCCCAGGAAGATAAGGAAATCAGTCGACGCCATGGCAGCCACTCCATAAGATACATGTGCAGAGAAAGAAAAAACAAACTGCCCTCGATTATGGATGCCTCCATAGGGAAAAGAGTCCTGGTATGCCCACAGACGTACAAGAAAAGCAAACTAAAGCAAAGGGGATATGATATGATTGACTCAATCCAGGTTTAAAAAAAGCATGGAGAGCCAGTACAAAACTCCCCCAGTGGAAAACATGGAAAACGTTGGAAAAAAAAGAAAGAAAATGAAGGTTCCCAAACACGCCATGCAGTGATCATCCAAGACCGTGGGTCATGCTTATTTCGAAAATTCTTCTTTCTGTGCTTTTGGGCGCAAATAATTTGACGCCATTTGCAATGCCATGCGACAAGTTGCATCCATATGTACCTTCAGCAAAGAGCAAAAGAGAAAGACAGAGTTTACCTTGATGAGGACAGCTCAAGGAATTGTGTGCGAAATGTCTGAAGGAGATGACAATAACAGCGACTTGAAAAATCTCGAGTCCAATGCAAGATGACCGGAAGAACATAGTTCAAGATCGGGGGTGGAACATTGTAGAGGAAGTAGAGGGAGTAGAGATCGCAAAAAATACGCTGAGTGTCTATCATCAAAAAGAAGAAAAGAAAGGATAGGTAGATATCCGATATCAGAAACGCTGAACATGCATGTCATCAAACCGTGCTAAAGTGAAGTTGAACTGAAACAAAGAACACCTGTACCCACTTTGTGGATCAGATACGGAACTCCTCAAGCCGAGCTACCATTAGAGGCCTTGGAAGCCTTACTAGCTTCCATGACCTTATTGAACATCTGCTGCAGCTTCGCACCACTGGCGTCTTTGTTTGGCCAGTAGTTGAGTGAAACGTAATCCCTGAAATTTAAGTTAGAACATGAAGGATAAAGATGATAGCAAGAGAACTTACCAAAGTCGGACCTCCAAGGAGGGCATCGATTGCGAGCCCTCCAGGTTATTGCGAATGAATTCCCCAATCTTCACAAGGGTAAGACGGAGTTTCTGTGCCCGCTCGTTTTTACTTGGGTAATTTTTGGCAGTGATCATTGAAACTTGCTTCAAATTGGCAACAATAGGCTTGAAGAACATGAACGCCATGTCTTCTTTATTAGAACTACCGTTCTCATGACCTTTGCGGCGACGAAGCTCGTCATTAGAGGCATCAGATAGACGATGGCGTGGACGATCAATATCAAGACCAGACCGTGGACGAGATTCATGGCTGGGGGTATGATGACGATCAACTCCGTCCCGGCTGCTATGCGTATGGGGACGGGGCCGTGATCGATCGGATTCACGGTGGCCCTTGCGGGGATTTTCAGGCCTGCGAGAGCTCGACGGGGCTGGAGAGGCGGAGACACTGCCACTACCAGAAACCCTCGAGCCACGCTTATTGTTGCGGTGGTGATTGTCGACTGCTCTTCTTGCTGTAGCATTATTATTGTACTTGTTTCTCAGAACAGACATGAGGTATTCAGCTCGCCGGACAAGGTGGACAGCGCCCGGTGATTTGGTTGCCTTCTCCTCAGTTTGCAGGCGTTGTGTCTTTCGCTCCACTCGGTGTTCCTCCAGGAAGAACTTATCGCCGAGGCCAAGCTCAGTGTCATCGCGAATTTGGGTCCACGCGCCAAATCCATGGCGTGCGATACCCACAAGAAGCATTCCGTCTTCACGTGCACCCCACTGGCAGCTGTAGTCCGCCAATTTAGTAGCCTCAGGAAGCCGGAATGTCCTGAAATCAGGCAATCCTTTGATTATGCCTCGGATAAGGCGCATATCCGGCGGACGCTCAACGATAGTCCATGCGTTAAGTCTCTTGACACCGTGATGGTCGAACAAGACAGCTTTTTGCTCTTTCTTCGTCGGGTTCCTACCTGATTGCTTCATGGCCTCTAATTGATCCAGACTCTCTTGGACAAGCGAGTTTGCCTTGTCGGTAATTTCATGAAGAGCAGCACGAACGGTGCCCCGATCGCGACTTTGTAACCTGGCATCCTCGAGAATGAGATCTTCAGAGTCATCCATATCACCGTAGCGAAGGAAAGCTCGAGAGAGCGCACGATATTCTTTTTCTCCGAGGGGGCGCTTAGGATCCAATGAAGGATTCTCTTCCTCGCCATCGTCGACATTGACTTGAGCTCTTGCGAGCCGTTTCGCCTTGCGTTCCTCCCGTGAATCAGTCGTGTCCGTGGGGGCGTGGCGCTTGCGCGGCCGATTTTGCTCAATAACTTCAGCAAGATAATGATCATCATCTTTGCGCTTTTCCTCGGCCTTGATCACTTCGAGCTGATCCTTAGGAATAATGTCGTCCCAGGTGAGATCGTCAACTTTGATATCGACGAAGTCGAACGCTTTCAAGAATTCCTCACCACCGTCAGCTTGGATCTGCTCAGCCTCTTCAGTTTGGTGTAGTTCTGCATTTGCAAGGACAGAATCGATATCAAGCTGCTCCAGTTTCTTCTGGTTGTCGGTTTGTTCGAACATCTTCTGACCACGGCGCTTGAGGATTCGAGAGATATCGTCTGTGGAATTGGGTTCGGCAACTACGCGAGCCATCTTGTTTTGCATCTCCGAGGCTTCTTTATCCGTGACACCACGCTGAATGGTGATGAACTCAAGCAAGAGCTTGTTGCGAGCTCTTTCAATGACTTCCTCTTCGATCGTATCCTTTGAGACAAGGCGGTAAACACTGACAGGTCTTGTTTGACCAATTCGATGAGCACGCGCCATGGCCTGCAAATCGGCCTGAGGGTTCCAATCCGAATCAAACAAAACGACAGTGTCTGCAGTCATAAGGTTGATGCCGAGACCGCCTGCGCGGGTTGAAAGGAGGAATGCAAAGTCGGTGCTACCAGGAGCATTGTAATGCTCAATTGCCAAGCGACGGGCGGCAGATGGGATAGTTCCATCAAGCCGTTGATATTTGTAACCACGGTACTCCATATACTCACTCAGGATGTTAAGCATACCAACCATCTGACAGAAGATTAAAACTCGATGGCCATCAACACTCAACTTCCGAAGGAGTTGATCAAGAAGCATCATTTTTCCACTACTGGTGATCATGGCCCGGAGGATATCTTCTCGACGATTACTACCTTGTAAAATCTTTGCCTCTGCGTTGGGGAACATAAATGGGTGGTTGCTAGCCTTCTTTAATTCCATCATGATGTTCAAAAGAGACTGCTTCATTCCTTTGTTCCCGTCGTTCAGCGCAGCATAGTTTTTCGTCAGGATGTTCTTGTAGTATTCCAATTGGACATCAGAGAGCTCCACTCGAATGATTTTCTCTGTCTTCGGAGGTAGATCCGACTCGACCTTGGACTTGGTACGCCGCAACATATAAGGCTGAATGGCGTTGGTTAACTCAGCAAGTTTTTGAGACGCGGCCTCTGAATTCAAATCCATGTCGACGTCGACTTCAATGAGACCCGGATTGAGGAAATCCATCAGCGCTGAAAGCTCAGCAAGGTTGTTTTGGATTGGGGTGCCGGTAATCAAGAGGCGAGCCTGGCATTTCCATTCGAACAACTTGATATAAAGTTGCGAGTCGCGATTTTTGAGACGGTGTGCCTCATCCACTGCCATGAATTGCCACTTGAATTGGCCGAGGAACGGTGAATCATTCATTGCATACTCGTAAGTTGTCAACAGAACATGGAACTTTGGACGTTTGGGATTCCCATCGACCATCAATTCATAATCGCGTAAAACAGAGCGCGCCTTTTCACTACCGTTGTAAACAACATAGTTGAGGTCTGGTGTCCAGTGATCAAAAGTATCAGCCCATGCTGGCATAGTAGACAGGGGAACGATGACGATGAACGGTCCTTGCTGCCGCCTAACATGGCGCATCCAGTTGATGAATGCGACAGTTTGTACTGTCTTTCCGAGACCCATCTCATCTGCCAAAACCACATTGCGACCCCTGACCCAATTGAAAGCCAAGAAGTTTAAACCTTTGACTTGGAAGTCCTTGAGTTCTCCATTCTGCAAGAAACTAGGGGTTCCGTGGATGGGCTCAAAGGATTTACGCGTGGCAACATTTATCTCATTCTTGTCGGAGATGGGCTGTCGAGCAGTGCGGTCCAAAAATCGATCAACCTCACGTTGTGCGATCTCACTAACCAAATCCTCGGGTTCCCAAGTACAGGAATCGTAGAGGAGACGTTTCCATTTGACAAGGTATTCTGTGGTACCATCCTCGCCATCACGTACGCCAATAACTCGTTCAACCTTTTTGTAGTCCTCTATGGCCTCAACGTCTCGTTCGCGATCGAGATTCCACTTTTCGCGATCTTCAGGAGGGGCATCGACACTATACTGTAACCGGATGTCCTCGTTGAGCACCTTTCGAACATAATTATCGACGCGTCGCGTGCTACGGTAGTTCGCAATAGCTTCATTGCTTTCCCATGTAGCATGATAGTGTGATTTGTCCTGCCACTTGATACAAAACTCAAAGTCGTTGCGGTTGAGGTCGTGAGATTTGGGGTCGACGCCCTCCTTGAGGCGGTGATTCAGGACGACGTCGACAGCGGGGCGAGTGTCCTCCACATAACTCTCCACCCAGTAGTTCGGTGGGAGATCTTCTGGGTCTTCTTCAAACATGGCTTCATCTTCTTCGTCATCCTCGTTGTAATTTGATACCTTTTTGGCGGTTCGCGTTGAGAAACGAACCTCATTCAATGAGGGTTCATAGCTAGCAGTTTGTTGGAAACGTCGTCTTCTAGCTTTGCTAGCACGAGCGCTCTTTCCACCATACTCGTCACTATCCGACTCGGATAGGGAAGACACGGTAGCCGATCGGGAAGCCTTAGAGGGTTGCTGGGATGGATCTTTGCGCCGACGTTTAGTACGTGGTGCAATGACATCTGAGTCTGAATCGGATGAGTCGGCGAGATGACGCGTTGTGCGAGCACGACCACTTCGTCGAAGTCCATACAGATCGGGATTTTGTCTGATCAGGTCGGTTTCGCTAACCGGTGAGGATTTGCGCTTCGCAGCGCGGTCGGGGTGAGGGGATGAAGAGTTTTCACGGCTGTATGTGTTGGCGTCATAATCGCTATTGTCCTCCGCTACCTCTTCATCTTCTGCATCTGAATCCGCAGACGCGCCGTCATATGAGTCGTCCGCGGCATCGGGTTCGGGGGAGGACTCGGAGACGGGGTGAGACTCAATGGGCTCGGATGGACTGCGTTCATGTTCCATTACCGCATCGCCATCTGCGTGGATACCATCGGCAACGGGCGAGATAGGGTAACCGTTTGACATCGTCGAGGTAGAAGGATGTTCTTGAGCAGATGGGATCACCATGCCAGAGGCTATTACCGAGGGGCAGTCAGCATTGAAGCTCGATTCAGGCTAGGAGAGGCGTGAAAGTGGCAGGGATAGGTAGAACAATGGCACGCGACCCAAATTGCGGTCAATAGGAGCTTAAAAACTAGCAGAATGGGACAGGATATTGACTTTGATGAAAGAGTATGTTTTTTGATAACGGGTGGGATGGACGCGGCCAGGCTGGAAGCCAAAGCAATGGACAGATTGATACACACAACCAGACTCGGAGAAAGCAATGATACGCTGCTTGATCGACGACAGTTGAAAACTGTCCCGATCGGAACAGAATAGAGGGATTCAAGGATTCGTGCAGTGGGTCGACAAGCGCGGAGAAGTACCGCGGCGAATGCTTCGGTCGGCACGTCTGTGCTTGAGGAAAAGATTAAATCACTTACACTCCATAGCGTGGTGACCCCGAAAGCGGGGGATCTGTCGATCAATGTGGGAAAGTAAATGGTGGGGGGAGGCGTGAAGCTGGAATCTTGGGGGAGGAGGAGACGAGAGACTTGGAAGAACTAAGAGTTGGGGACTGACTGGAGGGTTTGCTTCGGTTTGGTTTGCAGGGAGTAGACACCTGATCTATTAGGCACTACGAAGGCTTGACCTGATCAGGTCTAGCGTATTCGCTTGGCGCCTAACACGACGTCCCATCACGTGGATCGCGGATCTCGGATAAACTACCAATCCGAGTCCATTCCAACAGCCAATCACCACCTTGATAAATAAGTGACGCCGATGCGGCCTAAGGCACCACAGCCCACAGAAAGCAAAGCAAAGTGCATTCAATTCTGCCGCCCCTCGTCCATTGATAGTGGTGTTTTCCCCTGTCTTATTTCTAGTTGAGTCTGCGCAGAGATACTTGGTGCTTTTGCTGAGCCCGGTTCATTTACCTGCGACAGCACTTATTTGCCCCATTTCAACCCTCCACCCCTCCCGAGGTTCCTCCACCTGGTGCTGATTCTTTTTTTCAACCTGCTTCATACACGGTTTCTTTGAATCATATCCACCCATCATGTCTGACAAGCTTACTCGGTATGTTTCTGGAGCTTTTGAAGTACGGTATCACCAGCTAACGGTATTTTTTTCCTACAGTATTGCCATCATCAACAGTGATAAGGTTCGTCGCGAAATACCCCACTAATAGGATTTTTCTCAAATGCCTGGCTCACACCACATCTTTCCAACTTTACAGTGCAAACCGAAGGTACGCGATTCGATATAATATTCAACGGTGTCCACGGAGGTTAACTAGTCACAGAAATGTCGTCAAGAGTGCAAGAAGGCTTGCCCCGTGGTCCGCTCGGGCAAGCTTTGCATTGAAGTCGATTCCACTTCTAAGATCGCTTTCATCTCCGAGCGCCTGTGCATTGGTTGTGGTATCTGTCCCAAGAAGTGCCCATTCGGAGCCATTCACATCATCAACTTGCCCACCAACCTCGAGACCCAAGTCACCCACCGGTACTCAGCCAACAGCTTCAAGCTTCACCGACTTCCCATGCCCCGTCCCGGTCAGGTCCTCGGTCTGGTTGGAACAAACGGTATCGGAAAGAGTACCGCGTTGAAGATTCTCAGTGGCAAACTGAAGCCTAACCTCGGACGTTATGATAACCCTCCTGACTGGGAGGAAATCCTAAAGTACTTCCGTGGTTCCGAATTGCAGAGTGAGTACTATAGTCTAAGTACCGCGGTCCCTATTCGACATTGCTAACTGTGATAGACTACTTTACCAAAATTCTGGAAGACAATTTGAAGGCGGTTGTCAAGCCTCAGTATGTCGATCAGATTCCCCGTGCTGTGAAGGGACCTATTCAGCAGGTGCAGCAGCTCATCGAGGCACGCGCCGCGATGGGTAACGAGGATGAGATCATGGAAGTTCTCGGTGCGTTTCCGTACTACAATGCTTTTGGAATCCATTTGCTAATCGTCCGTGTCCAGAGCTGAGACAAGTTGCGCAACGTGATATCGGTCATCTTTCTGGTGGTGAGCTTCAACGTTTTGCCATTGGTCTGGTTTGCGTACAGAAGGCCGACGTGTAGGTTCCTCCTGGATTATAGTCATGCCATTAAAGCCAATCAGTTGCTAATGCTAATATAGGTACATGTTCGATGAGCCTTCCTCATATCTCGATGTTAAGCAGCGTCTGGCTGCTGCCCGTACAATCCGCAGCCTTCTCAGCCCCACTGACTATGTCATTGTTGTCGAGCACGATTTGTCCGTTCTTGATTATTTGTCCGACTTTATTTGCGTGTTGTATGGTCGTCCTGCTGTTTACGGTGTCGTCACTCTGCCTTCCTCCGTCCGTGAGGGTATCAACATCTTCTTGGACGGTCACATCCCTACCGAGAACCTGCGATTCCGTGAGGAATCTCTCTCATTCCGCCTTACTGAAGCGGGTGAGGAGTTCATTGCGGACAAGGATCGTGCCTTCGCCTACCCCTCCATGGAGAAGACTTTGGGTGACTTCCACCTGAAGGTTGATGCCGGCAAGTTTACCGATTCCGAAATTGTCGTCATGATGGGCGAAAACGGAACTGGAAAGACCACTTTCTGTAAGATGCTTGCTGGTGCATTGAAGCCTGATGGCCTTATCTCCGTCCCCAAGATGAACATCAGCATGAAGCCCCAGAAGATCACTCCCAAGTTCACGGGTACCGTGCGCCAACTCTTCTTCAAGCGCATCAAGACTGCTTTCCTGTCTCCTCAGTTCCAGACCGATGTCTACAAGCCCCTGAAGATGGATGATTTCATCGACCAGGAAGTTCAGAACCTGTCCGGTGGTGAATTGCAGCGTGTCGCTATTGTCTTGGCTCTAGGTATGCCAGCTGATATCTACCTGATTGACGAGCCCAGTGCCTACCTAGACTCTGAGCAACGTATTGTTGCTGCTCGTGTCATCAAGCGTTTCATTATGCACACCAAGAAGACCGCTTTCATCGTCGAGCACGATTTCATCATGGCCACCTACCTGGCTGATCGTGTCATTGTCTTCGACGGCCAGCCATCCGTCAGCGCTCGTGCTCAGACGCCCGAGTCTCTGGTCGGTGGTTGCAACAGGTTCTTGAAGAGCTTGGATGTCACTTTCCGTCGTGACCCCATCAGTTACCGCCCTCGTATCAACAAGTACAACAGTCAAATGGACCAGGAGCAGAAGCTGGCCGGCAACTTCGTAAGTTTTCTACCCCGTCCATGGATGATATCAATTCCATTTATAATTGCTGTGCTAACTATATTTCAACAGTACTTCTTGGAAGAAGAGAACTGAAAAGGGCGTTCACAACGAGCATCGTCGCCGTCGTCACAGGCGTGATGGCCGCGACTTTGAGCAGCGGCGCAACAGGCGCCGCGGCGATTGGAAGATCATGTGGTTAATGGGGATCCCGGGCGTTTGCAGAGCCTCGGCAGTTCAGGGAAAGGGATTCCGTCACCGCGCCGGGCTCTCTTCCGGTACCGATGACGGTCTCTCAGACGATGATGGCGATGATGGCGATGATGACGATTTAAATGACAACAGTGACTCTGACTAGAAGGTAGTGACCTGCTTCACACCATGCCATCCCTGGTCTAGTACGCTCATTTAGTTCTGCGACATGTTGCCATTCGTCAGTCTGTCAGCAAATCTATCTCGTTGTTCGCCTTGCAACCTGCCTTGATTTACTCTAGGTTTGTTTATCATATCCAGAGTCATCGGCCCCCGGTTGGGAACACATGTCTACAGATCTTCCACTAGCACCTGTTACATTTAATGGTGGATTGGGTCCGGCATGGTTTATTGTTCTAACGGAGTTCTTTTGCATTAGGTTGGAGGGTTTGGGTTCCCAGAAAAAAGCTCTTCCATGAATTTTATGATTTGTTTAAAGATGAATTTCCTGTCGGAATGGATTGATGATGCGGTTGTTTTCAGACCGGGGATGGCATAGAACAGGTGACTGCTGTAAAGCGGCCAGATTCATTGCCTCTAACTCGTGTAGATACATAGATTGTTATTTTTCAACCCATTGTTGTGCAGATGCTTAACGCGCCTTTCTCTTTTTTGTTCATATTCGATTCGGTGTTATTTTCTGCCAGGTTTTGCCTCTAACCCTATACACCCTCAACGTCGAAGCAACGGAGACACCGGACACCGCTTCTGCTTTCAAACATGTATGTCAAAAGGTGTCTTTGAATACGCCACGTCCACCCTCCAGAGCAGTTGCTTTGGCATAGTAATCAGCCAATTGGTTCCAGTCTCTGGGAATGCGCCAAAATTGCACTCGCATATGATCACGATCTGCCCGTTCGATCTCCCCAAGCAGATATAGCCAAAGGTCCTGATTGGCAACTGGCGCCCCTGTGCGCGTCGTCCAACCGTTCCGTATTCATCCCCCCACCCAACTCGTGATGCCATTAACCACATATGCGGAATCAGTAGCAATAACGATGTCAGAATTTTCCGCGTGTCACCATCGAAATCGTAGCGCTGCAAGAACAGCACGTAACCCTGCGCGATTGCTCGTTTGCGCGTACTGCTGGCCCGAAGGCCCTTCTAGCTCCGAAGGAAAACTGATATTGCCCCTGACTTCAGAGGAGGACGGTCTGAAGATAAAGGAGCAGCCAGCCCTGGGCCTGGGTTGACCATTGGATAAACATGCACCATCTGTATAGACGAGAAATTGGGTCCGGTTGCCGTCTCGACGGATGAACTCATATGGAGGTGGTATATCCTTGGCTGAAATGCCAGGTGCGAATAGCCTCTGCGGCGTATCGCGTCCTGGGTTGGGAGGGATGAACTTCGTGGGAATCACGCGTCCTGTGCCAATTCTGGGTTTATCATTTTCAATTCGCTCCTTCTCATCCTCGCGTGCATATTCGTCACTCGAATCATAATCCGAATCGTTAAGCAGCACAAGACCGATACAGAGTTCGGCCATGTCGGATTTTGAGTGACTATAAGGGCAGATGGGTTGTTTTGTATTTATATAAATCCTTCGGAGAGAGTGACTGTAACTTGAACGGAGTGAGAGTCGTCAGGAAACTCCACCAAATCTTGAAAAATTGCCCATGTAGTCCACGGATATGTCTTCGTTCCCATAATTCTTCATTCAACGCTAATCCCCGATTGGACCAAATCCAAAGTGTTTTTAAAAGACTTTCTATACATTTTTTTCTATACATCTATATTTCAGGATTGAAATCATATTTTATTGAGCTAGGTTCGAAAGAATTTGACAGTCTTATTTCAATGCAGAATAAAGTGTCGCTGACTCCGCAGCATTCATCATCCCGAGGTTGCAAGTAGCTTCTTTGGCATATCAACTAGCAACTAGATTCCATTCTTTCGGGAACAGCCATAGCTAACTGCACACGAAATGCAGAGCTGCCCAGTCCATTTCTCCCAGCAGATGCTATAAGATATATTGATTCTCAATTTGTGTCCCAACGGATGTCTTCGAGCCGTTGCGTATCCATATCCTTACCGAAGTTGTGATGCCATCAATCACATCTGTAGAATCGGTTGCGTTCACTATTGCCAAGGCGCACCATATTTCGTGCCACCATTGGAGTCGCAATGCCACAATAACAGCACGTAGTTCGGCGAAATTAGCAGATATTTGTTTAGGGGAGGATTTCGGATACCACATCCGCGTTCTACTTTTTCTTCTCGTTTATGTCGCCACAGGCGATGTGATAACCTTTGATATATGTGGATCGAATCGACCAACTTGTCGATCATCTGTGGATACGGCCTAGGAGATTCGACAGGCGGTGGTGATCGGTGCCAATGCTATCGAGCGCTTTCCTATAGCTTTTCCATATTGTGCTACTTATCACGACAGGAGATCAAGATACATTGGAGTAAGTTATGGTCCGATCAATCTGCTTTCTCCGGGTAAGTCACGAACGAGATTCGGCCAGGGTCGGCCGACTAACTGACGCTTGCCTCCAGAGCGAGCAGAAACCCAACTCTTGCATAGCTTTGCGCAGAGATTTCGATGGTTGGTGAGCGGCCGCGCGAAAGGCGTGTGCCGAGAGTTTTTCCATAAACGAATTAATTCGGAAAGCACGGTGTGTATATCAACAAGATATTCCAGTGATTTCAACCTTGGAAAGTAATTGTGCCTTGTCTTTTAGCCCGATGCTGTACCATAAGCGAAGCATACTAGCCAAATAGATACAAGTGACGCTCAATAGACCGACATAACAACATCCTGCGACCTATAAGAAGTTATTATCGTAGAATTCCCGGCAAAATACAAGATACCGACCACTTGATCGGATATTTGCTGATCTTTCTTTGCGATTTTAGTCATATCCCAAACAAAAACGAGATATCCACCCAGCCAGAAGTATATACTACACTCGAGAAGCCCTACTGCGGTCTGCCACAAGATAACCTGATGCCAATAGGGGATCCTTCTTCCTGTAGGAGAACCAAAGCTGAGAAGTTCTCGAAGCAACGTGTCCGAGTTTGAGAGACACCCCACCCGGACAAGGAAAATGCTTTGTTGCATACAGACTGCAACCGCTCCAATGGCCAGTACTAGGCTATTGAACCAGGCAATCCGAATCATGGTAAGCGGCACAACCGCTGCCGTTGAAATTGATTGCCAGGAAAAGGATCCGACAACAGCGGCGCTCATTACCGCACCCTAGCAAAATGTCAAATTTGGTGCTCAAGGACGGCTTCTTTACGGACCTCCACTTTGACTTACAATCAATCCAACATGGGATAACTGAGACAATGTCGACTCTCTCCATTTTTTGATGAGTCTGCTTTGTTGCTCAAGGTCTGTAGCATTCACCATTTCACACATAGAGGTATATGCAACTCGATATGCAGCAGCGTGAAAGGGAAAGGCTCTTCTTAAGAGTTTGAATTTCATATTCAACTGAGTCTATGACAGACAGCAACCTAGATTTTTCGAATACTTGAGAGGTTGGAACCAAGACCTCGTAGTTGGAGTAGCTACTTTTGAGTTGTCGCGGGGCTTTGTGGGTTATGGATGGGTCATCTCACTCTCATGGAAGAAAAGGGATAGTATCTTATATCTGGGCACTAGGGGTTTGATTCAGGCCAATCCATTTGCACCCGGGCTGTGCGATATGGGCGCAGTGTTTCGCATGCTAAGCTGCAGCCCAAATAGAAATGTGGTGAGAAGTACAACTTATTGGATAATTCATGAGCTGGGGCACCGAATCAAGCTTAGTATTTGACAAGGGCGCGAACGTCGCAGTTCAGAAAGTCGCGATGCGTCGATAAATCATCAAATGACTGCAGCTCTGAATATTGAGTATTTTTAGCACTGGTTCTTTGTCCAACGAAATTTGCATATTATCTTAAAAATAAAATTCCAAGTGCCTTGGCCCTTCATTTAAACGCTTAGTTACCAATTTTGGGGGTTTCGCGCTGTACTGAAACCATTTTTGTCCAGGTATTTGATCAAGCGCTCACCCGGGTGTAGTCGGCACTACTAGGTATTTGGCCTGCTCCATTGACCAAACACTAAACATATAAATTTGCGATCCCCAACGTAAAGCGCAATCTATTCCTAAGAAACTCAGCTATGACTACCGAATCAACAATCTTGTCGCTGGGTATCGTCTGTCTTGCGCCCTGCCCAGGTGGGAGAACTTTCAGCCTGCTTTTTTTTCAGCCTCATCTTGCCCATCTCGGTTTTCCAGCCTCCTGACGGCATAGCAATTGTCAAATTTTAGCAATACGACTGCTCTAAAATATTTCCACGGTTTTCGATCAAGCTTGGCGCTAGAAGTCACAGTAACCTTCATTCAGACATCTCAATTCAACCTTTCTCATTTCCCAAATGTGGCCCTTCTAGAGAAAAAAGTCTACTACTTCACCTTCTTCCGCTGATCTCTCTTCTGCGACTCAAAGAATAACCGAACAAACCTATGCATCTGCTGAAAACGCCCTTGCTTATCCTGGAAGAGATAAAGTCGATGTTAGGGCACCATGCCTGGTCAGAAGGGAAACCACATGTCGTCATGGCCACCCGGGGGTGATAAACGATCATTTTTGCAAACTATCGCAAGGGCGCTTTCAAATCGCATGTTACGATATTGCGTTCTATCGGATTGCTGAAGGCGGAGAATATCGATTGCCCTCTGATAGTACCTACCAACGACAAGCTTGGAGGGTTGGTATCGCGTTCAATCGATTTAATTTAATTCGTTGGGCACCACATAGCATGCGACAAAAGATTGCCCTCTGGGGAATTTACATACGGCCCCAGGCCATGACTCGGAGTAACGAGGTCTGTAATACTTACCTTTAGCACTCGAACCAAGACGCTGAATCGAGATATAGGCCCCCCTTAACAGGATATTCGCCATGAACTGGAAAGATGAATATGGCAGTGCCCTTATTCTGGAAGATGTCTGGGGAACTCCAGGACAAGACAACCGTGGGGAATACAAAAAGCTACTCACCGATGCTGAGTTCACGAAACACACCGATCGGAAGTTTGAAGAAACAACGATGTATTTCACTCTTGAGGAATTTGTGCTTGAAGGTAGGTCAAACGCTACAAGCTTCCTGGGATTCACGATATAGTCCCTTACTAACATGAACTCTCTGAAGCCCAATGGCTTCTTCGCCAATTCACGTCAAGACGTAGAGATGGTAGAATTTGTGCTAATCCAGGCACTACTTATAATTTGGGTTTTGCGAATTGTCAAGACTTCGCTAAATTCGTCATGGATAGGCTAGAAAGTTCTCGGTACGACTGGACTGATAGCAAGAGATTGAGTCAGCCCTTTGTTCTTTCCTCTCTTGAGGATGAAATACTGAAGGACCTTGAAGACGAAGCGAATGATGATTACCACGAGGCAGTCAGTTATGCATACAATCAAGTGGCATTGTCTCACGAGTTCTCCGGAATCACCAGCTTCTCAAGTACCGCCAACCATTGGTAAATTTTCTGGCACGAACCTGGTTCAGAGCCAGAAAGCGAGTACGAAGGGGACATATCATAGTGAAGACAGCTGAGGATTTGGGCCAGCCTATGGGTTCTCTACTCGATGTATAAGCCTAGGCATCTGGAAAGGGTTCAACTTGAATGGGATGATATTGAGAATAATAGAAAGTACTTAGTCGTATTCAATCTGTATAACTACGACTATCAAAGCTACATAACAAGTATTTAGTAAACATAGTGGCAAAGTAATGTACCTGTACTTCCATGTACCTTGTACCTCGTGCTAGAATTTTATGTATGTAGGTAGTAGGCGACGATTAGAAAAAGTCTACCTACAACAGTGAATTAACAAGTCCTTGTACGTAGCAATAAATTATCATTAAACAGCTATATGTTCCCTTAAGGAGGTTATACACATATCTTTATCAAGAAATGACTGTAAAATTGCCTCCTACATAGTGTCTCCCTTGAGCGTGCAGTAGGTATGCGTTCCACCCTGGACACAATCGGAGTATGTCTTGTTTGGCTGCGGAACAATGAGATATGTCGGGTTGTCGGACTGGCATACCTCGGGAGGAATGAGCGAATCCTCGCCTGTGGTCAAAGGAAGTAGTGCATCAACAATCCGATGAACGTCCAGATTTGCTAGGAGTGTAATTAGTGCGGCGTTATGGAAAAAAAAAGAAATGGTTCAGACAGCAACTATTGACAGTCACCTAAGCATGAGGATGAGCCTGAGCTATCTTTGGTGCGAAAGTCGAAGTATTATATACCTATAGTGGATTACTAGGTCTGGAAGAAAGCAAATGACATCGCAATAGATTCAGCTCAATATCCTACATGTGTATTGAAGGGCAGAAATTACTTGCATATGAGGTCCAAGTGTGAAAGAAAATATCCACTTCCCTACTCCTCTTCAATCTCTCCTTCCTCGCTGCCAGAGTGAATCGCCTTCTCGTCCTTCTTTGCATCTTCGGTTTCTTCTTCCGGAATAGCAGAGCGTTCCCGTCGGGGGATTCTCGGGCCCTTGCTGCGCTCTCGCTCACGGCTGTCACGTCGGTACCGCTTGGCAGACCGGCTAGCTACACTCTCAGTATCACTGTCACGTCGGCGTCGACGGTCAGCACTGGCCACGCTGCGAGTATCGCCAGCACCGCTAGTACCACCACCATAATCAAGCTCATCACGACCTCCACGGGGATCACCACGAGTGCGGTATAGGCGCTCGCGTTCGTCTTCACGTCGGTCTGGGTCTCTAGCGCGGGGACGGTCAAAGTCACGGTCCCGGCTACGATAACGGTCTCCACGCTCATCGCGACGATCACGAGATGGGGAAATACCGCTGACCTTGCGGTAAGTTCGCTCGCGGTCAGCCTGGGCCTTGCGACGGTCTGCTTCATATGCATCCATTTCCGGGGTGCGGTTGGCCTGGCCGCTAGGTCCTCTTCGTTCTCCTCGGCCACTGCGGTATTCACGATCACCTCGGTCGTAATCCCGCCGACCTCCACGGCTTTGAGAGTGTGCTTCGCGATCCTTCTCTGCATCCTCATCTCTTTCTTTCAAGCGGCGGATTGCCTTTTCAAACGCAGATTCCCGAAGCTCGTCGGATTCGAGGGCCTTGTATTCTTCGTATTTCTCAAGGCGAGGTTGAACTTCAGCCCAGGTGTCGGTGACCCGGATAGGTGGCTCCAAGCGTTTGATACGAGAACGCAGTGCGTCCACGGCGCGGCGCTGTTGACGATCGGCAGCATGCTTCTCATCCTCTGTACGTCGGATTGCCTTTTCTTGGATACGCTGGAAGATGAGGTTGAGGATCTCAGAGTCGATCTTGGAGGTGCGGCGGTCGGCAGACATAATAGAATTGAATTCATCAAAGGTTGTTTCAGTCGTAACTTCATATCGTTTGTCCTGGAATCAGTTCGTTAGTACATATAGTCGACGATTCGATTCAATCCGAGAGATACTTACATCCAGAACATCGAGCACGTCGTTTCGAGGTCCACGCAAAGCACGTTCTTCTTCTTCCACCATATCCCAGAACAAGTCAAGAGGAGTCGAACCAGGCTGGCCCAGGATGCCATGATATCTAGGATCATCCTTGATGAGCGGGCAGATATTCATCCACTTAGCGCCTGCTTTAATCTTGCCTTGAGATCTGAGTTCCTTAAGGAGGGCCACAAACTGCTCTCGGTTCTTACGCTCCTTTCTGGCTCTGGCTGCCTTGTGCTGCTGGCGCGCGTCATTGAAAGCCCGCTCCAGGGACTTGATATGATTTTCGAAGGCGGTCAGAATGTCAGACTTGGTTAGAGTTTTGAACTTCTCATCGCCTTGGAACTTGCTGTCAGACTGAATGATAGCATGAGCTTCCGACCAACGTGTGTATGGCTCCAGGTTAAGTGAGCCCAAAATGTCCATCAGCTCATCCATAGCGGCTTTGTGCGTGACGGATTCTTGCTCGACGTGAGCCTTTTTGAGTTCAAGGATGTACTCTTCGAAAAGCTGGCGTCTTTCGTCTTCGTCATTGGTAGATCTGAATGTGGTCTCCCCCTCAATGATCGGGCGAATAGTCTTCCAGCGGCTGTAGTATTTGATTTCAGGATGTCGCTTCAGCATAGTGTTGAAATCTGCGCGAAGCTTGGCGAATCGTTCCTTTGCTCGGTCCTTTTCCTGCATGCGAACCTCGACCACATATTTCTCGAATGCAGCCTTGCGGTCTCGCGGATCCTTGAGAGCCCGATATTGCGGGTCCTTGATGGTAGCGCGCATTGTATCTTCCCAGGTCCAATCAGGCTGTACATTGTGGCGTTTGAGCAGCTTCATGAAGGCGCTCTCCGCCTCCTCAAGAGAATGGTAGTCGGGATCCATCTGCGACTTTAATTCCGGAGCAGCAACCATGCTGTTTGTTTCATATGACCCATATGCACCGCGTCGGTCGCCGTATCCGCGATCACCGCGATCACCTCGGTCAAAGTCTTCACGGTCACGTTGCTGAGGTTGCGAGAAGGAGGTTCCCCCCGCCACAAAGGAAGGGGCACTATAATGAGATTAGCATGGAGGGAAGCTAATTTGGGAAGGTACTTACGCGGGGACTGGCTGGGGGGCAGGCGCCTGCGCAAGCGCATCTTTGTAAACTGCAGGCATCTCCCATGTGCTCTGCTTGGTTTCTGAGTGGTACCAGTATTTGCGCCCAGCATCTGTAGTGTGTTCTTTCCATGGCTGGTTTGAAAGAGCAAGCTGCAAAGAACATTGAGGTTAGTTAAGCTCGTAGCATTTTGGGGTTAACTACAAACCTCAACCGCAGTCATCAACTCTTTAGGCTTGGTCCATTGTGTAGCTTTGGTCTGTAGATTGTAATAATACACGCGCCCTTCAGCATTTCGCGCCTCCTGCCATAGGGCAGAAGCTGGGTTCGTGCTTGAATCCATTGTGAATGGTGTTGAAGAGACCACAAGAGAGAAGTGAAAATGGAGCTTCAACAATGATCTCCGCGGTTATGCGCTTTTGGTACTTCACGTCGACCGTATTAGCACTTATCGGTTATCTCCTGAGCCCCAAACAACCACTCTATCGACTCCTTTGCGACATCTGTTGTTGCAATGCCTGGTCTGGAGATCCCAGGTGAATTCCTGCGTCATGCCATTCTTGATACAGTTGTGCCCCATTCCCCGGCACTCGACATTGAGAGTGCCCTGACTTCGGCCCTGGAGGACGGAGCTGATGATCTCCCCTCCGTTCTCTCGTCAATCCCTCAACGGTCTCTATTGTTCTTTGGTATGTACGTTCAAAGTCTCAGCAAGGGTTGCATATTACTTATTTATAGCTATTAGATGAATTTTTGTCCGTCCGTATCGTCTTGAGACTGTCTGATTGCTCAGAAACGACCTTGAAACACTACCTGCCACGACTCGAAGTCAAGCTCGATGTCTTCGCCGTCGATCCAGCGGAATCTGTTGGTGAAAATCTAACGCCAACTCGCGATATAATATTCTCGGGGATTATTAGTGGAGAGGAGGATCCCCTGGTGGTCTTCAATGAATTTGAGGGCGATGAAGGCAGTGGGAATCATGTCTATTTGGTTTGGAACATTGAAACTATACTGCGTGAGTTATTTGGATTTTTGGGTTGAACATCATGGGATAAACATCGCTAATTGGCTAATAGGGCGTCCCCGTATTCGAATCCAACATCCGTCGCTCTTATTCGTTGCCTCTGCCAGTCTGAATCCCGCTGACGGTCGTCGTCAAGAGGATTCAGATGATGATTATCTCCCTTCACTCGTCCCCGCATCAACAAATATGCTGCAATCTCTATCCACTGGCAAATCTTTCAATCATAAGGAACCTTTCCTCCCGGCTTCCAGATTGCTGAGGGTTGTACCGACAACGTATAACGAGGACCCGATTTACAATATCCAACAACAACATGGCCATCCCTTTCGCGTTGTGCCTGCTGCAAGTGCAAGGATTCGGTACTCTCGGCTGAGCTCCTATACTGGTATACCAATGACCGTGGCTAGTCTCGATTTTGAGGTCACCCCTTATTTAGCTTGCGAGGTCTCCTTTGACAAAGCGAATCTTCAGCTGTCCGAGGGAATGATCGAGTCGCTCTCAGATACACCGGGCCTGACTCTTCCTATTTCTTGCCGTCCACGAGACGATGTGACCCTCATGTATAAACTCACACCGGAGTATGGCCCAGAGACCAATCCATCCTCCACTGCGTTGGTCAGCACGCTGGACATATCTCTCGAGGCAATAATTATTGTGGATGAAGTCTGTAAGCCACGTATTTCTATGCAGTGGAAAACCAACGTCGATTTCTCAGTCGCCCTAAATCCGACTTATGGGGGGCCCAGTCCAGCGCTGCAAAGGACCAACCGCCCTACCAGTCTATCGGTGTCAACTCAAGTGGGTGTGACCCCATCCCATCGAAGCTCATTACGAGAACGAGCATATTCGGTCACCGATGTGGGTATCACAATCTCCTTCTCCGGGCCTG